CCAGATGTGGATCCACGCCGTCGACGGAGGTGGCCAGCTCGAGCTGTGGTCCGGTAGCCTCGTCAACAAGTACGCTTTTTATATCAATATTTTGGCGAACCTCTTCGGGTTTACAATCCCTCCAGCCAGTTTGTATGGGCCGTCATGAACACCTCGCCCTCGAACCAGACCGTCAATGTATCCCTGCTCGATATCTTCACCGATCAGGGCGCGGCCTTCGGCTCCGGCACCTTCACCATGTACGACCTCTGGCAGAAGGACGCAGACGGCGCGTGGGGCGCCAAAGTCGCCGACGTCTCCGGCAGCATGTCCGTGGACGTCGTCACCCACGGCGTGCGCGTCTTCAAGGCCGTCCCTGTCTCGAGCTCGCGGAGGGCTGCAGGAGAGTTATGACTCGTGGAAAAGGGGGCGCCTTAGCGCCCGCTTCCACCGCGTTCGCGGGTGAGTGGTTTGTGAGGCTCGGTGCAGCGCAAAATCGGGATGAAGTGGGAAACACTTGTACAAATGTACATCAGATTCTGGACTCCGATGTTGCTTGTGATCGCCACCAAACTCTTCGGTCCATGGACTCATTGACATTGGCTGCTTGGAACGGTGCATACAGTAAATTGTGGCTAGGAGATCCGCCAAGACACAGTGGGGGCCCGCTACTAGGGGCGAGAAGTCGACTGAGCAGGTAGCCGGTAGCCAGTTTGCGAAGGTAAACCTGCACATGGGCTTTAGGTTGGAACTGGGCAGCCTCGAGAGATATCTTGGCCATGTTCCTTCGAATAAACCGACACGAGTATGTGAGTACCATTTGCGTTGAGCACAAACACCGCGCACTACCAATTCGCAGGCCAATCGAGATGAGACGTAACATCTACATCCTCCACAAAGTCCACAACGAGCTCCCAGATGCGCTCCTCGATTCCATGCAGAGGCAAGACCACCGACGCCGCCACGCACTGCAGATCCCCGACGTGGAAGCCCAACCGTCCGAGGCGCGCACCCGCCGCGCTCCGGCCGCGCAGCGTGGCCTGCAGCTGCCCGAACACGCGTCGCGAAAGCTGGTCCCACGCCTTCGCGTCTTCGCGCACGACCTGCCAGCGGACGCCGAGCTCCTCCAGGTGCGGGCATGGGAGCGGGTCCGCCCGGGTGGGCTCCGGGGCGCTGAGAGCCTGGAGGAGGTCGAATGGCGACGTGCGCGCGGTCACCAGGCGTGTAACGGCGGGAAAGGCCGCGACGAGGCCGCGGAGCGAATTTTCGGGGAAGATGTGGGCGTGCGTCGGGAGATCGGGCACGAGCAGCTCGAGGTCCGTGATCGAGCCGGACACGCCGACGAACGCGGATGCGAGGGCGTCGGCGCCGGCGGTGATGAGGTCGAAGTCGAGGCGGAGGACGCCAGCTGGAGACCAGCCCTTCACCACGCAGCCACTGGAACCAGCTGAGAAGACGACAGAAAGGCGCGCGACGTTGCGGGTGAAGGGAATGAGGAGCGAGGAGACGGAGGGGTACGGGGCGGGGAGGAAGTCTCGGAGGCTGGTCGCCTTCATCTGGACGAGCACACCCAGGGGGGCTCGAGGCGTTGGATGAGGCTATCGCCAGAAAAAGACTGGGTGACGTTGAAAGAGAGGGTCTGGAGGTTAGGTAGCGGTGTGGAGGAGACTTCTCCGGACAGCTGCGAGAGATTCATGCGAATATCAAGAAAAGCGAGGTTGGTGAGGGTGGGAACACTGCGGAGGAGCGACATGAGTGATTGCTGGATGTGCGTCCCGGGAGGGCCGAATGTACACCAGAGGCAAAGGCATCCTTCGATCTGCAGCGTGCAGAGAACGGGTAGCTTCGTGATCCTGAAGACATGGAGGAAGTAGGGTGATATAGCGAGAGTTTGGAGCCGCGGAAAGGCTGTACCAGAAGAATGTCGACGTGAGAGTCGAGACACCGACGGTTCCGGGTCTCGAAAGTTGGATGCGTGATGGCAGGAGAGCGAAGTGAGCTGAAGGAAATCAGACTCAGATAACCGCTGAAAGGTGGGAAACATATTGGTGGAAACGCTGAGCCACAGAGAAGAGATTCGATGTGCATGAGGAGCAAGGATTTCGCGTGTGCTCATAGCGACCTGGTATATACTGAGGCCAATATGCCGGGGGGAAGATAAGCGCAAGAACGTTTCGTCACGCTCGCGGACGCGAGTGCTACGAGGCTCGGTGTCGTCCGTGTGCTCCATCGCGATTCGGCACATGTTCGCCCAGTATTCGGAAGTGCTGAGCAAGAGGACGCGCCATGCGCGGCACACGTGAAGGAGCCGGATGCCGCTGTAGGTCTTGTGGTCCAAATGGCCGAACACCTCCATGAGAACCTCGGGAGGGAGAGACCGGTTGATAAGTGCGGCGGCGTTGTAAGCAGAGAGGAGCGCGCAGCTGTAAGAGGCGTTCTGCTTCGCCCTGTCGAGCACCCAAGCTTGCCAGTGGCGGGTGGGGTACATACTTCGAATTCGCAAAGCAGCCTGGTGATCTGGAGTGAGTCGGATATACGGGTCAGACATGGATGTCGACTGTTGGCACGTGCACGAGAGGTTCTGTCTGAAGGCCTAGGGTTATAGCTGTTTTAGAGCGAGGTGTGCATGGTGCTTGCTGAAACCGAGGGCACCCGGCAGACGCACGACTCCTGGACCCAGCCAGTCCCGTTCGCGGCGCAAGTTTGCGGGAAGCGCCCGAGGGCCACCGCCGAGGGCAAGGAGCGCGTCCGACCACGGCAACAGTCCCATCTTGCCCCCTCCGGCCTTGCTTTGTCCCCCCTCTGGCAGGCCGACCATGCTCTACGACCCGGACACCGCTAACCATCTCAAGCCCTGGCTCATCAGGACACTCGAGCCCATGTCCGTCTGCCTCTTCTCCCTACAATCCACCCCATTGCTGATAAATTCGACAGATGCGACGCTGAACCCGGCGCGCTCGCTGACTACATCCTCGCCCTCCTCAAGCACAACGCGCCGGAGCCGGAGCTCAGGAAGGAGCTTGAGACACAGCTGGAGGAGTTCCTGGAAAATGGTGCGTCGCGTGCAACCTCGGCTCTTTCTGCGACTCACCCGCAATCCACTTCGCAGCGGTCCCCGCCTTCGTCGATACATTGTTCACCGCCCTCCGGTCGAAGTCATACCTCCCCTACTCTGCCGTTCCTTCTTCATCCGACCGACCCGCCCCCAGCACCTCCGCCGATGGCGGCATCCCAATTCCTCTCGACGGTCTCTTTGGACCCTCATCACAGCCATCCGACCGGGGCCGGAAACGCGGTATCGACGGCACCGACTACGACTCGCACGGACCTTCGAAGGGCGCACGACTGAACCATGACGGCCAATCGTCAAGATACGGTCGTGGCGATGGTCGCTCGGCGTGGTCCGGACGTGGCGAGCGCGGGGGGAGGATGAATGTCAGCGGCCGTGCTGACTTCATGGACGGCGGCATGGCGGGGATGGAGATGAACACGGGTATGAACGGGATGGGCATGAACGGGCGCAATGGCCAGAGCTACAGACCCCCAGACCAGCGGCGGGGCATCTGCAGGGACTATCACAGTGAGTCAAATTGCAGGCTCATGCCCCGGCCCCAATCCCTCATCATTTGGCGTAGACAGTGGCTATTGCGCGCGGGGCGCGTTCTGCAAGTACAGTCATGGGGACGATGCCGTCATCCCTGGTCAACTCTTCCCCCTGGGCGGCGGTATGCCGTTCATGGGCATGATGGGCCCAGGAGGGATGCCGTTCCCCATGGGCAACGCCGCCGGTGCTACTTATGACCCTCACGAAAGGATGGACATGCGGCCGATGAATGGGATGGGGGCAGGACGCGGACAAAATCCTCGACCAGCAGTGCTACCCCGTACGGAACAGAGCGATGCGCCAATGGGACGCAACCCCGGTGAGCTGCCTGTCATCCAGGACCTGACGCCGCAAGTACCTATTCAAGACGTCCAACCGCACATCAATGGCGACGGTCCTGGGCGACCTATGGAGCAACTTCAGTCAAATGGCGCCGTTCCTTCCCCTCAGATCCCTGCAACGGACGGGAACACGTCCAATCGCCCGTTACCGGCGAATGGTCGTGGCGGCATGGCGGGGCGTGGACGCGGACGTGGAAGCTTTGGCGGCGATGCACAGAGCTTCCGTCCCGAGCGTCGGAATGACAAGACGCTCGTGGTGGAGAAGATCCCCGAGGACAAGCTGTCACTGGGTGCAGTCAACGACTGGTTCAGCAAGTTCGGCACGGTCACGAACGTCGCTGTCGACGCCCCCAGCTCAAAAGCTCTAGTCAGCTTCAACACCCACGAAGAGGCCTACAAGGCGTGGAAGTCGGAGGAGGCGGTCTTCGGTAACCGATTTGTCAAGGTCTTTTGGCATCGACCTATGGAGGGTCACGGACAAGCTGGCCAGCGGATGCTTGCCGCCTCTGCACCCATCGTCGCGCAACGAACGGGTCCTACAGCCGAAAGCGCTTCTGTTCCTCAGCCACCAGCACCTGCGCCATCGGTCGCGCGCTCCACATCAAATATGTCTTCTGCTGCGGCAGCACTGGCCGCAAAGCAAAAGCTCATCGAGCAACAAATCGAGGAGCAGAAGACACTCATGGCGAAGCTCTCCTCGGCCACCGCAGAAGAGAAGAAGCCCATCATGGCACGCTTGCGGGAGTTGAACAAGGAGATGAAGCCCTCTGCGACGTCTGCACAATCTCCGCCGCCACCAGCATCTTCGTCCACCCCACGGAAAGCCTCGACGCCACATGTCGACGAACGCCAACGAGCAGAGCTCGAGCGGCTAGACAAAGAGCTCGAGACACATCACAGCGAGAATGGGACACCAGGCGCGGAAGGCGAGGAGGAGAGCACGGAGGAGCTCAAGGCGAAGCTTGAGAAGCTCAAAGCGGAGGTACGTCACGACGAGCTTTTCCCGTCTCTTGCGCGTGCCAACACAATCCCCGTTGTATCATCACAGGCCGCCAGTCTCGGCATCCCTGTGTCGGAGCCAGCAGCGGCACCGTACGGTGGTACATCGTACCGGCCGTACCGCGGTCGTGGACGAGGCGCGCGCGGCAGCTACTATCGCGGAGCGATCCGTGGCGGTCCGCCACGGACGAGCATGAAGCTCGACAACCGCCCGAAGAAGCTTCTCGTCAAGGGCGCCCCGGTCGAGTCTCTTCAGGCGGTGCGGGACTGGTACGAGGTAAGCGTCCGTCTGGCACTTCGGAGTACGACGTTTTCCGACGGTGCATAATTTTCTGTCTAGACGACCGGTCAAGTCGACGCCGTGGACGCCCTCGACGGCGGCAATATCCTCGTCTCGTTCCGCACGCGGGCTGCCGCCGAGCAAGGGTTCGCAAAGGGCTCCCAGATCGCTACTGTCGGTGGCGTACAGCTCTCGTGGCACGCCGGCCCCTCTGGCCCCTCCAAGACATCGACGGTCCCGGTCTCTGCATCCGCCGCGACGCTCGCCGACGCTGACAGCCGGGTGTACGGCCGCGAGGCTGCTGAGGGCGTACCCGAGGACGTCAATGAGGACTCGGCGATGCACGCCCCCGATGACATTGAAGTGGGCGGCTGGGGTGTCGACGACGACGGGTTCGGGATGATGTGAACCTGCGCTCGAACGCCTAAAACTTCCCATTCCCCGCCCGCTGAACCGCGCGCGACCTCATGTCTGTTGTCTCTTCTGTCTCGAGCATTCGTGTTTGTATTCGTAGCCTAGTCATACCCGTGCGCGCCATCAATTAATGGACAAATCGGTGGCCCCGCCTTGCGCGAGGGCCGCGGCCACGAGTTAATCCGTCGGAACCCGCATTGCCCGCAAGCAGAGAACACAAGTCTTCACCGCTATCACACTTCAGATATACGCTTGCAGCGAGAACTCGTAGATAATAATTGCTTACTCTAAGGCCGTCTGAAGCTGCCAACTATGGCCTTGTGTCAAGAATATTAAGCACCAGGTGACCATATATATTGCCGTACTGGGGTGCACTTCAACGATATCATCCTATTCAACACGCCGAGAGTTCGGATCCGCTTCTGAGGCCGTTCACGTTCACGCGAAAATGAATTGTGTATCCGATGCTACACGCGCAGTGTGCGGCACTCGTGGATCCAAAGGGAAGTCAGCCCGCACCTACTACAATCCATTTAATGAGTGCTTCAAAGCATGGTCGGAGCTCGGAGTGATCCAAGTTGCCATGAAAAACGCTGCCAGGCACATCCGAGCGACGTGGTCCACCCTATCGATACTCAGAAATCTGGGGAATAAGCCCAGTTGAGGTGGCGAAAGGCTCAGCCGGTCCTACAGCTGCGTGCAGAAAGCTTGTCCAGGCGCTGAAAAACGCGACGCGCGTCGAAAATTAAATCGAAATTGGTCGGAAAATCGCCAGCGGTGATGAGCACGTTTCTTCTCCCTCTCTCCCTCGCTGCTCGCCCCGATGGCCCTGAAAACTTGAAAATCGCGTCGCGCACGCACTCAGGTACGAGCGGACGCTTTTCCGCGTTCTCAACGACTGAGTTGACGCATCGCGCGGCAGGTTGGGGTGGGGCGGTCATGGTCGACGATCTCGCCTCTGTTAATCACCTCGAAGTGCGTCAAGCCCTGCCGGGATGTGTGTAGGGCGTGGAAGAGGCCTTTACAGGTGAGAATCAACTGGTTTCAACCCCTTCTGCATTGCTCTGGAGACGTCATTTACCCCCGGCGACTGTCACTTTCTTCCGAATCCCCGATGAGTCCGAGCGTGAGCGCACTGTGAATGTATTACTATATCTACCATTCCTTGGGTCCCAGACCTTGGATATGCATGTGTTGTGTGAGCCTTTTGATTCAAAAGTCGCACCCTTGCTCGGAGGGCTGGAGAAGTGTTCGATTGATGGGGTGAAAGGAAGGTATGCATACGTCTACAAGTTACAACCATCATACAGTTCCTTGTGCCTATACGTAGTTCTAATGCGAACGATGCAACTCGCGCAAGAGATAGACGAGCAGCTCACCGAGACCGGCATCCTCTCATTGCGTGAACTGAGTACTCGCCCGCTGCTGCACCTCCACCACGGCACCAGCAGTGTTCATCCTCCAAGGTTTTGACAGATGCAGAGACTGGATGGATCACAGAGAGGTGAATCCGTGTCTTGCTCATGTAGCGTGGCCATTTGAAGCACGTCGAGGTGATTAACAGAGGCGAGATCGTCGACCATGACCGCCCCACCCCAACCTGCCGCGCGATGCGTCAACTCAGTCGTTGAGAACGCGGAAAAGCGTCCGCTCGTACCTGAGTGCGTGCGCGACGCGATTTTCAAGTTTTCAGGGCCATCGGGGCGAGCCAGCGAGGGAGAGAGGGAGAAGAAACGTGCTCATCACCGCTGGCGATTTTCCGACCAATTTCGATTTAATTTTCGACGCGCGTCGCGTTTTTCAGCGCCTGGACAAGCTTTCTGCACGCAGCTGTATATATACCCACTCCGAGCCTTAGAGCCTCGGTCACCGAGTCACGCAGACGCACCAGTGATGGTGGGAAATAATTGGATTATCATCGATATCCAGACGGTATAAACCACATGTTAAACCCCGAGAAGTCGACGCACATATGCGAATGCGCACCAAGCGGTATCGGTCTGGAGGAGCCATTCCAGGATTGGTGTCCACCAAGGAAGGGGCGGTGTCCGGTGTCTCCTCCAGGTCGCCTGATCCTGCGGAGATAGCCTCGACCAGTACGCATCACTAGTCACCGACCAGTTTAGCTCCGTCGAGCATTTTGCGTCCAATGTTTCTGCTGAAAGATGGGAGGTGGTATCCCTGACAAAGCAGAGAGCCTCCTCTGCAGTGAATCTCTCGTGGAGTACGTGTGTCGTCATCCGGTCGAACAAAGGTGCAAGAGAGGGCACATGAGCCGCCATAGGCTACACAGAATTTTGGTGTTAGTACAAGCGCGATACGCAATGAGAATGACCATACCGCCCAATAACGTCGGAATATGTTTCCCATTGACCCAACGTCATAGGCGAACGGGTTGCAGAACGGGGCTCCCCATATCATGTCATCGGGAGGAAATACTCTGTTGCCGATGAACTCCGACGCTGGTCCACGGCACGTCCTCAACGATTCATTGATAGGAAGCTGCATCGATGCGTCGAAGTCGATTAGGGCGAATGTATGCTCAATGTCGCCTTGATTCCGACGCTCGCGCACGTCAGTTTCGAGTGCTTCCGCGTCGTTGTCGAGCCTGAAGTAATCAGCGAGGATGTTGACAGTTATAATGTCCTACACATAACCGTTAACTTTTTCGAACTGACTAGAAGTAGCATGCAAGGACTTACGAGATGAGCGATGCGACGAGCGTGCAGGAATACAAGACTCTGAGCAGCATGTGAGCTCACTTGATGTCAACGTTTGCAAAACACTCACTCTGAGCATGCAATCGATGAACCGCAAGCATTCACGAGGGCTGTCTATGTCATCAATCCAATCTATTTTCCCCCATCTGTAAGGTGTCAGGCAAGGTTGTGCGAAACTTCCATGGGTGTCGTACCTCGGCATGCTCACAATCGAATAGTCGTAGGGGGTGTCCAGTACGGCCAACGGAGGAACGATGCACGGAAATGTCGACGGGTCAGTGTGCTCCACAGCTCCCAGAAGAGATTTACATATGACGTTCTCTTGATCATTTCGGCCAATCGCTTTCAGGATGACATCCCTGCCTGATGAATCTCGAGCAGGAGCAATGCGCCCCTACAATTTGTGTAAGAATGGATGTTGTAGAGGAGCGATGGGGACATACAACTGTTCGAAAGGAGATCTGCTGCCCTGCTGTTCTCGCGACTTTGGCCCAGGGAAGTTTCCCTTGGAGGGGCGATGCATTAGTGGGGGAAAGCCAATATCTGCCCGGAAATTCGTGCAGAACAGGTGGATCTTCAACGTCATACAACTGAAAACCTCTGCCGAGGAGCCAAGCACGGTTGCCCGCCCAAAAGGCCGACCCATCATGCCATTGAACAGGCTATCACATTGCGTTAGAAGATCATGAGAAAACGGTCAGATTGTTCGCATACCATCGGTGCACAGACGTCGTCTTCAGAGTCAGTGACGTTCCGGTGAGTGTTTTTATCGCGGTCGGCCATTATGTACTGTGGCGAAAGGGCAGCGACGGCCTTATGGTGAGAGATCGGACCACGGCAGTTGCAGCAATTGACCAGACAGCCTGCGTTGTTGTCATGAATTCGCTGAAGCGCCAACATGTCACTTGTTCGCATCGCGGCTTGTCACACTGTGACTGTCGATTCCGAGCAAGCAGGCGCTAAATATGGAAAACAAACGGCCGGTCCCTGTCCAGACTGTACCTCGATATTCCAGTGGCCGCCGCGGTGGCGGGTCGGCTGGGCGTTTTGCATGTACTTGGATGAGATTAGAAATATGTAGATCGACAGGCCCGTATGCAGCACGTCTAGAACCGACGACGGGCTCCCGAGACATGGCAAAATAGGTGTCCAGCAACCCTCAAGAATATCCGCCCCTCTACCCAACCCTGCTCTTCCTGCTGCTGTTCTTCCGCAACTTCCCGCTCGCCGGCCGCTGTTTACCCGGCACAGGGGGGCCTACGTCGCCCGAGCGCCCCGACGACACGCTCGCCGTCGATAGCGGCGTCGCGGTTTCCGTGCGGCCTCGTCGCTCCGGCACTTGCGGTTGTGGCGGGTGGAACACCTGCGACTGCCGCTCTGGCGGAAAACTGGGCTGCATCCAAGGCTGCGGCTTCGGTGGGGGCTGCGGGCCTTGTGGCAGGAAGTATCCGTCCACATGCGCGCCGGGGACCTGCTCACGTCCGTACATGGACGGGATGCGCGGTACGGGCGGCATGGGCGAGCGAGGCATGAAGACGGTCTCGACTTCGTGCGCGGGTGGGTACGGCATCGACACGCGCGGCCCACCCGCAGTAAGCTCTCGTGAGGGTGAGCGAGAGTGACGGCGTGATCGCGGAGCGGGTGAGGGTGATCGCGAGCGCGCGGAGGGCGCCGGTCGTGCCGTGTATCCCGGACGACCGAGCGAGGGCGCACGCGAGTGGGAGGCGGGAGAGGCGGATGGCTGCGAGCCGAGGATCTGGCTGGGAGGTTGGGAAGCCGTGCGGCGGTGAGCCACGGCCACCTCGGTTTCTCGCACGGAGGAATGTGAGGACACTCTTGACAGTTGGCTACGAGTCCGGGTCGAGGACGTCGGGGGCCGCGGCGCCGCTGAATGAGGGACAAAGGAAGGGGGTGAACACGAAATGTCAGCTACAGACGTCATGGATTACGGGAGGGAGGCAGGACAACAAAAGGCCCAGAAGGACCGGATAGAGGGCAGAATGCTCACCAGTATAGCTGTGTCGAGGGGCGCCGGTGCCCTGGTTTGTTCGTAGGGTCCCGACTCGCACCGTGGACGGCGGCCGAGTTCCCGCGAGCAGCCACTGATCCGCTACGCTCTTCCTGTCAGAGCCAGCGCTGTGTGTGACACTGTTGCTGAACACGCTCTGCCGATCGCTCATGCTCATGGCGTCGGCCAGGGGATGTTGACCGTGCGGGTACAGTTCGGGCGCAAGAGGAGCGGGGAGGACGATGTTGATGTTGCTATGGATTGAATGTGGGGCTCCGTGGAGGACATTCGGAGCGGAAGTTGAACCGTGGAGGGAGTGCACAGACGAGGAGGCAATGGACATCTGTCGGACGCGCGAACGTGACGTGCGTGGGGCCGAGGACGCGCGGGTAGAATGCTGGAGAAGTCGTTCGAGGATTCGACCGAGTGGGTCATCTCGGAGGGCGAGGCTACCATAGGCACGTCTGACCCAGATTCGGGGAGGACATCCTGTTCCAAGCTGGCCGTACTCGACATGCTGTTGTGTAGATTGAGGCCCGAAGGCAAATAGGAAGGGGTGGGAGGTGAAAGAGGATGTGGCGAGCCTTCACGGGAGGCATCATCGAGGGCCCAGCTGCTTTCCCTGGTTTGACCGTGGCTAGAGAATTCGGGCGCACCGCGGATGAGAGAAGCGCTACTTCCGCTCGAGAAGCCAGCCCGGGAGTAGATGCGAGGGTGAAGGAGGTCAGGATCGACCCAAGTGGTGGGACGGTCGTTCTTGCGGTCTGCATAAGCGGCAACCTGTTGTTCTCGGTGGCGCGCGAGATCTTGTACTGGCGGAAGGGGTACCTTTCTGCTTGCGGAGGAGCGGCAACAGCGAGCGAGAAGGCGCCAGGCGAAGAGGGCGAAGACGAGGATAAGGACCGCACCCACCACAACGGCTATGATGATGATCGTGGAAGTTGAGGGGCCCCCCGAACCACCATCTCGCTTGAGGAGGATGTAGACATTTGGCATAGTCCTGAACGCGTGTGCTGTAAGCGGGGGACTTGACGGGTGAAAAGGAATGTGGAAAAGAGCGTCGAGGGACGAAGCAGGTGACCGGCGGGATATTAATGCATAAACAAAGGGCGACCGGGCAACCGCGAAGAGCTCGGCGCGACCTGGCGGGGGGTCGAGCGGGGGGTCGAGCGAGCTCCGCCGTAGCCGCAGGGCTGGCGGGCAGTGGGGATGAAGGCAAGAGATGGAAGCGGGCGCTGGGTGCACAGGCTGAGCTGGGCGGAGAGAAGAGTTCAGAGGCGCCGGTCTGTTGCCAAGTCCGTCCAGATCCCTCGGCTCGAGATCAGGCCCCGATCCAGGCGGCCCGCCCCGTCCACACCTCGTCCGACGCCCGACATCCCTCCTCGAGCCTCGCTCGCGCGCGACGGCCATGTCCGCCGTCCAGCCTCCATCGCGCCGCGTCGGTCCCCGCTCCATCCAGTCCTTCTCCTCCTCCACTGCCGACAAGTCCACCGCTCCCAACAGGCCTCCCACAGCCAAGCCTGTCACCCTCGCCAAACGCATCCTCTTCCCCACTCTTCCTGCCGATGCCGACTTGCCTGCTCTCCTGCTCTCTCCCGAGGCCGAGCCTGAACTAAACGCAGAGCTTTATGGCTTTATCGCGCTTGCTCTACGAGCCTTCGTCAACACCTGGTGGTCCAAGATCACGCGTTACGACAAGGAATTCCTCCCAGAGATCGCCCGCATCCTCACCGTAGTGGTCCGTGCCTTTGAGGCCCGTTTGCTTGCCACCGACCTCTCGCCACTCGTCTTCCGCGACCTGCCGACGCTGCTATCCCAGCACTGGATCGACTACCGCAATGCTCAGGCCAAGCTACATACCTCCTATGCTTCGGGAGGCGCGGCTTCCATCGCCCAGCTCTTCCACCAGAGCCAGCCGCATATGGCCGTATCCGCTGAAGGCGTCATCGATCCCGTGTATGTCCGTCAGGCCGTCGACCACATCCTCAAGACATGCTTACCGCCAGAAGACTACGAGCCAGAGACGGAGCGATACATCGTTCGCGAGATCATCCTCAAGGTCCTGGTGGGGAGTGTGTTGCCAAGGGTCACCCAGCCGTGGTTCATCCACAAGATTATACTCGACCAGTTGGGGCCCGAGAAGGCTGCGGGCAAGGTACCAGAGGTGTGTGGTCTCCCCCTCTCGGCGATTCGGCGGCCGTCTGTCGCATTTGTCTTCACGAGCACACGAGGGGACTATATATACGTGCCATGTATAGGGATTGTCAAATGCTCAGTTGTCAGTTCGGCCCAACTGGCTGGAGACTTTATTTCCATCATCAGAGCTCTGTGAGCGCAGACCCAGACCCGTGCAGTATCGCCTTTCATGTCTGGGGGATGCATTTCTTTCACCTATGGAAAAGACACACCATGTGAATCGAATACAAATATGAAGCACTCTACCCCATCCCTACGGTGCTACCCCATGCCAACAACATATGCTGACATCTTCTTCTAGTCTCCCAAAGCGGATCCGACGACGCGACCTCCGTTGGCCCGTCAGTCATCCGCACATTTCTCATTCCAGTCTATCGCCATCGTCGTGCTTTCGGCCGTGCAGGCGGTATCAGGCGTATGCCTCGCCATTCTGCACGCATACAAGCAAGCGCGAGATACCATCAAGAAAGTGAACGAACGGAACGACCCGTATGTTGCGGACATCACGCCCGAGGCCACGATGCAGGAGCCAGAGCCTGCATGGAGTCCCTCAAGAGGCGAAACAGGCTTCTTTGCCACACCTTCCATCCCAGGAACCCTGAACCCCTCACCACGACCACCTCCCCCACAACCGACCCATCTACCATCGCCGACTTCGGAGTCAGGATCATTTTTGCAAGCACCCTCACGAACCTCCAGCACGTCCTCCCATTCCCCTACACCCCCATCTTCGTCTTCTCCCACCTGTGCACCCGCCCCCATCCTGAACTACACCCACCCACCTCTTACCTTCCTGCTCTTGATCCTCAACCCCCCACCTGCATCCGCGAACTCGCCTTCGCCCTACACCACCTACACTACTGCGCGAGCACTGACGCACCTGCTCAGTCTCTTTGCGTCCCTCGCCGCACCGTTCCTCGGCCGGCTACTTCCCTACATCCTCTACACCCACGTCCTCTCCCCTGGAAGGCTCTCAAACATCATCCGGAGCGCGAAGACAGCGATATTTCCTGACGGCTGGCCAGGACCACCTCCCATTGACCCCACGCCTGAGGAGCAGGCCGAGACGCGTGCTGCAGTGCGGCGACGGCTTGCGGACCGTATTCCTAGTGAGATTTAGAGCGTGTTGTTGCGACTCGATTCGAGCTAACCTCTGTCACGCAGGCGCCGTGGGCCCGTTACTTGGTCCAACTCCAGAAGCAAGGCTGGCGACGATCGACGCTGCATTGGCGCCGCTTGACGACGCCGCCTGCAACGCGCACATGGCGATGTTCATCGTCGACCTCGTGCTGTTGACGGTATTCCCCGAGATGGGAGTAAGTGAAGACGTCTAAGCTTGAAGGGACGTTGGTATGTTTTTCCGGGGCCGGTTTGGCCGAGCTGTTGTGTCAACTTCCGGGGGATGCCACGAATTGTAACGAACATTAATGTTGACAGTACTACAATACCATGAATGACATACAGATATGACGGACACCATACATGGAGCCTCAACTTCGCGTGCGCGAAATGCGGGGTGTCCCTCTCAGGCAAGCCGTCGCGAGAGGCGATCATTTGTAGCAATTTCTCAACACACTTGAAGGCGATTAAGTTCGTGTAAAAGGTGACCTGAGGCCAGGCTCCTACCCGGGCTCCTACCCAGGCTCCGTCCTACACCCACGTCCAACCTGATATGATAGGCAAGTCTCCGCGTAACATATGTCATCGGCGGTTTCTGACATAGTCATTTTCATTACCCCACATATCAGTCTCGGATTGGAGCGGGAACGCTAGGTCCGGCTGGGTAGGAGCCTGTCCTGAGGCTCGAATGCCTAGATCCAGCAGGAGCCACGAAGAAGGAAAAGACACTCGGAGACGGTCGTCTTGGCCAGATGCTCCATAATTTGCCTTCAGATGTAGTTGCGAAAAGCGAAGCCTGTGGCACGTCGACGTGCCTGCGTCGGCCTGCGCTGGCGTGCCATCTCCCCCGCGTCACACATGTTGACGTTGGGGATCTTTAAGAGCCACCTGTTCTTGCTACATCGCTAAAATGTCGTTCCAGACTACCCGCATGCGTTGGCTGTTGACAAACATATTGTAATCGTAGAAGTGGTACAAAACGTCGCCTTTTGCAATGGCCTTTGTTGACAGGGAAAGCCACGGGCTGGGTTCTGTGCCACCGGCATTTTCACCTCGCGAAAATGCACCCACAGTGGAACACCGTAAATTTCTGCGCCAGTTATGATACAATCGAAAGACTGCTTCCAGCGTACAACCGCAAAGACCCGTTCCTTTCCCCAGCCCACCCTCTATGCAATCCACTCACATCTTGAACGGCGTCCTTGGGTACTGGACCTTTTCAGCCGCGGCGTCATCGACAAACCAGTACACCTGCCCGGGGTGGACAGGACGGATCCGGCTCGACGGCAGACCAACTTCGGGCTCGTCGAGGATGGTGTGCAGGGTGTCCTGCTTGGCGGCGCCGGTAGCAACGAACGCGATTCGGGCGGCGTGGTTGAGGACGGGGAACGTCAGCGTGATGCGCTTCGTCGGCGGCTTCGGGCTGTCGTCGATGTACGCCACCCAGCGGTCGTCCTCGCTGAGGAGGGCGTGACCGGGAAAGAGGGACACGGTGTGACCGTCGGGGCCGGCACCGAGGAGGACGAGGTCGAAAATGGGGAAGCGCGCGGCGTCCCTCATCGCGAACTCCTGGATGAGCTCCTTCTCGTACACGTCCGCGAGCTCCTCGAGGTCGTCCTCGAGCGAGGGGTCGATGGTGTGGATCGTCGGCTGCGGGCCGCCGGGAGGGAGCTTGCCGAAGATCTCGCGCATGCAGAGCGCGTGGTTCGAGTCTTCGTGGTCGAGCGGGACGACGCGCTCGTCGGCGTAGAAGACGTGCCTGGGCGCACCAAGGTGAGCGTGAGCACGGGACCGTGAGCGGGGGATGCGGATGCGGCGATGGAAGATCTCGATCGCGCTCGGAATGCGAGAAATAAGAGGGACGCACCACTTGTCCCACTTGACGGCGGGATTATCGACGAGCTTGGCTAGCTGCTTGGGCAGCGAGCCGCCGGAGATGGCGACGGTGAAGCGTCCCTTCTTCTCGATGGATTCCTTCTGTGCTTTGAGGATGAAACGCGCGAGGCTCTCCATGAGCTCGGCGCTCGACGGGAAGGAGCAAAGCACGGGCGGGTTCGGTGCGGCGTGCGACATTGTGTGGGTTTTCACGGCTGCGTTCGCGGCGAGGGGGGTAACGGAGAGCAGAGGATGAGAGAGAGACGTGGGCGCAGGAGACAAGATAGGATGCACACCTCAGTCCGTCCGTCCATCTGGAGCCGCGGGTGCACTGAGCCCGCGCTGATGTCATTGGGCCCTCCCTCAGCGATTGCCGCCTCGTCTGGTCCCACCCAGTTTGCCCTCGTCCTCGCCCCCCGCTGCCCTGCCCGGCCGCGCGACGAGACCCGGGATGCCGCCGCTCTACTTCTCCTCCTTTGAGGTCTCCCGCCAGGCGTTCTACCGCGTCCGCCTCGCCGCCGCCATCGTCAACCTCAAGCCCATCGTCCCCGGCCGTGCGTCCGTCTCCCACCCGCTCGCGCTCTGCCGCCGTCTCTGCCTCCGAACGCTCACCAGTAGCCCTCCCACCCTCGCCCGCGCGGCCCGCCTGCAGACATACTCGTTATCCCCACGCGTCCCGTCCCGCGCCTCGCCGATCTGGAGCATGACGAGCTCGCGTCGCTCATTGCATCGGTGCAGCACGTCGGGCGCGTCATCGAGCGCGTCTTCGCCGCGGACGGACTCACCATCGCTTGCCAGGTGGCGATCCAAGCGGTCTTAACTCCGGACGTGCCGACCTCCCACTCACACACCCCGCTTCCCCCGTCCCGACCTCCACGCTCACGGCCCATCATGCAAACCTCGCGTGACGGCAAAACAGGACGGGAAAGCGGCGGGGCAGACCGTCCCGCACGTGCACTTCCACCTCCTCCCGCGCAAGACGGAGGGGGACGCGTTCCCGAACAACGACGACGTATACCCCGCGCTCGCCCATGCAGAAGGCGCACTTCCTGGTGCCCTCGCACTACGGCAAGAGCAGTCGGTGCCGCTGCGTGTGGACGCGGACGAGGATCGCAAGCCACGCTCGCGGAAGACATGGAGACAGAAGCGCGCTGGCTCGCCACGTTCTTCGAGCCGTCCGGCGTAGATGTGTAGAGGGTGGGCCAAGGTAGCGGCAGTGGTTCGTCGGTGTAGGCATGGCGCTCCTGGCAGGCCGGGCATGCGCGAGCTGGGCATAGAGCGCACAAATGAACATCCATATCTTCAGACCCCAGTACACATGGAAGTCGAGCATCCTGAGCCAACTGAACCAAGCTTCTAGTCCTTGACGAAGCAGCCAAACTCGACCTGGCAGCGTCTTGAGCTTAGCACTGCTTTGAAGCGCCACTCGTCGGTGTTGGCTGGGACATTGCGTTAGGAGTTCGCAGCGGGATTCGAAAACCGCGCAACATGGTTCGCGGACATCTTCAGGAGCCACGGGCCCATTGGTTAATGTGTCGAAACTCAAGAGTGCTCAGTGGACGTTCGGAAGTATGGACAACCTCCACCACGTGATCGCGGCGCATGACGCGCTCAGCCGTCGCGTCGCGGGGCTCGGCAAATCCGTGCTTCTGCCGCCCCCTCTCCTCTGCCCACAACCACTTCCTTGAACTCGCACCTCCAACGCATCTCCGCACCTCTTGCTCGTTGCACCTCTGTGGGCAAGCGTACAACTTTATCACCGCTCATAAAGAAGTTGCACGATAAGCTCCAAGTGCGTTCCCATGTTTTCACTACGGGACGCGCCCTAATCAGGCGCGTCGCGTCCACAAGATGAATCCATACGCGCCCCCTCTACCTCCACCACAGCACCCACAAATGGCATCGTCCACTGTTCCCGACGCCGCCGTTTCGACCCATGGCCCGTCCCCTGCAAATCCCATGGCAGCACAAGGCCAGATGCAGGAGTATCCAAACGCCCCCCTTCTATTCCGCCACCTAGAAAACACCTTCTTCCAAACGCTTGACAGAAGCTACGCCCTGACCATGGCGCGCTTCGACCGCGTTGAGATTGTCCTCGGAGGCATCTCGAAGAACACGAACGAGCGGCTCGACCAGACCGCAGCCACCCTGCAGCAGACCAAAGACGCGGTCACCGAGCTGAACACGGCGCGCCGGGATGACAACCAGACGCTCCTCCAAGTGCACGGCAATCTCCTACAGGCGTCCAAGATCTTTTTGGGCAAGGCGGAGCGTCTCGAACAGGTCATGGGCAGCCCTTCGGCGACCAACGCAGACGGTGAAGGAGCGCCGACGGTGCTAGAACGGCTCCAGCGGCTCGAACGCAGCATCGCGGAGCTGGTGGAAACCTTAGGAGACCCGACGCTGCGAAGCCTGTCGTCCTCCACCATGAGGTCGGGATCAACACTTCCCCTGTCGTGCGTCCTATGGCAGACGCCGGAGTGGATGCGATTGATCTCGTCCCCCTCTGGAACACTGGACGCTGTGGTGCAGTCGGAGCAGCCCTCCATGGTAGATGTCGGGGTGGAAGCGAGGGAAGTCGAATTGCCAAGCCCCGCATATATGCGGTACTCGACTGCGTCTCAGACGGTCTACGGTTCGTCCCCTGACCCGCGTGAGTGCATACGCATTCTATGGCATACTACACTTCGTAATATGGACTATGACTAGCTTCAAAAACGTATGCTACCACCTCAACGTATACTGCACAACCACTCGCACCCGCGAAGTGGACCCCAAATAGTATGGACAGCGGTGAGTAGATTCTACCCCACTTCTGCCTAACTAACCTCATAAGCGGCTTCGCATGTGCTATAGATGCTTCCTCGCCTTCGGAATCCGCATGGGGCCACTCTCCTGCTTACCAGGATGGCTTCGAAAACGAGACGAGCTTGGACTCTCTCAGTCGACGGGGAAGTTCTCTTGTCGACGAGCAGGAAATTCGCCGCTCCTTAGAGGGCCGAAGCTTCTCCCAGATCTCACCATACACGCTGCTACCTCATGTGAACCATACGACTCCGGCCGACAATTCCCACCCTCTCGGTCCATCACTGTATCGTCAGAAGCCACAATCAACACTACTACCTCAAGTCCAACACCGATTGCACCCCCACCCCCACCTCGCTTGCCCAACCATTCAAGAACTTATCCGCAGCGACATCTTCCATCCTTTCCAGCGTTCCACCTTCGTCCCCAGAGTCCCGTTCCGCCCCCCTGCCTTTCACGCAGTAGCACTGCGTCATCGTTCTCCGTCTGTTGAATCCTTGTCTTCCCTTTCCTCTCTCTCATCTGATGAGGTCATGGAGACGCTCGAGCAGTCTCAACCGAACCTCAACCCAAGAAGACGAGGAGGCAACCCGGCGGTCCGCCCCCGCCAGGATCAAGAGGGAGGCCAACAAGTCCTCGTCGCATGATCAACGTCCTGCCAAGCGCCGCAAAACGATGGGGGCCGTCAAACTCGAAACCTCAAGCGCCTCTCGTGCGGGTGGCGAGAGCAAGTCTGCGATCTCGAAGAGCACAAAACGGGCCAGCAACAGGCGCAAGGGTCGCCCATTCGTCACCACTCCTATCAAGTTGAAGGTGAAGGTGCCGCCATCGTCCCCACAGGTCACTCCAAAAACGAAAAGGCGATACGAGGCGCCACAGATTGGGACCAATTGCCCGTGGCCAAACAAAGTCGATGATGATGGTGCAGGCGAGGTTGGTGGTTTCGCCGCTCGACGACGTCGGAGATCTGACGATCCCGCTGACGATCCCATTCAGATGGTGGCTTGCGATAAGTGAGTGCATAGAGGACCCACAATATCGTTTCCTCCACTGACGCTTCTGTTGCTTAGCTGCAACGGGTGGTATCATTACGGTTGTGTGGGACTCGTTGAAGACGACCCTCGCGCGGAGGACGATTGGCACTGCCCCCCTTGCGAAACAAGCGAGTGCGTCTCCTCCCGAGTTTCTTTAGTTCCGCCGCCTCATATTTGTGACAGAGAAGTGCAAGAGCTGCGCCGCGAAGTGGCGTGGGAGGAGGCTGCGTGCCTCCGTCCAGACTGCGATCATCCTGGATCGGCGGAAGACACCGGCCAGTACTTCATTGAGCGTATCATCGGCCGGCGCCCATTCGACCCGGCCACCGACTGGTCTCCGACAGAAGGCGGGTCGAAGTTCATGTGGTTGGTCAAGTGGGACGGGTACGTGTTCCCTGTATTTTCATATCGACGAGCTTCCTGACGGCTTCTGCAGGTACCCTGTGGGTGAGGCTACCTGGTCTTCTGACCACTGCGTACGAAACTGCCGACCTAAAGTCGAAAACTTCTTGGCTGCAGCCGAGATCGAGAACAAGAACCTGGCGGACAAGAGAAAAGTCCTGCTCAACGAAGCCAGTGCGGCTGGGTTGTAGCGGCCCCACGCCCTCTGTCTTGACTCTTGTTCGCTTTTGTTCCAACCCGCTTAGATTTTGATATGCAGCTCTTACGGCGCTTTCGAAGTGCTGTGCTTAATTTCTCCTCGTGTAGCTTCGTGTCGTGATTCTGCACCATCGTGCTCGTATCCCACGCTCCATTTAATCAATTTAGAACTCGACGCTGGGGCTGGTCGCCGCGTCTCGCCTTACACTCATACCGTCACCCGCATCATTAATACTCTTGTTGGGAAATGCACCAAGTCCCAGCTGTGCTTGAACATATATTTCATGATTGACACCAAAACTGTCGTACCTTTCTCATGCTGCCCTTTCACTCTCCTTCAAGTTTTACGATTCACTTCGATTTCCGTTTCATCAAGTTCTGATACCATTGGCAATCGCGCGACGCTCGACTAACCTTACGTATCTTCCTCAGGTGTAGTGCGGTATCTGCGAGAGGTAGCCTCCTCCAACCATGGCTCTTCGACAAGAAGCAGCTCATTTGTGACGATTTTTTCCGCATGGGCCACGTGGGGATTCCGAGCAGCGCCAACTACCGATGTTTGTCCCTCAGGTTCATGCGATATAGGTAGTCCTGACATGCTACTTGAAACCACACAGGTACCAACGTACTATACGCGCATTTTGGTTTCCCCGCTTGCCAAGTTCACCATCTCCAGAGGAGGAGGTGGCGTGACAAGCGGGTACTCGTCCCAAGGACCACGAAGAGGTATGCGCCAGGACCGAAGTCCCTCCCTTGGGAAGAGAGGGAGACTCACCTGGGCTCAACTGATCAACGTCTTGATGTTGTGCGGAATGTCACGGGTTCTTCGATCCACTAGATGCGCCTGTAAGTACCTTTGTCTGCTGTGCGTCGAGACTGAACTGACCGTTCCTTATTGTCGACGCGCCTAGGACGCCTTGTTGCCAACGGACGCGAAGGCCTTGCGGGTCTTCATGACAGTTCAGCGGTGTCAATGCGACGAGCCGCGCCCCACGGCCGACGCTCACCTTGCCCACTAGGTCCCCGTTCTTCGCCGATATGCACTTGCGCCGCTGCTGCGACGAAGCCCCGCCGCGCCCCTTGCCCTTACCCTTGCCCGTGCCCACCAGCGCGGCGAACTCCCCCTCTACCGCCCTCGTCCCCGCCGCCCCGCCATCCCACGGGCTCGCGACGGAGGCCAGCCAGTCCCTCACGTCGCACCCCCGGAACCCTCTAGGGCCGCCGGTGTTTTCCGCGTCGAGCCTGCGGGCCTTCCGTCCCCTCGTCCTCTCGGCAGCGGACGCGCCTTCGCTCTCGCCCTCGCGCGCAGCTGCACATGCGGAGAGCCAGCTCGCCATGCGGTGCGCCGCGGAGTCGGATAACGCGGACGCGGACGCGGTTGGAGGCTTTGGTCCGCCTGGGGCCTTGTCGTTGCTGGTGCTGGTGCCGGTGCTGGCGGCGGCGGCGGTAGTGGTGGTGATGCTGCTGCCGCCGCTCCCAAGCGCGACCCGACCTCCCCTCTTCCTCTCGCGGGCGCGCTCGAGGCCGTGCAGGGCCGCACGGGGAGGCACCCCGCCGTCAGCCCCCACGGCGCGCGCGATCGGAGGCTCGGCGTCCGCCGGTGCTGCGACGCTGTCGACGACCGCGATGGTCGTGTACGCGTCTTCGCCCTGGACGCCAGCGCAGGAGTCGAGGCTGAGGTCGCCCGCCACCAGCCACGCAACATACGCCTCCTCGGTGTCCAGTACTGGGATCGAGACGTCGGCCGCCTCGGACACGCCCGCGAGCTCGTCCGCCCACTCGTCCCCAACCGCGCTCCGGAAGAACGCGTCGACGTCGATGGTCCTGCCCGTGCACGCCCGCGTCTCGACCTCGGCCGCCAGGGCCTCGGCGTCCTCGACGGTCTGCTCGACGCGCACATCTGCCACACCCGATGTCAGCCACCAGCACAGCGCCCCGCGACGGACGACGTCGACGTACCCTTGGCTGTCTCGCGCTCCTGCTCCTCCGCCTTGCGGATGCGCTCCTCCTCCTCATCGAAGATCCTCATCGCCCGCGCCGCCTCCCACGAAAAGTACTCCGCGCGCAGCCGGGCCATCGGCACCTTGACGTAGTCTTCTCCGTCCAAGCGGAAGAAGGCTGTGCCGCTCGGGGTCGCCCAGGAGCCGCCGACGATGGTGCTGGAGGTGTACGACATGTCGACCGGTGGTGTGTAGAAAGCAAATGTATATGCAGAAGATGGGTTTGGGTAACGGAACAAGGAAGATTAGAAGCGGGAGTGGGAGCAGGTTTGGTCTTATACCGAAGCGGGCAGAGGGGCCGGAGGCTGACCGCCCGTTTTTGGTGTTTGCTCCTAGGAGGAGCGGAGGCTCTGGATTCGACCTGCTGTATTTACCCATGCGCAAGTGGCCGAAGGAGACTCACCGGATGGTGTGAACCTACACCCGAAAGCCTGAAACTTCTCATTTCCCGCCCGCTAAACTGCGCGCGACCTCATGTCTCTGTTTTCCTTCCTCCCCGAGCATTCGTGTTTGTACTCGTAGTATAGCCATACCCGCACACGCCAACGATTAATGGACAAATCGGTGGCCCTGCCTTACGCGAGTGCCGATGCCACCAGCCAATTTTGAAGCATCTACTCGCTCGGGCTGAGATACACGGCCGCAGTCGATACGAAGCTGCCGATCGGCATCGCTCTAGCCTGCACTAACGAGAGCCCATGGATTCGCGCGTCGTGCCATTCAATACTGCGCAGGACGCAATAGTAGCCGTACAGATACCAATATATCCCGGAATATCCCCAGTCGGTGTCGTAGCCTCGCATCAGTCCGTCCGCACGCGATTGGTTGAGGTTCGTATTGGAGACCATACTTGAAGTGTGCGGCACTCATGAACACGAGACGAAATCAATCCGAACATTCAATACATTTCGTGAGCACTTGCATAGGAGTAATACACATTGCCGGGTCAACACATTGGTACATCTCAGCGGCGTTGGATGTTCCATCGATATTCCGAGGGCTCGGGAAGCCGGGAGGCCTTTCGAGCCAGGTCCTCCGCGAAGTCCGCAGGCACTGGCTCAAACCAGCTCCGGGACTTGGCGCCCCAGTAGGGACGCCGGATCATGCACGGGATCTTCAGCGTGGTGTGTAGAACATATCTGGTCTGCCCCATATTACCGGGTACTGCAGTGAGCCTGCCCTGTTCACCGGCCAAAAATGAGCTTTAGGGATGAGGCGGACGTAACAAACGTCTTACCTGTTGGCTGACTGTGGTTCGATCCTCAATCGTGCAGCGTGTGTATGCCGGTGCAGAGTACAACTTGTGAGCGATATGCGGAGGCGGTGGCGGTGGAAACTTCCTGTATGAAAAAACGGCAGACGAGGCGTCGATAGGGATGAAATCTGTCTTCGAGGTGATACAAACCTAGAAAGACTCGGTGAACCTCTGAAAACAGAGAGGACTGTGTGTCTTACTTCAGTGCCGCTGCGCAGCGCATTCGTCCCTGGTGGCCACATCTGCCCCTGCTGGTCCAGCACAAGCAGATCGGCATGTTTGACGGGAGGAATCTTTGCACCTTGACCAGGGGAGGAAACCATGACCTGGTTCCAGAACCCTGGCTCAAGGCACTCAAAGAAGTAGAGCACATTACTGTCAGACTGTGGCGGGGCGGGAGGTGGGTTCTGGTATTCGTGGTCGGCATGCAACCTGTTGAGCATAGATCAGGTGGGATGACGAAGAACGCACCATTCCCGGTACAGGTGGAAATGGCTCTGGAACATGACCTAGGATGCGAACAATCGTTCCAGCTTTCCACTCCGTGTCTGGGATATCCTCTTTGAGTCTCGCGTAATTTCCTGGGGCGAAGGAAAGAGTCTGAGTACGTGGTGGGGGAGCCATGTCGCAAACGACTAGAAGAAGGGAATGGACGAGTGGATGGCATGAGGGGCGAATTCAACCGGTCTTATATACCCACTGGGAGCCCTAGGGTGGTCACCGAGTCACACAGAAGCACCAGTGACGGTGGGAAATAATTGGAGTATCAACCGTATCCAGACGGTACATAATTTTAAACCCCGAGAAGTCGACGCACATATGCGAATGCGAGCCAAGCCGTTTCGGTCTGGAGGAGCCATCCCAGGATCGGCGTCCACCAAGGAAGGGGCGGTGTCCGGTGTCTCCTCCAGGTCGCCTGATCCTGCGGAGATAACCTCGACCAGTACACATCGCTAGTCACCGACCAGTCCAGGTCTGAGGGACATTTGCTGTCCAATGCTTCTGCCGAAATACGGGCAGTGGTGTCCCGGAAGAAGCGGAGAGCTTCCTCTGCAGTGAATCTTTCGTGGACTACGTGTGTCGTCATCCGGTCGAACAATGGCGCAAGAGAGGGCACATGAGCCGCCATAGGCTACACAGAATTTTGGTGTTAGTGCAAGCACGATGCACAGTGATAATGACCATACCGCCCAATAACGTCGGAATATGTTTCCCATTGACCCAACGTCCCATGCAAACGGGTTGCAGAACGGGGCTCCCCACATCATGTCATCAGGAGTGAACACTCTATTGCCAATAAACTCCGACACCGGCCGACGGCACGTTCTCAGCGATTCAGTGGGGGGGAGCTTCATGGATTTGTCGAAGTCGATTAGAGCAAACGTATGCTCAATGTCGCCTCGATTCCGACGCTTACGTATGTCGTTTTGGAGTGCATCTGCATCATTATCGACCCTGAAGTAGTCGACGAGTATGTTGAAGGTTATAATGTCCTATACATGAACGTGAGGACCCCCAAAGACTGAAAATAGCACGCGATGACTGACGAGATGAGCAATGCGGCGATTGTGTAAGAATGCAAGACCCTGAGTTACGTATGAATTCACTGGAGATCAGACATCCGCCATGTACTCACCGTCAGCATACAGTCGATGAATCGTAGGCATTCACGAGGGCTATCTATGTCTCCAATCCAATCTGTGTCTCCCCACCTGCCAGGTGTCAGGCCCGCCGTATGTGATTGAAAAGGGCACTATACCTCGGCATGCTCAAAATCGAATAGTCATAGGGGGTATCCAGTATGGCCAACGGAGGGACGATGCACGGAAATGTCGACGGATCAGTGTGACCCACGGCTTCCAGAAGAGATTTACATATGAGATTTTCTTGATCATGTCGGCCAATCACTTTCAGTATGACGTCCCTGCCAGATGAATCTCGAGCAGCGGCAACTGGTCCCTAAGATTTCGTATAAGTTTTATTCAAATAGAGGAGGAAAGCGGACGTACGGGTGTTCGGAAGGAGATCCTCTCCCCCCCCGTTCTGGAGACTTTGGCCCATGGGAGCTTTACATCGCAGGGTGACGCACCGGTTGGGGGAAGCCAATATCTGCCTGGAATTTCGTGCCAAACAGGCGGATCCTCGATGCCATATAGCTGAAGTCCTCTGCGGAGCAGCCAAGCACGGTTGCCCTCCCAGAACGCGCTTGAAGTCAAACCATTGTGCCAATGGTCAGGCTATTGTGTACGTCGTGTTAGAATATCATGAAGAAAGAGGTCAAATTGTTCGCATACAATGTGTGCTTCACAGCTGTCGTCTTCAGAGTCAGTGATGTTTCGGTGGGTATCGCTATCAGGTTCGACCATTCCCGAGGCGAAAGGGCAGCGATGGTGTATGGCCAGAGGCAGGAAGATCGGGCAATGGAAGTAGCAGTTGGGACGGTGGTATGCGACGATGCGTTGCTGACGTGGCACTCGTGGTGGGCAGTGGTGGGCAGGACCCCCGACACTCCTCTTGCACACACCGACCGCTAGGCAGCGGACGCCAAAGTTCGAAAACAAACGGGTCCCTGTCCATGCGAGCGCACGTCGATAGTATTCTGGCTGGTCGGATGGACGGTTCGTGTGAAAAGGAAGCCATACTAGGTGGGCTGAGCGGTGACTCGGACCAGAAACAACTACACTAACATAGCACTTACTCCCACAGGATGTGGTTGTCATTATGTTCTTGATCAAACTCAATGCATCCGAGATCATATCCTTGCCTTCTATTCCGTGGCGGGACCCACAAATCCCAGACGAGCAAGGAAGTTCTGATACTCTAGGAGGGAAGGGAACAAGTTTGGAACAACGGGGGTTGAAATCGGAACAACGCTCTCGGCTCTTCTCGCCGCTTGTGTTGTGATCAGAACTTGATCAGAACTTCCATAGGTTCAGCGAAAGACCACGAAGTCTGACGCAAGCAGGGGCAGATGTGCCGGCACCTCCTCGTTCATGACTCGTCGTGACCGTGAATCGAGCCCTTCGCCAGATTCAGTGGACTCAGTGATACGACCCCACAGGTCCCCGCCCCCGCGACATCACGCCGTTTTCGCGCAGAGCGTAGCGCCAGGTAGCGCCCCTGCGCACCGGCGACCGTGCGTATGTACCGCGATGCCCCGCGCGCGTGCGTCACGGGATCCTCACAAGAAGAACGACTCAGAAACCACGGTGCCAGTCAGAAGCCGGTATATACGCACCGTGCGACTTCGCAGCAGGGAAAGCCACCACCAAGGGGAAGGAGTGCGTCCAATTAGGGCAACAGTCCCATCTTGCCCCCTCCGGCCTTGCTTTGTCTTCCCTCTGGCAGGCCGACCATGCTCTACGACCCGGACACCGCTAACCATCTCAAGCCCTGGCTCATCAGGACACTCGAGCCCATGTCCGTCTGCCTCTTCTCCCTACAATCCACCCCAGTGCTGATAAATTCGACAGATGCGACGCTGAACCCGGCGCACTCGCTGACTACATCCTCGCCCTCCTCAAGCACAACGCGCCGGAGCCGGAGCTCAGGAAGGAGCTTGAGACACAGCTGGAGGAGTTCCTGGAAAATGGTGCGCCGCGTGCAACCTCGGCTCTTTCTGCGACTCACCCGCGGCCCATTTCGCACGGGCCCCCGCCTTCGTCAACACATTATTCACCGCCTTCCGGTCGAAATCCTCCCTCCCCTTCTGCTGTTCCCTGTTCATCCGACCGACCCGCCGCCAGCAACTCTGCAGTGACATCCCAATTCCTCTCGACGGTCTCTTTGGATCCTCATCACAATGTCCGACTCGCCAGGGCCGGAAACGCGGTATCGACGGCAACTAATATGCCTCGCACGGACCTTCGAAGGGCGCACGATTGAACCATGACAAAGATGCGGTCGTGGCGATAGTCGCTCGTCGTGATCCGGATGTGGCGAGCGTGCCAACGGGAGGATGAATGTCAACGGCTGTGCAGACTTCAACTGCAGACCCCCAGACCGCCGGCGGGGTATCTGCAGAAACTATTACAGTGAGTCAAATTGTGCCCTCATGCCCCGACTCCACCCCTCATCATTCGGCGTAGACAGTGGCTATTGCGCGCGGGCGCGTTCTGGAAGTACGGTCATGGGGACGATGCCGTTATCCCTGGTCAACTCTTTCCCCCTGGGCTGCGGCATGCCGTTCATGGGCACGATGGGTCCTGGACCAGCAGTGCCACCCCGACGGACCAGAGCGATGCGCCTATGGGATGACGCGACCCCGGCGAATTGCCTGTCATCCAGGACCTTCGGACGCCGCAAGCGTGCAATCACACATCAACCAGGACGGCCCTGGGCGACCTACGGAGCAAATTCATTTACAAAATCGAAGAGCAAAAGACAGTCATGGCGAAGCTCTCCTCGGCCACCGCGGAAGAGAAGAAGCCCATCATGGCACGCTTGCGGGAGTTGGACAAGGAGATGAAGCCCTCGGCTACGTCTGCCTGCGTTTACGCAATATCCGCCGCCACAAGCATCCTCGTCCACACCGCGGAAAGGGTCGACGCACGAACGCCAACGAGCAGAGTTGGAGCGGCTAGACAAGGAGCTCGAGACGCATCACAGCGAGAACGGGACACCAGGCGCGGAAGGCGAGGAGGAGAGCACGGAGGAGCTCAAGGCGAAGCTTGAGAAGCTCAAAGCGGAGGTACGTCACGACGAGCTTCTCCCGTCTCTTGCGCGCGCCGACACGATCCCCGTTGTATCATCACAGGCCGCCAGTCTCGGCATCCCTGTGTCGGAGCCAGCAGCGGCACCGTACGGCGGTACGTCGTACCGGCCGTACCGCGGCCGTGGACGAGGCGCGCGCGGCAGCTACTACAGTCAAACCCCTCATAGTGCATACCCCTCGGGAAGGCCCCCGAGGTATGCGTTATGTGGGGGTATGCAGTATGAGAGAAGCGCTTATCGTGGGAGACCCATTGACGCCCTTCTGCAGGGCGCCCTTTTGGCCGCTGGCGCGCGTATCAATCCTCACGCGCGCATTCCTCCCCCCTACATAGCCTACATACGAGTAAAGTAATCAATGACTACGAGATGGTTTTCCCCAGCCTGAAGAGAAGCTTGAAGGGCCGTTCGGCGCTCTTTCACCTGCTTCTCGAGGACAGCAAGGCCGGATTAGAGGAAGGCGAGAGGGATAGTGCGGAGGCAGGGAGAGGTGGCCTGGGGTGTGATCAGGTCGCGCGTGAGCCCCGGCCAGTCCCGACGGTTTGTGTGGCTATTCCAGGCTGCTGGCAGTCGGGCACGGAGGGCACATGGGAAAGTCATCCCGCATTTGGGCGGCATGCAAGGCATACATGTGGGGCGCTAATACTGATTATATACACAGGTATGCGTTATGGACCCCCCGGCCGAGGTATGCAGTATGCGGTATGCGGGGGGTATGCGTTATGCCCCTATACCAACTCGGGAAGAGGCCAAAGGTATGCACTATGTGGGGTAATGCACTATCACAGGTATGCACTACGAGGGGTTTGACTGTATCGCGGAGTGATGCGTGGCGGTCCGCCACGGACGAGCATGAAGCTCGACAACCGCCCGAAGAAGCTTCTCGTCAAGGGCGCCCCGGTCGAGTCTCTTCAGGCGGTGCGGGACTGGTACGAGGTAAGCGTCCGTCTGGCACTTCGGAGTACGACGTTTTCCGACGGTGCATAATTTTCTGTCTAGACGACCGGTCAAGTCGACGCCGTGGACGCCCTCGACGGCGGCAATATCCTCGTCTCGTTCCGCACGCGGGCTGCCGCCGAGCAAGGGTTCGCAAAGGGCTCCCAGATCGCTACTGTCGGTGGCGTACAGCTCTCGTGGCACGCCGGCCCCTCTGGCCCCTCCAAGACATCGACGGTCCCGGTCTCTGCATCCGCCGCGACGCTCGCCGACGCTGACAGCCGGGTGTACGGCCGCGAGGCTGCTGAGGGCGCATCCGAGGACGTCAATGAGGACTCAGCGATGCACGCCCCCGATGACATTGAAGTGGGCGGCTGGGGTGTCGACGACGACGGGTTCGGGATGATGTGAGCCTGCGCTCGAACGCCTAAAACCTCCCATTTATCGCCCGCTGAACCGCGCGCGACCTCATGTCTGTGTGTCCCTTCTGTCTCGAGCATTCGTGTTTGTATTCGTAGCCTAGTCATACCCGTGCGCGCCATCAACTGATGGACACATCGGTGGCCCCGCCTTGCGCGAGGGCCGCGGCCACGAGCTAATCCGTTGGAATTTGCATCGCCTGCAAGCAGAGAACACAAGTTGCCCCGCCTTCACCGTCATCACGCTTCAGATATACGCTTGCAGCGAGAACCCGAAGATACACGCGCGCGGTACTTGCTCACTCCATGGCCGTCGGAAGCTGCTGTGAGCAGTAGCAGCTGTAGTGATACGCAGTAGATTCTAGACCTCAGTACGGTGCGCTCGAGCAGAGTGCAAGACTGAGGGCGGCGCTGCGCGGGCGGGACGGTATAAGTGACAGACAGGACTGATGGCTACGGACCGGCGCGCGTGTATGTAAGCAGGAACAGGAGAACGCGAGGCAAGCGGAAACGGAATGGTATCGTAGGATAGACCATGGAAAAGCGAAAGTCCGGGCGGCATCAAGACAAGGATGAGCGCGCATCGCGCGCACCGCGCGATGTGGGATCAGTGTGCTGCGCCCGCGCGCGCACAGCGCAGACGGCCAACGTCCGGTGACGCGCTGCGCGCGGGGCGCGGGTCGTGCTCCAACAGCTGCTAACTAAGGCCGTGTGTTAAGAAGCACCAGGTGACCATATATATCGCTTCTGAGGCCGTTCAAGTTCACGCGAAAATGAATTGTGTCTCCGATACTACACGCGTGCGCAGTGCGCGGCACTCGTGTACACAAGGGGAAGTCAGCCTGCACCTACAATCTATTCAATGAGTGCTTCAAGACATAGTTGGAGCCCGGAGTGATCCAAGTTGCTATGAAAAACGCTGCCAGGCACATCCCAGCAACGTGATCCACGGCCACCCCATCGATACTCAGAAATCTGGGGAATAAGCCCAGTTGAGGGGGCGAAAGGCTCAGCCGGTCCTATATATACCCACTCCGAGCCCTAGAGCCTCGGTCACCGAGTCATGCAGTGATGGTGGCAAATAATTGGAGTATCATCCATATCCACACGGCATAAACAACATGTTAAATACCGAGAAGTCGACGCACATGTGCGAGCGCGAACCAAGCGGTATCGGTCTGGAGGAGCCATTCCAGGACGGGCGTCCACCAAGGAAGGGGCGGTGTCCGGTGTCTCCTCCAGGTCGCCTGATCCTGCGGAGATAGCCTCGACCAGTACGCATCGCTAGTCACCGACCAGTTCAGCTCGGTCGAGCATTTTGTATCCAATGTTTCTGCTGAAAGATGGGAGGTGGTATCCCGGAAAAAACAGAGAGCTTCCTCTGCAGTGAATCTCTCGTGGAGTACGTGTGTCGTCATCCGGTCGAACAAAGGTGCAAGAGAGGGCACATGAGCCGCCATAGGCTACACAGAAATTTGGCGTTAGTACAAGCGCGATACGCAATGAGAATGACCATACCGCCCAATAACGTCGGAATATGTTTCCCATTGACCCAACGTCATAGGCAAACGGGTTGCAGAACGGGGCTCCCCATATCATGTCATCGGGAGGAAACGCTCTGTTTCCGATGAACTCCGACGCCGGCCGGCGGCACGTCCTCAGCGATTCATGCAGAGGAAGCTGCATTGATACGCCAAAGTCGATTAGGGCGAATGTATGCTCAATGTCGCCTTGATTCCGACACTCGCGCACGTCAGATTCGAGTGCGTCCAGATCGTTGTCAAGCCTGAAGTAATCAACGAGGATGTTGACGGTTATAATGTCCTGCATTATAACCGTTAATACGTCCGAACTGACTTGAAGTAGCATACAAGGACTTACGAGATGAGCGATGCGACGAGCGTGCAGGAATACAAGACTCTGAGCAGCATGTGAGCTCACTTGATGTCAACGTTTGCAAAACACTCACTCTGAGCATGCAATCGATGAACCGCAAGCATTCACGAGGGCTGTCTATGTCCTTGATCCAAGCTATCTCTCCCCATCTGTAAGGTGTCAGGCAAGGTCGTGCGAAACTGCTATGAATATCGCACCTCGGCATGCTCACGATCGAATAGTCGTAGGGGGTGTCCAGTACGGCCAACGGAGGAACGATGTACGGAAATGTCGACGGGTCAGTGTGCTCCACAGCTCCCAGAAGAGATTTACATATGATGTTCTCCTGATCATTTCGGCCAATCGCTTTCAGGATGACATCCCTGCCAGATGAATCTCGAGCAGGGGCAATTTGTCCCTAAGGTTTCACGTAAGAATCGATGATGCGGAGGAGTAATGGGGACATACAGCTGTTCGAAAGGCCGGAATTGGCTGCCCTCCTGTTCTGGCGACTTTGGCCCACGGCAATTCCACTTGGAGGGATGATGCATTGGTGGGGGAAAGCCAATATCTGCCTGGAATTTGGTGCCAAACAGGTGGATCTTCAATGTCGTACAGGTGAAGACCTCTGCGGAGTAGCCAAGCGCGGTTGCCCTCCCAGAAAGCGTTTGAAGTGAACCCATTGTACCAATGGTCAGGCTGTCGTATACGTCGCGTTAGAACGTCATGAAGAAAGCGGTCGGATTGTTCGCATACAATTTGTGGTTCACAGACGTCGTCTTCGGAGTCAGTGACGTTTTGGTGGGTATTATTATCGAGGCCGACCATTTCTGTGGGGAAAGGGCGGCGATAGCCGTATGGATATCGGGCAACGGCAGCGGCGCCCAGTTGGGAGTCGGGACGACGGCACCGTGTGGTATGCCACGTTGCTTGTTCACACCACGCTGATTCCGGGGAAGCGAGCGCTAAAGGTCGAAAAACGGGGAGATTTTGGCCGCCGTAGTGGTGGGTCAGCTGCGCGGATCACTGGTACTTTGGATGAAATTAGAATGATGGAGATCGACAGGCCCGTATGCAACACGTCTAGAACCGACGACGAGCTCCCTAGACATGGCAAAATGGGTGTCCAGCAACCCTCAGAACATCCGCCCCTCTACTACCCAACCCTGCTCTTCCTGCTGCTATTCTTCCGCAACTTCCCGCTCGCCGGCCGCTGTTTACCCGGCACAGGGGGGCCTACGTCGCCCGAGCGCCCCGACGACACGCTCGCCGTCGATAGCGGCGTCGCGGTTTCCGTGCGGCCCCGTCGCTCCGGCACCTGCGGTTGTGGCGGGTGGAACACCTGCGACTGCCGCTCTGGCGGAAAACTGGGTTGAGTCCAAGGCTCCGGCTTCGGTGGGGGCTGCGGGCCTTGTGGCAGGAAGTATCCGTCCACATGCGCGCCGGGGACCTGCTCGCGTCCGTACATGGACGGGATGCGCGGTACGGGCGGCATGGGCGAGCGGGGCATGAAGACGGTCTCGACTTCGTGCGCGGGTGGGTACGGCATCGACACGCGCGGCCCACCCGCAGTAAGCTCTCGTGAGGGTGAGCGAGAGTGACGGCGTGATCGCGGAGCGGGTGAGGGTGATCGCGAGCGCGCAGAGGGCGCCGGTTGTGCCGTGTATCCTGGACGACCGAGCGAGGGCGCACGCGAGTGGGAGGCGGGAGAGGCGGATGGCTGCGAGCCGAGGATCTGGCTGGGAGGTCGGGAAGCCGTGCGGCGGTGAGCCACGGCCACCTCGGTTTCTTGCACGGAGGAATGTGAGGACACTCTTGACAGTTGGCTGCGAGTCCGGGCCGAGGACGTCGAAGGCCGGGGCGCCGCTGAATGAGGGACAAAGGAAGGGGTGAACACGGAATGTCAGCTACAGATTATGGATTACAGGAGGGAGGCAGGACAACAAAAGGCCCAGAAGGAACGGATAGAGGGCAGAATGCTCACCAGTATAGCTGGGTCGAGCGGGCCGTTTTCCGACGGTGCTTTTCTGCTTAGATGACTGGTTAAATTGACGCTGCGGGCACCCCCGACGGCAGTGATGTCCTCGTCTCGTCCCGCACGCGGGCCGCCGCCGAGCAAGGGTTCGCGAAGGGCTCCCAGATCGCCACTGTCCCGGGTACCGTCCAGCTCCCGTGGCACGTCGGTCCCTCTGGCCCCTCCAACAACGGTCCCGGTCTCTGCGTCCGCCGCAATCCTTGTCGACCCTGACAGCTGGGTGTATGACCACGAGGCTGCTGAGGGAACATTGTACTTGGGTACTTGGGTTGTCGAGGGTTCAGATATCCGATAGAACGGAATGGTACAGTACTCCGTCCTGGTCCTGATTGCGGAAAGACCGTAGCTTCGGAGAATCGGAATACACGCCGGTGCGGTCTACAGCTGCATCAGGACTCATCTAGACAACCGTAGTTTGCTGCAGGGTGTGGATCACAAGAGAGAAGACTGTGTTCGCAGCCACGACAGGATGTGGTCTCCGCCATCACCACGAGGGCACGATATCTCCGCACTCTCATTCGCGGTGGTCTTCGCCGGGACCCACAGATCCGCTTCTAGGTGCTCATCGTATCAGATTCTGCCGGTAAATTTCACCGAAGGGAGGAATGTCCACTGGGCAGCCGCAGAACTCCGCAGAAGCACATATATGGCCCTTGTGCAGTAGTGCCCCTGCCCAGTGAGTACTTGAGTATGTATCATGACTCACTCGCTGGCTTTGGAGGGTCTTTGCCAGGATCGATGTTTCGGTGATGTCCGAATTGCATCCGCCTGTGGGACTCTACCACCACGGTCACGTGCCACGGCTTGCTGGGATGCAAGCAGGACGCCAAGAATCTGCAGCCTCGTTCCACTACCCATGTGCGCCACCAGCAACACCGTGATGCTCGACCTCCCCACTCCAGACGATGTCTGCGAATCGTACTGTGTATGTGAACCATCATTTTCTTGGTCCCAACGCCAAATGACGCGTGCGATACAGCCCATGCTTGATCCTGAGTGGAATTTCTCAGACGATGGACCAACCAAGTTCTGGGAGGGGAATCGTGCTTGGTTGCTTCGTAGAGGTATCAACCTCTACTCTTTGGCTCAGAGAGACCAGTCCCATGAAGGGAAGGAATTGTTCACGCATTGGTGCACCCCAGTGAGATCTTGCACACCGGCCGGTGCGCCTCAACTCGAAGGTGAATCGCTCCCGTGGGCAAGGTGTGCGGAAGGACCCCGACGAGAGGCTTTTTGGTTACCGTCGGTGCGTTTCCTTTCTTCACTCGGCGTTGCAGAGGTGTGCTTTCCTTCCACCGCAGAAATATATCGCCCCTGCGAGGGATCCCTCTGGTAGAGACGTGATCCTCAAGGTGATTGATCGCCATGGCGTGGAAAACACCGTGTCCAAAGCCCTCCTGGACGCTGTCGATTACACAGATCCATCCACCTTTCCGTGTATCGTCCCTCCCCTGGCAGTGCTCGATACTCCGTACCATTACTCGTTCCTGTGCATGCCGAGGTAAGTTCGGCTGTCACATATGCAATCGCAATGTCCCACGCGTTAACACGCCCTCCTTGCAGATGGGGAACTGTGAATTGGTTTTACGATATCGACACTCCTCGCGAATTCCTCCGGTTCGCTGGCTGCCTGCTGCGGGTAAGTGCAACGCTCGCTGTTGCGTACCCACGCGCTCACACGCTCCTCAGGCGTTGGAGTTTCTTCATTCTCGTCGCATAGCCCACCGAGTACGTCATAACTTGAATGAAGCCCCTGCCAATGCTGACAGCTCGGAGCAGGACATCATCCCCCAGAACATGCTCTCCGACTCCTATACGCTCGATAGCGACAAGCAGCTCGTTGTTGCTAACATACAGGAACGTCGAAGTCAAGGTGACATTGACAACATCACCGCCCTAATGGACTTGGGCGCCGCCTTCGTGTTTCCTCGGGGCAAACCTTTGGCGGAATGTATCCTGCTGTCATCAGAGGCCATAGGCAACAGGATGTTTGCTCCTGACGATCTTGAGCGAGGGGCTCCATACCATAATCCCTTCTCGTACGACGTGGGGATGCTTGGTAATATCCTGCGGTATCATTTTTGGGTGCGTGGACCGCCTTTTGCAGGTCTGTCCTCCGCGCTTCAGCTGATATCGCATATACCGGTAGCACATGGCATCTGCCGTTCCATCTCTGGCTCCGCTTTTCGACAGAATGACAACATATGTGATCCATGAAAGGTTCACTGCAGAGGAAGCTCTGCGGTTTTTCAAGGATACCACTACACAGGTCTCAGATGAAGCACTGAATACCAAGTTCCTGACTCCGGAGACGGAGGCGCGACGAATCTCGACAGGAGACGTGTATTGGTCGAGACTTTCTCCTCAAGACCAGGAGTTTTGGAAGAGATACCGCACCCCGCCGGAGGCTTGGTGGATTCCGCTCGTGCGGTGGCTTCTACAGTTCCACTGGCCTGGGACCCTATTCTTCTCCATACGCTGGTGGTTGAAGATATGACTGTTGATCTTCAAGAGCCGAGGTTTCGAGTTCATATAGTACATGATTGAAAATCGATTAATCATGTTTCACGTGTTATCTCTTGCGTTCCCTGTGCCCCCGATTCCGACGTAGTCATTCTGTGTCAGACTCTGACGCGTGAACTTGGAACCAAAAATGAGTCACAAACGTTCTGTGCGGATTCGGCGACATCTCGAGGTCTATCGTCGCTAGCATCAGCAAGGGCCAGTGGTGCCGATGAGGCCTCGAGGGACTGCGCAGAGCTCTTTCCTACCCTGATAAGCAACTGGTAAGTATAGCCCTCGAATTTTTGCGAAGGTCTGCCCGCAGCATAGTACTTTGATGGATGTTGAAGACCGTCTGGTAACATTCGACATCGCGACTACAGACAGACACACGGATCGTTACATCCCGAGCCGACAGCGCACAGAGGTTATAACTTCCCAAATTCTCTCGTACCGTAAAGTCCAACGCAATATTGGCACCCACCAAGGCGCCGAAGGCGTCCGGTATCGCTTCCACTTCTCGGGCCGAAAGCTTTGACTAGTACGACTCCCCAGACCATATCCTGTCAGGAACCAACACGAATTTTGTGTCCAGAGCCGCCTCTGAGAGTTTTGCGGTGGTATCCTGCAAGAAGTGCAGCGATTCTTCCGCAGTGAACCTCTCCCGCACTACGTGCGTCGTCATCCTGTCGAAAAGCGGGGCGAGTGATGGAACAGCAGACACCATAGCCTGTGGGGAGGTGAGCGACAAGACGAGCCCAGAAGTGGTTCAGGCTGCACACCGAAAAGTAGTTTCTGAAGAGATTTCCCAGTGTCGCAACGTCGTACGCGAACGGGTTGTAGAACGGTGCTCCATAGTCGGTATCATCGGGGGTAAAATAATTGGCCCCTGTGGCTTCCGGCGACGGCCGACGACAAGTCGTCAACGGCGTGTCGGGAGGAAGGAGGATTGACTTGTCGAAGTCCATGAAAGCGAGTGTGTTTTCGGCATCGCCTAGACCCCTACGTTCTCGTAAATCGGCCCTCAACGCGACGGGGTCGTTGTCCAGCCTATAGTAATTGGCAAGCATGTTGCATTCGCCGATGTCCTGTTCCACATCGTCAACGTTGCAAATCTCTAGAACAACGGAGCGGTTTACTCGATGAGCTATTCGTCGGGAGTGGAGGAATTCAAGCCCCTAGTCTGTCATGAGATATGTAACTGTGAGATACGAGACTGCACTCACCCGCAACAAGCAAGTTGCGATACGGAGAAACTCGCGAGGAGTATCAACGTCGTCTAACCAAGTCACCTCCGACGACCTGAGCTTAGTTGTTAATCGGGAACGAAATATACCGCTGTCAAACACACCTTGGCATGCACACGATCGAGTAGTCGTAAGGAGTATCCAGGACGGCCAGAGGGGGGATAATGCAAGGAAACGTGAACGGGTCGGCGTAATCCGCGGCAGTCAGCAGGAATTTGGATATCGCATATTCTCGACAGTCCCGTCCCGCGACTGTCTTGAGAATGACGTCCCTGCCAGAAAGATCCCTGGCCGGAGCGACGTGATTCTGAGGCTAGGCGTCACGCATTTGAGTAGAGGACGTAAAAGATGGCGTACCCAGAGGTTGAACGCCTTCCGTTGTACCCCTATCGCGTGCCTCGCCCACGGCAGCACCCCCTCGCTGGGAGGTGCGCCATTTGGTGTAGACCATTTCTTGCTTACGAAACGAGGGTCTTTTCCTGGAGGGAGGTCTTCCAATGAGTACAGAACGAAGCCTCTCAGCGAAGCAACCAAGCGCGATTGCTTGCAGGCCTCCTTTCCATCCGCGCACCACTAGTCGGGCTGAGACTGTAATGAGCTGGTAGTGAGACGGGCAGGGAAGATTTCACGCACATATGTCGGCACACAGGAATCGTCCGCTTGTGGATCAGTCAAAGGCTGGGCGCCGGGCATGATGGTTAGGATGCAGGAGTGAAGCGCTGGTTTCGGCCCTTTGGGAGTCCCGGGGCACGCCATAATTGAGTAGCATATTGTCAGAGGAGCCCAAAGTCACGGCCTCGCATTTTGGTTCCAGGAGGTAACGATAATGGGACAGCAAATATCGGTGAAAGCTACATAAGCAGCTTGCGAACCAACAGTATCAAAAAACCGATGGAACATGTGTGTATAGATGCCTGTGCCTGTGGCTAGGGTAGCTACAACATCAGTGCTAGGCCCAGATCCAGCAGGGTTAGAACCAACGACGAGCTCGACATGACAAAACGGGTGTTCAACAACCCTTAAGAACACCCATCCCTTTACGCAGCCCTGCCGTCGTTCTTCCGCAGGTTCCCACTCGCCGACCACTATGATGGCGGCGTCGTGGTTTCCGTGCGGCCCCGTCGCCCCACGGACGTCATGAACCACGGTAGGAAGCACGACAACAAAAGGCACACGGCACCGTGCACGCCACTTTAAGGAACAGATAGAGGGCAGAATGCTCACCAGTATAGCTGGGCCAAGGTGCAACGGCGGCCGAGTTCCCGCGAGCAGCCACTGGTCCGTGACGCTCTTCCTGTCAGAGACACCACCGTGCGTGACGCCGTCGCTGAACACGCTCTGCCGATAGCTTATGCTCATGGAGTCGGCGAGGGGATGTTGACCGTACGGGTAGAGTTCGGGCGCAAGAGGAGCGGGGAGGACGATGTTAATGTTGCTGTGGATTGAATGTGGGTCTCCGTGGAGGGAGTGCACAGACGAGGACGCAAGGGACATCTGTCGGACGCGCGAACGTGACGTGCGTGGGGGCCGAGGACGCGCGGGTGGAATGCTGGAGAAGTCGTTCGAGGATTCGACCGAGTGGGTCATCTCGGAGGGCGAGGCTACCATAGGCACGTCTGACCCAGATTCGGGGAGGACATCCTGTTCCAAGCTGGCCGTACTCGACATGCTGTTGTGTAGATTGAAGCCCGAAGGCAAATAGGAAGGGGTGGGAGGTGAAAGAGGATGTGGCGAGCCTTCGCGGGAAGCATCATCGAGGGCCCAGCTGCTTTCCCTGGTTGGACTGTGGCTAGAGAATTCGGGCGCACCGCGGATGAGAGAAGCGCTACTTCCGCTCGAGAAGCCAGCCCGGGAGTAGATGCGAGGGTGAAGGAGGTCAGGATCGACCCAAGTGGTGGGGCGGTCGTTCTTGCGGTCTGCATAAGCGGCAACCTGTTGTTCTCGGTGGCGCGCGAGATCTTGTACTGGCGGAAGGGGTACCTTTCTGCTTGTGGAGGAGCGGCAACAGCGAGCGAGAAGGCGCCAGGCGAAGAGGGCGAAGACGAGGATAAGGACCGCACCCGCCACAACGGCTATGATGACGATTGTGGAAGTTGAGAGGCCTCCCGAGCCGCCATCTCACTTGAGGAGGAGGTAGACATTTGGCGTAGTCTTGAATGTGTGTGCTGCAGTGTAACTTGCGGGGGGCTTGGCGGACGAAAAGGAACGTGGAAAAGAGCGTCGAAGGATGGAGCAGGAGACCAGTAGAATATGGATGCATAAACAAAGAGGGACCAGGCAACCGCGAAGAGCTCGGCGATACCCGGCGGGGGTCGAGCGGGGCGAAGGCGAGCACGGCCGTAGCCGCAGGGCTGGCGGGCAGTGGGGATGAAGGCAAGAGATGGGAGCGGTGCACAGCTGAGCTGGGCGGAGAGAAGGGTTCGGAGGCGCCGGTCACTCTGTTGCCAAATTCACGTTGCCGTCTGGCCGTACGGGTCGCTCAGCGCTCGGCACTGACGAGGCCTTGATGAGTGGGAGTGGGAGCAGGCTTGGTCTTTTATCGAAGTGGACACAGAGGCGGGAGACTGACCACCCGTTTTTGGGGTTCGCTAAGTACCAGTCGGAGGGGCGGAGGCTGTGGACTCTCCGACCGGTTGGACCTGCGTAAGTGCCGAGGTCAGCAGGACGGTAGCATTTCCGCACGAGAAGTTTGGAAAAAGCGATGTAATGGTCTCGAAAGCGAGCATGCATTCGGCGACGATGTCGTCTGGATGTGTATGCGATGTGGATACAGGGATATAGATGGATTACGTCGATGTTAGTCTATCCGTCGCGGTCCTACCAAGATACAGTCTGTCAAGTCACACAGGCAAGTGGGTATACCTTCCGGGTCATCAGAGTCGTGAGTGCGTGATCGTGGTCGTGATGTCGTTGGATCCAGAAGAGGCCATGTCAAATCCTTACTTTGCTATTTCCCCCGCAATTTCTGAGTGCGCTTCCTGGTGCGCTTCCTGGTGCTCTTCCTCGACCTCGATCGCAGCGACCCCCTCAACTGCCGCTTCAGTTGCAACTGCCTCGACCTCGACAGCGGCAGGCTCCTCGACCGTAATCGAGTCAGGCTCCTCCACGGCGGGTTCTGGGTGTTCGGTGACTGCGACCTCAGGCTCTGGCTGCGCCTCAACAGCGAACTCCTCAACAGCGTCTATCGCAGGGATGTCGACCGGCACCGGGAGGGAGACCGGTGCACGTTCAGGAGATTCAGGGGAGACGAAGACCGGCGGTTCCGCGACGGGGGGCGCAGGCGATGTCGGCGCGGAGGTCTGGGGACTCGGGTCCGGAGCTGGAGCTGGGGCCGGCGCGGACTTCGGCTCGTCGCTCGAGGATGGCGGCGGCGCCGCGGGCGTCGACGGCGCAGGCTCCGCCGTCTTCGGCGCCGTCGTCGCCGGGGTGGTGTCCTTCGGCACGTCCGCGTCCTGCCAGGTGCCGGGGATGAGCGCGATGGGGAGGAGCCAGGTGGAGGTGAGGGTGACGCCGTGGCCCTTGTCGAAGCTGAGGATCTCGCCCCAGGACCAGGAGATGAAGCCGCCGATGTAGCCGATGTAGGGCACGATCGCCTTCACGAGCTGGAACGCGGGCATGAGCGGCAGCGGGATAAGCGACACCGGGACGTGTCCGACGAGCCAGCCGAGCGCGGTCGTGATCAGCGAGGCGACCTTGACTGCGTCGGCCTCTTTGCTGTTGAGCTGGGCCATCACTGGGGGAGGGAGCCAGCTGATATGACAACGTGAGCCAGCGTTCCAGTGCATAAATAATAGACGGCACGTACAGCCTGTACCCCCACCACATGACCTGAAGGGAGAGCTTGGTCGTGGAAGGCAGCCAGACAAGCTTCTTGACAGTGGTCGGTGGGGTGGACGCGCCGGGCTTGTCGCCGTGGTAGAACGGCCAGTGCCAATCCCAATTCTGAGCCTTGACAGGCGTGGCGACGCTCGTTTGGGGCGCCTCGGACGACGAAGACGCTCCCAGGGCGCTGTCGGAGATGATCTTGACGACAGTGCCGTTCGCGTCGACGGACACGATCTGGGAGCGGGCGAGCTCAATCTCGGATTCGTCTCCCGGTTGGAGCGGGCCGTAGAGCATGATGCTCTCTGGGTCGTCGACCATGAGCTCCTCCGTCCCGCTCTGCTTGAGGTTTTGCTTGAGGGTGGCGATGCGAAGGTTGTCGAGCGACGCCCAGATGCTCTTCTGGCAGCTTGAGAGGCTGCCGCGCATGAACTCGGGGTCCGACAGCAGCGCGAACATGCGCGCGTTTGAGAGCGTCTTCGAGGGAGCGGCGTCCGCGACGCCTTCAGCGGGCGCGGGCGCGGGCGCAGTGAGGTACGGAGGGCCGGGCAAGAGCAACGACTGGATCTTGAACGCGAGGGAGTCGACATCCGCTCCAGAGTCGCCCGGCTCGTGGGGACCGCCCGCGGCAACCGGGGGGTCGTCCTCCGGAATGGCCGTGAGGTCTGGGTGCGCTGCGTCGGCGGACGAGTCGGACGAGGGCGTGGCGTCGAGGGCGACGGCGACGGGCTCCTCCTTGGCCTTCTTGCCAGTCTTCTTGCCGCCCTTCGTCGCAGCCTTGAGCCAGTCAAGTCTGACAGACTTCGCCCGCTTGGGAGACGCGGCGTCCTCCCCGAGCGCTTCGGTGTGCGTGGGGGCAGTCTCGAGGAGGTTGGGCGTCGAGTGCGAGCTGTGCTTGGTGCTGAAGGAGCGGCGAAGCGAGACGCGGGTCCGGAGCGCGCGGAGACCTTTGGCTCTCTTGACTGCCTCCGCAGTGGGGCTGGTCGCCTCCGTCGTGGGTAGGGGTGCAAGTGCGTCAGCCATCGTGCGCGGGTATGCGGGGTGGGAGACAGAGGAGGGAGGGCGCACGGGGCGAGGGCGGGCGAGAGGAATATGAGGCCGGAGTGGCAGCGGGCGGTCTGAATTCGATCGTGCTCGTGCACCCGCCAGGCCCGCCACTGCCACCGTGCCACGGGACCAGGGCGCCCAACGCGGCGGCGAAGCGCGCACGCAGACCATGTGCTCGTCATCAGCATCTGGCAAGTGAAGCGACTCGGTGACAGCGGAGGGAGTGAGTACTTTACTCGAGCTTGAGCTCCAACGGAATCTCCGCGCGGCGAACGTTCGCCTCAGAGTGCTAAGCGGGCCGCGGGTCTGGGCAGGAACGGCAAGGTGAGAGCAGCCTGGCCACGATCGGCACCTCTCGAAGCGGTAGAGCCCGTCCCGTTGGACACATTCTCGTACTCAGACATTTCACCGCCCGCCACGGGCCAACCGACGTGATCACATGTTGCGGCATGCTTTCTCTGTGCGCAACAACTTCCGAGCGACCATCGAGGCAACATAGAGTCTGCTACTATTTTGCACATTAACGCCTGAACCACGGTTCCAAGAAGTTGGGTCGTCACAATTTCAAACATTACAGCGTGCGCGTTGACGATCTCACGTTACAGTATACGGTTACGCCGGCAGCGAGCACAGACTGCCAAATGACACCATGCGCATGCCTGTGAAGAAAACACATGAGAGAGTATTACTGTGATATGGAATGGGCCAACGTACATATAGGAACAAAGGAAGATGATGCCCGCATCCTTCGCAGTTGCCGGCCCCAGGAGTATACCGCCACTGATGAACGCAATCATGGTTCTCTCGTAGCCTCGCAGCTTCCCGCAAGACGGTTTGTCTGAAGTCAAAGGCGGGCCGAAGCGCCACAGCTGGGACCGCGGGGGCCCTCCCAGCGCCAGCTCCTCCCTCGAGCCGTTGCTGTCGCTCCACTCTGCGCTCCGCGGCGTTGTACAAGAGTTGCTCGTCCCATTGCTCGCACGTGCACGTCTTCCAGCGCGCCTCGCATACGTAGCAGAACTCGTACCGGCACCGGCACGTCATGTGGTTGCATCCGTGCGTGAGCTCGACAACGTGCCCACATCCCGGGCAGCGCTTCCACCCCGCTTCGCCCGCGAGCGCGAGCACGGCTTCGTCGGTGGCGCTTGAGCATATTTGAGAAGCGTCGTGAGCTGCCGCCTTGCAATGGGTACAGGTCTCCGCCCAGCAGGAAAGGCAGTGGATGCGAGTAGGAAACGGGGTTCCAGCACCAAGGAAGGCGGAGCAGGCTGGGCGATGACAGTAGACCCGGTTTGCGGTGCCGAACTCGATGGCTTTTTTGTCGAGGAGGGTTGCAAGAGCGCGATTGAGATATTGACGCACGGCGGTGAGGTCGAAAGGCCGGCGGCAGCAAGTAGGAGGGAAGAGCGACTCGTCGATTGTCGCTGCGCGGCAAAGATCAACGAAACAGGCGATGTCGTACGGATCGCCGCACGGGGCGTGAATGACGGGTCCGCGGATATCGTCTCGGCAGATCACGCATGTTTCGGTTCTTCCAGCTTCAATGAGACGAGGTATGCATACATGCACGGTGAAAGACTCACGGAACTTTGGCGATTGCCAGTTGTTTCTTTGAAGAAGAGGGGGTCGAAGCGATTGGCCTGGTTAAGTAGTAAACGTCAAATACGCATAGCATGAGAGAGGGTGATTACATACTTGACCGGTGTCGAGGATATCCTTGGCTGGGTTGAAACAACCAGCCTGTTAGAGTCATCCATCGACGGTCTCGGCGTGTTCGTCCTGGTGGGCGGTCGACCCTCGGCGAGAGCTCTCGCGATATCCCTGTCCCCACGAGCAACGTCCTCCGCACGTTCCAACTCCTCTATGAGCTCCGCGTCGGAGCTTAGTGCTTGATATAGACTGCGAGCGAAGACCATGTCGCAAGTCGTGGTCTGTAACGCGGAGGCTTCCTCTGCGAAGAGTTGAAAGGCGAGTTCTTCGTCGCTGAGCGTATTATGGCTATCCTTGCCCTTAGTACCACCTTGGACGTCTGCCACATCATCCAAGCTGAGAGACGCAACCAGTGCCAGCAAGTCCATGTCCTCTCCCGATCGATGTTTCACGAGGTCGCCGGGGGCCATGGGGAGAGCGGGCAGAAGAAGGGGGTGAGAGGCTGACTCGTCACCGTCGTTGGAGCCTTAAGGGCTGGCCTCGTAGAGCGCTGCGCATCGTTCAGAGAAGTCAGCGCGGAAGGGTGTCAAAGACTTACCGCAGCGACATCTTCCACACGGGCGACCTGCTTGAAATTGCCACCGTGGACGTTGCGCAACTGCCACAGCAACTGAGACTCTGATTTGAGCACCGATGGTGCTTCTGCTGGCGCATGCTATACTAAATCGGACCTGCAGCAGCATGGTGGTGGTCAAAAGGAGAAGAAGCGATAAGCGCTTGGGGACCCGCGCGGCCTCAAGCGCCAAAATTTGCTACACCCCGGCGATGTAGAGAACACCATCGTTCATATGCGCGAGTACTACGTGACCACGCACAGGATATCACTGCTTCTGCATAGTGGCGCATTCGCCGCAAGCCCACATGACACTCCTTGACCAGCTACGGGAAAAAGAGCGGGTGATCTACGCTAGCCTTGCTATCTCCAACATCCCAATACATATCCTCCCCATCCACCCTCCACTCCTCCGGGTCTGGGACTTCCGGGAACAGCGCCTCCCCTGGTGCCAGTACCACGAACCCGGGCGCCAGCGCCGGCACTCCCTCGTCCTGGAACGCCGCCCACGCCCGCGCCTTCTCCCGCTCTACGCCCTCCGCGTCTGCCGTCGCCACGGCCAGAACGGGCTGAATCGCGAGGCAGTCGAGCGTGCGGCCCCGCGCTTCGGACAGACGTCTGAACGCGCGCGCAACCGCTGGGAGGTAGCCGCTGCGGTCCTCCGGACAGCTCGGAGCGCAGCGTGCCCCGCGACAGGGGTAGTCGGGATGGAAGGAGGAGCCGATCTTGAGGGTACGCAGGGACGGGCATGCGACGAAGCGGGGTGCGGTGCGGTCGGGGGTGGGCGCGGCGGGGGCAAGGGTGTCTGCGAGGGAGTGGAGGGCCCGGAGGAACACCTGTGGGTATATGTATACCTCGAAACCCAAATCTCCTAGGTGGAAGCCAGTGCAATCCGAATATGGGAGGAGACGTAGAACGAGCGAAGCGAGGGGGGACATGTCCCTGAGCAGCGCGGTGACTTGTGCGACGCCAAAATCAAACACTTCGAGCGAGAGTTCGACGAGTCGCGTAGAGGCGAGCGTTTCGCGGAAGTCACCCAAGAAGGAATTATGAGAGTCTACTATCTCCCCGCTTGTTCCGTCAAGCCAGAATGAAGGAAGTCCAGTGCAGGCGGGATCCGACGCTCTGGTGCCCTCAGACACTGTCGATCTAGCAGGCTTGAGGAAACAGCGTATGGGGCAATCTTCACCAAAATATTCCGCGGATGCACAGCGAAAACTCATCTAAAAAAGATCGTCCGCTGGCAGAACGGTAGGAGGTGCTGAATAGGGGAAATAGGGGCGGAGAAATCCTGTGGAATCAGACCACATATCGCAAGAATGGTAGTGTCGACTGGCGACTGAGGGTGGGAAGGCGACCTCGCTCAAGGTATCGTATACGAGGTATCCATCTGAGTTGTAGGTCGTGAGGGAACGGAGGTGGATGAGTGGAACAGGATGCGGGAGTGGGTCTGGATCATTCATGCCTGGTAGTCCACAGAGATGGAGGTGCTCTAAGCGAGGTGTATTTGCCAGAATGGAAAGGAGCATGTTTCCATCCACGTTGTCAAACCCAAGAGAGAGATGCGTGAGGTTGGGAACTTGTTGGCCGGATACCAGAATGTCAGCTCTGCCAGAGAAAGCGCTTTGAGGGACGCAAGTACGGGCTTCTTGAGAAGGATGAAGAATTGTGGGTCTTGAGCAGGCTCAAGAGTTCTGTCGTAGGGGGATTCAATGAACAGGTTGAGGACTTGCAACTGGGGCATCTCCTGCGAAGTAAGCCAGAGAGGCGGATTTGATTTTGATTGCAGTAGTCCAGGAACAGCCGCATCGAGCCGCCGCAGGCGCTTGGAGAGGGTGGTGATATTTTCCGGAGCAGGAGTGAAGCCGTTGAGGTGGAGAGAGAGAGCAAGAGATTGGGACCTGGCCATGAACATCTTCGCACGAGTGGTATTATAGGTCAAGTCGAATCGAGTCCACAAATGAGGGGATGAGATGGCGACAGAGCGCCATCGCTTGCATATGAATGTGAGGGCGAGGAGAGGCTGCAAGTTGAGCTGCGCGAGTCGGAAGTCTTTGCTTGCATGCTTGAGGCAGAAGGAGGGACCATCGTGTAGATCATCGTAGGTCACCCAGCGGAAGATCATGAGGAGGATTTCGTCAGGAAAGCGATTGATAGGTGTCCTCAAGTTCATTGCAGCGAACAGCTGAGAGGGGACAGATTGCATGATTTGACAGATTGCCGTCGCAGATGCAAGCGCCTGAAATGGGATGAACTTTCGACGAAGACCCGAGCAGTAGAAGGCAGCACCTCATCATGGCTGTGGGGCGGGGACATATGTATAAGCTCTGGCTCGGTCTAGAAATCAGGTTGGCGCACCTCAAACCTGCTAACTTGCCGCTCCAATTGCCGACAAAGCTGGAAATCACAGCTTCCAGCTGCACAGAAGGCGTTGAAGGGGGCATCGTCGTCTGGCTGAGGCTGTCTAGCGAACGACAATGGGATAGTTAAGAGTTTCCATTGACCCCAATCGACCGCCCGTACCCCAAGCCCCAAGCTGCTCATCATTCCCACGCGGGGTGTGCGGGCAGCATAATTACAAGGAGGGGGGCCTCCCAGGTGCTTACCATCCTGAATGTCCACGACCTTGGCCCCGTTCTTCTCAACGCCCGCCCGCCGCGAAACCCCTCTTCCCCACGCACGACTTCTAGAGATCAACGTTCAACGTTCAACCCTCCAGCCCACCTTCGACGCCGTCCTCCCCGGTCATAACCCTATCCTCAAGCCCGCACCACCCTCGACACCTTCGGGCTCCGGCTGGAGTGAAAAACACATCGAGCGACGCGCGCGCGGCGGACGCGTCCCCCGCCCGCTCGCCGCCGCTTTCTGGCATTGCGAGACCTCCAAGCTTCAAGCCTCCACGCCGGTCGCCTATGTGCGCCGCGCCGCGCGTCCTCGCCTCCCTCCCCGCCTCTGCGACGCACCTCCTGCGCACCTCCTGCGGGCACGAAGTCCGCTGCCGCCCGCGGACGCCGCCGTCGGCAGGATCAACATCGTTCCCCGCGTGGCCTGTCTCATGGCTAAGTATGCGCCGCGCCCGGACCTCAGGGAGCACAAAGCAGACGTCACCGAGCACCTGCCGGGCTTCGAGGGGTCGATGCGGTGGGTGTCCCTGCTTTTGGGCAAGGCGCAGTGGGAGGACTCGTGCGGCGGGGAAGTGTTCTCGCCGGAGCGCGCGTTGGACTACATACCACGGGAAGGTGCTGCCGGAGGTAGTGGACGAGGGCGGGGACTGCAAACTGTCGGGAACGCTGCTCATTCGCGAGGACGATTTGCGCACGTACGCGGATGGGCTGGTTGAGGGTGTGTTGGAGAGGGTGCGCCGGATCGCGGCTGACGAGGACGAGTTCTGCAGGTCAGTATTTTGGGAGGGATGGAGTGCGGACGCGATGCTCGAAGTACGAACTCCCCGATTCTGCGTTCCGTGTCGGACACCTGGTTGGAAGTACCACAAGAAGTGGTGTTCTAAGCCATAGTACAACACGCCTCGTTAACTGACGTCAATGTAGGCCCGCAGCCTCCATGTTACACAGGCTGCCAGCGATAAATGAAGCTCCCTCCTCATCTACAGCTCATGAATTATTCTATTAAGACGACTGGTACTAGTATGAAGGTACGAGAAGTTGCGTCGAGACTTAAAATCCCCCAACGAAGACCAGACATATTCGTATATCGTACACCGAGAGAACTGGATAATCTATACGAAACACAGGACGGAAAACCGACAGACAACTCCCCCACCAGTACTAGACTGGCCCGTAATCTGTCTCAGAGCGAGTTACTGGCTGCAGCGTGTGCTGCTCCGGGCACGCCTCCGCCTCCGTCTCCGCATACGCGGTCGAGCCGTCGCACTTGTTCTGCGTGGTGCTGAAGAGCTGGGACGGGACCACGAAGGAGATCGTGCGGCTCGACGGCGGCGCGCGGGCGCTGAACTCGTTGGAGAGCGCGACGCGGACGACGATGAGGCACTGCGAGATCCCGAAGAAGTCGGGGATCACGGACGCCATGACGTAGCCGACGTCGTAGTTCGTCTGCGCGGAGACCACGGGCGTGTCAGATAGGCGTTGCGGCGGGGGTAGCGAGCGGCGGTCGGGACGGAGACTCACGACGATGTGCCCGTTCGGCGCGAGCGAGCAGATCTCGTACAGCAGCAGACCGACCCATGTCACTATCGCGGACTCGACGCAGGCGAGCAGCACGGTCTTGTAGAGCTTCATCTGTCGGCTCATGCGCGCGATGTAGCTGTGGCAGGAGCGAGTGAGGGTTTGGATTGTGCGACGAGCCTGAGGATGACGTACAAAATCTTGACAACGATGGCAGTGGTCAAGATAGTGTTGATGGCGAACATCAGCCATCCCCAGGCCATAGTGATTTGAAGCGTGACGGGGAGGAGCACGTCCTCGTAAAGTTCGTAGTGATAATACGCTGCCAGATGTTGCGCGTCGGAAGACCAACACAGCACTGCTCAGCGCACAGCAGCAGTCCTAGTCAGCATCAACCTTCAGGATGGCAGTGATAAAAACACTGACGAGCGTTGATGACAACGAAAGTCATTGGGATGTAAAGGCCCCATTTTTTCCGATCGAATATGGTATAAAATCGCCACGCCAGCAATCCGTCAGAACAGAGTCCCTGGGAAATGTGCATTAGCTTCCCGATCTCGCGGAATGTCTTTCGAGCATGCGACGCGACCTACGGCGAAGGTGGTAGTGACACTGCTACCGCCGTCAGCGCTCGAGGATCCGTGTCAAAGTAGAGCACTCGCTTTCCAATCACAATCAAGGGAATCCCCCATTTGAAGAACTCGTTGTCAGGAGGGTTCATGATCCTCGCGCGGTCGAACTGGAGGGACCGCGCGACGAAGTGTGCGCAAAGGTTGACGTATCTGCTCGGAAACCAGGGAGTCAGCTTCTCCAACGAAACTTCAACGGCAAAGACGCACAGAGCAATTGTGACGGCCCGCAGTCTGCGCGAAGCCACGCCCCGCCGGCCATGATTTGCCCACAGCGCGAGGACGAAGAGAAGCGTGTAGACGCCTGTAGCACCACGGTCAGCCCGGTCGCGCGTCGCGGCCCGCACCGCCGTGCCGACCCACCGAACAGCGCGCAAAGCACGGACTGGATGATGCCTGTGATCTCGAGCAAGTGCCAGACCGTAGCGAGGTCCGCGTCTGCCATGGCCCGCTAGTAGGGCAGTGTTTGGGATTCGGCGGCCGGGACCCGCAATAATTTGGAGGGTGCGGCGGACGAGCCTAGCGAGGAGAGAAGGTGCGCGGAAGGGAGGCTTGCAAGCCGAATGTTCATGTACTCGCGCGCACAGACGACAAGGCGTTGGGGTATTTGAGTGCTCACCTGTGCGCGCTCCGCGCGCCCGGACCTGTGCGGGTGGCGGAACGAGAAGCATGCCCTCGGCCGGTCAGAAAGCGTCGGTCGAACCCGCCGCGCGTCGGAAGTACTTAGGGTGATACGCGTGATACGCCTGCACGGAGTGCGGAATATCAAAGATGACTTCGAGCCGGAGGCTGGTGCAAGAGGAAGAGCGGCCAAGCTTCCAACGAGCCATCACCTTTGTCGCTCCGGTCGGCGGCGTTCGCGTTGGAGAAACCCAGGGTCCGGAGCTCCGACTTGATTTGCCAGACCACCCAATTTCATCGCGTAACCCGCCAATGGACGATCGGCTCCATGCTCCGCCGGACAAACGCTTCCCTTCCAGCCAGCAATCTTCGCGGTTGCTGTATCACATCCCGAAACCCTGTGTAGATGTGCGTTCGTCGCCGAGCGCATTCAAGAAAAGTAGGTTGTATATCCCGCAGGTCTCCGAATGTCGACATTGCGATCCCTGGATCTAGTCATACGTACGGAGCCCTGGAGATAAGTAGCTCTCAGTCCTGGTTGGGCGGCCTTGCTTCGGGGCTGTCAGTGTCAGAGCCGTCTTCAGAATTCAATGCTTCGGCTCCAAACCAGGGAGACTAAACATCTACGCTCTGATAAGCCGTCGAGCCTGTCTCAATGAATACACTACTCACTTCATATATCATCTCCGCCGGTGCAGCCCAGCCGCGCACACCCTCCACTTGGCTCACGAGTTGCGTCCCTAGCACGACGCCAATCACCGATCCGCTCTCCTCGTCCACGATAGGCCCACCGCTAGAGCCGGCTGTGGGAGGCGGTTCGAAGTGCAGGTGCGCGAGCGAATCGTACGTTCCCGGCTGAAAAGAACATCTCAGGGTCAGCATGGCGAATGCGGTCGGCGGGTTCATCAAGACTGAGGCGCAGCACGCGAACACCTGCGAAGTCTTTGTGACTTCCGCGGAGCTACGAGCGAGGGCGCGCGAGGGCTCGTGTACTACAGCGAACGTGCATTCCACAGGCAGTGATGATGGGAGGTGGGAGGGCGGACCGGTGCTCACCTGGGCCTCCCTGCCGGCATAGTCTCGGTAGCCCAAGACGGTGCCCCGCACCCACTTCCTCCACGCACCGCCGACCCATGGTGTCCAGCCCTCCGCGTCCTGGCCCTCGGCAGGCGGGCGGTCCGTGACAAAGTGCGCGCACACGCGCGTCCCGGGCCGCACGGGGTACGGGTTTACCGGCAGCGAGCACGCACGCGCGGGGGCGGGCGCGGCGAGCAGGACGAGGTCGCCACGGTGCATCGCGGACAAAACCGCGGCGACGGGGTGGAATGTCGGCGCGGCGGACGAGCCTGAGATCACGAAGGAACCCGACAGAAGGGAAGAGGAGGGTGCGGAAGCTGATTGAATCGGGGTCGTGCGCAGGACGGGGTCGTGGCGGATCTGGTGGGGAGCATTCGTGAGCACTTTGCTTGATGAGTGCGTACGTGGGGAGTCGAGGGTTGGAAAACGAGACTTGTTTCCATGCAAGCATGCCGACAGGCGCGCGAGAGGATGGCACAGATTGTTGCTACTCACCTCTTCCAGCGTATGTGCGCACGTCAGGTAGACCGCCTGTCCTTCCGGCGTGCCCGGGACATTCAGCGCGAAAGCAGAGCTGTACGTGACGCGGTGCATGCCTGTGCTATCGTGCACGGCATGCGCGACCACTGCCAGAGCCCGGTCCGCGTCCTCAGTCCCTGCACCCGCCCCTCCAGGACTTAGGAATGTCGTCCGCCTTGACGAGTTAGGGCGCGACTCGTACGGAAGAGCGGCATCGAGGACACGACCGGCGTGCCGCATGTACTGTTCAATGAGCTCAGGAAGAGAGGTTCCGGGTCTTTGCTGCAGCTCGGCGAGGACACGCGCATCGAACAACTTCACGATTGGCGGTTGTGGTCGTGGTTGCGTTGGCTGGGTTCGTTTGTCGTTCGTGTTTGCAGAAGTCGAGGCAGAAGGACCTGGGGGTATTGGTGCGCCCGGAGTGGTTGGTGGATGGCCGAGGTATGTCGTCGAGCCCACCTGGGCGTAATGTCTGGCCTGGTTGCATTGCAACCTCGCATATGAGCTCGGAGCTGAAGCTTGCACGCTTTGAGAGGCGCGGGCTCGTGATGTTGGCGCGAGTCTCAGGGGGGTTCGTAGAGCCGACTTCATGAGGGAGGTCGGGAGGATATAGGATGAGAGCGAACGGTGAGTTGGCAACCTGAACGAGAAACCGGGCGGCGGGATGATCATGGAGCAGCATCCGTCCTCGTGACATGACGTCATGTCCATACTGCGCCCCGTCTGGTTCGGAAAGCCCACATTATGTATTGCTCTTCAGAGCGACATGCGATTAGTGATAGGTTGTAACCAAGCACAACTAGAGTCCAATTCGAGTCGACCTAATCCCTCGTGACCTCGACGCACCACGGGTGGTCGATCTTGCCCGTCTGGATGCCCGTCAGGTACTTCCACAACGGCCGCGACAGCGGGCCCATGCCGTCCTCCCCAGTGGGAATGTGCACGTCCTCGCCCAGGTAGCCGATGCGGTCCACGGGGCTGATCACCGCGGCGGTGCCCGCCCCGAAGAACTCGACGACCTCGCCCGCCCGCGCCGCGTCGCGCACCTCCCCCATCGTCACCTGGCGCTCGCTGATCACAAGTTCGTCGGTGAGGTCTGGGATCTGCAGCCTGCCCTCCGCGTGGTCCCGCGCGAGCGCGAGCACCGAGTCACGCGTCACTCCGGGCAGGATGACGCCGTCGAGCGGGGGCGTGACGAGCTCGGTCACTGGCGGGGATGGCAGTCGTCAGCCAGGAGTCCGGCGCATGAGAAACGGCGAGAAGAACACGCACCTCCGCCAGGGCGCTTGAAGGCGACGAAGACGTTCATGGCGCCGACCTCGGTGATGTAGTGCTCTGGGCCGTGGAGCCAGAGGTTCTGGACGTAGCCCTTGGCCATGGCCACCTTCTGCGCCGCGATACCGGCGGCGTAGTTTGCGCCGAGCTTGTATGCGCCGATACCTCCTGGAGAGGCGCGCGTGAACTCGGTCGTGCCGTAAAGGGCGATGGGTTTGAATCCTTGTGGGAAGTACGGGCCGACAGGGCTGCAGATGATGAAAAACAGGGCCTCCTTAGGAGGGGTGATACCAAGGGCTGGCTGGGTACCAACTGACAACATCCAGCAAAGGTGAGCACATGTTAACAAGGGCTGGCACAATAAAACTTACTCAAAGTGGGACGGACGTATACGCTGTAGCCAGGCTGTTTGGGAATCCAGTGCTTGTCTAAGCGGATAAGCTGCTTCATAAGGTCGATCATGGCCTCGCCGTCAAATTGCTGGACGAGAAGTCATCGATAGGTGGACAGCGCGGGATGACACGGGGTGCTTACAGGCAGGGCAATTCGTGAAGCGGAGTTGTTCATACGCTTCATATTCATATCCGGCCGGAAAAGTGTCACACGGCCGGACTCGTCACGGTATGCTTTCATGCCCTCGAAGAGACAGTGGGCATAATGGAAGACGGTCGCACTTGGGGGCAGGGCAAGATCCGCATCTGGCGGAATGGATATAGCGGAGACTTTCTCTGCGCGAAGGGAAAGACTCACAAGGCATGATTTTGGGCGTGCCCCAGCCCTCAAGAATATGCCATGGGATAGTCAACATGTGGTCCGTCTTGGAACGAATGAACACAAGCGTGAAAAGCAATACAAACAACGACGCACGAAGGTATGGCCGAAGACGAGACCAGATGGGGAAGGAACCGGTTTAGGATCCTTGGTTTTAGTGATTTGAACTAATGAAGGCTACATAGACGTTGGTTGGATGACCGGTAGAAGAGACGGGAACAGATGCACACCTGCACATCCGGAAGCTGGACACGCTCGCCAGTTATTGGGTCTTGTGCAAGGGTGGAGTTCCATCTTGCGAAAGCAAGCCTGCCGGCGCGCGAGGGACATTGGGAGAGCCGTGGGGTGCGCAAGAGGGCGAGGCGAGCAGAGCGTAATGTGGAGGCCATGGCCGCAGACGATGGAAGGTCGCAGCGAAGAGACGGACCGGAGATGCGCAAGGACGAGGACCAATGAGTGACTCACTGCGATAGGCTGAACGGAAGGCTGAAGGGGGCTGCATGTTTCGGCAAGTTCCGGGGTCTCAGCGCCTAGGGCGTGGATGTTAGAACAGGCGGCGGCCTGTGTGAGAGCGGCGGCGGACTGGTGGGCGGAAGGGGTTCTGGATTGACTGCGGTGCGGCACAAGGCGACCACACTGCGGTGCGCGGATGGCGACAGGGAACTTGGGCGATTATATGTTGCAATTACCGGAGGCGCCGATGCCGCGGGCCAATCGGGCGTAGTCACAGACGCGGGCGGTCACAGCTGGGCAGTGTGTGACCGCGACGCGCCGGCCCCCCGACGCGTCGTTATCGATGGCCTGCAGCTGTACTCCACACCGGCAGGGGCGGCAGGGGCGGAGCACACGCACGGGCCAGCGCGGGTGGCTGTGGTGGGCGGGCGCACGGAGGTGGAGGATGGGCGCGGCCGAGAGGGCGCGGCGGGGAGTGTGCGAAGACAGGGCGGACGATTGGCTGTTGCAGTCGGACGGCACCGGGCAAGGCATTCGGCCGAGTCGCACGGCGCGGCAGGTCGTACAGTCGGGCCGGCGTGACAAAGACGTCAGAGTGAGGGATCGGATTCGCAGTCACCGAGGGCATCGCGGATTACATATCTCATCGCCATCGTTGCTTGCTGCCTCACCTCTCTCCCCCTCTCCACCACCTCCTCGCCATACACTCTACTGCACCATGGCCGCTCCTGTGTGCGTCGCGCGCTGCCTTCCATGTTTTCTCCCACTCACCGCTTTCATCTCCAGCGGTGACATTGGCCTCATGGTCTGGCCGTCATGGTACGCGCACCCCTGTTCACCTCCTTCCTTTGCTCATCCTGCCGCCGCTAGGGCCAAAACCTGATCCTCAACATGAACGACAAGGGCTTCACCGTCGTCGCCTACAACCGTACCACCAGCAAGGTCGACAACTTCCTCGCAAACGAGGCCAAGGGTCAGTACGCGTTATCTAGCCGGTCCCTCCTAGCCGCTCATCCTTCCGTTCACCTCACAGGCTCCAAGGTCCAGGGCGCCTGGTCGATCGAGGAGCTCTGCGCCAAGCTCAAGCGCCCCCGCAAGATCATCCTCCTCGTCAAGGCCGGCTCTGCGGTCGACGACTTCATTGCCCAGCTCAGCCCTCACCTCGAGGCCGGTGACATCATCATCGATGGTGGTAACTCCCACTACCCCGACTCCATCCGTCGCACGAAGGAGCTCGAGTCCAAGGGCCTCCTGTTCGTCGGCTCTGGTGTCTCTGGTGGTGAGGAGGGTGCCCGCTATGGCCCCTCTCTCATGCCCGGTGGTCCCCCGCGGCCTGGCCACACATCAAGGAGATCTTCCAGGCGACCGCCGCCCAGGTCAACGGTGAGCCCTGCTGTGACTGGGTCGGTGAAACCGGTGCCGGCCACTACGTGAAGATGGTCCACAACGGTGAGAGAAATTCACACGTTCTGCTCAGTTCCCCAATCCCATTCTCATATATGAGCACCAAGGTATCGAGTACGGTGACATGCAGCTCATCGCTGAGGCCTACGATATCCTTAAGCGTGGTCTTGGTCTCCATGAAGACGAGATCGCGGACATTTTCACGACTTGGAACAAGGGCGTCCTCGACTCCTTCCTGATCGAGATCACTGCCAACATCCTCAAGTTCAAGGATGACGATGGTCAGCCCCTCGTCACCAAGATTCTTGACAAGGCGGGTCAGAAGGGTACCGGGAAGTGGACGGCCATTGCGGCTCTCGATGCCGGCATGCCCGGTCAGTCTTCCGTCTCACGACCATTTGTGCCTCCTATTCATTCCAGGCGCTAGTTACCCTCATTGGTGAGGCTGTCTTCGCCCGCTGCTTGTCCGGTCTCAAGGAGGAGCGCATGCGTGCGAGCAAGGTCATCGCGGGTCCCCAAAAGGAGCCGTTCAAGGGCGAAAAGAAGCAGTTCATCGACGATCTCGAGCAGGCTCTCTACGCGTCCAAGATCATGTCGTACACCCAGGGCTTCATGCTCATGCGTGAGACCGCGAAGGAGGTTCGTGTTGACGCCCGTCTAGGCATTTCACCCTCTACCCGATACTGACCGAGCTTTCGTAGCTCAACTGGAACCTTAACTACGCCGGTATTGCGCAGATGTGGCGTGGCGGGTGCATTATCAAGTCCGTCTTCCTTGGCGACATCACCGCGGCGTACAACAAGACCGCAAACCTCGAGTCGCTCCTCTTCGACGACTTCTTCAACAAGGCCGCCCACAAGGCGCAGCCCGGCTGGCGTCGGATCGTTGCGCAGGCCGTGCTTTGGGGTATCCCCACCCCCGCGTTCTCGACTGCGCTCTCGTTCTTCGACGGTTACCGCAGCGAGGTTGTCCCTGCCAACATTCTCCAGGCGCAGCGTGATTACTTCGGCGCCCACACCTTCAAGGTGGTCCCTGGAAAGGAGAACTCCAAGCTCCCCCTCGGCCAGGACATCCGTGCGTTCTGCTACCTTCATGCTCCTGAACAGGTGACTGACACTCTGATAGACATCAACTGGACCGGTCGTGGTGGCAACGTTTCTGCGTCGACGTATTCGGCATGAGCATGCTCTCACACTGTCCCTCGAGGTGCGGTGTCGCAGAAAGCCGGCCGTTGATCACTGTAGGCGACATAACGCTTCGCATATTGCGCAACAACGGCTCGGTCAAGCTGCGCGTCATCCCGATCAGATCATGCCCGGCGTGTTGTGACGGAAGGTAAATCTTTGGGAAGGTACGATATTTGTATCGTGTAGCATGTAGACCACAAGAAATCGAGCATTTGTACCATCCATCACCTACCGAACTCGTACGTGAACCATCCCGTATACACTCCCATCATGCCCTGGGACGGCCGCCGTCACCTGTCACCCGGGTCTCGCTGGACGTGTGCTGGGCCGGATGCCGTGGCATCCAAACCCCCAATTCCTCGAGCGCAATCGCCCGGCGTCCAGTACATATGATTCGCCACCCGCGATCGGTGCGGAAGGCACAACCAAGGTCGGACCGAGAGGCTGGCCGCCACCAAGCCCGACGTCGCCCGCCGCGATCTCCGGTCGGTGGTCCCAGCGTGACATCGCCGCGGAGGTATATCACGTCGACTTGGCCGCCTCGGTCTCCTTGATCGGCGGGAGCTCCCAGCCGTGCGGGCCGAAGCGCGGGACGACGACTCGCTCGCCGTGCTTGTTCGTGACCGGCTTCGAGTACGTGCAGAGGGCCTTGCCCAGCGCGGACAGCCAGGCGGGGTTGACGACGGTGAGGCCTCAAAATGAAACGGCGTCGGTCAGCATCGGGTCGAACTGGGGCGGGGCGAGGTAACGTGCGTCCATGTAAGTCACGTTATGCGGGTTAGAAAGCCGGCGTCGTCGTTAGAAAGCAAGGGCAGGTCGCGGAAGGATGGCGCGATGCCCGGGCGGAGAACCAGTTCCTGCTGCGCGCGCCGGGTGTGGCTGTGCGTGCGCGCGGAAGCGGGAACGAGATGCGCGCGCGAGGGAGACCGGGAGAACGATGCGGAAAGAGGCAGAAGAGGGTGGGAGAGGACACACACCTTTGAGATAGACCCTGCTCGTCCTCACGACCTCGAGATATGTTACGTACTCCGGCGGCGACCCACCCGCGAGCACCGACGATGGGTGGAGGAAAACATCCTCGTCGGGGATGCCGAGCGCACGGTACGCGACGCCCCGCGCGGTCGTGTATTGCGTCCCGGCACCCTCCGTGCGACCCTTTTCGCTATATCCTTGCGTACGGCGATCTGGTCGATGAAGCCGGCGGCGACGAGCTGACGGAGCACCTTGAGTTGGAGAGGGGAGGGCGGGGGTATGTTTGACTCGAAGCCGGTAGAGATATCGGGGAAGTTGGTTTGCACGATAGAGCTGATCTGCGCACGGAGTTTATGGATCTCTTCCATCGCCTGAGGAACAAGATCAGCATCGTGACACAGAAAACCCGGGGGGCTGCATACCTTCGGCCTAACAAAGTGCTCTTCGCAGAACTTGTGTCCACCACCTGCATATTCGTACGCTCCAACCACTGAAAGGATGCGCAGGATATCGCTCGTCGAGTTTCCCAAGGCCGAATGGAGCTCTGCGACTCAAAGAATGTTTTGCGTCGCCTTTTCCGCACCTCCTTCGCGCGGGCAGCATCGCCGGTCAGATGGCGGAGCTCTTCGTCGTCTTCGTCTTCATCGTCCGATTCCTTTTCCTTTTCCAGCGCTTCTTCTCTGAGGAACGGTCCCCGACAGACAACGCGGACACGATCGCGATGACATACGGCAGGCAGCCGTGCTGTCGGCCACTCACGAGCATACGCGAGAAGCGGGGCGAAAGCGGGAACAGCGCCATCGTCCGCCCAACGTCCGTGATGGCCCCGCCGACCTTGAGTCCACCCGCGGCCGGGGCAAGGGCCGCAAGATGAGTGAGGACCCTCTCGGCCTTCTGCAGGCTGGTGCGGTCCGGGGGAGTTGGGAACGGGAAGTTGACGACGGCATCGATGTGCATGCTCTTCATCTGAAGGACGACACCCTCGATGGGCATACGGAGGATCTCGGGCTGCGCGAACTGCTCGAAGTAGTGCTCAAACAGTGGGGACGAGTACAGGCGGTAGCAGTGGCCTGGGCCGGTACGTCCCGCGCGGCCGGCGCGTTGTGCGGCGGAGGCCTTGGATGTCCAGCTGACTTGGAAAGCTTGGATGCCGTTCGCAACGTCGTACCGCCGCTCTTTGGCGCGCCCGCAGTCGACGACGTAGCGGATGCCCGGGATGGTGAGAGAGGTTTCGGCGACGTTGGTGGAGACGACAACGAGCCGAGTCCCTTCTGGAGGGGGCTGAAATACTTGCATCTGCTTCTCACTTGGTAGGAGGGCATAGAGCGGGACAATATGCATCGGAACTGCAGCAAACGTCTCGGTTTTTCGGGGGGGCTGCGGTAGTGGCATGGACGCACCGTCTGACTCTTCAGTGTCGATCCCCAGCTCATCATTTCCATCCTCGTCATCGGATTCCAGCGCTTCAGCGTCAACCTCTCCATCAACGTCGAAAGCAAGGGCTTCATCCGCTTGCTGAGAGTCGCCGAGTCAAGGTCCTCGGCTTCGACGTCGGCTGTGATCATGGTGAGCTTGTGTTACTCATTAACAGGACGTCCTCACCATGCGCTGGTGCGACGGTGCGACCCTTATCACTGTCTTCTCCCAACTTGGTTGCGAGCGAACTCAGTCGAGATTGAAGAGACTGTCTGGACTTCTTCCGCTCCTCAAGCGCCTTCTTCCCGTATCTCGCCTCCAACTTTCTACAAACACCGGTAATCTCATTTTGACCAGTGAGGAAAATGAGGATACCACCCGGAGGCAGCCGAGAGTGAATCTTGCAGGTCTTCTTGATCGCCTCAGATACGTAATCCGAAGAGGTGCGACGACTGAAGTGGACGGTAACGGGATGTTGTCGAGCGGGTACGTTGATGATTGGCGGAGGCGACGAGAACAAAGCCGTGTTTTCCGCAAAGTCGGAAACTCGTAGAGTGGCTGACATGATGATAAGCCGTAGAGGCTGATCAAATACTATGATTAGTGACAACAAACGGGTATAACATTTTTGTGACGCACCTTGATTTCGTCCTTGCCCTCTTTCCACATTTCCTCGCGTAATTTGACCACACGGCTGAGAACGCCTATAAGAATATCTGTGTTCATGCTCCGCTCGTGGGCTTCATCGATGATGATAACGGAGTACTTGTTGAGAAGAAAGTCCGTCGCCAACTCCCGCAAGAGGACACCGTCAGTCATAAACTTGATGACTGTCGACGATGATACTGTTGCGTCGTATCGGATCTGGTAAGAGACCTTGGTGGATGTCAAGGACAACTCGTGAGCGACACGAGATGCCATCGACATTGCGGCCACTCGTCTTGGTTGGGTCACGCCTATCATTCCTGGGTTGTCTGTGCGAAAACGTCAGAAACATTCGGGATGACGGAAATTGCTGTCTTACCGCTTCCCAGTGTTCCAAAGCCGGCTTCGTACAAGAATTGAGGAACTTGAGTGGTCTTCCCGCTTCCAGTCTCACCGCATATGACCACAACAGAGTTGAGCAAAATTGCCTCCATGATCGGCTGCTCTTCCGAGACGATTGGGAGGAGTAATCTCGCTTCCTCGACATCTGATGGACGAGAGACTGCAATAGCCTTGCGTCCTTTTGCGCCTCTCCCCGAAGAATCAGAAGCTGTCTTCTGAATATGCTCGGCGAGGGAAGTTTTCGGTAGTTGCAGAACTTCGCCAAGAGGACCACGCATCTCCGTAGGTCCGTCTGGAATAGTCTTCTTCCGCTTCTTCTTCGGTGGTGGCGGATGCTCGAGATTCTCCGGGGGTACTTCTGACGTATCTTCACGAGATGGAGGTGCAACATAGCCCTTAGCTGCGCTAAGTTGTGTGACTGCCCATTCCTTGAAGCCCAGACGTTTGCGCTTGTTGTCCTGCGGCTCCTCTTCAAGCGTTTTCGCGGATGTGTCTTCGCCTTCCTCATCCGCAGATGAAGAAGAATCTTCGGAGCTCCCGCGCTCGCCCTCCGAGTCTGAGGCATCGTCATGTTCTTCATCTGGATCGAAAGCCGAATCAGAACTGTCGAACGAAGTGTCGGAGTCTGGCTCCGTAGGTCCTCTTCTCGTGGATTTGGTCTTCCACGTGCCGAACACGCCCTTTAGAGCGAAAGTTAAATTGCGATCTTAGAGACAATCTCATGGTACTACCTTGGCATTGCGAGGTTGCCTCTTGAAGACCTTTGGTGCGATAAATGAGCCATCCGCGTTGCGTTTCAGGGCGCTGCCCACGGCCACGGGTGCAGACGACGTCTCGTCTAACTCATCGTCTTGTACAGCCGTGGAGAACCCGGAGTCCACGATTACGACGGGCTTTGATCGCGACAAGCCCTCGGGCACGTCTTCCATCTCCTCAGTTCTTGACAGGACGCCACCGCCAACATCTACGTCCATGTCATCCCCACTGGCCTCCGGATCGCTCGGGTATGCGGACGATGCAAGGGCGTTTTGGCGACGTCGTTTGGTCGTTCCGGCTCTCCCGTCCATGGCTCGTCTGACTTCCTTGTCTTCTTGCTCATCCAAACGCTGCCGGTGAGTGATTGGGTGACCAGTGCCAAGAGTTGCAGAGGACTGCAGGTTGAGACCAGACGTCCCTTGAGCCTGACTCTTCCTTGGAAGGTGTTGGAGAGCGCGTAAAGGTGCTGAGAGACCGCAGGACGTACGATAGTTTCTGAAACAACTCGACACGTTCTTCCTGCTTCAGCTTCTTCTCCTGTATATAAAGTTATACGCATGTTTCCTCCTCTTACGCATTGCGAATACTGACAATATACTTGTCCAGTCTCTTTTTCTTCTTGCTACTAGCTTTGGAGTTAGACTCCGCAAGCATCTTGCGCATAGTTATGTTAATGGAGCCGTCACAGAATGGGCTTCCGTGCGTACCTCTTCCCTTAAGCGTCTTCTCCTCTCGTGCTCCTTCTCCGCCTCGCTTTTGGGGACCACTATGGTCGCATTCGGATCAGGGAGCTCCTCCGTCTCGCGCGGCTTGTCATTTACACGTTTTGCCTCTTCTTATGAGAGCTCCGCCTGGCTTTCGCGTTGAAACGTACCCGGGGCTGCATGGCGGCAGTGGTATGGATGTAGCCGAGACAAGAGTGGAGGAGTAAGAGAGGCTCGTCCGGGCCCTGGCAGTCATGAGACGCCCACTGCAGTAAAATTCAGATCTCGATCACCCGCGCACGTGGAGATCGGGCCGGGCCAAGTTTGCCAGCCTAGCGCCGGCGGATCGTCTCAATCATCTCCTCCGACCTTGCCGAAGAGGCCAGCCCCCGCCAGTCCCGCAAACCGCCTGGAGGGAGCCATGTGCGGTATACTGTTTTCTTTGCAGGTACCTTCGGAGTCTGAGGAAGCCTACGGGAGCACATCACTTGACGAACTGCTCGAAAAGATCCGAGGCAATGTGATTGCAAGAGGTATGTTGCCTCCGCCCAACCGCCCACGCCATACTTTTTACAGTTCGCAGGACCGGACGCACATGAAGTCATTTGCCACGATACTTTGGCTTACGACTTACATTCTGTGGATCTGAGTTACGCCTTCGAGGGGACTCATTCGTGAAACAACCTCATACAAATGAAGACGGCAACATTTTGTGCTGGAATGGTGAGGTGTGTTGCACTGATCCGAACATAAAGAACACTGAATCTTGACGCTGAGTCAGGTGTTCGAGGGTCTAGAAGTAAGGCTACCCAAAATTATGGAAATCGTTCAAGTGCTGAAAGGTGTTGCGTAGATCGGCGAGCATGAGAACGACGGACAGAAACTTTTCTCGATGTTGGCGGGGACGCCAACCGCAGAAGAGATATGTGACGTCTTCGCCCACGTCGAAGGGCCGTAAGTCTCAAATAAAGCGCCTGAGCAATCTCTGACCTTGATCATCCAGTTATGCGTTTCTTTTTTACCATGTGCGACGCTCATTTAAGACTTGTCGTAGATTCTGCGCTCACACTGAAAGCAGAACGCTTCTCGTACCGTATTCTACGGACGAGACCCGCTTGGTCGTCGTTCGCTCCTGGTGCATCGACCTACCAAAGCGAACCCATATCTCTTGATTACCTCGGTCTCCGCTGGAGTGCACCCGGGATATGTCCTCGAAGAAGTGTCTGTGGCTCATATCCATGGTATACAGCTGGAGAAGGTCTCTGATGTACGTTGCTTCATATTCCACAACCGTGTAAGCTAAAAGTGCAGATAGATACTGAATCTTGAGGACTGCGCAATCTCACTTCCCCGTGTGTCTCGTGTCGAAGACCATTTCGTAAGTACGCTTTTGGATGCGTTTGAAAACGTCTTCAATCACGGCGCCGATATATTCCTCTTGCAGGCAACTCCTGCGAACGTGAACAGGAATATTCCCGACGATCCCCCGCGACCTATCGCCCTGGATAGAATCCCTGCGCATATGAGTGACACAGTTGACCGGCTAATCGTGGAGCTTGACCGAAGTGTTATGTTGCGTGTGCGCAACATTCCGCAACGAGAGTGAGCGCCCGTTATGAACGAGGTGTGCGGGGCTTTGGCTCACTGATATGTAGCAATGCTCCTGGGCAGGCAAGAGTGGCAGTGCTTTTCAGCGGAGGGATAGACTCAACCATGGTGGCTTTCCTAGCAGACAGGCAAGCTCGTCGTTCGGTTTTATTTTGGTGTTGCTGACATCAAGCCATCACAGACATGTGGACCCAGACGAACCCATCGACCTGCTAAATGTGGCCTTCGAGAATCCGCGCAAGATAGCAGTGAAAGTCGAAGGAAATGTGTACGCCCTGCCGAAGAGAGAGAAGAAGAAAAAGCTCCAGGAGCGCTTGGATTACTCGACGGTCACCGTCACGTACGACGTACCAGACAGAATCACCGGACGGCAGGAAGTTGAAGAACTCAGACGATTGTGCCCGCGACGGAAGTGGAATTTCCTTGAGATAAACGTCCCTTTCGAGGCAAGCATCAGTCACATCTGCCGAGGTCGCCTCCGTTGACCGTGTACTACAGGAGTCTCAGCAGGCACGGGCGCATGTCGAAGCGCTCATGTTCCCCTCAAAGACTGTCATGGATCTTGTGAGTCTGATTCTGAATCTCCTTTTATTAGTGCTCATACACGCCCAGAGTCTGGCAATCGCGTTGTACTTTGCGGCACGAGGGATCGGGCAAGTTCGCACTCATCCAGATGCAGATGCAGAAACATATACCAGTCCCGCACGAGTATTGCTGAACGGATTAGGTTCGGACGAACTGTTGGGTGGTTACGGGCGACATCGAACAGCGTTCAAGCACGGGGGATGGCAGGCTGTCATTGATGAAGTAGGGTTGACTTTCTCATATCACTATGCGGGACTCAACTTGTTCCCAGCTTCAGCTCGAGATAGACCGCATCCCAACGCGGAATCTCGGCAGGGACGACCGGGTGATATCTTCGTGGGGGAAGGAGACACGACATCCCTTCTTGTCCCTTTCGGTCGTCAACTTTCTCGCACAACTTCCCGTGTACAAGAAGATGGACCCGCGCCTAGAGGCTGGGTTAGGAGAGAAGCTGCTGCTGCGGCTAGCCGCGTGCAAGCTTGGGCTGGTAGAGGCAAGCAGTCGTAAAAAGAGAGCCATGCAGTTCGGAAGTCATTCGGCGAGAATGGCCCCCGGGGAAGGGGATAGGCAGGGAGATCTATTGCTCCGGGATAATAATGCCCTAGAGTAAATTGCAACCGCATCTAGACGGCAATATTCAACAAACTATAATTCTCAGCCAGGAGGGACTCGAAGCGATTGCCGTGTTCACCCCAGCAGCGAGGGGGCTGGACTCTCTTGGGGTAAGGACATGTCGACGTTCGTCACCTGCAGAGTCGGCTAGTCGCCATTGGTACAGGCCAGGATTCCTGCAGCCTGCATCGATGAAGAAATGGTGGACGACGTGCAAAGGTCAGCACCATCCCCGTGTTGAGAGTCCAGGTTCGATGAATTCAGCCTCGAGTCGGCGAGCCGCGGCTTGAAAGTTCAAGCGCTCGAAGAACGCGATCAGGGCACGTGGTCATGCCGGCCGGTGACGCCGCACACGCGCCGGGCGCGTCGTCTCTGCTCGTCCCCACCACTCATCCTTCCACCTCCTCCGTTGCTCGCTATGGCCGCCCAGCTTGCGAACCGTCTCATTGGTACGCAAGAAGACTTTATACTTCTCTTTAACGGCTAAACGTCCACGTTTCACCTCAGTACCGGTTGCAATTGCTGCCACGGTTGTGCAAGCCAGCATCTATGACGTTCCCGGAGGGTACAGGGCAGTTATGTTTGACCGGTTTTCTGGTGTGAAGGGCAAGGTGCGTCCTCTCGATATCGAGCATTTTTGCAGAATATACTCAGTGCGGGTGCCCGGTTAGGCTTCTGCTGAGGGAACCCACTTCCTTGTCCCCTGGCTGCAAAAGGCCGTCCTTTACGATTGCCGCATCAAGCCTAGGGTACGCGCATCCGCTCTTGTGCATATTCCGCTTCCTCAATTCTTTTTAGAACATCTCTACCACCACTGGTTCGAAGGATTTGCAGATGGTGTCCATCACCCTGCGTGTGCTCTCTCGTCCGGACGTCGAACACCTCCCTCAGATTTACCAGAGCCTTGGTCTTGACTATGACGAGAGGGTGTTGCCTTCCATTGGGAACGAGGTGTTGAAGAGTATCGTTGCCCAGTTCGATGCCGCGGAGCTCATTACTCAGCGTGAAGTGGTATGTTTCTCATTCCTCGTTGTATGTCCGCAGTGTGACTGAAGTCGCCATGCAGGTGTCATCACGCATACGCGAAGATCTTCTCCAACGCGCAGGAGAGTTCAACATCGTTCTTGAAGACGTGTCCATCACGCATCTCACGTTCGGAAAGGTTGGTCTTGTCCGGGTCTGTCCCCCCTTAGCGTGTCGCTGACGTCATCTCCGCAGGAATTCACTCAGGTGCGTTGATACGGGCGACCGACGGTCTTGCAGCATCTTGATACCGTACACGCAGGCGGTTGAGGCGAAGCAGATCGCTCAACAAGGTACGTGCAGTGACGGCACGCACCCCAGAAATCAACTTACGTGGATAACGTTCAGATGCGGAGCGCGCAAAATTCATTGTTGAGAAGGTACGCGCCATTCCAGGGTGAGCATGGGTTCAAAGTGCCTGATGTACCTCCTGTAGGCGGAGCAAGAACGTCAGGCGGCAGTCATCCGAGCGGAAGGCGAGGCGGAGGCGGCCTCAACCATCTCTCGCGCGTTGGCCAAGGCTGGCGATGGCTTCATTGCGTTCAGGAAAATCGAGGCGAGCAAGGCGATCGTCCAGTCGCTCGTGACGAACCCGAACGTTACGTACCTTCCAAGCGGCGGTGGGAACGTGCTGTTGAACGTGCCGACACCCCCTCTCTTCCCTCGCAAGCAGTAGTCAGCGATGTGGATGGTCTATATTATAGCGTGCTAACTTTCACCCCTCACAAATCGCATCTCCGGGAGCAATGTTGCGTGCTGTGACTGATATGAGTGCTCTCGAGCACGCGAAGAGGGGCCGAGTCGTTGCTGGACAGCAGTGGTCTGCGGATCACTGGTTGACCGGCCTGATGATCGGCTGAACCATCGAGTCGACAACTGTGGAGGCTAGTCCGACCTGAGTCTGGCCTGCCTCCCCCACGCTGGTCGCTCGTAAATCTAGCGTGCTGGCAACGGAGGTCGTGCCACCCTCGTTACGGACTGCGGCGAGGCCGAGCGCGCGCAGCGGATGAGCAGGAGGCCTGTGGCCTGGTGTGCAGAGGGCGATGGGAACCGCTGACATAATGGCCGGTGTGCCGGTGGGCGGCTGTGGGTAGGGAGTGACGCAGTGCTCGTCTCGAGCTTCTACCCTCTCGACTTCTGTGATCTTGCAAGGCTCGAGTCTGTCCGTTTTCTCTCTCTCCTCCTCTCTCCTCTCTCTTCTCTCTCCCTTCCTCTCTCGCTCTCTGCTCCTCTCTCTCCCCTCTCTGTCTCATAGCGCCAAAGTCTCGTCTCTCACGGACTAATCTCCCGATTCCGCTGTCAAATTTCCTCTGTACAGATCGCCGTCCGTTTCCCTGGCCTCTCTGATACAAGACCCGTCCACCGTCACTCTAGCCCTTACGACTCCATTATCTCTCTCTCACGATGAATCCAATGGGCTCTATGTCTCCGGCTGAGGCACCCGTAAGTCCCCTCACCTCCCCTGCTCGCCATCCGCTAAAACTCCCCATCCCCGATCGCGCCCTCCCCCTATCCCTTCTCATCATGCCGTCGCGCCGCCATCACATCGCATCCCATTCACATCCACATCCTCGCGTGTTCGCAGAGGCGGGCCCACCTCTACGTTGGCAACCTCAGTCCGCGGGTCACTGAGTATATGCTCACCGAAATCTTCGCCGTCGCTGGCCCAGTCCAGCACGTCAAGATCATCCCGGACCGCAACTACCAGCACGGCGGCCTCAACTATGGCTTCGTCGAGTACATGGACATGCGCGCCGCGGAGACCGCGCTACAGACTCTCAATGGCCGGAAAATATTCGACACCGAGATCCGCGTCAACTGGGCTTACCAGGGCCAGCAGAACAAAGAGGACACCACTGCTCACTATCACGTCTTCGTCGGTGATCTCAGCCCCGAGGTCAACGACGACGTCCTCGCCAAGGCCTTCAGCGCGTTTGGTACGCTCTCCGACGCCCGCGTAATGTGGGACATGAACTCAGGCAAGTCCCGCGGCTACGGATTCCTCGCCTTCCGCGACAAAACCGATGCCGAGCAGGCGATTGCGACCATGAACGGCGAGTGGCTTGGCTCGCGCGCGATCCGTGTCAACTGGGCGAATCAAAAGACCCAAGGCGCCCTCCCGGGCGCGCCTCCTGGTCCCCCTCCTCGCGGTAACAGCATGGGCGGCGGAGCCCCGGCGCCGATGAACTTCCAGGGCGGGCCGCTCTCGTACGAGAGCGTCGTGCAGCAGACTCCGGGCTACAACTCGACCGTCTACGTCGGCAACCTCGTCCCGTACGCGACCCAGGCGGACCTCATCCCCCTCTTCCAGTCCATCGGTTACCTCTCGGAGATCCGCATGCAGGCCGACCGCGGCTTCGCCTTCGTCAAGCTCGACACGCACGAGCACGCCGCGATGGCCATCGTCCAGCTCCAGGGCCAGATGGTCCACGGCCGCCCGATCAAGTGCAGCTGGGGCAAGGACCGGGCGGACGGCGGTGCCCCCATGTCCGGCTCCATGAGCCCGCAGACTCCCGCCGCGCCGTTCGGAAACATGGTGCGTTTCTTCGTGTCTTGTCTCCACCTCCCACTCCTAGTTTTTCCGACCTTTCCCCGCCGTCCCCGCACCTCTCGCGTCGCCGCCATGTGCGCGCCGCGAGACGCGCTGCCGCACAACCCTCTTGTCCAGCCACGCCGCAGGCACCTTGCTGACATGCTTTCCCCCATGTTTCTAGCCTGTGTACGGCATGCCCCAGCCCACCCAGTACGGCCAGTACGGCTTCAGCGCGTACGGCGGCTACCCCAGTCAGCCCGCTGCGGCCGGCACGCCCGGAGCCGCTGCCCCAGGAATGCCCAGCCCCGTCGCGCCTCCGGCCGGCATGGGGATGGGTGCGGCTGGCATTGCGGACGCCAACGCTGCTGCTGCTCAGGCTCAGTGGGGCAGCGCTGATCCTAGTTCTTATTACTCGAATTATTGGGGAGGTGAGCTATTACGCCATTGCGCGTGCTTAGGATGCTGACGCGAGCGCTGGCAGGTTATTATGGCCAGCAGGCACCCGGGACCGCGCCCGATGCTCAGGGCCAGGCTTAACAACTTATATCAACGAAGACTCCCACTTTCAACACGGCTGTAGCATCACCAACCAGTGTCTCGTTAAAGTGTGCCATTACGACCTTGATTGTGTTGCTTAATTGGCCCTAATCCACGCATGCGCAGAACGTCCCGTATCCATTATTGCACAATCATCAGCACTCCGTCCAGACCACACATCGTCTCGAATGTCTTGTCTCGTCCCCGCGGCAGCCCCTTCACTGGTGCGCGTCGTCCACCACACCCGTTTCCTAGCTCCTTCCATCCTTCCTCCCCACGTGTGCAAGTAGGCTTTCATGCTCGTGTTTTATCTATCTTTTGTCTGCAATCAATCATCGACGATGTCTCCATTCTCGAATCGTGCTCCCATTGACCGCGACACCAACAGTACATGATATCCAGATCGTAGTCCTCACTACAAATAGGCCGGCATCGACGCCTATCCACCCTTCGCCCGACAAGTACCACCAGTCTGCGAGGTAGGTGACATGTGCGCCCTATACGTCAGAGGCTGATCTACCTGGTAGAAGATGGTCATACTCACCAGAGACGATGGCCAGTCACATCTAAGCGAGTGATCAGGCCTCAGGACGGCGCTGGTTGTACGCGAGGGGGCGAACAGGGTTCTGGTTGCCTGCCGTGCTCTTGGAGGCAGAGGACGTCTTCTGCTGCGACACGTCGTTGAACGATGGCATGCTGGGGGGCTTGGCCGATGCAACTACCTGCTCGGCCTCGGCCTGGCCCTTGGCGGCGGCATCGGGGTCGGGAACCTTGAGGTCATCCTGCCTGGCGTTAGAACCGCCGCCGCCGGATGATTTTCCACCGCCGGTGATGAGCTGGGCGATGGGAAGGCTGTCGGTCGGAAGGGCCGGGAGGCCCCGACGAATGGGAACGGGAAGGCCCCCGGTGGGAAGGTCGGTAAGATCACGACCGAGGAGGCCGGCCTTGTGGTTATCGCCAAGGTCGGTGGCGCTACTGAGGAGGTCAGATTCGCCGCGGGGGAACTTGGCGAACTGCTGGACTTCGGTGTTGCGGGGGGTCGCGATCTTGCCGCCGAGGCGGGGCGCCTGGGGGGCAGCGTTGACGACGGCGGTGCCGGCGGCGGCGAGGAGGGAGAAGGCGAGGATGGGGCTACGCATGATGTTGAGGCGGGTGGGCGTTGGCGTAGGCTGTGGGCGTGTTGGATTAGGCGGGTGTAGAGTAGGACGCGGCGGGCGGGGTGCGCGTCGGGGGCCGGCCGCGGGGTTTTTGACGGCGGCTGGGCTGACAGGTGCGTTCGGACTCCGCTGCGTCTTCTCGACCTCTGCGCCTGCCTTTCTAGGGTCGCGTCCACCCGTGTTTGGCAACTGCCCTCGGAAACCACCCAACGCCTGCGCGCCAATGACGCCATCGACGAGGCTGGGGCGAAGGGCACGCCCTGCCCGCCAAAGAGCGCGGGGCGATCGCTGCCCGCCGCCGGCCGCGGGGGCTCTTTTATAAGCTCGCCCGTCCCCGCCGTGCACCCCAGGGCTGCTCGCTCTATCTCGTCGTCTTGCTCTCTGTTACCACATCCTACCCACACTCGTTTATCCAACCTCATCCGCCTGCGACCATCATGCGTTCCACGCTTCTCGCCTTCGTTCTAACTGCTCTCGCGGCCACCGCTGTCGCTGTCCCTCTGCCTCAGCTCCAGCAGAGCACGCGCAGCCATGACATGGCTCTCGTCAAGGCTCGTGGTCTCTCCGATATCACCGGCGCCAGCCCCGTCACCCTCCCTCGTGCGTCCTCCATTTTGTTCTTGGTCGACGCCTAATGACCCGCGTCGGCTATTCCAGTGTCCCGCCGTGCGACAGACACCACGGCCAGCACGGATACCAAGGACTCCAAGGACTCCAAGGACTCCAAGGACTCCAAGGACACCACGGACACCACGGACACCACGGACACCACGGACACCAAGGCCACCAAAGCCAGCACCGACTACAGGGGCGAGGGATACCACGGCGAAGACTACAGCAGCGGTGAGTACGCCGTTCGCAGTCACCCTGTCACCATCTTGACCTTTCGTACGCAGCCCGTGACGGGTACTCCGGGCGTGCATACAGCGCCTGCTCCTTCCGTAGCGAGGGCCACTACGACGGCGAAGGCTACTCCGGCCGTTCTGGGTCCGCTCGCGACGGGCAGGTCTACAACAATCGCCGCTCCGAGTCCGAGCACTACCGCGGTGACAACTACCACGGTGACGACTACCGCGGTGACGACTACCACGGCGAGGAATCCTACTACTGCGACGCTTACGACCACGACGGGTACAATCACGACGGGTACGACCGCTACTGCACCGTGGATGGCTGCTACTTCTGCGACGACTACGGCTGCCACCACTATGCCTACGACTACTGCGACAACTACGGCTGCGACTACTTCGACCACTACGACGACGGCCGCTACGGCTACCGTGAACATGGCCGCGAGTACCGTCGCGACAACTCCGCAGACTACTACGACCGCGACGGGGACTATCATGGCTATGGTGGGGACTACCACGGCGGTCACGGGGAATACTACGACCAAGGCTACCACGGCGATGGCTACTACCACGGCGATGGCTACTACCGCGACGGTGGCTACTACCGCGGCGACAAGTACAATGGTGAAGAAAGCTACGGCAAACCCTACAGCTATGGCAACACCGAGACGTACGGGTACTCCGAGTCCTACGACACCCCCAAGACGTACGGCTACTCCAAGCCTTCCTACGACACACCCAAGACGTACAGCTACTCCGAGCCTTCCTACGACACCCCCAAGACGTACGATGCCCCCAAGACGTCCAGCTACTCTGAGGTTTCCTACGATGCCCCCAAGACGTACGACACACCCAAGACGTACGACGCCCCCAAGACGTCCAGCTACTCCAAGCCTTCCTACGACACACCCAAGACGTACAGCTACTCCGAGCCTTCCTACAACACCCCCAAGACGTACGATGCCCCCAAGACGTCCAGCTACTCGGAGGTTTCCTACGATGCCCCCAAGACGTACGACACACCCAAGACGTCCAGCTACTCCAAGCCTTCCTACGACACACCCAAGACGTACAGCTACTCCGAGCCTTCCTACGATGCCCCCAAGACGTACGACGCCCCCAAGACGTCCAGCTACTCCAAGCCTTCCTACGACACACCCAAGACGTACAGCTACTCCGAGCCTTCCTACGATGCCCCCAAGACGTACGACACACCCAAGACGTCCAGCTACTCCAAGCCTTCCTACGACACACCCAAGACGTACAGCTACTCCGAGCCTTCCTACGATGCCCCCAAGACGTACGACGCCCCCAAGACGTCCAGCTACTCCAAGCCTTCCTACGACACACCCAAGACGTACAGCTACTCCGAGCCTTCCTACGATGCCCCCAAGACGTCCGACTACTCCAAGCCTTCCTACGATGCCCCCAAGACGTCCGACTACTCCGAGTCCTACGGCACCCCTGAGACTCACGGGAATGGCAACAAGTACGGCAACAACGACTCCAGCTACGGCCACGACGACCACGACGACTACAGTGGTGATGGTGGCGACTACTGCAAGGGGGATTACTGCAATTCTACGTACGAGGAAGCTGAGTACCACCCGTACTCCAACACTACGTACACTGCGGCGGTGTGAAGTCGGTTTGTCCAGTCCTCTGAGCGAGGCGCTTCCTATGATGGTTCGGATGTATTTGGAACAATATAACACCACTCGTTTGAACACGCGCGGTGTGAACGTGGATGCAGCCAAAAATCCTAACCTTGCATGTCGTTTGTCGCATGGGAATTTGTATCACGTCATGGAGCGGGAGCGTTAGTCTGTTCTCCACTGGCTGACGCTAGTCGTCCGCAGGCTACGGCAGTAAATGCTCGTCAAAGTAAGGCTTTCGCTTGTCCTCCCCTTCCACTATCAGCCCCTCTGGATGCCCGGCCGTATCCGTAAACAGAGCTTCTCCGGGCCCAACGACTACGAACTCCGATACCATCGCCGGCATTCCAGCACTCGAAAACGCCCCGCGCACGCGCTCCGACTCTCGCTGAACCCCACCCGTGTCACTGACAGCAACTGTCAAGAATGGCTGGACCACCAGACGAAGAATCGCGCCGCGCCGCGCCTCCACGAGGGGCAAAAGAGCGTTGACGCAGTGGTGAAGGTCATCTTCGACGCCGTCTTCCGACGGGTGCTCGTCCATGCAAATGTGGTCATGGCATGGTGTCGCGGGGTGCAGGGTGGTGCCGAGCGCAAGAGTACGCAGAGCCGGGCAGGCCGCGAAGCGTCGGAGAGACGGCGAGGCATCCGAATCGGCTCCCCCAACCATCGCGAGCGCGGCGAGGGCGGAGAACGCGTTGACGACGAGGTCCGCGATTACATAAGTACACCAACACGAACTCCGCGCCGGCCGGCTCTACCATGCCGGTGTAGAATCGTCCTGCGTCGCCGCTGACGGTGAGCGCGTCGAGGCGCGGCATGCTCAGCAGCGCGGAACATAGAACACCTCGAGCGAGAGCTTTACGAGGTGCGCGCTGCCAGCCTGGCACGACAAGCTTAGGGCGGACCACAGGGAGGCGTGCCAGGAGTCCAAGGCGCGATTGTCAGAGTCGAGGAATCCGTCGACCTATACGGAGGGAAGCCGGGCAGAGGCGTTCAGTCGGCGCATAGTACCTCTCGACGGATCTTCCTGGGTAGCGGGCATACTAGTGGACCTGAGGAGAAGGCGTACGACGAGATTCCCGCCATCTCTTCCATACGGCTCAGGGTGTCTAAACGACACCCGAGCGTGTACCTCGAAGGAAGCGTCGGTGGAGAGAGGCGTACTACACGGTGGTGGGAAAAGAAAGACGCGAGCGGAGAACTCTGAAGGCACGGGGTATAGCCGGGTGTTGGTGTAGCGACGGTGCTGCACGGAGACCTAGGACGGTGGAGCAAGGTTTTCGATGCCTTCGGGGCCATATGAGCCATTTGTCACCAGGGAGCGGAGGTGGGGGAGAGGTGCAGGTAGTACCGCTGGGGTGAGGTCCATGCTTTCTAAATAAATAGTTCCACCCAATTGGAAATGCTCCAGACGTGGGGTGTTCTCCAGAACAAAGAGAATCGTGTCTCCTCGCAGGGAAGTGCCCAAGCCAACACAAAGGGACAGGTGGGTGAGATTAGGGAACAAGTTCGTCGGGGTTCGGTAACCAATCGAGAAAAGCGCGAGTGCCTTGAGCTTTTCGAGGCTGGCCCGTGGGTGAGTGACGGCTGAAGAGCAGTTGGAGATAAGCAGTCTATCAGTCTAGATCGGTCCTAATCGGGGTTTCCCACGTGTCTCTACACCCAACTGCGTCGACTGCCAGATCATGTACCAGGATATACCGCGACCGTGATCCCCGTTCCAGGAAGCCAATCGTGCACGAAATAACTGCATTAACAGAGCCGGAGAGAGATCAACGCAAACCGTCCGCAAGCTACACTACGGCAAAAAGTGTTCGTCAAAGTACGGCTTCCGATCACCAAGGTCCCAGTACTTCTCTTCCTCCTCGACGACCCACGCCCCGGGACCTCCAATGTCCGCGAACAGAGCCTCCCCCGGTCCAACCACCACGAACTCGGGCACCATCCCTGGCACTCCCGCTTCGTCGAACGCCCGCCGCACGCGCGTCGACTCTCGCTGCACCCCTTCCGTGTCCCCCGCCGCGACGACCAAGATCGGCTGCACCGCCAGACGACGGAGCGCGCCGCGGCGCCCTTCGACGAGGGGCGCGAGAGCGTCGGCGAAGCCGACGACGTGCTCGTAGTTGTCCCGGTCCGGGCACTCCGTCGTGCAGCAGTCGCCGTCGCACGGGCCCGCGGCGTGGAGCGCGGTGCCGAGCGCGAGCGCGCGCAGCGCCGGGCACGAGACGAACCTGGTCGTCTGGGGCGCGCGCACCGCGAGCACGGTGGCCAGGGCGGCGAACGCGTCGATCACCGGGTCCGCGTCTTCGTACACCATCACCTCCTTGGGGCTCCCCTTCGTGCCGGCGTCGAAGGCCCTCGCTTCGCTGCCCGCGTAGCCCAGCGTGTCGTCCGGGGTGAGACGCACGGTGAGCGCGTCGAGGCGTGGCGTGTGCTCTAGCGCGGTGCAGAGGCCGTTGACTTGGGTGTGGAAGACCTCGAGGGACAGCGTGGCGAGCTGTGCGCTGGCTTGGCTCGTGGAGAGGGCCGACCAGAGGAAGGAGTGCCAGTGCTTCACGTAGCGGTTTTCTTGCGTGAGGAACCCGTCGACCCACACGGAGGGTAGCCCAGATTCATGCGCCGACGGGTTCAGTGACGGTCCCGGCGGAGCGTGCGTGGCGATATGAGGGGGATTCACGGGCTTCATCAGAAGGCGTACGGCATGATATAGGGTGTCATCCCTTCCACATGGCTCGTGTCTGGAAGAGACCCGGGCGTGCACTTCGAAGGAAGCGTCCGGGCCAGGGGGAGCAACGCCTGGGGGTAGAAACGGGAAAATGCGAGCGGTGAACTCTGAGGGCCCAGATGGTGGCCAGACGTTGGTACATTGGCGATGTTGAACGGAGACAGATGACGGAAGAGCGAGATGATCGAATATCCGGATGGTGTCGTCTTCGTCGGTGCGATTGGTCACCAGTGAGCGGAGGTGGGGGAGAGGGATGGGGAGCATCGCGGGGAAAGAGCGCAAGTGTTTATACCTGAATCTGGCCACATGGAGGTGCTCCAGGCGCGGCGTGTGCGCCAAAACGAGGAGAATATCGCCCGCTCTGCGGAGGTTGTACTGGACTCCAAGGAACAGGTGGGTCAAGTTGGGGAACGAGTTTGAGGGTATCCAGGATCCAATCCCAAAGAGGGCGGCTGCTTTGAGGTTGTTGAGAGTAGGATCCTTCAGGATAGTGACTTGAGCAGCATTTCTGCCACTCCCATCACACGATGTTTCTCCGAAAAACAGGCTCAACACCTCTAGCTGCGGTAAGTCTTGAGCGACGAGCCATTGGGGCAGGTACGGTCGGCGGGTGTTGTAGACGCTAGCGTCCAGTCGTCGCAAGCGCGTGGCCGTTTTAGCTATCACATGTATGTTTGATATGTCCTTGTCGTTGACATAAAGCGACAGGGGGAGAGACTGGGACCTGGTGACAAAGACCTTCGAGCGGGAAGGACTGGTGCCGTCAAATCGAGTCCACAAGTGAGGACATGATACGGCGATCGTGCGCCATCGCCTGCAGATGTGGGTGAGGTTGATCAGAGGCCGGAGGTCTAGTTGTATGTCCCAAGGATCGCGATAAGTGGACCAATGGGGACCGTACTGGTCGTCACACTTGAGAGCGAAAGTGGGTCCATCTTCTGAGATATCCCACGTCACATGCTGAAAGATCCGAAGGAGGACCTCTTCTGGGCAGCGATTGACTGGAGCTCGAGCATTCAAGATGGTAGAAAGCCGGGAAGGGATGGATGTCGAGATGTCGCAGATAGCAGCAACCGCGGCCAGCAGCTGCCTTCGTTGTTCCTCAGCCCTAAGTAAAGACCGAAAGGTAGATGCCTTCGCTTGATCAGTACTGCTGTGTCGCAGGGTTAGCCTTAAACCATGGTGGGGACTTTGGGCTAGAGTGGACGTACTGAGCGGATTCTACCAGATTGGTCCATTCGCTGATCAAGGCGTCTGTCGCGGTTCTGAACTGGGTTACTACGAAGTCGACCGCAGTCATTGTCGCGCGTCCTGACCGGGGAAAGGTGGGAAAACCAAAGGACTTGTAGTCCACTTTTTTTCGAACCAGGGCCTGAAAAGCAAGTGAGGTAAGCAGCGAACATCCGCAACGGCCTTGTTACCGAGCGGCGGCGGGAGCCATGAGCGGATTGGTCAGAATTCCCACGCGCCCGCCTTTGGTCAACAAGTACTGATCGACCTGTTCGGACCTGTCCTGCTGATTATCCGCCTGAATTAGGCCCAAGGAAGGCAGGGAGAGCGTCGCCGCGATTATAAATAACTACACTAGTCGCTACAGTAAAGCAGATCGTAACAGCAAGCACACGGCCGCGCGGCGGTCCGTGCACGTCCGAACAGCACCAAAGCTGGCCACAGACCACAGCAAGGAGGAGGAACGAGCGGAGAAGGTCAAGTCGAGGGCGGTCACTGGTCGTCACATCGGCCTCATGTCCTCCGGTGACGGCGTCCTCGGCTTCCGGTTGATCCACGCCGTCGTCCCGCCCGCCGTCGGCGTCGCGGGGCTGTCCGGCGCGCTGCCGGGCCCCGGACGGGCGACGAGAACGCGAACCCGGCGGAGCGCAACGGGCTCTTCGGCGGGATCGGCGGGAGCGGGCCGCGCGCTGACGAGCTCGGCGAGATGGGCGGGAGCGCGCGGCGCGCTGGGCTCGGCGGGTAGTAGTCCTCCGCGGTGAGCGCGACGTCCTCGCGCGGGTAGTACACGAACGGCCCGTCCCGCAGCGGCGGCGGCGGCACGGGCAGGGGCGCAGCCATGGCCAGCGGCGGGTCGGTGAGGTCGTACGAGCCCGCGGAGGTGATCGAGAGCACGTCCGCGTACGTCTGCGCGTCCGCCGCGGAGGGCTCGTCGATCGGGACGTTGGCCGGGACGGTGTCCGCGAACGGGTTCTGCGGGCGCACGGGGACGGGCGTCATGGGCAGCGGGCCGGAGATCGCGAACGCCGCGGCGCCCACACCCCCGCCCGCGACGGGCGCGACTTGCGTCATGAGCCCCGCCTCGGCGGCGGCAGGCCCGACGGGCGGCGGGCCCTGCGCGTTCTTGGTGCGGACGAGGATGAAGATGATCGCGGCGAGGAGGGCGAGGACGAAGAGGGAGGCGACGACCGCGACCGTGATGATGATGGGCTTCGAGATCCCGCCAGAGGCGAGCGCGGTCGCCCTCGTGTTCGAGGTGGGCCCCCCGGCCGACGTCGCGCTGCCGTTCGCGCCGCCGGGCCCGGTGGGCACCTGGTTCCCGCTCGAGTCCGTCGGGAAGGCGGTGACAGCCGTGCTTCCGCTCGCGTCGGTCGTGGTGACCGTCTTCGTGCCCGTGACCGGGTTCCGGTTCGAGTCTGTGAGGGTGGGGGCGGCCGTCGAGACCGGATTGCCGTTCGAGTCTGTGGGGAACGCCGTGGTGATGGTGCTCCCGTTGGCGTCCGTGGTCGTCGCCGGTGGCGTCCCGGTAGCTGGGTTCCCGGTCGAGTCGGTGGGCACCGCGGAAGGAGTTCCAGTCGAAAGTGGGTTGCCATTCGAATCAGTCGCCGTAGTGGTCGCGGTGACAGAGCTTCCCCTCGAGTCAGTTGGAGTGGCGGTCGAGACAGGGTTCCCGTTCGAGTCCGTAGGGAAGACAGTTGTGATGGTGCTCCCATTCGCGTCAGTAGTGGTTGCCGTTTCAGTACCCGTGGCCGGGTTCCCGTTTGAGTCAGTGGGCGTGAGTGTCGAGGTCGAAGTCGGACCTGCATTGGAGTCCGTAGCCGTAACGGCGAGCGTTGTAGTGACGGGGTTGCCATTGGAGTCCGTAGTTGTTGTAAGGGTACTAGAGGTGGAGCTTCCAGAGGACGTGGTGGGGCTCGAGGTCTGAATCGGGCCTTGACGCGTGGCGGTGACGGTCGAGACGGCAGTCGGGGTAGACGCGTCGGATGTAGTAGTCGTAGATGACGAATCTACATGGGACGAAACGTCAGCTGGTGCGGGACGCCATCCGAGACCCACGGGGCGGCGATGCACTTGGAGATTGCGCGAGGCGAAGCGAGCGCGGACAGGAAAGCACTCACCATCCGCACCGGTGGTGACGACAAGCGAGTCGAACGTGAGCTGGCTCGTGTTGTTGAAGCGGGCATCGGCGAGGTTGACTACGTGCAGGACATGCTGGACGGTGGGATCGAGGCCGGTGAAGGAGAAGATCGGTTCCTATCCGTGCATCATCCGTCAGCGCCCTGCTCACAAGACATGTCTCGAGGCCCTCGCTCGTGGCGGGACGTATGCGACCCTGCACGCGCCGTGTACGCAGCTGCTCTTGCATAGCAGATCTCCAGAAACGGAAGACGGAATGCGAGACTCACCGGAGGCTGCGAGCCGTTCTCATCGTCCGCGTGGGCGTCGACCCGGAAAGCATTGGGTCCGGTGTCGGATGTGGAGGCGCAGTCGATGCAGGCGAAGTAGAGTGCGCCGGTCTGGACGAGGAAGCCCTGGTAGAAGACGGCGGATGTGTTCGCTGCAGCCGCGAGGCAGCGTCGAGTAGGCGCCCACGGGGGAGAATGAATGTGCGGGGTCAGCGTGGGTTCAACGCGGGCGCCCTCGAATCGGACGAGCGGGACGACAGAGGCACTCCGCGCGATCCGAGGGTGCAAAGGAACGGTGCGGCAGGGTGTGAAGGGGGGGAGGGACTTACGAGGGAGAACGACCTGCATCTGCTCGCCCACAGCGTCTGTGAAGGCGAAGTCCTGGCCCTCGAACTGCGCCAAGTTCCATCCGCTGGAGAAGGAGACTCCGGAGCCGTCGAACCGGAGGGTGCTATTGGAAGCCGCCGCCGCTGCCGCCGCCGCCGGGGCGCAGAGGAGCGGGAGAAAAAGGGTATATAAAGCAAAGAGGAAGTTGAAGGGGGCGAGAGAGAACGAAGAGAAAGGCATTAGGATGGATGCTCAGCATACCGTGCGGGAGGAAGGCGAAAGAAAAAGGAGAGGGAGAAAGGGGAAAAAAGATGAAGGACGACCTCCCGCGCGCAGACGGCGGCGGCGGAGCAGACGACGGCGAGGAAGACAGCGACCGGGGGCGGCGACCTGGGCGCGGGGACCTGCGCCGCTGCGCAACGGCTTTGAATTTGAGACGCCGAGCTCGTCCGATGACACCAAAGACGTCCGTAGGCGAGCGTCCGCCCCGCGTCCTCCGCGCCGGGCGTGCTTCAGCCAGGGCGGGCGCACGTTATCGCTCCCTGGAGCCAATCGCGGGCGAGGGCGAGTGATGATCAGCTCGGGAGAGATGACGGGCGTGCACTGCTCTCTCGATGGTCGTTGTAAATACCTCCGGTTCGCTCACCCCGCCAGGTCGTATTTTTGGCCAGCGGGCGACCGAGGCGAGGGGATCGTGTGGAGAGGACCGACGCCTGGACCTGGTCGGGAATCACTTTGAGCACAACATACCCACAGCACGGACTTTACGCGCTCACGCAGTCCATGATACGGCAGCAAGCCGTGACACACCGACTCCGCCGACCCCGCGGTACATGTTTCCGTTGCGAGATATCACCATCCGGTGCTGTGGCCACATCACAGACGAACAAATCCCCGTAGCTGGCCGCCCCGAGGATTCGACCTTTTCCGGCAGGTGAGCACTTGGCCGTCTTGTGTTTGGAAGTAAGGCGAATGACTAAACAACGTGGAGGCGCCGGCGTAGGAGAGGACCCCAGGATCAGAGCATGCGAGCCTTGCGGAACGGTGCCGTGTGCTGGGGATAAGCGATCGAAGAAGCCCGCTGACGGTCTTGATGTAAGATGCGGGGCATGTACACGTAAGAGCGGACTCGGTCTGGGGTGCCTTCTGTCCTCGGGATGTTCATGGAGGATTGACATAGGACGCCAGAAGACGCCGGGTGGTGGCTCTACCGGGGCAGAAGCGCCCGAACCCTGTTTGACGGTCCTGTGGGTTTTGAACCCGAGGAAGCTTCTATGTCCGGACTGTTTGAACCCACTCTCTGTGGATCCCGCGGCCTGGGCCCAGTGCCCGTTCTGGGAACGGAATCGCTCGGCCACTCAAACAACACCAAGCGCGTACAAACGAGGCTCGGGGTTGGCAAATGTGCGACGTCCTGTGTCGATGTGCTATCGCGGAAGTGTCAGAGCGGTCGCGCGGAGTGGCAAGGAAGGCGGAAGAAGAGGAGCTAGGCCGGAGACTGGCGAGAATGCGTTCAATGGCGGAGAGAGGCCGTGGACAGATGGGGTGTGCGGGTGAACACATCCTTGGATCAAACGCTGAGCTTGGTTGGCACCGTCGGGCTGGGATGCCGTCGTAGCGGCGGGCCGAGGCCGATGGCAGCAGTGGCGGAGGCTCGCGGGCCGGAGCGGGGCACAACTGAGACCTCGGGGGCTTGTTCGGCTCGCAGGCCCATTAGACCCCCGGAGGACTAATGAGGCAAGCGGCGGCTTAAGGCGGAGGGTGAGATGGATCGGGCGCGTGCCGTAAGTGTGGCGGGCACAACCTTTGGCTCGTCGCCTTCCGTCGCCCACAGCTACCCCCACTTCTCTCTCCGCCCCCACCCCCATGCCGCCCGCAGGGTACGTCGTGCGCCCCCACTGCCCCCGCCTGCTCACCCGCCCCACAGCTCCCACGGACACCAGCGCAAGCACCTCGCCGTCAAACGCGCCGATGGCCAGCCCCTCACACGCGTCGACCTCCAGTATGACATGCTCTACGCCATATTCAACGACCCCCAAGCCGTCTTCACCGACCCTCACAACACCATCCGCGGCTATCCCCCCCACTCCAAGGTCTCCTTCCGTGATCTCTACGTGAACGCCCTCATCCACTCCCCCAAGTGCTCCCGCGCCCTCCGTGACAAGATCAGGGAAAGCCCACTCTTCGGCAATGAGTTTGGGATGATCTCACTGCTTTCCAACGTCGGGCGCATCAACACCACCATGGCCTGTAAGTCTCTCTTGCTCTCATCATCCCCATCGCTGGTTTGCCCCTGTCGTGCGCGTCTACCCCGCATACATCCATGCACCACTCCCCTGGGATCCCCACTGACCCCGTACGCGCGCCTAGTTTTTCCTGAAATGAAGACCCAGTTGCGCACCTACCACCCAGTACCTGCTCTGCAACAGACAAAGGGCAATTTGCAGGATGCCCCTCGCATCAAAAACATACTCAAGACTTGTTTCCTCCAGAACGAGGCGCAGGGGAATGTCACAACTCCCAACGACGTTCTTGCCCGCACCGTGAGCACGATTGCACACTCTCCGCCCAGACGATATTAATCCCTGCCTGTTAGCGTTCAAATCAGATCCCACCCACCAGCATCGTGAACCTGGTTTTCGTCTTCGCGAGCCACTCGTCCGTACGCCTTCGCTCGCACCCTCCATCCACCTCGTCCCATTGACGCCGGATGATCTCACAGACAGTGGCACGGTCACACTTCACCCCTCGTTCATACGAGTTCCTTGACCTCTTCACTCCGATCAAAGTGTCTTCACAGTCGAGAGCACAGGCTTTCCTCTGGCTCTGCTACCATTATTACGAAGGCTCTGTAGGAAATCCGTTCCGTGCACCAGACTCTGAAGAGGGCTCCGAAATGGCCCCTCCTTTCGTCGCCTTGTCAGATGCCCAGTTAAAATTGGAGAACGTCGATACGCCTGAAGAGATCCAACGTGGGAAGGACATGATATCCCAGAGGAGTCTCGTTCAGAGCACACGGGACCATCTAGCCGCCCAGGAGGACGTGGCAGAGGCAGCGCGACAGCAAGCTCTCGGCTTGACAGGACGCGGCAAAGGGAGGAGCAGACTCGCCCAATCTACGTCCGCCCTCAGCACGAGAGACGTCACGCCAGCAGATAGCCATTCCTCGACACCGCATCCATACCACGCCGACGCCTTCGATGGTACGCTCGCGGCTCCTCCGTCGTTTTTGCCACTCAATGACTGAACGTCCCACAGGACCAGGGCGGAGGCAGCTCACATCCTCGCACTCTGACAGCCTGAGTTCTCGTCGAGTATCCACTCCTCCTTATGTGCGGGGCTCCTTGCACGCGTCCACACATGAGGCAGCCCCATTGCCACGCACCCCGACCGAGCTTTATCCCGACCGAGCGGCTAGCCCCTCTGCTGACCTGCTCCAACATAGCAATGGGAAGCCGACGAGGAACTCACGAAAGTCCCATGGGCATACTTTGTTCCACCCTATTTATCCCCGTGAGCCGCATGGCCCGACAAGACGTGCGTCGCACCCCCATCTCATGGTTGAGAGGTATCAGCCTGCGTCCCTAGATATTCCAGAGAGAACCATGCTTGAACGTGCGCGCACTTTCCCCTGTCTTTCATCATATCCCTCCATTGACGCGGCTCGCTTCCCAGAGGCCATGCACGTCGTGTTGACCAGAGACCCTCTCTCCGACTCGGACGACGAGATATATGGGGACGAGAACACGCGCCGCGATTACAGTACGCCGCTTCTTCCGCTGAGTTTCGGCCTGCCCCTCACCATCCTTCACTCCTTCCAGCTCGGCGACTGCGTGTGTTAGCCGCCTTCGCGGCAAGGACCCAACCCCGGAGCCGGAGCCGGTCTATCAGCCTTCGTACCCCGCGTCACTTCGAAAAATTCTCGCATAGTGCGCGGCCACCACCCATCTCGTCCAAAGCATGGAAGCGCGGACGGGTCCGGATGGCAGGAATAGACTTTGTCTTGCAACCGTACACTGCTGACGCCGTCCACCTTCTTCTCCATCTCCTCTTTCAGACCCGCGGTCGTCGGGCCCGTCGCATCTCATAGACCACAGCCGCATATGCTTTCTTCTTCCGAGTTCCAAGCCCGCTCACCGCCCCCACCCATCTTCGCTCGCACCCCACGCCACTGATATACCCCGCCACTCCATGCCCCTTCCCCGTTCGTTCGTCTTATGCTGTGTTCATCCCTGTATCATCCATAGCTTCTCGCACCCTTGTACCATCGCCTGCCAGAGCCCGTCACCCGTCTCACGCCACCGCGTCCGTGCATCCATCCGCCTCGGACACAACCGCACTTGCCGCCCGCCCCGCATCCATCACGTCCCCCTTATTCTCTATATAGACCCGTGCATGCCTTCTCCCTCCCCAATAACCGCGCGCGCGCGCGCGACCGCCGGTCCCGCCACGCGGGCTCCCGCGGCCGAACGACATTCGCTCGTCGGGCGCGCGGTGGTTCCCGCTCACGAGGCTGTACATGGGCACGCAAGCCAGTGGCAAGTGGGACCCTGGAGGTGCGCGGAGGTCCACCGCCGCTGCGGGAATGGAGGATCGGCCCGGGATGTTCGCGTTGCCGCTTTTGTCCAGTCGGGTCCGGGGGCCCCCAGGCTCCGCAGGCGAAATTAAAACACGATCAACGAGTGTCCGTGATCTGCGCGCGCGGTGGGCGCGCGAGCGGCGGAGGGGGAACCATTTCCGTTTCTTTTGATCAAGTACCGAGCAGCGCTCGGACGGGCGGGGTGCCCGACGGGAGGGGAGGACGAACGAGAGTACCTGCGAGGATATCGACCGTTTGTCGCTGGGCGAGGCGAAAGTGAGTACTTGTAGGGGTTCCTGAGCATGTGGAGACATGTCTGTGCGCGCGCGGAGAGAGGGAGCTCGGGAGTCTATACGGTAAGCATAATTATACAGATGTGGGGAACCAGGCCAGATCGAACCAAACGTCGCAGGTAGAACAAGGGAAGCGAGACGAGAGAAAACAAGTGCAGAGTGTCAGGTAACCAAGGATGAAGACGAAGGGAGACGCGTGTGCATGCCGGCGCGTCGCGGTGGGCTGCTACCAGTAGAGATGCGATACGTACGTGGGGACAGACTGTGTGTGTATGTACGGTGCATATGAGTGAAACACATGAAGGGGGCCGCAGAGATGTGAGACGGAGAGAGGCGAGGGCGGGGTAGATGGGTGGGGGTAGGTAATGGACAAACAGAGTACATGGGGGGTTCGAAACAAATGAATTCAACAACTGGGCCGCCGCCGGACTGTCCACGAACGACGACGAAGACAATCGTAGCCTTCTATCCTTCCTTTGCTACAAATGCATGCTCCTTCCGCACCTCCCGGCGATCTCACACAGCACGCGCAAGCGTGCCGGCAGATGCGGAGAGCCTTAATGAAGCTGATGTCGACAAGGGGACCTGGAGCGACAGCTGATGGGCGGCGAATGGTTCGAGGGCAGGACTGGACTCCAGAGTCACGGGTGATGCGCCTTATTCCGCAAGCCACTTCTCGCACTTCTTGACGTACTTGTCGAGGAGAAGGGCCATGTCACGGATAACGAACGTCAGGACGACCTTGGCAAAGAATTCGGACGCGTGCCGGAGCTTATTTTCGATTGCGTTGCGGCAGTCGGGAGGGAAAGCGGCGTAAAGAGGCGCGGTACTTTGCGGAGAGGCGGCCTTGGTGTGCTCATCAAGGATTTGGGCAACCATGAAGAGCCTCGACAGGCCCTGAACATACAACGCGGGCGAATCGAGGCTGTGGGTACGATCACGAAGACGAAGAACCTTGATTAGCATGTGGATGTCAACGAAAGATTGCAACGCAGACGTACTTCTTGCCGTTCGTGATCTTGTCGAGTTGACGCGTCAGGCGTCCACCCCACGAAGTGACCTGTTTGAACTCCGGTCAGTTTACGCTCAAACGAGGACCAGAAATGCGTAAGCGGGGTAGTAAATGTCGGGATAGCGGGGGATACGACACTCGCGAAAAAAACAGTGGGCGCAACACTCACCCCGCTGCTCTTCTTGGTAGCGAATCCCTCACCGACACCGAGCTTCTTGCCAAACTGCCCCACAACGCCATCACACACGCTCGTGAATTCTTCGAGCTTGGCCGCCCAGAGGTCGCCCTCCTTGCGGCCGATTGAGCCGATGCCAAAAGCCATCCCCGAGCTGACATTGCCAGCGCCGAAGTACTCCGCGGACCAATGCTGCACCTCCTCCAGCGCAGAGCAGAGGACCTCGACGACGCGGATCTTCTCGGGCACGTTCGTGAGCTTCGCACCGCCCTGCGACCACACCTCCTGCGGAACGTGCAGTCGACGGGTTATGTAACCGCCCGTCTTGGAAGTCATCGTCGTCCGGAGGAGGAACATCATGTGGTACGGCTTCCGGGTCGGGTCTGGCGGCGCAGACGTGGGCAGCGGTGAGAGCGGCGCGGCGGGAATATTGGCATAGGGTATCGGCGGAGGTGGGACGAGCGCAGGTGAGGTGAGCGAGAGCCCCGACAACGACAGAGGCGGGGAAAGAATCGCGGTGTTGACCGTGATTTGTGGAGGCTGCGATGGGTTAAGCCGCGAGGGTATGGAAACCTTCCGTTGCGCGGGGGAGCCAGCTGGCGCGCCGGGGAAGGGTGCGGGGTATGAGTTAGCTGATACAATGGATGGGCGTCGTCCTGGCTGCGAAAGCGCACGGTTGCGGCCGAGGCCAAGACTCGACTGCGTGCTCGACGGCAACGCGGATGCTATCCGAGAGCCCATGTTAGGTACAGAAGCGGCGGAAATTGGGGAGTCGGTGGGGGAGGACGCGTCGCTTCCACTGCCTGGCGGAGCGGACGACTTGCCACGCCGTTGGTGAATCGTGCCTAATGCTGGGGACGCGTTGATCAGCGTTGCTTTCGCCATAGGAGTGACCTCCGAACGGGTGGAGATGGTGGACCCTCCTCTGGGTCGCGGCGTCATGAAACTGCCAGGACTGCCCGGAGGAGGTGAAACCGGTTCGACTGTCTTGGGCGTGACAAGCTCCGGGGAAGGCGAGGGTAATGGCGGAAGGGGTGGAGAGGCGCCATGTGGATGAATGTTCAACCTTGACTTGGAACGGGGAGGCTCTTCAATTGTCGGACGCTGTGGTTGCTGTTGCTGCGTGGTCGAGGAGCTACTGCCGTAGACGGGCTCCTCCCGCAACGCAGCCAGCCGACTTCCTGAGTTGTTGCGTTTGTGGCTTACAGAGTTGCCACGACTCCTTGTGGACATCTCTGCGGGCCGCAGGGTGTGTGTTGGCGTCAGTTCCGGGTACTCCGGTTTCGTAGGTGAAGGTGCGGGGGGAGGAAGTGATGTGGGGAGCGGCGCTGGAGGTGGGAGCGTTGACGGTGCTCTTGACCTGGATCGAATCACGGAGGCACGCGAGCCGGAGGCAGCACCAGATATTGGTGACACCAACGATGGGGATGCCGCGGCGGCATACGGGTGTATGGGTGACGGACTATGTTGGGATTGGAGGGAGCGCATCGAAGGGGATAGACTTGTGTAACTGCTGTTCCTGCTCAGAAGCTCCGACTCGTCATCCGTCGTGCTTTCACCGCGCATCGTCTCGCTTGAGTGCCGATTGTCATGATCGCGAGTGCGAGAAGGGGAACGGTTGCGGGAGCCGATATCCGATGCCGAAGCCTCCGAAGTTGGTGATATTGACGCGGGCGATGAGGGACGGGTAGAATCGCTGGAGACAGACATCGAGGACATTGCTGGCGGTGAGTGAGGGGGGAGGGGGATGTCGTACACGACGCTAAGGATGTTCATCCTATCCGCGTATGTGTCGTGCTGTATGTGCGGCGACGGAGCAGGGCAGTGGCTTAGATCGCAAACATAGGTGCAGAGGTAGATACTCACAATGGACTTGAGCCGTCGAACCTCCTCCTCCTGAGCGACGACGCTTCTTCGCCGTCCGTTCTTCCGCCTGTGGCTCTCCGTACTATCCTCTCCCCGCATGACGCGCTCCATTACTTCGCTCAGAAGAGCAACGCTCTTCGCGTAGGCCATAACAGCACCATAAGGGTCGTCATTGGTTGAATCCAGTTTTACCGCTTCCCGGGCGAGTTCCAAGGCGCGTGTAAGGGCGCGACGCGACGAAGGGCGCTGGCCGGAGGAGCGATGGTTGTCCATGGGAGCGAGCAGGCGGTCGAGGGAGGACTCCTGGGAGGGCGGGGGCGGCTGTGCGGGGGGAGGTTGGGGATTGCGGAGGATCGAGGGAGGGGGAGAGTCGGCGAGATGGTCGGGGACGGCGTCTGGGATGGGAGGGGAGGTCGAGATGGAGGCGTACCGGGCCTGAGAGAATGCGGTGACGGCAGCAAGGCCAGGGGAGGGGGAGGGGCGGGCATATGCTGTGGTCATGCTGGGAACATCGGGGGCTGATCCTGATGCATCCGGGAGGCCATCATAGGACTCGTAGCGCGAGAGACCCATGGCCGGCGGGAGGCGGGGGATGGGCTGTGTTGGCGGCGGGCCCGGGGGAGGGGGAGGGGTGTGGCCCGCGTTAGAGCGACGGCGCGACGCGAAGGTGGACGAGGAGGACGAGGGGGTCCGGCTGATGTGCTACTAAGCGCCCCTGGCCCCCACTCTCGGCCCCTGTGCGCGACCGTGACCGGGCGGGATTCGTAGTCGAGTTCCATCACCGAGCGGATGGCGAGGACTTGGCCGCTGCGCAGACAAGTGTTGCGTTGTCTCGTGCGGGGGTGGGGGGGCGGCCTCTGCCAGCGTCCAACCGGGCGAGTCGCTTGTTCAGCCAAACAAAAGACCCGTTGAAGCTAGTATCCCGTGCTCGAATGAGGGCCTAACGAGCGGGGTGGAAAGCGCGGAGAGACAAGGCCGACAGCGAGGAAGCACAAGCTGGCGGCGTGAGGAGGTGCGGGCCCGGGGGTGCGGGAGGGCCTATATCGGTTGCGCGCCACAACGGGTAGCCGCGTAGCGAGATGGCGGCCTACCAGACGCAGAGATCGATCAATGCAGCGCGAACGTCGTCGGGGACAGCGCGCAGGCACAGCGGGACGGCGGGGGAGGTGGGCGCGCGCGAGAGAGGTTCGGAGCGGAACCAGACGCGGACGCAGACGGCGTGCGGGGTGTCCCAACTGCAGCCTGTCGACACCCGCTCGCCTGCGCGCCCTCGTGCCTCTCCAACCCTCGCCAACCTACTGCTCGTGGCGTGCCCAGCCTGCCAGAGCCTGCCCGCCCGTCGTCCGGCGCTGCCCACACGACAGCCTTCTTTGTGCCCATGTGCCACGGCGGACAGCTGTGCGGCCAGCGACGCTCCCGGTGGTGTCTTTGCCAGTCGCTCAGCGCGTCGGCTGGCCTCGCAACGCATCTGTACCCGCCCTCGCGAACACGCTCCTCGGTTGTTATGGTCGCAGTCTTACCCCCATCACTTCTTCCTTCCCCCCTCAAACCTGCTCATATGGTCTCAGACGCCGCGTCCTTGACCTGGCATACACAAATAACCTGGACGCCAACAGGATCATCGTTTCATACTGACAGAACTATTACGCCGATCCAAAAGAGTGGAAGATTGTCGCACTACCAACATCAGTCTACAAAACACGGAAGGTTCAACAAAGGAGCGAGACGGAAAGCAGCGAGGTAACGCGGAGTTGAGAGGGAACGCCGGCCAGCTAGTAACTCAAACGGGTTATCGTATGTAGCATATCATCCGAGGGGAGGCCCACATGCAACGGGAGAAGAACGAGTGTGAGCCTTGCACACAGGGTATATCGAAATGCGGAGAATATTTTCAAGGAGAGCGCAGTCAGGTCCCTGCAGATCAATCGCGGAACTCCGACTGAGAGCCTTGCGCGGCGAGACGGCTCTCGAGATTCCTGATCGCCATCAAATGAGCATTGGGGTGCCATGACAGCTGAGACAAGCGGCGCATACCTGAGCGACTCTTCCTTGGCAAGCAGCTCCTGCCTTTTCTCGTTGATCTCGCGCTGCACGCGCAGTTCGACCTCGCGCAACTTCTCCTCTTCGCGGCGGAGCTGCTCTTCCTTGAGACGCACACTCTGATTTGCGAGCTCCTCGGGAAGGATGGACGAGTCCTGGGTATCGGAATGGACGGTTCGGGAAAGCTTCTCCGTACGGTAGGTCTCGTAGAGCAAGTCGTGCGTCAGCGCCTTCAGGTCTGCGAGATGGGTGCTTCAAAGCTTATCAGCGATAGTGCGATACTCGAGAGCCAGATGTAGCAACTGACCTGAGAAGAGCTCCACGGAGGCGACTGAAGTCGCAGTGCTTGGGGTTGTCGACCTCAGCAATGCCCCACGGGTAGATCCTAGCGCGGACGGGTTGACCGTCAATCTCGATTTCCTCCTCGGAACCGATGATAGAAAACGGCATCATCGCCTAAAAAGAACATCAGTCCAAGTAACATGCATGCAAGGTATGTGACATACACGGAGCTCACTGTTGTCCTGGATCGTCTCCTCATCATCATCCTCGATGTCGTAAGGGAAGTTGTAGACGGGAATATCGTAGTACTCGATATCCTCCATGACCCGCTTCTTGAAAGCGCGCAGCTCGCTAGGAGTGAGCGAATCCGCCTTGCCAACAACAGGGATGACGTTAACTCGAGGGGACAGGCGGCGCATAAGCTCAATGTCCATCTCCCTCAAACTACAAGACACTTGATGAGACAACGTGTTCTGAGAACTAAGACGAAATATACGTACGAGTGACCAGTAGGAGGGATGAAGTAGAGGAGAGCGTGTACACGGTTGTCGCGGAAACGAGGGTTACGCTTGATACGAGACTCCTCGGCGAGGATGTCGTCATACTGGCGCTCGAGGTACCCAACAATCTCCTGGAAGCTGCATTCGGGTGGACCATGAGAACACTACCACGCCATGGTGGTATATCGTATACATACGCAAACTCGTTGTCGATGTTGTCACCAAAGCCAGGGGTGTCGACGATGGTCAGGGCGATGCGGACACCATCCTCCTCAAGCTCTGTAAAGACATATGAGCGTGTATCGCGCGCAGATGCAAGAGGAAATACTCACCAACGTTCACAGGCTTGATACGAATGCCCTCCTCGACGTGAGCAGTCTCGGGGCTGTCGCACACCTTGTGCGCCAGAACCTCGGACTCACAGAGGGTGTTGACGAAGGTGGTACGTCCAGTACCCGAGGCACCTATATGCCAACGTTCAAATGAGAACAGGAGCACGCGAAAGACACGGGAGGTTGGGACGCTGGGACGCGTGTCCATCCGCAACACGGAAGCATCCGTGCGCGTTGGCGGGCGCAGGCACTCACCAACGACGGCGAGGGTGAACTGGACACCCTTCTTGACCTTGTTTCCCCTGCGGCGACCGGCGAAAGACATGATGACGAGAGGTGGGGGGGGGCGAGCAAGAAGCGGAGAGGACGGCGGACGACGCGAAGGCGACCAGTTTTTGGTGGTCAACGAACACGAAAGCAAGACGGGTCGCTGGCGTCTTCAAACTCCGCTAGTCTGACGCTTATGGGCGCGGGTCGTCCCTTCCTGCTTGGCGCCCATGTGGCGGTTGTGGCCACACTTGCTCAGCTGGGAGGCTCCCAACCACCGCTGTTCCCTGCATGCTCTCTTTCCCCTCCACCTCCATCGCGTGTTACACGAGAAGGTCCACTTCCCTGTACTTCTCGCGTTCTATTGCATCCTCCGTCGCCTTCACCGCACGCTCTACGAAAAACTACAGTGTTCGCCCACCCCGGAAAGTCACCACCGACGAACAGAATGTGTCTGCTTCGGAACTTCTTGACGGCGTATTCACTCATTCAGATGAGTCTCTGAATGCGTCCGAGTCCTCCAATACCCCTTCATGTGCGCCAGCCTTTGCAAGCCGAGTGATTTGCGTTCTAATTTCGATACACGTTGTTATGACGCGTCGAATCAGCTAGCAAGACGCGTGTTTTTTTAGAATCATGCGCACTCAGTCTGGATGAATCATCTCCAGACCTTGTGCCCGCGACATTGCCCCGTCGCACGCGCGGTCGACCCAAGAAGACCGCTGAACCCCTAGTCCCCGCGGCTCGAAAGCGTGGTCGACCCAAGAAGTCTTCTGAAGGCCTAGACCCCGCAGTTGCAAAGACACCGGATGCGACAATACATACATCCTTGGCAGTACGACGCAAAAAGCGTTCAGCGCAGACAGAAGAGACCACCAATGGTACGACCTCGCTTTGTTTTCGCGCATTTCAAGGCGATTGAACGAGGTAGCAGACTCGGACACGTTCTTGCCGAGCACACGTCTTGCCACAGAAGTCTTGGAGAACCTGAGGAACTACCCTCATTGTATTCTGCTCACCCGGGTTGGTCAGTTCTACGAGGTGTGTTCAAATCTAGTGTGTCTTGGAAGTTTACCTGACGCAAATGCATTTAGTCCTACTTCGACCAGGCCAAAGAAGTTGCACAGCTCCTCAACATCAAGCTTGCTAAAAAATCATGGGACGGACAACGCTATTGTATGGCAGGTTTCCCCATCGTGCAGCTGAACAAGTACCTGAAGGTCCTGGTGCAAGATCATCGTCGCTTCGTAGCTATTTGCGAAGAGTTCCCTCGAGATCCTGCACTTGGTGCCAAAGGCGGCTTCGACAGACGCGTTGTGCGAATCGTTACCCCTGGCACTCTCATCGACGAACCCTTCCTGAACCCTTTCGAGAATAATTTTCTGCTCTCCATCACGGCCTCGCAAGCAGAGCAGGGGTTCAACACGCCTGTGGGCCTCGCGTGGATTGATGTCTCAACCGGCGAGTTCTACACCAAGCACGGCGCTCTTTCCACTCTCCGGGATGACTTGGTACGTATCAACCCCAAGGAGGTCGTGCTGGATCAACGCCTTTCGAAAGACGACTCGTCGGCCATTCGTCAATTACTATCAGAAGAAGGTTCATTCGTCTCATATGCCGCAATGCCTCATGAGCCGCCAATTGAAGACGCTTTGCTCTCCGATGGGGACGCATTAAACCCGGACGACGTTACGGCCCAATCAGACGCTTCATGCACCTTGCCGACTCGGTCTTCCGTCGATGAAACCGAGGCCATCCAGCTCCTTGTCTCCTTCATGCATACACACCTCATGGAGCATATGCCGTCACTCATATCGCCAAGTCCTGAAAGCACAACGGGACGAATGTTGATCGACTCGCATACCGTCAAAGCTCTCGAGATTCGCGAGAACCTTGGAGATGGGGGTATGACTGGTAGTTTACTGTCTGTCATCAAACGGACGGTAACTTCTAGTGGTACTCGACTTCTTGCCCGATGGTTGTGTGAGCGCCATAAATTGCTCAGCGAAGACTTATAGCTGACAGGTGTTTCAACTAGGTTCTCCCAGCACGTCGGTCGCCGAGATCAATGCTCGACAGTCGTTGGTCGCGTTCTTTCATTCTCGTGCGTTCTTGAGACAGGATATACTGCAGCATCTACGGGAGACCGAAGACGCATCGCGAATCATCCAGAAACTACTTCTTGGACGGGGTTGCTTCAACGATCTGACAAGCATTTGCATATGCATCGACACATGGGAAAGGATCAAGCAACGTATCATAACTGAGAAGTGGGATTCAGAGGAGCGCTCAGAGTCCCCCGAGTGGACGAACATGGAGGCGTTATTGAATAAGCTAGAGGATCTAAACGCACTGGCAGACCGTATACGGACATCGGTCATCCCTCGCGATTGGACGGCAACAGAAGGCGAGCAATCTGAGCTGCCAGACCCAGCCGCGAGTCCGCCCGCTGGCGCTCGTGATCCCATGAATCCACTTGGACTGGTAGAATGGACTGTCAAGCCCGAGTAAGCCCGTCTTCCTGTGCCTTTAAAGAGGCTTCTCATAGTCTTTCAGATTCTCGGAAGAGCTCATAACACTCCATGAAAAGCTGAGGTCACTCCTGAATACGAAGGATTCTCTAGAGCGGAGACTGCAGATCCAATTCCGTAAGAATTTCGATGACACTATGCATCTCTGATCTGACTTAATGCGGTCTAGTCGCTCCGTCCCTCAAACTACGGGCTTCTCCTGGAGCAGGCATGTTCGTGCACCTGTCACGCAAGAAAGATGCAGCACGACTCAAAGGCAGTCCGGAGTTCGCCCCCTTGTCTGAAAGCAGCTCCACCTGCACGTTTTTCCATTCAGTGCGTCTTCATTTCCTACCATTTTTGTCGCTCACACATATCAATCGATTAGGCATGGAGTCGATTAGGCACAGAGATCAGCCAAACTGCAGTTTCTATCTCGATGGCTGAAAAGCGTGCATTCGAAGATTTGCGACTAGAGGTCTGTGGCTCGTATGCTGTGTCGCTGTGTTATACTGAGATGGCACCAGGTTATCGCCCAGTCTGGGAAGCTGCGCCGGAATGCGAAGATCGTAGACGAACTCGATGTCACGCTTGCTTTCGCTAGTCTCGCCACAGAGATGCGATGGGTACGTCCCGTCGTGAAGGAAGGGTAAGAGCTCATAGAGCCCGCTATGTCGTATCTATCTCCTAACCTTCCCACGACAGAACCGCATATAACGTAGTCAATGGCCGGCATCCCACCGTCGAACTCGGTCTACTGAAAGCTGGCCGCACTTTCGTCCCTAATGCAGTTTCATTCACGCAAGATGCTCAACTTCATCTCATCACGGGCCCGAATATGGCCGGCAAGTCGACGCTCCTCCGCCAGACCGCACTCATGTCCATCCTCGCCCAAACGGGATCCTTCGTTCCTGCGGATCACGCGGAACTCGGCATCGTGGATCGCGTCTTCTCGCGAGTCGGAGCGAAGGACGACCTCTTCAGGGACCGGAGCACCTTCATGGTCGAGATGTTGGAGACCAGTGACATCTTGCACCGCGCAACACCGAATAGCCTTGTGGGTCTATCTCCTTAACTGCTTGCTTGGGCTGTCGCTCACCAAGTGAGTATCATCCAGGTCATCATGGACGAGGTCGGTCGAGGCACGACAACAAACGACGGGCTTGCCATTGCGTTCTCAGCCATCAACCACCTTTTGACTGTGAATTGCTGTCGGGCGATGTTCGCTACGCATTTCCACGAGCTAGCAGATATGCTCGGGCACAACCCTGAGACGCACCGGGGACGTGGACCATTCTCAAAAGTCGCCTTCTACTACACCGATATCACAGAAACCGGGGTGCGTGTAATCTCAAGTTTTTACCAAGATCGACTTCTGATGTGTGCCACAGGACGGATACTTCACTTACACCCACCGATTGAGCTCTGGGGTCAACCGCGACAGTCACGGTTTGATGGTCGCTAAACTGGCCGGGATGCCGCAGCCAATGATCGAAGTTGCGCAATCCGCGCTCGCATGGCTCAAGCAGCGGTCAGCAGAGCGCGTGGGAGACCGGCAGGCCCTTCAGGACTTGGGACAGACACTAGCTACTAATCGCATTATGACACTTGAGACCTAATCACACACTCCTGGACTGGACCCTGGACCTCACGCCACGCCAAACACATGCCGCTCACCAGCTTGCACATCCATTCGATCGGGTACACTACATTCTAGGATATATTCTACAGTACATACTTTTTAGAGACGCAGTGGTTTGGTATCCACTTCACTGAGCACCCGCCGCGATTTGCGAGCGAATATAGTTGAGTGCAGAGCCCGCGCGGAGCCACTTGAGCTGGTCGGTGGACATCGTGTGCTTCACCAGCACCTCGAAAGTTTCACCGCCCTTGCGAGTCACACGTAGGCGAATGTTCGCGTCCGGCATGCCCTCGAGGAGGTCCGAAAAGCCAACGGTTTCAACCACGTCACCAGAGCCGATACGGTCGTAGTCTGCCTTGTCGGCGAACCAGAGAGGGAGAACGCCTTGTTTCTACCCAACGGGAGACGGTCAGTTATGAGAATCAAGACGCGAACACGGGGAACACACCTTCAGGTTGGTCTCGTGGATGCGGGCGAAAGAGCGTGCGACGATCATAGCGCAACCTGGAGGACTGTTGTGAGCTTGAGATACATCTATGGGTAGAAGTCCCCCACCATAGAACCGGGGTTGGAGGGCGGCATGCTCGCGGGCACTGCCTTCGCCATAATTGTCGTCGACAACGAGAGCCCAAGGTTGCTGACGCGCCTTGAAACGCTTAGCCACCGCAGGGATAGTAGCAGTCTCGGATTCAGAAGGAGAATGATCGTGGTCGAAAGCAATGTTAACCTCGCCCCCCTCATCATTTACAGCCTGAAAGTCGATGAGTGGAAGGTCAACCCCGGGTCACAGCAGCACTGACCGTGATAACTGAGAAGGAAGGGGTCAAATGGATGCCTCAAATATAGATCAAAGCACTCACGGAGATTCTCGGAGATGTTAGTGAGATGGCCTTTGTACTTGAGCCATGGGCCCTGGGGAAGTGCAAATCAGTCACATCAACTACAATGCCCTGATTGGGAATGGACGAACGGCAGCAGAGATGTGATCCGTGGTGCACTTGCCCCGCACACGCATCAGCACCTTGAGAGCAGGGAGCTCCAGTTCACGTGCGTTCCCAGAGCCTTCGCCAAAGTGGCTCGAGAACGGCTCGAGAATCTCCAGCCGCTGCGAATCAGGACGGATCACGACTTCGGTCTCAGGCTGGGGCTCAGGCGTCGGCGTCGGGTAGTAGCGCGTCTCTCCGGGAGTGAAGCCTGCCTCGGGCAAATCCTGTCCATGCGGGGGTGAGAAACGGAAAGCTTGACCATTGGGGAGAGGGATGAAGTCCGTCATAGGATTGAACGAGAGCTTGCCGGAGAATGCCATCGCGGTGACGACCGTCGGTGAAGCCAGGAAGTTCATCGTCAGCCGGTTGCCATCATTACGGGACTTGAAGTTGCGGTTGAAGGATGTGAGAATGGCTGAGTACGAATGTGAGTGGTTGGGGTGAGCTGATCGCAAAAAATCGTCACGAACCATTCTCTTCGCCCTGCTTGTCTTCACGCTTCCATTGGCCGATACAAGGCCCACACGCGTTGGCCAGAACGGTCGCTCCGACGTCCTCGAGCTGACTGGTGATTTGGTCACGCTCGATCGTCGCACGGATTTGCTCGGAACCGGGTGTGCAAAGGAAGGGGATTTGCGTCTTCAGCCCGGCTTGTTTAGCTTGTCTAGCAAGATCCGCAACACTGGTCATGTCTTCGTACGAACTGTTTGTGCATGATCCGATGAGGGCGGCAGAAAGTTCGTCCTTCCAGCCTTGGTCCTTCACGAAAGAACCGAACTTAGACAGCGGAGTGGCAAGATCAGGAGTGAAAGGTCCATTGATGGTGGGCTCCAGTTCAGACAGGTTCTGCGAGGTTGCGTGAGCTGTGCATGGAGTAATCGGGTGAGCTCTGGCATACGTACAACTTCGATAACCTCATCGTATTCGGCACCCTGGTCAGCAGCCAAGTAACCGTGGGCTGCTGCTTGGTCCACTGCTTGTGCGACAGGTGCGCGACCGGTAGCTTGGAGGTATGAACGCATGCGCTGGGAATAAGGGAATGTAGAAGTCGTCGCGCCAACCTCGGCACCCATATTGGCCACGGTAGCCAAACCTTTGACAGCGAATCAGGGCGATTGGTCAAGCTTTTGAAAGTTCCCCATACCTGTGCACGATTGGCTGGCCACTCCAGGACCGAAGTACTCCAAAATGGATCCAGTGCCGCCCTAGAATACGGTGAACAAAATGAACCACTGCATTTGTGCGTCCGCTTACCCTAACTGTGAGCTTGCCAGCCAAATGAAGGATGAGGTCCTTGGGCGTAGCCCATCCATTCATCTCTCCCGTAAGCCGCACACCTGGAAGCGATGAGCATACGACTTTCACGGTAAACATATGCCTCGCTGCCTTACCAATGATCTTGGGGGCCTTCAACTCCCAGGGGGTGCCGGTCAGGGCGTCGACAGCATCCGCGCCGCCCACGCCAATTGCAAGCATTCCCAGTCCACCGGCGTTCGGCGTATGAGAATCTGCAAATACCTGAGTGCATGAACAGCGCACTATACTGAAAACAACGAACCTGTTCCAAGCCTGGGCGTGTGTGAGACAACTGAAACGCGACGCTCAAGGGCAAGGATACGCACATGAGCATACCCGGCGCAGCGTAGTTCTCCAGTACAATCTGGTGGATAATGCCCGAGCCTGGTTTCCAGAACTCGATGCCGTACTTGCGCGCCGCGCTCTCAAGGAAGTCAAAGACCTCTTGGTTCGTGACAATTGACCGCTACAACGCAGTGCGTTGAACATGCATGGCGCATCCAACGCAGACAGCGAGAACATACCTCCAAATCCTTCTCAGCACCCTCCGAGGCCTGTATGAGATGGTCACAGTGGATGCTCGCGGGCACCGCACATCTTGACATCCCCGCACTCATAAACTGCAGCCTTGACGGATGGTCTCAGCACAGTCCCGGCTCGCGCGTCATATCTCAGAACTCAGTACTCAATACTCACAGTGCCATCTGCGCCGACGCGTCCTGCATCGCGACGCGCTCCGGGCTGAGCTGCAGGTAGGTCTCCCCGCGGCTGATGCCATTCGCGACGGTGCGCTCCGGGTCGTGGATGTGGCTGTAGAGGATCTTCTCCGCCAGAGTCAGGGGCCGGTTCCCGAGGATATCGCGGACGGTGGCAAGGTTCTTGAGCAGCTTGGGGTATGGAGGCGTAATGGACGTGCAGTCCTTCTCGGGAAGGGAGGTGGGCGTCGCGAACGACCTGCGCAGTCCGGACACCGTGCCACGGAGGCTGCGGGCGAGAACCCTGGGAGAGAGAGGAGGGAGAGACATGGCGACCCAGTGGACAGTCCTGCAGCCCAGAGTGACTGTTGGGACTAGGAGGAGGGGTATTGTTCACAGGGCGCGTCTGTCCGAGTCACTCGGACGACTACTTTTTCCACTCTACGGACCGCTCGGACCGATGCATGGACAGGCGAAGGTCGTCAAATTGGGACTCGTATGTACGTCTGAATGAATCATGGTATGGTCATCAACACGGCATCATGACTTTCACATCGCCCACGGCCTAAACCACCTCCCGACCCCTCAGTTCTGCCCAGTGAAATACGCCGCCTTGTAGGCCGCAGCGTAGTCCCCGACGTTGCCTCCAGTAGTTGCTTCACTGGTCTTCGCGGTATTTTGTACGTCATCGTGGACATCCGACTTATACTGGTCCGTCTTGCTCTCGTAGAACTCTTCGACGTCTCCACCGTACGCACACCCAGTCTGAGTGAGACCCGCGTTTCCAGCGTTGTCTACGCACCCTGGTCAGTACGGCAGCGAGCCGAGCATCCTGAAGACACTCACTAGAATCGACATTGACGACCGCGCCCGAGTTAAAGACGCTGCCGCCCTTCGCGTTACCCGCCGTGCCCGAGCGGCCATTGCCTCCCGCGACATGATTGCCACCGCGGCCGCCGGAGGCGCACCCGGCAAGCGAGTTACCGCCAGTGCCGCCGTTGTTGGAGTTCTGGTTGAGGATCGTCGGGATGCCGTAGTTGTCCGCGAAGTTGATGATGTCGCCGCCGTCAACGTTGCCACTGTCGCCCGTCTGGGCGTTCCCGCCGAAAGTATCCTCGTCCAAGACTCGCTTCTCGAGCGCGTGGTCGGCGTGCCTAGAGAAACCGCAGCGGCGGTCAAAACGGAGGTGGAAGTGGCCGTGCGATGCAAATGAGCAGCTTACTTGACGGCTGAACCACCAGTGGATGAACCCACAGCTCTGAACGCGTTGAGAGCGCGTGCTATAAGGTCGCGTGGGCCAATCCTGCACAAGGTCTATATAGCATACGAGTGAGGGGCAGCTTCAAGGTACTCACTTGGAGGTCTTGAAGGACCAGAGAGTAGGCGAGTGATCAGGGCTCGCATCACGAAGCACGAGGTTCGGGGTGGCCGGGGGGGAGTCGGCGTTCGTGACCGGCTTGTGGGAGACGGTGAAGACGTTGGAGTTGAAGCTGCCGGCAGGGATTGGCGAGGCGTTGGCGATACGAGAACCGAGGGCGGCGAGGGCCACGATAAGGAGAGTGGGGGCCCGCATCTTGCGTGTTGGTTGGTGTGTCTTGCTAGGCTGTGATCTTGAGGACAAAACGAGAGGCGGGGGAAGAGACACGGGAGTTGATTTGGAAGGGAGAGGCAGGAGACGTTGAACGCGACCGGCGCGCTGGGCTCGCCTTATGTCTGGCAGCGAGGAGGCTGACTGCTGCCCGGCCAGACCCCACTCGCCGTGCGCAGGACCCGAGCAGCTTGCGCGGCCGGGCCTTCGCTGTCAAACGATCCCGAGGCGACCGAGAGCAGCCACGCTCTTCACCAACCCACCGATCGGACGCATTTCGCGAGTCGTTCGGGATGACCGGCTTCAGACACGAGCAGGAGTGCAAGGTGGAACGTACAGCATAAGATTGTCTGTCCCCAACTAACAGCAGCATCACCGCCAGAAAATGTGGATTAGAGATTACAGCGCGGACGATCATAAGAAGTAGAGGATATCTGGGACGGTTGGGTATCCAAAGAGAGGTGAGAAATGGGGATCGACAGAGATAACCATGAAATCATACAAACAGAGCCGCACACCCTCTAGTCGTCCTCCACCATTAGCCATTCGGTGTCAGATTGAGGTCCGTCCCCGTTTGAGATGGCATCCCATCCGTCATCATCGTGGTTCCCCCCTCGTTCAGAAGATCCCCGTTTCCCGACTCCGACCCGTTCGTGTCTTGAATCGCTTGTTTCCGCGATTGCATATCTTCGTAGAACTGGTTCGCTTCGTTCATTCGGTTCGCCTCTGCCTGCTTCGCGTCCAGCCAGCGCTGCAAGAGCTTCGCGTTGTCCTTGGTCAACGTCTGATTCCGGTCTTCTATCTGGCTCAGCTCAAGCTGAAGGGTCGAAATCTCATCGTGAAGAATCTGCGCAGAGATGTCAATAACAGCAAACGATAGGAAGGATCCATGGCTCACCTGGGCCGTCCTGTCTTTCTCCGCCATCAACTCGCTGTGCTGATCCACCTTCTTGCGCAGAAGGGCAATCTCATCGCGAGATTTCCTGAGGCCTTCCGCGTCTACCCGCGACAGCTCTTCCTTCTCCCGAAGCGTCTCGTTCATCGCCAATAGCCTCTGCGCGTTCTGACCTTGCGTCTTGTACACGGTGGCCAGCTCATCGCGCAGCGACGAGATCTGGGACTCGAGCGACGCGATGTACGCAGCGCGTACGGGATTGCTGCACAGGCTCTCACGATCAGCGATAGTCCTGACACGCAGATCACGTCCACGCACTCTTCGCTGGTCCCTGGCACAAACACGGTCGAACTGCTCGGATTCGGGCGCGAGCTGCCCATCGCGTTGAGGAGAGACGCATTGCGCTCCTTCAAAAGCTTCGTTTGCTGCGCCAATCTGCGGTCTTTTCAGCGTTCACATTGGGTGGGACGGCGCGTCCAGAGGGCGGAAAGAGGAATGTGAGAATAGGAACAACATCGGCGCAGACCCGTGGCGCCGTCGCCGGACAGCACCAGACGTACATGCGCGAACGTGGACGTACATTGCTCGATGATGGGCGCGTAGGAGCCTTCGCGCGCATTGCGCTCGACGAGCCGTACGCGGAGCGTTTCTTGCCATGACGGCTCGGCCATGGTGAGGCGAATAGAGGTCCGGAGGTGGGCACGCAGGGCCGAGAGCACAGGGCGTGCAACGGTCAGCGGTACGAGCGAGAAGCAGACAAGGGCTAGACGGAAGGAGCAGAGGACCGCAGCGGGGACGGCAGGCGAGGCAGCCTGGTGAGGAGAACGCTCGAGGAAAGCGCCTGGCTCGAGTCGGCGGCACTGCGGGCGCTTACCGCGGGCATCGGAGATTCCGGACTAGACGCCCGTGTCGCCTCGGGCACCCGGCGGTTTCGTCCCATATCCTACCTGACTCTCATTCCCCCCGAGTCCCTCTCCCCTCTCCCGCCACTAACGAGTTTGCCATGGGTCGTGTCCTCCTCAAGGTTTGTCTTTATGTTTGTTATACCCATTCTCCCTGAGCTGACGCCTCACATAGGTTATCATTCTGGGCGATAGCGGGTGGGTCGTATGCCCACCTTTCGGGTTGTCCCTGGTCTAAAGCTCCACCCTATGCTCCTCTGTGGCGCTCTAGAGTCGGCAAGACTTCGCTGATGAACCAGTATGTTAACAAGCGGTTCAGCAACCAGTACAAGGCCACTATTGGTGCCGACTTGTGCGTTCGGTCACTCTCCCGACCTGTCGAGCTCAGCTCCACTGACATGCCGGTAGCCTGACGAAGGAGGTTATGGTGGACGACAGGCTGGTGACGATGCAGGTGTGTTCCCCTTTGGTGCTGCAGTCCATTCACGGTGCTCAGGCCCGGCGTAGCTTTGGGACACTGCCGGCCAGGAACGCTTCCAGTCGTTGGGTGTAGCTTTCTACCGTGGCGCGGACTGTTGTGTGCTCGTCTACGACGTCAACAGCGCGAAGTCGTTTGAGACACTCGATAGTTGGCGGGACGAGTTCCTCATTCAGGCGAGCCCTCATGACCCCGAGAACTTCCCGTTCGTTGTACTCGGGAACAAGATCGACATGGAGGAGAGTAAACGTCAGGTACGCTTTGGTTGTGTTTCATGCCCCTGCCATTATTGAATGCCGCCGTCGCGTGCCACAGGTCACCCAGAAGCGTGCGATGACTTGGTGCCAGTCCAAGGGCAACATCCCCTACTTTGAGACCTCTGCCAAGGAGGCTATCAACGTCGAACAGGCGTTCCAGACTGTCGCGAAGAATGCTCTGCAACAGGAGCAGGACGACCAGCTGTATGTATTGTCTCTTGTGGCCGTGTATGCCCCAGGCTGAATACGACCACAGGTATGTTGATTACCCGGACCCGATCCGGATCGACTCCGACACCAACCAGAACGCGGGCTGCAACTGCTGAGCCGCATCGTTTTTGAGGACTGTGCCGTGGAACTTTTGTTTGTCTTCCTCACGCACCACTGGTTACCCCTTGCCCCTTAGCACCAGGCGCGGTCTGCACCCTGGTTTAATTTACTGCTCTTCGTCGTCGTTCTGTCCTCGCATCTGTACCCCCGTAGCAGCCATCTGAATCATTATCACCGGTGTTGGAGTAGCGATCCGACTCTCCACGGCCCATTGGCACGCAAGTGGGACAAGGGAGGTGTCCCTACGCGGCCCTGCCTCGCTGCCAGCGGAGGTCGCTCACGACACTCGGCACCAGCGACGCGGTGACCTCATCGACACGGCCATGGCCGCAGTGGGCGCTCCGCAGCCAGAACATGGCATCCGTTGGATCCTGAGGGCATCCGCCCCAGACGGCCCAATCCGTCCTGCCCGATATCCACCATCTCACATATACCCAGTGCCTTCTCCATGTGCTAGGCTCGCAGAGCCTCTGTCACTTGTTACGTACCCCAGGGTCAGAATACCCCGCCCCCACTCATCTTCGCGCGTCTCCTGCTTTTCACTCCCGCACGCACACCATGTACGCAACCAATGCGACCACCAAGCTTGTCAATGCCTCTCTGGTGTCGACTGCACACGCCGCGCCTGTTTCCCCCACGACGACTATATGCGAGGGATGGGTGGAGAAGAAGCGCAGGAAACGAATGCAAGGTGCGCACATCCTTCAGCATCTCTACAACAGTTAATGCTCAATGCTCGCTCGCCATCAGGATTTGCGCGCCGCTACTTCACTTTGACAAGCACCGGCGTCCTTTCATACTCGTTCGAGCCCGGCCAGCCCCAGCGCGACCAGATCCTGCTCAGCCAGGCCGCTGTCGCCACTGCACCGGGGCGCAGAGACATCCACATCGACTCGCACACCGGGACGTTCCATATCCGATGCCTGAGCAGAGAGGACTTCGAGATGTGGATGGGGGCTTTCCGGTGAGCGTTGTGCCTTCCATTTATGCTTGTGGTTTGGGTGTCGGAGGTCAAAAGCGGAGGGCGGAGGGCATGGCCATGCAGGCGCATGGCGATGTCTCATCCCGATCAATCGTGTCGACTCTCCATCGGCGCATCGACGGCAACGCTGCTCCTCGCGTCTTCAACTGCACCTCCCACTTTCCGTGGGGGAGACTGGCATCGCGCCCGAATTCTCGAACATCATTCGTCCGGTTCTCGACCACGTTTGTCGACGCGACGTGACGGCAAACGCGGCGCCGTGCCTCTCGGGTACCGGCTCCTCGCGCCAGTTGCCCTCCGGCCTGGCCGAGGGTGACACGGGCTGTATGCCGAGCGGATCACCGTGGTGGCTCCTCGAGCGGGATTGCGCGTATATCAGGGCACTCGTTGACTTACGCTTGCACTCCCTCCTAGCAAAATCCTTGCGATCGAAATACCCAAGTCCCGTAGATCCTCCCTCGCACGCTCGGCCGCGCGCGGAGGCATCCAGTTCAACAGGGCGAACGCGCTCGTAGACGAGATCGGCAATGTGAGTGTGTTGTTCCCGCAACGCACATAGGTCGCTAACTGCCTCGTAATGCGCTTATAGACCATCGCGGATATTGAAGACGCGCTCACTATACTGTTGTCAGAAGACGACCACCTGAAGAGAAGACGGAGCACGGGTATGCGTTCACGGTCTGAGAATGGGAAGGAACATGGGATGTTGGGGTTCCTGAAGAAGGGTGCGTACTCTTCCCTTGGCGCCTCCATATCAATATTCAGTGAGGCATAGGACACCACCACGAACTTCAGGCGCAACTGAGCGTGCAGGAGCATCCGCCGTCGACGGAGGTCCTCAGTCGCATATCCACTGCAGTCAAGCAGCTCAAGAACCAGCATTCCGCCCTAAGCAAATCGCTACAAACACATCCTGCGCTTGACACCACTTTTGTGAGCTCCCCCACTCTCGCCACTACCACAGAAGAAGACGAAGAAGGGCCGCACACGCCATCAACGGCCACACCAGCGGCAGGGCGTATGTCCTTCATCAGTTCTCACAGCGGAGACAACGGGAGTATCTGGTTTGATGCTCCCGAGTACGACGGGCCGGAGGAATTCGTGTTGGATATGACCACGGCCGACGAAGGCAAGTCGCTCCATACGGATTCCCGACTGACTGCCCGCACGGACATGACGGATATGACGGATGTCGGGTCAAGCATCGGTGCGGACACCGACTCCGAATCCGAATCCGACTCTCCGCCTCCCCCGCCTCCGGTAGAACCCACCGCGGCGGCAGTTGTGAAGCGCAGGTCGGCCTTGCCATCAGGGCCAGTCGGAGACGAGGGCAGCCTGTTCGCGGTTCTGAAGAAGAATGTCGGGAAGGTATGTTTGTCCGAGAATAGAGGCGATGTGCAGAGGTTTACCCACGGTGCAGGATCTCTCGAAAGTGGCACTGCCTGTTACTTTCAACGAACCTTTAACGATGCTCCAGAAGGCTGCGGAGGACCTGGAGTATTTCCACTTGCTCTCGCAAGCGGCGAATGCCTCCGATCCCGTTGAGCGCATGTGCTTTATTGCGGCATTTGCAGTGTCAACCTACGCAAACACAAGGCATAAGACAGGAAGGAAGGGCTTGTGCGTGATGTTTCTTTCCTCACCCTGGATATTGTTGACGTGACCTTCGCGATAGCAATCCGATGCTCGCTGAGACCTTCGAAGACGTGCGCATGCACTTCCTCGCGGAGAAAGTCTGCCACAACCCCGTCATTCTTGCCTGGCACGCACAAGGCGAAGATTGGGAGCTTTATGCTACGTCTACAGGGAAGACAAAGTTCTGGGGTAAGTACTTCCCTTACTGCATGATGTTCACCGGAGATCAACCGAGCACCATTCTACCAGGGAAAAGTATGGAGATTATACCTCAAGGGACCATTCACCTCAACCTCGGGAATGAGCACTATGAGTGGTGCGTGACTAGAAATCAGACAGCGTTGACAGCGAGAATCTAAAAGAGACTCAGGAACCGACCTTCGTCATTCATTCGCAACCTAATGATGGGTACCAAGTACCTTGAGCACGTTGGCAAGCTAGAAATCAAGAACACGACGAGCGGTGACTCGTGCACACTCGACTTCAAAGAAGGCGGATACTGGGGCCCCGCAAACGTCGTCACGGGAACACTCAGCTCCGCCTCGGGGAGCATCGTCGCGTCTCTTGAGGGCAAGTGGGACGAGCAGATGGCACGCAAGATCGACTCGTCGCATTTGCATGTCCTGTGGCGGATCACACCATTCCCCAAGAATGCGAACGAATACTATGGCTTTACCTCGTTCGGGATCACCCTCAACGAAATTACGCCCGACCTCGAGGGTCGCATTGCCCCAACCGACTCACGGTACCGCCCGGACGTGCGCGCGCTCGAAAATGGCGACCTCAATGTGGCTGAGGCGGAAAAGGTGCGTGTCGAAGAGCTCCAGCGCTCGCGGCGCGCGAAGGGCGAGGAGCGCGGTCCACGTTGGTTCAAACAGGTCAACGAGGAGTGGATCTACGTGGGCGGGTACTGGGAACAGAGGCAGAAGGGATGGTCGGAGGTTGAGCCGCTCTGGTGATATCGCACAATTCTTTATCTCAAGCATTGGATGTGGGCACACTCACTCGACGCTCATCTACATTAATGGCTGCAGGCTGGACATGCATATAATCTACAATACCGTAATGCATTGGACACCCGGGTCCCCTGAGCATTTACCCAACGGCCCATTCGGTGAAGTCTCCTGGCCTGAAGGTCTCTGATCGACCGTTCGTGCTGCTTGGCGTGCGGCGAAGATTGACAAAAACCAAGACGCCGGGACTGACGAGACGACCCTCGTGACTGCGACGCGCTCACGGGAAGACGAGTCGCCGTGTTGAACACCGACAATTGGACGTCACGGACGCGTGCGCCGTACTCCATCCGCCAATTATCCGCGCCTTTTCCGGGAGTCGACGGCATCCTGCCTCAACCCGCCTTACATGGCGGCCGCAAGGCGTCGGTTCGGGGTGAATCTTCATGGGCGGGGTATATAGACACGATTGGGCGTACGGACGAAATGACAAGGGCCCCGCATAAGCAGGTCCTCCCCATCATGGCTTTCCACGCCATCATTGCCCTCGCGCTCTTCGCTGGCTCTGTTGTCGGACAGCAACAGGTGTATCAGCAATGTGGTGGTATTGGATGGTAAGTACCTGTATTATGTGCACTTCTATGAGAGATTGACATGTCACACCTACAGGTCCGGAGGAACGACGTGCGCGTCGGGATCCGTGTGCACTTTCGTCAATGCCTGTGAGTGTATTCCACTTGCCTAGACGGGGAGAAGGAGAGACGTTGAGATGCTCTTCGTTAGACTACTCGCAATGTCTTCCGGGTACCGCGTCGACCTCTAGCACTTCAACCGCTCCTACCTCGACATCGACCGCACCTTCGACCACAACTTCGACGGCGCCTGCGCAAACAAGCCTTGCGAACATCTCGCCCGAATGGGCTACCGCCTATGTCAAGGTGGGCCCATAATCCGTTTTTGATACCCCCGTCGGCTAAGGCACAACCTATCACAGGCGAAGGCCGCCGTTGCAAAACTTTCCCTCACTGACAAAGTAAACTTAGGAACAGGTGTGCAGTGGGAGAAAGGTACTTACGACACATCAAGGTTCAGCTACGGTGCTCATGGCATAAGTACAACAGGACCCTGTGTTGGAAACACGCCTGCAATCTCGGCTCTGTCTGGGTTCGGAGGACTTTGTCTTCAAGACAGCCCTGTTGGTGTGCGTTACGCGGACCTGGTATCTGCGTTCCCTCCGTACGTACAAGCCTTCGACGACCGACACGCAGGCTCACTGACGCCCCTTTTCAAAGCGAAATCAATGTTGCGGCCACGTGAGTACATGACGGATCTCGGTATATACCATAAACTCACTAAACTTCCTTCAGGTTCAACCGCACTTTGATGAGGCAACGCGGAGCAGCCATGGGTGCTGAGTTTAAGGGCAAGGGTGTCCACGTTGCCCTCGGCCCTATGATGTGAGGCATTTCGAGGTGCCTGCATATAGAAGGTGACTGACTGTACTTCAGGAACTTGATGCGCGCTCCAGCCGCTGGTCGCAACTGGGAAGGAGGAGGAGGCGATCCCTTCCTTTCCGGAGAGTTGGCGTTTGAGACCGTCACCGGTATCCAGAGCGCTGGCGTCCAAGCATGCGCGAAGCATTACATCAACAAGTGGGTAGGTTTACCTTTGTGGAGAACAGCATGCTGACCCTTGATTTAGTGAGCAAGAACATTTCCGTGACAGCAGCTCTTCCCAGGTTGATGACAGGACGGTACGTGTACTAGTAAATCAATACTGACTGCTTGAAGCTCAATCTCCATCCAGCAACATGAGCTTTACAGCTACCCAGTACGTCCACTCTGTCAGAGGGCGAGCAATATGCTTAACTACCAACATTAGTTCCTGCGTAGCGTCCAAGCCAATGTCGCCTCCGTCATGTGCAGTTACAGTAAGTTATCGACAAGTCGTGTAGCATAATTGGCTCTGACTGTCCATTTCCCTAGATCAAAGTGAGCCACGTTGCGCTTTGGTCCTGCAATAGCCTTTCATCATTGCCAGTCAACGGAACTTACTCCTGCGAGAACGATGCTACCCTGAACGGACTGCTCAAGGGTGAATTCGGCTTCCAGGGTTGTGAGTGCTCCAGACGCGACGAGTCAAATTTGCCACTAACTACCGTGCGCAGACGTAATGTCGACTGGTGGGCGACGCATTCGGGAGCCCTGCAGTGAATGCTGGCTTGGACGTGCGTGTTTTGTCACCACTACAGGATTGAACTTACTCTTCAGTCCGCAGATGACCATGCCAGGTGACACTACCATCAACTCTGGACAAACGTGAGCTAAGTACAGATATCTTGTGAGTTGGATTGTGTTGACTCTGATTGTTCCAGCTACTTCGGACAAAATTTGGTCAACGCAGTTCAGAGTGGACAAGTTTCTGAGGGTCGCATTGATGTACGCCATCCCACGTCCATACGTCACGCCCATTTGTGTTAATGCCTTCATGCTCAGGATCTCGCGACGCGTATTTTGGCGGCGTATTACCTCCTTGGTCAAGATTCCGGTTTCCCTGCCGTCAACTTCAACTCTTGGAGCAGTGGTCAGGGCTCGCATGTCAACGTGCAGGCCGATCACAAGAAGTAAAAATCCATTCAGCTTACGATGCATATGTGGTGCTCATGTTTTCTCCAGTATTATCCGCGAAATCGGCGCCGCTTCTACAGTGCTGCTCAAAAACAGTGGCGGTGTTCTCCCGCTCACCACCCCGAAGACCATTGCTGTTGTCGGGAATGGGGCCGGTAACTCCTCCCGTGGTCCCAATGGGTACGCCGTAACCAAGAATAATACAGTAGAAGTCTGATTTGAGTGATATCCAGATACTCAGATCGTAGCGGCGATGATGGTGTTCTGGCTGTGGGCTGGGGAAGCGGGTAAGGGCTCCTTGACATCATACTTGCATGCCTTAGCTTACCTCAAACACAATAGCACTGACGATTTCCCATATCTCATTGCTGTAAGTGTTCATCGATTGTGCTCTAGGGTTCAAGTTATAACACATACCCCCAGCCCATAGATGCTATCACCACACGCGCCAAGCAAGACAGCACAAAAGTCTCATCTTCACTGAGTGACACCGACCTCTCGTCGGCTGCACGCGTCGCTACCGGCGCGGATGTCGCGTTCGTCTTCCTCACGGCAGACAGCGGGTAGGTGCCCCTTGTTCTAATCATGACCCTCTCGCTGAACTTGGCGCTACAGCGAGGGCTATATTACTGTCGAGAACAACGCGGGTGACCGCAATAACCTCAATGCCTGGCACAGCGGGGTATGCTTGGTTTTACTCTATCAGTTTCACAAAATTATCCCTGAACTGATCCACCTTTCGCTTGACAGGACGCGCTCGTGAAGCAGGTGGCCAGCGTGAACAAGAACACGATCGTTGTCGTCAACACCGTCGGGCCCATCCTCGTTGAAGCCTGGATTGACCACCCCAACGGTACGCTAGTAAATTTTTGTTCTCCTATAATGCATTCTTACGAATCCCTCTCAGTGACGGGCCTTGTCTGGAGCGGCCTCCCAGGGCAAGAAGCCGGGAATTCGCTCGTCGATGTTCTCTATGGCGCATACAACCCTTCCGGTCGCCTGCCGTACACAATCGGAAAGGCTGTCACAGACTACTCCGCGCAGGTCATCACCTCCGGCAGCGGCATCGTCCCGATTCCATACAACGAGGGCCTATTCATCGACTACCGGCACTTCGACAGCGCCAAGATCGCGCCTCGCTACGAGTTCGGCTTTGGTCTGTCTTACACCACCTTCGACTACTCCAACCTGAAGATCTCCGGTTCGACCGCGGGTGGTACTCGTCAGCGGAACGGCCCCGGCGTCGCGCTCGACCCGTGGTTGCACGAGGATGTCGTGACTGTCAGCTTCACTCTGACCAACAACGGCACCGTTGCCGGCCACGAGGTACGCCCCTACCCTCGCTCCGCTGTGATCGAAACAGATTTCGATGGCGCCTTATTTCAGATCCCTCAACTGTACACCTCTCCCCCGCCTCGGCCAAATCGGCGCCCTACAACCTCAAAGAGTTCGACAGTGTATTCCTTGCTCCCGGGAAATCGACCACGGTGTCCATGGACCTCTCGCGCCTCGACTTTGCCATCTGGGACGTGACGTCGCAGAGTTGGCAGATACCCACGGGCAAGACGGGCATCTCCATCGGCGCGAGCAGCAGGGACCTCAGGTTGTCAGGGTCGTTGACGAATTAAACGCAGGGAACGCATTCGCTTATTACCCACGTCGTCTGAAACCGTGGGCGATTGTACTGTACCACATGCATCTGCATCTGTATAAATACCCAAGTCTTCATGCGTTAGCCATGGCGTCAATGATGCGTAGATACGCCAATGCGTCCAGGCGCTAATGGGTCCACTGAGCGTGCCGAGCGTCGGTGTCGCAATTCGTCACCAACAATCGATATATTGCGTGCGCACTGCGCGATTCCACAGGCTGTAACCATCCCTGCAGAATGCGAGGAAATGTGAGCACATGAAGTTCACTGGTCACGATGCGTATATGTTATGTTTCGCGACGCGTATGGTCGCATCAGCGTAACGAATGTATAGGCGGCAGCTGGGCATTCCACGATTAATGTCCTTCAAGATGTTTGTTCTGGAAGAACCTCGAGGCAGCGTCCATAAGACTCAGAAAAAAAGGGGGGGAAAGGGACGGCGTTTGAACATTTTAGAGCGACAGGCGGGCAGGCAGGTATATAGTACGTGTGCCGTCGGGACCACGGCAGCGGGGGTGCACAATATGTGCGAGAAACGAAACGGGGGGTGAGTGCGTGCGGGCGTGGGCGGAGCGTTCGGGGGGCGTGCGGGCGTGCGGATCCATGCAGACACAAACAGGGCGGGAGGAATCGGAACGAAGTGTACATCGGAGGGCAGAGTGAGTGGGTGACAAATAAGGGCGTGCGCGTAGCGACTGGCTGGCTGGCTGGCTGGCTCCTCAGCCGCGTGGCTGTGGTTCCGGGGGTGGAGGTTCGGGGTCGGAAACAAGTCGGGAAATCATCAGATCCTGCACGAAGATTATACGGCGTAATGGACAGTAATTAGTCTCTCCAAACGTGGCTGGGGTGGCGCTTAGCGTAGAATAAACGGTGGTAGAGGAAAGGAGGGGCGGGGGAATGACGATGGAGATGAGAGAGTAGGGATGGAATCGTAAGGGCCAAATGAAGGAGGCGGCAGGATACTCATGCGAATGCAATGTATAAGATACAGTAAAAGGGTAGGGCTCCTGGACAGCGAGGGAACGACAAGGAGAGGTATCTGCATGAACTGGTATGTAATTCAACAACCACGAAGTGAACAGAGCGACGGGTGGCCAAGCAAAGGGAGGACTGCAGAAACCGACCAAACGAGACGAGAAAAGGGAAGGCGAAACGTCGACCGTGGTCATGGCCCTGGAAAACATGATCGTCAGCAAGCCGGGTTTCCATAGAGGGTCGACAGCACTCACAGTCACGCCAGAACTGCGTCAGCTGTTCGAGCACCTCGATGACGACTCCGCTCCTATACACGAGCGCGTGCTCAGCACCCTTGACGACCGTGACGCGGCACTTGTCGGGACCCATCGTCTGCTCCATCCACCGCACCGCGTTCTCCCCAATCTTCTCGTCGTGGTCGCCGTACCACACACGCACGTCGTGCGGGTACGTGAGATACGAGAAGCCTAACGGGAGGCGGTCGTGGTTCAAGATCTGCAGCAGGTCGTTGTGCGTTCCCTTCGCGGACTCGGCATGTGACGCCGCGATGAGCGCGTTTCCAAGCGCAACCTGGAACGACTGCGCCGAGCCCGGGGTTGGGGTGGCTGTGGGCGTCTTCGAACCAGCGCTCGAGGTCGCCGTCGAGATCGGGTGGAGGGAAGACGAGAGGGATATGGATGGTGACGCTGGACTGGCAGTGACCATCGACATTGACCGCCTACCAGAGGCTCGAGGAGAGGTCGTCATGTCGGACATCTCACTGGTATCCAGAGGAGCGAGGTCTTTAGGCTTCAGCACAAGAGGTGAAGGTGACCGAGACCGTGACTTGTTGAACTCTCCCCAGTCGAACGGATCCAAGCCCAGGCCCACTTCTGGCCTCTCGGGTGCCGGGGGAAGCCATGTTGTCATGGGCAGTGGAGGGTCGGACGCCTTGGTGCCGGCACGGGAACGGCCCTTGAGAGAGCCCATAGACCGAAGCGCTTTAAGTCGCTTGGTGGGACCGCTACTCGACTTCTCGCCCTGAGGACTCGTTGGCTGCTGCTGCTGGTTACTCTGCCCGTTTGACTTGAAGCGACCGAGGAAGCCTCGTGATGGTTTCCGTGCTGGCGTGCCGGGGCTCGACTTGAATTCGCTGATGGTACGATTCCGGCTGAGGCCGGGCCCGCCCTGCCCGATGGTGCTCAGGCTGTCGAAGCGACCTTCAAAGTCGCGTAGGTCATCGTAGTCGGAAAATGTCGTCGACGTGCTCGGTCGTGGCTCTTGCTCTCGCTCGGACTGCGACGTCTTGGCGGGCGTGACGGTGGAGTGGGAGTGGGCGGAGTGCGGGGGCGATCGCGGGGTGTTCAACGCAGATGACGACGACGCGGCGGAAGAAGGCGGGGACGTGTGGGCGGACTTGATGTCGAAGCCGATGCCTTCGAACGCGATTGTCGGAGGCTTACCGAGCATCCACGCCTGGACCTTCCACTCCGCCGCTTGAGCGGTCTTCAACAGCCCGTTGGGAACATACTTAAGCCACTTGTAACCGCCTAGTAATTTTGTCAGTACGTAAATCAATTCCACTAAATGAAAAGATGCGCTCACCACCCTCGCCGCCCGCCACCCACGGTGCGAGCAGACATAGCTCGCCTCGTACTCGTTCTGGGTGCTTGTTGGCGAAAGCCATGGCATACGGCGTACCAGCCGAATGTGCCATGATGCTGCACTGATCAATCTCGAGTTGGTCTAGCACCTCTTCGACGATAGACGCCCATTCAGGGATGCCCTTCGACGACTTCGACTTGGGCACCTCTGTGCGACCAAGTCCCCACCTATGGCAACCGCGCTCAGGGAAATTGCGAGATCGAGTCTAGAAGAGCGGAGCTCACCGGTCGATGGTAATGAGCCTGATGCCCATGCACTCCGCCATCTCGTCGTACAGCCCCATAATGTGGCGTACGCACCCAAGCCCGAGGAAGACGAGGACGGGGAAGCCGGTCTTGCTCCCGAGGTCGGAGAGGCTCACCGTGAGCGGGCTACCCCGCGAGGCGTGCGGCGAGCGCGTGAGCCTGAGCAGGGTCGTGAGACGCGTGGAACGGAGGTACTGCGCGATCGTCTGCGAGGGCGAGTTCACCGGCACGCGCGTGAGACCCATCAGGTCCAGCGGCGGCAACGGGGGCTGGTCCGAGATCGTCGTCGAGTTCGAGTAGATCGAGCTCTCCCGCCTCGCGTCCGTGGTCGGACGCGGAGACCCGAGCCCCCGCGCGCCGTGCTCCGCAGCGGAATGCGCACCCATCATCTGCTGAGAGCGGGCCTTGTGCAGCAGGTGCGGTGCGATCGCGGCGCGCTTCTGCGCCTGCATGCTCCGTTGGATCTCCTCCGCGAGCGTGTCGACCGAGGAACGCGAGACCATGTCCGTCTCGTCTTCGGTCTCTGGTAACGGTGCGGGCTCGGGCTCGGGCGTAGGCGACTTCAGGCGCGTGCGAGAGCTGCTGGGTACAGAGTCGTGTCCGTAGCTGGTCGCATACGACGTTTTGCGGGACCGCGTCTGCTGCTCGACGGGGGCATGGGCGCGGATGATTTCGGATATCGAGGGTGCGACCGTCTTGGGCGCCGTCGGAGGGCCGGTGGGCGATGGGTACCTGGGGAACTCGGTCGCCGCAGGCCCGGGGCTCGTGGACTGGGGTGCGACGCGTCCGTTGGCCTTCCGCGAGCGCGGGGCGGAGAGCGGGTGCGGGAGTGATCTTCATCGTCCTCGTCCGCGTCCGAGTCCCTGTCGCGTTCCCACTCTCGCTCTCGCTCCCGCGCCGAATGTTTGCGGGGGAGAGCCCCACCGAGCTTGATGCCAGGCGGGGGCTTGGGCAGCGGGGGCTGGTAGAGCGGGTGGAAGCCCACCTTCAGGGTCTTGGACGGGCGCGACGCGGACATACCGCCCAAGCCCATGAAGTGGTCATCTCCGCCGAAGCCGTTCATGCCATCAACGAGGGCGTCCATCGTCTCCACTCCTGCGACGGGTGCGGCCACGACAACCGGCCCGAACGCGGGGTCGCGGAAGAAGAGCGAGTCGTCGACCGGCGTCGGCGGTGTTGGGTCCTCGAAGTGGGAGAGGGAGGACGAGTTGGAGTCGCGGACGGGGTACGAGCTGCTGCCGTAGCTGGTGAGGCTGGTGAAGTGCGTGGAGGGCCCGGAGCGTGCGCGCGAGCGCAGCTTGTTCGAGCTCTCGTCCGGGCTGCGGGGAGCGCGGGGGTCGGCAGAGGGAAACTCGAGGAAGCTCTGGACGTGTTCAGGGAGCTCGTCGTCGTCGTCGTCGGCTCTGTCGTCCCAGCCCCGGTCCCGGTCCCGGTTCCGGTTCCGGTCTCGCTCTGTGTCCCACGGGCGGCTGGAGGACTTGGGTGTTGGGAAGCTCTGCTCGTGGCGCAGGCTGGCTGTCTTGGACGGGCGGCGGCCGTGTGTACGCGGAGGATCGGGGACGCGAGACGTCAGAGGGGCGGGGTCGTCCCTGAAAGCATAGAAAGAGGAGGGTGATGTGGATTTTGCGGGGGGAGAACGGCTGGTGGGGGAGGCGGGGTAGGGTTCGGTGCAGGCAGGCTGGTCGCGACGGAGGGAGAGGAAGGAAGATCTACGGGGAGCCTTCTGCGAGAACGACGAGGGCGGGTCCTGGACCCGCACGCGGCTTGACATCGGGGGTGTGGCACGTCTTGAAACCAGGGAGCGAGTGTGTGGAAGGAGCGGCGGATGCGTCAGAAGAGGGAACGACTGAGGGCCGTGCGGTGTGGCGGCGTCGGGCTCCGCGGCCAGCGTCGAGCTCAGGGCAGCAGCGGGCACAGGCAGGGCGTCGACGGCGATAGCGACGTCGACGAGGCTGAGAAGACGAGACGGCCGCCGACGCGCTCCTGCCCGATATTCCCCCGGCGCCTGCCCGCTGATGTCCCGCTAACGCTCGTGCTAGTGGCCTCCCGCGGTGCCTACTATCAGCTCCGAGGCACAAGAACTTTCTGCCGAGCGACTCGTACATCGTATGATGGAGACAGCATTCGCGGCACTGCGTAGGCTACCAGTCAACATGTCACTCAAGAAAATGTCTGCACCCATACATCGAAGCGAAAAAAATCGGTTTCAGGGTGAGTTCACCCGAAGCCCACAGGACAGCATTGGTATTCATACACTATAATTACATATTCACAGGGCAACTACTACTGGTACAGTACGGTCCAAGCACGAGAGCATAACGACAAGAGTGCATCGGGGGGGGGGGGAATCATCCAAACTCAAGGGATATCCGGGACCAATCGAACGTGGGTGGGACAATGAAAAACAAAACCAGGGGAGAAGCGAGACGCGCGTGGGATTAGATACCACCTGAGCGAAAAGGATGAGGCCATCAGACTCCGCAAGTGAAGCAGAGGGAACAGACGACCATCAATCCGATATTGAACAGGCTATTCCAGATCCGACTGCTAGACCAACACCACGAGCGCGGCAAGCGTCCCGCAGCTCCTGTGTCTGCGCCAGCGTCCAATACGTGAACGGCGGCGCCATCGTCCCTGCGGGCGAGACGAGCTGCTGCAGATGGGGAACGGCCCCGGACTTGAGGAAGGCGCGCCAGAGCTCGGGGGACACGCGGACCATGCGGCCGAGGACGGCGAGGTGCGTGAGCGCGGGGCATGCGCTGGCGATCGCGTCCAATGTGTGGGGATTGGCGTCGAAGCCGGCGAGGCACAGCCTTTGAAGACCGGGGAGCGGGACGGGCTCGTCGTCGTCGAAGAGGGAAGGATGGGAGGACATCTCGACGGACTCGTAATGGAGCTCCTCGAGGCCCTCGCAGACCTCGAGCATTGCCCGCACGTTCTCGTCCATCTCGTCTGACGCCTTGCCGACCACACGGAGGGAGCGGAGGCGGTCCCACGCGCCCTGGAGGTCGGGAAGGAGACTTCCATCGGCGATCTCGACGTTGTTGAGCGCCAAGGACTCGAGGGCGCCGGGCCGGTCCATCATGGAAGGGTGAACGCTCAGTGTGACGTTGCTGAGGGTGAGGTTCTGGAGGAAGGGGAATCGGAAGGCGACAACGTCGTCCCAGTCGAGCGAGGGAAGGGTGTGGAACTGAGGATTGATGGGGGACCGGCAAAAGTCATCGTCGAGGTCGGCGGCGGAGTGGCCGTCGATGTGGAGGGAGGTTATGGTGCGGGTGTTGGACATGACGTGGAGGAACTGCTGAGCAGAGACGGCGAGATCACCGCCGAGGGTGACCTCGCGGAGGCCGTTGAGGCCGAGGATGACCCTGAGACTGTGCATCTCCTGCTCGTCGAGGACATTGCGGCCGTCGGCGACGGGGCGGAGGTCGACGCCGCTGAGGTAAGGAAGGAGGTCTGGGTTCTCCTGGAGCGTGCGGGCAAAGAGCTTGCAAGCGCGGAAGGAGCGGAGAGAGGGGCGCGCATATAGTCGCTTCCTGACCGGGTGGACCCACGAGGGCGAGATGAGGGCGAGCCGTTGGAAATCGCGGGGCCACCAGTGGTCGTCGGACTCGAGAATGATGGGAATGAGGTCGTCGACAAGGACGGGGGGGACGTGGGTGAGGGCCATGGCGGCTGCGCAAACGCGAGGGACGGGAGTGGACGGGGCGGGGGATGGGGGAGTGCAGAGGGGGGGACCGGGCGAGGGATAAATAGCGTGGTGCAGCCTCGCCTGGCCAAGTGCGCACTGCCAGCTGCCGCGTTCTCACTGGCCGGGCGGAGGAGCAGCTCGAACGGCGGACAGTCCTGGGAGCGCGCTGCCCCCGCGCGGGCGTCTCTGCGCTAGCGCTCACCTAGCGTGCTTTGCGTCAGTCAAGCACTCTGCACGGTGCGTGACCGTCGGCTGCAGCGTGCCCACTGGCCGCCCGATGCTATTCACTAACCCGCGCCAGTCCGCGCAGATGACCCGGTCACGAAGGCAGAAATCCGAATTCCCCTCCGCGCCACATCTGGCAGCGAACTCTCACCCGCACACCCTCGTTCCCCTCCTGGCGACCCGTCTGCCCGCGCATCCGCTCCGCCATCCGCCGCTCCGTCATGCGAGCGATAAGATAGGCTGCTCGCCGCCATAAAATAGCCCTCCTTCACGCCTCGCCCCGCCTGCCGCCCACCCTGGTCTTCCTCGAACACCATGACGACATCCTCGAGCAAGAACCGGTTTCAAGACCTTTCGTCCGAAGGCCGAGTGGAGAACGACGTCTTCGAAGACGATCCAGACCACGAGATCCGGTACAAGACGCTCAGCTGGCAAGTACGTCACCCCACCGCCCTCCCTCTTACTCGCTTGCGAATGCGGTCTGATCCACTCTGGAACCCAGCTCGTCAGTGCCCTGATGATAGCGGAGATTGTCAGCAACGGGATGCTCACTCTCCCAAATGCCATGGCCGCCGTCGGTGCGCCTCTGTCCAAACGCCCGCCACCGGCACACATTGAACTCTCTCCAGGCATCGTGCCATCTCTCGTCCTGACCATCTTCCTTGGGGTCTTCGCCCTCCATACGGCGAAACTCCTCATAGATTTTAAGCTCAATCACCCCGAAGTACACAACATGGGTGGGCACTTCTTCTTTCTGATCATCATCCGGCGTCGAATTCTTGGCCGTGGTCAGAAGACTTAAAGCTTGAGCTACGCAAACGCCGCCGCAGTGATCGCGCTCGCGTTCGCCCATCACGACTGCCATGCAGCGCGGTCCTTTGGCGCGTGCCGACCTCATTCGGGCTGAGCTTACCGCGCATTGCACTACACCCAACGCCCCACTGCCAGTGTATCTACTCGCGATTTTCGGGTTTTAGGCGGACCAGGTGTTACGACTCGTTATGTCGGACTTGTGCTTTCCCGACACTGGTTCCCATCCGCAGGTCGCTGCAACCCTTGTATGAGAATAACCATTGTCATCCTCTAGGTGATGCGGGTATGATTATTTTCGGCCCCCTCGGTCGTGAAGTTCTTTCGGCTGGGACGATTATTTTCGCTATATTCGGAACGGTGACATCTTCTCCTCCGCCTGCGCCCGACACACACGCTCATTCCGAATTCCCCTCGGGACTCGTCTCCACAGGGCTCCGAGCTGCTCTCAGGACAGCAGGCGCTCTCGACCCTGTCCAACAACGGACTTTGTGCGACGGTGCTCCTCGCCATCTTCGCGATCGCCACCTTCGTGCTGTCGCTCCCTCGCACGCTTGGACGGTTGTCCTGGCTAGGCCTCTTTAGTGCGCTCCTCATCGCAATATGCGGCTTGCTAGCCATGGTCGGCGCTGGCGCAAATCCCGTCCGCGATCGCGTCATCGTCGCCTCGGTCCCAACGAACTTCTACCAAGCCTTTTTGGCGATAACCGGTCCAGTACGTCGGAGGGCGCTTCTGAAGTACCATAAGTCGCCAGGCTGATGCACAGGTTTGCCACCGTTGCAGGTGTTCGCGTATGCAGGTATGGAATGTTAGCTCCTTGCCGGTGTCTCAGCACATAATCGACTCGGATCTGCCGCAGGCCATTTCATGTGAGGCCGAATGGCGCAAATGATGCGACGTTTGGCAAGGCACTGATTCAGGGGGAACCGGGGATGACAGGTTCTTCATCCTTATTTCAGAAATGCGTAGACCTCAGGATGCCATGAAAGTATGTTTGTCCTCGCTTTCTTGGTTCCTGAAATTTACGGCATGCATCACTTTCCAGGCCGCTTGGCTGCTTCAAGGATTTGCTACGACCTTCTATGCGGTTTTCAGTGTGGTTGTCTACGTCTACATCGGAAACGGCGTTTTGTCACCCGCGCTCTTCTCCCTCCCACCCGTCTGGTCCAAGTTAACCTTCGGGATCGGCCTGGTCAACTTTCTCATGTGCGTCTCGCCGCCCTTCTCGGGCCCTCGTTGTCCCGTTCACTCAACGCCTTCTCCATTCATTCCTACTTCCCGTCGACCCCCGTCTCCGATCGCTCCCGGCCCCCCGACAGCGCCGGCGCACTTTACTCGCACACCGCCGCCAAACTCGTCTTCGTGCGCTTTTTCCGGCACTCGAGGCACATCTACACCCACACCGCCCTAGGCTGGACCGTCTGGACCGCGCTCTGCTTTGCCGCCACCGCCGCCGCGTTCGTTCTCGCCAGCGCGGTCCCCATCTTCTCCTACCTGACCGGCATCACCGCCTCACTCTTCGCCGCCTGGTACACGTATGGCCTCGCCGGCTTCTTCTGGCTCCACGACACGTACCATCAGGCCGAGCCGCAATACACGGGCGGGGTCGGGGGGTCGGGGATAGCGGCGCTGAGGAAGCGGCCTGTCGGTACGGTCTCGGCGGTCTCGACGGTGCTGGCAGGGGCGTTCATCTGTGTCGCGGGAACGTACGTTTCGGTCAAGGTGCGCTTTACAAATGGTTTGGTCGCCTTTTCTGCTATCTTATATTGGACTGTAGCTGATTGTTCAGGCCTACGAGGAGGGCATAGTCGGTAAGCCATTCACGTGCTGACTCTTCTTGAGTTTTAGAGAGTTGGGCGAGAAGGAACTATGAATGCGCATCCTATTCCGTTGTACTCCCTAAATAGACAGTAGCACAGCTGCGTTTCGTTGAATCATCGAAGCCGTGTTGCTATCTGCTCTGGCTGGCTAAGTCATTCAGCCATGCACGCGAGGTGACGGAGCAGTGAGACCGGGTCGCGCGACCAAACATTCCAGCAGAACTCGTCACACGACCTGGCCCACCGGGCCAGCACACGACCTTGCTCCCGTCATGCTCCCGTCTTGTGCTCGTCCCCCAGTGCCCCTCACGTCCTCGGACGAACGTGCTCGACGCGCGCCGGTGACGTCCGCAGGCTGACTTGCGTCTGATATGCAAGTGATGCAAGATGACCCCCGCGCGCCATCTGCCGCGATGCGTCCTCCAGGCATGCATCAGTACAGTCTGTAGGCCAGCCAGGTCTTCTCACCGCCTCAGCCTACGGATCTCGCGACCCCCTGCTGATATTTTCATCGCCCGCACCCGCCCTGTCGCGCTCCAGCCAAGCCTCTATTCAAGCTTCAAAAGCTGAGCTCACGGTCGAACCAGGCGTAGGCGCGCGGCCGCTGCTCTGCACGGGCCTTCCCCGGCCGCTGACTGCAGCGCATCCCGCAAGCCACACGCAATCCGACCCACACCTTCCGAGCCTAGTACGACACATCGGGCCCTCGCCGGTGTGCCTCCTCGCGTTTGGCGTCGTCCTCGCAGCCTCCACTCAAGCCCAAGGCCCATCTCACCCCTTCACACCCTTGCGGCCCTTCCTCACTCTGCTTGCACCTTTTCTTGCAATCTATTCGGACTTCTCTACGCTGCTGTCGGAATCGCTATCGGACCACACCCTCCTGGATCACGTTGACCTTGTACAACCACTGTACTTCTATCACCCACATACCCCAGACCCCAATGACCGCCGCGAACCCACCCCAACTTACGCCATCCCGATACCCAAGCGACCGCGGAGGACATGGTGGCAGACGCTGCACGGAACCGTCTTCCTCCTCGTCTTCTTCGCCGGCTGCATCATGATCAACGCCGCGCAGATCGTCCTCCTCTTCCCGCTCAAGCTCGTCCCGCTCCGCGGGCGCGCAAGCTCTACTACGAGGGCATCCGGTACACCAAGGGCGCGTTCGGTGCCCTGCTCGGTGCGTGTCCCTGTCCATCAGCGAGGGTGGTGGCGGGAAACGGCTCATGCGGTATGTGGATGGTGGGGGAACAGTGCTTGCGAGCCAGTGGTTCGGGCCAACCAAGCTCATAATCTCGTTCGAGACGGAAGGCCAGGGCAAGTTCACGCGGGAGGAGATTGAGAGGCTGGTGGTGCGGGACAGCGGCGGACGGGTCATCGCGCTGGACTTGCCGCGGAAGACGGTCGTGATTGGGAACCACCAGGTGCGCACGCCCCACGACTGACTACCGGACACTTTGGCTCACCTTCTGCGCGCAGGTATACACCGATGGTGGTATGCATGGACGCTCACGTACTTCATGGGCACCCACCGGGACGTGTTCATCGTCCTCAAGAACAGTCTGAAGTGGATGCCGATCCTAGGTTGGGTGAGTCTCCGCCTTTTTGTACCCCGCGTTCCCCACACGCGACCAACCCACGCCGCTCTCTGCAGGGCATGCAATTCTTCAATTTCATCTTCCTCGCGCGCTCTTGGGCCTCGGACCGCCTCCAGCTCGCGGCGAGCCTCTCATGGCTCGCGCGCCGCGCAGAGGAGGAGGACTCCCCGCTCACCTTCATCCTCTACCCCGAGGGCACGCTCGTGAGCAAGGACACGCGGCCCATCAGCAAGAAGTACGCGGACAAGCTCGGCATCGTGCGTGCTTCCTCCCTCCCTCCCGGCCCCCGTCCCTAACACGCCTCTCCTGCCCGCAGCCCGACATGACGAACATGCTCCTCCCGCGGTCTACCGGCCTGCACTACTCCCTGCGCGCGCTCGCCCCGCGCATCCCCAGCCTGCAGCTTCTCGACATCACCATGGCCTACCCAGGCGAGTCTCGCCCGCCGCCGCCCTCCTTCGTCCGCGCGGACTGACCGCCTCTCTCTCCCTCCCTTCCTCCTTCTCCCATCCGCAGGCGTGCCCCACCTCGGCTACGGCCAGTCCTACTACACCCTCCGCTCCATCTTCTGCGACCGCACCCCGCCGCCTGCGGTGCACATGCACCTCCGCAAGTTCGACATCGCCCGCGGCGACGTCCCCATCGGCGCCGTCTCCGTCTCCGCCCCGGCCGCGTCCTCGTCCTCGTCCGCGCACGCGCACACGAACGCGCCCGAGGTCGAGCTCCCCGAAGGCGAGCGCGACGCGTTCGAGCTCTGGCTCCGCGCGCTCTGGCGCGAGAAGGACAAGCAGATGGACCGCTACCTCGAGAGCGGCTTCCTGAGCGACGCCGCCGCGACCGTCGCGGCGGAGGGTGGCCCGTGCGCGACGGCCGTGGTGCTCCCCGTGCGCTTGCGGCGCGCGTACGAGGTCCTCGACGCGTTCTGCTTCTTCGTGCCCGCGCTCGTCAGCTGGGCGTGGGCTAAGGTCGCCGTGCGCTGACCGGCGACCTTTGCTCGTGCGGGGTGCGGGGGCACTGTGCGGGGATCCGACAGTGGTGCACGATTTGGGCTGCGCTGAGGGTTGACCTGTACATCACACCGGATTTTGGATTGGGCGAGCGAATGCAGACTTTAGGTGTTGTTGTTTTCCTATTGTGTATTGCGACGTCAGGCACGAGGCCGCGCGTCGTCGCCGGGAAATTACACAGATGGGCAGATGGATCTAGTGTACTGCGTGATAGAGAGTGGGGAGTGCGCGCGTGACGCGTGGCGGGTCTACGACGGGGTCCGGGCCCGTACTCCGCGTGCGTGCCGGACGGCCACCTCGGCATGGGACGCGTATGCTCGAGGCGGGAGAAGGCCCGGCATAAAGCAGCGGAGACATCGATGATACGGGAACGGGCCTAACGGCGTACCCGGTGGGGCGGAGTGGGAGAGGAGAGGGCTCAGGACGAGACGCCAGCCGAGCTACGCTTCTCCTGGACCTTGGCGATGATGAAACTGGAGGTGTCGAGGAAGCGGCCGACGCAGTTGTGGAGGCAGTCGCGCTCCCTGGTCGAGAAGCCAGAAGAAATCGAAGAGACGCATCTGCATTCAGACGCCGCGCGCAAACCGCACGACGAAGGTGGGACGGCGATTACGGTTTTGGGGCGGAAGGGGCGAGGAACCGCGTGGCCGCGGCCAGGAAGTGAATGGGAGAAGGGGCGAAGGAGGAAAAGAGGGTTGAGATCGCACGGATTGCGGGGCGCGGAGGGAGGAAGACAACGTACTTGTCCCAGCACATGTTGGTAAGGCTGTGGATATTTTCCTGCACCCGCTGTTGCGCCTGCTCGGCCTCGAGGAAGGTCTGAAGCTCCTTCTGAAAGCCGTGCCGGAAAACAATTGGTGACCCAGGCGGATGCAGCGGGTGTATGCACATGGGGAGAAAGACACCGAAGACGACGACGATCAACGGGGTACCACGCATACAACACTGCGCATGCGTACCTTCGTCGTTGCATCCATGTTAACGTCCGAGAGCCCAAAGTCCGACATGGTCGCTGAGTTCGGAGACGGGAGGGTGATGAAGGGAGTTGGTGGCAGGAACAAAGAACGCGTCGCTGACGTCGCGCGTCACGGCTTGTGGCTTGCGCGCCTGTCCCACGTGGCTGTCTGGTTCAATTGGGAAGTTCCTGTAGCGCCCATGGTAGAAGGAACGACGACGGGCGCCAGCGCAATGCCCGGCTCAACTCAAGCCACCAAGCTCACACGCCCCTGCGTTTGTCAAAGGCCGCGAATGGTTTCTGTTGAAGCCACTCCACGGTAAGGGCTTAGCCTACCCCGTGCTTGTCATAGCTATGGCAGTTCGACGGTCTGAAAGCGCTAGAATCACACGGATGGGAACACAGAACACTTCGTGCAGTACCTTGGACCCTGACGGCTCCTGCGCTTGTGCGCAGGGCGACTGACCTTATCAAGCCCGTGATCATATGCAGGCCAGCGCAGAAGGACACGGAACACGGCGTTCGACCACACTGGGCGAGACTCTCTGGGTGTCGGACAGTCACGTCACCGTGAAGTCTATTACGAAGCCGAGCCCTCAATATCGCGTCCGGAGTTTATTCTCGCAGCCGGAGAAGCAAAGGCGACGCCGCAGGCTGCGGGTTGGTACTGAGAATGGCCACATAGGGGCAGCGATGGGAATGGGCAACCCAGGGTCGATGAAGCCTCAGAAGCAACAAGTGAGACGTACGTACGGACGGACACGAGTCTGTGCCAAAGCGATCGGTCGAAAAACGGTGGTGTGCATGAGGATATCATATGCGTTGTCTGGTGATGTCCGAACGCCGTTTGGAAGAGGCTAGAGGGGTGAGAAGTGAATCCGGAATATGTTGCCGGGACACACGAGCCTCGTTGAGTGGGCGGCTGCCATTCTCGGCCGACCGCAGAGACTTCGAGAGGCGGCACGGGTGACACGATGTGTACGTACAGAACGGGGCGGGGGGCACATATCAGACGACGAGTAGAGCGAGGGAGGGCGACCGGACGGGCGCGGTGGGCGCGTGGACGATCGATATGGGAAGGAGTGGTCTGCGAGTACTTCCTTACCGACTCCCGCGACGCAGGCACGGTCGGGCGCAATAGGAAGATGAACGGGCTCTGGGTGCGGGCTGAGGAGTGGTTTGCTGTGGAGGCGGGACGTAATCGCCAGGCAGGGGGGCGCATGTCCCTCTGGACGAGAGGCTCACCGACCGGGTTTGGGCTGGGCGACAGCCTGTTCGAACGGCCGGTCTGCGCTGTGGGCCGCGCACCGTCTGCGGGGGGCGGCCCAGACGGTGCGCGGCCCAGGGCTGCCTGGATGGAGCAGACGGGAAAAAAGGCTGAGCTAAGGTGGCAGATTTGCATCCGCGAACATCGCAAGCGCGGGCGTGCGAAGATCCGGGCGCGATCCTGGACGCCAGCGGAGCGCGCGACGAATTTTGGGCCGTGGCCGGGCCGCGGGAGACGTTGGGCTCGTCCCTCGCTCAGCTGTCCGCAACTCGCTCGTCCTCTTCCTTGTCTCGCGGCCCCAGCGCCCTGCATCCCCGTGGTCTGTGCCGTGCAGCACCGTCCCCATGCGCCAGGGCTGCCGTCTCTGGTCCTAGCCTTCCCGCGACATCCTTCACCCTCTTCCCAGCCCACATCGATCGTCCACCGGCTGATGAGTATCGGAAACCAGCCGTTCGTGCCCATATTCATACACGTGAGACCCTCCCGACATTCGAGAAGCCGCCGACTGCCTACGGTCTTGATATAAGGCGCATCATCCACCGCAAGCCGTTTTGACGCCTCACTCCGAGAGGGTCAGTACCTCCCCATCGCTGCCTTGTGCACCGCTCTTCCTCCTCTTCATGGCGTCATCCAGCTCAACAGACCGTTACCCCGTTGTCCAAAACATCCAGGGATGGAACATCCACCAGGTCAACACCCCGTAGGTCACCCGCCCCTCCCCTTCCTCTTCGTCGCAAACCACCCGTCCGTCGTCAGTGCACAGTACCTCGGCCGCAAGACTCTGCCTATCAAACGCGCAGATGCCGAGCCTCTGACCCGCGAAGACCTCCAGTACGATCTCCTCTACTACATCTTCACCGACACCACCAAGGCCTTCGTCGACTACCTCGCCCCCGACCTTCCCGTCGTCAACTTCTGTGACCTGTACGTCAATGCGCTCTACAACTCGCCAAAATGTTCCAAGGTCCTCAAGGACAAGATGGTCGAGACTCCCGCGTTCGCGATCGAGTTCGCCAAGATCGCCTTGCTCACCAACGTCGGTCGTATCAACACCACCATGGCCTGTGAGTCCTTCTCCGCCACGTGCTTCCCCTCAGTGCTCAGAAATCTTGCGCGTAGTCTTCCCAGAGATGAAGACCGCCTTGCGGAGCTACCATCCTGTTCCTTCGCTTCAAAAGACAGACGGGAACCTGCAGGATGCGCCCCGCATCAAGAACTGCTTGAAAGCTTCTCTGCTTCCGTTCGAGTTCAAGACTCCGCCTCCATCGTCCCCGCTGGAAATCCTCGAGAAGCTCGTACGTTGATGCAAAGGCTTCGCCAGTGCTTATAATTGACATTGTTGTTTAGCGCGGTGGGCAACTCCCTCCGACGAGCGTTGTCAACCTCATTTTCGTTTTGTCTAGCTCTAATCATGCTATGGTGGGTATTACACGCATATAGTTGCGGGTGCTATCTGACGGTGCATTCATACCAGTCGGTTGCGTCGAAGCACTTCGACCCACCTGTAGAGTTTCTGGACCTTTTTTTGCCCATCAACCTCTCGTCAGCCTCACGCGCCCGGTGCTTCCTGTGGCTCATGTTCCACTATCTGCAAGGGCCCGAAAAGCCGAACCCATTCGATGACGAATACTCGCGGCTGAACCCTCCCAAAGTCCCACGCATGCAGAGCCTCACTCGTGAGGAGCAGGCCGGGGAGAACGTCGACCCGTCCGACGAGATCGAGTGGGGCAAGCGCATGAGCGCGCTTCGCAGCAAGTTCCTCAAGGAGCTCGTGGACGAGATGGAAATGGAGAAGAAGCGGAAGAAAAACCCACCGCTTCCTCCAATGCCCACCCAAAGTACCTCATACTCCAGTGAGTGTATATCAGGCTGCGGTCCTACAAGCTCCACAGGATCGTGCCACTGACTCATCCACAGTGCAGGAGATGGCGGCGCTCCGGCAAGCACGGGCACAGAGACACGCTGCGTCCGAAGGAGGCACAGGAAGCCGCGGTTCATCCCACTCTCACGAGACGCGCCCGCGCGGTCCGTCTGCTTTGGGCGAGATCAGCTCGTCAGATGTGATCCCTCATCTCGAAGAGTTCAGACGTCAGTTCTTCGCAGAACTTCAGTAATTTGGTGGAGTTGCTAACTCGATCTATGTCCAGCTGATCTCTCGAGGGAAGATCCTAACCAGGAGCGGGGGATGTTAGAGCGTAAGCCCTTGTGCCACGCAGTGGCTTGGCGGACGAGGACTGACTGGTTATACAGAGGCATGGCATGTAGTCAACGCTACCGACCCGCTAGAAGATTCGGATCATGAGCAAGATGAGCACGTTCGCCTTGAATACAGTATGGCATCCGTTCCCTGTCCATTCACAGTTCACTAATCGCCTCATGGTCTGTCACAGACCGCAGGATGCGTGTCCTGGCGCGTCTGCGCGGGAAGGAGCCTACCCCAGAGCCGGAGCCGCGCTTCATGCCTCCCGGTCCGCCGGGCCCTCCCGGTGGAAGCGGCGGTGCCAGCGGAGACCCCTCGTCTACAGGTCGCCTGCAGCACGTTCACACTTGGCGCTGAGGACCGCGTTGGCACAGCCTATCCTCAAGTACCTTTTAAGTATGTTCATCCTTCACCGGCACAGCGACTTGTCGCGTGATATCGATACATGCTCACACAACTGCGCAGACTCGACTTGCAGCCCGTGAATGCATCAATACCCGCCCGAAGCCCGCAAACCACCCGCCGGATATTCCACCCGTTCTGCTCCCAGTCTACCCCTCGCTGTACGCTTTCTCTCCCCGCATCCCGCTGTCCGCCGCCACACGCGGCTGTACTGTAGGTAATCTCTACGCGCACGCGCTGCGCGCGCACTGCCTTAATACTTGTATACGCCTGTTTCTGCCCCAACCGTTGTGTGCGTGTGCGTGGGTTGTCGTCGGCTGTGCGACCGAACGGTGGACACGCCCCAGGTCCCTGGACAGTTCTACGCTAATAGCCTCACCGTTTACGCACGCCACCTCCCCCCGCCCCCTCCGTACCCGAAGCTCCTATCCCGATCCTGGCCTTTCTACCCGTCGACCTCGCGCCCTGTCGTGGGCCACATTATATCAGTATATTTGGACGTCGTCACACCGCATACGTGCCGCGTGCCTCACCCACCCAACGCGCACTCGAATGTGAGACGAGGATGCAACGAGGTCCTTCAAAGTTCAAACCAGTCGCGAGACGTCTGCCCGCGTGCAACGCATGCGACGCTGCCGCCGCCCGATCGAAGCTCGAACTCGCGCCCAGTCCGCCTCGCTCGTCGCTCGTCGCGACCTCGCCGCGGGGCCGGCAAAACCATACCGGGCGTCCTCTCACAGGCTAACCCCAGCGGTTAACGCCGAACGGCGGCGGCGGCGGCGGCGACGTTCGGCCTCGGGGAGCGTCGCCAGGGGCACGCGCCCGTCGTGCGAACGACGTGGACGTTCCACGCACGCCTTCCACGCCGTGTGTGCGGACGGAAGTTCTCGACGTCGGTTCCGCTGGCCGTTGCGGGCGCGGCGAGTCGCGACGGGCGTGCGTGCGAGCCCGGACGTGTGCTGCGCGCGCGCGCGCAGCCAGTAGCTTGCCTGCGACGGTGCATGCCTGACTACTGTTGGCACTTGCACGGTCGTGTCTCCCCATGACGAGCGTCCCTAGTCTCACTTAATGCGTGGGGCTTGTGTGAAAAGGATTTCGAGAGAGAAGGGCACCGTTGCAAGCCGTCGCACCTCGCGCGGGTCGCTTGGAGTCGGTCCGCCGCTGGATGGGTTTCGTTCCATACGTTTTTGTATAGCATTCGCAATGCGCTATGTTATGTGGGTTGTGCGGGTACGGGATCGATGTGGGCACAGCCCATCCATCTCTCGGCCGTAAAAAGTGGGGGGGAAGAAGGTGGGAGGGGTGGGGTGGGGGATACGGGTAGTGTGGGTGTGGTTACAATTGGTGTGGGCATGTAAGGAGAGGAAGGGAGCGGAGGTGCAGCACGGACGAGGTGCTGGGAGACCGGCTCCAAGGGGCGGCGGGGGGATCCGCACACCGCACGCGGGTCCGCGTCGGCCGCGCCCGCACGGCGGAGGAGTAGGCTGGCCACTCTTCCGCATGATGTAGGGGCGCGGGGGTAGACGGGGACGGGTGAGGGTGTGCAAGGGGAGCGGGTGAGGCGCGGTTCGCCTGGGCGGCGCAGCCGGCCTCAGGCTCCCCGACCGCCTGTGGGTGGTAGGAGGGAGGACGTGCCAGCGGTTCGCCATCGTACAACACCTCCTAGAAAACACGTCCCGGACCGGCACGGCTGGTACGAACGAAAAGAAGAGAAGGAAAAGAAACACGAGCCAGGGATCTCTAGGAGCTAGCTGAGGTGGGGGTGGAAGATGAGGTAGCAACACAAATGAGTCTTCGGGAATAAGAATACAAGCAACGTCCGTTGGCAATCATCCACGATGCAGGGAACATTACGATCGACGGGTCATTCGTGGCAGTATATGTAGTTGAGGAAAGGAGAGAATTGTCGATGTGTCGGAGCCAGTCGTAGGGAATGCAGTTGGTGTCTTCCCGTAGTACAAGATTAGATTCTTCAGAACGCGCCAGGCAGGCCCAGCACAGGATGCTCGAACCCGCTGCGGCTGCGGCGGGGGAGTTCGGGCGGTGCGCTGTGGCGTCGGCTCTTCCGCTCCGCCTCCTCCGCCTCCGTCTCCATCGCGCTGGGCCGGGGCACGACCACCTGCGGGGGCAGCGTGCGCTTGCGGATGCGAGTGAGCATGTTGCGCGACGTCGACTGGCGCGAGGCAATGAACGCCTGGAGGTTGGACTCCGAGAGTTCGATGGGGGAGGACGATTTGCTGCGCGGGACGACCGTCGTGGTAATTTGCAACCGCGGGGCGATGGGAGAACGAGGCGAGGACGGTAGAGAGGGGATCGGAGCGGCGATCTTCATCTTGGAAGGTTCGGGCACAGTAGGAGGCAAGACCTCGCGCGGCGGGAACCGTAGACGACCAACGCCCGCGGGGAGGGCGGGGCGTGCCGCTTTGGGGCTCGGCTCGGCGGATTCGATGACAATGATGGGCGTCGAAACCGGCGTCGACTCGGGGCGCGAGGGCTTGCGGAGGAAAGACGGTAGGCGTTTGGAACCAAGCTGGCGGGCCTCGGGAGCAGGAGAAGCAGGGGCGACGTGCCCGCTCGAGCTGAGACGGGCGGTGATTTGGTCGAGGGACGGGAGCACCTTCCTTTTCGTCGAAAGCTGCGACCGGAGGGCCGGGGCGAACTTGAAGAGCTTGGAGGGCTCATCTCCGGGGAGACGGAAGTCGACCTGTTCGACCCACGGCTGGCACGAAGGCGCGGCGTGCACACCGAGCGAAATCGCCTCAAAGACGCCGAGGGGAGACTCGAGGCCGGGCGACGGCAGCGAATAGTGGAAGACCGCGGGGGATTCGGGCGGGGTGACCGGGATCAGCGTCGCAGAAGGGGACGGGGGAGCCTGGACCTTGGAAAGGAACAGCGCCCTGCGCTCGACTGGGTAACATGAGTGGGGGTGCAGCAGCGGCTTTAAGCTAGACGAGCTCACCCTGCTTGCTTCGGTGGACCTTCAAGGCGATCTCCTTGCGGAGGTCGGTTGTCGGCCTCTTGCTGCCAATGGCGGCGTTTCTCTCTCTTGAAGCCTGGAGGAGGGCCTCAAACCTCTCCCTCTCCAAACCTTTGCCCGTGACGGGCGCATCCTTGGGGCGTAGGGGCGAGAGCTGCTTGGGAGACATGCTCGCAGGGGGGGACAGCAGGGTGGGACGGAAGCTGTCGGCGTCGTCGCTGAGGAAGGAGGCCTGGGAGAAGGGGGAGAACGGCTCCGGGGCGGGCTCCTCTGGGGAAGCGAGAGAGATGGCAATCTCGGGGACGGGGGAGACGACGAGAGGCATGTTGCTGCAGATGGCGGGGGACGATAGGATGTATTGCTTGCTTGCCAAAAAAACAGAAATGTCTGGAAGGGCGACCTGCACCAGTGAACACTTGATGAAGAATGTGCACCGGAAGGCCGGGAGCAAGAAGGAGGAAAGGAAAGGAGAAGAGAGAGAGAAAGCCCGTAAGCTGGCACCACACAAACCCGAGAAGAGGAGAAAGAGGAAGGCTGAGGAGGGGGAAGAGGAAGATCAAGGCGGGCGAGAGGAGGACAAGTGGACAGGCTCGCTGTTGAAGGTAGATCTCGGGCCTGTCCCGGCTGCCCACGCCGAGGCCCCGCCCGGCCGAGTCCGGCGCGCCCTGGCGCACCGTCTGCTCCCCGTCTGATCCCAGCCGGGCCACCGCAGTCCCGCCTGGCAACCCGCCGGTCCTCGCACGCGCCCAGCCTGCCCAGGCCTCGTTCGCGCCAGCGCGCCTGGGCCATCCCCGTTGGGCCTGCGCAGGCCTGCGCTCCCAATAGAATCCCCGTGCGCGATCCTATCAGGGCTCTGTGTTTCGTGCTCTGATCCCTGCCTGATGTTTTGTTCTCACCTTGTTTTCTCCGCACGCCAGAGCCTGCACATCATCGCCCACACGAGGCACCGCGTCGTCAGGCTGCCCTGGAATCTGTCACGAACAGTTGGGCCACGCAAGCCACGGGCGCTCGCCGCTTTTTGGGTAGAGCTCGATGAGTCGATGAACGTTTGAACAGCAGAGCTCCCTCGGCTTGACGGTCACGATTTCGTCAAAATACGATTTGGCATCCCGCGTGGATTTACTCCCGGTGTCATCCGGCCCACGACTTGTTTTGTAATTGCAACGTACCCCTCACAGCCCCTCAACGGCAACGGCCTCCGAAAGCTTCGTCTTGAACAGCTTCTCCGCCTCCACCCACACTCGTGCACTCTCGCGCTGCGGCAGCTCCAGCAGCGACGGCAGCAGGTTCGTGCTGAACTGTTCTGACGCCTCGCGCGGAAGCAGCGTCGGCAGATGGTCGATGGACACCATCGCCAGCGGTGGGTTGCCCTCCCTGCCCAACCCGCCACAGTAAGTTCAATGTCCACACGCCCGCTCTCGCGCGGCGACCCAGGCTTGGAAGGACGCACCCAACTTCGACCGGCACCGTAGGCTTCGCGAAGGTCGTGTTCACAGAGTAAATGGGGATCGGGTTGTGAGGGTTCGTCGTGTCGCAACTGACGTCGACGACGACGCGCAATCGCCGCTCCTTGCCCGCCACCTTGACTTGCTCATGCGTCATGAACGGCGGGATGGGTGTCGCCAGGTAGATGCAGTTCACGAATATGTCCGCCTCAAGGATCTCGGGGAAAGGCCCGCCCTTGGCCGTCTCAGCCATGTCCCACTTCATGATGTCGTCCCTGGCCCGTGACATCAGTTTCGAGCCGTCTCAGACCGCCCGGCAATGAACGACTCACTCCTCCACGCCGACCTTACGGAACAGGTCGACCGCGCCGCGCCCACACCGACCAAGCGCGCCGATGACGATCACCTTCAGGCCCTTCGCGCTCCCACCAAGCGCCTGCCGGACGCCCTCGACCATCGCGTCTTCGTTCTCGAACGGCTCGAGCTGGCCCAGAGGCTTCCCGGCGCGCTCGGCCGCGAGCGCGAGCGCGCCCGCGGCGGAGCCCGCAAAGCCAGCGTGGTAGCCGAACGCGGCGACGCGCCGGCCCTGGTCGTCGGTGAGGAACTCGAGGTCGTAGAGCGTGCCGTGGCCCTTGTGGAAGCGCGCGAGGACCTTGGACCAGCCGCCCTGCTGCTTGTAGCAATGCGCGAACTGGATGTGCGTGTGCGGGAGCGGGTCCTCCGAGACCGGGAGCTCCTTGAGGCCAATGATAGGCACGTCCACCGGCGCGCTCGGCCAGGAATTGTGCTCAACAAGCGTACAGCCGGCGCTGTGGAGGGCGCGCACAAGGCACGGGAGATGGGATGTTGTCTCAGACCACGCGCGATGGAGAGATGGGAGGCGCAAACACTCACGCCTCGTACTCCTCGTCCTTGAAGATCCTCTGCGAGTCCCGCTCAACAGAAATCTCGAATCCGGCATCGATCAGCTTTTTGGCGGTGGTGGGGGTGATGGCCGTCCGGCGCTCGAACTCCTTCTTTTCGCAGCGCAACCAAAGACGTTGGGTAGACATGGCGGTTGGTGGATGGTGGGATCGAGTGTGCAGACGCGAGCTCGCACTTTTGCGCCTTCCTCCAGCCTCGTCCTGACTCCACCTGAGCTGCACGCACGTGAGGCGATTAGATTAGATGGGCCCGATCACCCAGATCAGGGCCACACCGCCGAACCACAGCCGCCCTTGGACTCATACGACCACGCACACAACCATCGAGACCGGCATGCCTGGGCGCGTGAAGAAACGATCCCCTCTCAAGGCACCGGGTACGCTTTCCGTCTGTCTGTGTTTCACAGGAGCTCATCGAGTCGACAGAGCGACCATACATAGCCCTCGGGCTCGAGGGCTCCGCTAATAAACTCGGTGCTGGGATCATCAAGCATTGCCCCGATAACTCCACCCATGTGCTGTCCAATGTCCGGCACACGTACATAACTCCTCCCGGAGAAGGTTTCTTGCCACGAGACACTGCCCAGCACCATCGAGAATGGGCGTTGACTGTGATCAACGACGCGCTGAAAAAGGCCCAGGTCTCAATGCACGATATTGATTGCATTTGCTTCACAAAAGGTCCGAACCCCAGCTCTGTGCGCCGTATTCCGAAGCTGATGGCATGGACAGGTCCGGGAATGGGAGCACCGCTTGTATCAGTCGCCCTCGTTGCCCGAACCCTGTCGCTGCTGTACCGCAAGCCCCTGGTCGGCGTAAACCACTGCGTAGGCCGTGCGTGATATCCGGGCATTCATCGCCCACACTTCTCACGTATGATCTCGTATCCAGACATTGAGATGGGCCGTCAGGTCACCGGTGCCCAAAACCCTGTCGTCCTCTACGTATCCGGCGGGAACACCCAGGTGATCGCCTACTCTCAGCAGTGCTATCGCATCTTCGGGGAGACCCTCGACATCGCAGTTGGCAACTGCCTCGACCGCTTCGCCCGCGTGATTAATCTCAGCAACGACCCCAGCCCCGGGCACAATATCGAACAGGAAGCGAAGAAGTGCGTGGGGCCTATTGCCCGCACTGCCCACAGTGCGAAGCTGACGCCCATCACAGAGGCAAGCGTCTCCTGCCGCTGCCATACGCCACGAAAGGCATGGATGTTAGCCTCTCGGGGATCCTCACCTCGACCGAAGCGTACACCCTAGACAAGCGCTTCCGCCCACAGGGCCCCTCGGCGGAAGACGGCGAGGATGTGATCACCCCGCAGGACCTCTGCTTCTCGCTGCAGGAGACCGTGTTTGCGATGCTCGTCGAGATCACCGAGCGCGCGATGGCGCACATCGGGAGCAAGGAGGTGCTCATGGTCGGGGGTGTCGGCTGTGCGTGTTCTCTGTTCACTCCACGACTGCACACACCCATCTGACTGGCTGCGCGGGCGTTCGTCGCAGGTAATGAGCGGCTGCAGGAGATGATGGGCGTCATGGCGCGCGAGCGCGGGGGAAACGTCTTTGCCACGGACGATCGGTGCGTCGTGCATGCATGGCATCGGACGTGTGTTCGCTTCGGTATTAACACGGCGCTGCGTCCGATCAACAGGTTCTGCATCGACAACGGGCTCATGATCGCGCAGGCTGGCCTCCTAAGCTTCCGCATGGGCTTCGAAACGCCGCTAGCAAAGAGCACTTGCACGCAAAGGTAGGGTCTTCCGAATCTACGCGAATACAGGTGGGATGACCATCGGACCGCAGATTTAGGACTGATCAGGTGCACGTCGCATGGCGAGCGTAGGTTTGATGGTGCGTATGACGCTCGCGAAGCAGTTCTTGTGTTGGTATATGATATAAGTTGTGTATCATAGAAGACGGTTTGAAACGTGGAAATTCGTCGAACGGAACGAAGACAGGCACGGGGCATCTATGGTACTAGCAATAGCGTGGAACGAGCAAATTCAGGTAGCGCAAGAACCGGACTGAAAACATCTAAAAGACACAACAGCAGCCTTCAAGCTTCAAGCACGGGCCACATACTTCTCCATCAGCGCCAGCCCCTCAGGGTCGCTCTCCGCCATGTCCCGGCACAGCCCCTCGTACACGTCCCACCACCACCCGTTCACCTCCTCGTACTCGCCCGCGCGCCCACGCGGGACGTGCCACGGCTTGTCGCTGAAGATGTAGTGCACGCACCGCACCTCGTCGTCGCTCCACACGTTCCGGTGCACGGTCCTCAGCGTCTTCAGCGCGTTGTACTTCCACGGCAGCGCCGCCCAGCGCCCGGCGTAGTGGTGCGAGAGCACGTCCTGGTCCGGGAACGCGAACGTCGGCACGAGCGGCGACGCCGCGATCAGGTGCGCGATCGCCCCGAGCGCGTCGAGCGACGGCTGGAGGACGACCGTGCCCGAGTTGAGCTGCCGGTGCGGCCGAGGCGCGTTCGGCGCGGAGGGGGACGGCGGGGCCCCGTGCGGGCCTTGCACCGCGTTGTGGGCGCAGTTTTCCGGGACCCTGATCGTTGGGAAAGAAAAAGTGTGTGTGTGAGTCGGAGGCGATGGGCGAGGAGGACGAGGACACCATGCGGCCGACGGGCGCGGACGGCTCGCGTGTGCTCACCAGTCCGTGGGGTAATGCTGGAGCTTGCGGGGGTTGCACGCGCAGACGTGGGCGGCCGCGATCCAGCCGTCCTCGAGCGGGAAGTCGAAGAGCTCGTCCATAGGCCGTCGGAGGATCATGTCCGCGTCGATGAGGACGACCCGCTGTTTGAGTGGCAGATTAATGGGGACGGACACGCTGTCGGCTCAAGGGCAGCATGACGTACTTCATACTCGACGAGCTCGAAGGCCCTGCACAGCACGAGTTAGCGGATGATATGTAAACAATCGGAGAGGACTGCGCACCTGAGCTTGGTCCAGGTGTCGCCGAACCGTACGTCAGCGGCATCGAGTGTGTGTTTGCCGTCGTCGGGGCGAAGGGTCTCGACGTCGCGGACAATAATTCCCCGGCCTTTCAGAGCGGCCCGAGCCTCGACAGATAAGCTTGGTGTGGCCATCACCACCAATGGATACCTGCAACCCGCGACAACCATGCTAGCGTGCACTGTGAGCACGCCCGGCAGGTACGAATCCGCGGTGAGAAGCGTCGCATATGCTACTGGGCGTTGGTTGTCCATGGTGGAGGAAGAATGTGAGGCAAGGAGGTTGGGCAAGCTGGCCCCGAACGCGACAGAGTGACCCGGCGACCTATATACGCTGACCGAGCATCTCCGTCACCGCTGCACGGACTGGGATGAGACCTCACAGGGCGTTATCGATGGACGCCACCGCGGGCAGTGAGTTCCTCTTACTGGGCCACACCGTGTTTCCGAGACGATTGCTGGCTCTGCGGATACAACGTCGGAGCGCCCGCACTGAGCGCTCAGACCCTAGCTCCGGCGCGAAATTTGCCTTGCGGCCCGTTGCGGGCTCTGGGATGGGCGACAAGACGACTGTCGAGCGCGCAATACCATCTCGTTGATATGTCGGCACGATCGTCGACCCTCGATGCATCCCCGGCCCCGATATCGCCTCGCTGTACGATACAGAGCCTCATGCGTAGGTATAGACATGCTCACTTTGGATGCGTAGTACAGCGTCAAGCCCACCGATCGGACATTGCAAACGGCTTGCGGCTTGGGGGAGTCTCATGCACATAATTGCATTGGCATGGTCATACACGTGCGTCATGAGGCAGAGCAAAGGAGTAATATGACAACAGAAAAGACGATGGAGCTGCGTTCACCGGAGACGGCTGATAGACGACAGGAATAAGAACGAGGCATGTGGAAAATAAGGGAAGACGCACCGAGCCTCACGCTCACTCTCCAGGAGGGCCAGGATGTCCTTCTCACGGACGGGACCCTTCACGTTACGGATGATGGTACGGGTAGGGTCGTCCATGAACTCGACACGGACTTGCGTGACACCACCGCGGGAGCCAGTGCGCCAAGGACCTGCGGTGCGAAGGTAGCGAAACGTCAGACGAGACGAAAGGTAAGGGGTGAGTCTGGGACCTTGATGACAGTAGCGAGCTTGACGGGGGTTTTTGATGAGTCCTAAGAATAGGTCACACCGCGTCCTTCAGCGACGGCAGTACCTGGAGAGCTCACCATTTTTGCAGGGGAGGAGTGCCGAGGACGACGCTGGTGGTGGGTTTTGGGTCGGTGTATTGGACTGAAAAATAAGGTTCGGACACAGAGTCGGGTGTAAGCTCCGCTCGGCGATAGCCGGTGGCTGATATAAGGGATAAGATGGGTTCGATTCGTGTCAGATATCGATCTAACTCCATATATGATAAGTTATTTACTAGGGACACAAAGTTATGCACCCTTTTCAAACGGTTTACTGCTTGAAAGTAAACCGTTTGGAATGGAGTTGGTCCGCGAGCGGAGAGCACATAACATATTACTAGGCATAAGCTAACAATACATCGATAGATGGAGTAACCTAGTGTCTAATCCGCGAGAGCACCTGTCGTCGATGTAGTCGTGGTCGAGTCAGAAGCCGAAGCGTTTGCACCGGCTCGCTTCTGGTAACCTTTGCCGCGCAGGACGTTCTCGATGAAGTATTCGCCGGCCTGCAATCAGAATTAGCGGGCCGCGCTATGACTGAGAGAAAGCACGCAGTAACGCACCTTGTAGCTACTGCGTACGAGCGGCCCACTCGCGACGTACAAGAAGCCCATGTCCTCGGCGACCTGCTTCCAGCGGTCGAATTCTGCCGGCTCCACGTACCGGTCGACCTTCATGTGGCGTTTGGTAGGCCGCATGTACTGACCAAACGTGACCACATCGACGTCCACCTTGCGTAGCTCTGCGCGACTCATCAGCGCTGGATCGATCGGGATAAAGGCTAGACTAACCCCGCAGTGCATCCATGAGGTCCTCTTCCTTCTCACCAAGCCCGAGCATGATGCTCGTCTTGGTCACGCGAGCGCCTTGCTTCTTGGCGTGTTCCAAGATTTTGAGACTCTGCCGGAACGTCGCTCGCCTGTCACGCACGAAAGGCGTGAGGGCTTCGGTTGTCTCGACATTGTGAGCGAAGACGTCCAAGCCGGACTTCGCGACAAGGGCGGCATGATCGAGATTCCCGGCGAAGTCACCGGTCAAAGCCTCGACGAGGATATGCGGCGCCCTGGGAACGACAGTCAGTAGACTTGTGAGAGCATGGACCTTCCGTCATAACGTACTTCTGCTTAATCTTCATGATCGTCTCGGCGAAATGGTGCGCACCGCTGTCTGCGAGGTCTGGTTCTGGGTCAGCATACAGAGAAGAGCAACTGTTGGAAACAACCACACCATCGCGATCTACGGTTGTGAGAACAATGTACCCCAGGCCCCATCGGCTGATGGCCTCGGCGGTATTCTCGGGTTCATGAGGGTCCAAGGGAGGCGGGTTCTTGGAGGTCTTGACCGAACAGAACCTGCAACCTCGTGTGCAGGTATCACCCATCAGCTGGGAAGCACCACTACGTGAGCACGACGACACTTTCGCTTAAAGGGGAGGAATTGCGCATACCATGATGGTCGCCGTAGCGGCTCTCCGTCCTTCCGCCTGAGAGACGCCTTCCTTCCCGCCCCAGCAGTCGCCGATGTTAGGACACCGCGCTTCTTCGCACACAGTGTGCAAGTTCAGCCCACGGAGATCCTTCTTGATGCTGGAGAAGTTCGAGCCAGTGGGAATCTTCGTCTTCAGAAACGAGGGAGCCGTGGTCTGCGGTAAGGATCATCTCCTGTGAGTTCGGAAACGCGACAGGCAGAGCGCAAGGACATGACTTGCGCTGTAGATTCCCAAGAACGACGCGCTCTGGCACCTTGTCTGCGACGAAGTCGTCGAACGAGGGACCGTCGTTTAGCGTCTGACTAAAGCTCGGCTTGGACGAGGAGGGTGTGGCCAGACACCGCACGGGTGTGCGCACAGCGCGCGCCGCACGGGTAGCAAGTTGAGGCCCGGCAAGACGCATCTCGAGAAGTCGGCGAAAGCGCCGAGGAGTCGAGTGGGAGAGAAGGAGGTGGTGGTCGTACGGCGACCGCAAGCCAGCCGTGCACAGTCCAAGGCTCGAGCTCGTGCCACAGTGACAATATTTGCCGCCACTGCCGGCCCATATAAGGCAGCGGCGCGCTCGATCGCGTCCAATCGCGTCGGTGCGGTGAGCCGTCCAGCGCCTCTTCATCTCTTCCCTTCCGCCCTTGGGCTCCGACCCGTCTCGCTCCACCCGCCATGAATGCGCTTTCGCGTCGGGAGGAGGACATGCTGATGAAAAAGACGAAGGAGACGGCTCTGAAGCTGTGTGATCCCATCGTCAAAGGTACGAAGTGCTACCTCAGTCATTATTCCAACATACAAGCTGGCTCCGCAGAATTCGCCGAATGCGCCGAGGGACGCACATTGTCAGTGGCCTGGCAATGCGGAAGCAAGTACAAGGCGGTTCAGGACTGTATGAAGCGGTAGTGAGTCTGCAGCTGCCTTCATTGCGCGGTTTGCAATTGTACCGACGTTTCGCAGCACTGGCCCTGAAGGGATGCGCCTTGTGCGCGCAGAGTATCTGCGTTTGCGGAACGAACGCGCAGTCAACGCTAATGCAGATGCAACACCGGTATGATGGCGAATGCTACTGCCAAGTCCAGTTCCTCCTCGCACTTCATTTCCCTCACACTGAGACTCCATGCGCACAAACAATGTAGTGTAATAATGGTATGATCTCTGAATATTACTAGCATTCCCCTCCTCCCTACTTCTGCAGAACGTTCCATTGCTGGCGAAGCGCCATCATTGAAGTGATGAAACTGGGTAGATTCTCAATTGTGCGGTCCCGCTTGAGCCAATGAACGCAACGTACCCGAAGATGCCCAACACGCCCTCGTTGAAGTTGACCAGACCGATGTTGGTGGCGGGGATCCAGACGTCCAGAATATCGATGATGAATTGGTACCGAAGTACATCTCGGGCGACTTGGAGGTTGTGGAGTTTGAGGTCCCTCTCCGCCTCGGCACTCTTCTCCGTCCACGACTGGCTCTGAAGCTTCTTGACCTCGTTAGACAGCCGACCGGCCTGTCGACCTCCAGTGAGAGCCATCAAGCTGCTAATTCTGACGTCACGTACCTTGAGCAACCCATGCGCGAGGCTGAACACGATCCCCGCGAACCAGAACTGCATGGCACGCTTGTTAATCTTAGCCGCAGTCGACGGCATGAAGTTGTAGAACTTGATGGCCTGGACTATGTTACGCATGCATATTCTAGCAACCATAAGGGCGTCGGGTGAAAGACGATAGCGTACCCAAGACAATTGGTCCAGAGCGAGATATCCGAAGTAGCCGATCTGGCGGCCAATGGTCGCGATACGTTCCCCAGTCTCTCCTGGCGCGTTCATGGCTCTGAGGACAGCCTGGGCATTTTCCATGAACTTGCCCACGCGTAGCACTGTACGATATGTTCGATACGCACACGCGCGGGCTGGAGATAGATCGGCACTCACACTTCCGTCCCAGAGCCAAGTGTGCCTTGAGCGCATCCCACCTCGCCGCCTGGATTTTGTAGCCACGAGAAAGAAGGAACCACGCAAAGAACCGCGCGAAGTATTGGACAGCACGGTAGAGCTACGCGACGCGACGCATGTCATAGGAGGATGGCTCATATTATGATGAGGTCATACCTTGTCTCGCCCTAAGGTCGTGCCGAGTACCTTTAGAGAGTGGGATGTGGCCGGGTGAAGGACAACCTGCGACGCAATGCTGGCCATGGCGAAGGTGGGTGTAGTGAGAAAAGCAAAGAGAGGTGAGTGAGAAAGGTGCGGTGGGCGTGCGCGGGGGCAATAGCCGAGTATAACGCCGCACTTCAAGGGGAGTCGAATCACGTGTGATACCCCACAGTTCTCCTGAAATCACAGGGGTCGCCACGCGCGGTGGCCCGGACGCAGCGGGACGCGACATTTCTCGTACGGCGCGTCGAGCGTGTATCCGTCGACGTCCTCTGCGCGCCCTTCCACCAAAGAAAGGACGGTCCGCGCGGGGAGCGCAGCGCCGGCCGAGGGTAGCGTCGAACACGGGGGAAGCCGGGCGATACATCGGGAACAGGCGGCATGGTATGCGCGCGTCGTGCTTGCCAAGGGTCGCACACCTTCCCCCACGTCCTCCACCTCCGCCTACACGTCCTCTAGAGCTCTCAGAGCACCCGCCCCCACCCCCACCCCCACCCTATCTCTACATTAATTCTTGAATAAAATGGCCGGCATTCGCCTCGCCCGCGCGATCACCCTCGTACGTGCTCCTCTGCCGCGCTGTCAAACCCTCCAAAACTCATGTGACCCGTCCGCTCCGCGCCGCCCTGCCGTTCGGCCTGGTTCTGGCCTGCAGCGCGATTTCGCTCGTGTAGGCCCGCTGCGGTCGCGCCCGTTCTCATCCACTGCGATGGCCATGGTGGGTCGCCCTCCATTTCGCGCGCAGCGCTGGAGCTCACCGCGCTGCAGGAGCAGAAGTTCCGCATCGAACGCGACACCTTTGGGGACCTCCAGGTCCCCGCGCACCGCTATTGGGGGGCGCAGACCCAGCGGTACGTCGTTTTCCCGCCTTGGCACGCTAGAGGCTAATATCCTGTCGCTCCCGAACAGTTCTCTGCAGAACTTCGACATCGGTGGGCCTTCTGAACGCCTCCCTGAGCCGCTCATCAAGGCCTTCGGTGTGCTCAAGAAGGCGGCCTCAATCGTCAATGTTGGGTATGGGATGGACCCCAAGATTGGCGAGGCGATTCAGCAGGCGGCGGATGAGGTATGTCGGACGGTCCACTCGTGTGCGTGCGCAACGTGGTGATTGAGATGACGTCGTTAGGTCATCTCCGGCAAGCTCATCGACGAGTTCCCGCTGGTGGTCTTCCAGACCGGCAGTGGAACGCAGAGCAATATGAACGTGAACGAGGTGCGTGCTCGTGCGTACAAGCCGATACTCAGGCCCCTCACAATCTGATGTGCGTAGGTCATCTCGAACCGTGCTATTGAGATCCTCGGCGGCGAGCGTGGCTCGAAGAAGCCCGTCCACCCCAACGATCATGTCAACATGAGCCAGAGCTCTAACGATACGTAGGTCACAACCTTGGTATAAGCTGAGAATCATACACCCTGACACGGTTTTAGCTTCCCCACGGCCATGCACGTCGCCGCGGTCACTGAGATTCACCGTTCCCTCATTCCTGCCCTCACCGAGCTCCGTGACGCTCTTGACGAGAAGGCTAAAGCCTTTGAGCACATCATCAAGATTGGCCGCACGCACTTGCAGGTGCGACTACCGGACAATGTCGGACTGACACGAGGCTGATCCTTTGTCCACAGGATGCGACACCCCTCACCCTCGGCCAGGAGTTCAGTGGCTACGTGCAGCAGCTGACGAATGGCATTGACCGCGTGAAGGCCACTCTTCCCCGCTTGAGCATGCTTGCTCAGGGTGGTACCGCCGTGGGGACCGTGAGTGTCGCAGCTACCATATTCAGCGACATGTGTCTTACCAGTAAAATAGGGTCTAAACACTAAGAAGGGCTTCGACGTCAAGGTTGCGGACGAGATATCCAAGCTCACCAACATCGAGTTCAAGACTGCCCCCAATAAGGCAAGTTTCTCATTGAAGCGTTCAGTAGAGATCGTATCTGACGGGTGTGTTAAGTTTGAAGCTCTTGCTGCCCACGATGCCCTTGTGGAAGCGCACGGCGCACTGAACACTGTCGCGGTCTCTCTCATGAAGATTGCGAACGATATCCGCTACTTGGGTTCTGGTCCTCGTTGTGGTCTTGGCGAGCTGCAGCTGCCGGAGAACGAGCCCGGTAGCAGCATCATGCCGGGCAAGGTCAACCCCACCCAGTGTGAGGCCATGACTATGGTTGCCGCGCAGGTCATTGGTAACCAAACCGTTGTGAGCGTTGCGGGCTCGAACGGTCAGTTCGAGGTACGTGATATAATGATGCCCTAATGCGGAATGTGGTTTGTGCTCACGCACTGGCCTCCTCGCGTAGCTGAATGTCTTCAAGCCTGTAATCATCAAGAACGTCCTCCAGAGCATCCGCTTGCTCGCTGACGGTGCGTACATAGTGTGTGAAAACTCGTGTTAGCTACTGACATTTGTTCGACAGCGTCGCGTTCGTTCACCAAGAACTGCGTTGTTGGTATCCAGGCTAACGAGAAGCGCATCAACACTCTTCTGCACGAATCTCTTATGCTGGCCACTATTTTGAATAGCCACCTCGGCTATGACAGTTAGTGTCGACTTTTGTGTTGTGTCTTGAGGCTGTGACTCACAATGCGTTACAGACGTCGCCAAGTGCGCGAAGAAGGCGCACAAGGAGGGCACGACGTTGAAGGAGGCGACGGTCGCGCTGGGCTTCCTGACGCCAGAGGAGTTTGACGAGAAGGTCCGGCCGGAGCTGATGTTGTACCCGGATGAGGCGTGAGGACGGTTGGATGTGGCCATACGTATGTCATGTTAGGTGATAATGCATATGATGTGACGACGAGAGCCCGGCACCATCGGCAAATAGTGTTCGTGGGTGGCCGGATCGGGGCGCTGGTGAACACAGCGCGTCCCCTGCGTGTGGCCAAGGGTGGCAGGGGTGTGCAGAGGACGCTACGGGCAGGGCCGAGAGGAGATCTGGGCAAGGGAGGGCGGGCGTGACAGGGGCAGTGTGACACGGTGGGGAAGCGTAGGAGCGGCAAGGGTTGTCCAAAACGGGTAACGGACATATTTGTAGCGAGAGGAATCCTATGAGACTGCTCGCTGGGCAAATCGCGGGTGAGGTGTCGCTCATCGCGGCCGGCCCTTGATCAACCGCCCTCGGTGCGCCTTCCCTTCCGACCCGCCACCTCCCAGCACCGTCGCTGCCCCCCGCCCCCCGACGCCTGCACGCCCCCTCCCCGCCACCGAGCCAGATTCGACTACTCCTCCACGGGCACCTTGCGTGCTCTCGACCCAGGTGTGTCATCGCCCGGCGCTTCCTAAGCTGTCCAGCAGTCCACGGAAGCAAACCTATTTATTAGCCCACTCCTCTCGACTCGCCCTGTCGCCCGCCTCTCCCAGCAACAATGTCCCTCAAGCACATCCTCAACGACGATCCGCCACTTCAGCCCCTCCAGCCTCCCGGGCAGCATGCCCCACCACACGCCAACGGCAACGGCGGGCCCATGCTCGTCGTCTCCCCCAAGCCCGTCACCCCTCTCTCTCCCATCTCCCAGTCTCATTCTCAACGCGACGGCCGCTCGCCTCCGGATGTCCGCAACGGTGAGCCGGCGCCTGCTCCACGCGAGTACGGTGGCTACCAGCAGCCCCCGGGGGTTTATCAGGGTGCGCCGCACGGGCAGTGGGAACGCGAGCACTACACCAACGGCGACAGGCTCCAAGCGGAAGACGTCCCCTCGGGCCCCAGCAGCTCGTACCATGCGGAGCAGGAGGAGAGCGCGACGCCATCGCCTCGCATTTCGAACGGGTCGAGGAAAGAGGAGTCGCTCCCCGCCGAAGGGAACGGTCGCGTTTTGAGGAAAAGGAAGCTCCCCGACGACGACGAGGACTACCATCCTCCGGGCCAGAAGCGGGTGAGTCGCCGTTCGTTCTTTCAGCGTCGCGTGGTCATTGTTGGTGACCGGTGTCGGTGCAGCAACTACGTCGGACTCCTAGGACGCGTCAGCAGCACCGAAATGAAACCCCGGCATCGGAGACGGTTGATGACACGGGCACGGAAGAACAAGTCGAGTCCGCTGAGGAAGACTCGAGGCTCGGGTCGGACTTGGAAGACTGCCCGGAGCTCTGGATGGCGGAACTTGGTACTTATGTGATAGAGACTCACAAAAGGCAGAAGCAGGTGGATGCGTGGTTCTCGCGATGGATAATCGTACGTGTATATGTACTGAACGGTTTCACGCCCGTGCTGACCCTGTCCTCAGGAACGCGACTCGATTACCGCGTACCGCATGTCCCACCACTACAGGGATAAACTGGCTCGTATTCCCCCTCCTCCCCCTCCTCCACCGCCTACTATGCCTATGATGGAAGAAGACCACATCGCCCCATATCTCCGTCTTCCGACGTGTTTGAGGTACATCGACCGGAGTTCATTCATTCCGACGGCCACAACTTTGTCGGAGACGATGGTGTTCCTTACGAGCCTTCGGTTGGCCCCAAACGGAAAGGGAAGGGCAAGGATGTCGCGAAGCGTCCCCCACCGACAGCTGCCTCGGACAGCGACGGCGACGTGGAGGTTCCGATCAGCGCCATGCGACCCCCGCAGAAGAGAAGGAGGCTGGAGAAAGAGGACGGCGGGGACGACCAGCGTTCTATCGCGGACGAGTCCGTGGCGGGCGCATCTCCCGCTAACAAGTTGCTGAAGCGCGGCAAGGGCAAGCAGCGGGAGACAAGTGTAGACAGTGGGGCATCCGCGACGCCGAAGGTGCGCAGGAAGCCTGGCCCGCGGAGGAAGCACGACAATCTGCCTCCGCAGACGCAAGAGGCTCTCGGCATTGGTTCAGCTGCTCCATCTGTGGCGGGCGACGTGACGCCTGCCGGTTCGCGCCCCCCTTCGCCCACTCTGACTAGCATCTCCGCAACCGTGTATGAACTGGACGAGGCTATCCCTCCTTTGAAGCGCGCACGGAAGGTCGACGACACGTTGATGATCAAGCGGGTCAAGAACTTGGAGGAGACACAGCGCAAGGTCTGGATGAATATCGCACGGCGCGACGTTGCCAAGGTATACAAGTACTATACCACCGGCCAGCAGATCCGCCGTGCGCAAACGAGCCGCCTCGCAACTCTTTCGTCCATCCAAGCTCGGAGACCATTCCAGAAGACAGCCAAGGCAACCAAGGACGTGCAGACCAAGGCGAAGCGGCTGATGCGCGAAATGCTCGTGTTCTGGAAGAAGAACGAAAAGGAAGAGCGCGACGTACGGAAGCGCGAGCAGAAGGAGGCAATCGACCGCGCCAAGGTCGAGGAGGAGAAGCGCGAGGCGGCCCGACAAGCGAGAAAGCTCGAGTTCCTGATCAGTCAAACCGAGCTGTACAGTCACTTCGTCGGCAACAAGCTCAAGAGTATGTGGCTTCTCTGGGGACTACTCTCTCGTACACTAACGAACACTCGCAGCCGCTGAGATCGAAGGAGAAGCTCCTGCAGCTGACGCCCCAACGGGTGCCAACCTTGAGGATGTCGAAGGCGACAAACTGCAGGAAATAGACTTCGATGACGGTGCGTTATTTCCCCACTAGTCTAGGAGCGCTTCGCTTACTCGCCTGCAGACGATGAGACCAACATCTACCGGCATGCGCGTCATAACGCACAGGCAGCAATCTCTGCCGCGAAGAAGAAGGCCCAGGAATTCGATACGAACGCTGCCCTCGAGCGCAAGACAAACGAGGCGCTCAAGCTGGCCAAGCGGCAAGCACACATCAGAGCGGACGAAGACGTAGAACAACCTGGCGGCAATGGCACTCCTCTTGTCGATCGTGCGTTAGTTTTTGGTTTCCTGAATGCTTGGTATTTACCCACCTTATAGTTGACTCCGACGAGCTGAACTTCCAGAACCCCACGGGTCTCGGTGAACTCACCATTGCTCAGCCCAAGATGCTTATGGCCACCCTCAAGGAGTACCAAATCAAGGGCCTTAACTGGTTGGCAACACTGTACGAACAAGGCATCAACGGCATCCTTGCAGATGAGATGGGTCTCGGAAAAGTAAGCCCCAAGAAGGCTCCCCTGTACTAAATGTTGCTCAATATCCGTCCCAGACCGTGCAATCAATCTCTCTGCTGGCGTATCTTGCGGAGACGCACGACATCTGGGGTCCTTTCCTTGTTGTATCTCCGGCGTCTACGCTGCACAACTGGCAGCAGGAAATCACCCGCTTCGTTCCCAAGTTGAAAGCGCTTCCTTACTGGGGCAATCCGAAAGACCGTGCTACTCTCCGTAAATTCTGGAGCAAGAAGGAGATTAGCTATGATCAAGATGCGCCTTTCCACGTCCTCATCACCAGCTACCAGCTAGTCATCCAAGACCAGCAATACTTCCAACGCGTCAAGTGGCAATATATGATACTGGACGAGGCGCAGAATATCAAGAACTCGTCAAGTGCTCGATGGAAGACTCTCCTAGGGTTCCAGTGCAGGAATCGACTCCTGCTGACCGGTACTCCGATCCAGAACTCGATGCAAGGTCAGTATCAGGCTCTTCTTCTGTCCTGAGTCATCCTCACGTTCTACCATAGAACTGTGGGCCCTTCTGCACTTCATTATGCCCAGTTTGTTCGATTCACACGACGAGTTCAACGAGTGGTTCTCCAAGGACATCGAAAACGCTGCGGAGAACAAGGGCAGCAAGCTCAACGAGCATCAGCTCCGTCGTCTTCACATGATCTTGAAGCCGTTCATGTTGCGTCGTGTCAAGAAGCACGTCCAGAATGAACTGAGCGAAAAGGTAAGGGTTGTCTTCATCCTACAGCACACAGCTGACATTTTCTGCAGATTGAGGAAGACATTTACGTGGAACTCAGCGCGCGACAGCGGAATCTGTACAAGGCTCTTCTGGCGAACGTCTCCGTGCAAGATTTGTTGGAGAAGGCCGCAAATTTCGGCGACGCGGAGTCCGCTCGCTCCCTCATGAACCTCGTCATGCAGTTCCGCAAGGTCTGCAATCACCCGGAGCTGTTCGAGCGCGCCGATGTTGTTGCGCCATACTCGTTCTCGGACTTCGGTCGATCGGGCCCTCTTAACCGAGAAGGCGACTTTGTTCAGCTGCCGTACTCGACTCGCAACCCGATCGAGTACACTATACCCACACTATTCTTGCAAGATGGGGGCTTGCTGGACGTCCCTCAAGAGAGCTCGCTTATGCGGACTGGAAACGGTCCCTTGGCGAAGATGATGAACATTTGGTCTACGGAGCTTCTCTACCGGTCCATACAGGAAAATGGTGAGCCATGCAGTTCTTGTCGATATTCGCCCCTACTCACTCAATCTCGTAGACTCTGCGTTCTCATTCTTAAAGTTCATCGACGTCCCCCCCAGTGACGCAAGCGTCTTCCACTCCTTACCGACAATAGCACGACAGGTTCACGCTCTACACCTTGAGAAGGCGTCCTCCGAGAACGAGCCATACAATCTGTGAGTATATTTCAATACAATATCATGATCTTTGAGCTCAAACGATTGCAAGTGATCCCATTTTCGCCGCGAGCGCTGCCTCTAACCCTTACGGCCTCTCTCCTCTGGAGCATCTCTGCAACTTGGATGTCGGTACCGAGCTCCCCGCCCTGCGAGATATTTCAACGAACACCTGGGCCGCTTCTTGCCTTTCCCGGGCAGACCTTCGATGGTTCATGCCACCAGTCGTCGCCCCGCCCATCTCGGTTTACTGTGCAGATCGCACATTCGTGGAGCGACAGGCCCAAATCGTCGACGCGCCGCAGGAAACGCTAGCTCTCTACGGCATGCCACAGTACATGTGGGATTACGAGCCTGCCCATGCATCCTTCGGGGAGCAGGTTGGCGACGTTCCCGTGTCCGGACTTTTGGCCAACTCACCATCAGATCAACTGCCACTCTCCTTCATGCAAATTCCTGAAGCGAAGCGCCTCATCTACGACTCCGGCAAGCTTGCAAGACTGGACTCATTGCTTCAGACGCTCAAAGCTGGGGATCATCGCTGCCTCATCTACTTCCAGATGACGCGTATGATGGACCTCATGGAGGAGTACCTGATTTTCCGACAATACAAGTATTTGCGACTTGACGGTTCATCGAAGCTGGAGGATCGTCGCGACATGGTCATGGAGTGGCAAACGAGGTATGCAGGTTTGAATCTCGAATACCAAGCCTCTCACTAAAGCCTCTATTAGACCCGACATCTTCATCTTCATCTTGAGTACCCGTGCTGGCGGTTTGGGTATCAACTTGACGGCAGCCGACACCGTCATCTTCTATGACCACGACTGGAACCCGTCAAACGACGCTCAGGCTATGGATCGTGCGCATCGTCTTGGTCAGACGCGCCAAGTCACCGTTTACCGTCTAATCACGAGGGGTACCATCGACGAACGTATCGTCCAGCTGGCTCGTGTGAAGAAAGACGTAAGTGCTCTTTGATGGGTCTCTTCATCGCAAGCTCTTATATTATGTTCAGGTTCAAGATATTGTCGTCGGCAACAAGACTTTCACGGATGTCGCGAAGCCCAACGAGATAGTACAGCTGCTGCTGAACGAGGACCAGCTCGCGAATCTCGATGTCAACAGCGGCGGAGCGTCCTCCAAGGCTGCAGGGAAGCGTCCAGCTGGTGCGGAAGGCGCCTCGATCGACCTGTGGAACGAAGAGGGCGACGAGTTCTTCGGCGGCCAGCCGACTGGTACACCTGCAGAGCGCAACAACGACGGGGACGACGACGCACCTCCTGTGGTTACGTCGGGACGGGGCCGAAAACGCGGAAGGGGCCGCGGCAAGGCGGTGGGCGAGTCGACGCCGCGCGGACGTGGACGCGGGCGTGGGCGTGGTGGGCGTAGGAAGGCAGCCGAGATGGCGGACTCGAACTCGTGATAGCTAGCGTGAACAATTCCCGGATGGCTGCAGTCTCCATGATACCGTCTGTTGTTGTCTCTTGCATGGCACAGTCTCTCCACTCCATTTATCGATACATATTGTATGTCTGTCGCTCTAACCCCATTGCTCTCGTCGCTGCTTAGCTACTGTACTCCGCCCTAGACCCTGGTCGCACCCTGTACCCGTATATCATGGCATCCTATGGTTAGAGGTCTTGTCCACCAAGCTTTTGTATCTCGCCCACCACGCCCCTACAACCTGGGCCGCGTTACCGGCCTAAGACAGGACGGACCTTACTGCGCGGGTCCCACCCGTTGACGAAGTGATCAGGCCTCGTACGAGACGTAGGCGACGAATGCCACCCGAAGCACGGAGGCGACGGCGGCGATGGATGGGATGGAGAGGTCCATGGGGTACAATCGCCCCGTACCTACTCTCGTCAGTTGCGCAGTCACCGACACCGATGGACAATGTCAGAGCCGTGGCGGCCATCGTGCTCCGCCCACGCGTTTCATTGTCTGCAATCCGACGACGTAGTGCATCGTACATATTATGACTGCGCGGCGTACAAAAAACTATGAATGACTACCACTCACAGTGCCCTCATTTTGGCGATGGGGAGGCGATAGGTCCGCATCGCGAAGTACTCCCGGGTCTTCCCCCATCTGTCCGCGTCGCCCTCGAAGACATCAACGTCGCTCCACTCAACATCCATACCCACGTCTGCAAGATGCAACTCCGAGACGTGGGTGTAGACGTCGTAGAACAGAGCATCTGTAGTTAGCCTTGTCAGCTCCACCTGGGATAATGGACGTAGCGCAAAACGTACTGGTGGCGCCCAGCCCATTGAAAAAGCCGAAGCGTGAATCGGGGCCCGCAAGTAGGTCCGGCACATGACCAAATAATCGGTGCAACTCTGATCGAACGCACCATGAGCGATATGTCTCTGACTGCAAACGCGCGAGTGCAACCCACCGGCATAGTCTTCGGAGAACGTGTCTGTGTAGATGACATCGAAGCCGCCAATGCTCAACAGATCGTCGCTTTCCACAAATTCTTGCCATTTGCCTTCGAGGATCTTGACGCCTTCCTTGTCATACCACCCTTGTTCTCGCATGTGCTGCAGAACATCAGGATGTGGCTCAATGATCACATGCACCGCCGGTTTGGATGTCTCCTGGAAGAGAGCATCCACCTGGGAGCATGTTATCGGGACCGTACGCATACGCAGCGTGAAAGCAACACTCACAATCCCAAGCCCAAACCCAACGTTGAGAATCTTCAAGCCGTTGGCTAGTTCCGGGTGACCGGTGCACAAGTTACGCACGGTGTCCTGCACTTGGCACTAGCTCACTTGGCCACGAATACACGAAGACCACAGTGATCATAGAACTCACTGATGCCCTCTCCCATCCCATCATAACTCCAACCTCTTCTTCATGGCCGACTTTCACCACGCAAACCTCCTGCCCCTGCTCGTCGGTGACGTACTGCAGCTTTGTGGCCAAAAAGGTGTCGGTCGAGCCCGCCGCCGTGTTGTCGGTTGCTTTGAGAATCAGGGCCAGGGGAGAGTTGGCAGCCGGCGAATGTTTAGCAAGCACTCTCAGCAAAAGTTCTGAAGCGATGCAAACCGTCATCGGCACCACAAAGCAAAGGTATGCGGGATGGGGCGTGAGTACTCACCAGAGCGAATGCCGGCATCGCGGATGATGGTGTAAGCCGTTTCATTGTTCAGAGACAGTGCGATGTCTCCGGCGGTGTTGTGCAGTTTGTCCACTGTGCCCACCTTATGAGCATCCGCATCGGAGAAACACATTGTTGCCGAACATGCTCGCTTCAAAGCAGAAGAAACTCACCAGCGTTCCACAGCGCGCCCTCTTCGATGAGGAACTTGACGAGTTCATTGTTCTCAACGTATGCCGCAGCGTGCAGCGGTGAAGTCCCTTCGTCGTCCTGATACCAGACAGGAGCACCGTCCACCACTAGACCTTTGATCTCGGGCAGCGACCGTCGAGAAAGGATTGCGTCGACGAGCGCATAGCCCTGCTCGACGATTCCATTGACGTCTACGTCCATATCCATGTCGGCGACGTTGGTCTCTTGCTGCACGGACAAGAGGCGAGGGACAAGGACCTACCAAAGGATGTTCAGTCTTTCAGCGTCCGGCACCTACACGGGAATTCACGTGCTGCCACCAAGCGCCAGTGGGCATTTGAACTTTGAATTCCGGCCTGAAGCTTGAAGCCTTGGCTTTCACCACAATGCCCGTCTCCCAGTCTCAGGTTGATACAGATGATTTCTGCGAGCCGTCGTTTGTCAGTGAATGGTTCATATACTTGTCTGATCACGGGCTCAATGCCGTCTCTAGCCGGATCATTGGGACGCGCGTCCATCCGAAGCGTGCAAGTTCTGGGACGGCAATCGTGCATGGTTGCTTCGCAGAGGTTTTGCTCTATATGCCCTCGAAGACATTCCACCGGAGAAAGAGGCCATGCTGCTAAGTGGCAGGAAGTGGTGTACCCCAGCGAATGTGCCACCTAGCGAGGTGGTTTTGCCGTGGGCCAAACACGCGACAGGGACACAGGGGGAAATGTTCTTGCTCTGGGTACATCTGCTGTGTTTTGTCTTTATTTTCGTTGCAACTCATGACGCTCGGCGTTAGAAACATGTCGCTCCAGCCAAGGACCTCTCTGGAAGGGATGTGATCCTGAAAGTAATCGCCCGGGACAGTCATGAGCACGTGGTGTGCAGGTCCTGCTAACAGCCACGGATTACACACATCCATCCACCTTTCCTTGCGTCGTCCCTCCTCTTGGCGTGCTGGATACCCCCTACGATTACTCGATCCTGTGCATGCCGAGGTGGGTTTGGTGGCCATATATTTTGCTCCGAATTGACGCCTTGACTTAGATGGTCGGAGCTCACTTGGTTGGAGGATGTCGACACCCCTCGCGAATTTCTGCGTCTTGCAAGCTGCTTATTGCGGGTGAGTGCGCATTTCGTGCTTCGCTTTCGACCTTCTAATGTATCACCAGGGGCTTCAATTCCTCCATTCTCATCGTATAGCTCATCGAGTAAGTTACTCTTCCGTTCCGTCAACGAGATTACCTGGTGACCCAAGGGGCAGGACATTGGTCCATGCAACATGCTTGTCAATTGCTACAGATGTGATGACGACTACCGCAACTTGAGAAACGATATACGGGAGCGTCGGAATCAAGGCGATATTGAGAACATACTCGCTTTGATGGACTTCGACAAGTCAATCCTACTTCCTCCCGACACATCGTTGACGGCTTGCCGCCAGCCGTCCTCAGAAGCCATAGGGGCTGATCTCTATGCACCTGACGATATTGACTTCGGAGCACCATACTACAACCCCTTCGCCTATGACGTCGCACATTGGGAAACATTTTCAGATGCCACTTCGGGGTGTGCACGTCGGCTCAAATCAATGATTTCTACTATTTCGTCGCCTTCTGTAGCCCATGGTGTCTTCCGTTCCGTCGCTCGCCCCACTCTTTGACAAGATGACGACACACGTCGCACTGGAAAGATTCACTGCAGAGGAAGCATTGGTTTTTTTGGAGAACACCACAGCAGATCTGTCAGAGGAGGCCCTGGATACCAAATTCTTGCTGACACCAGGGCAGCTAGTATCTTCCGCGGGGAGTCATATTGGTCAAGCTGCATTCCAGGATCGGGCGACCTGGGAGAGATACCGCACGCCACTGCGGTCTTGGTGGGTGCCACTTGCGCGCCAGATGTTCCACTTTGAGGTGGTTATGGAGGGCCTCTTCTCTGTGCGCCGTTATCTCGGGATATAGCTACCCCTGTCTGTCTGTGTCCGAACCCGCAATATCATCGTGATCCTCACCCTCCGGCGGAGCAATGCCATGTGAATGGACTGGTTTGCAACGGTATAGGAGGATTGCTGCTCCTCTGCATCATGACATCCATCGGCTTTAAGATTGTTGCATGGGGCACGCAACCGTGCGGTCGTGCCAAGTGCTGCAAACGACTCGGCTGGACACGCAGCTTTGCCGGTAAAAGCCGGGGCTCACAGCAATTAATAGTCCATGTGTCTCCGATTAACCGGGCTCTAATCGTCCGGGTGCCTGCTAGATTCAAGTGGGGATGTGTCTGTGCCCATCGTACACAATGTCCTCAACACCCTCACCGCCTGCGCCGCGACATCGATGTCGTGGCGCGCGCCTGAGTCCTCGGCTCCTGCCTCTCGCCGCCTTTCCCTGTCAATATCCTCCTCCGCGAGGCGCACAACGTTCCCCAGCGCGTCAACGAGTGCACGAGACACAGCGCCGCGGTCGCGCGAAGCGAGAGCCAATGCTGCTTGGGCGCATTCGGCAAGCGTCGCTGGTGTGGGGCGGAATTCTGCCGTCGGGGCGTGCATGAACGCGGTAAGCGAAGAAAGGGCGGCGACTATCGAGGGGCGAATGGAGATGTAGGCGGAGGGTGATTCCTCGGGGAGAGAAGCAGACGAGGAACGATTGAGGGAGGGATCAGATGTAGGCGAGGAGGGGATCGACGATATGCCAGCAGGACCCGGGGTGGAGGTGGAATATTGTTCAGGTTCGGCGTAGAGTGTGGATGAGGCGCTAATTGACGAGTCGACAGATATACTTTGGTCAAGAGATTCAGGCTTAAGAATGGACGTGCTCGAGGTTGATGTCGACGTTGTGGATATCGCAGATTTCTCGCGTTCATGCCCAGAAGTTTCTGGTATGCAAGGCGAGATTGTTGAAGACCTTGATGTTGAAGGCAATGGTGCGAGCAAGGCAGCAGCGCGCACAGCCATGTACGTTGCTTGAACGAAGCGGTACGGTGCATTCTCCGAGCGCGACCGTTCGCCGTATGCACAGAATGCTTCGATGCCTGTGAAAAATGTTAAGCCTCAATAATGTCACCGGGGTTGGATATGTGCAAAGCACGTACCAGTTGGCCCGACCTCCTGGAAGCGCGGAAACATCTTGAGCATGAGGTTGAAGGCGCGTTCGCGGATGAAACGCTCCGACGTTGCACTTGCCACCTCTGCCGCGAGTACTGTCGAGAGGACATCGAAAATCCTGCGGAACAACATGTGCACCTGCCTGGCCTCTCTGCTACCTTTCATGTTCGCGGCAGGAGGAGACGGGATCGCGCGAGCGAGCCGATCCATCGTCATGAGCACCCGCCGGCGCGGGTCCTCTCGCACGTACGACACCGGCGGCGAGGGTCCAAGGTCTTCGCCGTCGTCATCCCCATCGTCGTCTTCGCCAGCTGCGCGCGCCGCGGTCAACCGCTGAAGCACGTCCAGCAGCAGATGCATAAGCGTGTATAGGGTCGGGTCCCCCGCGCGCCGCGCCCCGATGCTTCGCGTGCCGTCGGCCGTTTCCCAGTATGGCATGTCGTTCAGCACGCGCGGGGCACGCCGCAGCAAAATTGCGTCGACGCAGCGGAAGGCGGCGCGCGGGCCGACGTCCGCGATACACGGGCGGACGACCGCTCGCAGGAACGCGTCGTCGACAAACGCGGCGTCTGCGCCTGCCAACGTCGCGCCGTCGAGGGCCGCGCCCATGCCAACGCGCCGTTCACGGTCGCGCCAGGAGGTGTGTGTGCGAATGAGGGAGAGACGATGCAGGTATGCACTGAGGGTCGCGGCGAGTTTCGATTGTACGAAGTGCGGGAGGTCGAGGCGGCTTGCGAAGGGGTCGGGGGTCGTGGCGCCGTGTCCGTTGGTGTGGGACTGGTGAGAGGGAAGGGGGCCGGGGTTGTAGAGACGCGCGTGATAGTGCGTGGCGACGGATGCCACGACGCGCTTTACCGCCTGGACGGTCGCGCAGAGAGCCCAGCTTTGGGGGGAACGGTAAGGACAGTCGGCGTTCTTGGAGGGTATGGGGAGGATGATCGTTGCAGTGTGGAAGAGAACGGCGACGGCGACGAGCGCTGTTACGACTGAGGCGACAACAGGGTGGAGGGTCCAGAGGAGGTCGAGAAGCCCAGCCAAGAAGAGGAGGAGTGCAACTTGCAAGAGGATGGGAAGGAAGAGGATGATTGCGGAGACGTGCCAACGACGGAGGCCGTCGTGCCGAAATTGGCGGACTCGGATGCTCTCGCGTGAAACACTCGATGCGCCGGCGAGGTATTCGCGCAGCCATTGCTTGACGAGGAGGCCGAGCGATGCAGACAGAAGACTGCAAACGAGGGAGGAGAACCAGAGGGTGTTGAGCCTTATAGCGAAGGCACTGGGCTTGAATGACACGACCGCCGTAGTCTCTGGGTCTGTGATATTGGAGCCGGAGGTAATACTTTTCAGCTGTGCTGAGATCTGGGCAAGTAAAGCGGCGGATGAGTCCTCTGGCTGCTGTTGAAGGAGTTTGTAGGCCTCAATGTTGAACGTGGTAACCACGGCGGAGAATAGACCAGCCTGTGGGGTCATCATGTCGGTATGTATGCGTGTCTAGGTGGGCAGTGACAGTGAAAAGGCGTACAAACACCAGGAGGGTGTCAATCTCCTCTTTCCAGCGGGTGATTATGTCCTCGTCGTAGTCTCTAAGTGCTTTGGCGCATGCCGCCCAAGCATCCGAGGTGTCCCAGATGGAGGGAGACTCGCGTTGTTTGCCATCATGAGGCTTGTGTGCACGATGCATCCGGGAGAGCGCAGGGTGGAGGGTAGGGTCCTCGAGCTGTCACGGATTATATACACGCCGGCGCAATTATCTTTGACTGCTTCTCGGGCTGTTCTCGGGCTGTGCAGCTAAGTTCCAGCTGCCCAGATGTAGATGATGAATGGTACTGCCCGTGAGGTAAAGAACCGAACATATCCGCTTACATGCAATGCATTATTCGTGTCAGGATGGATATCTGTTGATGTTGAACGCCGAAGACAGGGATACGCGACTATCACTGGGATGGGAAAGTGCTGCTGAAAACATACGCACCATGAACTGAGGCCATCGCGCGCTGTCACACTGACTTTTGCCTACGTCGTACGATATGTTGGAAGAAGACATACCTATTCACTGGCTGGGAGCAGGAAGAGGTGCCCCTGCGAGCTGCTCGACGACAGCCCGTTACGTCAGCGTGATCGGCGCAAGACCGGGCTTCGGGACTCATTTGGCTGGTCGCAGGCGGCAAGTCTGGTTTGTATCCGCCCACAAACTTCATACATGACTCTTCTCATTGTGCCATCCCCCATATTTAACCGCACGAGCAGCTCTCCTGTTCGTAGCTCTTGCATCTAAATTTCCCGCGCTCCCGTCTCTCCCTGCGTCACGTTCACCTCGCGGCGTCGCGCTAGAAACCCCCATACCCCTCCAGCCTTCAGCAAGTACTGCCTGGGTACCCCAAGACTTCCCCGCGGTACCCTCGCCCGCCGGATAAAGGCGTCGGACGCCTTGTGCATAGTGCGCCACGATGCCACCGAAAAAGAAGAAAACCCAATTGAAGCCGGTCGCGCGTGGCTTTGCGACGACGTCCGTGCCGAAGAAAGTGGTCGAGCCTCCTCCAGAACTCGAGACGGCCGAAACCAAGGACATCTCTACACCTTCGAATGAACAAGTCGATACTGCAAGTGCGAACCGCCAGGGTACCACGAGCACCGACGGCCCACAGGCCCTTAGCGGGGAAGACGAGGTCTTGCAGGGCTTCGTCGACAGGTTCCAGGACAAAGTGGAGAAGGACATCGTTCGCGCCGTCAAGGTGAGTATTTGAGGTTCGCGCATTTTATGCATCTCAGGTCATTTATGGCATTACTAGGCCATCGAGCAAGAGCGGCGTTTCACAGACACTCAGATTCCAGCGCGTCTCGACTTGGACCCTGGCTTCGTGGAACGCCTTCTAGAGCTTGCCTTGGAGTACGAGAATGCCGAATGTATGTCTCGATGCCATGGTTTCCCCTCTTTGTTGTTTGTTTACGGTGAGCATAGTGTCCAGATCTATAGACGAGCCCGAGGACAAAGCCATTATACGGCTGGCCTTGACTTTCGGCACGCTCAGGCGTCTCGGGTTCTCTGAAGCCCGAGTAGAAGAATGTCTTCGTGCAATGAAAGGCGTCGACATGGACGAGGCATTTGACTGGGTAGATTTTGAGTCCTCCATCCCGTTCCGTCCCTGGCTCATTCAACGTGAAGCTACATCTCCATTGTGACGAGGAAGAGCTCGGCGTTCGTCAAGGTTGTTCACTTCGTTAATACTTGTTGGCTATATGCTCACTAGTATCCAGATGTCGGCGAGCCACCTCGAACTCCGATGACGCCGAAGACCCCTCACACTGCTCGCCCTACGCACCTGAGGTCGGATACGGGCTCCTTGTCATCGTTGTTCGTACACTCTGCGCCCGCAAGCCCGGCTTTGAGTATCAAGTCATTTTTGGATGTCAACGCTCCCGCATTCGTTCCCGGACAAAAGCCGCCGGACGCTCCGGCAACTCCTAACAGGACTTCAACTCCATCCTCTCTCTTGTTGGACTCGGATCCCACCCCGGCTTCCCTACGTTGGTCTGCAGTAGAGGATCCGAATACCGAGTTCGTCAGGTTAAGCGTGCGAATCCTGGAGCTAACAACCCACCGACGTCCGGACGAGAAAGGGGATGCCGCGTTCCTGCAAAATCTCCAGCGCCGTCTGAAAGCCGTTCAGGACGATTACTTCTTTAACGCACGCGATGCACACGCGCACTTCAAAGCAGAGAAGGCCAAGCTCGATACCGCCGCCCTCCAGGCGAAGTTACGTGGGCTGGCTTCAGCTGCACCAGTGAAACCGCCACGCAAAAAGCCCGCCGAGCTGGCCAAGGAGCCGCCTTCTCCAGCAGACAGCTCCGTGTCTGTGTCCGACGTCTTCGACGACTCTCCCAACGGAATGTTCGAGCTCTTGGAAGCGATGCCAACCGAAGTGACGGCAGAATCTGGGACCACTATCGCGGTTCGAGATATGGCGCTCCCCAAACATTGGTCTGGACGGACACCGAAGGTGCTCTTGACTGAGCACGTCCACAAGACTGACCGGTATGCTGTGATCTCCTTCAATCTCATTTCTGGAGCCAGCCGTGTCAAGCGCGCCTCCGTCGACATTCGTTGGGATGGCGGCAAAACACAAACTTGGTCCATGGACAATGTAGCGTGCCATGATGAGACGCAAGCGGAGCAGTACATTGCCACCGTCGCTCTCCACGCTGTAAAGTTCGCCAACCCCGACGGTTTCGCTATCGGCGGCACGGCGATTGGAGGTAGTCAAACATCTTTTCGCTTGCTACCTCCTGTTTTCCGCGATCTTTGGGACGAGCTGGAGCAGAACCGTCGCTTGGACGATGACGCTATCAACCGTGGCCTGTGGGGTAAGTTGCGTAACATCCTGGAGCCCAAATTATCGTTGCAAAGCAAAGTGAGTTCTTGTACTACACCTTGGGGTCTATGCTGGTATTGACCAAGAGACTAGTCCGGAAATCGCGTCATCAAAGCAGCTGTCGAGGCTAAAGAGCAAAAGCGCAGCCAACACTACGACAACGGGCGAGATGTTGACCCAGAGCAGATCGTCGCGGACTTCCAGGCTCGACAAGCCAGTCCTGCGTACCAGGAGATGCTCGTGAGAAGGCATATCGTAATGCATTGGAACGGAGACTAATGATCCTACCTCAGAGGTCACGCAACCAGCTTCCTATGGCGCAATACAAGCAAGATCTTCTCTCCCTACTCGAAATGTCGCAGATCGTCGTTCTCAGTGGTGAAACTGGATGGTGATGTTCCCTCCTTATCGGCTATGGCCTGAAGGCTGACGGATTGCGATAGTGGAAAGTCCACTCAAGTCCCCGCATTCATATTGGAAGACCAGCTGCTCAAGGGCCGTCACTGCAGGATCTACTGCACAGAGCCGAGACGTATTTCCGCCATCTCCCTTGCTCAGCGTGTGTCGCGTGAACTCGGGGAACCTGCCGGAGCTGTTGGCACAGGAAGCTCGTTGGTTGGATATGCTATCCGATTGGAGAGCAACATCAACCGTCGGACGCGGCTCGCATATGTTACGAACGGTATCGCCCTACGCATGCTGGAGGGCGGCTCCGGCCAAGGTGGTCAAGGCACAGCATTCGATGAAATCACGGTACGTCCTCTGTTCAGTCGACGCGGCTTAGCTTAAACCTTTTCCTACAGCATATCATCATTGACGAGGTCCACGAGCGGACAATCGAGTCCGACTTCTTATTGATTGTTCTGAAGTCACTTCTCGTTCAGCGACCTGATCTCAAGTACGCACGCATTCTCTTTGGGATGCTCTCTCGCTCATATCGAAACCAGGATTGTGCTCATGTCTGCCACGCTGGAAGCCGAGAAGATCTCAGCCTACTTTGGGGGTTGTCCTGTGCTTTCAGTGCCCGGTCGCACTTTCCCTGTGGACGTCCGGTTCTTGGAAGATGCAGTTGAGACCACACGCTGGAAAGTGACTGAAGGCTCTCAGTACGCAATCAGAGGCAAGAAGGTTGGCTCTTTGTAAAATATTCTGCTGACTAACGACTCACAGGCAAAGACAAGTTCTCTCGCACCAAGGCCAGACAGGACTGGTCAGAGGAAACTGCTGCTGCTGAGGACGATGACGAGGACCAAGGTCAACAAGAGAAAATCACCCTCGAGAAGCGCTACTCCCCGGAGACGATCTCGACAGTCAATCTCCTTGACGAGCGACTCATCCCGTACGACCTCATTGTCAGGTTACTCGAACGCATATGTTTTGAGGACCCGTCGTATGAGTCTTACTCGGCAGCCACCCTTATCTTCATGCCAGGCATGGGTGAAATTCGACGCCTCAACGATATGCTCGTGGAGCACCGCTCGTTCGGTGACGAATCTCAGTTCCGCATCTATCCTCTTCACTCGACCATCTCGAGTGATCAGCAGGGCGCCGTTTTCGACATTCCTCCTCCTGGTGTGCGGAAGATCGTCATTGGTACGTTGGCTGTGAACTCCCAAGTGCAACAGAATATTGATATTGCGGCCTAGCCACCAACATCGCCGAGACGGGTATTACAATCCCTGATATCACTTGCGTTATTGACACAGGCAAGCATCGCGAAATGCGCTTTGACGAGAAACGGCAGATCAGTCGACTCGTGGAGACATTCATCGCCAGAAGCAACGCCGCTCAGCGCCGCGGTCGTGCGGGTCGTGTACAGCGCGGCTTGTGCTTCCATCTCTTCACGAAGGTCCGACACGACACGAAGCTGGCTGGACACCCCGACCCGGAGATTATACGTCTTAGTTTGAGCGACTTGGCGCTACGCATTAAGATCATGAAGGTCAACTTGGGTTCATCCATCGAGGACGTGTTGTCGCGCGCTCTCGATCCCCCACTCGCAATCAACGTCCAGCGAGCCGTGTCTGCTTTAGTCGAGGTGAGCCTTTTCTACTCCCTCTCCGCCGCGCAAATCTCATGTCGCCGCAGGTCAATGCTCTCACCTCTACGGAAGATATTACGCCCATGGGTCGCCTCCTGAGCCAGCTTCCGACGGACGTTCATCTGGGCAAGTTCTTGCTCATCGCCACACTGTTCCGCTGCCTGGACCCTGCGCTCACCATTGCCGCGACCCTGAACTCCAAGTCGCCCTTCCTCACTCCATTGGGCTGCGAGGCCGAGGCCGAGCGCGCGAAGCTGTCCTTCCGTGTGGAGAACTCGGACTTTTTGACCATCCACAATGCTTTCGCGAGCTGGCGCCGCGCCTCCGCGAACGGCATCGCCCGCAAGTTTTGCAAGCAGAACTACCTCAGCCACCAGAATCTGCAACAGATCGAGGAGCTACGGCAACAATTCCTGGGGTGAGTGTCCACGTAGCGCAATCCCTGTTCCTACAGGTGCTTATGCCGGTCCGTCGTTAGCTACCTCGTGGACTCGCACTTCATCCACGTCGACCGAGCCTTCGTCAAGGACCTCAGCCGTGCGCGCTACGGCCGGAACAAAGCCCGCTTCGTGGCCGTTCCACCTGCTTTGGACGTGAACGCGGACAACGCGGCGATGGTGCACGCCGCCCTCGTCGCGGGCCTGTACCCGAAGGTGCTCGCGATCGATACGAACCAGAAGGAGATGAAGACGATCACGAACAACCAGGCCGCGTCGTTCCACCCGTCGTCAGTCAACTTCAAGCGACGGCTGAACGAGTTTGGAGTAAACCACCTGTCCTACTTCACGCTCATGTGCGTACACCTGATCCCTGAGAGTGTTGAAACCCGCATGTTGACAACACAACACTATAGGCATTCCAAGAAGTTGTACGCGTGGGAGACTGGTCCAGTCGAGGACATGGCGTTGTTGCTCTTGTGTGGCGATGCGGAGTTCAAGGTGGGCCCCAACAACAGGATGTTATGCCTTCTTTGCTAACATCACGGCGCAGCTCATGGCCAGCTCGGTTTGGATTGACCGCAAAGTGCGGTTCCGCGTACCACCCAAGACGAGCATTGCGCTCAAGCTGCTCAAGCAGAACTTAGCGTCGATCTTGGCGACACAGTATCGCGTTCGCCCCTTGACAGAACCTCAGCTGCGCTGGAACGAGCTCGCAATGATGATCCTAGGCCGAGTCAAGCTGGAGGGTCCACCACAGCTTCAGGACGGTGTCACGCTGGTGGTGCACAACCGGACCTGACATTTACCTATCTCCTCCATCTGCGTAGCGCACCCGCTGTAAACGTCGTGCATATACATACTGCTGTCTGCTGGCTCGATCCATGACTGTGAGAGCCAGAAACCTAGTCCAATGCATTCGAAAGCGATAGCAAAGCATGTGTGACATGTGTATGATGATGCTAGCCTACAACATATACCGAGACGTCAGGACAGATGGTAAGCTTACTCCTCCTCCTCATCATCACCGGCCTGGATGTTGTAGAAGCGGAGCTGGTAGACGTCCTTCGACGAGGCAACAACGCTAAAGGGGTGGTGAGCAGGAGATCCTACACACTGGAACAAGAGTACGTACCGAATCCAGTCACGGAGGGTGTTCTTCTTGAGGAACTTTTTGGTGAGGTACTTGAGGTACCGCTTGGAGAGGGGGATGCTCGACGTAACGGTGATCTTGGTGTCGCCTACACATGGCGCTCGAGATGAGAGACACGCGAGGAAGAACATAGGGACTAACCATCCCGTTGGATCTTCACGTTGTCGCCAAGCTGGCCAGTCTTGCCCTCGACCTTGATACGGTCGTGCAAGAACTTCTCGAACGCCGCGCCATCGAAGACGCCGTCGCCAGCCGGGCGAGAGTAGTCGATGACGAACTTGTGCTTAGCAGCAGCAGTCTTTCCAGCGGTGGTCTTGGCCTATCACACAGAGAGAGGGAAGAAGAGGGGAAACCCAGAGTTAGCCTACTGAGATGGTAACTCAGCAAAGCGGTACTGGGGCTAACTAACCATCTTGACGGTGGGCGGGCGGCGAGAGAAGGGGGTGGACGTCGGATCTTGAGGCGTTGAATACACTGGTGCCCCACGCCAGACGCGAACTCTGGCGCGGGCAGCAACTGTACAGTTCTTCGCGTTTATTCCCACAAGGGCGTCTATCCCGGCCCGACTTCGAAGCTCCCACAGTCACGCTCCAAAGTCAAGCGGCCCCTAACCCCGAGGCACGCGGGGCGTGGGAGAGCAAAAGTGAGCAGCGAGGACGGTGCCGGCGGCCTTGGACCAGTCGCCCAAAATCGTTGCCGCCATGGCCTCCTCCAGCAAGCTCTCGCGCGGCCAAGTCGCCTCTGCGCAGGTCAGTGGCGACTTCGCTATCAAACCAGAGTCTTCCGCTCCGGCACTGGACACCTCCCAATGGCCGCTCCTCCTCAAAAACTACGACAAACTGCTTGTGCGCTCTGCCCATTTCACCCCCATCCCGTGCGGCTGCAGCCCATTAAAGCGCGACATCACCACCTATGTCAAGTGCGTTGTCGTAGTCATCCATCGCTGTCGCACAGCTCATACAAGGGTGTGAACAGGTCTGGTGTCATTAACCTGGACAAGCCGTCCAACCCATCCTCCCACGAAGTCGTCGCATGGCTCCGCAGGATCCTCCGCGTCGAGAAAACCGGTCACAGCGGCACCCTTGACCCCAAGGTCACAGGCTGTCTGATCGTGTGCATTGACCGCGCAACACGCTTGGTTAAGTCGCAGCAGGGTGCAGGTGCGTCTACTTCCTTCTCTCGCTAAGCGCGCGTCCACATGCCCCGCCCCATTACAGGAAAGGAGTACGTCGCTGTCCTCCGCATACATTCAGCACTCCCCAACCCCACTGCCCTCCCTCGCGCCATTCAGACCCTCACCGGCGCGCTCTTTCAACGCCCTCCACTCATATCCGCCGTGAAGCGCCAGCTCCGCGTCCGCACCATCTATGAATCCAACCTGCTCGAGTTCGATGAAAAGCGCAACCTCGCTGTCTTCTGGGTCTCCTGCGAGGCGGGCACCTACATCCGTACGCTCTGTGTACACCTCGGTCTACTCCTCGGCGTCGGTGGACACATGCAGGAGCTGCGCCGAGTGCGAAGTGGGGCGCTGAGCGAGAACGACGACATGGTGACCATGCACGACGTCCTCGACGCGCAATGGATGTACGACAACACACGCGACGGTCCGTCTACTCCTTGCTTTTTTACCCGCGATTCTCACTCATCTCGCGCCTTCACCATTCAGAGTCGTACCTCCGTCGGGTAATCCGTCCGCTCGAGGCACTCCTCGTCGGCTACAAGCGCATCGTTGTTAAAGATAGCGCGGTCAACGCTGTCTGTTACGGCGCGAAGCTCATGATCCCCGGCCTGCTCCGCTATGAGGCAGACATCGCGCTCAACGAGGAGGTCGTGCTAATGACCACCAAAGGCGAGGCGATCGCGCTCGCTATCGCGCAAATGTCCACCGTCGAGCTCGCCACCTGCGACCACGGCGTCGTCGCTAAGGTGAAACGCTGCATCATGGAGCGCGACACGTACCCGCGCCGGTGGGGGCTCGGGCCAAAGGCGCTTGAGAAGAAGAAGATGGTCAAGGACGGCAAGCTTGGCAAGTTCGGTGAGAAGATCGATGCGACGCCCGCGGAGTGGAGCCGCGACTACGTCGACTACAACCGCGACCCCCAACCTGCGCCCGCGGGTCAGGCGACCTCAGTGGCGCCACCGACCGCGGTGGCGCCATCGAGTCCGGAGAAGGAGAAGAAAGACAAGAAAGAGGAGAAAAAACGGAAACGCAAGTCAGAGGCGGCCGATGCAGACGTTTCGATGGCCGTCGACGGCGAGGGCGCTGTGGACGCGGACGTGGAGGACGAGGCGGCGAAGGCGGAGCGCAAGCGGCTGAAAAAGGAGAAGAAGGCGGCGGAGAAGGCAGCGAAGGGTGAGGGGGACGAGGCCGAGGAGGACGAGGCGCGCCGGGAACGCAAGCGTCTGAAGAAGGAAAAGAAGGCGAGGGAGAGTCTCGGTGGGGATGTATGATCCTGCTCTCTTGCGCGTGGGGGTGCGAGCTGCCCTGGGCTCTGGGTGTCGCGCATATCTAGGAGAGGCGTTTAGCACTGGGACGAGGTTCAGGCCTCAGGGCTCGGCCACGCATACTGCGTCTGGTGACCCATCTCTCACACAAAGCATGCGGCCTGTTGTAATGTACGGAAGAACTTGCGCTTCCTGGCCGCGGTGTGCTTCAGCTGTGTTGTTTAGTACCCACTTCCTCACTATCATTACGTCTCACTGCTGTTCCCCTCGAACCTTCGGCACGAATCTGCGACCTTTCTGCGCGAGAAGTCTGGGCTAGCTTGTTGGCTTTGATCCTAGGGGCGCTTGGGTTGTTGCATGCGCTCCGCAGTTTCTCTTGACAAAGGTGCAACATGCAGCTGAGTTCGGTGTACCTCTGAAGGCGTTGTCTTTCTGTTCTGTCTCTATTTGGTTGAACCAAGGTGAGCATCTGCTTCGAAATCTATAACTGGTTCTTAACGCTATGCTTATTTATCATGTACCTCGCAGATTCGGGCCCTCGGCACTTTGCGAGCCTTGGGTGATTCTGGCACAAAAGGAGAGTGCAATACCCACGCGCTGACGGCCACCGCTATCACTCCCTCTCTTCAATCCTACGACTCCGCAGCGAATTTTACTATCGGCAAGCACACCGATATGATCCACTACATATCTAACCCTGTCCAGTCTGTGGCTAAAGCGAACACTTTGGTGCTCGTCATTCGCCAAGATCAAAGCTCGTGGGGTCAACAGGTGGCCCCCAATTCGTATAGGTCGTAACTGGCTGGTTGCACTCACTCAGACCCTACACAGCTCAGCGAGGAGGGCTACAACGTCATTCTGGTCGATTACCCCGCGGCGCCCGACACGCTGCAGCCGAGTCTCACAGAAGCACGCGCGAAGCTCGGAAATGACTCCGAGTGGGCTCTTCTCACCTACGGCCTCGAGGGGCCCGATCTCTCTGCCCTGGGCGACCTGCTCGGCGTGGGGCACCTCAAGGCTTGCGCGCACTACTGCCCCCAGGCTGAGGCCGCCGACGGGCTCCTCTACGAACGCCCAGACGGATCGGTGGTCCCGTGAGTGTTCTCGACCGGTACCCTTGTCAGGTTCCCGGCCCCCGACGCTGACTCTTCACCTACTCGTAGGACAACGTTCCACCTCTCGGCGAAGCAGGAGGCCCTGCACGCGTCGGCGCAACGACTTGCGGAGCTCAAGTCGGCCGGGCTCGCCACCTCGCAGCGGCCGCCCGTGGCCTTCTACACGTACCCGCTCGTGTCCGCTTCGCCGCCTTTCCGTACGAGGCAGGGCCGCCGATTGACCACGCAGCGGAAGGATCAAGACGATCGGAATACACCTCCGGTCCGCGAACCAGCTCTCGTACTCGCGCACGCTCGAGCTGCTCCGCAGGGAGCTGGGGCCGCACCACCCGCTCGAGAAACTCTGGGACATGCACGCGTACTACGTGAGCGGTCGCTGTGCACCGACGCTGCAGCTCTCGCTCACGCACGGAAAATACAGGAATTTGCAGTTAGAGATTCCGTGAGTGAGTACTTGCGCCGGGATAATCGTGTGGCTCGCAAGCTGACCATCATATCTACCTCAAAGAAACTATGTCTACAATGGTGCGGACTTAAGGCATTGCACATCGACTACGCTTGAACCTAGATGCGTGTGTCCAGGTTTCGACCCCGTATGTCAATCATGTGCCACGTTGACCGGAGGGGTGGGTTACCGGGACCTGGCGCGGTTCTACAAGGTCCGCACATGACTTTCAACCTCGTTGAAAAGCGTCAGTGACCATCCCTGTTTCGATGGCAGTACCACTTCGTTGATGAGAAGGTACGGAGTCGGAGTATTTCCTTGCGCCCGCCGGCCAACCATCCTCGCCCAGATCACTCCGCCTGACTCGGAGCTAATCAGCATCTCGCGGACAAGTGCGTAGCTGTTCTGTTCGAGTCTAATCTCATCTGACACCTGGGGTAGTTGGGGCAGACAGAGTAATTGACGAGATGATCTTCAAATGCACCCACACCACGGTTCGATTCTTCCTGCCCCGAGAAAGGCGCGAATGCTAAATGGAGATGTTATGCAGGAGATTGACTACTTCCTTCCGGGGATCAAACCTACCGGGAAACCGTTGGAAATCGCGCTGGTCGGCGTGGTCGCCTTCCGGGGCGACAAGCTGACGTTCGAGTGAGTGTCTCCTGCCGACAAGTCAAAGCATGTTCTCACCTGTCTGCGCATCCCAGACATATGTGAGCCGAGTCGTCTCTTGACTAGCATGCGGTCGCAGTGACATCAGGGTCGAACTGCAGCTACTGGGACCAGGCGTCGGTGCTCGTTCAGGTGGCTCGCCCTCGATCATGCGGCGTCTGTGTGTGGCTGACACGTTATGGGCAGCTCAGCCTCCTGGATCCCACGAATTTGCCGGTAGCAGGGGTGGAAGTGGCACGAAAGGTTGTCGATCCGTTCGGGATGCCTAGCAACGAGCTCCTGGCGAGGTGGAAGGAGAGCGAGGGTCTATCGATCGAGTGAGGCCCTTTGGGAACATGGAGGCAGAGAGGATAAGCGGTGGGGAACCCGCGATCCGATAGCTGTTCGGTCGAATGTGCCCAGACAAATCCAAGCGGCCCCGGGTGGAATGAGAGTCGAAAGGGGACGTGCACAGGTTCGCGTGGTGGGGGTACTGCTGCGCACGGTGCACCGCTACGGGAATTATGCGAGTAGAAAACCCGCTTCAATTCCACGCCGCATGCGGCGCAGCAGCCCGTACAGCAGCGACGGTGTTCTGAGCACGTCCGCGCGCAAGCAGGCGGGCAACGAGTGGAGGAAAGCACGAAGAAAGTGCGTGTCTGGCGTGTCTTGGCGAGGGGCGGCAGGCTCCTGATGCGCGCGCAGGCCGCGGCATTGCACTGGGCGACCCGAGCGGCAGAGGCGGAGGAGAATGGCGCGGCAGACGGTTTTGACAATGACGGGAGCGTCGACGCGAGGCCGTGCAGACAGCGGGCGTGTGCCGTATAAGTACATCCTCGCATTCTCCGCCCGTCCCGCTCATAACGACCCCGCTGCGGTTCCGTCCCATCTCTCTTCCCCCCTCCCTTTGCCCTCTCCCTCGTCGTCACCGTCCACGACTCCCGCCACCACGTCACACGTCCTTCATGATCACCTCTACGCCCATCAAGGCCACGATCTCGAGAGCTCCGAGGCCGATTCCAAGCCTCTCTTGGCTCAATCTGCCGCTCCCGACCACGAATTCCATCAGCCCGGATATAATCCGGAGTACAACAGCTTCAACTTCAACCCCAGCGGTCCCTCCGATCTTCCCGTCACCCAGCACAACTTTGCGGCGGAGAACAAGCAGCTTGACGAGCCGTTCGTGCCCAAGCCGGAGGAATACAGTCAGCCCCAGGACTACACTCGCCAGTCGCGTTACGAGAACATGGGTGAGTGACGATTCTTGCGAGATATCCGTCTGGTCCTGACGGACCTGTCCAGACTATGCGGACGAGCCCTATCCGTGCCCAAGGTCCCGCAGAAGACACCTAACATGTTCCAGCGTTACTTCGGCCTCTACCCCATTGCTCAGCGCATAGAGGACAAGAAGCGTGGCGTCGGCGTGCAGAGGTATCCGATTGCATGTGCGTCCTCATGCTGCTTTGGTTGGTCGACCCTAACATTCGCGTACAGGCTGGGTGCTTCCGCGACAATGCTCGGCATCCTCATTTACGAGCTGGTGTTGAACAACAAGGCCCAAGGGACCCGTTCTCGTTCAAGGTACACTCTCTTACCTCTTCCCTCCGCACCCACGGACTGAATGAGGCGGTCATAGCCTTCAGTCAACCCTATGCTAGGACCTTCGAGTTCCGCTCTCATCACCCTTGGGGCTCGTTTCCCTCCATGCATGAAGAACGTCACCGATTTCCCTCCAACAACCATCGTTGCCTGTAAGCAAGTTGATCTTCTCTGTGTCGACCCCCCGCTCAGGTAACTACCACAGGCTTGAACAACACCGCCAACCCGGTCACGGAGAAGTGTTCACTGGAGGATGTCTGTGCTTTCGGCGGATGGCAAGGCGAGACACCCGATCAATCGTTCAGGTGCGTCTCGGTATCCTTCTCACCAATTCACTGCATTAACCCATCCTCCTGCAGATTCGTGACCCCCATCTTCCTTCACGCGGGGCTGATTCACTACCTCCTCAACATGCTCGCACAGCTCACATTATCCGCACAAGTCGAGCGTGAAATGGGCACTCTTCCTTTCTTGGTTCTTTATACGGCGGCGGGCATTTTCGGAAACATTCTTGGAGGCAACTTCGCGTTGGTCGGCTCACCTTCCGTCGGAGCCAGTGGTGCCATCTTTGGCACGGTCGCAGTACGTGCTCGATTCCGACTGCACTTGGGTCATCATCTCAACAGCTCCCCTGTAGGTCGCATGGGTGGACCTGTTCGCGCACTGGAGATACCAATATCAGCCCGCGAAGAAACTGGTGTTCATGATCATCGAGTTGATCATCGGTATCGCCATTGGTTTCATCCCATGTAGGTCGTCCTGCCCCATGTCTTTGTTCAATCTCTAACCATCCACCAGACGTCGACAACTTCGCCCACCTTGGCGGTCTGCTCATGGGCTTGCTCGTGGGGATGGCGCTGTACCCCATCATCAGCCCTTCCACCCGCCACCGCTCCATTGTGATCGCGCTGCGCATCCTCTCCCTGCCGCTCATCGTTGCGCTCTTCATCGTCCTTATACGCAACTTCTACACCACCGACCCTAACCAGGGTAAGCAAACGAATAGCTTTACCAGTACCACTGGGCTCACTTTTGTCAACACAGCCTGCTCATGGTGCCGCTACCTCTCCTGCATACCGTCATCTCTCAACAACCACTGCAAGGGAACCGGTGAGTAGCAGCATCCTCGGGTCCTTTTGAATGCGTACTGACACGATTGTGTCTCAGGTTACACCAGCTCGAGCATCTAATCCCATCACCACATCCCCTTCGTGTTCGACTCTACTTTATTACATCCTCTCGTTGTGGAACCATGGACCACTACTACCCATGCCGTGTCTATAATCGCCACGCTCTCTACACCCGGACAATGGCTGTCTTTAACATAGCCGCGTAAAACATACCTCCGCACACCACCATACCAGTCACATTTCTAGCATAGTGCTTTGTATCATAAGACATGGACAGCGCGCTTCTTGATTGACGCTTGTGATTGTTAGAGACTTCAAGTCAGGACTGCCGTGATCTGTTGCGGCTGGAGCCGTTCCATAACCTCGACAGACAGACGGCTTAAGCCAAGACACACCGGCACGCGCACACAGTGGAAAGAAAAGGAAGGACGCCTTGGCGCGCGGCGAGAATTAGAGTGCGCATAAATAGGCAACATAAGATAAAGCGGACAAGTCTCGTTTCCGGCGGCACATCTTCGACACTTTACGGGGCAGAGCAGAGCGAGGGTGTAGGAGGACAACAGGCGGTGTACAACATGTTTTGGACAGCGGGTTCGGTTCGGTTTGGGGGGGAGGGGAGGGGGGCAAGGTGGAGGGAGCGCGTTCGGCTGCCTGCTCACACATGTAGTCGTCGCAAGGCCCTCATGCTCCAGTCGGCTCAGAGGAGCGGCTGGAAAGACATGACCTCATCGTACAGCAGCTTCTTGAGCTCCTCCTTGCTCAGCTCCATGTAGTCGAACTCGAAGTACTCCGGGTCGAGGGAGCTGACCGCGGGCTCGTCTTCCGGGTCGTGCTGTGCAGGGGGATCGGCGGTTAGGCAAAACAGAAACAAGAGAACACGACGGCGACTGACGTAGGCGGTGAGATATGGGTGATCGAGCGCCTGGTCGACGGTGAGCCTCTTCTTCGGGTCAAACGTCTGCGGAGGCGAGATCAGCGATGGGCAACAGTGAGGCGGTGGATCACGATAGAAAGTGGCAGATCATTGGCGCAGGTACACGGAGCCGGGGCCCGAACACGACGGGCATAACTCAAGTGAGAGCGGGGCGTGAGAGCGGGTCCGGTGCGAACCCACGATCATCCGTGACCCCGCGCGCGGCCGTGAAGTCGAAACGAGACCGCATGTGCGCCCCTCAATCCATCAACAGATGGACGGGCGCACTGTGCGGACCCGAGCGCGACCCCGGACAAGCGCGCATGATGGACGAGACAACAGCCGAACAGGAGCAGGCAACGACGACTCACCAGAGTCTTCTGCAGGAAGTCGATCGCATCTGGCGAAGCCTTGGGGAAGAGCGCGGTGAACGGTCTCCGCTTGCGGATGGGCAGCGCACGGATGTAGTCGCGCGAGCGGCGGCTGGTGATCCCATAGAACTCCTCGAGCGTCGGCGTGCCGATCACGTCGAGGATGAGGTCGAGCTGGTGGCCGTAGTCGCGTCCAGGGAAGAGCGGGCGGCCGTTGAGGAGCTCAGCGAGGATGCAGCCGACGGCCCAGACGTCGATCGCCTTGGTGTACATCTTGAAGGAGAGCATGATCTCTGGCGCGCGGTACCAGCGCGTGGCGACGTACTCGGTCATGAGCCCCGCCTCCTTGCCGCCGGGGTTGGTCGAGCGGGTGGAGCGCGCGAGGCCGAAGTCGCAGACCTTGAGGTCGCAGTTGGCGTTCAGGAGCAGGTTCGCGGGCTTCAGGTCGCGGTGCACGATGTCGGCGCTGTGCATCGTCTTGAGGGCGCGCAAGGTCTGGTAGACGAAATACTGCTCGTGCACGATCGCGGGCGCAGATAAGGTTATCGCAGCATCGCGAGCAGCGCGTCGAAGCAATAGCAGTGCAGGGAGAGAGATGAGAGAGATCTGTTAGGCGGCAGTGCGGAGAGCGACGGGAGGAACGTGGACGAACCTGGCAGTGATCATCTGTTAGCTGCTGGGTGCGAATGACGCGGTGGAGATCGGTCTGCATAAGCTCTTGGACGACTGCACAGGATGTTTTAGTCTACGCTGGGATCGCAAAATCGCAAGATGATAACATGGCGGTGTACGCACAGTAGATCTCCTTGAAGTCATCGTAAGAGGTGGGCTTGATGATGTCGAGAATAGAGATGATCTGGGAGCAGTTCGCCGAGATGAAGGACAGCAAATGGGGTGAAGGATTGAAAGACGTACGTTCTCGTTGACGCAAGTATCGGAGAAGAACTTGAGGAGTTTGAGCTCGCGGAGGGTGCGGAGGCAGAAGAGAGTGTGCTCGAAGGGAAGGACCTTCTTGATGGCGACCTCGCGGCCAGAGGGTTTGTGGAGAGCAGCGACGACGGTGCCGTAGGCACCTTCGCCGAGACCGTGGAGGAGCTTGTAGTCATCGCCTGGAGACCGGTCAGAGTGGGAGGGAGGAGGGCGAGGAGATAGTTACCGATGTGGAAGGGAGGGAGAGGCTTGTGCTTGCGGGACGACATTAGGATGTGAGAGTGGAGTGGAAGAGTGGCCGGAAGGGGAGAAGGGGGTCGAAAAGTGGGGGAAGAAGGAGGAAGTCAAGGGGAGTAAGAAAGGCGCCAAGGAGGAGAAAGAAGAAGTGCAGGCGGGGAGCGGGGCGGGAGAATAAGTAGGGCTTTGACTCTGCGCTCGGCGGGCACTCGGTGGCCTTGGAGGGCAGACGGGGTGATGGCGATCAGCATGTGCGACATGATGGGTTGTGCCGATGGTGTGATGAGCAACGGGGGCGTGCGCGCTCAGCTCGAGGACTGGTGCCGGTTCACTCTGGCTGTACGACCCCGTCTCTATCACGATGAACGGGCGACATACGCGGAGAACAGTCCGGCGATCGTGTTTCTGTGTCCGCCGTTGGGCGAGCTGCCGCCACCGCGCCCGCCCATTGGACGCCATGTCCTGCGCGTCTGCTCCACGTGCAGTGCGTCCACGTGCCTGCACATCACTCCCGCGCACGGCGGACCGCTGCGGGCCGGGGAGGGTGGACTCAGGTGGAGGGCAACGAGCGCAGCGGTCTCCGTCGAGGCGGACATCGGAATGTGCGCCGTCGATTGGCCCACAACATGTTCTAGCCGCGTCCGCTACTGAACGCCGACCACGCTTTCCTCCGCCCACCCAGCCCACCCCGTCGCCCATCGTCTGCTCCAAAAATGCACGTCGCTATCGGCCATGTCGGGAGCTGGTAACCATGCCGCGCCGGCTCGCCGCAGCCCGCCGCCCGATCCACATCCATCTGCCGCTGCCCTGCTCCCTCTGCCATATGTTCTCCGTCCTCAGCGCCGCCCCGGAGCGCCTCCCGGCCGACCGAGCCCTTTCGCTCCGCAGGACGGGCAGCGTACGCAATCGCGCGGACACCTCCGGGCGTGGGTGCGCCGGCCTGGACGCTCACCGGGCGCTGGGAACGGGCAAAGGGCAGTTCGCGCGAGGGCAGGAGGGGCGCATGCCACCAATGCGTTGTTTTCGTTCCGCGCGAGCCAATGGGAGCCGCTGCCCCTGGGGTTTGATCGACAGTGCACAATTGTCGCCGCCGACTCTCCGCTGCGAACATGTTTACCGCTCCCTCGGGCCCCTGCCCTCCTTCAAAAGAGCGCGACGCCCAGACGGCATCCGCCAGTACCTCCCCCTTCCTTCTTCTCCCTCTTCCCTTCTCTCTTTTTTTCTCCCTCTCCTGGCTGAGCTAGTCGTCTCTCCTTCCACCCTTCGTCTCTGGCAGTACTCCCGTCTCACACTCTGGCAGTCACCATGTTCGGCTCAGCAGCATCCCGTCTCTCTCTCGTTCTCGCCCTTGCGGCCGCCGTTTCCGCCAAGATGATTGAGGTCCAAGTCGGCAGCGCCAGCGGCGACCTCACGTTCAGTCCCGAGGCAGTCGTGCGTCCTTCGCCTTATCTGCACCCTCCCACCCGCGCTCACACCCACACCCGATCCAGTCGGCCAACGTCGGCGACCAGGTCGTCTTCACGTTCCACCAAAAGAACCACACCGCGACCCAGTCTTCGCTCGCCGCGCCCTGCTCCAAGGTCGATGGCGGGATGGACTCTGGCTTGTGAGTCCCCTCCGCCTGGGCGCGTTCCAAAAATAACGGTCGCACAGCATGCCCGTCCCTGCCAACCAGACGGACAACTTCCCGACCTGGACGGTGAACGTTATGGACGTGCGTTGCCACCCCCGTCCGCCTATTGCTGTCGCTGATCGCTGAGCGCTGATCCCTGTGGGAATCACAGACCAAGCCGCTCTGGTTCTACTGCAAGCAGGCCGCTAAGACGCCCGCCAGCCACTGCGGTGCCGGCATGGTCTTCGCCATCAACTGTGGCCCCGACGGCGCCGCCAACTCGTTCATGAGCTTCAAGAACGCCGCGCTTGCCATCGGCGAGCAGCTCAAGATGGACGCCGCCGCGTCGTCCACCGCCATGGCCCAGTACCCCGGCTGGACCTCGTCCTCCAGCGACTCGAGCAACGGCTACAACAGCATGGACTCGTCCAACGGGTACAACAGCATGGGCTCCGGCTACAACGGCAACAGCTACAACTCCATGAGCTACGACAACTCGAACGGCTACAACGGCAACGGCTACGACTCCACCTCCACCATGGCCTACGGCTCCCAGTCCACTTCATGGGCTACGACGGCTACATGTCCACCTCCACCATGGCCTACGGTTCCATGAGCACCTCGATGGACTACAACGGCAACGGGTACGACTCGATGTCCATGGATTCGAGCAACGGATACAACTCGATGTCCATGGATTCTGGCAACGGGTACAACTCCATGTCCATGGACTCGAGCAACGGTTACAACTCCATGTCTATGGACTCGAGCAATGGCTACGATTCCATGTCGATGTCTATGGACATGAGCTCCACCGACACCGCTTCCGCTTCCATGGCCTCGTCCACCGAGTCGTCTTCTTCGTCGTCGTCGTCGTCGTCGTCTTCGTCGTCATCGAGCTCGGGCAGCAGCGGCAGCAGCCTCGGCCCTCAGACCCACATGGTCATGGTCGGTTCCTCGACTGGTGCGCTCACCTTCTCGCCGAACAACATCCAGGCCAACCCCGGCGACACCGTCACCTTCGAGTTGTATGTTGATCTCCCCGCTTTGACTGCCTTTCGACGCTGATGATGATTTTCCAATAGCCACCAGAAGAACCACACCGCGACCCAGTCGTCGTTCGCCAACCCGTGCGTGCGCCTCAAGGACGCGACTGGCAACGTTGTTGGCCTCGACTCGGCTTCATGCCCGTCGACGATAGCGCCACCACGTTCCCGCAGTGGTCGATCACCGTCAACGACACCACGCCCCTCTGGTTCTACTGCCGCCAGCACAACCCGACGACTCAGGCCGCGCACTGCGGTGCTGGTATGTCCATGGCCATCAACGCTGTTGCGTCCTCCACCAAGAACTTCACCGCCTTCCAGGCGCTCGCCTCCCAGCAGAACGGCACCAACACGTCTTCGACCACGCAGAACGCGTCTGGTGCGAACGGAACGAACGGCGCCGTCGCCGCGCGCTCCCCCGTCACCGCCGTCGCGCTCTACGCTGGTGCGTTCGTCGCGGCGGTCGCCGCGCTCCTCTAAGCGCGTCCCGCGCGTGCGCGCATGCGGGCCGCTGGAACGTGGAGTGAAGAGTGGTGGATCACGGACTGCGCCGTTGTGTTTTGTCGGACTGAAACTCGCTACGTTACCTCGCTGTTTGGGACTCTGGCCAGCCTGATCGCGCTCCTCGCCTTTTGGACGATGCTTTGCTGCACACTCTTTACTCGCCTGAGGCGCACTGCCCGTTCTATACTTAGACCCGGTCCCCTGGAAGGAGGGCCTGCGGCCTGCGGCGAGCCCGCCCGCATGTGTACTTTTCGATAACTAGTACTGACGACGAACTATTCCCCACCCCCACCCACCCGCTCACGCCAGATACCTCAGACTCGGCGGTCCGTTCACTCCCTCTCCCCTTCGTTTCCCGCCGGGCCCTTGTGTTCACGGTTTTTCGACCCACCCACGCTCCGGAGTAGCTTTCGCTTGTGCCCTTCTGCCACTTCGCCCTGGGCCGCCCGGGCGCGCATTCGCGCGTCCGCGCGCGCCGTTTGTACTATCTTTGGCTGGAAAGGATTTGACAACGGCTCCGCCCTCCACTTGCGATTGGTCCTCGCGGCCGCGTCAACGAGGACAGATGTGCACGTCGCACGAGGCTTGTTATAAGCGGTGTCGAGCCTGATCAAGATCTGTGCGGCTCCGGCTGGTGTCCATCGCACCCAGCGGCGAGGAATCAAATTTCGAAGTGGCCCCTGGCCGTCTTTCGAGATCAAGGGCGGCTGGCACGTGCCGTGTTCATCAATGGCTCGCTATATTTGAGCATCACCGATACCGTCGCCCGTGACACACCCAATCTGAAGCCAATTTTGCGGGCCCCGCGCATATTATGTTGTGTCGCGACGGCGCGCTTTCTGCTGCGACACGTTGCGCACACCCTCCGAGCTGCAGCCCCGGGCCCGTGTCAGTCCCCTTGGCGACCGGCCGTGCAGAAGCAGGAAGCAGGAGCCCGAAGCCTCCCCCATCGCACGCGGACGGAGGCTGCCGTACGTGCGTTCCGAGCCGCCAGAAGAAGCCCGCACATTGCACTGACGGGGAGCGCGAACATATATAGCTCGCCGCATCTGTGATGGTCAAAGCTATTCTCGGTGTGCGCCGGCGGCGCCGGGGACCGGTCGTCTCGGGGCGGACATATACGCGAGGACAAACGAGCGACAGCGGTGCGGTTTCGGCGTTCGACGGGCGGTGACGGCGACGGAGGGAGGCTAGGTAGGTACACAACAGCGGGGGCGAAATAGATCATGTCATAATGGTACGTCAAAAGGGCGGCGCCGTCGCCAAGGCTCGTCGTTGGTCGAAGGGAAAGTGTGGTGGGAGGGAAAGGAATTTTATCCGAACGGGAGCGGAGCGGGGGAGATGGAGGGGTAGGCGACGCACTGCACTGCACCAAATTGCGCTGTGGCGAGAAGGCGGGGAGGGGATAAGGTCGTGGGAGTGGGTGGCGGCATTAGATTAGAAGGTGGCGAGCGTTGTACGGCCGTGGAGCGTGCGTGTCGAGCATGCACGGCGGCGGGCGGGGGAGAAGGGGGCGTCGCATGGAGATAACAAGGCGTGTGAGGATAGCAGATGAGAATGGATGGTATCGCGAAGGCAAAAACGAGCACGGGCGTCAGATCACAACACAAGGTGGTTCGCCCGAACCGAGAGGAAGAAGACCACCCCCGTACCATCCCCATCGCGACCTCCATACATGGGCCCGACCAAATAATCACCCCCGCAGGCCGACTTCCCATCGGAAACACTCATCCCTGCCGTCCAAGACCGGCCCAGAAGCCTGACGCGACCCCTTCGACGCCAAAGTCGCCAAAGCGGGTGTCCGCGTCGAGCTCGGTCCCGTACATCGTGCGCTTCATCTGCGCGCCAGGGGTGTCCGGCGGTAGCTGGGATGCGCTGCCCATCCCGAGCTGCATCCCGACTTCTGTGCTTGACACCGTACGCCGCGGGAGACCGCCCACGAGCTCCGTCCCGTTGGCGGCCACTGTGGTGCCGCTCGGTGGGAAGGACGCCGAAGTGTCTTCGTCGGCATCTACGGTAGATGTGTGCATGAGATCGGCGGGATTGACCGTTCGGCCAGATGGGACACGCCGGGGTGTCGTAGATGAAGCGTCTACTGGAGGTTCAGAGCGTGAAGGCGTTCTTCCCTGAGAGGCGGCGGGTGTAAAGCGTCGAAATGGGTGAAAGAGGTCGTTACGCTCTATTCGGCCACCCGCGCGCTCGACAAACCCGCCGGAGGGTGCCATAGGCGAGGGGGATGTTGGAGGTTCCGGGTATGTGAACATTGGTAGGTTCATGTTGAACGGCGTGGACGTCACAGGGTTGAACAGAGACTCGGTGAAGTCAAAGTCAAAGTTGCCGTGCATCTGGTTTGGCGCATTCTCGTCTGCGCCCGGTGGTCGAGGTATTGCACCTCCTCCAGTAGGTGGCGTGACTTGTCCTTCTGCCGGAGCGATCGGGAACAGGTCGGTAAGACTGACCATGGCAGGAAGTGGGTCCGGGTATGCTTCAGCAGGTTCTTCGGGACCTTGGAACACGGTGAACGCGTCTCCGCGTGGAAGGGCTGGCCCAGATCCAGCAGCGTTAGAACCACCTTGATCACTAGTGGAGGGCCCAGGTCTTGACTCTTCAGGCTTCGACAGCTTCGCGCGTTTCTTACTAGGTCGATTCTGCCGCCGTCCCGCGTTGTCATGACCAGACTGGCTCACCCGGCTTCCCTCTGGGCTGTCGCTTTCTTCCGAATCCCGAGAGCGTTTACCCAGCGTCGGCTGAGATGGTCCTGGGGGATCTTGGACAGCGGTGGCTTCAGATGCAAAGCTCCCCCTGGTCGTAGGTGGACCGCATCTCTCCTCTCTATGAGATGTCAATTAGACGCAGCAAGAAAGATGAGCAATAAGTACGCACGATGCACGAGCTTTTCCTAAGCTCTTCTCCGATGGTTGGTCGATCGCAGATCCCAACGACAGATTGGACATGGCTTGCCGTAACACCTGGACTTCGGATTGGAGTTGAGGTACAAGGGCGGCTTGCGAACGCAGTGTGTCCACTTCGGCTCGTAATAAACGAAGTTGGTCTGAGAGGTTGTTGTGGTCAGCCGCTGCGCCAATCGTTGTTGGAATGCGGCCTGCAGAAACTGGATCTGTGCTTGCAGGGCGAAACCTAGACTCATCGTGAGCCCAGATTACAACGGTCTGGGCAACACCAGAACAAAAAGAAACGCACCAGATTCGTGATATACATCTGCAATTGTTCTGGAATCTCCATGCGAGAAACGGGCAACTCAGTCAGGTTGGCCATTGCGCTCGCCAATGGATCCGGCATGGGGTAAGAGATGTCGAACGTGGTCGCGGCAGGTGGGTTGACGGACGGCGGTTCGTGCGAAGTCCCAGACGGGCCCGCTTGGGGCACTTGGTGGAGCTGAGTGCACGACATGCATGTGAGGCCACCGCCGGACTTACTGTCAGACTGCTGCGCTTCTGGTTCTGGAGAGTAGGTTGAGAACGAGCAGTAGGGAAGATATGGGGGTGGGAAACGAACCTTCTTCCTCCTGTATGGCCGCTTCAGTCGGCTTGACGCTTCTGCTCCCCCTCACCCGCTTCCCTTTCTGCGCCATGCTGGTGGAACGTGTCGCAACACGGGCACCTTTCCCTCCCTGCGCTGCTGGCCGGCCTACACCGAGCTTATACAGCGTGTTCTTCGGCCGTCGATTCCGAGGAGGCGCAGCAGCAGGTTGTGGTGGAGCAGGAGTAGGAGGAGCAGGGGAGGCAGCTTCGCTGCGGGAGCCACAGGGCCCTCATCTTCTTCGTCCGTGTCGTGGATGATCATGGAAGAGGACGAGGCACCGCGCAGTCGCGAAGCCGCAGACGACCGGGAAGCGATCCGGGTGGACGGAGGGCGGAGCCTGGAAGGGGGAGGACTGCGACGCGGTGGAGCTGCTTTAGAGCCGGAGAGGAGGTCGATCATATCATCCGTCTTCAAGTTCCCCCTGAAGCCATATTGCTGCCCAGATGGTTGAGGAAGGGAGGAAATAGAGTGGCAAGTGAACCAAACGCACCATGCACATCTTCTGGAGGTCGGCACGTTTCATGACTTTGAGCCTCTCGCGGTCGAGAGGCGCAGACATTGCCAGGACGGCCACAGTGACGAGAGATCAGAGCAAGGGGAGGAAGAGGGAGGACAAGGCCAGAGCCAGGTGTGGTTTCTGCAGAGGTTCAACGACTGAACCAAACAACGCCCAAACAACGCGAGCTATCGGTCACATGACATCGTTCCATGGGCGCCTGCCACACGTTGCGCGCCGTGCCTCCCGATCAGTGCGGGGCCGCCTGGCCAAATAATATTCGTGTGGAAATAAATGCGCACTGAGTCGGTGGGGCTGGCTGGGGGATGTTCCTTCCCCAGCCAGAAGGCAAGAGAGGCTACGGGTGTCCGGACCGCAGGCCCGAGTTGCGGGGGATCACAAGTACTGGGATCACATGAAGGAATGGGGCCCGCGGCCTGCCGAGGGCCCCCATCTCAGCTCGTGTTCCCTCTCATATACATAATATGCCGCATTCTCAGACTCACCGTCTTACCCTCCTTCACCCCTACCCCACACTGTCCCTCTGTTCTTGACGTGCCCCCATGACGAAGACGTTCTCGCTTGACCAAGTCGCGTCCCACAACTCCCCGAGGCATGCACTTCTCGTCTGCTCATCCAGCATCCCCCTACTCACGCCTCAACCCTCAGCTCATGCTGGGTCATCATCAGCAACAACGTGTACGATGTCACGGAGTTCCTCCCGGTGAGTGATCCTCCCGCGGACTACTGTCCCTTCTCACGAGACCCTCCTTTCAGAGCCATCCAGGAGGTACCAAGATCATCCTGAAGTACGGCGGGAAGGACGCCACGTCCGCGTATGAGCCCATACACCCTCCGGATGCTCTGGAGAAGAACTTGCCGCCTGAGAAGCATCTAGGCCAGCTTGATAGCGCCGCCGCCAGTGCCGTCGAGCAGGCTGCTGCAAACAAGAAGAAGACCGTGGACGAGCTCCGTGTGGAGGCGGCCAGAAAGAAATTGCTGCCATTGAGCCGTATGTTGAGTGTCCTGGATATGGAGGTACGTAGGACGCCCCTGCTATCTTACTGTGTGTGCACACTGGGAAAAATGCGGGTGCACGTCGGCGCGCATGCGCTCGTCGTGGTACTTTTGTGCGTTCCAGTCCCTGTCGCGGTGCTTCAAGGCACGACCACAATTCCGCTGGTGATGTGCGTGTAACGGGCATGCGTTGGGTCACTCGTGATGAGGAAGACTCTGTTCATCCAATCCCACGCATACGATACCCCTCGAGGACAGTCTCATGCGCCACTGCATGCTCCTGTCCTGAAAATGTTCTGTGGGCGCAATACTAAAATAGTGTGTGCATGATGCGACCGGAGGACTTGGCAGTCCGCAGGCCGGTACGGCGCGGGAACGCTTCGTGCTTCTGCCTAAGAGTTTCCGATGGTTCTGACACACCAATCAGTCTCCAATTGCACTATCTTGATGTTGTGGCTCCTGCTAACGTTTCTTGCTAGAAAGCCGCGCATCAAGTTTTATCACATAAAGCATGGGCATATTACTCGTCCGCCGCGGATGAGGAACTGAGTACGTTACTTTCCTTGAGTGTTTCTTCGATGGCCTCACATTGGTTCAGCCAACAAGGAGAACGCACGCGCCTTCTCGCGCTACTACTTCCATCCTCGCGTAATGCGCCCTGTGGCGCACTGCGATCCATCCACCACCATCCTCGGCTTCAAGTCTACAATCCCGGTTTTCGTCAGCGGTGCCGCTCTTGCGCGCCTCGGACACCCACTTGGTACGTCGAATTCTTCTCGTCTACCACAGTTAGTCCCCCAACCTAGCTTCCTGTGTCCTTTCCAGGCGAAGCGAACATCACCCGCGGCGCCGGCCAGAGCGGCATCGTACAGATGGTGTCCTCCAACGCCTCGCTTTCGTACGCGCAGATCGCGGAGGCGCGCCTCTCGTCCCGCAGCCGCTCTTCTTCCAGCTGTACAAGCACCGGGACGACAAGATCGCGGAGCAGCGCGTCCGCGATGTCGTCGCGCTCGGCTACAACGCCATCTTCCTCACCGTCGACGCGATCGTCGCCGGCAACCGCGAGCGCGACATCCGCGCCCCGTACGAGCTCGAGGAGCAGGAGGCCGAGGCCGAGCGCGCGGCGAACCCGGACAAGGCCACAGGCGAGGCGGACATGCCGCAGACGAAGGTCGAGGGCCCGGACCCGAACCTGATGGGCACCGCGGGCGCGCTCGTCGCGAACGACGACATCGACATGACTTGGGAGCGCACCATCCCGTGGCTGAGGTCGGTCACGACGCTGCCCATCGTGATCAAGGGCGTGCAGTGCGTGGAGGTGCGTCGTCGGGGCGGGCGTCCTCGTTGGGCGGTTTGGCTGACTAGCGCGCAGGACTGTGTCGCGGCCGCAGAGGCCGGGTGTGACGGCGTGTTGATCTCGAACCATGGTGGTCGCCAGCTTGAATAGTGGGTTTTAGACATCAAACCTAGTTGTGCTTAGCTGACCGCCTCGTAGCTCGTTGCCTGGTATTGAGGTGCTTTACAGGCTTCGCAAGCAACGACCAGATGTCTTTGACAAGCTCGAAGGTGGGTGATCCGAGGGTGCTGGGAGGACTGAACGCTAACTGGTCCGGCTATAGTATACATCGACGGTGGTATCCGCAGAGGGACCGGTGAGTGGCGGCGTGTCTGGGGCGTTCGAGAGATTGTTCTGACGGGCAATTTGTAGATGTACTGAAGGCTTTGTGTTTGGGTGCTAAGGCCGTGGGGATGGGTCGTGCGTTCCTCTACGCGCAGAGTGTAAGCCGTTGATCGAAGTGGGAAAAAAACACAGCCCGCTAACATTTTTGATTCAGGCCTATGGTGAGAGGGTGTCATCAAGACTGTCGACATTCTTCGCGGGAGATTGTCCGTGGGATGCAGCTGCTCGGCGCGAGCAATGTCAAGCAGCTTGTGCCGGAGATGGCGAGTTTCCATTTCATCCCATCACGGAAGTGCTATGACGCTGATACAAACGCTCGCAGGTGGAGCGTGTTGATTGGCAACCGCTCACCCCGAAGTTGTGATGGCACAGCGGATGGAGTTGTGATTGGATTTACTTACATCTAGTGTAGATTTGAACCGGTGAGATAGATTCTTGGATTACCCTGCCCCGCTCGTCGAGGCTGTGGAAGTGTGACACATGCCGTGCGTGTGAGTGCTGCATGCAGACGACGGGACTTCACGCTCAAAGATGATGGGCCGGTGCAGCAACGAAAGGTTTGTCATCTAACGGCGCCTACTTAGTCTTCCAAAAGCTCCTTGAAGGATTGCAGTGATACACCAAACTCCTGCACCATCATAATTAGAGCACGGGACTCGACCAGTGGTCCGGATCGTAGACGCATAGACACTAATGTTACCGGTTGTTGTGAAGCTCTCGTGGATGGGATATTGGGTGAATGCGCAGCACTTGCTTGCATAAAAAGTAAGTCGAGTATGATACATCATGCTATGATACATCTAACAGCCTCTCAATTTGAAGATCGCAGTCAAAGGCTTGCGGACTCACTTTGATTGGTGCACCTTGTCGAGTACCTTCGCCGTGGCCTCGACGATGATTTTCCACTCGAGGCCGTGAAGACGCTCCTCGAAGGCCTCGATGGGTTCTCCGGGGAGGATCTCAACTTCGCGGACGAGAATCGGCTCACCACGATCCACCTCCTTGACCACATAGTGGACCATGACGCCCGAGTGCTTGATCTCCCCTTCTGGAACGCCTCGTACGCCCGTTCGATCGCGTGCGCGCCGTCGAACGCGCCCGGGAGCGCGGGGTGGAGGTTGATGACCGGGACGCCGCGCGCGCCGATGACGTCGAGGAAGCCGTCGCCCATGATGTGCATCCATCCCGCGAGCACGACGAGGTCCGGGGTCTCCTCTACGACCCGCGCGGCGACGGCGCGGTCGTAGTCGTCGCGCGTGCTGCGGGGTGCGCCTTTAGGAAGGGCTGGAGGCCGAGGTACGCGGTCGGGATGGGGGGCACGGCTTGGGCGGCGCGAGTGAGACCGTACGCGGCCTTGCGGTTCGAGAGCACGAGCGAAATGCGGGTCGATGAGAGGGCGGGGGTGTTTTGGGCGTCGATTAGGGCTTGGAGGTTCGTCCCTTTAGAGAGAGGAGAGCTTGAGGACGGGTGAACTGAGAGCGAGCCGGGGAGGGTGCACACCTGAGCCCGAGATGAGGACGACGATGCGCCGCTCGCGGGTCTCTGGCTCGGCCATTGTCGAGGGCGTCGATGGTTACTGGTACGAGTCCTCCCCGAGTGGTGGTCCTGGAGAATTGCATGGCGGGCCGGGCTGGCGGTGACGCTGGGGTTAGGGCCATATGGGCTCCAGTGCAAACATTCTCGCGGATGGTGGCTCGAGATGGGCGGGCCAAGCATCATTGTGCGCATCACTACGACTGACAGCAGTTTGTATCTCGAGCATCACGCGGATGGTTGGGCCGTGTTCGAAGGCGGGGTCGGGTACAACGGCGATGACGATACGACCCGCAACTGAGCGACGCGGAGCGCACGAGCAGTTGCAGAGGCAATTGCCAAGCCCGTACGTCCTCTGCGCAGACAGTGGGCGTAGCCATGCCACTTGCGCCTGCCGGCGTCGCTGCTCGCGTGTGCGCTCGTCGCGTCCTGGGCGAGCCCCAGACGTTCTCGCGAGTCCGGCAGGTGTGCGTGCCTCGGAGCGCGGCGCGGCGAGATCACAGGGCGATTGGCGCGACAACAGAAGGGGGCGGCGTCTATCTGGCCGTCGCTAAGGGCGAACGGAGGACGAGTTGCTGTGAACGCTGCACCGAGCGCTCCGCTCCGCCAACCTCTTTAACCCACCCCTCGAGGTTCCGCCCACCCTCTTGACCGCCGTTCCGCGTCAAGTCCTCCTGTTGGGTGCTTTCCGTACAGGACCGGGTCTCTTCTCCGTCGGGATTGCATCTCGACCCTCTCTGGTTCTCGTAGTGCTTCTCAGCCGGACTGACGCTACGCGCGTAACTTACCAGCTGGCTTTCTAACTTATTCCTTCTTATTCGGCACTACCTCCTCGCTCTCTCGGCACCCTCAACCCCGCGCTCCCTCTCACTCACCCCAATCATGTGGGGACTCTCTCTTGTCACCACCGCCGCCGGCCCCGCGGCTGCGTTCAAGCGCCTGAGCTCTATCGAGGCGGTATGTCTCCTTCTCTCGCATTCACCTCCGTCCCTCACCATTCTGCGCATCCAGATTCAGTTCATCCTCGCGGACATTCCGTTGTACACGGTGGGAATCCTGGCCTTTGGTTCGTTAACTTTCTTCTTCCTCATGAAGCGCGTCGATCGGTGCGTCCTCCTCTTCCTCTCCCATTTGCCGCTGTGAACATTCCAGTCCCCTTGTTAGATGGGTGTTTTGCATCCACGTCGCCATCCTCCTCGCATTTCTCGCTGGCGTCCTCGACCTCGCCCAAATCCTCCTTCGGGTTCCGCCGTGAACGACTCTTCGGCTGCAATCCCGTCGAGCGCTTATGGTATCATCACTGCTCGGGAGATCTTCTACGCGATGTCAAACAGCCTGCGTTTCCTCTTCTACTGGGGCTTTGTCGCCATGATTCCTCTGGGGGAGACGATTCCAGAAGGAAACATTGCACACAGCGGGAGTTGGCGTCGATGGGGCACACTGGGTATCTTCCTCAAGTGGATTACTGTCTTCGTGCAGGTTGTCATGTTCGTCCTTCAACTCCTCTACCGCAACATCACTTCCCTCGGCCAAATCGGCCCTGTCTACGAGACCGAGGCCACGCTGGAAATCATCCTCTCCGCATTCTTCATCCTCAAGCTCTTGATGAACACACTCAGCGTCATGCCTACTCGTGCTACAAGACAGTCAAAGGGCAAGATGTTGGTCCAGTACTCGCCCATCATCGTCACCCTCCTCTTCAGCTTGTGGATTGCTGTCGGTAATGCCATTCTATGTGAGTCCAAATGCCTCTGTATGTCGTTTATCGCTCATTACTTGTCGACGTACCCATAGTCGAGTTCACTGAGACTGTCCTGGGACGCTTTATGCGCGCGATCGAATTCTACATCGACGTCGTCTATGTCATGACCGTCTCTTTCATCCACCTCCGTCACCTGTCCTTCTTCCCTGTCTATAGGCCCAACCGGAAGCGGTCGGAAGGCAGCCTGGCTGGCAGCTTCACGTCTTTCGAGAAGCCCGGAGCGTTTGTTGAGGCCATGCCCACACCAAACGACACCAAGGTCCAGGCAAAACTCATGTACGTCCTGGAGGATCGCTACTATAACGGGCAGAATCTCCCGCAGACAATGGACAGCACCAAGGCCCCGATGATGGTGGAAGGTGTCATCCCGCACCAATCCATGGCCGGTCGTTTGTCGACCTGGCTTGGCCGCCCACGACCGGGTCAGAACGATTCCCGCCCCTGGGACGTCGATGCAGAGCGCGGACCCTCACCGAGGCTTCCTACGATCTCGACTCCATGGACTGAGAGAGCTCGCCCTGAGTCTCCGCTCATCGTCTCCTTCCCTATACCTCGGCTGGATGAAGACGAGCAGCGTGGTGTGGCTCCGGCCCTCTCGTTCGACCAGCCCCGAGCGGCCCTTTGCCTCCCGGGGAGGTCGCTTCTGTCATGGGCCTGGCTCCCTCGTCTACCGGTGCGGTTGAGGATGCTGATCACGCGTCGCAGAACACGCGTATCCCATCCCGCGAGTGGCAGGACATCGAATTCTCCAATGCTGTCCGGAACTCGGGTGTCAACGAAGAAGTAATGGCCAGCGCACTGAAGGAGCGGTTCTACGTCCCTCCTCAAGAAGCCGCCTTAGAATCGCCCTTCGAAACAAACATCGAAGTCCTATCTCCCCAAAGCGAGGAAGGTACGCGTCCCAACAGCATTGCCAGCGTGCAGTACGCCGCCGCATCAACGCCCATGTCTCCACCCTCGAAGTCCGCCGCGCTTTCGCTCTACCCGGCTTCCCCGCTCGCTTCCGCTGCCGCCTCGCCGATCCCACGAAGCCGGCCATTGCCTCCCATGCCTGTACCCAACCGGCCAACCTCCTCGGCGTCTGCTCTGCTCTCCCCGACGTCCCCGATGCCCCCTGACTCCGCGCGCTCGTCCAACATCTCGATCCTGCTCCGTCGCCAGAACGAACTCGACGAGTCAATCGCTGCACTCCGTCTGTTCTCGCCAATCAAGAGCGTGTTCGAGGCTGCTCCGATGCAGCCCCTTTCGATACCGCAAGCGCAGTCAGACTACTCGGTGCGGGACAGCTTGATGCTAGCCTACACCACGGTGCCAAGCATGACGTCGATCCCGACTTCGCTCCCGACACTCCCCAGCGACAATGCGAGCTCGTTTAACCCAATGGAGCCGCTACAGAGCCCGGAGCTGCCGTTGACGACCCACGCACAGTCATCGACACCGCGGCGCAGAGCGAGTTCTATTTCGACAGCCAGCCGCCGCTGAACCGGTCGAGCATTGATTCCGGCGTGTGGCCGCCCCCGACACCGCCGCCGCAGACGAAGGAGCTCGCCGTCACGTTCCTTGACTCGCCGCCGAACGCACTTGCGCCCCCGCGCCAGCCCGAGTCACGGTTCTCGGACGCATCGAGCCTTGGCGATCGGAAGCCCCGCAAGGCCGTTGACTCGGCAGGAACTCAGTATGACATCACCTCCTTCGTTGGCAGTACGTTTGTCCGTTTCCGTTTCTTCATTGCACCGCTCACGCTGCGTTGTAGATCTCACGTCCCCAGTGAATCCGAAGTACAGCGTGATGTCCGAGTTCTCCTCCGAGGAGAGCTTCGCGAACGTCGTCACCGCGCGGCCCGCGCAGTACGTGCGCCCGACCCTCGTCGCCCACGAACGCAGGGAGTCGGACCCCGCCGACATTGCCAACCTCGCGCTCGTCTCGCAGTTCCCCGCGCCGCCTCTACCCGCGCCGACCGCGGCTCGCCCGCTCCCGACAATCGCCGAGCCCGCCCGGCCAACCATCCAAACCCAATTGCCGCCCCAGTCCCAATCGCCCGCTCAGTCCCCCGCAAGAACGCAGCTGCCGTCGCCGCCGCAACCGCGTTTCAAGCGTGCTGTTGGACTCCCGGCGCACCCGCGCTTGAGCCGCGCGAGCACGGCGTCGGAGGAGGTCCCGGAGAGGACACCCCAAGGCGACACCTCGTCCCTGTACACCTCGCAGGGGTCTGGCACCCCTAACACGGTCACGGGGAGGGCATGGTGAGCGGACTACCCTGGTCCGCCTCACTTGTGTCGCTATGAGTCTACCTCTCACCACCCACCACGTACATACCTCATCCTTCCGCACATCGCGCATTCGATTACCTCTCTCGACCCATCCGTGTAATCATTGAATGGAAAGCGCTCTGCACCTCGCACCCCGCTCGTGCACCCAAACATGTGAACACTGCTGTTCGTTCGTCGCGCTGGTTACTTTTTAGCGTTCGTCGTGCAACCCGACCACCCCCATTGTCGTGCACGGACTTTCGGTGTCAGGCGTCGTCGTGGACTGTTATGCGTGTCGATCTCGCCTCGTTGCGTAGTTTCGGACCCCGCCCGTATCATTATTGTGCCCTACTGTATCATACCGCGTAAGGACGGACTGTCGAGTATATCGGACTTTGACGGAGTTCCAAAGTTTGAACATGTACCTAAGCACAGTTCAGCTCTTCTGATGCGCGGGGCCGTCGGACGAGCAGGGGCTTGTAAGTTGTGCCCTTGTTGTCGAGGCGCGTCTGCGGCGGGTACATGTCGCGACCGTCAACGTGTTCTACACGATCACGTGCACGCGTCGGTGACGTCAAGTTGCCGTCGCAGTGCGGAGCCACATAAAACGCGGGCGTGACTGCGCAAGGCACCTCGCACCATGTCTTCCTTTCCCGACTACTACGAGCTCCTCGGAGTTTCTCACACCGCTTCGATAGACGAGATACGCACGGCTTACAAAAAGGAGTCGCTTCGGTGAGTCCTTGCGCAGCTTTCAGGCGAGAGGCGAGCCACTGAGTGGCGTAGCGATCCAGGACGCACCCCGACAGGCTCGTGAATGGCACCGCGGCGGAGAAGAAGGCTGCTACGGAACGGTTCCAGGTGCGTGTTTCGTGGCAGCTTTCCCTGAGAGTGGCGAACCAACACCCGCAGCAGGCGGTAGCCGACGCGTACTACGTCCTCTCGGACGGCAGTCGGCGCAAAGAGTACGACTCGTTGTACTCCACCCGTCGCCCCCGCGACCGCACGGCGCAGCCGGACGCGTCCGCGAACTTCTTTTCCGCGTTTGCGAACATGTTCGGGAGCAAGACGGAGGGCGCGGCGAACCCCACCGGTGCGACGGCGGGGGACCGCCCCGACGCGGACCACGTATTCGCCAGCGTCTTCGAGGAGGTGCGTCTTCAACCTCTCCATCTTCAATATGTATCACATGCTCACCCATCCTACGTCTCCTTCGTGCGCACCACAGCTCCTTCGCCAGAGGTCGAGCGACACGCGCCGTGGTGGGCCTGGTTCGGCGCCGTCTGTGGCGCGGGCCTTGGCTTCATCATCGCCAACGTACCAGGGCTCATGGTCGGAGGGTACGCGGGAAACCGCCTTGGGGCCATCCGAGACGCGAAGGGCAAGAGCGTCGCGGCGGTCTTTGCGCAGCTGGGGGGCTCCCAGAAAGCAGAGGCGAGCATCCTTCAAGACGGCGTTTTTGCTCCGAAGCTAACGAGGTGCCCATTCTACCCCTTACAGATCCTTCGCACTCTCGCGGCGAAGGTGCTCGGAGCTGCTGCGAGCGGCATGTGATTGACGACTTGACGTGTATTATGTATTTCTGCACCGGACCTTGTTGGAAGAAAGTAGTACAGTGCTATGTGTATGTGTATGTGTACGTGCTCTGATCGAGTGCCTCCTATATTACGCGCACCTACCGTTGCGGCCTCGTTGTAACCACACTGCTCTGCATGGCTCATGTTCGCCTCGTGGAGGGCTAAATACAACAGAAAGCCAGATACATTAAGCGCCGGGACCCTGGCGGAGGCCGACGCGTTCGACCTCGTTCCTGCAATCTCTGCTCTTGCCCCCACTCTGCACACGATCGCACCTCCTCTGGCCCCGTAGCGTGCACGATGGTCCAAACCCGTTCAAGGAGCCATGCAACCTCGGCGCGGGATTGCACAGAAGGTCAGGCGACACCAGTCCGTGCCTTCCGTGCATTCATTGTCTCACAAGCTTCTTGCGCCCGGCCGTAGCTTCGAAACGCGCGAGCAGCGTCCCACCGACGGATAACTGCAAAGCGGACCGTGCGTTCGGTGAGCAATGCCCTCCCAGACCCCGTCTTGTCTGCTCACCTGCCCCTGCCAGATTGCGTACTCATGACGCCTAGGAAACGAAGTAAGCACGACACCCGGCTTCACGACTCGCACTGACACTTGGCGGGATCTTGCAGAGCGGAACGTGTCGATGGACGAAGGGTCATCGCATGTTTCACAGGGGTCCAGACTCGGTAAGTCCTCATCATCTCGCGTCCCCACCGCCATCTCAAGTCCGACTTGTGATTTCGAAGCGCAAGCGCTCCAGCTCGAGCAGAAGAGACTCCCCCGGCGCGCGACGCGGTCACGCGCAGAGAAGAGCCAAGCCGAGACCGCGACGGACGCGTCTGTGGCCCCCCCTCGCCGACGCTCCGCCGGCCGCGCGTCCTCGCTCTCCGCGTCCCAGGCGCGCCTCCCGCGGCACCCGTCCGCGCGCGCACGCGCCGCGTCCTCCACACGTGCCGCGAGCGAGGCCCCGACGCAGCCGCGAACGCGCCGCCGGGCCTCCGCGGCGGGCCTGTCGAACTCCGCGACGCAGCCCACAGAGCGCGGCCGCGCGCGGGCGTCCCGCCGGCCCCAGCTGGACGCGCGCGACCGGGCGACCAGGGCAGCGAAGGGCAAGAGCCGCGCTCGCGCCCCCGTCGACCGCCACACGCCGCGTGGCGTGGACGACGATGCGTGGGACGCCGAGTCCGAGTCGACCGCCCCGAACGCCCACGGGGACACGCGGATGCGCGACGAGGACGAGGACGAGGACGAGGACGAGGACTGGGGAGGAGACGAAGACCCTGGTCCCAGTTCCGGCCGCGCGTCGAAGCGGCGGCGGGTTGGGGCACGCGCGAGCCTTGCGGCGTTTGGGACTGGGGCGCACGGGCTCCGTGCCCTGGTGGACGGCGATGGGCTGGATGGGGCTGAGGACGACGGGATGGACTTCACGCTCGACTTGCCCGAGTCTCTGCCGTGGGTGCCGATCGACCCTGGCGACCCTCGCTCGGAGTACGTTCCCGCGGGCGTGAACGCGCTCATCGAAGGTCAGTCAGCCATTGCCTGCGTCTGCCAGTCCACCCTTCCCCATGCCCTCGCTCACGCGCCCTGCCTCCTTCCTTTCACATCGACCCCGTCCCCCCGCGCTGCGTGTGGCCTCGCACGCTCACGTCGCGCAGACATGAAGCGCGCGCTCAGGCTCGAGATGTCCGTCCGCCGCAAGGCCGAGCACGCACACGCCGCCGAGTCCGCGCGCGTCCGCGCGCTCGAGGCGGAAACGGCGCTCCTCACCGCGGAGAACCGCGCGCTCGCGGCGAGGAACGACGCCGCGGCGGACGCGCTTGCCACGGGGCTCCAGAGGGTGCTCGTCCGCGACACCCCGCGTCGCTCCGCCGGCAATGCGGGCGGCTACGGCATCTCGCCCGGTCCACCGTTCCCACTCCCTGCCCCACACTCCGTCCAGGCTTCCCGGTGGGACCGCAGGGAGAAGACGCCCGATGGGAACGCCTGGGCGAGCTCGAGCTCAAGCCCGCGCGCGCGCGGACGGCGTCGGGTCGAAGACGAGCGACCTCGGAGCCGAGGCGGACGCAGACGCGGACGTGGATGCGGACATGGCGGACGGCAGCGGGAGCACGACGCGCGCCGCCGGGCCCTCGCGGCTCTGAATAGCCGGTGTGTGTAGCCAAACGCCGCGCGGTGCCGCACGACCAGGCCACACACACACAGGGCGTACGATGGGCACGGGCGTGGCAGACGGAGCGCTGAACCGCTCCCAGCGTGGACACTATAGGCTTCCTTGTGCTCGCATCCGGACAAGTGTCCAATCAGACGAACCTTGGACAGACAGACCTGGCCAGACCCGGACGGCTCACAGAACCCCACACTCGAGCTCCGGCCGCGACTCCGCGCGCGGCGTTGCAGCGGCCATTCATGACGCGGCTCAGGACGAACCTTGTTGGTATTACGCACCGGCGAGCGACGCTCGATCGCGGATCGCCTGCGCGGCAGAAGTCGGCCTCGTGTGCAACAACAAGGGGACGTAAGCGTGGTGCGTACAGGAACACAAGGTGTGACGGGAGGAAGGCTACGAGAAGAAGGGGCGCACAGATAGACAGACAGCAGAAGGGGGGGGGCCCTGAATGGACAGACACTCGAGCTTGACGCACACCGTGCATTCCTGACACACGCAGACAATCGAAACCACCAGTCTTGGGTCACCCAGTCCGGTGGAGCACATGTTCCAAACGCGCTCGCAAGGGGGCAGATGTCAGTTCGAGAGAGACGGCGCAATGATGACCGCCACGAACGTGTGATTACTAACAACGGTTCGTCGCGAACGTTGCTCTGAGGTGAGTAAAGGTACGGAATACATGCGCGTGCGCGTGGGTGCGCTGGGGTCGCTAGCGTGCGGGAGAGCCGCTGTCCCGTGCGTGCAGGCGACAAGGAGAGGACGTAGTGTGTGATACGGATGACGGTGTAGGGTAGGTAATCTACAGGTACAGGGATGTGCTTTGACAGTGCGGTGGCGTACACGGGCAGGGTGGGATCGGGATTGACGAGGGTGCGCGAGACGGCGTGTTCGAGACTCGATGATAATAATACGCGGGGTGACCAAGACGACGGGAGTATGTGTACACTGCGAGGATACGGCGATTTCGCGCTCGACGCAATCGTATGCAACGGGACGTGTGTGGAGGACCACATCGGAGACGGGCGAGTGATGCAGAGTTGCGAGACGGAATTAGAGTGGGTGAATGCATGGTGGAACGAGGACATGGAGCGCGGTTGCGGTACGATACGATGGGACGGTGCGGGATCTGGGGTGGTGACAGGAGTGTGGCTCAGTCCCAGAGCTCGCCGGCGTGGGTCGCATCTAGACTGGTCAGGCTTTCGGCCATCCGGAGCGCCTCATAGTCGCTGAGGCCTGCGGCACCGTTGGCGATGGCTAGCGTCAGCGCGGCGATGGCCTTCTCCGAGGGGGTCGCAGTGGATGGAGGCGGTGAGGGGCTCCTGAGCTCCATCGCGGGCGGTCCCGTCGGAGGGGACATAGCATTCCCACTGTCGCAGGGCAACAGGGAAAGCGAGACGACCGAGGAGTTGTTTGAGGCGGAGTATGTGTGGGAGAGGGCGGGGGTGGAGAAGACACCCGATGAGGACAGCTCGGTGTCCAGATCGCCGTGTCCATCGTCGTCGGACGAGTAGGCGGAGGGGCCGGAAGAGCGGACGGGGGAAGAGCCGCGATCGCAGTGGACGGGGCCCACTGAGGAATCCGTTTCGTCCTCCGGGACGTCGACCTCCATCATGCTGAGCGACAACGCGCGTTTCTTGTACGGCGGACTGCGACAGGCAGCGGGGGAGACCGCCGGCTTGTCCACGATGAAGATGTCGTCGTCGTCATCGTCTGATTGCTCCGGCGCGGCAAACGCCTGCAGCGTGCGGTAGTAAGAAGTTGGGCGACGCCACGACCGGCGGGGCGAGGCGTGTGGGGGACGCATTGGGCCACCAGCTCTCTCGAAGTCCTGCATGCGGCGAAGGAGGCCCTCGCCGCCCTCTTCGACGCTGCGGTGCAGTTCGCCTAGCGCGTCGGCACGCATTCGGCGGGCCTCGTCCGACGTAATCTGGTCGCCTTCTCGCGGTGATGCATCCCGCGATAAACGCGCGCGCCTGGACCGAGCCTGGCGAGGCGTGGTCTTTTGGGGCTTCTGGGAGAAGAACTGGAACGCGGCGGACGAGGACGGGAGGCCGAGGGTGGGCATGGAGGTTTGCGGAGAAGTTCGCGGTGCGGGGGCGGGCTCGCCTAGAAAGCCCGCGCTCGAGCTGGAACCCGCTAGGCCGTGCTCAGGGCGGTCAGACTGGCGGGATGGGCAGGTGCACCAAGTGAGCTCGGATGACATCAGTGGGTGCGGGACGAGAGCGGGACGAACCTGGGAGTCGCGGCGTGCGCGCTTCCCTCTGCGCCATTGGTCAACGTCCCACTTTTCGGGTTGGTCATGGGCCAGAGCCTTGTAGGAGGGGGCGCGGGGTGCGGGCGCACGGGCCCGTTTTGTGGATATACGCGTGCCGTCGTCGGCCTGGCGGCGGGGGATGGGTGAGGAGGCGGAGAGAGATCGGCGACGATGGACGAGACGGTCAGGCGATTCCGGAGACATGGGTAGAGGGAGAGGCGGAAGGGGGTGCGTCGTGCGGGGAAGACGGCGGTAGTAGGAGAGGTGCTTGGTGGTGGAGGTAGAGGTCGAAGGAGGGTTGGGAGGCCGGGCGGAGAGACCGAGTGGCAGAGGGAGAGCGGCCTCCACCCGCGTCATATGTATGAGGACGGGCCGCCCGGGAGCAGCCACCCACCACTGGCGCTCTCCCCGGAACCCGCCCCAGGCCACCCGGGGCTCCGTCACGGTCCTGCCTCTGCCTGCGATCACTCACTGCATTCCTCCCGGTCCCGTCGTCGCCCTTGCCTACCGCCACCCTCGCCCGTCGGCATCTCCGCGGGCCCGCCCGTGACTGGGCTCCGATGAGTCCTTCATCTTGATTGTATGCATGTCTCTTTCCCCAAACACAGCGCCAGGGTGACACCCCGCCTGCATCGCCTGCACCCAACTGCATTCGGATGGCTCTCAGGTCCTCCGGATGCGGCTGAGGCTGCAGGACGCCCACATGCGCAGGCGGCTGCACTCGGCAGAAGCTGTTGCGACACATGTGGAAGTGCGCATCCGCCCGAAATTATGGTCTCCTCGTCCCGTATTGTCAGAAGCTTCAGTGCAGCTGTCATCCTCGCCCTTTTCTGCTGGGTTTTCATCGATGCTAGGCCGTCTGGGGGCGGAGGAATGGTCCGCAACTCATTCCCCTCCCTCTGCCTTCTGTGCGTCTCCCCCGCACTAACTTCCCTGGATCACCGCCTGCAGTTTGAGTCATTCCCGCCGCCCATTCTGGTCTGTCGACGATGTCGTCCGCTTGACTAAAATACGAGCACGAATCGTGGCACACACACTGCCGTCTCCTCGTTGTGGCGCACGACACACAAGCCTGCTCAAGCATATGTGCCCACTCAACGGAGCACCTCCACCCCGCACGGCAGAAGTCGTCCCCAGTGACCACCCCTGCCCCCGCTCTCGCTTCCCCGCGCGGATCGACCTTGGTCCGAGCTTTACCCCGTTCGCGACGGCGGTCGTGCGTTGGAGGGCATCGGCCCATCGTCGGTGAGCGGCTTCCCCGCAGGACGTACATATACCGCCCGAGGCGCCGCCCCTGGGCGACGCCCGACCATACCGCGCGCAGCACCCCGAAAGGCATCGCGTCACTCCTGCTCGCTGTCTCCGTCCCTTCGGCGACGGTCCTGTGAGATGGAAGGTCATGAGTCGACGTCCTGCCGAACCTATGCACGGGCATCCGGGCCCCAGCTCCGGGCGCGCTCTCATTCGGCCTCGCACCAGGACCTCTGCGGACTTTGACGAATGGAGCTGGAGCAATCAAGTCGGAGCTTGCCAGACGTACATTGACGTGAGTCTTCTGGCGTGGCTATACCGCCGCGGCCCTCAGGGTAACATGGCTGTATGTGACTGCCCTAGCGCTGACTCGCAACACGAGTCCCGTCGACTGCAGCGAGCTCAAACGTCCGCGCGAGTAAGCTCCGGCGTTGACTGGTTGACCATCAATGACGTCATCTGACTCCATTGGGAACAGTGTCGGATGAGACGCGGGGCGTCAAAGTGAAGATCAACGCCCATGCTTCCCCAGACAACACGAGCCCTCACTGGAAACACGTCTCTCTTCTCATCCCGTCTGATAACGGGCTCCGTGAGACTTGTCGTTAGGCTCCACGTATACCCGCTGAAGCTGGACTCTTGGACAGACCCCGACTACAAGCACCAAGTTCGGTCGAGTGTCCTTTGCATTGTAAAAAGAGCGACGCCTGAACGCCGATCATGACTTGCTGCAGATCGTGTTCTGGGAGCGCCACTTCGCGGACGTCTAGTGCGGCCAGAGACGTACGTACGCGAGGGCCGACCGCCTCTTCACCATGTAGCGCAGGCCAGAACGAAGTGGCGGACGGCCTACAGCCGATATCCCTGTGAAAAACACCCGGGTGCGTGTGCTCTCATCCGACCGACTGGCATAAGATGGCACATCGGTGGGTGCCTGTCCTGCGCGTTCCATCAGGAGTGCTGATCCGCCCCTTGCACTTGACCTACATCGCTCGCTGTTTCACAGGTGCGCTGCGGGTCCTTCTGAACGGGACGACGCAGGCGATCACGGAGACGGACCTCCACTGGAGCGGGATCCACGTCGAGGACTCCGGGCCCAGGATGACGCTCTGAGGCCGGACGTGCAAAGTGGCAAAGTGCGTTGCGTCCCACACGTGAAGTCGGGCCTATGAAAACGAGTGTATTTTGTACGCTGGTAAGTAGCTTTATCCGATCCAGCGAGATTGATCCACCAGTTGCTGCTGCTCAAGCGCCCCAGGGCCGTCACCGGCGGTAGCTGCCCCGATCATGCGCTGATATTAGCCTTCCGTTGTTGCCGGCCCGGCTTCTCGCTAGCCACATTGTCCAGGCTGGTGAATAAAACGGTGCTGCCTCTGTCCCAGATGGTTCCGAGCGAGACAGGAAAGAAGTAACATCACGGCAGCGGGTCATGTGCTGCTGCGGCGAGGGAGCGTCTGGTCCAAGCTGCCAAACAGATATGCACGCTGCCACTTCAAGCGAGGTTAGCGGTGCGCAGGTCGTCCTCCAAGGAACAAGCAGACGATGCTATCGGCTAAATGTTGTCCGGCGTCGAGAACACTGGCACGGATCGCCTGTTCAAGGCTTTTCCCATCGTCGAAGCCGTAGACCGCGTGGATGCAGGTGCGGCGGGAAGAGTTCTGTCTCCACCTGACAATGCATGTGTCTACAGCCGCCGGTCGCCCCCGCTGCTGGTCTTCTCGAGCTCAGAAGGTTACGGCGTCGACGAAACCGGCTGCAGGGCTGGCGCGAGGGCCGCTTGAACGAGCCCACGCTCGCGCGTCGATGTTCGAACCGACCATCAAGCATGTGGACCGCGTCACTCGAGTCCAGATCTGCGCTTCGATCGGCTGCTAGCCTTGCCTTCCTTGTCTCCGCCGCCCCGGGACGCGGGATGCGGTCGCCTGCCGCCGCCTGCACCAGCTCGGGTGCCCCGACTCGGAAGGGCTTCGCAGGAGGCACCGGCGCGCGACCCGCCGTCCTATAAGCCCCCGTCCCCGCCCCGCCCCGCGCCCCGCTCCTCCTCGGTGCTCGACTCCGCTCGACCTCCGCGCTCGACCTCCGCGCTCGACCTCGACACACTTCGGACCATGGCCGGCGCAAGCTCTCGCTCCTTCAAGCTCTCCCCCGCGGCGGTCGCGCTCGCGTGCGTGGTCGCCCTCCACGCCGGTTCTGGCGCCGTCGCGCAGACCGACTTGAGCGGCGCGTGTCTCTCTGGCAGCGGGTGCGTGTTCCTCTTCTCCGTCGCAAGTCTTCGGTGGGATGTCGTGGTGGGGAGCACGGCGAGGGCAGCAGCGGGCGCAGAGAGGGACGCCCAACGGAGATCGACGGTGGGAACGCGAACCGCGCGCTGACGTCCGCCCCCTTCGTGCTCGCACCACCGACGCGTCTGCAGATCGAACGCGACAGTGTGCTCGCCCGGCTTCACGTGCCTCGCCCTCAACGACAGTGAGCGCCCAGCCTTCCCCCTCCGCAGCCCTCTCACGCGCCCACCGTGCACGTCTATCACGACCCGCAGCCGCCGCTTGTGTGCCCAACGCCCCAGTCTCGACGGACTTCGCGGCGCTCACCGTCTCCAACTTCGCAACGGCGGCGGCGGCGGCTTCCCCTGCGGTCGCCAACGTCTCTCCGCTCTGGACGTCCGCACTCAGCAAGGTGCGTGTGCAGCGCGATTCTGAAGGCGGTCCGCACGCTCACGCGAGCCCTCGCGCGCCGTGGGACGGTGATCGGCAACGTCCAGGCGAAGGCGGCCATCGCGAACCTCTCCAACGCCGACAAGTCCAATCTCGGCACAGGTGCGTGCTCCATCCCGGGCGCGTGATCGGCGCGGGGGCTAATCCTGGCTCGTTTTGACTTCTAGGTCTCGGCCTTATCGGCGGTGCGGTTTCGTCTGCGGTTTGGGCGAGAGTTCGGGCTGACCGGACGCAGGCGCATGCATCGGCTCGACGCCCTCGATCAGCGGGATCCCCAACTTCAAGGGCTTGTGTCTCCAGGGTGCGTCCTGTCGCCGCTCGCGTCGCACACACTCCCTCAACGAATGCGTGCCGCCATGCAGACAGCCCGGTCGGTGTCCGCTACGTCGACGGCAACTCCGTGTTCCCTTCGTGAGTGTGTTGCCGCGCGTCGGTATGCTCAGCCGCTCAGACGACCTTTTCCCTCCTAGTGAACTCAATGCCGCCGCCACGTGAGATTATTGCAGGCTGCCGCGCATGGTCTTCTGACGACTCAACCGCATATACGCAGCTTCAACCGGACTCTCATTCGCCAGCGCGGCGAGGCCATGGGCGCCGAGTTCCGTGGCAAGGGCGTCCACGTCGCCCTGGCTCCCATGATGTGCGTTTCTTGTCAGTCGTCCAGCGCAGCCCGTACTAAGGATGCGTGTAGGAACATGATGCGCGCTCCAGCGGGCGGTCGCGTGTGGGAGGGGTACGATTCTCGCCAGAGTAATCTCTGCGCACGAGAGACTGACGAAGGCTCTCGACAGTGCTGGTGCCGATCCTTACTTGACCGGCGAAGTTGCGTACGAGATGATTATGGGCATTCAGTCGCAGGGTGTCCAGGCGTGCGCGAAGCACTGGCTCAACAAGTCAGTGCGCTTTCGTATCCTATGGACAGGTTGCTCACCCCGTCCTCACAGCGAGCAGGAGCACTTCCGCATGTCGAGTTCGTCTATCGTCGACGATCGCACTGTAGGAACTCTTCCACTTTGATGGTGCGACACGTTCTCACACATCACGTCCAGCAACACGAGATCTACATGCATCCTGTGAGTCAACAACGAGGACATCAGTCGAGTCCAGTACACTGAAGTCGGGTGCAGTTCGTTCGCAGCATGCAGGCAAATGTTGCCTCAGTGATGTGCAGTTACAGTGCGTAGACTGCCACTGACCTAGGTGTGAACGACTTACCGACATTCAGATGCATTGTAGACCAAAGTGCGCGTTTATTGAGGGGTCATTGAACTAGTACTCACGACACGTGCATCTCTCAGTCAACGGGACCTATGCTTGCGAGAACGACTACGCCATCAACACCCTCCTCAAGGGCGAGCTCGGCTTCCAAGGATGTAGGTCCCCGGAAGTTTGGCACTGTTCACATCAGGACTCATTTGTTTCCCAGATGTCATGTCGGACTGGTATGCCACCCACTCAACCGCCCCCTCCGCCAATGGTGGTCTCGACGTAAGTGGGCTCGGGTTCCCATAAACAATCACTTGCTTACCATACCCTAGATGACGATGCCGGGTGACAAATACTTCGCCGCATTCTCCTCGTGAGCAGATTTATCGCTACAGCAACGTCCGTCCCATTCATGCGTTCGCAGGTACTTTGGGAGCGATCTCGTCAACGCTGTCTCCGAGAGTGATGTCCCCAGTCCCGTCTCGATGTCAGTAGACAGCGCAGCTCTCCATTGTCGCCTCCAACTAACATGCGCTCGGACAGGACATGGCGACGCGCATCCTCGCCGCCTGGTACCTCCTCGGCCAGGACTCGGGGTACCCCGACACCAACTTCAACTCCTGGCTCAGCTTCCTCGGCTCGCACGTCGACGTCCAGGCCGACCACAAGGAGTGCGCTTATCCTCTCGTTCATTCGCATACACACTTTAAACTCCTGTTTTGGTCCACCCAGCCTGATCCGCACGATCGGCTCCGCATCCGCGGTGCTGCTCAAGAACTCGGGCAACGTCCTCCCGCTGAACGCGCCCAAGACGATGGCCGTCGTCGGCAGCGGCGCGCGCCCCGCAATCCTCGGCCCGAACGAGTGCCTCGACCGGAGCTGCAACGACGGGGTGCTCGCCGTCGGCTGGGGCAGCGGCACCGCCAACTTCCCGTACTTGGTCGCGGTGAGTGCACAACGGTCCGACGGATGGCGGCGCATGACGCTGATGGCCGACGGCGCGCCCCAGCCCCAAGACCCGATCGCGGACCGCGCGAAGGCGCAGAACACGTCCGTCGACTGGTGGACGTTTGACAACGACGCCGGGGCGATCGCGAATGTGGCGAAGGGCAAGAACGTCGCGCTCGTGTTCATCACCGCGGACAGCGGGTCAGTGGTCTGCGTGTCTGCGCCCCCGTTTGCTCTCTGATGGAGCGCTGGCAGTGAGGACCAATACACCGTCGAAGGCAACGAAGGTGACCGCAACGACCTCAAGGCGTGGCACAGCGGTGTAAGTAGTTTCGTTCGGCCACGCGAGTTCGAGGCAGAGTGCTCACCGGGATGGATAGGACGCGGTGGTTGAAGCCGTTGCTGCGGTTTGCAACAACACCATCGTCATCGTGAACAGCGTAGGGCCCATTATCATGGAACCCTGGGTTGAGAACCCGAACGTGACCGGTATAGTAAGGGTCGATTATCGCGCGCCTTACCACCGACAACTGACACTGCGGCGTAGATCTGGGAGGGCATCCCAGGACAAGAGGTCGGTAACGCGATCACCGACATCCTCTATGGTGACGTCAACCCAAGGTAAGCAGACAGAATGCCCTCGCTCACAATCAGTATCAGTCACTAAGACACCGTCTCCTATGCAGTGGGCGCATCCCCTTCACGATCGCGAAGGCCGAGACCGACTACTCCGCTCGCGTGATCTACACCGGCTCTGGCACTGTCCAAATCCCCTACACCGAGGGCCTCCTCGTTGACTACCGTCATTTCGACACCGTGAGTTCCCGCTCTGCGCTTGTATTGTCGCCAATGATTGAATGGGCTGGACCTGCAGAACAACATCGAGCCCCGCTTTGAGTTCGGCTTTGGCCTCTCCTACACCACCTTCTCCTACTCCGGTCTCAAGGTGAGCGGCTCCACCGCCGGCGGCGCCCGCCAAGCTCTCGGCCCCGGCTCGTCTCTCGACCCATGGTACGCCTCGTCCCCACCCTCCCTCCTGCTTACTCGCTCAGATGACAACTCGACAACTCGCTCGCCCGTCGCACAGGCTCCACGACCCCGTCGTCTCCGTCACCTTCACGCTCACCAACACCGGCGCGAAGGCGGGGACCGAGGTCCCGCAGCTGTACACCTCCCCGCCCGCGTCCGCGCGCTCGCCGCCGATGAACCTCAAGGGCTTCGACGCCGTCTTCCTCGCGCCGGGCGAGAGCAAGACGGTCACGTTCGAGCTCTCGCGCTACGACTTCTCCGTCTGGGATGTCGTCTCCCAGAGCTGGCAGGTCGCGCCGGGCTCGACCGGGCTCTCCGTCGGCGCGAGCAGCCGCGACATTAAGCTCAAGGGGAGCATCGTCAACTGAGCGCTGCTGGGGATCCGAGGAGCTGCTTGGGTTTGAAAAGAACTCGATCTCATTCGAACAGTAACAGGGCTTTTTGTGCCCTGCCTTGGCTGTATGATGCCGATGTTTTGCTATGGACGCGGACTTGTACGTCTTCGACGAATACGCACATTCTCTGAACTTCAGACTGTGTACTCTTTTTCTTGTATACTCTCCTTTATCATATACCCTTCTTTTAGCTTGCATGTGTCTATACTGTCTTTGCTGCACCTCGCCAACGGAGCTCGAGAGCGAAAGGAAACAAATGCGATTCTCGACAACGAAAACTAGTGTGGGCAGCCAGAGACAGCACGACAACGGACACGTCGGATCACAATCAACGACAAAAACACCACCGATCCATACCAGTCCGTCAATCCGTGCTCAGTTGTCCGTCCCGTCCAATGTCAGACGGGGTATAATCTAACGTACACCGCACCACGCCAGTCACAGCACACGCATCGCGATCACCATCGCCGCCCATTCGTTCAGACCCCAACCTCCGACTTGCTCTTGCCCCCCGTCAGCTGCCGGACGAGGAACATGCCCCGGCCCTCCCCGCCCTCGCTCTTCGTGCGCGACGCGTACCCGATCGCCGACTTCGGGCGCGGGAAGCGCCCCGCGCCCGACCGCGGGCCGTCGTGCATCTTCGTCGGGCTCGACGCGAGCTGCCGGGTGGGGCTGATCCCCCCACCCGTGAGCTGGCGCATGAGCCCCGCGTCGCCGCCGCCGAGGCCGGTGAACTGGCGGGCGAGCGTGGTCGTGCCGGTGAACTGCGGCGTGACGCCGCCGCCGCCGCCGCCGAGGGACTTGTTGCTGGCGTGGTGTGAGGGCGCAGCGGGGGTACTCCGCGAGGGCGAGGGCGAGTTCTGGCGGTTCGTGGGGAGGACGAGCTGCGCGCTGCGTCAGAGACCGTCCGGGAGCCGGTAGTGAGGAACGGAAGGCTCACCAGACACTCGCGGCACCACACGCCGCCGTCCTTGTCCGTCTTCGCGGCGCTGTCGAGCTTCTTGCCGCACCCGGACTTGCCGTCCTCCTTCCGCCGGCCCTTCGCCTCCTTGCCTCCGCAGACGAGACATGCGGCGTGCCACCGCGAGCCCTGCGGGCCGGGGACCACGCCCCGCTCCATGGGGGACACTGACTTGTGGCAGCCGGGGCACGCGCCCGAGCCCCCGAAGCGCGGGGTGGGGAACGCGAACGATTGTTGTGTGGGAGGCGCGGTCTTCGGCGAGGCCTCGACGCGGCTCGTGCTTGCGTGATATGTCGCAGTGGAGGTCTTTGAAGGAGGTTGGCGAAGTGGCGCAGACCGAGGCGTTTGGACTGGATAAGATCGCACGATAGTCTTCTCTGGCGGAGCGCACTGCACGGCAATCGTTAGCGAATGATGGGCCCCCCACGGTCAGAAGGACGTACATTGGGATGACAGACGCCAGATGGTCCACGGACGAAGACTGCACGACCACCGTCGGTGTCCTCGAACGGCCGATGGCACACTGTGCAACGGAAGCAAGACGTATGGTATGTCTTCGGCGAGGCCCCAGAGCTCGGAGAGCCGTCAGGGACCGTCACGAACTTCCCGCCATCCCTTCTGCTAAATAGAGGCAGGTTGCACTTCGCACAGCGAGAGTCCGCTGGGAGGGGAGCAGGGATGTTGATGTCGCGAGGGAGCGCGCGAGACTTGGGAGTAGGAGTGGTCGCCTCGGACTTGGCGGGGCTAATATCGCTAGACGCGCGAGAGGCTTTGTCGGCCTCTGCTTTACCACGACGAGACGGAGGGCTGAGAGAAGGGGGGGTAGAGGGTCCGCTTGAGTGTGAGTGGGCGTCAGAGAGGTCGGCGGTTAGATCGGGGGTGGCAGGAACGGAGTAATACTCAGTAGAACCGGATGTCGATGAACCAGTCCTGAGCAAATCCAGACCGAGTCCATATGGATCGTCGCGAGTGTGTCCAGGACTTGTTAGTCCTCGGGTGAGACGGGGGATACGTGACATCGATCCGCTTCCAGTGAACTCAGAGGATATGCTTGACATGGACGTATCGGAGCTGAGGTCGATCAAGTCAGCAGTGGGGACCTTCTCGCCCAGTAGAGACTCGACTTCCGCATCCCCAGTGCGATCCTTCCTGAGCGTGAACTTGGTGGCCTCCACCGCCGCCTCATTCCGGCCATGGCCGGTGATGTTACGATGGATTGCAGTTCTTCCGGTATCGTCCTGTTGAATGCGGCTAGGAGAAGAGAAAACGGTGCTTTCAATAGATGAGAGGTCATCGTATGTGGACTGCGAAAGAGCTCCACTGGAACGCGGGCGGGACCGTGAACGACGCTCTCGACGTGTCGGGGTCGTTGGCTGTGATGGAACCGTTGACTTGCCAGGAGACGAGGGGTGGCTAGGAGAGGATTGTCTGAGGAACCGCTGCTTCATCTCCTCAATAGCATCCGCGGTTGGCTGTTTCGATGCAGGGCTTCCGTAGCGCGGGCTTCCCGTACCAGTTATTTTTGACGATATTGGCGACCCGTCATTGCTTTCGAGCTCGGGGGATCGAAGCCTGTTGTAAGAGCGACGCGAAACGGGACTGCCGTCACCCGCAAAACTGCGATCGGGGCTGTCGAGTCGTGCCAAAGCCTCCCTCAGAGCGGGCGAACCAGGGCTGACTGCAGAGTGTGCTCTCGCTCTCGCAGCCAGTCGATCGGGTGTAGGACTGGACTGGACAGTGGAGTAACGCTTGCTAAGAGGGCTTTGCGTGCTTGGGGGGGAGGTGGGAATCTGGGTGGAAGGGCTGGAACCGTAGTTCAGAAAGCGCGAACTGCGTACGTCTTTGGCAGGTGTGGTCTCTCTGCTCTTGATACCCAGCCTCATCTCCAATTCCTCCAACGCTGGACTACCCTCGCGGCTCTTACTCACGCGCTTCGTGCCGCCCAGGTTGTTCCGCTCCTCGAACGGCTCCACATTGGCGGTCTTGCGCGGGGTGTTTCCTGTCGGCCGTCTGAGGCAAGTGTCAAAGCAGTCGGCGCAGCTCGGTCGTCCGAGGAGGTCCACCATTGGCCGATCGCTTATGTTCTTGAAACATCCTTCGCAGCAGAAGCAGCGCTTGTGCCAAACCTTGCCACTAGCCTCTACGAAACCGCCTTCGCTCTTGAGAATGAGGACGGCCTTGTCACAGGCAGGACAGTCGCCTTTGGAGCCACCGTTGGCGGTGAAGCACGGACGGCAAAGGAAGCGGGATCCGGAACCAACGTCGTCAATAGGTAAGCCAGGGCGAATTGAAGAGGGGTCGGGATATATGGTAGCGTCAGGCGGGAATGGGTCGGAGCAGATGGCACAGATGAAGGTGGAGAGGGATTCCTTGGACTGCAATACAGAGCCGTAGGCTTTCGCAAGGCGTGACCCGCTGTTCAGGTTGGGTAGAATGCCCTCCTCCGGTTTGACGTCCGACGCAATGTCATCGTCGTAGGGCGCACTTGTTGAGTGCTTGAGAGGTGAGGGTGGGCGGTAAGCGGCGTTGGTCGTATTGATCCGGTCCGAGACTCGTTTGTCCAACGATACCGCTAGCGGCTTTTGGTTCGTCGGGCGCGGGAATCGTTTGGTAGGGGAGGTAGAGGGGGCGGGGGCAGGGGTGGAGGCAACACTTGAACTAGGGTCTTGTCCGGTGAAGTTTCGCTGGAGAGTTTGGATGTTCTTGGTGGGAGACCTATCCCGAGTCACGTAGGTCTTGGACCAAGGATCCTGGGGCTTCTGGCCATCCTCCTGAGACCACTTTACAACGGGGGCTACATGTGGGTCAGAAAGCGAATCAGGGACGAGAGAGTTCGCAAACGTACCAACGGATGTGCCGCCGCATTTACAACGGGGACCAACTACGATATCACCACATCTTCTGCAGAATCCCATATGTGTCTTGAAGGAGCGTGGAGAGAGGAGTCTGGAGGGTAAGGGAGGGGTCGCAAGGAGGTGCGCAGTTGGGAGGCAGCTGAGGCGAAACTCTCCAAACAGGCAACTCCATCCGAACCAAACCGCGTCGCGATCACGTGCCATTCGCGTGGTACAACAGTGGCCCTGGGCGCTCGCCGGCATATGTCTAGACGCTGAAAGCCGCAAGTAACGTGAGAGCGCATCAGAGGAAAGGACAACTCTCGCCTTATCTTTCTTGTTCTCTGGTACAAGTGTCGAGGTCAAGGCAAGATGACAAACCTCGCCCACCGCTCAACTCCCATCGCAGGCTCGAAAGATGACGGCGAGCGTTTCATCAGCATCTACGCCGGCAAGCTGTTCGACTCGCATTCCCAGCAGCTCCTACCTTGTCGTGTTGTGAGCATTTCTCGGGACTCTGGGCTCGTGGCCGACGTCCAGGAATGGGGCCCAGAAGACGTACGCGGCCTTGATTTTGCCAACGACGCCAGCTTGGTCGATCTCCGTGAGGCTACGGTCCTTCCGGGCTTCGTCGACACCCACGTTCACAGTGCGCCTCTTTCATGCCTGAGCAGTTCTGCTCCAATCGTCCCAGGTTATGCGTGTGGTCCGGCGCGTGCGCTGACAGAGCCTCGTAGTGTTCTTGCACCCGTACGCCGAAGTTTCCTGGGAGAACCAACTCACACAAGAGTCTCTCGTCGAGCGCACCGTGCGTGCGACGGTGCACGCGAAACGAACCTTGATGGCTGGTTACACAACTGTCAGGTATGCGATCTCCGCCAGGGCTAAATTGTGCATCTTGACCGAGTTGAACAGAGACTTGGGAACCGAGGGTGCCGAGGACGCCGACGTCCAGCTGAGGAAGTGCATGTCTGGCCCGAACGCGTTGATCCCAGGGCCGCGATACTTTTGCGCGAACCGCGCGATCATCTGCAGCGGGTACTATGGTAATCTCTTTTGTGCGAGCGCCACCATCCGAGAACTTACGGGCCTGATTACAGGCCCCAAGAGTCAGTTGCACTACCACCAAGACGGTGTCGATTGTGTCACAGGCGCCGAGTTTGTCGACGGCGAGGTGGAATGCGTCAAGGCCGTGCGCAAACAGATTGGAGCAGGCGCTGACTGGGTCAAGGTAACGTCTCTAGTAGTACCACCGACCTGTCCGCTGATCCCAACCGCACTCGAACCAGATCTACGCAGGTTCGTAATTCCGCCCCGTTGACGCTCCGTCTTCAAGTCCACTCACACCCTTCCAGACTACAGACCGCGCACGCGCATGGCCGACGTCTCGACCGCCACACCCGCCAAAGCGGTTCGGACCTTCTCCCCACCCGAGCTCGCCGCACTCATCACCACCGCCCGCGGACTCGGCGTCCGCGTCGCCGCGCACGTCCAAACCTGGCGCCTCGACCTCCTCCCCGAGAACGGCGGCGTCGACACGCTCGAGCACGGCGCCGACCTCCCCGCCGATCTCCTCCCCGCCGTCGCCGCCTCGCGCGTGATCTGGGTCCCGACGCTCTCCGTCTTCTACACCATCGACACCGCGCGCGCGCCCGGGGGCCTGTGGGACCGCGCCGCGAAGAACTTCCAGGCCGCGCTCAAGGCCGGGGTGACGCGCATCGCGTGTGGGGGCGACACGGGCCCCTTCCCGCACGGGGAGAACGCGCTCGAGATGAAGCTCATGGTGCGCCTCGGGGCGCCGTGGCGGAGCGTGCTCCGGTGGGCGACGCTCGGCGGGTGGGAGGCCGTGCGGAGCGTCGAGTGGGAGGGTGCGTTGGGAGAGGCGCGGATCGCGCGCCTGGGGGAGATGCGCGAGGACGCACGTGTGGTGGGGGACAACGAAGTGCCGTTTGGTGCTCTGCGGCGCGGGTTTGCGGCGGACATCGTGGCGACTGTGGGGGATTTGGAGACGAACTTCGCGCGAGCGGTGGACAAGGATAACATCGTGTTTGTCATGAAAGGAGGCAAGATAGTGAAAATGAACGGCAGTCCGCTTGTGTAGTACATGGGATCAATCTCACGAGTCTCTGAACCTGTTACGAACAAGACAGTTCTGCAGTCTTAGCGCACCTCAAAGGACAAAATATGTATCAGCGCTCACCTGTAATATGCTAACATAGGCTGAGGAGTAAAGTAAGAACTGCGGAAGTATGTAGCGAGGTCCGTCATCACCCGGTGCGGGCCCCCGCGGGTGTTATCAACTTGACGGGTGTTATTGGAAGTTGACACAACGCAGCGCGAGGAGATAACCCTTTGCGCATGGTGCGTCGCGTGGAGCCGCCTCCGACGTCAACGCGAGGGAGTGCCTGCATCAGATACGGGATCGAGACAAACGTATCTCCTTCAACATCAGGATGTCAGGACAAGGCAGGACAGGCCATCTATCGAGCAGAAGACAGGCTCTATGACCGGCACAGGGGAAGGTGCCGCGCCCGCCAGTATGCAGTCCTCGCTTCTCCGAAGGCCGTCGCACAGAAGCAGCTGTAAGCTAGCATTAGCTTGACGTCATTCGTGCATGTCCAGGCACGACACGCACACGACCACAAAGGCGCCTGGCTGTTGGCTCGATGCGCTCTTGAAGGACGTTGAAGTAACCTTCGTGCTGTCTTCTACCGTGGCCCAAGCAAAACCGCTCCAATAAGGTCCTCAGGTGTGCAGACCACGGAGAAGTAGCGATGTAGGTCCCTAGTAAGGTCGTTTATGAGCTGCAGTCGCGAATACAGAATCTGACTCACAGGAAGGTTGCTCGGCGTGGAGCATAAGGCAGTCGAGGGCCGAGCATATAGCAGAGGCCACTGATAGCGCAAGTGGTTCTCTACAGCCTGAGAAGCGCTTGGAAAGTATCATAAACATGACGTCGCACAGGAATACCCACGCTTCGGCGTGCAATGCACCCTGGGGGTGCATGGGTTTGGCGCAAGTGTTGATGTAAAGTGCAAAAGCAGCTGCAAAAGGTCAGGCGAGGTCGCTTCCATCACTCAATAACTTACCGGCGAATAGTAAGTGCTCAGGATCTGCGCTTCCTGCCATCTTCCATATGAAGTGGTCTTCACAGAGATCCCGTACAAGTTGAGCTACACGTTGATCCGCAAATTGCTGAGCCACGGCGACCAATGTAACGATTGTATCACAGACGAAGAGCCACACTGGCGAGCTGATTTCGGCGGTGCGGAGCAAATGAACCGTAGTTTTAAGGAAAGTCACGAGGGTGTCGGGCGATGACAGGTCTTGGAAGCCTTTGAGCCAGAGCAGGGTCATAACTTGGCCAGTCTGTCTGACGCTTCTCAGCGTCACCTCCGAGATACCATCTTGACTATGGGCGCTGTAGAATCATCTCAACACCGGACATGCACCATGATACAATAGAGTCCGAACTCACGGCAGTCGTAAGTGTAGCGCTTTGGGACGTCAGCAACATTGCACTTCCTTCCATCAAGCATTACTCACAGCGGCTGAGACTGAGAGGACGTTCAGTTGTTGAGTCATGACTCATGGGCTTGAGCAGTGATATGGCTTCAACCAGTAATTCTTTGACTACAAGAAATTAGCGTATGCGTGCATACCGCATTGAGGTCACTCACTTTGGTACTCGATCCATTCTTCCGACAGTGTTTCGAATATGTCCAATAGCATAAAACACAGGTACGGCATGGACGTTTTCTGGAGGATATCTGCTTTCAAAAGCACTACAAAAATCCATAGCACTTTGTAGTTGACGATGAAGATGCATGTGTCATCTATCGTCTTCTGATCGTCTTCGATCGAAGTATGGAACTTCTGCAGCAGTCGCTATATCGTACATATTAGCGTAGCGTGGAGTATATCGATGGCTGAGCTTACTATCATAACCGATAAGGCGGCGTGCGGCACTAGTTGTAGCGAGCTCACCAAGTCGACGTCCTGGACGTCCATGAAATGACAAGGAATAGGCATGTCAAGTTGATTGAAGTAGGTCAAAGTCTATGAAATCGTGGTGAATACATTGGTATGAAAGTCCATGAGATGAAGCACCTACCAAGCAATCCACGATTTCCGACTCATGAAGACGAACGTCGTCCCAGTTGATCCAAGCCCAGGGCAAAGTGGGACCCCATCTCACTAGAACCACCAAGGCCACATCCACGCAAGAAACTGCAGAGGCTTCGAACCTCGGTCCATGGTTTTGGAGGTGCAGCACGTTTTTGATTACATCTAGGAACATCCTCTAGTATGTGGTCGACAAGACAAGCTTGGATTGGTGCCGTCGAGCTGTAAATCCACCGCCTGGCATCATAATGAGCGAGGAAGCAGTACAGCATCGTGAGGAGCACGCACCGCATATAATGCGACGATCATAGCATCAGTCGTCCTGCTGGTATTATTGCGCTCGTGGTCGTACAAGGAAACTCCTCCGTGATTTGCTTGATCCGGGCAATGAGGGCATGGGCTAGCGACTTCAGCTCTTGCCTGTAAAGAGTTGAACAAGATTAAGATACACCTAGGGAGTGTGGGCCTACTTGTTGACATGTATGTGTTCTTTGGCCAAACGAGGCGCCATCACATGCATACCAAATAGGAGGATTGAAGCGAGACGGGTAGCAGCAGGCGAGCAGTACCGAGAGTCCAGTATATCGACGATGGCTCCCCATCTGTCTGCGATTGCAGTCGGTAAGTGTGCACGATGCAAGACATTCCAGGGCTCACCTGGTAACTGAACGGCGGCTCGCAGTGTGTCTTCGTCTTTTTGAGCCCGTACTGCGTCGGGGTCGGTGCCATTCGAAACCTGAATGCCATAAAAACCTCCTGCCACGGCGACGACGACTTGGCCTATCCGCGCGACAACGACATCGGCCCAGCAAACTATGATTCCGGCACTACAGACGAGGTCCGATTCTTTTGCAGCGATGCCTCGGAAAAGCGTCCGATACTCGAAGAGCAGCTTCATGAAGGGAGCGGAAACTAGCGACATTTGTCAGTTGGTGTGAGCTGTAGGGGGCTGGTGAGGTTCGTACGTAGGTCGGCGAGGATTTCGTAGTGTTCGGACGAGACATCTTCGTGCGGGCCATGGAGCTCAGCGAGAAAGGATAGCAGGTCGGAGGAGACTTCACGTATGCTTTCATGAGTGCTTTGGTCCTTCACCTAGGGCATGAGTAGCGTACGGAGATACTAGATGCTCACTAACATGTTCAACAGCGCATATATCCATGTCTTCAAGTATGCTCAGTGCGCGGCGTGCTCGGTGAAGCAGGCATGGTGGGGAGGATTTGGAACATTGAGGAGTATTGCCATCAGTTGGCTTGGACACTACCTCGATGAAATCCATTGCATCCTGTTGAGTGGGGGGCCGTCATCGTCATACTCTGTATCGCTTGAGGTCGACATGAGAGCGGAAGCAGCAGGGTGACGGAGAGGTGGAGAGAGCGGGTCTGAGCGCGCGTCCGACTTCGACTTTCCGGAAGCCCGGAGCCGAGTAGCAGCGGGGAACACACGGACAAGAAAGGGGCAGGTTATACAAGTCAGAGGCCTGGTACATCTTTGAGCAGGTTGGTGATGTCTGTTTTACATTCGAGCTCCTCGTGCGACGTCGAGAACAGAGACTCAAACGCCGCGCTCGCCTCTGCCGTCTGGAACCAGTCAGACACGCGACTATAAGTGGGTGAATGAGCCTCACCTCTCTGCTACAATACACGTAGTCCTCCCACCCCTCATCCTCCTCGGAGTGTATCATGGTCAACATCTCTCTTCGGACCTGAGTCATGCCTCCTTGGAACTGTAACCCTGGCCCTTCGCCCGTTTTCCGGACCGCGACTTGCACCTCCTTAGCGTCGCCAGCCAGCTTCTTCTCCTTCTTTGGCACGGGAATGGGGGCCGGCTCATCTGGATCTGGAGGAGGCCCGTCGTCTTCGTCCGAGTCATCTCCTCGTGTGGGTCGGTGCTTCCGTAGATGCATGTCCATATAAGTCAGAGTAGGACGGAACTGGTGTGTCTCGCTTATTGGGTGAAGGTGCAATCTCCCTATGAAGGGCTTTAACTCTAGACTGGGGGCATCAACAGTAAAAGGAACCCACCTTCTCGTAGGACCCCGAGCACGTAACGGCCAATCTGCGGAACCTGTTCACTCCTCACCCGCACCTCCGACAACCTTGGCGTCTCTCCATCCCTCTGCTTCACCTTCGCCTGCTCCTGGTTCTTCTCCTTGTCATCTTCACTCTCGCCGCGCCGAGGTCTTTAGACCGCTCAGTGTTCCATACTTCTGGACGCCTGTCCACCGGGACGTGCACTTCGATCCGCTTGGCTTTCGGCTTGACACGGGAGCGGATGTACTTTCCACTGGCTGCCGCAGATGGGGGTACCTCCAGAGGTCGTGTGAGAAGAGGGAACTGGTGCAGCTGCAGATTGGGTTCGAGTGCATTGGTGAGGTGAATGGGAATCACGGAGACCAGGCGGTCTTCGACGTCCATCGGCGCGTCCATGGTGGCGGGCCGGAATGAGGGCGACACGAGCGCGTAAATTTCCTCGGCTCAGCCCTGAGAGGCGCGAAGTTTCTCTCCTCAATCTAGTGCACTTGACACATCGGTGTTCGTCTTCCTTGTGCATCATGACACCAAAGCGGGACCTTCGACATCTCATACTACTTCAATCACACTTGGGAAACGGAAGCGTCGAACCTCACTCGTGATCCACCTCTCCTCTCCTTCACCGAGTTACGAGCCCGATCCCACTCACACCGAGTCCGAGTTCGATCCGGGTCAATTCTCAGATGCATCGGCTCCTTCCATGAATGTCGGAACGATTTCAAGACGTAACGAAAGCCGCCAGTACACTTGCTCCTTCGAGGGGTGCACGAAATCGTACAAGAAGCCATCTAGATTAGAGGAGCATGAGAGGTCTCATACGGGCACTGTGAGTATTATTATCGTATGTCCATTGTCTTCAAGCTCGGACCAAATCCATAGCGCCGTATACGTGTTCGGCCTGCAACAAATCGTATCTACGAGAATCCCATCTTCAGGCACATGCTCGAGTACATCTACCAGACTCTGCCAGGCCATTCGCGTGCGAGCATGAAGGCTGTGGCAAGAGGTTTTGGACGTCGCAGCACCTTCGTGTACACACCGAGCAGCATCGCGGTGAGAAAGCGTTCAAAGTAGGTATTACTTGCGAGGATCTCCACAGGTGCTAACATTCGCATTTTAGTGCACAGAGCAGGGTTGTGACCAAGCATTCGCAAAGCATCACCAGCTGCGCGATCACGTTGCTTCCGTGCATTCGCCTCCGGGTACAAAACCTTACAAGTGTACCCATTCGGGATGTACCAAATCGTTCGCCACTAACCAGAAGCTAAACGGACATCAGAAGACGCACGACGGTATGCCCGCAACCACCTTCCATCATTTCGGCACGGCGCTTAAACCATATCGATCCTATAGACAAGCGATACACATGCACCCACCAGTCGTGTCTCCCCGCCTCTGGGACGGACCCCACGTACTACGCGACGTGGTCCGCCCTGCAACACCACACCCGCACCGTACACCCCCCTACCTGCCCGTACCCGTCCTGCAACGGCAAAACCTTCAGCCAACAAAAGGGCCTCCGCGCGCACCTCAAGATCCACGCCCAGCGCGACCAAGAAGCTGCCCTCGATGCCGTCGCGCACTCCGGCGACGAAGACGAAGACGGCGACGACGCCCCGCCCACGCAAGAAGCGGCGCGGCGGCGAAGTGGGCCGCGACTGGGTCTGCGACGTCGAAGGGTGCACGAAGGACTTCAAGTCGGTACGTGCTTCACCCCAGCGCCCCCTTCCCCATTCCCCATTCCGTGGCTCACGCCGATGTCCCGCCTCGCCTCGGCCCGCAGAAAAAGGCCCTCGCGACTCACGACGCCGTCGCGCACCTCAAGCGTCGCGACTTCGTGTGCCCGCACGCCGCCTGCGCGCGCGCGTTCGGCTACAAGCACCTCCTCCAGCGACACCTCGCCAAGCTGCACGCCCCGTCGCCCAACGCCGGGACGGAGGCGGAGGAGGAGGCGATCGCCACCGCGGCCGAGGCGGACACGGAGGCGGATGCCGAGACGGGGATCGACTTGCTCACCGGGAAGGCGTACGCATCGCGCGCTGCGCAGGCCCACAAGCTGCGCTGCCCTCATCCGCACCTCCCGCCGCTGCTGTCACCCACCTCAGCCACAGCCACAGCCGGCGGCTCGCCTCGCCTCGACGAGCCCGCGAAGGCTAGCCTGGAGGAGGCGGGGACGGCTGGCGCGAGGAAGGCGATCGCGTGCCAGTACATGTTCAGCCGCGCGTACGATCTGCATCGACACTTGCGTGCGGAGCACAGCGTAATCGTTGAGCGAGAGCGGGTCGAAGTCTGGGTTCGGCGCGAAAAGGAGGGCAAGTCTTAGGACGCTCGTTCATCTAGTATTGGTTGGCTACAACGTATCGACGCCATCCACTCTGGACACACTCGTTTTTCAATATGCTCCAAGTCCAGCGGCAGCGTCTAGGTTCGTGTCCCCAGGGCGGATCCCGCACTAAGCTACTTACGATGTACAAGACGGGCTAAATAATAGTAGTAATTGTAGTGCGAGGAGATTATATAGTACGCGATGCATGCATGCACGATCGGATGCCGGAGGGAGCCAGGGTCTCTACGTATGAGGTACGTCGTGAAGGGGGCCCATCGTCCAGGTGAGGGCAATGGCTACAAAATACAGCAGGGGGAGGTATAGTTTGACAAGTCCATCGTTCCCGAGGGACGGAGTGCAAGTGCAGAAGGCCTAATGCGAAAGCAGGAAGGGAGAGCGAGCGAGCGCATAACGGATTCGCAAGAACGGCGGTCGTGATCGGCTGGACGGCGCTATGACGAGACGGCGATAGCTTCAGTATCCTGAATGTGGTGCGGTACGCTCGCATAGGAACATTTCATCCTCCTTGCGGCCGAGGAAGAACACCTCGTCGACGTTTTCGTCGTTACCCTCGTTAGACAGTATGAACTCCGCGCGGCCAGGTGATTTCGACGGTCCGATGCTCTGCTTCTTGCGGGGGACAACACCATTGCGCCCGATTGAGGAAGCGAGGCGGCGACGTCCGACTTGCCAACCGGCGTTCCGATTTTCCAAACGAAAGGTCCGCGACGGTTCATGCTTGACAAAGGAGGGTGAAAATGAGGCAGGCTGGTCCGAGAGTGGTCGGCGGGCTTGAGGAGTGCATCGCCGAAATCGACGACCTCGAGACCCCCTTGCCGCATCGCCACAAGGACAGCACGATCCTTCACGTCGAAAGCCTCGAGGCGCTTGACGTCGCCGAGACGGCCACTGGCGGGCGAGCCCTCAGCCTCGTCGGTGCTCCACATGAAGCGGCCCTTGAGAACCGAGCGCCCACGGGAGTCGACGATCGTGGTGCTGTGACCGCCACGGGACGAGTAGAACAGCGCGGGAGGACCAAAGTGTTTCGGCTGGGAGAGGAGAGACTGAGGCGAAAGGAGTGGTTTCGACGAATCCGGCGTGGGGACAGCAGGCACAGCAGCGACGGGAGGAGAAGAGCGGAAAGGGTGTGTAGGGTCTACGCATTGCAGGCGCAGATCTTTCAGAAGAGTGTAGTCGGCATCCTCTTCCCTGCGAACAGGCAGGTCTGGTGGAAGCAGGCCGTCCCGATACCATGCCTGCATGAGGGAGGCTTTCCATGGACCTACGTAACCTTGTCAGCAAATTGCCTTGATCAAAGTACCAGCATGGTACTCACCATGAATAACGCCTTGGGGTCGCGGTAGAACCATCTGGACGGCGGCGCAGGTGTCGGAACTGGAAGGCCCGGGGGCGAAAACTGGACCTGGGACAGATCCACGTTGGCAGTACCATCAACCTCCGGCTCATACTGGCTCCGGTATTCAATGAAGGACCGATACGTCGGAGGAATGATGTACTCGTCCGCGATGGTGGCTAACGGGAAGTTTGGAGCAAACGAGAGCTGCTGGAAGGTTGTGTATGGGCTCATCTGCGCCGCTGCCAGCGTGATCAGCTCGTCCGTTGATGGTACCGTTCCGGGGGTGCCACCTTCGGTGGGCGCCTGAGAGGGCGAATCCGCGGGCGGAGGGAGGCGATCCCAGAAGACGATCCGGTCGGGTTGGCTTCATCTGTCGCTGGCGGGGTGATGGGGACGCCTACGGTCACGTTGACTGTCACCTCTTCCTCAGTGTTGGGAACGCCAGGGTCGGTATCACCATCTCCGCCACCAGCAGATGCGGGCATGTTCTCGCGAGCACGCCGACGAGCCGCCCTACGCTCCGCGCGACCAATGCGGACTTCCCGGACACGGACAGTGGCGGGCTCCAGTCCAAACACGTTCTGGGAGAAGACCAGGAAGACTTCCACAAGATCATCGCCTTGAAGCTGGAGCTCCAGGGAACGCGGGGAGTCCGGCAGGATGAACGTCCGCGACAACCCAAGAGCCGTGCGGTACGTCCCAGCGAACAGTTCCACTTTCTCGCCATTGTCTCCACAGAGGATGGCAAGGAAGCTGCGCGACGCGTCAGCCATGGAACATCCAAACTGCGAACACCTGAGGAGGCTCACCTCTTCTTCCCGGTCTCCACTGCCTTGACAGTGACCGCGCCCTTCGTGCCGGGAAGCTTGACGTATTCCAGTTTTGGTGCGGGGGCATGGGGAGGATTTGGTACGTTAATCAAACGCTCGTTCGCCGTACCACTTCGGCGAGGCAACGAGGGAACGTCATCAGACCTGCGTCCAAGCGCTTGCGTCAGTAGCCGGGGAAGGAAACGAGAGTGAGAAGTTCCGGCTGAGGGAGGCTGCGGCACTGGAGGAATGTCTTGCGTCTGTGTCTGTGTAGGAGGGGTAGTAGTCGGACCGGGAGAAGTAGTCGGACGCCTGGGAGTCACCGTGGACGTCGAGGTAGATGTGGCTATTCTTCCCGACTGTGACCGTGTGAGCAGGCTAGCCCGCCGCTCCAGAAGTGGCGTCGATGTCACTGGCGGCGGCGGCGGAGCTTGTGCCAGTTCAGCAAGGGAAGGAATGGAGGACTGGGACTGTCCGGAAGAATTAGAGAACACCCCACCCAAGACGGACCATCTCCTGCGCCGCCGGTTGTTCTGAGCGTTGCTACCGGTTTCACCGCTTGTGCTCGGCCTGGTGAATGTAGAGTGCGACTCGGATGTCCGAGGACTAGCCGGCAAGTCCCCTTCTGGTTGGTTTTGCGAATTGATCAGGATGGGCTCCTGTTCACGACGACTACCGACGGGCGGTAGCTCCGGCAAACGGCTCTCAAACAGAGCTTCCGCAAGGGATATGCGCTCGCGGGTGGGGGTTGCAGGTGTGGAGATTCCTGGGTAGGCGTCGTCATCGTCTTCACCATCCGCATCGCCGTCGACGTCAGGAGACATCATGCCATCATCTTGTCGAGGAGCAGATCCTAGCGTAAGGGCTTGTCGGAGAGTTAAAAGCGTAGGCGTTGGAGACGGTGGAGGAACTGGAATAGAGTTGGCAATGGGTCGAGACATACTGCTGAGATCAAGGTTGGCTGGTCGTCCTCGACGGCTTGGACGGGAGCTCAGGCTCGGGGCGGTCTGAGCGCGGGTCATCTCTGCACGAGCTGCCGAGGCAGACGCAGCAGCAGCAGTCGAAGCCCCGTTGGCCATCGCACTGGTCCGCTCATCGAGAGCCTGGCTACCGCTAGGCGCAGTCATGACGTTGATAGCTTCGTCGTCGCTTGATGCCCAATCGTTCTTGCTATCGTCTTCCAATGGCCCGTCTTCGTGGGCTTGAGTGTTCACGTTCGTCAGGGTGTGCCTCCGAGACATCGTACCAGCAAGCGCTTCACTGACAGATGTCGCTCGTGACCGGGTCCGTGGAGGTGGAACTATAGGAGGGGGTACAGGTGGGATGGGTGGGATGGGTGGGACCGACGTGATTTCCCGAATGGGGGAGCCAGAGTACGCTGGAGGAGGTCCCGCAGGCTCATCCGGCGGAGGGTCCTCTCGGATTTGCGGCGTCTTCGACTTCGCGGAACGAATGACAGGGGCACGAGGAGCACCGGGGCGCAAGGCCGAGGAAACGGAGGCACGTCGAGGCTGCATGGGTTTCTTTTCCGGGGGCGCGGCTTGCACGATGGCGGGCTGTTTTTCTGTGGATCCTCTCTTCTCATGCCCATCGTGGTGGAGAAGGGTAATAGCGGTGACCGCACGTTTTGTCTCCTCTCGCTTTGCCTTCTCCCGCTCTCGCCTCACCTCTACCTCCATTCGCCATTCTATCATCCGCCGGATCTCTTCCAGTGCGTATACGCGCACGCCATCCCGCCTGCCTGCGATGGCGACGAGAACCCCTCGATGCTCCATGACAACGATGCTCTTGAAGGGTGCCCTGCGGACGAGCGCGTAAGGCTGTGGCGCCGGAGGCGATATCAGCGGCAACGCGTCCAGTCCTTGGGCGTGACATAACAGCAGGTAGTGGGGAGCAAGGAAGGCACCACTTATTGGAGGACTACTGAAGTGACTTGGAGCCAAGTGGATGGTGAGGGGCGACAGCGAGAGGCCTAGATCGTCTAGGCTTGGCGAAGGGAGAGGTGGGGGAGGCGTTGATGGACGGGGAGGAACAGGAGAAGAGGCGCGCGACTGGTTGGTTGACGAGACAGACGGCGGTTGAGGCTCTGCAGGGGCAGGCGCACTGGGACTCGAGGGTTGGTCTCGGCGATGTATCAAGTTGGAGAGGAAGCCAGAGAAACGATTCGAAGCGCGAGGCTGGACGGGGGTCAGAGACCCGCTGAGAAAGGACAGGGGTAGAGAACTCACGTCGAGGGTATTCCTATTACGACGTCTCCGGTCGGTAGCAGAAGCAGAAGCAGACGGGGGAGCCAGACTGGTCTGTGAGCGTGCCGTGGTAGATGAATGGTGGGAATTAACACTACGAGGGGTTGCTGGGAGGATGGGACTGGTGGGCTCCGTGACCTGCACAAGTGGCATACTATGCACACTCGTGGCGTCGGCGTCCGAAACACGCTCTGGCGCAGCTTGTGCGCGAGTGGGTGACGGGGTGTCGACGATCTCGTGGGTCTCTGTTTTGTCCGAGGAAAGCTTTGGGGGTATGGTCAGGTCCTCGCCGCTCTCCCCGGCCTCTTCGATGGCATCGCGCTCGGTGTCAGAGTCAAGCGTATCATGTGCATCACTCCAGTGTTCTTCCCGTGTGGCCGGGGGAGAGCTGGACGAGGCGGGGTTGGGCACCAGGCTCTCAGTGGAGAGCCCGGCTGGATGTGACATCGTCCGGGGTCGCCAGAAAAGCGAGGGAGAGAGACGAAGCAGGAGGGAGAGCCGGGGCCACGAGCGGAGAGCACTCGGAGCGGCAACCGGGACGCGCCAGGGGACGTGGAGGGAAGGAGGGGGGCGGGGAGGTGTGGATGAGACGGGTGACGGAGGGAAGTGTTCTGTCCGTTCGACTAGCGCCGTCCCACGCGTTATCCCTCACGCGAAATGGTTCCTGTCATCCACCACCAGCCCGCCACTTCGTTTCCTAACCTTGACGACGTCCGGCCTCGACACCGGCAGCCGTTATGTCCGCTTGTCTTGGCCAGTTTGGCCAATACGCCCTCACTGACAGAGCGTGGTGGTCTGCCCACCGAAGTTGAACCGCTGGCGTTCGGCGCTCAGCGCTGGATGCTTTCCCCGGCCGGCTTACCAGTCCGCGCGTCCCAGCTCCGAGACCCCGGTCTGATGGCCCTACACGTACTAAACACACTAATCTGCAAAATGGATCACGTTGCCGTCCTCATGCCTGCAGGGCTGTTCTTGTCCTCTGAGTCTCGGTCTCTGGCAAGCCGCTCGTCGGCTGATCCTGGGTAGGCCAGTGCACGCTTCTCGGGATATGGAATGCGGAGTGCTGTTGTAGTTGGCCACAAGACCAGAAGCATATGGGCGCACAGCATCATAATGGAAGAAGACAAAGTGAGGCCACCCCTCGCCTGGTTAATCGTCGTCGTCGTCATCGTCATCGTCGAGATCTTCCTCTATCGCTTTCTTCCCAAGTTCACTCCCGAATGGATCGCCGTCCTCCATCGCGAGCCTCGCGGCGTCCGCCTTGCGCTTCCTCTTCTCGTCCGCCTTCCTTTCTTTCTCCTGCATCTTCTTGTTGTAGGCGTTGCTCCCCACCACCTTCTCCGGGTTCTTGCACAGCCGGAGTCGCCGATCGACTTCCCGCACGGCTTCCACGTCCGGCGGTGAGCCGTCCTGTAAGATGATGGTTTGAATGGCCTCGACCGCGATCGGCGGTGTTGGTGCGGCTGAAAATTTGGCGTGCGCCCACGCCGATGCCAGTGTGGGCGATGCAAGCGAGAAGCACGCCAAAGCAATTTGCGACGGCGTGTACACAAACTCTGCGTCTGTTAGTCGCGCCGCCCGGGCATGCTTCGCCGCATCCTCGTAGGCTCTGCCCAGGTCGTCTAACGAGATGTCTGGTAATGTCTGTAAGCGTGCGCAGACAGTCAGGACAGCAAACATCTCGTACGGCAGCTACTGGAGGCGTACCTGCATGTCTAACCAGATTCCCCAAAGCGCTCTATGAGAATGCCATACTGCGAAGTCGAACCCGAGGCTTTGGGCCACCAGGAACTCGAGATCTAACACGTCCGAAGGTGCTGTCCGTGGTATGTGTGACGCGTACGACTCCAACGATATCGGATGGTTGGTTGTTTTCGTTGCAAGAAACAATGCAGTAAGCCTGTTGACATGTCAGGCATACCCATATGCAGCGACTCGATCGGCCAACTAGAGTGCTATTCAACTCTGAGCGCGATTGCAAGGGCAGATCGAAAGAACTGTCATCACCACGGGTACCCTTGTACACGGGGTCGTCTGGACGAGCGCGGAAGAACAACGGTTTCGTCGTGATACGCCTTCGAACAGATGCACTCCATATAACGCGCTCATATTACGCACATTACGCGGCGCAACTATAAGTCATGATGGCGGTGGTTGTTGTACCGAGGGACCTGGCGAACACAACCCAACAAGTAGTAAAACGGCACTCACATCACGTTCTTCGGATGCCAATCCATTACAGTGTTCTTTAAATAAAACCGTTTGAGATAGGCCACAGCTGTGGCCTCGACTTCTTCAGGGAAGCGGAAGTGACCGCAGAGCTGAGAGATCTTCCCCGCATAGAGTTTGACGAGGAGGTGCTCCTCATGGGCAGTGAGGAAGGAGACGTTGGCAGAGGAGCCAGGCTGAATGTGGGATGCAATGTGAACGCAGTTCGCTTCCAAGGTGAGTGATGCACCCACAGAGTCGGCTTCGAAGGCATCTCGGATCGCAGAAACTGCGGCACCGTTGAGTGCCTCTCTCATGTGCTCGAGCTGCTCGGGCGAGAACCGCCAGTGCCGGTACTGCGAGCTGGCCTCGTAGATGGAGTGGCGCGGCGGTGGCACAGAGTCGTTCTGGCCATCGGGCTGGAGGGACGCGGTCATGGTGGTGGCCAAGGGCGAGGGACCAGGCACGAGCGGAGGCACTAGGACGCCGGGCCGAATTGGGATGCGCAGTTGACGACGCCTGGCGGGCCGGCCACACCTTAGCGACCTGCTTTCCATCAGCGCTGCACATGGGAGCGTTGGGCAGGCCAGGCAGCATCGCGTGCTCGAGCTTTGAGTCTCCACCACTACGAATGCGCTGAGCGCGGTATCCTCTTCTGCGGTCTGAGCTCCCCGTAGCTCCTCTCCTCCTCTTCCCTCAGGGCCGCTGGATGCGCATCGCACACCTATGTGAAGCGACGTTCATGGTGCTGGTCCACCCTCACGGCGCCCTTCCTCCGAGGCCTCTCGGTCCGCTATTCCAACTACACCGTCGGCTGTTTCTGTCCTTCTTCCTATGCCTACTTCTTGCGATCCTTGCCCCCACTGCCTCTGCCCAGCCAGCGCCCAATGATCCTCTTCTTGCCACCTTGGACGCCCCCGCCGCTAATTCGTACGTCAATAACGCGCACTATAGGAAGGATCACATCTGAGCGTATCTATCCATCGCAGGGTTCTCACTGCCGGAAATGTGGTTGATATTGGTGTAAACGTACGTCCATCAACCCTGTTTTTCTGCACTGAATCCCCACACGACACCTCTTAGCTCCCCAAGGCGAGCGATGCGTCCGTGGTCTACAACTCCCTGGAGGTTTACATCGTATCCGCCGAATTGGACCGTGATGTTACCGTCCTCACCTCAGCGGACTTCCTGCCTCTGGATCCCGCGAACCCTTCGAAGCGGGTCTCATGGCCAGTTGCGACTTGCCTGCCAAATGGCTCTTATAACGTACGTGCTTCGCTGCTGTGCGCGCATTCATCCCGGCTCAACGGTACATGTGCAGCTCATGCTCTATGAGTCGGCTACCATGGGAACTCAGAACACTTCGGCACCTCGTCCGTCCCCGTGCAAATCCAGAACACTATTGGCACCGATTTCGATTGCAACTCCCCCGCAGAAAGCTCTGGGACATCCGGGTCAACGACAGATTCGGCGTCGTCGTCCTCTCAATCTTCATCCGCATCTGCCTCCAGTTCTGCCGATGGGTCATTGACATCCGATTCGGCGACGAGCACGGCGGGGTCATCATCATCGTCAAGTGCTACGGAAAGCGTGACCTCCGCCGCTGCAAGCTCAAGTGAGGCCGCCTCCTCTGCGGAAAGCGCCACCGACACCGCAGCATCTGCGTCTATTACGGGCTCTGCAAGCGTAACAGATACTGCGACCGCGACGACGACCTCCAATTCCACTGAGTCCGCGACGGGCACCACAAACATCACGGCCACCATCACCCCTGCGCCCAACAGCACGGACACGAGTGCCGCAGCCACCTCGACAGATGGCGGAGGTATCATCACAGTCACTGTGAGTGACGGGGAGATCACCATCCCCCTCTCGAACCTGCCGGGGACGATTGTCGTGGAGCCGTCTGGCGGCGCGCCCGCGGATAACTCGACTACAACAAGCGTCGGGTCCGGTTTCACGACGATCTTCAAAACGCTGACGCCCAGTGCAACGACGATCCTGGTCACGACAGAGGAGACCCTCATCACTACGGCGCCGGGAGAGACGATTGGTGTCACCGTGACGTGCGTTGGCTCCGCGTTTCACTCCGACTCGGGGTGTCTTCTTTCTGAAACTGACCCTCCTACATCACAGGCTCGTGTCCACGGTCTCGATCATACAGACGCAAGCGTCCAGCCCCGAGCAGGCGGGATTGCTCCCAGTGAACGCAGCGAGCGCAGAGTCCCTCACGAAGTTATCCGCTATGAGGCTTATGATTCTGGGGTGTGTGCTGGCAATGGGACTTTTGTAGGTTTCGGACATGCAAGAATTACAGTTACTTCATAGTCCACGGCGTAATGGAGTGATGAGGGTCCAAGAGGCCCTCGTGCACTAAGCTATACCTAATCATTCAGACCTCCGACGATGCTTCGACTTGAAGCGTCTCAGGACCGCGCACTGACTTCAAGTCGAGCCCGTCTCACTCATTGATTCCATATACTAGACATAGAAAGCATAGAGAGCGTTACAAAGCACTAGTGTACAGTATTGTACTGCATCGGGAATCCCTGTGTGGTGGAGTCAGACGACTTGAGCCTCAAGAACCTTGAGATGTCCCATCCCGCAGGCCCCCTTGTCAAAGTTGCGAACCAGGCGGTACTTTCTCAGAGAAGAACACCCTTCGACGTCGCACCTAGGCAACTCAGCAGGGGGCAACCGAGGAGGGTATGGAGGGATCGCAGCTGCAGGGGGCGCATCGACCCGCATCCCGTCCGCATCTGCCTGGCTTTCGGGGAGTGGTATGACTGTCACCGGCACCGAGAAGGAGAGCTTCATGGCGCGCTCTTCCAGGGCGTCCGTCTTCTCTTCACCCTCTGGCTTGGGCTTCAGGCGCGCGCTCGACACCCATCTGTACATTGTGGGCGGAGGCGCGAGGGCTTCGGGGGTCTCATCTTCTTCGCCCTCGCCTCCCTCACCCGGTCCAGGACGGTCCTCCGCTGTTGACAGGGCGTTGCGCTTGCCTCGCGCGCGGGACTGCTTCTTGAGCAGCCGGTTGATAGTCTCCAGCTGTGTGGCGCAGAACGTCAGCTCTCACGTAGCACAAACCGCTCAGGCAAGTCACGCACCTTCTCATCTTCCAACTTCTTCTCCGTCAGGTTCCTCCGCTTCCGTGCAGTCTCTTCGCGCTTGAGGGCAATCTCAATCTCGGTCAAGGGCTTTTTCTTGCGCGAGTTGGCAGGCTCGTCTGCGAATCCAAGTAGGCTGTGGTGGGTGCACATGCCAAGCAGAAATGTACTCACTGAGAGAGACGTGGGACGGATCGACGACGTTACGGAGTACGGCTTGGCGAGCGGTCAGTGCGCGACCAGAGGACCCCCAGCAATGGAAGCGGAACGTGTCGATGTTTCGTCTTCCTCTTCCTCGTCGTCCTCGTCATCCTCCGATTCTATGTCACTACCTGGAGAGGGGTTGAGGGTGGTCACTTGCCAGAATATGCTGCAAAACTCACCTCGAGTAGCGGCTGCAGCAGCTTTCCGACGTGAACTACGAGGTGTATCATTGGAGACACCTTGAGGGAGTTTGAGCCTAATTTTGAGCCGAGGCTGAGAGCGCGAGGACGATGCTTGAGGTGCAGGAGAGGAGGTCGAACCTTCCTCGTCGTCCTGAGCAAAGTTCAGCCACGTCTGCCAATGCGTAGGTTGCTTCATACGCACGTCGATGAGCTCGTCCTCCGCATCCTCTTCCTCATTCTCATCGTCATCACCGTCGCCGACCACGTCGACGTCATCCGCATCTCCGTCTGCATCCTCGCCTTCCGCCACATCCTCCTCGTCTACGTCCATTGCAAGCTCATCGTCTTCTGCGGCCTCAGACTGCTCTTCGACTGTCAGTGCACGTCAGTAAAGGGATAACGCGTGCATGTGCCACAACACTTACCACTGACTTCTTCCTCCGAATCCTCCTCATACACGACCGGCTTCTTCCTGGGCGGCATAGTGGGTCCTTTCACGACAACGATTTCGGACGGCGTGTGTTCGGAGAGCAGATGTTGCGAAGTAGAGTGCAGCAATGGGCCTCAGGCCTAGAGTCCTAAGAGTCGCAAATGTGTAAGTTGCTCACGTCGTGCAGGCGCCCAAAGGAATGCCTCGATCGCGGGACCAGTTCAGTGATGCGGATCACGCGGGGCGCAGGGGCAGCGGCCACAGGCGACCTCGCTGTTCCCGACGTTCTCTTGGTTCTCCCTGATAGCGAGCCCAGCACGGCCCGATGCTTATCGTCATCACCGTTTGCCAGCGCACCTATCTGCCATCGTCTTTGCCTAGCGGCCATCTGTCTGCAACGGGCGACTAGCTGAGCTTCGAGCCTCAAGCTTTCAAGCTTCAAGGATCCAGTTATGCGGAGTCTCACCTCGCTCGTCGGTCCTATCGTCCTATCGGCCTGGCGGCCCTGGTACGATCCAGCCATCCTACGAAGAGCTCGAACCGTTATACAAGGGTCTGGCCGAAGGCCCTTCCCTCGATGGTCTTCCTCTGGAGCGCCGCGTACCACTCATGACGAACGACGACACTGTCGCGCCTCTAGTTGACATGCAGCTATATGCACCCCCGGTGGTTCCGCTTGGTGGGACGAACTGCGAGGTGCAGCTTCTGCGGCACGACTTCGGTGACGGCAGCTACAACAACCCTGCCGTCGTCAGCTACACCCCACCCAAGTCAAGAGATTGCGGCGAGGCAGGGCAGTGGGCTGTCATCACCCTCAACATGACAGTGTACTCGTAAGTTTTTCCAATCGCACGCAGCGTCGTGCGCGCGCTAACGGTCCCATCACCAGAAACGGTACTCAGTACGATCGTCTGAGCGTAAGCCCGTCCTTGCTCCACCAGTCAAATTTGGGCTGATGGGAACTGCTCATCGGGGAATGTGCAGTCACTTTACCTGTCGCACGTTGAGAGTGAGTGTGATCCTCTCGCCCAGTTACCATGACGGATGTTGATATGAGCTTAGTCTGGCGGCACTCGAGTGCAGAACCCACGAAAACCGGCACGATCTGGACGTACGTGTGGCTTTCTGACAAATTGGACATGTCTGCTGACACCACATGCGCAGGATGTGCGTCCCCTCAGACACTTGCTATGAGGAACCTCACTAAGCCTTACGCTTAGCGTCAAGGATGTCACACACTACAGCGCGCTCTTCGCGGAGCCCGGCAACCTGCTCATGGACTTTAGCAACATCATCTCGGCGGATCTGTGAGTACGCGTACCTGAGAAATTTTTGCTGGCGTTTTCAGCAGTTCCACTGATACATCATTCTCAGCCTGTTGGACGGGGTCTTCCATGGTGCGCCACCATTGATTTCGGCTCCATGATGTCTTCCGCTTAACAACCTCCTTTGGCGCGTTCAGTCACCCTTACAGGAACCTTCTACGCCCCGACGCGTGCCTTCCCCAAGCCCACCGTCGCCGACCTGGTGCTACCGATCAGCAACCTCTCGCCGAACCAATCTAACTTCTTCACCGTCGCGGATAACCTCGGCGGCACTGCGAGCGTGACGGTTCCGCGCACCACGCAGCAGGCCATACTCGAGGTATATGCATCCGGCAACTCGGCCGAAGAGTTTTGGTACCTCAACACACCGGACGCCTTCCTCCCGTACTTCCCCGCCTCCACCGGTGGTAAGGGACCGTTCGCGAGGTGCAGGCGCTCGTCGACGGCCAGCTCTCGGGTGTCGTGTGGCCGCACGCGGTCATCTACACCGGTGGGATAACGCCGACGAACTGGCGGCCAATTACCGCCTTCGGGGCGTACGACCAGCCGACGTATTTCATCGACGTCACTCCATTCCTCCCGCTCCTCGCGGACGGCGCCCCGCACAACATCACGTTGCGCGTGCTCGGGCAGGGCGAGGACCCGACCATCAACTCGAACTGGTTCGTGTCCGGGTCGCTGCACGTGTGGGTCGGGAAGAAGAACGTGTCGGGCACAATGACGCGGTACGAGATCGACGACGCGCCGGCGTCGAGGACGAGCGGGCGCGCATCTGCGGACAACGCGACCGTGTACACGTCTGTCGTGGCGAACCGCACGGTTCTCATCGAGTCCGTATTGTATAGAGATAAGGGCCGGCAGGTAGTCCGCTTCGAGCAGCACCTCGCCTACTCGAACGACCAGAAATATGAAGACGACGGTTGGGTCCAGGTATGTCCGCCGTACCTGCACGACCTGTGCACCCGCTCCCGGCCCGACTGACGCACTTGTCGCTCGGCACGATCCAGTGGGGCACGCAGCTCACCGAGGGCACTACGCTCTCCACGCACGGCTCCAGTGTCGTGCTGCGGGACGCGTTCTCGTATCCGCTCTCCGTGTTCTCGAACTACTCGCAATACGAGCTGGAATACGGTGCGCCCCTATCAAACCCCGCTCTTCACACCCCTCTCACCCGTCACTAACCACCGCTCGACCCCACAGGCGGATACGGCTCCGCGATCAACCAGACGTACGCCCGCGCGCTCCGCACGCCCGCCTTCGCGCACGCCTCGCGCACGACGCTCTCCGTGCAGCACGCCCGCGGCACCGTCGGCATGGACGCCTGGCCGGGGCTCCGCCACGCGATCAACGGCACGGGCGCGACCGCGCAGCGGCTCGCGTTCGCCGCGGGCTCGGGCGAGGCGTACTTCCGCGCGAGCGCGGCCGCCGACGACGCGTGGACGCGCGACGCGGTGTGGGGCACGCCGGAGCTCGTCGCCGCCGCGCCGCGGGTGCCCGAGGCGCAGATCAAGCCCGGGGGAGGCCCGGGCTTCCGCCGTGATCTCGCGGTGGGGGCGGTCCTTGGGCATGCGCCGCGCGTGGGGGGTAGAAGGGGGGTGTGACCGCGAGGTGGAGAGAAGGGAAGGAGAGGAGGGGACGCAGAAATCAGAGTGCGACGCTCGGGAGGTGCAACATCAGCCGCGCGCGAGGAAGAGGCGATTGGTCGAGCTCGAGGGAAGAGATATGTCGGCGGGTCAGGTGTGCATTGTCCACCCGCGCGATGGCGGCGGGAGGGGCGCAGGCACGGACGTCTGTTCCGCCTGTTCCGCCCGCCGTGAACGCACTGCTCGCGCGCGCATTGAGTTGCAATGTGAGCGCGCTCGCACTTCGCACGCCTGCTCGTGGAGCCGTGCCGTGCGCACGCGCGCAAGGGCCCGAAGCCTCAGGAGTCGTCGCGACCAGCGCAATATGTGACCAAGGCGACCAAATGAACGGACCCGGGCGTGTGGAGACTTTGGAAGAGTTGCCCCCTTGGGTGCCGCAGCCAAATGCTCGACGGCCCACGGGCCTATGACCCAATCTCCAGTCCAGATTCTCGGGCCTCGCGTTCTGCTGGACGCATCTCGAGAACATCTCGCGTCGCTCAGACACCGCAACCGTTCTCACAGGTTTGTGACCTGTTACCGAATCGCGTGACCTAACGCGTTGAAATGGCGGCCACCCTCAGGCCCTCTCACCATAAGATGACCCAAAGATGACGGCGATGCCAAGTGCAGGCCCGCAACATCAGCCAGGGCCACCGAGGTCGCACGGAGGGAGCCATATATTCACGGGTCAGTTCGCTTGGATAATCTTACTAGCGGTCCAATGAACCGCATTTCCATCCGAGCTAGAGTTTAGCATGGAAGTAGTCACCCTGCGATTTTAGCACGGAACGACATAGCGGAGAGAAGCTTGTGTGAATGACCATCTGCAAATGATAGCATATTGAGCCGGTATGATGATTGCTGAAACACGGAAACACGGAGCGATGACTTGAACGCATCAGCGTTATTTCACAACAATCGCCGAGGCCCTCGCTGGGATGGACGGGAAGGATGCTGCGCTAGACGGACAAGCATACAACGAGGCGTATCGATACAACAACAGACGCACTGGGTGATGGCAAAGATCGACTACTAGGCCTCTCTGTCTTTCCTCCACGACTCGATCCATTGAACGATGCGGGCAACATTGGATTCGAGGTCTTCGGTGCCTTCACTGCGAAGTTCGACGACGATCTCCTGAGGATAGGAGGACCTGGCCTCATCGAGGACTACTTCCATGATCTCTGCCTCGTTGTTCTCTTGGATCTTTTTCAAGGGATAATTTCTATGCGGGGATGGTAGTGCTGATGGTTAGTATGAGGACGGAAGGCGGAAACAAATGGAGAGGCGGACCTCTTTTCGAGACGCTCCCAGAGTTTGGTGTGGTCGCAGCGCAAGACGACCACGAGGTCTGCCCATCTCTCTGGGAAGATCTCGCAGGTATGCCAGTCAAGAATAATGCCCCCTGCGGAGGCGAGTGGTTCGAGTTCATCGAGGAGCTGTAGAGGGCTGAACTGATCGGTGTACGGGCCAGAAAGATGGAGAAGGCGACATACCTTGTCCTCGTCAACAGTGTAGCTCTGCCACTCCTCATCGAACTCGACGTAAAGACCGTTCTCCTTGACCATGTCTCCGACGTTGATGTGTTTCAAGGGTATGAGAGACTCCTGCGCGAGGAGCTCGGCATGGGTAGTCTTGCCTGTGCCCGGAGTGCCCGTAATGACGATGACAGGAGACTTTTGAGTGGAGGACGACATGGTGTGGGCGCGGCGAATGGGAGAGGGCAAGACAGGGCTCGAGTCGGCAAAGAAAAATCGGGCGGCGATGGAGATCGGCGGGCCGGAGGTGCCGGCATGATCACCGGCGTGTATTGCGGGCGTCTACGGGGCTATGTCGCGTTCCGCCGACTCGTGCAGCGGGTGCCTTTGGAGCGATGGTGCGACGCTGGGCTGGTGCGCGCAGGGGTGGGAACGGGCGGGGCATCACGACGAGCGAGTATTCAGTCCGGGCGTGACACTTGGCAGAAGCCTGGGATGCGGGGCTTGGGCGGGGCGACTGTACCCGGTTACCGTGGAGGACGTGGATTGGGATATGATGAGCTCCCTGCCTCGTCGAAGGAACCCTGCTGCCCGGTCGAGAGCTGAGCTCATCGTCTCGTACACCCTGCCGCTCTGTTCACTTGCTCCTGTCCGCGCCCGACAAATGTCCTCCTCCTGGTGAGGTCTCCTCCACCTTCTCCTCCCCGGCCATGAGCTTGGGCTTCCCTGCCCCCTCGCTCCCGCTTCCATCCACTCCTTTTCTTCTTCTCCCCACCCCGGCCCCGGCGCTGTTTGCTGCGGCCGATCCCCCACTGGCTGGCACATCTTCGACCTCTTCCTTCACTCCGTCCCCATCTCCCCTTTTCGCTTTCGGCGCATCGTCCACCTCGTCTTGTCCGCAATCCACTCATACCGCTGGCCAGCCCAATGCCGTCCTCGTCGTCATCCACACCACCATCACGATCTCCGACTATTCCCGCTACTACAAAGATACCCCGATCTCTGCCTTCCACCCAACCTACGTCGCTCTCGGCGACGGCTCCCTCATCAGCTCCGCCTACCTCCCAAACATCCAAGTCTCCGAGGGTTGGCTTGTCATGGGAGGCGCTCTGGCCGTCTACTTCCTCAGGAACACCTTCAGGGCATTCCAATACACCCGCCTCATGACCGCCAAGAACAAGACGCTTTTCCACATGCTCACCCTGAGCCAACTCGTCGGCGTCGTCGTCTCTATCGTCTTTCTGCTCGCCGATTTCTTTCCCCAGTTCAACTGTACAGCGTCAGTTCAGCCACCCCTGTTCTTGGCGCCGGTCACTTACTCAGGCACAGGGTCGGAGTACTCAAGAAAGGCGGGGTGCTGCTCTCTTCTACTCTCCTGGTGCGTGTACCCATTCTTCCTGCATTTCTGTCCCGGCCTCACTCAGTTCGAACAGGTACCAGGCATCCTCGGTACCAAAGCCTATCGATGTCTCAGCGACGCCGGCTTCGTGATCGTCGTTCTGTGCGTACTACGCTCTTCAATTATTGCCGTGTCGGGCATCGTCATGGCAGAATACCGGGGAGCGAGGAGATTCACAGGTGAGTGTTGCGTGTCGACAGTCTTAATCTTAGCTCACGGTCGCAGGAACGTGCGAGACTGTAAACGAGTCCTCGCTGCTTCCTATCTCTATCTTCCTCCAGTTCGCTGAATCTTGCTTCATCTGTTTATGTTGTGAGCGTATTTCTACTCATGACTTGGCGTTTGCTCATCCAATCCAGTCCTCTACGCTGTATACAGGTCATATCGGAGCCCCGCCGAGATCGCCCGGCTGTCACTCCCATTAACCTCGGACGGTTCGGACGCGGCAGATGACCGAGATCGCCGACGCGATACTCGCAGAGGCTGGTGGGACTACGTCCCGAGCCCTAATAATACGACGGGCGAAAAGCGTGCCGCACCTGGCCCTCCGTTTCAAGGTACATGCCTCGACACTGGGATCAACAGGAAGCAGAAGTGCGCCTCCCACCGCTTTCACCGATGGCTTCTCGGCAACCCGACCACAGGGCAGAACGCGCCTCCAACTGCTCCAAGTCATCCAGAAGCATCACCCTCGCAGACCCCACCGCGAACGTCAGCCGTGTCTATAGTGGTGTCTCCAAGTCGCCCTTCGATCATCCGCGAACCGGACTGTCCTTACCCTCGAGCGAGCTCTCCACCACCACCGTCGGTAATGAATAGGATCATACGCTACGTACCCCGAGCTGAGGTTTTTCGCACCATGCTGAGGAACGAGGTGCGTCCTTATTCGATGCTTGCACGGGAAATTGTTAAATGGGTTACTTCGCTAGCTTCTGTATACAACCTTCATAACGACCGTGCTGTTGGCTATCGGAGTCATTATGCTTATCGGGGTCACGCAGCAACTATTGCTCGGCGCGAATAGCTGGATCATGCTTGACTGTAAGCTGTTGCTGCTCACGATCACCAGTTCGGAACTGAAGAGCTGTGGTAGGGCTCGTCCTGTCCCTGTGTACCATGCACAGCTTCTCCCGCGTTGCTCATCGGCACGAGCGAGAAGCCTGGCTCCAGGACCCGGTCAACTGGCGCGCTATGCGCCGAGCCGAGGTCGAAGACATCACTGCCCTGCGCCCGAAACGAGCCCATCGCTCTTGGTCACCCGTCTCTGTTGACTGGCACCAGCATATCCGTCACCGACATTCCGATGATCCCTCCGAGCCGGCCCACCATCGCTCAGCCGCGGACATGTCCGAGTTCACCACCACCAGCCCTACCACGGATCCCCCCGCGCCATCCTCGCCTGGCTCCCTCTCCGTTTCCTCTTCACGTCAGCGTGCGCGCTCCACTTCCTTCATCCGCTCCCCACGATCCCAAATCCGCTTCCCGGTCATCCCCTCCTCCGCCTCGTCATCGTGCCCACATGCCTCCCTCTCTCCTTCTCCGTCACCTCCACCGACCCCGATCCGCGCGCTCACTGCGGCACTCCACCTCCCACCGTCCCGCGTGCCCAACCCGGGCTCGCCCGCGATCCTCCCCTCGCCCGAATGGCCGTCGACGGCGGTCAGCACGCCGCGGACGGGCGACACCGCCGCCACGGCCCCCGGGCTCGGCCGCTCGTCGTCTACGCCCGGACGGCGGTCGCGGCGCGGGTCCGCGTCGACCGCTGGGCGCGGGGCGCGGTGGCCGCGCGCGCGCAGTCCCGACTTCTACAACCTCGACCCGGACAACTTGAGGTAGCCCTCGCTCGACGCGGGGCGCGGCCGTGCCTGTCTTTACAGCGCTCGTTGTGCTCTCGCGTATGTCTTCACCCCCGCTCTCGTCTCGTCTCGCGCCGCACCGTTTGTGTATGGGAACGCGTCTGCTCTGTCCTTTGCATTGTACATTATTGCATCTGCCCCGTCCGCTGTCGCACCGCTGTCCCCTGCTACCCCGTTCCGATTCCGCGCTCGCGGCGCGTAGCGAAGTACTACTTGGTCGAGCAAAACACGAAAGCTCGAGGGCGCTCTTGCCTGCGTTTCCACGCGTCTTCCTGTGGTGGTTGTGGTCGTATCTCAGCTTCATCATGATGAACACAAACAACCATGCCTGTACTTTAGCGCCTGTATTTAGATATCAGCGCTCGCGTCAACCCGCGAGATGAATCAAATGCGCAACCGCAGCACGCCTCGTCCCATGCCTAGCACTCTCTAATGTCCCCTTCGGGGTGACATACGAAAAAATTGGAACGATACAGAGAAGATTAGCATGGCCCCTGCACAAGGATGACACGCTTTCCCGGAGTGGTACCCTACGGGTCTCAATATTTATGCGTTTTGTTCCACTGAACCCCTTTCAATCACGTCTGGCCTACATTGCACACACCTCAAAACCTTTCGACGCCATAGCTTGCGGCAGGTTTTCGAAGAACGTTTGCCAGTGGAAATCAACTCCCGTCACAACGTTTCGACCTTCAATCGTACGCGGTGAACAATTGTGGATCGGTGGCATCCCGCAAGCACATCATCCATTGGGTCTGCTTCAGACTACGCGACTATATATGCTGGGAGTATTTGACAAGCATATCCTATCAGACATATCCCCAGTCTCATTCCGAACCGCCGTCAGCCAAGATGTTCGCCCCGGCCAGCCGCTCCCAGAGGACGCATATAGTCGGGCCTCCGGCCCTCCATCGCCTGCCCACCCGCAAAGCCAGCCTTTGCTTCTCGTCCCCGTCCCCCCGCCTGCGAGCCAGTGCCCCGCCCTTCATTTCGTCGACAACATGCCGCGCCGGTCCGCTCTCTCTCTCGCCTCGATGGCGCTCCTCATGTTTGCAGCGCCAGCCGGCCTGGTCGCTGGTCAGTCTGGCAACTCGGGCCCCGTGTCTTTCTTTCAGCCTGCTGACCACCCTGTGCAGCGGACCCCAACGACTGGGTCGGGGTCGACTACGTGACGCACCTGGCTGCATCGGATCCCAACACGGCGCAGGCGCGGCGCGCTATCGTAAGCGAAGCGAGCAGCAGCGCGAAGGCGGGGCCGTGGAGTACGCTCTCATTGCTCATGACTGCTTGCGGGGCTTGCTGATGCTCGGCCCTAGGTGTAACGCAGAGCAAGATCTTGCCCCCGAGCGGAGACGTGCGAGACTATTACAGCTGGGCGCCGTAGTAAGCCATCAGTCCGCATGGTCCAGGCCAGACAGATACTCACCGAGATTAGCCACTGGCCGAACTGTAACTTCTGCTCCAAAGGGACGAACCACCTCTCGGGGCCCGGTCGCTCCAACCAGACAACTGCGGACAGCGATAGCGACCCCGGCGACTCCGCTGATGGAGACCCTGCTCCGGACGACGGCGGCGACGTGCACGAGGATGGAGGCATCACCTACGACCCTGCGTACAACGGTGACGGCTTCCGCGGAGAGCGGCGCGACTTGCACGACGAGAACACCGTCCGGAGCAGTACTGGCCGCCATCGACGGATGGTCCGGAAGAAACGTCAGCTCGTCCAGCACCTCGCCTCCGCCTCGGACGCCGTACCGTCTCGTTCCACCGCCTCCGCGCCCACCCGAGCCGCGGCCGCGAACATCCAGCACGTACACATGCTCATACCGACGTCTGTGGACGACCCTACGAACATCGCCACAGCGACGCCGACGTCCAGCACAGACGGCACCGACGAGCTCCCCGATCTGAACGACCTGCCGCCCTTGACGTCGACTACGCCGCGTGGGGTCGCGCCATCCGCCGCACCGGCCCAGGCGGCGGCGAAGACGAGCACCCAGAGCAAGTGCACGCCGTCGCCGACGACCAAGATGGCGCCTTCCGCGAGTACGTGTCCCTGGTTTTGTCCCCCTGACACCCATGGACTGACGATGCGTTCCAGCCTGGACGACGTGCCCTTACGTGGTCCGGGACGGGAAGGTAAACCCGGACGTGCGCGACCTCCGCGACTCGGGGTTCGCCGTCGCGATGTCCCAGCGGTGTGGTACAACGCGCTCGCGTTCGCACTGCAGCGCACGAGCAAGGCCTTCTCCGCGACCGCGGCGAAGCTCGTCGACGCCTTCTTCCTCTCGCCCAAGACGGGGATGAACCCCAATATGAACTTCGGGCAGCTCGTGCGCGGGCCCGGGCGGGCGCACCAGATCGGCTCGTGGACGGGCATCCTGGACATGCGCGGGCTCGTGAAGGTCGTGAATGCGATCGAGGTGCTGAAGGGCGTCAAGAGCGCAGACTGGACGACGGCGCGGGAGAAGGCGATGATGGACTGGATGAAGTCGTATGCGTCGTGGCTGGAGAACAGTGCGCTTGGGAAGGAGGTTGCGAGCAAGGCCAAGTGAGTCGTCTGCGCCGCCTCCTCTGTCACGAACATTGTGTTGACTCGAGGGCAGTAACCACTACACGTTCTTCGTGAGCCAGCTCGCGGCAGCGAAACTGTACCGCGGCGACATCCAGGGCGCCCAGAGGGTGTTGAAGGCGTACTTCGACGGCCGTTCAAAGACCAGATCGCCCAGTCGGGCGAGCAGCCCTTCGAGGCCGTCCGGACGCGCCCGTACCACTACCGCGCGTTCAACCTGGAAGCCATGATCGTCAGTCCCCATTTCCCCGTACTGTTCTTTCGTGACGCACAGCTCTAACGCCGCGCCCGCGGGCCACTGACAGACGAACGCTAAGCTGGGCGACGCGCTCGGCCTCGACTTCTGGACCGCCAAGTCCAAACGCGGTGCGACGATCCAGGACGCGCTCGACTTCGCGATGCGCGCCGACCCGAAGGGCGAGCGCGTCTCGGACCTCGTCCCGCACGTCGCGGCGGTCGCGGCGGCGTACGGGGACCCGAAGGGCAAGTACCGCGCGTTCCTGCAGAAGGCGGACGCAGCGTTCGAGGGCGAGCCGTTCTGGTTGTACGACCAGCCCGCGGCGGTGCCACACTCGCCTGCGGGGCGCGCCGCAGCGAAGAAGAAGACGCGCAGTGCGGAGGAGCGGAGAGGCTTGGGCCACGGGCTGGCGGTCGAAGGTGCAGCGGCGGCGCAGGGGTCGCGTCTGGAGGGCAGAGGCGGAGCCGCGCCGCCGGAGTTCGAGTGCCCTGCGGTGTTCGAGATGGAGGACGTGACGGAACTGGAGGTCGGGTTGTTCGTGACCTGCGACCAGCTGAAGCCGTACTACGAAATCACGCTCCCCGGGGACTCCGGGAAGCCGTAGGGTAGTATCAGAGCCTTTGCAATGCACCTAAATGCAGGATCGTGGTGGACGGCGACATGGTCAGGAGAAAGCAGGATGGCAGGATGAAGACGGAGAGGGTCGAGAACGAGCGCTGCGCGGGCGACGTCGCCCGCGGTGCAGTCGGGCAGAGGCGCCGGGACGGACAAACAAGGACGGACGTGTGCGCTGTGCCTGTTCTTCGTTACGCCATCATCTCCTCCACCGTGTATTCTATTCCCTCTCCCCGCACGACTCGACATAGGCATGGCCGACGCTGCGTCCGGTTCCACAGAGAGGTCTGTCCAGGTCAAACTTGTCCTGCTTGGTGAGTCCTCCTCCCGCCTACGGCTCCACTCGTCTCTCCACCCCTTCCCAACGACCCGTTCCCGGTTGTGGCCGCTCTCCATCTCGCCCATCCTGTAACAACGTCCGGCAAGGTGTAGGCGCTGACGGGGTGCGTGTAACAGGTGAAGCGGCTGTTGGAAAGTCGTCAATTGTCCTGCGATTCGTGAGTCGTCCTACTATCTGTGCTCCCGTCTCCCTCCTCATCACCGCCACTCCGTCTCGTAGGTCTCGAACGACTTCCAGCCCAACAAGGACCTACGATTGGTGCCGCCTTCTTGACCCAGAAATGCCGTCTGGAGGACCGTGTGCTTAGATATGAGATTTGGGATACCGCCGGCCAGGAACGCTTCCACTCGCTCGCTGTGAGTCTTGCATTCCACCTCTGGTATCTGTACATCTCACAACGGCCCGATCGTCCAGCCTATGTACTACCGCAACGCTCAGGCGGCGGTCGTCGTCTATGACGTTACCAAGGCTTCTTCGCTCGAGAAAGCCAAGACATGGGTCAAGGAGCTTCAGCGGCAAGCGAACCCCAACATCGTCATCGCCCTCGCCGGCAACAAGATCGATCTCGTCACACCCTCCGCCGCCGCCGCCGCTTCGCCAGAATCCGAGGACGAGGCCGACGACGCGACCGCGACCCCGGAGGAGTCTGGCGCTGGCGGCGAACCCGAGAGCCTCCGCCAGGTGCCGCGCGACGAGGCGGAGGCGTACGCGCAAGAGGCCGGCCTGCTCTTCTTCGAGACCTCGGCGAAGACGGGCGACGGCGTTGTGGAAATCTTCACCGAAATAGGTAAGCGGCCGTCCACCTGTCGGGCTGTTTCAAGTGCGGCGCTCACCTCCCATGCGCTCTACCTTTCTGCACTACGCCAATTTTGCGTTTGTGCGAACCCTTTCGCAGCCAAGAAGATTCCCATCGACCAGATCCTTGCATCAACCCGTGGTGGCCAGCGCCCCGGTGCTGCGTCGGGACGTGCTCAAGAGGGTGGTGTCAACTTGGACGAGAGCAACGCAAAGGGCAAGGATGCGTGCAATTGCTGAGTCCGCAGTACTCATCATTTTGTCCCGACCCCTCCCCCGTTACGAGCGTCACGTTCTCATACAGTACTATTTACCCACCCACCCCTTACGTTTGTCCGATCTATATGCCCTTCTCCCCGTACATGTACTTGCTGTCGTATTGGAGCGTATTGGACCGCATGTCAATTATTGATGCTGTCTGGACGCTTGGGATGTTCCCCTTTCCTCGAGTGATTGCTTCGTCTTCATGCGCACACCCGACACGAGGCCTCAAGTGCTCCTGTGAGATACTTCGAATCTATGGAATATGAAAGAGTGCAGAAAATGTAAGGATACATGACATGACGAAAGCAGTGGTAAAGCTGAACAAATCAGAAGGATCAGGGGAGAACCTTGCCAGGGTTCATGATACCATGCGGGTCAAACAGGTGCTTGATTCTCTTCATGATGTCGATACTCGTAGGGTTCTTCGAGTATTGCAGAGCGTGAGTTTTCATGTAGCCAATTCCGTGTTCTGCGGAGATGGAACCCTTGTACGAGGCTGTTCGCCGATAAGGCTGAGATTCATCCAACCAAACGTGGGAGGAGATACTCACCAACAAGCTCGTAAACGAACGGCTCCAGGGCAGCTTCGATCTCAGGAGTATATGCCGCAGCAACAATGTTCAGATGAAGGTTGCCTGCGCACCATGTGAGCCGCGCGCCTCTCACAGGGTGCAATCCACTTACTGTCACCAACGTGCCCGTAGCCCACGACGTACTTGACCGCGTCTGCATGCAGGAGGCCCTTCTGCTGCAAGTGCTCGCGAGTCTTGTCGACGACCTCCTGGAACTTGTCGAGCGGTACGGACACGTCGTACTTGTACGCATTGCCCTCCTTCGAGACCGCCTCCGTGAGGCCCTCGCGGATCGCCCAGAGCGCGGAGAACTGCGCGGGCGACGTCGCGAGCACGCCGGTGTTGATGAGCGGCTCGTCCGCCTCCATGAGCGTCTCGAGCAAAGTGTTCAGTTTCTGCGCGTCCGGACTTCGTCAATCACAGTCACACGCGCACACGACCGTAGGGAGTGGGCTACAGCCACAGCGGGATGTGACTTGCCTCCTCGTCATGCTCGCGCTTCCCACCACTCGTCTCGACGAGGACGAAGCACTCGGCGCCCTCGACGTCCTGCGGGTCGAGCGCGCGGCCCTGGCCGTGCTTCACCGCAAGGTCGTACACTGTCCGGTCCATGTACTCGAACGCGGAGAGGATCTCGGAAAGTTGGCGCTTGACCTCTTTGAACAGCGGCTGGACGTTGTCGAACTTGGGGAGGGCGAGGATGACGTTATTCGACGCCTGCGGCGCTGGCGCCGCGAGGATAGATACCCCAGTGACGACCCCGAGCGTGCCCTCCGCACCGATGAAGAGCTGCTTAAGGTCGTACCCTATGAACGCGTCGCGGTCAGCGCGAGAAGCACGAGCGCGTGTGGGAGATTGCGCGACGCACCGGTATTGTCTTTCCGAAGCGACGTCAACTGGTCGAGCACGGTGCCGTCGGGCAGCACGACTTCGAGACCGAGCACGGAACCGTGCAGGGAGCCGTAGCGAAGCAACCGAAGCCCGCCAGCGTTCGTGGACACATTGCCACCGATTTGACAGCTGCGCGAGGAGTCAGCGCGAAGGGTGTTGCTGGGGGAGCACACACACCTGCCCTTCGCGCCAAGGTCGAGGGGAACGATGTGGTGGTAGGGTGCGAGGTAGTCCGAGAGTGACTGGAGGATGCACCCGGCGTCCGCGACGAGAATGCCTGCAGTGAGACCACTCGTGTGAACACTTCGGTTGCGCATGAGGGTGCATTGGGGAGCACTCACCGGAGACGTCGTCAAACGAGCGAACCTTTGTCATGTTGGAAAGGCTCAGGATGAGCTCATCATTTATGGGCACGCCGCCCCCGACGAGCCCGGTGTTCCCTCCCTGGGGCACTATGCCAATCCGGCGTTGGCTGCACCACTTGACTATCTTGCTGACCTCCTCTGTGGTGCGCGGTTTCAGCACGGTGGTAGACTTGCCATGATACTTGTTCATCCAGTCGTTGTTGAACGGCGCAAGCTCCTCCGCCGGTGAGGGTGAGGGAGTTAGAGTGGAGAGGATGGACGTCGGGGGGAGGAACTGGGCGAAGTGCGCCAAGTCCTCCTCCGTGACGGTATTCAGCCCGCGGAGGGCAGCAGCGGAGCCAGCATGTGCCCAGCGGCGAGGGAGGTGGCGGGTGCCGCCCGACGAGCGAGCTGGCGACTGAACATGGTCCTGGTGCGAGCGAGAGAGGAGGAGGCAGGCAGCGCGGCCCGTGAAGCACGCAACTGGAGCGCACATGACGCATGAGGACTCGCGACGCGCGCGTTGCTTCGCCTGTTCTCATGATTGCTGCTCCTTTTCGACATGCCCAAGACGCCGGAGCACATTACAATCAGCTCAGACGATGAGCCGCCACAGTTGATGGGCTGGCGGGGTCCTATGCTTAATCCAACGAACGAAGACGGAATCACCTACACAGGTTACCTTCGGCCTGATCATCCCTCGCGTTCTGTGCAGGGCAAGAAGCGCAAGGCATCGAAAGCTCCATCCAGCAAAGGTAAACACACACATTGATTCATGCACACCTTTAATTAAGCGATAGTCCCGGCAGAGGTCATCGTTATTGAGGATTCCGATTCTGATATTCAAGAGTACGTACCGGGCTCATCCTGAGTAACACCATACTCATCTCACCCACCTCCTCCAAGAATATCTCGGGAGGATGTACTGGATCGGGAAGCGGAAGATGAATATGCTGCAACTGTTCCCGTGGAAAACTACTCGTATCCTCTGGTATAGTGGCTCACCGTTTCCAGCTTCTCTTAGGCTTACCATCGCATCCCGTATAGGTCCTCGACGATCTCTCCACAGATGAGGATGAAGCCGTGCCATACTCCATCAACAACGAGGCATTGAGTAATGCCTACACTCGATTGCACACCCGAACCCTCGCCAGAACAATTCATGGAGAAGGATTTTTTGACTCTTGGACCGCTTCGTTAACTCCCCTTTTTTCGACCGTAAGGGTAGCCCATTTTTCGGGGATCCCTTCTGCTCAAAATTTTTTAGTTACGATCAGAGAGGCTCACAACAGTCATGCGGTCCGGAGGTTCAATCAGGCCAAATTCGCTAAAGCATGCGCGAAAATGCACTTTTCCGAGGGCAAAGCGAGTCATCGGCAACTGTCCGGGTGGTAAGTGCTTGCTTGCTCGTTGAAACCGAGATTCAACCCACGCGTCACGCAGATGTCAACACCATTGTCCAATCTGCCGACATGGTGGTGATAGCAAGCAGTGTCTCCGGCGGAGGATTGAATGGTATGTTGCCACGCACAGTAAAGGTCGGTCATTGTCATTGACAAAGCTATCATCTACATAGATCACGATGATGCATACAACAGAGAGGGGTCTCTCAGTGTATGGGACCATAGCAAATGTACGTGATCAGAAACTTGACTGCAACCCGCTTTGATATCCAATTCATTCCAGTGCATTTGCTCCATGGACATAGCCGAGGATCACAGCATTTCACTGTAAACGATGTTGCACTCGACCCTGCTTAGCGAGTTCACTCACTGGTTCACCATTTGCAAGTGTTGACTCGACCCATACAGCTCTCGTCGGTTCATTTCAGCAGGTAGAGACCACAAGGTCATTCTATGGCAGTTGGACGAACATGGAAGTGTTTCAAAGCTCAAGGAAGGTTTGCAAGTTTCTCCTCTTACTCTTCCGTGATTCATTAGCCAGTAAAATAGTCGAGTGTGAGGACAATCCTGAAGTGGTAAAGTTCCACCCTAGCTCAGAAAGACTCGTCGCTGTGCAATGCAACAACGGGTAATGCGTTCATGCTACTGATGATATAGTACATGCATGCTCACATGTACGCAGTTCAGTATTGCTCCTACATCCCCACGACAGCTTGGAACTTGCCGGCCGTCGTCCGCTCGTCGTCGCCCATCCGAAACACCATCATTTCACGGCGGACATGGTTTGGGGTGTAGAGGCCAGCCGAAACCACCTATTCGCATCCTCCGCGTCTCACGACTCCGGCTTCGAGGGCTTCCACAAGGCGTTCGACATCGTGACACGCAAGGAAGTCGCCAGGTTCAACGCCGGTGGAGAGGCATGCTGTACTCTCGCGCTCGAGACATCGGTCAGTACAGCGCTTGCCCGTCGTCTACCCTCCTGGCCTTACTCACGTCGCGTCTTCCAGGCAAATCCCTCTTCGTCGTCTCTGAGAAAGCACTGACGCGTCCGAAAACCCGAAGGCCGCCTACACCCTCCGCGTCTTCGAGGCCTCTAAACTCATCAGCCGCCCCGCGCAGACGGTCGAGCTCGAGCCTTTCTTAGCTCCCTTCGACCGCGACCGCACATACTCGGACGTCAACAGCATGTCCGTCAGCCCGGACGGGCTCTGCGTCGCGCTCGGGCGCACGGACAACTGGACGGACGTGTACGACACGCGTATGCTCACGAAGGGGCCTCTGCGCTCGTTCGGGCACGAGGGTGAGATAGAACCGGAGAGTGCGGAAACGGAGGGCAGCTCGTTGGGACAGCGGGATGGGCACGAGGGTGAGATGGCCCTGGGTGGTAGCTCGTCAGGACACGAGGATGGGACAGACCCGATGAGGAAGCGCATCACGACGTACGGGATCGTCAAGACGCAGTGGGTAAACGGCCCGCCGTACGGGTACGGGCTCGTCACGGGCGGGATTGACGGTGCGTGGCTGCTTGCGGAGGTTTGTGCACTTGGGGCAGAGGGCTGAGTGTGCGAAGTTGCTTTTTAAAGGCGACGTGAGGTTGTGGGACATCAAGCGTGCCGCGGATGACCCACTCAATGGGCGGGTGCTGGCTCACGGGGATAGTGATGTCGCGACGTTTTGTCTTGGGGACGTTTCTAAAGGAGAGATTCCCATCATTCTGTACGTGCTTTCCTTTCCCGTAGACGCAATACTGACAGCATCTTTGTAGAGGACAGCGCAGTGGAGAAGTCATTACTTACGAGATGAACCCCCGAGAAGACTAGCCAGAACCGCAGTTGCCGCGTACAGAACATCCATACTCTCATATCTCAATTCCCTGTGTCACGAGCTTGCAAGGCAAACCCACACCCCACGATGACCTACGCGATATCATATGATTATTCCAAGGTGGGCGGTCTACTTGAGGTAGCAGAATATACATCCATAGAGATACACGTACTGGTATAACATAGTCGAGAGCAGAGCCAAATCAGCGACTGGAAAACGCAGCCACACGAAGGGGATCCTGTGTGACCGTAACAACTGCCTCGCGCACCCCCATCACCCGACCCGCGCGAGACTCTCAAGCTCCGAGAAGAGCGCCGGCTCGAGCTCGTGCTGCATCATGAGCCCGAACGTGATGTCCTCCTGGTACGCACACAACATCCCGAGCCCGCGCTCGACGCGTGCGTCCCCATGCTCCCCATACCCGACCCCAAACGTGAGCGTCGGCGCGGCGGCGGCGTTCCCAACGTCGAACGAGTCCGCGGCGTCGTCGACGACCTTGAGGAGCTCGACCGCGCGCCGGAGCAGGTCCGCGAACATCCGCCGGCTCTCGGGCGGGAGGGTGATAACGAGCTTGCGGAGGAGGCGCATGACGACCTTGCTGAAGCCGAGCGCGGTGTCGCGCTTCGCGCGTTCCTTGAGCGACGGGGGCGCGAGAAATGCGAGTGAGTACAGGCAGAGGACGAGACGCTCGAGGTATGCTATCCACGATTCGCGCATGATCGCTTGGAAGTCATGATCTGTCACCGGCAGGCGGTGGACGAGGCCTTCGAAAAGCGTCCAAAGCCAGCGTTCGGGCACCGCCCGGGCGACGGCGCGACGGGAGTCGTCGAAGTGCGTGAAGCGAGCGAAGGCCTCGAGGGCGTGGTTGGCGAGCGAGGGGGGAGACGGAGGCTTGGGGTGCTGAAGGCTGATACCAGTCTGGAGGATATACTGAAAGGGGGAAATAGTTTCGGAGGTGTCCACGAGGTACGAAACGATGACTTCATACGTCCGACGGATCATGCGTTGCGTGGAGTTAGATTGGGAGGTAAGGTCGATATTCGTGTTGAAGCTGATGAGCATGTAGATGACCTCTCGGCGGATGGTGAGCAGGTCGGTGAGAGATAGGATGGGTGAGAGAGGGGTGGGCGGCGAGCCTTTCTTGAGCGGAGCTAGACTGCATAGGCGCATTAAGACGGGAACAAGTTTAGGATGTTTTGCGAGGTACGTTGCGCTGGCTTCGTCGCCTTGTGAAATGCTACGAATGATGAATACGACGTTGAGAACGACATCTGCTCGTCGTGGCCCTGGCCCAGCTTTGAGATCTTTTGTGCCTTGGCCCACGTGAAGAGCGGCGAACGGCTTCCCCTCGTCTTCAACGATCAAGTCCAAAAGGTGCTTGTGAGTGAGAAGGGGCGCATCGTCGTTGGATTCGCCTGAATCTTCCATCCCGTCGAAGGCGAAGTCTTCAACGAGATCAACTGCCTCATCCAGCAACTCGGGAGCTTGTGCTATTGGGAAGCCGACTTCACGTTCACGGGAGTGTTGCGTCTGTGGGCGAACAAGAGCGAGCAATCCAAAGGTTGCTAGCGAGTACGACAGCTCGGTGGATATACGGGAGCGTAGGGAGAGCGTCAAGGCGTCGATGTCGACATGGCCGAACTCGTCGCTGTGCTTGATTGGCCTATTGGTCATACGGATCCATTCGGTTTGAATAGCGTCCAGATCTCGACCTCCGTGCGTCGGTAATTCGGGCGCAAATGGCACATATTCAATCTTTCGCCGTGACGGCTGGCGTATGGTACGAGTGATGGTGGCACCGCTGGTTCGGGGGCGCTCGGTGCTATGGACTATTCTCTATGATCAGTAGTGACCCCCCGAAGATGATTGACTAGACTTACCGACCGTGAATCCGACACATCCGACCCTCCTGACAGACACTTAGACATAGATAAAGAAGGGAACATACGGGCGTACCTGTTTTTTGTCTAGCTCGTTTCGCATCGATCTCAACTGCTTCCTGCATCTTCCGCTTCCGAGTCTCCATGTCGTCGCTGCCAATATCCACGGAGCCATTCGGCGCGAGCGAAGGCATGTTTGGGAAACCTCCCGCAGTCATCTTAGGCATAGGCATCACACCTGCGCCATTCATAGCGGGCATGGTGGCCCCGTTCGTTGCCATCGCTCCTGGCATCCCTCCGCCTGACCACAGCGAGTTGAATAAGAGGTTGGGCTGGATAGTGCCTAGGACAAGGACTCACCAGGATGTGCGCCCCCGATGGGTCGAGCCGCATTGACCGGAGGAATCCCTCCTGGCGGCATCATATTCTGGTTCATGTTGGGATTCATGCCAGGGTTCATGCCAGGGTTCATGCCGGTGTTCATTCCTGGTCGCATTTGGCGTTGACGCTGCTCCATCATGTTCCTGCGGTATGCCTCTTCAAATGGACCGAGGAGGGCGTTGTAATACCTCTCGAGGGTACCGACGAGAGGGAGTTCTCCTTGCTCGCTAGGCATGGTTTCGGGTAGGGCGAGTTGCATGCGGATCACATTCCAGCTGTTGGCGCCTTGGACCTGTTATGCCAGAAGAAGTCAGCCGAGTGTTCGGGTAGGCTCACGAGATGAGGCAATGGAACAGGCGGGTACTGGTACGCCAACGTAACGAGACGCGGTTCGCGCGCCAGCATGCGCGTCGACGAGAGCTAGAAGCACGGAGGGGGGATGAGACGCGTCGGTTTGCAAGCGTGCCTGCATAAACACGCTGGAGAAGGGGAAGACACCCGCTCCGGGAGGGGAACGACCAATCGGGATCCTGCGGCGAGTGCCACGCGCAGAGGGAAGAGAGTGTGGGGTAGAAGGATGGGGAACTCTCAAAGCATTTACGTACCGCGGCGCTGCCTCCGGACGAAGTTACGAGTCCCCAGAGCCTGAAGAGGTCGAGGTCGCGGCCAGCAAGCTTGACGACACCGAGGTCGGTGTGGGAGACTTCCAGAGACTTCCAGGGCATGTTCGCGGGGTCAAAGTTGGCGGGGAGCGGGACGCCTGTTAGCTGGGGTGGGAGGGGAGTACCGCGGTTGGCCATGAGGGTCGCGAGGCCGTGAAGCCAGTTGCGGCGGCGCTGCTTGTGGGCGTCGGGCTGCATGGGTGCATTCTGCGAGGACGGCTGCGGGGGCTGCGGGGACGCGGGGTTAGGTGAGGGGATGCGTGGGGGACGGGGAGGTCGGGAAACATACGTTCATGGACGAGTTTGACGCCAGGAGATCGGGGACGGGAGGAAAGGGATGGCTGTCCTGGGGCGCGGGGTCCGGGCGGGACGTGTTCATCGACAATCCGCCGAAATAAGACGCCGAGGTTCCGCCAGGCGCAGAGCGGTTGGCGGTCTTTGCGAGACTCGTGGCCTGCAGCGCGGCCATCTGCTTCGCGGTGAGCGGGTCGAGATTGAAGCCCAGGGCGGGGCCCGCTGGATCAGAGATGCCGTTGGCAGGGGGCGCAAACGGCGAGGCGACGTTCGGGAGATGGTGCTGCCTGTAGTCGGCGGGTCAGCGGGTGCACTGGGCACGCTCCAGTGCTAGCACGGCGAGAGACGCACATCGCAACTGAATGTCCGAGGCAGCTGCCGTTCTCTGTTCACTCGCAAGTGGCCTCCAGACCCTCGACGTCGCTGCCGACCGCCCTGCGAACGACGCCCAAGGACCCCAGCACAGCCGTGGGACCCGCGTGACTCTGCGTCCGCGCGCCTGTTCTCCTTCATTTTCGCCCCCATGCCCCCCTCCGAAATTGACGCCATCTTTGCCTCCAAGCCCAAGGCGGCTCCCCCAAAGGCGTCCACGTCCTCCATAGCCCTTCTCTCTAAAAAGAAGGACAAAGCCGCGGCCAAGCCCGCGCCCCGTGCCTCTGGGAAACGCAAACGCGAAGACGATGCGTCCGCCGAGGACGCTGAGCCCAGCAAGCCTCCAAAGCGGCAGGTACCAGAGACAGTGTTTGGTCCTTCTTCTTCGTCATCCAAAGGCAGGGTAAGGTCTGTCAAAGCAGCCAAACCCGTGCCTGCCACTGTCAGGCCCCAACGACCCAAGAAGGACCGGGAGGAGGACGATCGTTTCAAGGACTCCCGGGGCACTGGCCCTCGTGCGTACCGGCCTATCTTTGTCATCGCCCTTCTGACATTCTGTACTCCAGGTCGGAAAACCGAGGAAGGATTCGCCATATATAAGGAAGATGAACTTGGAATTACCGCGCAAGGCGGAGGTGAGTGCAGCTCAGTTTTAACCGACCATTGGCTGATCGTCCGTGCAGACACTCCCTTATGTCCTTTTGACTGTCAATGTTGTGAGTATATCACGACTTTCGTCTACGCCGTTGGGTTGACTCCCAGCTCAGGTTTCTAGGTGTATCTGTACTCCCGACGGTTGTAGCATATTTTCCTCTCAGCCCCCGTGTGAATTGCTCTCTTCTCGGCTCTTTCGAAGCCTTGTCTACCGCTTCGGCAATGGTAGTTCGAGGTCAATGTGTAGCCAAGACTAACTCTGTAGTCCTCGTGCACATTCAAAGCTGTGCCTTCACGGTCTTGACTGATGGCATGCTACGTCTGAGGAAAACATCACTTGTCTCGATTCGCTGTTTCGTGTGTAAGGTGGGCCTAGTGTTTTCGTTCTGCGTCGTGTTCAAGTCTCATGTGCTTCTAGTTACAGCGTACTTCCAATATATTTTCTTCGCGCATACCTTGGATATACACCCGCCTGAGTTTCGCTGGCTGCTAAGGTATCCTCCGTTGACGTCGCACTCCATGGCATCGAGGTCAAATCGTGCCAGAATTGTCGTCTACGGTCCTACAGGGTACTCATCATATGCCTACTTGGTAGAAGTCCTGGGTAGATATTTTTTGGAGATTTGCCATAATTTGAGATCTTTTCCATTGACCTGTCTAGGAAGATCTCGAGTGCAGTGTGACATGACTCGGGAATGAAATGTTACAATGTATTTGCGTAACACGCAGAACGTATCACTGTCCCAGGCGTGAGGGAGTCGGAGATTCCGCGAGCATTGCCAGCTTGTTCGAAGAGGAGGTACTGGTTGTGCGCGAATGCGCGAGTGGAGCGGGAAAAGAGAGGGCAAGGACGTCTACTGCGAGATGCGCCACCTGCACAGAGTTGTGACCTCATCTCCGTCTATTAGGCGCACTGGTCGGCGCATATGCTCACCCTCTCCTTTCCCCACCATGCTCTCCATCTTCCCTGCTAATTCGTCTACTTCTCTACAAACGCACTCGCCTCTCCTTCTCAGTTTCGCTTTCCGCACCATGACCTCGGACGAGCCCCCGACATATACTCAAGAGCCGTCTGAGGCCGATGCCCCGCTCTCGGACGACTCGGACGACCTCAGTTTCGTCTCTGCCCCGGACGCTGCGAGCGATATCGATGGCACAGAACCGCCACCCTCGGCCTTCGCGCTGGTCCCCAGATTGTCGTTATTCCCGTCGCCGAAGGTGGGGTATCCTTCCAGAAGGGTTTCCTCGGTGCAGACAACGAGCATGCGGCAGTTGAGGGGGAGCTCCAGATCAAGACAGCGCAGGCGGGCTTCAGATGGCAGAAAGTGTGAGTGTATCCCTGCACCGCCCTCTTGGGTTCCCAGGGGCGAGCCACTGAGAACGCGATCTCGACGGCAGCACCGTCGGTCTCAAGTCCGTCGAGAAGACCCAAGCACGTGAGATCGAGCTTGCGCACACCGAGCAGATCCTCGCTGCTACACCCGACCCTTCGCCTCAGCAACGGTCAAGCTTTCCATTCGCTATCCCGCTCCCCGCCGACACGCCACAATGCATACACACCGCGCGCTCCTCGCTCACGCACATTCTTACCGCGTCGGTGATTCCTCTGGACGAAGGTATCCCGCCTCTCCGTCGGTCATACTTTGTTCATACCCGAAGGTACACCTCGCACACCCACGACCTCCATCCGGCCCCGGAGACATGGACTATGGCAGAGCCGAGCGAGGTGGAGGTCCAGCTTCCGCGCACGACGTTTAAGGCTGGAGAACCGCTTCCCATTTACATCACCGTGCCCACGCCTTCTGCGGACCTGGTCGTCGAGCATGGGTTGCGCTTACGGAATCTACGCGCGGAGCTCGTCCGCGCTATACATACCAAGGATGACGATGCGGGTAGCCACAATCTAGCCGACGCCGATTTCACAGCCCTACCCGACGACGACGAAGGAGAGCCTTCCACCCCTTCTCAGAAACGCCCACCCCCCATTCCTTCCACCTCGCGGCAAGCGCCAGATTTTCAGCCAATGGAGAAGGAACACGGTGAACGAAAGGTTGTAGCTCTTTCTGGCGCGTCGTGTCGACTCCACCCATCCCGTCCACTCCGCATTCGTCTGGTCCTGCACCCACCCACCGACTCCCCACGACCCGGCTCACCACATGGTCTTCCGTCCGACGAACTCTCCTCGGCTGAGCTGGATACAGACTGTGCGTCAATTACCCAATCGACACCCCTGCATTCCGTCTCGTTCCGGTTGCTTGTGCACGCGACATTCATGAACATGTCCAACCATACCGAACGCGTCTCGACGCAACACATACCTCTGTTCATCATCCCTCCTTCCGCGCCGCTCCCTGAGGTCGAGCCGTCCGTGGACGCTGCCTACCTGAAAAAGCACGACCAACCGCCGAGTCGGACAGTGCGGCTGGACGACATGGAAGTACCTCAGTACTCAGAAGCGGGTCCTAGTGCCGTTGCTGGAGCGCCTCCTCCCTTCGAGGAGCGCGAGGCCCCACCACCCTTTTTCACTTCTGAGGCGGAAGCATCTACATCCACCCGGCTGCCCACGTTCTTGGAATCAGAAGCCTCGACTTCACGACTCCCCACGTTCCTCGAGTCTGAACAAGAGATCTATGTCCCTCCCGATGAAGACCTGAACATCGTCGCCCCGAGCACATCGGCTCTTGCGCAAATGCGTCCCGCTGTCTTCCAGGGCGAAGGCGAACTCTTCGGTTTCGTGTCTGCCGACCAGTTTGATGGCTACGCCGACGCGCCCCCTCAACGTTCAGATACGCCTCCCCCGAGTCTCGAGATGGCCACGCATGATGCGAACGTAACCGGGCTCGCGACCATGGCCCCCGCCGAAGCGGACGCGGCCATCGAAGCCCTCGGTCTCGCACTCGACCAGCAGAACATCGCTCGACGAAACAGTGAGAGCGCAAGTGTTCACGGGCACGACGTCGACGATCCCCTCCCGCCACCTCCACCACCCATGGACGACCCATCGGACCCGCCGCCGTCCATCGACTCGGAGGAGTTCCGGGCGCCAGGCGCGGCGGTCGCGCACGACTCCCCACCTCGGACGCAGAGCCCGCCGGTGCCGCGCGGGGCGGCACCGTCTCTCCCGCCGCCCCGCCACATCTGGATCATGCGGAAACGCGTGGCGAAGGAGAAACCATGGGCATGCGCCGCCGCCGTATCGGGTGCCGGATATTGGGCATGACGAGCACGGGGATCATGAGCGGGTGGTGCATCCACCGCCGTACATGGATCTCGTGCACGAGTAACAGTGAAATCTGGGGTGCTCACGGATTCTGTTCGCCTACTCTTGTGCATTACTTTAGTTCCGATTGTCACAAACGTTGCTTCCCGGCCTCGTTGCCACAAAGACTTTCGCTCGCTTCCGCGTCCACGTTTGTATTGTTCGATATTTTGCACACATGTATGTACAACACGCCATCAGCCAACAATAGAATGCAAAATCAGCCTCGTAGACATTGCTTAAGTTAGAATAGAACATTCAATTCGACAGATCAGTCATAAATCACGTGTTGGAGCGTCTCTGGGGTTGAAAACCCTAACCCCGACGTGACGTGAGCCAAACTCTAACCCCCGTACAAGGTTACCTCCCGCCGCCCTCGACATCGAGTCCGCAATCCCCACACCATGGTACTTGGCTCTCCGACGACGATCCAGAACGCCAGTAGCATCTGACATGTGTAAACGATACAGGCGATATTCCAAGATGTGAACGGAATGGCGGTCAAGTTTTTCATTCAGAAGGACATTCCACAGGAGATCCAAGCAGAAGTGTGCGAGACCATCACCGTGCGTACCTCCTCCTACACCTATTCTTGCGCCCGCTCATGAGACATGCGCATCATTCCGATCCATATGTACACCTCTGTGGCACAGTCGCTTGGTGGTCGAGTCGAGTCCAAGGTGCCGCGCGCGGGCTTCGTGCTTGTACAACCGGGACGGCAGAAGAGGAGCGTCTGCGGTTGTGCTGGGCGACACCGGAGCGACCAGACAGGTACTTCGTGCCGTACACGTACGTGGAGGCGTGCAAAATCTCGGGCATGCTCCTCAAGCAGATCTTCGTCCACGACGGGCAGTCAATCCGGATGCACATAGACTCGAGCATCGCGAACGTGAACGTGCGCGCGGCGCTGTCCACGCGCATCATGGTGTGTCTCCCTCTCTTGCTTCTCCATCTCTCTCTGTGTACGCCACGCAAGCGGCTGGACAGGCTATGGGAGGACTCCATGATCGCTGGGATCTTGGGTCCAGGGCGCGCGCAGGGGGTGGCGGCTTCCGCGGAGCGTGTGCTCACCGTGTGGGTGCAGCATTCCGGCGGCGATCCCACCGCAAGCGCTCAGTCCGCGCGCGTTATCCTCGCGGACCCGAACACGGAGATTTTCCAGCACCTGGTGAAGACGTACCAGGCCGAACCGGACAAGTTCGTCGAGTCATACCTGTGGGTCAAGAAATGCATCGAGAAGGGGCAGGTCATCTATACCCCCGTCGTCTACAAGAACCCTGGCGGGCGCCGGCCCGGAGAAGAGTGCGTCTTGAGCTTGTTGCCCGCATGCTTCCTCTGGCTAACGCAGCGCCGCAGGCGAACGCAGTTCACAGAACTCGATGAGGAGCATCTTTGCGCGTGGATCGCGGCGAAGATTCCGTACAAAGAGACGGGCGGTCGGACAGGCAACAGGCTGTATCAGCAGCTGTGCGAAATGGTGCGTTCCATGGACTTCACGGGTGGTTGACCGGATGGCTGACCACTCGCACGGCTGAAGGCAGAGGATCCGGAGTACGCCTGGGTGACACGGCATACCTGGCAATCCTGGCGCGAACGCTACAAGAAGAACGCCACGCGTCTCGATACGAAGATCGCGGAGATTGTCGACCAGAAGAAGCCCGCGCACGGAGAGAAGGGCCAGTACGGCTACGTCCGCAAGCCAGAGGAGAAGCCCAAGCGCGTCCGGAAGAAGCGCAATGCGAATGGCGACGTGGCTGACCCCATCGCAGGCCCCTCCGGTCTGCACGCACTCGAGTACGCTGTGCCCATGCCCGTCCCCATTCCGCCGGCCCTCCAGGGGGTGATTGGACAACTCGGCGGTCCGAATGACGCGTTCAACCCGATCGTGTACTCCGGGCAGACAGCGGTCTTCCAACACATACCGACTCCCGCACCTCCGCAACCTCAGCAGGCAAACCAGATGACCCTCATCACCGAGAAGCGTGAAGAGGAGATGGAAGACGAGGACGAGTGGGCGATACGCGAAGGAGATGCGCCTCAGCCGGCTTGGGCGAAGCGCAAGCCAGCCGAAGAGGAGGAGGGTCCAAACAAGAGGATGCGGACAACGTTGGGTGTTAAGCTTAAAATCACATACGAGCGACACGCTTACACTGTCAAACAGCCCGCCGGAAGAGTCATTACATCCGATTGATCAAGCAGTACGCGGCATCGCACGAGAATTTAGGTTCACAGTGGAGGAGGTACAGGAGTACTACGACAAGTGCGGTGACCCGGAACGGACAAGACTCCGTTTCATGAAGATGAGGGAGCTGCTCGATAACTTCAAGGACGATGATCAGATGCTACCTGTTGTATGAGGGCTATCGGGACTTTAGCCATGGGCGATGCAGTGTAATTCTATATTTCTCCCACTTCGTCCGCGGAATGCATTCAGTCGAATTCCGTCAGAAGCTTGTAGTCTGCAGCTCTTGCTGGAGCCGACGGACTATCCGGCTTTCGCCGCCTGCAGTGAACAGATATTAACTCGCGTCATACCCAGCACATGGCGACGTACTTCTCCCGGCTGCGGCAGAGGGAAAGACCCAAAGAGATCGGGGTGTTTCGGTAGTGGCGATTCGCTGAAATAGCCGAACCTCAATGTCATGGTTGTCTAGTGTATCTTTTGCTTACCTGAAATACGGATGTTTTAATGCTTCCTCAGCGGATATTCTCTCCTCAGGGTCGTAAGCGAGTAGGCGTGAGAGTAGATCTATTCCGGCGGCAGTTATGTATGGAAACTTTTGCCGCAACTGAGGGAGGTGGGGGGTAGGAAGAGTGATGGTTTGAGCAAGGGCATCGTCTGGTAGTCCGGCCAGGTCTGGTTCGTTGGGGGCCCAAGAAGCTTGAAGATCATGGAAATCATCTCTATCTCTCCTTTGGCTTGGAAGAGAGGTCATTCAACAGCAGCTCGGCGAAGATGCAGCCGACCGACCACATGTCGACCGCCGTTGAGTATGTCGTCGCGCCAAGGAGAATCTCAGGCGCACTGGACATGACATAGAATAGATTGAAAGTGTGGACTTCGTAGTATACAGGTAGTATCGTACATACCGATACCACAGAGTGACCACGAGCTGTGTCAATCCACCAACACCCACGGGTCTCCGTATCGTCTTGCAAGCCCGAATCCGCGACTTTGATCGTTCCTCGATTGTTCATAAGTAGATTACTGGTTTTGAGGTCTCGGTGGAGGATCCAGCGTTCATGACAATGGGCCACGGCGGAAAGCAACTGGAGAGTAAGGGTCTTCACTTCAGACTGCAAGAATGGTGCCGGCATGACGGTGAGGAGGGTCTTGAGGTCATGCTCTATAAAGTCCATGACGATGAACACCCTGACGGAACCTCAGTATCGAGGTCAATGGGCAGAGAGAATAGGACGAACTGAGTCAAAGTATCGCCAACAACAACCTCTCGTATGCCGACTACGTTCTCGTGCTTGCACACCATGAGCGCATTGACTTCTCGCAGCGCCGTGATTGGAAAACCGTGTTTTTCTTCTTCGAGCTTCAGCTTCTTGAGTGCGACGATGTCTCCAGTCTGCTTGTCCCGGGCTCTGAATACTACACCATAGGAACCCTCTTCGATGGAGTTCAGGCGTTCATAACAATAGACGGAGCGAGAGGGCAGCAGCGGAGGATGGGCTGTCCTTGGAGGAACAAACAAACTATGCGTAGCCCTTGTCTGCTTCGGCGCAGCAACCTGGGACGGTGTGGGGGTCGAGACGCGATCCGGGGTGCGGGCCTTGTCCGGCGTCGTGGCCTTGGACTTCGGGCGACGCTTAGGGGCGGGTTCTCCGGCGGCGGCTGGTCTTCGTCGATGTCCCAACGCGAACGTTTTCGAGAAGGTGTGGATGGGCCTGCGACGTCCGACATGCGAAGAACAAAAGCAGGGGGAGAAGGAGGAGTACAAGACCTATCTAGGGGAGAGTTCAGGCGCGCGACGTTGCGCGAACAAAAAGTCGCGCGCGCAAGACGCGTGATCGAGCAGCGCCGCGCTGGTTCAAGTCTTGCTCTCCCCCGCCACCTCCCCCGCCGCCCCTATGGCCTTCCGGGCATCTCTCGCTGCCCCCCAAAACTTCGCGTCGACATCCACGTTTGGCTCCGCCCTCGGGTCCACCAATGGCAGCAAGTTTGGCAAGCAGGCGCAGGCCGCGTCGAAGCCCGCGGTGGTCCTCGACCTCCCCGCTCTGCAGGCAGCCAGTCGTGTTCTGCTGGAACAGCTCACGAAGGACGCGCAGATGATCCCCGACCTCGGAGACATGATAAGTGAGCATTGAAGCTTGGAGCGCGACACGGTGCTTACGCCGAAGCAGCCGGGATGCCCTCTTCTTCCTCATACACCGTGTTCCCGGACGATTACCGCGCCCCATTCCAGAAGCGGAGACACATAGGTATTCCGGAGAGTCTATGGCAATATTACACATGTGAGTGTTCTCTAACGTGTACTATATTCGTGCACAAACAATGCTCTCAGCCACACAACTCGCCACGCACATGGGTCTGCTGCCCGAGATTGAGCGGGTGTGGATTGCCATTGACCACAATCTCTTTTTGTGGGATTATGTGGAAGGGTGCGTATTTAGAACACTGCGGTGACACTGTCGTTGTTGTTAATGTCTTGTACAGCCAAGAGCTCAGCTCGTACGTCGACCAACCCGACGTGATCACGAATGTGGCACTGGTGAAGCCTAAGAGTGGGGTGTTCATCGACGACATTACCTCCCTTTTGGTCATATGCACTCCCATCACGGTTCTCCTCATTGGCGTCTCAACGCATCCAGTCCCTGGTCCGAACAATACGACTCGCAAGAAATCAAGCTGTACGCCACTGACATGTCCATTGCATGTGACGTCGAAATGACTGCCGTTATTGGGACACCAGACGGCCGCATCTTCATGAACGGTTCGCAAGACGGCCATCTGTATGAGCTGCATTATCAGGAGAAGGAGGGCTGGTTTGGTAAAAGAGTGCAGCTGATCAACCACTCAGTTGGTGGGGTGCAAAGTCTACTACCAATGTTGGGTTCATCCAACGCGGAAGGTACAACATCTGTTGAACACCAGCCGAATTCTTGTTGACTGTCTTTCAGACGGAATCGCGGACCTCATCGCAGACCCGGCCCGAAACTGCTTCTACACTCGGACGTCCAACAACACTATTTCAATCTGGCGAACCAACGGCGAAAAGCACGTCCAGCTCGTACAGACTCTGTCCAACCTTTACAAAGCAGCGCAAGACAAAGTTCCTGGATCACCTGCGCTGACACCTCAAAGCTTCAAGATCATTGCACTCCACGTTGTCGATCCCAGCGAGTCGCGAGCCGGTGTTCAATTGGTGGCCGTAACGAAGAACGGTGTGCGACTATACTTCTCGCCCTCGTCGTATGGTATGGGATATGGATGGGGCTCGACCAATAACACGGGAACACGACCACTCTCCCTCGTTCACGTTCGCCTTCCGCCTCCCAACCTCATTCATCCAGATGAGCAAGGTCGCAGTTCCAGAATACTCACGGTGGCTACGGCGCGGGTCAGGCTCAGTCAGCCCCTCCTCGTCCTTATATCCTTTCCAGTCTCGGCATGTCATGCTACGAACTCGGTGTCGACATTGCCGTCCAGACAGCAGATGTTGCGGACACCGACTACATCCTATGCATATCCCCAGACCTCACACAGATCGCACAAATGGGACAGGGGCAGGTGCCGACAATCCAGCAGGCCCATCCCGCCTATGGTGCGGCTCCGGGGCCCAGCCGCATTCCCCTTACCGAACGCGCAACACTTCTGCCGATTGCTGGAATTACGTGGGCCATCGCGCCAGCTCCTCGTTCGAAGTACTCGCTGGTAACATCCGCGCCTGCTAACACACCAACACCCTTGGTCACCAACGAACTGGCTACCCAGTTCACTGAGCCAGCTCGTCAGTATATCATCCTCAACAATGGCGGACTTCATTGGATCGTCAAGAGGAGGGCGGTCGACGCAGTTAAAGATGCTATCGAGGAGTTCCAAGTCGAGAGGAATCCACAGGCTCTTGTTGCATTCCGCGATAGGTAAAGCATTCGATTCAAGTCTAAGCCTATGCACCCCACTTAACCTGTGGCAGTTATGGCGCGACCAGACATGTGCCATGCTACTTGCCATTGCGAGCGGAAACACTTTCCTCGACCCCATGGAGCAGTCGCCTGTCGGTGCGATGAGTCGCGTTAGTCCGGAACTTGCAAGCGTTGCCAGGCAAGCATTCTATGACTTCGGTGACCGGCCAGGCTGGACAGAACGCGTCACATATGGCACGGGTAAGTCGATTAGATGGCTATGATGCGTTGTATGAGTGCTCATCCTTCTCAGCCGATGCTTCGGGAACTGCGACGTTCAGTGGCAGACGTGAAGGTTTTGCTCTGTACCTTGCGCGCCTCGTCCGTCCCTTCTGGAAGGTCCTCATCACCAAGGCTGGGTATGTGTTGGAACCTCAGCGGTTACCGTGACTTACTGATGCAAAGCCTAGCCCTGGTGGTCTGCAGGATCTGAATGTACCGGATGACGTGCTGGTCACCGCACAGAAGAACCTTCACGCGCTGAAGGAACTTCTCGATACCAACCCGTATCTGTTCCACTCCGCTCCTGGAGACCACACCGGGGCTCGTTCGGCGTCTGTCAGTGAGCAAGAAGCGTGGAAGGTACGTCTTTCAAGTCGTACATATCCCATAGATGTTGACTTCTCCATACAGGCAGAGCAAAGTTCGGTATCCCAGTTGCTAATCTGCTCAGCCGTGCGATTGAAGCCATCTCGTTCGTGCTGCTACTCAGCGACCATAAGCTGGGCGAGTTGATCTCTCAGTACGTCTTGATTCTTTACTGTGGTTGTCATTGCGGCTAACATTCCTCAGTTGCGAGCCTGACATGCAAAAGCTTGTTAGCTCGTTGACCTTTGAGGACCTTATCGCTGCCGACAAGGGCGTAACGGTTGCTCGTGCGCTTGTCAACGTCATCATCAACCAGCAGATTGGCCAGCAGATCAGCGTGAGTCTTATAGGAACAGGTATGAAAGTAGCTAATCTCCGTTCAGGTCGATACCATCAGCGAAGTCTTGCAACAACGGTGTGGATCGTTCTGCAGCACGGACGACGTCATGCTGTACAAGGTGTGCCAACCGCTCGCTGTGTTGTGTTTTTCTGCCAACACCGGTTTCATAGGCGCGCGAGAACGTTCGCAAGGCAGTAGAGACTCGCAATCCAGTGGAGCGTCAGACCTTGCTTGGAGAGTCCCTTCGGTACGTCCGAATTTTTTATTTTGATCAGTACATTCACACATCTCGCCAGCCTCTTCATGAAGGGCGCTCGCAACCTGGAGTTCGAGAAGCTGCAGGAGATCTGTGGGGACTACCAGCAACTCAGCTATGCCAAAGGTTAGTTGATCTCAACTGATTTCCATGGCTGACACTGACGATCCAATCACAGGGGCCGTCGAACTGCCACTGCATTGCGCGCAGGCTCGTGACACCGACCTCCAGGGACAAGAGTACTGGATCGCGGGATGCCCTGCCAACGATCCCCGTGCAGCCTTGTGGGAATCGCGTCGGCAATGTTATGAGCTCGTCTTGGACTCTCTGTCTGTCTTTGAGGAGCGCAGTGCACCGGGGAAGCAAAGCGTCAAGCAAATCGACGATCCGGAAACCGTCAGAGGGCATGCCTACGAGCTGGCTTTTGCCAGTGAGGACGAGATGTTCCACTCCACCCTGTACGAGTGGTTGATCGGCCGTGGCATGGCGGACGAACTTCTTGAGGTACGACCTCCTTCTGTGTGAGACCTTGATCGAGCTGTGATTAACGTTACCTATTCAGATGCGGCCAGCTTACCTCGAAGCGCATCTGAGGCGCGAACCGATCACGGTGGAGAAGTTCCAGTTCTTGTGGCAGTTCTATGTCAAGGATGGTCAGCCGTTACGCGCCGCGGAAGTCCTGGGTATCCTCGCGGAATCGACAGAGTAAGTCTTCGAGATTCGAGCACATGCCCACGTAGCTCACTCCATTGTAGCTTCAACTTGTCTCTTGAGGCGAGACTTGAATACCTGACGCTCGCCGTCAGTAACGCCAAGTCGCATCCTGTATCCGTCGGAGGCAGACACGAGACGGCCATTGCCTTCCTCACGGACCTCGAAGAGAAGCTGGAGGTTGCGCAAGTGCAACTGGAATTGCACAATACACTGTCGCCACGACAACTCGAGCCCGACGTCGCAGATCGGTTCAAGGCGCTGTCGTTCCGACTGTACAATATCACAGAGGTATGTTTGGTGGTATACGTGTCTCTTGAACGAGCACTCACGGCGCCATGTAGCTCTACCAGCTATTCGCCGACCCCTTGGACCTCCCTCTTGTCAAGCTGCTTATCCTCCACGTATCAGAGCACCGTGACGATAGCATTGTTCGCCCGATATGGAACAAGATCTTCGAAGAAGGTATATACCAATCTCAGGGCTTGGGATTGCTAGTGACTCAAATCATTCCTAGCCATCGCAGAAGCGGATGCACAGACGGCGGCAGATCGGATTGTGGCCACGGTCATCCCTCTGGGACAACGTTTTTATCCTTCAGAGAGTGCATTCCCGCTTCGTGAGTAAGGTATCTACTCCATCGACGCTTTGCTGACCATCATTTCACCAGAACATGTCGCTTCGCTACTCGTGCGATTCTCCTTGGCGCACAAGGGCGATATCCCGTACGGGTGGGCACCACGGATACTTGTCAAGTGCGGCGTTCCATTTCCAGAAGTCTGGGACATCTTGCATGAGATGTACGAGTCACAGGTAAAGCCAGTATTACCATCTGTCAACAGTGCAAATCTCTAATTTTGTTGATGAAGGTGCCGCCTTTCAATGAGCAAGCGAATGTACAGGCGATTTCTTCCGACATCGCAGTGCTTCTAAGCGACTGGGTCGATGAGGCCAAGCGACCTCAGTCTGCGGCCGCGCGCGATGAGTTCCCTGTGTTCCGTATAGACCAGGCAGTGGAGCAGTATCTAACCGAAGTAGAGCCCAGTCGAACGGAAACAAAAGTCACGTACGAGGCGATCAAGCGACAGCTTAGACGCCATTGGTAGTGTAGATGTCGCACATTCTAGCCATGTATAATACGGCAGTCCCATAGTTTTGAGTCGCTCCATCTGGGTCGAGCTTTTGGCGCTCGAAGCCACGCGTCATCAGCACGGTTTACACGCAGTCGGTTCCTGGTTTGATACTATCACTTCCACCCACACGCCTGCCTAGTGACTAATATCCCAAAGGTATCGAGGATACTAATGGAAGGACTTGCTCGTCGGGATCCCGAGATTGCCCAGGACTTCATACAGCTACTATTTTCCAAACTTCAGCAGAGGCGGCAGGAGCTGGAAAATTTACGCAAGCTCGTGAGTAACACATGGCCTGGGTGTTTCGAAGTACCGTTTATATCAAAAATGGACAGTCCACACACAGCGAGAGCTTACTAGCTGACAGCTCCGACTTTCATTCGGAGAACAAGGCGCTGAAGCAGGAGATCTCACGCCTGCGAGAACGTCTCGTTCAAACTCAGGATACGCATCCAAGGACAGAAACCGCACGTCACGTCATACCAATGTACAGCCGCTTTATACGAACAGCTGACTCTCGTACAGAGCATCTCTTCCTTGCGGGACGATGCCAAGCAGGCCGAGCAAGAGTTGCTACGACTTCGGTCTGTACAAGTGAGCTGTCACCACAACTCACTGTAGCAAGGCTCTAACAGACTGGCAGGGCGACGCGGTACAGAAAGTGCAAGATAAAATTCAGCTATACAGTCAAAAACTTGTCGCCATAGAATCCGAAAACGCGACAACATCCGAGGTAAGAATTCAAAGAAGTGCATCTAGATGGTACGTTAAAACAAACCTGGGGTAAATCAGGAAGTTGCGCAGTTGGTCAATGCGGTGTCCAAAGGAGAAGAGAAGATGATCGAGAATCAGCGGCTGAAAGAGCGCTTCGAATCCGAAAAGGCATGTCTATCCATGCTGAACGAGTCTTACAATGGACCTCGACTGAGTACTCCATGACTAGCCGTTTGATCTACAGGGTTTCTATGAGCGATGCAGTGGAAATGGACGTACGCCAGAGTATACGGAGACGTTAAGTAGGCTGGACGTGCATCTGATGTCCAATGTACGTTGGTTGTATCACCACCCCTTTGTCGGGCATCACTGACGACTTACATCCCCGATTGTAGAAGATCCGCAAGAAAATAAGGCAGGTTTCACGAACCACAACATCCCTCGTCGCAGTGACTGACCATGAAAACCAGTGAGGGACGAAATGTCGTGTACTTCAGAGACACCCACAGTGTACAGTGGTTTGGCAAGAACCACGATCTGGGGCTATCGCTTCACCCCACCTGGCAATGCTTCCCACCGAAGAAGGGCGGTTCGCCTGTCTGGAAGCAAACGCAACTCTTCCCCAACCACTCACATCTCCAAGAAGTAGACATTTTCCAAGGGCTCGAAGGCGGGTGGACTTGTCTCGGGACGTACAAATGCCACAAGTCCCTTCTTCCTGTGGCCGAAATTTCCGAGTTTGGCAAGGGGAAGATTGTGAGAATGACAAACTCTTGAAGTGACCAGGATCCTTGATCTGACACTTTGCAGAGCCCCACACAAGCTGCCAAAGATACTACAGTCGGTAAAGACCTCCACGCTCCTGCCATCATCGCCTTTGTTGCCGGTCTCTACGCGACTGGGGCGATTACCTACAACGTATTTGCCATTGAAAAAGTTGCGCCGAACAACAAGTGGTACGATATTCTTGAAGTCAGAAATGAGGAAGTGGGCGGCGTTGCAACTGAGGACAGCGACGAAGCTGGTGGCTCTCAGTCCGATGGCTCTGATGGAGACGACGAGCCGTCGGACCACACCAGTAGTACGGACGAAGATGAAGGAGTTGAGAGCTCGGCTGACGAAACTGCTAGCACAGCTACGGAGTACTAATGATACTTTTGGTTATCCTGTGTGGTGTAGACGTGGTTGCCCACCAATTGATACTAATCGTGCACAAAGGCTCGTGTAAACAGCGTTATAAGTTGAAGTTCTAGGGATCACCACGGGTGCGGGTGAGTGGGTAAGGGTACGTCGGGTGCCGTGCCGGTCATGCTTTTCCAACCCGCGCACCCGCATGGTGGACTGTCGGGTACCCGTGGAGACCCGTGGACGTGGCCACCCTCACCAAAGTGCAGTACGAGTCTCTACCCGCGCTGCTCCCGACGCGCACGACGGAGGTGCACATCGCGCTCGCGCTCAACTGGCTGACGGTCACCCCGTTTGTGATGCTCGCGCTCGTGTGAGCGGCGCTGCTCGACCTCCTGACGTGCCGCACGGGCGTGATGATAGTCAGCTTCGCGCGGTGCATCGCGATGGAATGCGCTCGCGAGGAGCAATGGCGAGTACTGCGCAATCCGTCATCGTCGGCAGCGCGCTGCGGGTCGACCTCTACGCGCCACTCGCGCTCCTGTTCGTGAACTTGCTGGGCAGAGGTGGAGGCGTCGAGTAAATGGTCATGGCTGACGGCGCCCGTGCTCCAGTACCTCGGCATTCCAATCTATCCTGGGATCGTGACGCGCTTCCTGCCGTGGTTCTCGCCGCTCGCGACCCTGCTGTACACGACCATCGTCATGTTCGCGTACCAATTTCATCACATCGTGCACAACCTCGGTCCCGTCTTCCACGCTGTCCCCTCGTCCTCTACTTCACCTTTGTGTGGCCCGTCGTGTCGCGCGCAATCAACTCCTGGTGCCATCTGCAAGCAATGCGTCAGCTCTGACGCGTCTCAAATAGCTCCAGAGCGAAACATAGGTGCCGGGGACTTCGTCGGCACGTCCAGCCCCTCGACGCCCGAGAGCATGTCAGGCGAAACGGGGCCTGTGTTCCAGATCGCGGACAAGGTGTCCGCGACTGTGCAGTTGTCGCCCAACAGCCAGTCGTGCTTCGACAGCACGCTCTCGAGCACGCCGAACACCTGGATAACCGTGTCTCTGCTGAACGGCCTTGAGTTTTTGCTGTCCAATGAACATCTGTGAACCATACTAATAGGAAAAAAATAGAGGGCACATACCTGGAGGTGCTACTTGATTCATGGCTCACGCTCGACACCTCTGCCTGCTCCGTTGGAGTACCCACAACATGTACACGGGCGTCCTCTACGTCGCGTTCGCCGGGTCGGAATCGTGGGCGGCAATCGGACGACGCGTGGACCCCGAGATTACGCAGGATTACCCCCAACGTGCCCGCGGACGTGCCTTGAACAGAGCACAGCACGGGCGCGCGGTACATAGTTGCGTGACCCGCCGACCTTGTACATGTACCATTCTGTGCCGGGAGCGCACCTGTGCATACATTGTCAGGTACGCCATGCGAGAAGGTAGCTGCAAGGCGGCAGACCCACCACTGGGGTTGAGCGCGACAAAGGGCGAGGCAGGGTGAGGTGCGCTGCGCACGAGAGATGCACAGGCCGACCGCGGAGGACGACATGTTGCACGAGCGTGGGTCAGAGTCCTGGGTCCGGCGCCGCGCCCGCTGTCCGTGGACAGCCGACTTGCGCGATGTGCTCTTTCATAGCGCGCGGTGGGGCGAGGACACAGGGAAGGCGAAAGACGTACCGGACTCCGTTGTAAAGTGACGCTCTTCAACTCCCAGTGTCCGAACACTGGAGTACGCACCAACAGAGAAGAAGCACGGGCCGCCTGAAGGCTCATGCTGGAGCCAGGCAACGCGCGCAGCATCGTTGAGGAAGCATGTTCGTGCCGAAAGAAGAGAGTTGGCGGCGAGCGTGGACTCCGCTGTCCAGCTCGCCCGCAGACTGCAGTAGTACTTGGTCTCACAGCGGGTCAACTCAAAATGACCCAAGTGTCAACCTGCAGTGGCGATCCCGTCAGAACCGTGCACACTCGAGCGTCGGGACAAATTCGGAGATTGTAAACAATTCAAGCAAACTCGTTTCGGAGCTCGAATATTCTTTATCGGTGCTCAGCTGAGTAACAAGCGCTTACTCCCAACTGTTGAACCCGCACCTACCCAACGGACGTCTCGATAAGCAATCCCTCTCGCCCATCGACTTTCGTGACAGTGGAAATGCAACACGGAGAGCCGAGCACGGCGAATCAGCCATCTGGCGAACGCAATCTCGAGCTAGTAAAATATCTATGTGACGAACTTCATCGCGTTCTTGACGAAACGAACCGCCTCACGCAGCGACAACCTGTCAAACAAGAGGTAGTGATCTTCTCTCTGAGGACCGTCAGGATTTATTAGGCTAATTTGTGCCACCACTGGTACCATAGGTAGCTGAAGACGACGTTGTGCTCGACCAGTCGGATTCTCAGGCACTCCGAACAGAGAATGCGCGACTCAATTCAGAGCTCGAAGCTCTCAAGGCTCAACTACACGAAGTTGGCGTGCAGACTGCCGCAGCCGCCGTTAAATGCACCCAGGTACATAATTGTCAGTAGCCTCGCCCCGTTTTTCGTGTCAACACACCTATATTGTAGGAGGAGCAGCGACTTCGAGCACGTCTGCAAAGCATCAAAGACGAAACTGAGCGCGTGACATCTGAGCATGTAAGCGTTGTTGCTAGTGTACCATGCAGGTGGCTCTTGAACATCTTCGTGCGCTCAGGACGCAGAACTTGCACGCCTGACAGAACAATTGAACATCGCTCGCACCCAATGCAAGGAAGCAAAGTCTGTCAGATCTGTACTCATAGAGGTAAAAAGGGTCACATCATAGTCTTGGATCATCAGCAAGCTTATGGCGTGGTTTTTGCATTGACATAGACTGAGGCAGGCAATCAGGAGACGTTAGACCGAATGATGGTGCAAATCAGTGAACAGGAAGAGGAACTCGCGATGATTTCATCCACGCTGGTACGTCCTTAAAAAACGAAGAAGTATCGACCTCTGAACTTGTAGCATCATTCTCGTTCGTACAGCACGAACATCCGGCCCCGTTTGAATGGCAAAGTTTCATGAAGCAAGCTGCGTTGGGCGAGAGACGTGCAAACGCAAACGGGGCGTTCTACCAAGCAAATAAAGGCTCTCAAACCTTACCTCCTGTGAGTACGTGCGGCCAAACCCTCTTGGAGCACTTCAATGAACGTTATTTGCGACATACTCAGGCTCTAATCAATTTGTGGCAAGTCTCAATTGGTAATTAGTGCCCTCTGTTGCTCAGCTCATCGCGCCCCGCAGCCAGTTCAAGAGTTACATGCTCGTCGACCCTCGTTGCTCGCGCTGGGCAATGAAGTCCAAGAAAGTGGTGGCCAATGAGCAACGTTGCCTAATTTTCGGACCTACCTACTCCCACAGTCCCCGCGCACAGCCATCCACTGCGTGGACTCGCTGTCCAATTCCCTCAGCCGATAGAGTCTACGAGCTTTTCCACATGGAGAACAACCGCCGATGGGAGTACATTGGGACCTACAAGCCGGTACATTGGATTACCGGACCGCTCGAGCAGTTTCAGACCACCTGCCAACTCCGCATCTCTAATGTACGTAGAGTAACACCCTCCCAAGAAGTCCGAACGGCTGACCCTTAAGCTTTCTGGACAGGTTCGCCATCCGCTGATAGAGCAAACATTGATATCTAACGAGATGACGCCGCCAATCTTTGCAACAATGGTAAAAGCAATGTACCATCATGGCACACTTCAGGTTGTATGCACTGGTTGGGAGCGCATTGGGTACAACGACGGGCTAGCGGGGGTGTTACAACATGCACTCAGAAGCAGCAAGTCCAAAGTAAGTAGATGTCGTTTTTGCCGATGTACACATGCTGATGTTCAGGACCGACAACATAGCAACCAAAGAAGCAAAAGCGTGGTGCCGAGAACCAAGGTTCAGGATCCTCGAAGAAAAGGCACAAGTCTCGTAAATGAGCATCAAATAACCAAACTTCTAGTTGCGTGTTCAGACGAACGTGATTCCCAGATTATACAGCACTGCTACATTATAATACTACATAGAGTAGACCTGCAAATACTTGTCCGCCGTGATGGAGCAACCTCAGATGGAGATCACACTGTCATGTGGTCGTAAATAGTCGTGAATAATCTAGTTCAGAGACCTCTCTGCCAAGCGTCGCTCGGCTTTGATGTCTTCCTTGACCTCGCTCACGCTCGCCAAACCGGGCAGCGCGACCTTCCATGTGCCCTTTTCCATGACGACTCTGCGAATCTAGAAGAAGTCAGATCAGCACAGGACGCCGAACACGAGACATGGACAGAGCGAACGCACCTGATTTTGGATGAGCTCGTGGATTTTGGGAACATCCTCCAGTTTCGCGCGGCTCCCCATGAGCGAGGATGTTTTAATGTCAAGCGTGAAATCAGAGCGTGGAACAGGAAGGGCAAATGTGAGAGTGGGGTGAGGAGCGGTGGGGTTCGGCGGCGTCATACGAACCTAGGGTCATACCGGAATCGTGAGAATAGACGGAACGTCATATATGATGAACACTCACCGAAGCAGAAAAGAGCGACAGGGAGATAGAGAGTGAAACGGGTAGGCGAGCGAATGACGGGAATGGATAGTTGAATAGCACAGACGTGGAGATGGATATTGAGACATTATCGACATAGTTCATGTCGTAGTCAATATGCTGTAGTATGCGTCATATCAGGAACCGCTTCGCTGACATCTGAAGCTTAGCACTCACTGTTTCTGCACCTGGGGAGGAGTCGCGACGGATGCGTGCGTGCGAGAATCGCGGCGCAGACGAGCCCATATCTACCGAATGCACTTTTACAACGTCCTGGAAACCCTGGTGAGGTAGATGCATGTGCAACACGCGTCATGGACGTACGAGAAGACCGGTGGGGCGCATCTTGTTCACAAACTCCTCCACGCGCTGGCGAGCGATCTCGTTTCCTTCCGTGCCTGCGAGACCGTTCCGCAGCTTGATGCGGTACGAGTCCACAACCTTCGGACGATACTTGAGGAGTCGCATCAACTCAGGGCCATGGTAACATACCTGCTGCAGGAGAACGTTCAGCCACTCTGAGCTTTCCGCACCTCCCTCCCGCTTCGCCTTTTCGAATGGGTCAAAGTCCAGGCGTGGCGCTACCAGCCCGTCATCATCGCTGTCTAGCTCGACTCTCGGAGGGTATGCGGCCTTCCGGTACGGCTTCTCGGTATCGGTATCGAAGAAGAGGTATTTGAGGATCAGAAAGAGCAGGAAAAGGATCGAGAGCTGTCCAAGGATGAGCCCTTGCGTGAACGTTGGCTGGAGGGAAAAGATGTACGCCGACGCCATGGCGGGGGCAGCGAGCGGGGGCGGGGAGTGGACAGAGGGAGGGAGGAAGCCGGCGTCGCTGCCGCCGAGCCGCGACCGCGAGAGCGACGACGCCGTTCCTGTCGTCATCATTCACGTGCGACGCGTTTTGTCGCGTCGCGCGCGTACGCCTCCAAGTCCTCCTCTTCCTCAGTCCCTTCACGTCGGCACGGCGATGGACTCCCTCGCCGCATTTGTCTCGTGGCCCACCGCGCCGCTCACCAACCGCCTCGTGCTCGACGCCCTCGCAAGCCTCCCGCAACCACCGAAGGTCGTCGGCTCTCTGCCGGATCACGCTGCCGCACCCCGCCTCCTCCAGTGGGCGACCTACGATGCACTCGATCACGATCTCACCTTCTCCCACGAACCCGGATTGAAAGTCTTGTCGTCTCCTATGTCATCCGAAAAGCCCTCATTCGCAAGCACTTCCTCTCGAGATGCATCCACAACTATCTCACGAAGCATCCTACATCGGCTCTGAACAGAGGCGTGCCCCGGACCTGGGAGCTCGAGCTCAGCTTCGCGGACGAGCTTGACGAGCTGTGGAGCGACGACCTCTACGATTTGGCCAACGAGATCGAGAAGAATGACCCTGCGCAATGGTGGATTTTGAAGCCCGGCATGGCAGATCGCGGCATGGGACTTCGACTGTTCCACAGCAAAGAGGACCTAGAGGCGATCTTCCAGGAGTTTGAACAGGACGAGTCGGATGCGGAGGGTGAGACGGCGGACGTTCCTGATACTGCGGTTGCAACCTCCCAGCTTCGTCATTTTGTGATACAGGTGAGTTATTGCCCTGTTTCTCCTGAAGCAATTGTTCTGATCCGCGCTCAGGAATACCTGGCCAAGCCACTGCTGCTCGATCCTTCCGAGGTGCCTCTGGATGACTCTCCCAAGCCTGCTGTCGGAAGTCTACATGGACACAAAGTCAGCTGAATCCTCGCCTCTGGTCTGCATCTCGTTATTCAAGCCTTGCCTAGTTTCATCTCCGGGTCTACTGCATAGCTTCTGGGGCGATCAAGGTCTACATGTACGATCGAATCCTCGCCTTGTTTTCTGCCGTTCCCTACGTGGCCCTTCAAAGCAGGAGTCTGAAGGCGGCATGGACTCTCTGCACATCTCACCAACACCGCTCTACAGAAGGAGCGTGGGGAAGCTGGAGTGCGTCTCCTGGACGAATTGGTTGGATGCCATGTTCTCTCTGCGCCGCAACAGCCTCGCAAGAGGCACGCGATGGGAAAGATGATGGATCCATCCGAGAGACACAACCCAAGGCTGCAGGTCTCTGGGCCTCCAGTCTTCTCTCAAGATGATGTCGCTGATCTCAAAGCCCAAATAAGCGATTTGCTCGCGGAGACATTCAAAGCCGCCGTAGAGATGAGCGTCCACTTCCAGGTATGTGATGACGCTGAGCGTCGGAGGGAAGTAGTTGACTTATCTCCCCTCAGCCGCTTCCCAACGCATTTGAGCTGTACGGCATCGACTTCGTAGTCACTCATTCTCCTGAAGGTCCCCGGCATTTGCGCGCCAATATCCTAGAGGTCAACTCGGAACCAGCCATAGAGCTCACAGGCCCTCGGCTCACTTGGATTCTGGAGGACCTCTTCAAATCCATTTCCAAGACCTGTGTGGAGCCCTTTTTCAGCACGGATGGATCACTGGCTAGCGAGGTGAAGTCCTTGAGGGTTGGGGAGACGAGATGTAATTTGAGGAAATGTCTTGATTTGCCGGTGAGAGGTGCGCAGGGCTGGTGAACACTGCGACGACAAGAAGTATTCTGCATATGTACTCGTACCTTCCTTGATCCTTGACAAATGAGGCTGTTTACTCGATTGGGATACTGACGTCGAATCCTGTTGGCAGTTTCTGCATGCGTCGTGGACGTGGTCACATGATTGATTGTCGTCCGTGAGGCTGGCAGTGCCTTTCATTCTACGCCTTCCAACAACGCCCAATACCACATTCTTTATCCTCCTCCGTGTCTTGCCTCAACACCTCACCTAAACTTTCTTTGTCGCTCCCGTCCATCCTTTCGATGCACCACAAAGATTATGAAATCTGGATTTCATGCGAAGGTAAACGGCTTCCGGAGTATAACGTCCAGCTGGAAGGAGGAGAGGGGAAGACCGTTGCATGCTTTATTCCGAGTGAGAGAAACAAAGTACGTAAACGCATGCCAATTGGGTGGGTACGCAGCGGCTAAGCTAGTCCCCTGAGCAGGCCTTCGAGATTAACTGGCGCAATAACGACAGGGAGCATACTATGGATCTGGTCTTCACCATCGACGGCGCTCGTATGTCGGGAGGGTCTTACAGCAGGCCCGGCCGTGCTGGTGAGCGAAAAGGGGTTTGGACTTCCCCCACGTCCAGGCGACCTTTCCTGTTCTCCGCTCTGAAAACCACCGGTGAGTATTCTCCTTCGGACACACACGTACTTGACGTACATCATCGGAGCTAGTGCTCTCCTAACTCCTCTGAGACGGCAATGGTGACGGTGTTTTATTTCAGACGACGATTCCGTCATGGCTCGCGACCACAACCTTTCAGACCTGGGTTCCATTAAAATTAAAGTCACTCACGTGGTTGTCCAACCGCAGAAGGTCCCGTGGAAGGCTGAGATGCTCGCATGTGTTGATGTTGTTCATGAGAGGACCAAGAAAGCAGGAACTCACAGTGTAGCGTGAGTCCTCAGATTACTTGAAGGTGCAATGTCGGGGTGTATGCGCCTCCTCACAATGTACTGCAATTGCAGGTTAGGGGCCGCAAAGCTCTTGTCGAGGGAATCCGAGTCCTCGGACTGGCGCGTATATGTTGATCCGGTGAACCCTTCAGGGGGCGCAGCAGCAGTGTTTATTTTCCGCTACAGACCACTGGGTACGTCGGTCTGTCGTTGGCCAACTCATGAGTCGATCTCATCATCCTTCTCTCAAATCCACACTAGATTTGTTGAAAGCCCAGGGGATAGCTCGTTCCCCGAGTGCCAAAGAGGGTCGGGCCACACCTCCGAACACAAATGATCGAAACATGGTGTCAATGAAGCGCGGTGCTCCTTCCGGAGCATTGCCCCCGTCCAAACACGCACGGCATGCCGCCGATAACGATTCTGATAACGACGATGAAGTCAAAGCTCTGCCGGTCTGCGTCGTTTCGTGAGGGTTCAGCTTTCTCGACTCACAAGGCGCATTTTGTAGCGTCCACCGCACGGCGTCAAGATTAAGAATGCCGTTTCAAAGAAACAGAAGGCATCCGGTCATGTGGAGAAGGAAATCAAGACGGAGCCGCACAGCGTCTTTCCTGTGGACAGTGCGGGCATCATTGACTTGACCTCACTGGACTGAGCCAAAGCACGCTGTCGATCGCTATTGATTGGAAGTTCCGTGGTACCGTACCCTTCATATAATTCTTGGATCTCATCTACGGTTTGCCGCGACACGGACGGACCCTCGGCCCCGTGTAATATGTAAAGCTTCTCGTTACTCGTGTTAAACCAGGACTGCTCAGTAGTTGCTTATGTGAAAGGAAGCAGCTTTCTTGTTCCGGTGGCAGAGACCCCGCGGGCTGAGTCAAGCGCGCCTGCGAGATCTAGCAGGCGGCAGAGGAAGGTAGAGGCTTCACATGTAGTACCAAGGTTGCCTTTTGGAGCGAAAATGCGGGCGTTTGAGCGACTGAGGCTCGCTGCAGGCACTGGAAGTCCTGCGTCTTCTCCCTTCTCCCGTACTCTACCTTCGTCTTTCCGCTTGCTTTGTGGGCTCTCGGTCCCAACATGTCGACAAATTCGTCCAACGTGCTGTTCGATGACATCTTCACGATCAGCGGCATAGACAAGGAGGGCAAGAAATTTGACCGAGGTGCGCGTGCGCCACAGTCCTCCGCAACCCGGCCCCGCCGCTCATCGTGCTCCTCGATGCGCAGTGTCGCGTCTATACGCGCACTCCAAAAACTACGACATGGACCTGACGCTTGACTACAACGTGGAGCTGTTCCCTTTGCACGACAAGCAGACCTTCGCGCTCGCGCTCGCGTCGTCGCTGTCGCGCGCACCACAAGCGGCGGGGGCGGAGGATGAAGACAAGGACAGGGACGTGTGGAGACCGGATGCGAAGGGACGGAGAGGGCTGGATGATGACTACGAGTATGTGATGTACGGGAAGGTGAGTATCGGTCGCCCTCCGTCCCGCGCTCCCGCTTCCCATACAAGCCGCGTTCTTCCTTGTTCGAATACTCAGTCGTGCTCCTCAGGTGTACCGATTTGACGAGGGCTCAGCAGAGGATGTGTGAGTGGACCCCAAAGTCTTACGCGTCGATACGCGAAGTCTGACGGTTTCACAGGACGGCATACGCGTCCTTCGGTGGCCTGTTGATGTCCCTCAGTGGTTCGTCCAGACATATGACGAGCATTGTGCTTGGGGACCCTGTATTCATCCTACTTCGCCGGTGATGACATGGACGCCTGTTCGTCCGCCTTGTATTTCTACCGTCCCCTCATTGTGCTGGAAACCCGCCGGACCACCGACCATCCGTCAAGAGCTCGACCGATATTCACAGACGGCACAAAACCGAGTCCGTGCCCGCATGGCCCGCCCTCCGCGTCTTCAAACCAGCTCCATGTCTTCACTATTACAGACCCTGCACCGAACGCTCTCTCACCTCTTGCGACGGTACGGGCTCGAAACGGTCCCCTGCGCCGAGCACCGAGCCGACACCGAACACGAGGGCTCGTGAACGGACCTTGCGCCCTCCTGCCCCTGACCTGCCAGCGGAGGCCGCGCGTCAGCACGTCCCAACTACCACGACAAGGAGGCCTCCTGTGCACAGCTCCCGCCTCTTGGCGGCGGCGCGGGGACCACGCACGTCTCTGGGACCATCGATCAGCCATGCCGCGAGCGTCGAGGGTGGAATCGGGCGATGCGCAGTGGTATCGCGGCGGCCGCGTGCTCTTATGTCGCGCTCTCAACCCGCAGGCCCGGACGCACATCGCTGGGAGCCCCGACATCAGGCGTCGTTCGCAGGCCCTCCGTGAATTCGAGCTCAGGCGTCTTCGGGAAATTTGCCGCGCTCCTAAGGCTTGAGGCGTTGAACACTCTGCAAACCCGGCCGGTGGACGCCTGCGGGATGCTGGTGGGTCTGCCCTGCGATGGCGCACGGACGTGAGTGGAGACGTACTCAAAATACACAATTGCCTCCCCTCGTGCAGCAAGACGGGGGCGGCTGGTGGGAGAATACGTAAATTGTAAGATTGCATAGCGTATGGCATGACAGAAATGAAACACGAGAAACAAGACCCCAGCTGAGACACGCAGGCCCGGACCTTCGTGGTCTACCGCCTACACCTGCGGGTGCGGCCCCTGCGAGTAGTCCGCCGGCTGTGGAGGCACGTCCGCGTACGGCGGGTACGGCTGCATGCCCATCATCGGGGCATTGGGGCCTATTGGCGAGGTCGGCACTGCGGTCTTGTCGAGGTCGGCCTCCTTGACGGACTTCAGCCAGACGCGGTCGCTGCGCTGCGCGGGGAGGACGAGCATGACGAGCAGCGTGATCGTGTACGCCCACACTGCGAGCGTTCAGTAGGTGGCGGTGAACGCAGAAGGAATCGAGAGACGCACGGGGGATCCAGCCGAGGAAGCCGAACGCGGCAGTGGCGGAGGTCTCGTGGCAGAGGCCCTGGAACTGGGCTGCCGCGCGCGAGCACGAGCCCCAGAAGGTGGTCGCGGTGGCTGCCGCCGATCCGCCGGTCGCGAGGAAGAGCACGCCGAGGAAGCCTGTGCAGAGCGCGGTCGGGAGTCTGATCACGGGAGGCATCGAGGCTGGACGTACTCAGCCAAGCAATCTCGACCACGATCATGGATGTGAAGACCCCCGAGCGCAGCATATCAATGGCAATCCTGGACAGGAAGACGTGAGCGATAGGCAGAGACTTGTCGAGAGTCGAGCATCGAACGTACATGGCGGGGACAGAGACAAAGGTGAGAACCGCGGTGGCGACCGCGAGCCCTCCCCAAGCGAAGTTTTGGACGGTTTGGCCCTTGAGGACTGAGACGAGGTGGGCGCCGAGGCCCAGGAGTATGAGGGAGCAGAATATTATCCACCCTGGATGGTGCAATGAGCCGCGCGCCGGGATGGGAGGACTCGAAAGACGCACCCATAACAGCGATACGGAAGAGTTGAAGCCAGGACATGTCGAAAAGCAAACGTAGACGGGAGGATGACCGCGAAGGGCTTGGAGAAAGTGGTTAGCGTAAGGGGGCTAAAGCACTGAAGCGTTGAAGCGTTGACGAGACGTACCTGCTAGTAGAAGGGAGGAGGAGGGCCCGAGCCTGGACTTGGATGGAAGGGGCAATTATATAACTGATCCTCGTCGAAGCCGTACCACATTGCTATGCCTCGCGACGGTCTTGGACACCGGCCCGCGTGCTTGGCAGAGATCTGAGACAAGGCCAAAGTGAGCTCGGTCCAGGACACCTCAAATTGATCAACCTCTGGACCGCGCACGCGGCTGGTGCGCCGACAACTTTTTGCAGATCGACAGATCTTGACACATCGCGGTGCTTGCGTCTTCACCCTGCACTGGTCGCCGTGGGTGGGGCAGGTCGATGTGCCGACAAAAGAGCCCTCCTTCGTTTACAGCCCTGGTTTGCCATCAAACGTGGAACCACTCACGCGAGATCAATTGTTTGTCCCGCACAAACAATGCCCGAAAAGTCAGGCCGGCAACGTGCGGTGTGACGTCGCAGTCACAGGCAGCATCGTCCAGCTTTTTAATGAACTCCCCTATATTACGACGTTTAGACATTCCCCCGACCATATTTTGAGTCAACACTCGAGACGAGGCTTGTCTCGGCCAGAGCTCGTGTACGCTATTTACGGTGGGTCTATAGCGAAAATCTCGAGAGCGCTGGTACCATCCGGCAGCGCAGAAAAAACCGATCAACGTTGCCCATGAAGAAACAACGACCGACAGACCGACGTACGCAAGCCCTTCCCGGCTCCGCCCAGCCCATCCACACTCGACTCATCCACCCAAACGAAGTTCTTCGTCGGAATGTCGCCCCTTTGCGCTAGCCGCGTTGCACGTAGCAGCTGAGCTTGTTTCACTCGAGCGCGGCCCTCGATATCTTCCGAGTGAAAGAGAGGTCGCGTAAAGTATAGAATAGGGTCGAGAAAGAGGAGGAGGCGCCGGTGGTCTCCCCAAGGAGAAGCTGGAGCTCACCGAAATAGATGCTGGGATTTTCTCCAATAGCGGAGAGGACGAGTACGATATCGGTGGCGAAGAGGAGACAGGATCATGCAAGATTTGGAGGCAGCGCATCCGTCTAGCCGGACTCTCGGAAGTCACGCAACGATGTTGTAGACTGTTGTTTAGTTCAAATGTATCTTATTGTCGACAAAGAACCACTGTAGGATTTGCTCGCACCTCTCGAGACTGATGTGGGGAGGCATGATATGAGCGGGAGTAGCATAGATCCAGCCAGCGCGTTGGCAGCATCGTCCAGTCGTTGCCTGTGACTGCGACGTCACGCTGCACGTTGCCGGACACACGATTGATCTCGAATTCATCGAATGAGTGGTTCCACGTTTCATTGCATGGGGCTGCGACGCTACGATGGCTCGCAACCAGTCGCAACCACACCTTGCCTGCGCCAGCTCTGAATGGATCGGCTCGGGAAGCCTGCCAGGCCGCTGGAAGCCTTGGCAGAGCTGAGCCTGTGTACATGCCATAAGAAAGTGGGCGCGCTGGACACACTTCCGTATAGGGCTCGAGCCGGGTTTGATGTGCTCGGCTAGCGGCCAGGCTCGGCACACGAGCAAACTAGTTCTTACCCGTGGCGTTGCCACGGCGCGCACGGGCCTTCGGCCCTCGAGACACAACGCTGGGCACGTATTTGAGAATATTATAAATAATACTTACAGTGATAGCAAAAAATGAAGCATGTGCTGCAAAGGGCGTGCAGAGCTTTTATCGACATGCACTCGTGTGTGTTGGTGGTGTGGATTTGAAGGATCCCGTTGGATGCGAGAGAGGTAATTACCCCGTTGGATAGTGAGGTTTTATATAGTCAGTTCTGCGGGGCATGTACCCGAACAGTCACGCTCTAACGCATACGCACGCGCTGGCGTTTGCGCGCCCGCACGCGAGAAGTGTCGCGAGGGGTCGGCCTTGTATGGCTGGCCCAAAATATCGATAGGCCGTTGTTACGCGCGAGTGGGGTCGTTTTTAGTTTTGGAGGGGCCACAGCGCGTAGCACCCTCGCGCACGACCGCACGACGTGTAGCGCGAGTCCGAGCGCACCGCCGTGAGCACCGCGCGCGCATTGCACAGTACCCGTGAGCATTGTGCTCGCGCGCGAGGGCTCATGTCCAAATATCTGTTAGGACGTGAACGTAGGACATACCCTTGTACCGCGTGCAGATGCCATGAATTCCACAATACAAAATCATGCTATTGCCCCACCTTGCTAGGCTCGTGCGGGGGAGTCTGCAGTGCACGCGGAGATATCGTCGCGCGTGCGCGGTAGTCGCGGCTGTGCGCTCGGACTCGCGCTACACGTCGCGCGGTCGTACGCGAGGGCGTAGTACGCACTGTGGCCCACTACGGGATTGCCCCTGGCCCACTCGCGCTCCTGCACGAAAATCAATAACAAAATATTGGTCGGTCTCATCGCCCCGCGCATCGACCTCGTAAACTCGGCCGAAGGACAGTCCCGACCTGGGGCGGCCTCGCAAGCTCGGCCACCCGCCCGGCGCACGTGGAAGCCACATGGCAAAACCTCGGTTAGAGTCGCTTATTTCGGCAACTTCGCTAACTTCGCGTATCGCTGTAAGCGACGTACGCGGCTTACTAACACCACCGCTCCCTTCTTTATAGATTCAAACCCAGCTTCTTGCGGTGCCGACGCGCGACTGGCTCGCCATCGCGCGTGCCCGCACGACGCGACGAGAAGAGTTGTTCCGCTGGAGGAGGACAAGGGACGTACCCGTCCGCTACGACGCCAGCCGCGCCGACGGGCACGTCGACCGTGTGCACGCGCTCGACCGCCCAGTACCAGCTCGGGTGCACGTCAGTTCTAGACTTCGTGTTCGAGTCCGCGCGGGCTCGCACTCGGGGCGTGTGGTCTTCAAGAAACTCGAAGGGCGTAGGGGAGACGACCCATATCCCACCGGGGTGGACGAGCATGGCGAAGGGCAGCGCCATCTGCTCGAGGACGATTGGAGGACGAGGACGAGGACGAGCGGCGCCGTGTCTTGAACACGCATAGGGCTGCAGCGCGGGGAAGACGCGGCAAACACGAGGTCCTCTCTGCACGAGATCGCATCCGACATGCTCTTGTCGGCGATGAGCTCGACGCTGTCCATCGGCCGCGGCAGCGCACACCTGAGCACGGCCTCGTTCGTGAGCTCCTGTACCCGCCCCTGCTCCGAGCCCCACCCCGCCGTCCAGTCCCATCAGTCGTAGACGTACATGTCCGTGGTGGCTCCCGCGCGTCACGGTCCGGGAGTGCGGCCACGGCGACCACCGCGCACGCGACGTCGAGCCCGTGCACATGTTGATGCCGCCCCGCGCGCCGACAGAAAGGGGGACTCGGGTCAGCGAGCGTGACGAACGAACTTTCGCCGTCCCAGGTCGGCGCGCGCGCAATGCGGTTGGGCTCCGCGCACCCCCGTCGAGAGCGCGAACGTACGGACGGTGGGGGGTTCCCTGTGCCAGGCCTCGCCATCAAGCTCCAGCGCGTATGTATGCCCGACGCACTGCATAGGGCCGCCGCTCGTAAGTTCTTCGGCGCTTCAGCGTGCGACGAGGCGGACGGTGTAGTCGGCGTGGAAGAGCGCGTGCTCGCATTGCACGCGCGGGGACGTCGCGTCGTGCAGGCACGCGCGATGGCGAGGGGCCAGAGGGCACGACAGGCGAGGACAGGCGCTCCTACAAGTTCCAACGCGCGCCCTGATGGGCTCGTCTCTGCCCGTCGGCTCACGCCTGAGTTCAAACGTTCAAACCCGGCTCGAGCCCTACGGAAGTGCGTTCACTGAGTATGCATCTCCCCGAACAGAAGACGGATGATGAGCGATGTGCACGTGCGTAGCTTACTCGAAAACAGCGACGATCGGAGGAACCAGCCGCCTGAGGACAGCGGAAGCAGAGAAGGAAGAGTTAAACAGCGACAGAGTTGGTCCGATGTTCAAAGCGTGAGTGGAGACGTACTTACTCAAAACGCACAATCACCCCCCTCGATGCGACCGTCATGCAGCAGGGTGGGCGATGCAGGTGTGGGCGAGGATCGACAAGGAATACGTAGGTTGTAAGATTACATAGCGTACGACACGACAGAAACGGAACACGAGAAACAACTTGACCCCAGCTGAGACACGGAGGCCCAGAGGGCCAGACCTGATATCAATTCGTCGCCTACCGGCCTACACCTGCGGGTACGACCCGCTCGAGTAGCCCGTCGGTTGTGGGGACACGGCCGCGGACGGCGGGTACGGGTGCATGCCCATGTTCGGGGCGGCGGGGCCCGTCGTCGAGGTCGGCCCCGCGGTGTTGGCGAGGTCGGCCTCCTTGACGGACTTCAGCCAGACGTGGTTGCCGCGCTGGGCGTGGATGATGAGCATGATGAGCAGCGTGATCGTGTACGCCCACACTGAGAGCGTTCGACGTTCAGTAGGTGGCGGTGAGGTATGGTTGACGTCAGGTGCGGAACGAGGGCGTGGAAGGGATGGAGAGACGCACGAGGAAGCCAGCCGAGGAAGCCGAACGCCGCCGCCGCGGAGGTCTCGTTGCAGAGGCTCTCGAACGTGGCGGTAAAGAGCGAGCACGTGCCCCAGAAGGTGGTCGCGTTGGCTGCCGCCGATCCGCCGGTGGCGAGGAAGAGCACGCCAAGGAAGCCTGTGCAGTCCGGGGTCGGGAGTCTGGTGGCGGGAGGCATGGAGATTGGACGTACTCAGCCAAGCAATCTCGACCACGATCATGGATGTGAAGGCCCCCGAGCGCAGCATATCAATGACGATCCTAGATAGGAAGACATGAGCGATAGACAGAGACGTCGAGCATCGAACGTACATGGCGGGCACAGAGACGATGGTGAGAACCGCGGTGGCGACCGCGAGCCCTCCCCAAGCGAAGGTCTGAACGGTTTGGCCACCGAGGACTGAGACGAGGTGGGCGCCGAGCCCCAGGAGTATGAGGGAGCAGAATATTGTCCACCCTGGATGGTGCAATGAGCCGCGCGCCAGCATGAGAGGACTGAAAAGACACACCCAGAACAGCGACACGGAAGAGTTGAAGCCAGGACATGTCGAAAAGCAAACGTCGACTGGAGGATGACCGCGAAGGGCTGGGAGAACGCGGTCAGCGTAAGGGCGCAGAAGCGCTGAAGATGAGACGTACCTGCTAGAAGGGAGGAGGAGAAGGACTCGAGCTTGGACTCGGATGGGAGGGGCGATTATAACGGATCCTCGTCGAAGCCGCGCAGGCGGTCATAGGGTGCGACTCGGACCATAGATTGCTATGCTTGGTGACGGTCCTTGGACGTCGGCCTTGTACATGTGGTACAGCCCCCGAAGGCCCGCGTCCTTGGCAGGGATATGTAAGGCCAGAGTGAGTTCGGTTGTGATCCACGGAGCGCGGGCTAGGACGCCTCAAATTGACGTCTGGACCGCGCACGCGGCTTGTGCGCCGACGACATTTGGCAGATCGACAGATCTTGACACGCCAGCGCTTCTATCGCGGGGCTTGCACCTTCTTCCTGCACTGGTTGGCGTGGGGGGCAGGTCGATGTGTCGACAGAAGACCCTATGCATGACGACCAAGACAGTTGTGGACACTGAGGCTCTGCTGGCCGCCCTTGTGCCGCCACGGCAGCAGCCTGTGGCGTGATGGAGGCTTTAACGAAGTCGTGCCTGCTCCGCGTCCGTCCGTCCGTCCGAGGTCTGCTCAAGAGTGGGAGCGGGAGATAACGCTACGATGACTCGCAACCACGCCTTGCCCGCACGAGCTCTGAATTGGCCGGCTCCGGAAGCCGGCTCGGCCGCTGGAAGCCTGGATCATGGGCCTGGCCAGTGTACATGTAAGGGGTACTAGGCTGTACATGTCTCCCCAAAACCGCTGAAGACGGGCGACGAGGAATGTGCACGTACATGGCTCACTCGAAACCAGCGACGATCTGAGAAACAGCCGCCTGAGAACGAACGGAAGCAGAGAGTGAAGAGTTGTGCAGCGGCAGATCTAGACTTGGTCCGAATCGTCCGATGTTCACGGTCAAATTCAAGTCGCAAAGGCGCCCATGCCACCGCCGGCGTCAAATGGCTGTATCACCAGGCACCACCGCGAATAACTACTGCGGCTTTGCACCCCCCATCCTGCCTATACCTCCGAGCAATCCGCAACGCTCGACAACGGCTGGCTCCCGTGTTCGTACGGCCCGGGCGCAGGTCCGGCTCCCGGTCCGAGAACGGGTGTATCGGTCCTTGGTTGAGCATCGCCGCTGACGTCGCGCTGATTCTTCAATGGGGCCATCCCGCATTCTGCAGGGACTTGATCGTAAAGCGCTGGCTGCAGTCCAAGACGAGGCCGTTACGGTTGGATAAATTGGATGCAGATAAGTGAAAAAATACTCACGAAGCAGGGAGGGAGGGGGACACCAAGAGGCCGGTGAAGACGGGCCAGGCGAACGAGTCGAGGAAACCGAATTCGACATGGGCAGCTGTGACGTCCGACTTCAAGCCGAAGGCTGAACGTTTGAACTCGGTCGTTACAAAATGTTGGGTGGACGAGTCGCCGGCGGGATCGTCATGATTCTGTCATCGCCCGCTCACCCGCTCGCGCCCCTGCCTACGATGATTCGATGCAGAACGGAACGCCGCGCGTGGGTCCACCTCCTCGCGAGCAGCCGCGTCGACGCCGAGATCCCCGCGCGGTGAACAGAGGCGGAGGCCGCCCACGACCGTCCGCTCCGCACCCTCGCCCATCGCCGATGCCCGCCTGCGCCGACGTCGGCCGCCCGTTCCCCGCCGCGCCATGACGTCATCCGTTCTCGCCGCCCGCTGTGGCAGCCGCTCAGGATAGGGGCTGTCTGCTTGAGCCTGTGGGCTATATAACGCGCTTTTGCTCGCTGCGAACGTCAACCCAATCCCCTCCCATACCTCCAGTACTACTCTTCGCTGCTTCTCATCAATTGCAATGGCCAACCCAGGAAACGTGCGTATCGCCTATTACGTCCTATGTCTCGCCGACTCACGCATTCAATCAGGTTGCACGCGGCCTCAGTAAGACATCTCTCTGACGACACTCTGCTCCGCACGTCTGACGATGCTGCCGCGGCCTGTTTTAGAGGGCGCCATCTCCAATCCGAACACTTCCGACGACACCCGCGAGCGCGTCCAGAACCGCCTCAACGAGATGTACGAGCGCGGCGAGCTCGACAGCCCGGAGGCGCACGCCGCCCAGGTCGAGCGGGGCCACAAGGTGAAACGGTCTTTCCATAGTCGCATTCTAGTCCAATCACTCACATGTGCGGCCTTTCTGCAGGCGGCGATCTCTAACACGCACAACAGCGAAGAGAGCAAGCAGCGCTCTCAGAAGGCGCTCGACGGATGAACCCGAACGATGGTGATGCGGAGTATATGGCTGAGAATGACCCGTGATTAGTGTACTTCATATGGCGCAGCGAACAGACTCTTGTAATAGCGGAATAAACGATGAGGGTATTGCAACGAGTATTTTTGTATGCCGTAAAGAGTGTCGGGAGTTAAGCAGTGATCGACGTTTGCGTGGCGAAACATCTCGTACCAAACAGTCGATCGATCTCTTCCTACTCGATAGATTTAAAACCAACAGGGTATCGTATTGTATGGGCACATACACACAGTGCTATGTAATCTCAACTCTCCGAAGGCATTGATATTCGTGAGTAGCAGCGTAAGCCGGTGCTCTATGGACATGATCAGAAACGCAATACTACTGGTACCCGGCAGTGTATAAAGCAATGAATAACCGCGCAGCGCAAAGAAAAGAAGAAAGAACTAACGTGGCGTTGCAGACACCAGGGCGGGTCGTGAGCCTCCAGGTCGACGGAGAAGATGTAGGACGGGAGGCAATTAGCAGTAGCAGCGGTAGTAAGGATATCGGTTATAGAATACGTATGCAGTGTTTGGAGTAGCGTGCAGGGGAGAGTAGTTGTATGTGTGGCAGGCCGAAAAAAACAAAGGAAGTGGAATGAATTACTCTCAGTATCATAACCGCCAGAGACGGGCATCAGAAGGCAGCTGGTCGTCGTCGTCGCTGGCGCAGGCGGACGAGACGAGAAGAGGGAGGGCCGGTGGTCACTTGATCTTGCGCAGCTGCTTGATCGCCGCGTGCATCTCGAGCTCGCTCCGGCCCTTCTCCCGCCGGCTCTTGCGCTCCCCGCGGAAGAAGTAGCTCCGGCTCTCCGCCGCGACCTCCACCGTCGTCGACCACGACCGCCCGTGCACCTGCATCGGCGACGCGGGCCGCGCCTCCCCCTCGGGCGACACGGGCTCGAACGAGTGCAGGGACTGGAACGGCCCGGGAGACGGCGTCGGCGCGGGCGCGGGCGACCGCGGCACGACCGCGGTCGACGGCGACGAGAGCGGCAGCGGTGGCGAGAGCGGCGGCAGCGACGGCGACGTGGGCGAGCGCGGCAGCTCCGACGTGACCAGCGGCGGGGGCCGCGGCGACGTCGCCTGCGCGCGCCGCGCGCCCTGCTGGCTCCTGCTCCCCGCGCTGAGCGTGCGCTTCCGCGGACGCCGCTGCGCCTGCGCGTGCGAGTGCGACGACGCCGACGCGGGCGCCGAGCCGCTCTCGCCGGACTCGAACGTGCGCGTGCTCGCGCCCGACGGCGAGAACGGCCGCCGCGGCCGCGTGGGGCTCGGCGGCACGTCCTTGTCGCGGTTCGGCGTCGGCGGCGCGCCCCCCGTGCTCGCGCTGTCCCTGCGTTCCCGGCTCCGGCTGCGCTCCCGGCTCGACGCGCCCTCGAGAACCGCGAGCGCGCGGGAGACGGCGGGGCGCGCGGCGGGGGCGGGATCGGGATCGGGAGCGGGTAGTGCAGCCGAGCGGCGGGGGAACAGACGGTCCGGGGGAGCCGGGCGCGGACGCAGAGGAGCCGGGCGGGACGAGCGCGCCCGTGATGTCGCTCAGGCCGACGCCGAAGAAGCGGGACAGCTTCGCGGCGCGCAGGCGGCGCGTCCGGAAGTCGACGGGGCTGCTCGCCTCGGACGTCGACGCGGCATACCCGGGCGAGGACGGCGCGGGTGGGGACGTCGGCGCGGAGATCGAGCCGCGCGAGGGGAGGGGCAGGTTCGTGGCGAAGGTCGTGCGACGGAGAGAGCGAGGATTGCGACGTGCGGGGGCGGACGGGGGAGAGCGGAGTGAGCGAGTGGGAGGGAGAGAGCGTGTGCGACTGTGCGAGGAGAGCGAGGAGCCGACGGAGAGCGACTGCTGGCTTGGCGAGGTCAGGCGCTCGTAGACGGTCGGGATACCGAGCGGGGGAGGCAGGAACATGTCCAGCGTCGAGGCGTCGGGGAGTTGAGGTAAGGAAGCCCCACGTCCGTCGCAGCGTCCTCTGCGTCCGACATGGCGTCGGGAGTGCCTTCACCAGACGAAAGCTCGCGATCTGGGTTCGCGAAGATGAGCGGTGAGATGTTCCGGGGGTGCCCTCGAGATCCGCCGAAGCTCAGCGTCGAAGATGGGCTGTGTGGGCGTAACGGACACAATCGTCGTGTGCGAGTGCCGTCTCCGTGTGCACTGCGGTCCGAAGGCGCCTTCGGTCTGGTGCAGATGCGGCCGTCGAGAAGTTCGTGATCTGGAACAACGCTGGCGGGACATCGTTGCCGAACATCTGTTGTGGGGGCCGCGCTCGTCAGCGTCCGAACACTAACAGGGAGCCAGAAGCGGGGCACGTACCTGAGCCATCTTCCTCGCGCGCCGGACGTTGAGCGCGCGCTGGCGCTCGGCGGGCGAGAGCAGCGCGTCGTCATCGAAGTCGACGATGTCGACGTCGTCCATCTCGACGTCCGAGTCGACGAGCAGCCCGGGTCGTCTGCGCAGCGTCTCGGGGGCCCCCGCGGTGTGTGGTCGCGCCATCCGGGTGTGGCGGAGGGTGCTGTTGGACTTCTTAAGCACCCCGCGCCTGGCGGCTCCGCGCTAACGGTGAAGGACGGCGCGGGTGAGTCGGGCGTGGGAGCCCGCGCCTCGAAGCTTAGCCGCCGCTTCCCGACGCGATCACCACGCTGAGACCGCTTCGCCGGGCGGGTGCTGCTCTCTGCCGTGGGCGCCGCCCGCAGCTCCTGCGACACCTCTGCGAGCGAGCGCGTCGAGGGCGACGCGGCGGGCTCGCGCGGCGGCACGGGGACGACGCGCGGAAGAGCACGTGCGGCGGGACGTTCTCCCCGAGCTGGCGGGTGAGCTTCGCGGCGCGGGCGCGCTGGACCTGCTCCGGCGTGCGCTCCGGCGGGACGAGGTTGAGGGACGAGAGCGAGTCACGGCGTGAGGAGTGGGAGAGCACGGAGTCGCGCCGGGAGCGCGCGGGCGTGAAGGAGACGCGGACGGCGCGGCGGCCCTGACCGGCTCCCCACCACCCTCAGCCGAGGGCGTGATTGGCGAGGGCGGCAGCGGGGGGAGGGCGCGCTCGTCCCGCGAGAAGGCCAGGTTGAGGGACGGGCGGAGGGACGCGAGCGAGCGAGCGCGGGCGATCTGCTTCTGCTGGGCGAGCCTGTTGTGCGCCACGGTCGCGCTCCGGCTGAGCGAGCCCTTGTGGCCGATCGGGAGGCGGAACGCGGAGGACGAGGGCGAGGAGGGCGGGCTCGCGAATTGCGCGTGGAGGTCGGTGGCGTCTTGGACGGCGACGGCGACCGGGACCTCGCCGAGGATGCGGCTGAGCTTCCGGGATTTGCGGAGGAGCTTCGTGCGCTCGCTCGGGTCGAGGCCATCGGAGACGGGGACGGTGAGGAGCGGCTGGTCCTGCCTGTGCATGAGAGGGGAGAGCAGCGGGCTCCTGAAGGTGTCGCGCTTTGGGGAGGGCAGCGGCCTCGGGAACGGGGCGGGGTCGATGGAGGGGCGCGCGGCGGAGAGAGAGGGCTTGGAGAGGGAGAGATTGAGGCTGAGGGAGAACGACTTGCGATTTGGGTTCGAGGCAAGGCCGAGCATGGTGGGGCGCGAGGCCCGGCGAGGCGGAGAAGGAGGGGCGCGGGCTAGAGGGAGAGGTGGGGGTGGTGGAGTATGGTACTCAGCATATGCATGCAGAGGAAGAGGGTGGAGAGAAGGACATGGTTGGCCGGAAGAAAAAGGCGCGGGGGCCGTTGCAGCCTCCAGGCGGTGGACAAGCTTGTCGCGGTGCCGGCCGCGGGCACGCGCACGGCCGCTCACGTTGGCCGCCCGCGGCGTCGCGTACGCACCATCCTCAGTCCTCGCGACCCGCCGCACGGCCATTGGTCCGCCCCGCTTCGCGGCCTAGCGTACGATCCGGATCTGCCTCCTCTCACCAACGAGGCGCGAATATATCAGTGCCCCGGCTCATCACCTGCCCGCGTTACGCGACGCGCCTCGAAGCCTGCAAGTCAGGGCGGGGCAGACTCCTTGGACCAGCTGTCAAAAATAAAGCGTTGGCTCTCCTCGGACCCGCTTCACACTGACCGCAGCGCATTCCTGGTCCCAGTGCCTCGAGCCAACCTTGCGCAGCCCGAGAGCGCCGCCGCGGAGGCGGGGCAGCAATCAATTCGATCAGACGATGGCGACCAGCTACGTAAGCGCCGCCGCCCGCGATGCGCGGCGGGTGCTTAGTATGCTTACTAGTGTCTTCCGGAGCTGCATCCCCTGCCTCCCCCTCATTGGTGCACAGACTCGAGATAGCGCAATGTACCCCCATGAGTTTATTAGAGCGAACGGAGGGGAAGTGAATCAGACGCAGATGTGCAAACTATGGCCGGACATCACGTCGGCAAAGACGAAGCGCCTGGTGTGCGCACGGGTCCTTGCTCCTCTTCGCCATGGACGCTTCTTCAGGCCTGGTTGACAGGAGGACGCTCTGGGAGAAAGATAGAATGAAGTCCTGAAGACGATGTGCGGTATGCTAGAATGCGAGTGTGACAAATAATACATGATATGCAATAAGACACGGACATGCAGTGACCAGATCCAGCTACTCACTCACGAGTCACGACGACCAACGCCAACGCCAACTCCTCCTGTCGCCCGTCACCACAGCCCAACTCCCGGACGACCGAAACAAAGTCGAGGCGCGGCTCGTCAGAAGACGGCTCACGTATCAAGCATCGCGACCGTGGCGCTCGGCTGGCGCGTGTACGGGCTCGAGGGCTGTGACAGGCTCTGCCGTCGCGTGAGCTTGTCGGCGAGGACGGCACGGACGACTTGGTGGATCGTGTGTTTGAGCCTTGCGCCTGATCCCCGTCGTCGCTACCGTGCCCGTGTCCTTTCGCGGTCGTCGGCGTGACCGCGGTCGAGTCCTCGGCCGTCCCCGTCCCCGTCCCCGTCCCCGTCCCCGTCCCCGTCGAGTCCTCGGGCGTGGGGCCGATCGAGCTGTGCTTGCCAAACAGCATCGAGATGCGGAGGTCTGACGGGAGCTTCACGAGCGAGACGCGCTTCGCCGCCCGCGTCTTGTGCCACTCCTCCGCCTGCTCTTCCGGCATCTCCGACGCCGTGTAGAACTTCTCGTGCAGCGTCCCCGTCCGCGGGCCGTCGTGCTGCTCGTCCGTGCTCACCGTGCTCTCCATCGAGTGCTGCGCGGTGAGGCGGCAGGGCGGACCCGCGTGGGGGATTCGCGCGGAGGCAGCGACGATTCCGACGTGCGCGACTCGGGCGATGGCGACAGCACGGGCGAGCCCAGTAGCAGCGTCGGGTCAAGCGAGCGAGGATGCCAGTCTGCACCTCCGGAAAGTGCGGAATGGAAGGACTCTGCGAACGACTCCTCCTGCTGGTCCCTGCGCGAGCCCGCGCTCGGCCGTCGGGAGATCGAGAGCGGCGTAGACGACGACGACGACAGGCCGTGCCCAGTGCGCGTCACATACTCGGAGAGCGTCAACGTCGGGGGCCGGGCCGTACGCTCCCGCTCCGCCTCCCGCTCTCGTGCCGCCTGCTCGGCCTCACGCTGTGTCACGAGCCGTTGCGTGGCGGCGCGGAGGGCCAGGTGCTTCGTCCGCCGCCAGTCGCGCTGCTCTGCGGCGAGATCCTGGAGGAGCACGTCGCGGTGGCACACGAGCCGCTCGACGTCAAGGCGAACCTGCATAACGTGTTTGGCGACGCCCTGAACGGCCGTCTGCAGGCGGTCGCGCGTCGCGCGTTGGAACGGCGTGAGGACAGCGACGTTGCGAATGAAGCGCATGTCCGTGTCGAGTTGGGTACGTGCTTGTTCGAGGCGCTCCTCAATGTCTGCCACCTTGGCGCGCACGACCTCAGGGCGGGACGATATGCGGGGTTTAGAGGAGCTCGGTGGATGTCCGTTTGCAGCGCCGTTGGCGGTGACGGGGGCTTGGGAGTGAGAATGCGAGTGTGAGGGGGGCAGGCCGGCAGGATTTGAGGGCGAGCCGAGGGTGGACTCGAGGCTGTATGCACGTTTGCGCACCGAGCGGATGCTCATGACGTCGTCGGGGGTGCGGAATTTGCCCGTCGCGAGTTCGGTCTTCACTTCGTCGAAGGTAGCCTTGAAGAGCCGAGACGTGTTTTCCAACGGCGGTGAGTTGAGGTCCGACCCGACTGACCCGACCGACGTCTGCCGCCCGTGAAGATCCACGGGCGATGTGGGCTCCGGCTCCGGTCCGCTCCCGCGAGGGATGTCCCCCGACAGGCGTCCGTTCCAAGTGCGGATCACGGGAGAAGGCGCGCCTTTGTCGAGGTGCCTCACGTCGTTGAGGTGTGACGCTGCCGCGGCGTATCCAGTGAGCTCGATATCCTTGCTCGACAACCCCAGCGTGCGCATTCGCACCCCGGCTGACTTGAACGCGCTGGCGTAGTTGATGCGAGCGATCCACGCGTTCATATCTGCTTCGTCGTGTGCTTGCAGCAAGTACTGACGACCATCTGGGAGTACGAGTCGCAGGGTGTTGGGGTACTGGGCGTCCCTCGTCAGCATTTCATTGATATACAAGCAATCGGATCGCACACCTTGGCATACGACTTGTCGAATACCGCGACTGTATTGCGCAGGGACACCAGCTCATCGGGCTGTGGCAACGAGTTCTGCGGGAGAACCACCTGGCCGTTCGTCGCCTCCCCTTGCGTCTGCAGGTTGCCGATCCACGACGCGTCCCGGAGGAACAGTATTTGTGATCCGGTCAGCACGACCGCCCACTCCCTCCACTTCCGGCTGATGGCACGGCGTCCACCCTCGGTCGTGTCGTCCTTGCGTAAGAGGAGACCGACCTTGGTCACCTTGATGAACGACACGCCGTTTGCGAGGTTCGACGGTGAGTAGGGAAGCGGGCTGAGTGCCGGCTGGAAAATCGGCCCGGGTCCGCCGGCCACGCTCATGCCAAACCACGGAGTCCCCATGTACTTGTTCTCCATCCCGGTGACCTCGACCATGGTTGCGACGGCGAAAGCGCGTTGCAACTCATCCTCGTTCCAGGCGCCGGCAGTACCCTGGTAGAAGTAGGGGCTTTCGGGAGGAATGAACGAATAGACGTCCACTTTCAGATCTCCAAGTAAGTTCTATCGCAATCTAGTCTGAGCAATGGCTTCCTAAAATGTAATACTGGGGACTCACTCGCGCGATGAGATAGTAGGGATCGATCTTGTTGTTCTTCCCGAGCAGGTTAGTGCCAGAGCCGCCAGGCGACGGGGTTCCGATTGTGGACATGCGTCGGGAGATGGCCTCAGGGATCAAACCGCGCTGTCCGGTAGCGTCCAGGGGATCCTCGATGAAAATGAACGGAGCAAAGACGATGTTGTCATAAAAGCACTTAAGGTATGTTCAGCAAACGACGGTTGAACGAAATCATCATAACTCACGTCGAGAACCTCATGAGCTACACCTGGTAGTCGGGCATTCTTGATATAATCCGCTTTCGTCATCTTTCGTTTATTGGACTTGTTGAAGGCGTCCGTATGCAACATTATAAGGCTAAATGCTAGGATATATGGATGGTCTGTGCACCAGGAATCAGCACGTACGATGTAATGATCGACGCAGATGAGCGCACCATCGGATGAGAATAAGTTAGGATTACACTGGACATATCGCGCAGCGAACGCCTCGACGACTCGGTCTATTTGCTGCGTTTCGCGCGGAAGACCCACTTCCATAAGCAGCTTCCGAACGGCAACATCAACGGGATCGCCGACAAAATTGAAACGCTCGATGTAAGCACGGAGCGCTCGTGAGTGAAACTCGTCGGCACTACAGAGAGGAAGGAAGGTCAGCATTAGTACTCAGAGATCCCCGAGAGAGCCTGATGTGAAAAGCCTTGAGAACACGTCTAATGTGACCATACGCTCGCAACAACCGGCGGCGGTACTTGGGGCAGGGACACCATCCGAGACACTCCGCACCGTGTACAATCCCGTGCGCAGTCACCGCCACGATCAAGCGAAAGTGAAGATAACGAAGTTCCAGCCAAGGCGGATCAGAGAGACGCGACTAATCATGCATACGTACCTAGACGCAAGTATCCCGGCGATCTCAGCTTTGCTGACAACGTCAACCAGCCTGGAAATGTATCCCTCTGGCGACTCCTCGTCCGACCTCGGTCTGGGTATTTCTATTGACGGCTTGGATAACGACGGGCGGGCAGACCCGAGACTGGATGGAGGTGACGTCACGGCCGGGTCTGGCAGGTTGGGCGAGCTTGAGGTTGTCGGGGTGGGGGTATTTGACGATGATCCGCCAAACAAGTTGACAGACAGGCGGTGAAGGAGGGGAGGATTTGTGTGGGCTCGGGTTCGCTGTGGGGGCGGGGGCGACGTCTGCTCAGGAGGGTGGGGGTGGGGCGGTTGCGCGTGTTGAGGGGTAGGTAAGGGTGAAGACGTAGGTGATGATTGTAGCGGCCGTGTTTCAGCGAAGAACGACAAGCGAGGGCTGCCTGGCGAGTCTGCTGTCTGCGGTCGTGTCGATGCACGCTTTCGGCGCGCGTACAGCGGCGTTGTCGGTATCACTGTTGGCGCGTCTGGGAGCGAAGGCCGTCCGTCGTCTTTTCGGTGACTCTGTTGGCGCGTCCGTTCGGAATGTCTCCGTTGTAGCTCTGACGGCTGCTTCGGAGCGGAGAGATTGGACGTCGAGGGTGCTGGGGCATGTGAACCAGGAGTGGGAGTACCGATAACAAAGGGAGATATGGGGGGAAACGCAGGTAGGGTGGGTTGAATTTGTGGAGGAGAGGGTGCAGAGGGCTCCGGGCGGGAGTTAACTCTCCTTCGAGTCCAGAACGAACCTTTGCGACTTAGTGGCTTGGGCTCCGCCGGGCTATCGGGTTCCCTCTGCTTGCCTTTGACGTCTGAAGACGACATGAGGTTGAGAGGACCGAGCGATAGTCCGCGCGTTCGCCGACGCTCCCTTGGTAAACCGTTCAAATCATCTCCAGAATCCACAGATGGTTCCTTGTAAAAGCTCTTCGCGTGCCGCATCACGGAGTTCGAGGGCCTGATGTGTCCGGTAGATGTGCTGGGAGAGGGAGGGACAAAGGAGATGGTATTGAGCTCAGTCGTCGATGGAGAGGCGTGGGGGAGGCCAAGGCCAAGCGCGGCGCGAGCGAGGGCAACCTGAGACGAACTCGCAGACTCCCCGAGCGCGTAGGATGCGCGAGAGACGGGCTGTACGGAGGACGCACGCGAGGACGCGAGAGACGGCGCGCCAGACTTTGTGACCGCCCTCCTTCTCGAGCCGTGGGGGTCGTCTCCTTCGTTGTGGGAGGGCACGTCCGGAGATAGACGAGTGGGGGGTGTGAGATGCTCAGGACTGAGCTCGGGTGTTGGAGGCAGGTCTTTGTTTCTCATGCGCATGTTCGGGGTGTTGGACGAGGACGCGAGGGTTGCTCCATAGAGCCCGAGCTCGTCTGTTGAGCGAGCGGCAGAATGGCTGGACGGATATGCGGGAGGGCGGCGGCGCCAGAGAGGAAGAGAGAAGAAATGAGTGGTCTGGGTGGTGGTCACCACATGGGTCGTTGTTGATGTCGTTGCCTCAGACGCGTAGAAGGAGGGGTCGGTGCCATCGGGAGCGTGTGTCTGGGATGGAACAGGAAGCTGCGTTGTATTACGAGGATGCTTTGCGGGGGAGCCCTTGTTGGAGAGGCCAAAGAGCGCAACCATGCCACGGCCGGGGGGTGGAGAAGAGGGAAGCGTCCGGAGGGAGCTCCAGGATGGCGAGCAGAGCAGGTGTATGCGTCGTCGTCGTCTTCAGGCTCGTCCAGCTCGCGGGCAGGAACGCAGGATCATAGGATTGGTTGCTGTTTCGGGAATGGTGTGGGTCACGTGTCACGGCCCGCATTGCCAGGACTTGGACGCGGACGCGGACTCCGCCTCACGCCGTGCACCATGTACACGGACAGCGCGAGCAGGGCTCCGGACCCGTTCTCCGGCAGAAGACTGTCCGAGAGCACGGCGGCCATGCGTGCGTACGCGGGTCCGGCCCTCCTCCCGAGGGCGTGAGGATCCGACCTCCATCTGCATCGATGGCCACACCCGCCATTTCTTCTCCGCTCCTTTCTCTCCCAACGATGTCGCCCCGATGACTTGCTAGCCCGTCTCACCCTCTTCTCCGCACTCGACCATCCCTCGACCATTTCGGCCGCATATCTTCGTACGCTCATTCTATCCCGCGTTCGTATTGAAGTAGTATCCTGAAATATTCCGCCAGGACTTGCGATCATTGAGTGAGGTCTGCTCTCACAATGTTGGTCGTGACTGTTTTCATAACAGGAAGGCCCCCTCAACAGCCCCCACAATGGAGGACACCATCTCCCAGATTCATCTTCAGGTTACCCAGTGGTGGCGAGGCAAGGACGCCCAGGGAAACATCCAGCCCCTCTCCTGGGCCCTCACCTACAAAATCTCCGGCTCGGACCATCGTCCTATGGGCACCAAGTACGGCGTGGCGGGTACCATCGACACCTACGCCTATGAAGTAGACCGCAGCGTCCCCATCCGACACGAAGGCTGGCGCGGATCGCTCGTCGTGGGCCGCATAGCGCCGGACGCCCTCGAGCAGCTCGAACGCATCCTCTCCCAGATTCCGGTCGTCCGTGGTGATCCCTCGTGGAACTGTCATAACTGGGTCTGGCACGGCATCCGCGAGCTCAGGCAAGCAGGCTTCATCATCGATCCAAACCTCACCTGGCAGGGTCTCCGAGACAAGATGCTGGAGCTTCTAGAAGCTTGGGAGCGGGGAGACATTTGAGACGTGGCCTGTCCAAGGTCGGGCTCGTTCAAATGTCTGCTTGTGCGCGCCTGTGAGTTTTTGATGCATATGTCCAGAGCCCAGTCTGATTAGTCCTCTGTTCATTCATATTCACTAGGGTTTGGTTGGAGATACTACTCATTACTTTTGGTGTTCCAATTTCAACCACTTTGCCAGTCGCATACAGATATTACCTTTATGCACTAGGTCAATCGCAACAGGTTTGAATTCGGCTGAGTACACCATCTGCCAAATTTTGCATAAGGCGCTTGGTTCACACCTCCCAGAAAGATATCATTCCTAGATCGAAGGGATCAGCACTGCTATGGCCGTCATGCTTATTTGACGTCGTCGGTGTACGCGTGTAATAGGTTTACGGCGCAAGTTAGGTTCAGAGAACGGGTCAGAGACGATGTATCTACGACGACACAATACAACAGACTAGCACAAAAAGGGGAGACGAAAACTATGTCTTGGATCTGCGCTTTTTCTCCTTCTCTATCGCAAGCTTCTTGACCTCGAGTTGTTGCCTCTACAGCCTCGGTTAGTCCAAGCATGACAGCAAATGAACGCTGGAGACGTACTTCGGCGGCCCGTTTTTTCTCTCCGTACTTCATGCGCTCGTACAGCTTCCGTTGCTTGTTGCTCATCATCATCTTGTTCATGTCCTGCTCCGCCTCGTCCTCCTTTGGAGCCCCAGCCTTCTTTGCTTTCTTCTGCGCCTTCCGCGACTCCTTCTCAAAGGTTCCAACGTCCACGCCCGCGGCCTCCGCCTCGAGCTCCGCGACCCGCAACGTGGCCGCATCCTCGGCGGCGGCGGCAGCCTTGAGCGCAGCCTTCGCCGCACGAGCAAGCTTCGGCTCCTTCTCGTCGTCTTCCTCATCGTCCTCCTCGATGGCCTCTTCCCCGTCCTCTTCGCCAAGGATGACCTCGTCCTCCATCTCCTCGTCCTCCACCTCCGCAAGACCCGCCGTCGGGTCGTACGCGTCGGCGCGCTCCCCAAACGGACTGAGGTGCGGCGGGAGCGTCTTGCCCTGCGCGTAAAGGCCTTCGAGCAGGATCTTGCCCGCGTTCACGCAGTCGACGGCCCACTGCGGCTGCACGTACTTGCGCCGGAGCCGCCGCTCGCGCTCCGCCTCGCTCTCGCCCGCGCGCTGCACGACCGGGCGGTCGATGATGACGTGCGTGATCGACTCGTCGTCCTCGACGACGGGCGAGCCGTCGCCAGAGGTCGCTGGCCAGCCTATCCGACCCCCGTGCGAGCGCACGATGAACTCGAAGATCGGCCGCGAAGTCTCACGCGAAAGCCAGAAGGTATACGGTGCAAAGAGTTTTGAGGCGGTGGATTGGGGGAGCGTGGAGAGCGTCTTGAGAGTGGGAAGGGCAGCGGTGGTAAAAGCGGGGGCAGAGGGGGCGTCGTCGGCGTTCTCCTCGGTCGTGTCCTCGACGAACTCTTCGTCCTCCTCGTTCGCTGGGGCAGATTCGATAGAGTTCATCTGTACGTCCTCTCCGTCCGCGGACGCGGCGGTAATGCTTTTGATCGTTTGCCGGACGTCTTTGTTGGAGACGCGCTTGCCATCAACCTCGACAACTTTGGAGGAGCCATTGGTTGCTGGTCGCGCGTCTTTCGCCTCCTGTAAGCTGAATGCACCGACGCCTGCAGCGCCGTCATCCTTCTTGGTGTCAAGTGGGGGTGGATATACGAGGCCGGCATCCGTGTATAGCTTGAAAAAAACGAATCCGAGGAGGGTCTGATACAATTCCAAAAACGTAAGCATGACGCGCACGTCGACGTCTGTGGGGATCTAAGGCAGAGCCAGGGTTAGAGTAGATAGACGGTACGTCGAAATCACTCATACCGTTTGAGTGAATTGATACGGAACGAGCCAGGTGACGGTCTGGTCGAAGACTTCGGCTTGGTAGTACACGCCCTTAATGGAAAGGAAGACCTTGCGCAGGGCGTGTGTATGCATGACATATAGTTGCCATTCCGATGCGAGCCGCGCACAGTTTTCGACGAGGGTAGGGGAGACTTTGGAGTCGGATGGTAGGGACGCAAAGAGGAAGTCATGCAAAGTGCATCGTCGATATCTCGAACGGCGTCAACGAAGGTGGGATACCTGAATGCATGCACGCGCATAAGACCTCAGTGGCAGAGGGTAGGGATGAATGGCATACCGCTCTTTGATGATATGGTCCAACCGGTACACCGGCTTGTTTTCCTCCAGGCTTTTCGCGCTACTCCATTCGCCCCTTCCCAACGCCCTGGTGAGCTTCTTCGCGAATGCCTTGTGCTCTCTGAGCTTCCGGAGGACTGGCTCGTGGGCGAGGTACGCGATATCCTTCGCATAGTAAAAGTTGGTAGGTGCAGAGGACCCCTTGTTCGCCTTCTTGCGACTACGAGGCTCCCTGGGATATATGCCTATAGGTGTAGATATTAGTAAGCCGTAACGAGAAAAGTCAAGTATGTGCTTACCCTTCAGGATACACAACCTCCGGAAGTCTGCAAGAGAGCACTGAAGTTTCTTGATCGCCGAGGAACGGGTGACATAAGCCTTGGCTGCTCCAGCCTTGCCCTTCTGCTTTAACCGACCCATGCCGCGGGATGAGGTGAGTAGAGTGCGTGAGGAGAGAGGAGGGATGGCGGAGTGCTCAGTGGAAGGACCGATCAAGAAGCGCTCGCCCAAACTTTTCGACCGAGACGCGGGCGCTTCGTGATCCATGGCACGCGCGATCAGGATTCAGAGTGCGCCTCGCGTCCGACCCAACCTCCGTCTCCCCCGCCATCCACCATGAGGTCTGTGCCATGTCTTGCTCCCCTGTGCCCCATCGTGCTCACGTCCTTCGCTTCCTTTCATGCGTCTAGTCAATACGTTCACGTCCCGAAGTCGGAGCTCGATGAGGCTCAGCTCCGTGCGCTGGAAGAGCATGAAATTAGCCAGGGCCCCTTGTCCGTGCTGCAGCAGGCGGTTCGAAATCACACGCAAGTCCTCATTTCCCTTAGAAGCAACAAAAAGCTGCTAGCACGTGTCAAGGCGTTTGACAGACACAGTAACATGGTGAGTGACTCTCTTTACTGCCCGACGACTATGGGCTCATGCACTTTGATGTGTAGGTTCTGGAGAATGTGAAGGAGGCATGTAACATCTTCTACCTCTGCGAGTTGGAAACCTGATGCTGGATTAGATGTGGACAGAGATGCCCAAGGGGAAGAACAAAAAGCCTGTGAACAAGGACAGGTTCATCAGCAAGATGTTCCTGCGGTGAGTACGGCCCACTTTCTCATTTGACCTGAGCTGATATATGCCTGATATGCTTGATCTTATTGAAGGGGAGACTCTGTGATCCTAGGTATTGTTATTAGCAGTTGACGTTGTAGTGATGCTCTAACGATTGTTGTTCCCAGTTCTGCGTAACACTGCATAGTGTTTTCCGCTCTGTTCTGGTGATGACCATTTTGCAACTGCATCGTTTGTGCCTCCCTCATCGCCACCTTGTATCGTGTATTGTATCATTCTGTGATCGGAATTTCATTGCTTTGTGGGAACCACCGTCTCAGACGGTTTCGGTTGTTTAGATATGGTCACATATGTTACCTTCGTCTCACGTGGTACGTTCTCCTTGACATATCGAGGCTGAATGGATAGTCGTCCGTTGAGAGAGCGTTTCAATACAATCAAGAATTCTACAGGACCGTCACGATTCCGCTATACACTGCACCCACTTCCCCCTCAGCCTCCTTAATTGCTTCGAAAACACAGTTCAAAGCGATCCAGCTGAAGCTCCGCGCCCCGAACACGTCACCTTCCATCGTGGCTAGCCGGTACGCGCACCAGGCCCGCTGCAGACTCTGTTCTGCTGTGAGGTCACTCCTTCCTTCGATCTCGCCCCGGATGCTCGCGACAATGTTGGAGGTCTGTTCCCGTATATGCGACATAAGATCCTTTCTTCTTTTTCGCACCGCGGTTTGCGCGACGATCGTTCCAATCTAGTGGCCATTCAATACACGCTCTCGGCAGTTCAGGGCTTAGGCATATCACTTACCATTACTTCCTCCTCGGCCAGCATAGCGTCGGAGGCGAGCGAGAGCGTGTTCTCCATGCAGATGTTGTGCAGAGCAGTGACGTAGCTACGGTAGAGCTCCCACAGCGCAAAGACTTCGTCGTAGTGGCAATGGTGTGGATTGATGAGCTGTGACACTTTGCCTTGAACAGCCTTCCAGAGCGCGGTGCCCGGCGATCGATAGTTCTGATACTCTCCCAGGACGCGTATCCGCTGTTCGTCTGTTCCATGACCCATATGCCTCTGTTGGTAGTTCACAGCGGTCCTTACGGTGCGCAAAGCGGGCAGATCGATTCTGCGGAAAAGCTTGCCAATCGCCTTGTCGCTCTCGTAGTATCTCGGGCCTGTTGCGCCACTTGTCTCCGGGGCACTCCAGTCAGGCTTGAAATCCCTAGGGGGTTGAGGGATGCGACTCGTCGGCACAGGTTGGCCGGATTTCGGGTAGTCCACAGCGAGACTGTGCAGCTCCGCCAACGCGAGACATTCTGTGCTCTCGATCCCGTCCGGCTCCTGGTCTGCGAACGATAGCCAGTTGGTAGCGATGATCCCCACCGTCTGTCGAGCCATGAATCAGCAGGGATGACCGCGAGCGGAGTGAGAGACTGTTAGACTCACGTCGCTGATGATGTACTCGGCGACGAAGTCGGCTACATCGACCATCGTGCTCTCGTAGGGAAGCATCTTCCGTGGGGCGGCCTTGTATGCGGCCGCGGACCAAACCTCTGACTCCTGCGGTAGCAGCTCCGCCCGCGAAGTGACCAGATACAGATCTCCATCCAAATCACCTCCCCCGAGGCCGAAGGTAACGGCCGGGACCCTGTATGCGCCACGAGATAGTAAGAACACAACTCAGCTTGTCATCGAGCGGCAACGCACCGTGAACCGAAAAAACGACCGTGTTCCTGAGAGATTCCCTCGCGAAAGGGGAGCCAACAGGGGGTTTCCCGATAGCGTAGGCCAGCTGTACATCGCCCGGGTGGATGCAGGGCGAGCGAGTAACCATGACCGGCCCTTCTAGGTAAACCAGGCGTTGGTCTGCGTCTCCACACAAGCAAACACTTGGCCTTCGTGCAGGTAATGATGTACGTCCGCGACCCCGACCAGTGCCCAGCTGTCATCTCCAGGAACGGGGATCCTCGCTTGATGTTTGAGTTCCCGCAGGACGTGGTTAATTGCGAAGTCCATCATGTGTCTCCAAAAGATGTCGTCCTTCGGAGGCTGCAAGCCGAGCTTGTGAAGGCTGAGCATGGTCGAAGTTAGACGAAAAGCTGTTCCGAGGCCATGTGCCTCAAGGAGCTTGGCCGACGCTTGGAGCGATATAGTTGCCCTCTGCGCTTCTCGGACGGCGTCGTCTTGTAAGTCGCGAAACACCTCGTACGGAACCCCGACTCCTTCTAGGAGCATGATGAGCGGCCTGTTGAGGTAGAAGCGAGTCGGCTTGTCGAACGCCCTCGCGATCTCGATGTCCAGAGAGAGGTTGTCCTCGAACTTGATCATCGAAGGGCGAATGACAATGGCTCTGTCAGGTAGTCTGTAGTCGACACTGAGCATCCCTTTGGATCCCTGGAAGCGAATCTGGTACGCTCGTGGAGGCAATTTTCCTCTACGTCCTTGCCGACGGCGCATCTGCAGCTGCGCCCAGATCTCGTCGGCCAGCCTCGGTGACATGTTGCCGACGCCATCTGTGAAGGTGTACTCTCCGGTAGGGTCCTTGATGTCTCTCGCCACCATGGTTTGCCCGACGCCGATGGACATTGCCGCGTCCGTAGCCGTGAAGGCTTGAGAGATACGAGCTGCATAGCGAGCAGGGCACCGCATGAGGTGAGGGTCGAAAGACAGGTTTCGGAAATTGCCTAGACTAGCAATGATGGTGTCCGCATTCACGAAGTGAACACGACCAGAAGCATCGACATGCTTGAAAGTCTTGACGAACCAGACAGCGTGTTCCTTCAAAGCGGATTGAGAGTAGGCGAGGAACTCGAAATGGGCTCCGGCGACCTCGAAGCCATCGACCATGATATCTCTTACCCGCCGGTCGATGAGTTCGCTTCCGTCGACGTCCGAGTTGAAGCGATATTGAAGACGATCTTCGTCTCTGAAGCTGACGCGTACGAAGCTGTCTTGGTTGCGCCTGTAGGTTCGCATTACGCGATTGGATTGCTCAGGAAATGGGCCAGATAGATGGGTCGTGGTAGGAGTGATGGTCATGCGGAGGCAGTTGAAAGGGGCGAAGGGATCATCGACCTCTAAGATCGAGTCGAGGGAGCCGTGGACGAAAGTTGCGTGATGTTCGGCGAAAAGTTTGAATACGACGTTGTCTGCTTGAGGTCCCCGTCGTCGAGACCCGGTGTCCGGATTGCTAGGCTCGCCGCCGTAGTTGAAGAGGGTCGTCAATTTGGGGACGAAACTACGGAGGAGGGCTGCGGTATAATCTCGACCATGTTGGCGCAAGATTTGGTCGATGGAACGACGGAGTGAAAGCAATTCCACCATGTTCGCGAGCCATTGGCGAAGGATGGCTTCGATGTGAAACACGACTTTCCACGGTAGAGTCTTGGTCCACGCTTCGTAGTCTGACTCGACCGCAGCGGAGAACAAGTCCCGTTGAGCTATGGTATAGACGAAATCCGTAAGTTCAATGCGTGCGCGTTGACATTGTTGCCGGAAAGCCAAGGTCTGTGCAAAGTCGCATACCAGTCGTATGGACAACGACGTATAGGGCGCGAATGGTTCTTGACTGGGGCTGAATGCCGCAAGCGTCGTCGCGGTTTGGGACCACAAGCTGTCATCGCTTCGAGCTCGAAGGCGGGAGGATAAAGGAGTGAGAAAAATATAGCTGGTTCGACGGTTCCCTGGGCTCCGTTCGCCGAAACCCAAGAGATTTGCCGAGATGAATCACAACGACTCTCCAGTGGCCGGGCTCTTCGTCTTCGTCCTCGACGCAGATGCGGAAGTGGCGCAGGGTTTCGTTGAACTCGATGAACCCGGCACCCAGCAGATTTGCCACTCGACAGAAAAGACATGATCCCGACATTCCCATCCGAATTGAAGGGACGAAAAGGATACGCATTCGGACTGCAGGGGGGCTACTGCATCTTCAGGTTCGCCGGTAGTTGCGAGGTGTGGGGGTCTTCGTAAAGTTGAAACCGAAGGCGATCTATGAGCCCGGTCGAGGTTGGCCGTGGCTAGGCGCGAAGCGGACAGTCGTGCTTCCAAGCACAAGGAATTTGTGAGGTGAAGGTAGCCCGTATAATTGAAGGAAGAACTCCGCTGTGTCCTTGGAGGGGAGAGTTAAAGTAGCGCTTTTCCATTGCCCTGGTCGTCGTTGCGGATGAAGCTGTACTTCGAAATTGAAGCGGGGTTGTGAGGGTTGTAGGAAGGGCTGTGCGTGGAGGATGTTTGCGAGTTCCTCCTTGAGTTTGTCCGCTGACATTCCAGTGCGAATCCGGGAGATGTGGATGTCCATGCTGCGCGAAAATCAAGAAACGAAGACTGATACCGTGATGCCAAAGAGATTTCGGACCATTCAGGGGTCACCTGTCACCGGTCAATTTCAGTACCTTCAAATGACCGAGATGAAAACGTATGACTCACGGCCCTGGCTTTGACGGAAGATGGAGAGGAGTGCAGGCCGCGCGAGGTGATCCGCCTGCCTCTGTCAACGGGTCTTGATCGATGTATGTGGAAATACACTAATCTGGCCGCGCTGCCGATGGAAATGCGCAAATCCCCTGTATAAGTTGACAGGGATGCGTGCGATACGCCTGGCCGGCTCCGACACTTGATCGGGGAGCAATCGTTCAAACGGCCGGCTGTGCATGATCGAGACGGCTAAACCAGCTAAGACCCCATTGCCACGGGCATCAGTGCATACGCGTGCCCCTGGTTATCGCAATGTCGTATCATGCCAGATGTTCCAGCCTGGGTCCACTCATCGCAAGAAAGGGATTCGACATAAGCTGAGTTCTAGAACGCGATATTACCGAGAATACAGTACCCACCTGTCGCGGTACGTTTCTTTTGAAGGATGATGTTGGTTGGGGAAGTCGATATTGATTGGATATTAGGCGCCACTGGCAGAAACACGCAGAAGCGCTTGCAAGTCTGGAGATCTCACGACCACCTCACTTCTGCACAAATGTCTTCACATACTATGTCAAGTTCGCGAACACAAATATAGTACAGAGACAAAGATCTTCTTCACATCCTGAGTTACGTTCCACGTCCGCGCATACCCTTAGATCGGTCCACCATATTTCCTCATGCCCTGTCATCAAGCCATTGTCAAATAATGGTCTTTGTGAACGGACATCAATGCAGACTCACCGCCGAGACACCGTGCGTTGCTCGTCTTCAATCTCCTTAATCGCATCGAAGATGCTGCTCATCGCTATCCAAGCGAAGCTCCGCGCCCCAAACACGCCGTCTTCTGCGCTGGCCAAGCGATACCCCAGCCACGCGCGGTGCAGCGACTTGTACCCGGAACACTGTCATCGCCTTCGATCTCAGTTTTGATGCTCCCCACGAGAGTATTTGTAAGCTCTCTCATCTTCGACATCAGATCACTTCTCTTCCTCGGCTGTGAACACTTCGCCACGATAGTTCCAACCTATCCGTGCCCGTAAGGAGTAAGTAAGTGGACGGAAGAAGAACGTGTGACACTCACGGCAGCCTCCTCCTCGGTCAGCATCCTCGAGCGATCATTGGAAAGCGTGTGGTCCGCGCAGATCGTCCGTAGCTGGGACGTGAAGGAGACGTAGAGTTTCCAGATGTCCTCGACCGCTGCATCGTCACGATCCTCCGTGTAAATGAACTCGTCCACGCGTTGCCGGACGGCGACCTCGACCTCGTCGACATCGGAGTCTTCGTAGACCATCTGGAGGGTTTCCTGAGAAAATGTCTCCACTTCGTCGTGACGCTGCAAGCGTCTGCGTTGATCGCGCCGGGTATGTTGAACCACAGCAACTGCGGGCAGATCGATGCGGCGGAAGAGTTTGCCGATCGCGCGACTGCTAGGATAGTAGGATTCGTTTTCTTTCCTCAGGGTCTCCGGGGCATTCCAGTCAGGTTTCTGCTTGTACTTGAGCTTTGGGATCTTTTCTAACGGGACGCGCTGTCCGCTCTTAGGATAATCGACCGCGTCACTATGGAGCTCGGAGAGTGTGAGACAGTCCTTGTCGAAGATTCCTTCCGAACTTTGATCCGCGATGATGAGCCATGTGATGGCTATAATTCCGAGAGTCTGGGAAACACTATAAGAAAATAACGGACAAGATGTAAGGACTCCGAGTGTCCATGGACTTACGTCGCTGCTGATATATTCCGCCACGAACTCGGCAACGTCCTCCATGGTGCTGTCATGGTCAACATATTTCTTGTCCGCCGGTGCATAGGTCGCAGGGGGATAGCTACTCTGTGGCAGGAGGTCGTGTCTTGTAGTCACATTGTACACGTCCCCGTCGAGATCACCACCTCCTAGACAGGACGGCAGAGGTCGATTTCCTGAACCCCAGTTATCAATACAGTCAGGACCACATGACGTGAGCCTCACCTCGTATAGAAAAGACCACAGTGTTCCTAAGCGGTTCCCTTGCGAACGGCGAATTTGGAGGCGGACGACCTATTGCGCGGACAACTTGGACGTCACCGGGGTGGATAGTCGGGGAGCGGGAGACGAGGATGTCTCCAGAAAGGTAGATGAGGCCCGACTCGTGTGGGGAATCAACGCAGGCAAAGACTTCTCCCTCTCGGAGGTATCCGTAGACGTCAGCCACCCCAACAAGGGTCCAACAGTCAGAACCTGGGACTGGGATACGCGCGTGATGCTTCAGTTCTCGGAGGACGTGATTGATCGCAAAATCCATCATTTGTCTCCAAAAGTCGTCGTGGGGAGGCTGGACTCCGAGCTTGTGTAGGTTGACCATAGTCGACACCAGGCGAAACGAGGTGCCTAACCCGTGTGACTCCAGCAGCCGCGCGGATCGTTCGAGAGACTCGATGGAACCTTTGGCACTGGCCTCGGCGTCATCCTGTAAGCTCTCGAAAACGGTGTATGGGACTCCTAGGCCCTCGAGCAACGTGATGAGTGGGCGATTGAGGATATATGGTCCGGGCTTGTCGAACGCGCGTGCGATTTCAATGATCCCGGACCCCGGGGGAGCTTCGAATTTGATCATCGAGGGGCGCAAGAGGATGGACATTCCCTGCTGCGTGTAGTCTACGCTCAACATCCCTTTGGAACCCTGGAAGCGAACCTGGTAGGCTCGGGGATAAGTCCGATCCTTGCGTCCACGTCGTCGTCTTCCTTGCAGTGTTGCCCAGATAGCTTTTGCCAGCTCTGGGGAGATGGTACCGACACCGTCTGTGAAGGTATATTGATTGGTCGCATCTTTGACGTCAGGACCACGCGTGACCTGAGTGACGGGAACTTCGACGGACGCATCTGTAGCGGTGAAGGCCTGAGAGATCCGAGCAGCGTAGCGAGCAGGGCATCTTATGAGGTTGGGGTCGAAGGGTAGGTCGCGGAAGTTGCCTATGCTTGCGATGATCGTTTCGGCATCGACTATGATGGTTTGTCCGGTGGGTGTCCTGTGACGGAAAGGTTTCACAAACCACACCGCGTGCTCCTTCAGAGATGATTGAGAATATGCCAAGAAGCGGAATGGAAACCGGCCGACAATGTTCAGACCATCGAGCAAGACACGTTTAATACGACGATTGATGAAGGCGGGGCCGTCCACTTCTCTGTCGAAACGGAATTGAAGTCGGTTTTCGTCTTGAAAACTAACGCGAAGAAAGCTGTCTTGGTTTTTGGTGTAGGTTCGGATAATGCGATTGGAACGCTCTGGAAAGGGGCCGTCGAGGATCATGGTAGTAGGAGTAATGATCACTCGGAGGCATTGGAAGGGCGCTGTAGGATCCTCGACGGCCGTCGGGTTTTGCAACGGCCTGTGAACGAATGTAGAGGAGACGCGCCTGAAAAGATCGGGGATGGAGGTGACTTCGTTCGAAGAACCGCGTTGAGGAATATTTGTAGAGGCATCTCGATCTTCGCCATACCAATACAGCGCTTTCGCGCGACCCTTGAAGTCTTGAAGAAGAGCGGCCATGTACTCCGGTCCTTCCTCTGGACCCTTGCGCCGAAGAAGTCTGTCGATCGACGGGCGGAGCGCCATGAGATCTGCGAGACTAACGAGCCATGACCGCAGAAGAGCCTCGACCTGAAAAGCCACGAGCCAAGGCAGCACCCACGTGCGGTACTGATCGCGAAGTTCTTGCGAGAACAGGTTCCGCCGCTCAATAGGGTACGGGGAGTCTACGACCTGGGCATGGGCAGCTTTCGCGAAAGTACAAAAGTTCTTGAGGTCTTCGACGGACTCGCACTGAAGACGGATGGCAGAGGAGGTGTATGGAGCTATGTCTTCATGATCTGCGTCGAAGGCGGTGAGACGCTGTCGCTTCGGGGGCTGGCCACCCCCCAGGATGGAGACGATGGCATTGACCGCAGATTCTGATTCGAAAGTCGGAGGATGCATGAGGCTGAACATGATGACCGGGCGGCCCGATGGCTGGTGTACACCTGCCGACACCCAATACGTCTGGTTGGCCCGGATGGCTATGATGCGTGAGCTCCCAAACAGCTCTGTTGCGCTCTCCTTGATGCGAAACTCCCTGCGATCTGCATCGAACTCCAAGGACGCCCGGCATGGTCGCTCCCACTCGACCGAGTAAACGTGATCAACGCAGAACCAGCCGAACTGGATGACGTCGATGTGGACTTCAAGCGCCTGGAGTTCTGTGTTCCGCTGTTCCCGGTCGTAGGCCGCTCGGGGATCCTCATATGGTATTCGGCGAATCCGATCGACGACCTCTGGGCGAGCGGGCTTGTTGCTCAGGGAGAAGAGTATTCGGTTGTTGTTGACAACCAACTGTCGGCGTGGAAGCTGACCGTATACTTCGAGGAAGCGGTGTCCGACTTCCAACGACGGTAGAGTGAGAGTGCCGATGCGACAGGGTCCCTTCTTTCGCGGTTGTATGAAGCGTATCTCGAAATTGAACCTAGGAGCCGCGAGGCCGTGGAAGAGAGGCCCATGCAGGATGGTTGCGAGTTCAAGTGTGAGGTGGTTGACGGAGACGGACTCTGGAATATTCCTGATGAAGATCTCCATCCCAGTGTCTGCCATGATTGCTGGATGGGCATATATCGGAAGGTGCGAGAGTGCAAGAGTGCGAGAGTGTAGGTGGGCAATGGGAGAGAGAAAGAAAGAGGGCGGTAGGGAGAGAGTGCCGCAGGCCTCCTCAAGAACAAGATCATACGCAGCACAGGGAGGGCTTACCGCAGAATACGCCTCGAAGCACACTAGTATTGACAGCTGACGAAAATAATGTTGACATATTTATTCCATGCGCATGTAGTATCTGAAACCGGGCATGTAAACGTGACTTGTCGCACACCGAATGCTTGGGGTATGACACGGCTACCGCAGCACATCTGGAGCATACGAATCGAACTTTGTCATGAGAGGGATCAATGACCCGGCGGGACGCCATCCGTATCGGCGCATACCGGCATCATGTATGTTCCTCGCGAAGAGCATATGAGAATGGGGTGCTCACCGGCGTTGTCCGCGGCCGTATACCCTTCGGTATAATCAGATGCATCGTCTACACATCTCGTGCAACCTAAACGACAGTAGTCACCGCGGTCTACGGTGTCAAAAAGTTCGCCCCAGGAAAGAGTTGCTTCAGTTCTCGTCGGACGGTAGAGATTCGGTCCTCTATCAATGTCTGTGTCGAAGCCTTAGTCTCGCTGAACGTGGGCGAGCATGTGGAGGACGTACCACGTTGCGGATATGCCCGTTCCGCTCAAACTCTGACCTAACCCATGCCAGTGTTTCTTTGCGCGTAGCTTGGTCCGGAATGGCTGATGACGGTTGGAGCGCATGGACGGAGAGAAGAACGAGGGATGCTTACATCGTGTGGCGCGGACTGCTTGGCGGTAGAGGTTGAGCGCACGCTGCTTCAAGATGAAGTGCTTCAAGGTGAGCGCATTCATTGAGAGAATGTCAGAATACCACTCCCGAGACCAACTAGGAAACAGCGAGAAAGTGAGTGTAGAAAAGTTGGGACAAAGGATGTCTGCACGCGGAAGAAGAGAGCGGGCGTCTGGCGCGTGCCTTCGCGTAGAGGCTTCGCTGACACGGAAAAGGTCAAACTCGTCTGCACCTCCTCTGTAGATCCTCTTCTCCCTCACTCCCCTCGCGCCCCGCCGGCATGACTTCTCAGGACACAGATGCCTATCTTTCTGACAACAACGCGCAATCAACAGCAGCCTCCCCTCCTTCCATCGACGACACCGTCGAAGCAATTGCCAATGTCACTTTGCAGGACGAGGTAGTGGAAGAAGTCGACAAGAAAAGCACGGACTCCCCACCTCGCCCCCTCTACGTGTACCCTCGTAATGAGCTCCTCAACCTTCACAATTCTCCCTTGGTGGGTCCACCGATAGGTATGCCGGTGTTCAAGGATTGGTTTGGGTGCGTTGCACATACGTCAACTGTCAGCTATCCGCAACTCAATCCACTCCGTGTAGCGATTGGAACGAGCAAGTTGGAGGTAAGAAAGAATCCGATTCATCGGCTACTACTACTGCTAGAGACCGTCGGTGCGTCTTCAAACCATGCGCCAAAGATGTTGTTTTAATTCGCAGTGTTTTAGCTTCCGCAGAGATGCAGATGATGGTGGTATGTCCATCCCCATCTGCTTGTTCTTGCTTCGCGTCTTATGCACTGGATTTTAGACTCGGCGCGTACATCGTTCCGTTCTGGCCTCTCGCAGCCCTCGCAAATGGGCAACTTCCGACATCAACCCATCCGAACGACCGATAAAATAGGCGACAAGGATCTCGACAGGGAGCGTGAACGTGACCTCCGTGACCGGGAAGGTCAAGAGCGGCTTCGCAATGTGCGTATGTGCGCCGTCTGGTCTGATTCATACTGACGTGGGCTATGAAGCTTTCGGACAAGTACGATCGTGACCGGCTGGCCTTGACATCTGCATCAAATATTCGCAACAAGGAAAGAGATGCTGCTCCCCATCTCTCTGGTACGTCTACAGGCAGGATTGGTCAAACGCAGACCACAGGTCGACGTGGCGAAGGCAGGGAGACAACTAAGCGGAAGGCAGGGGAAAGCAGTGACGATTGGCGAAGAGGTACGCCTCTCTAGGTCGTTCACTCATGTCTATACATCCTGACCGGTCCCAGGTGCGGAACCTAGTCGCGCGTTGAAAGATGATCGTGAGTGTCCATACACTCGACGTGACACTGTATCTGAAGGTACGCCCATCAGGGACTGACTCCCGTCGAGACCGCGATACCCGTGACAGACCCCGCTCGCGAGTCCGAGACTCCTCCAGAGCCCGACGTGATCCCTCGACGAACCGACGCGACCGCGACCGAGAAGATCGTGACCGTCCTCGGGATCGTCGTGGCGACGGGGACCGAGACGACCGACGAGACAAGGATGATGGCGGCAGGCGTGACCGAGATGAGTTCAGCCGTCGTGACTGGGACGACGGACACGATCGCGACCGCGAAAGGGACGACCACGTTGCTCGGGACGGCCGCGACCGGTACGATTACAGCCGGCGCCCACGAGACCGCGACGACATCGACGAGGATCCACGGCATTGGCGAGACGATGGGCGGAGGGACGAACGCATCGCATCGCGGCGTGAACGCGAACCTCGCGAACGGGACCGAGACCGGGACTGGAACCGGTTCGAGGACCGTGACAGAGAGCGGCCATCTGGGGGCGACGACCGCGACGCACGCAACCGCCGTGGTGGGCGCGATAGGAGGCCAGGCGGAAATGACAACGCGAAAGAACGAGAGGATCGGCGGGACCGTGACAAGGATCGTGAGGCAGAGCCTGCGTGGATGGAGACCTATGTCCCGACGACGCCTGGCGGTGGTATCCTTGGTGGCAAGGGTGCCGACGGCGAGCTCGACGGCATACAAGCATGGAAGAAGGGTATGAAGGATAAGGAGCGAAAAGAGAAGGGCGAAACTCTCGCTGAAAGCACTACGGGGGCCGACACCAATGGTGTATCCGACAAACCAGCCCCCTCCGAGACACCCATGGACGAAATCCAACTTTTCAAGCTGATGATGAAGCGTGAGGCGGAGAAGAAAGAGGGCGACAAGACTCAAAATGGCCTGTCTCACCATTCCTTGTCGGAATCTGGTCCCCAGGGTTGTCCGCCAGCCCGTCGCTTCAGAGCCAAAAGGGCGAACCCATGCCTCCAGGAGGTACGTAGGTGTGACTGGTGTCAATCGTCGTGTTCTAATCACTCTACAGAGCCAACAACCCAGCGGGCTGCCGACCACTCTAAAGTCTCTCCAGTTCCGGATGGGGAGAAAATGACACCGCTTGACATAGCTGCTGCTCAGTCGGGACCATCGACCATTATAGCTTCCTTTTCGTCAGGTGCTCCTGATTCATCACGCCCTTCACAAACCTCGAGTCCTGCCATAGACCGTCCCATTGAGGTTTCCCGAGTAGTCGGGCCACGGTTGAGCCAAATCTCGGCCGGCATTTCACCGTCGTCGTCGCTCGGCTCCGCCAACCTTGTTGATCACTCGCTTACAAGCCCTTCTGCGAACACCTTCAACCCCCCTCCCGGTTCTCGTATGCTTGCTCTTAAAGCGCGCGTCCCATCGTCAGCAAGTGCGAACGGTGTCCCTGGCGCAGGCCATGTTCCACCTCCTGGAATGTCCGCATCCAACCCACAGGGCCTTCCACCAGGCGTGTCTAACCTCCCGCCTCACCTTCCCGAAGCTGCTCACGAGATGCAGTACGGCGGCCAACGTATGGACCAAGCATCCCGCGGCATTCGCAGCTTCTCTCCGCTACACAACGGTACTGGCCCCCACGGACCACTGGAAGACATGCGAGAGAACATACACCTTGGGCAAATCGAAGGTCTTCGACGGACGTCTGGTTCCGCTGCTGAGCGTGCGATACTTGGACTCCCTGGTGATCCTGGCCCTTCCTACGCCGATCTGGGTGGACCTCAACAAGGCGGGTTCCCCCCAGGGGTTATGCTGGACCCAGCCGCGCTTGCTGGAAACGCCAACTTTGCCAAGGGCAGTCGGTTCGCCAAGTTCTTCGACTCCAAGACCCGGGATGTGCCAGCTGGTGGCCCACGCATGGGTCAGCAGACTCCTAACATGGCAAGTCCGATATCACATCTCAATCAGCGGCAAGAATCCATATCGCTAGGCGGTATGGGTGGACTTCGGGGGGAGCGGACGATGGAGGACATCTTCGCCATGCTCCAGAGTTCGGCTCAGGCAAGTGTTGTTACGGAAATATCTCAGTGCTGGTATTGACGACCTCGATACCAGAGCCATCGCGGATCTCCTCAAATCCCGCAGTCAGGACGCATGCACCCTGGCGGTGGTCAGTTCCCTCAGTCTCAGCTCGAGTTGCAGATCCTCCACCAGCAGCAGCAACAGCAGCAACAGCAACAGCAGCTTCAGCATCTCAACCACACCCGCCTGGAGTCGCTCTACGACACCCGCCTCGACGACCGCAACTTCGTGCCCGACGGCCTCGTACCTGGCCTCCGCCCCGTGCCCCCGCGTTCGCGTAGCCGCGAGCCAGGCGGCGTCCTGTTCAACGAGCAGATCGACGATCCCCTCCACTTCAACGTTCAGCGCCTCACCCAGCAGCGCAACATGGAGCAGCAGATGTACAACCAGCAGATGCCGTCGATGTACAACCAGCAACAGGCGAACATCGTCCGCAACGGCGGCGGCGGCGGCCTCCAGATGCAGCAGTCGAACCAGTTCCGCGGTGCCTCCCCCGGCGGCCTCTCGGCGCAGAACGCGCTCCAGGGCGGCGGCCCGCCCACGCAGCGCCTCCCGCCTGGACTCGCGAACCTTGGCGGGCGCCCGCCGCACGACCCGTCACAGTACCTCGGCGCGGGCGCGGGCGGCGGCATGGGGATGGGTGTTGGGGGAATCGGCGGCGGGATGCACGGCGCGACGCCCGCGCAGCAGGTCTACAACACCTTCCACCAAGGTGGGCTCGGGTTCACCGGCGTCGGGAACCAGCCGTTGCGTGGTCCGCCAGGGGGCGGTCCTGGCCCGCAGATAGGGATGGGCGGACTCGGCCCGAACGTCAACGTGAACCTGAACAACATCAACGAGCTCCGCGCGCTCGGGGTCGGGGGCGGCGGCAGCGGCGGGATGCGCGACGGACCCGGGTTCGGGCCGCAGCACGGGCATGGCGGCCAGCTCGCGGCGCTCCGCCAGCAGCAGGTGCAGCAACAGGCGCAACAGCAGCAGCAGCAGCACATCCCGGCACACATGATGCAGCATATGCTGCCCGGGCACCTCCAGCAGGGCATGCCCGGCGGGAACGCGCAGACGACGCAGGACCTCATGGCGCTACTCATGGGCGGGCACCGCGAGTGAGCTGGGTGTCGGCGGTCGTGCGACCAGGTGTGGCTGGTATCGGTAGTGGTTTCGGACTCGTCTCTGAACCGCGATGGGCACTCGAGTATGATAATATTGTACTGTGCATATCTTCCCCTCTTTTGTGCATCTCTCCGTCCGTTCGCTCGTTCGCAACTCCCTTTTCGTTCGTTCGTCATCCATATTTTTTTGTCCGTTTCATCCACTATCATCTCCCCATGTCGATGCTGTAAACGCTCGGTTATGTACTTAATCTTGACACGCGCGCGCGTACCTCGGGTCGTCGAGTGCGGAGTTGGGCTATCATGCGCTAGCGCGCTCGGTCGCTGCAGCGATCGAACGCGAGAGGAAGCAAGACGACGGGAAGCGCACCCAGTGTGGATGGGAACCGCCCTTGATCCAAGTCGGCATCAAGTTGTAGACTCGATTGGGGTGATGCATGTGACGAGCCCTGGGAAGAGGACGACACTATTGCGCCGGGTTAAGACGCGTAGATGCCAGACAGCCATATCGCGGATGGAGCACGATGGCGTCTCATTTCCGCGGTCTCGGCGCATATTTGACACAGACGTACACGGGCGCCGCGAGCCACGGATGGGAGGTTACGAAACGACCATTCCAGCGCTCCACGTGGCCAGAAACGCCGAGGGTAGCCTTAACATTGCTGCTCATCGGTTTGCGGAGAGGAGAAGGACCAAGAAGGGTTGATGATGAAGCCATGAAGACTTGTGATCTGCTGCAAGTGCGAAGTTGGCAGATGTCCTGGTGCCGTGTGACGTCACCACCCACCAGATTTGCGTGCGTCCCTGATCGTGTAGCGCCCGATATTCGCGGGCCGCCCGCCCAAGTACCTGTGACGCGCCCGTCGGTGGCGACTGACTGCTGCCACTTGTTCGCCTTTTCACCCTAAGCTGTTCGGCCGACATGACATGGTAGTGGCCGCTAGTGGTCGCACGAGAAGAAGTGGCACGAGGAGGCAATGGAAGAGCGGAGGACACGAATCCGAGAAGGATGGGGTTTATTAGCCGATGCTGGCAGGGGCGTGAGAGCCAAGTGCGCTCCCGAGGATCGCGGCTCGTGAATCTGATCCGGAGATCCGGGGAAGCCCAGAGCAGAAGCACGGAACCCACACGGCGGGCGCTGTGAGAAAGCCAGGGTGTGTCAGCAGCCTTCTCCGAGCCTCCTCCACGCTCTGCTCCCTCTCCCTCCGCATTCCGTCCGCGAAATCAGCACGAGCTCGGTTTCTCAGCCATGGAAAAGCCCCCGCTATCGCGCTACGCGGGTTGCGCTCGGGCGTGGTCTGTGCCTCCCGATTCCCGACCGCAGATCTGAGACCCATCACCCCACCCGCCAAGCCCCAAGGCCCAGGAGGCCCAAGTGCTCGCTGCCTGTTCGACGTTCGTCAAACAAGCGAACGCCCACCTTGAGCAGACACTCGTATCGCGGGCGCCGTCGCCACATTATCTTTCATTCCACAAGGTTTCGCTCGCCGACCGCGCGAAATGAGGAGCCCGCCACCTACTCCCCGCGCGCAGGCAGCGATAGAAGCCTGAAAGGGAGCAGTACGACGGTCGTGCGACGTGATCGCAGGCTGTAGGTACATATCCGGGAGTGCAGCCAGGGCACCCCGGAGTTCGGGCGGGCGGGCAGTGCAACCACGGAATGGCGCCGTGCGGAAGGCAAGTAGACAACGGGCAACGGGACACTTGGCCCGGCTGACGATCACGCATTGAGGTGAACAGCAAGCCCCGCACCAATCTGACTGTCGTTCGCGTACCCCGTGCGCGGGTGGAACGTAAGCCTGCGCAAAGCGACGGAGATAGCGTGCTCGTTGCGCGGGGCGAGCGCACTCGGTCTCGCGTAGGTATCGGACAGCGCGCCCGGCGAGGCTATAATTTGTGGGTGCGCGTGCGAGGACAAGGCAGAGAGCACAAGATCGCCCCGTCGTGGGCGCGGGGACCATGTGCATGATATGTGGCGGCGAATGGAATAAGCTTATCCTTCGCCGGGGACAATAGCGCGAGAGGCCGCGAAGGCCCAGAAATCGCCGCTATCAGCCCGAGCATCATTCAACGCCCTGTGCAGCCGTGCACAAGACCTGGCTGCAGGCGTGCGCCAGCTTCGCCCGACAAGGCCACCAGGTGGAGCAAAAGCTCCGCGGGACGCCAGTGTGCGCGTACGGCAGTGGCACGACGATGGTGGCAGCAGTACGCCCGCGCTGCGTGCGCCCCGACGAGCTAGAAGCCGCTGATGGACATCTCGTCGTGCATCGCGCGCGTTTCCTCCCGGGTTCTCGAGTGTGCTGGTCCACTCAGCGCGGGCGCAGGTGTGGGCGTGGGGCTCGCGGTGTTCCGGCATCCGAGGCCTCCGTCGTGCTGCCTTTCTCGGGGTGTTGCCTCACACCGACTGCCTCGTGTACGGGCGCGGGGGCCCTGCTCGCGCCCGAGAAATGGACGTCGTCGCGAATGCGCTCGTCGTGATCTAATTTGGCATGGCGGGAGGCGGGACGCCCCGGGCGAGGCCAGTGTGCCACCCTTGCTGCCTCAAAGTGCAAGTTTATACGAGACGTTTCGCTCCGGGAATAACCACGGCAATATGACTCTTCCAAGACCGGCCTAAGACCAGAACTCCCGCTGCTTCTCTTCACACCGCCGCGCCCACCGCTCCCAGGACGTCGCGCCGTGCGCATCAGTGCGCGTCATCGAGCTCTTCGGGGCGCGCGCCTCCACCCCGACGCGCCCAACGCGTGCGACGGCGGGGACGACGAGCAAGACGCCTGACGTACTCCTGACGTCGGGCACGACAGTGCTCGTGGGGGCGCCCCGCCCGACATATCCGCCCGTTCTGATACTGCGCTGCGAGCCGCCCCCGCACGTCCGCCACAACGCTGTCGCGGCGATGTCGCACTCGAACGCTGGGGGCATCGACGCGGCCGCCACCCCGACCCTGTCGGGGACCGAGGCCCCCGCCGGCGTGCACGACCCTAGTAGGATCAGCCGTGGCTTATTGGCGTCCGCGCCCCTGCCGCCGTTTCGACGTTGTCGGCCGCTGCAGGCAAAGGCGGTCGCTTCCGCGGGCGAGGCGCGCTCCGTCGCGCACAGGGACCTCCCGACGCGCACCGGAGCCCGAGACCCAGGTCGACGTGCGCGTCCCGTGGTCCGAACGTCTCGCTATTTGACAGAGTGAATTGGAGGCTGCAGAGGCTGCAAAGGCGAGATCAAAGGCCGGTGTCTGCGCACGTGGGGAATTGGGAAATATGGGACTTGCAACCGCGCCATGGGTCTGGGCGATCTGCACGAGCCACTGGGCCTGTGTAGTTGATCGCGAGTGATGATGATGCAACCATGTCACGGTCGCGCTGCCAGATACGCGGGCGCGCGAGGGGAGCGTAAACGAGGACTTGAAGAGAGTCATCTGCGAAGGCGGGAGTCATAGAAAAGTAATGAGGCTGCTGGGGCGGCGCGCAGAAGGCGGGCAGCGTTCCTGCACGCGCGGGCTGTCGGACGGGGAAGCAGGAGGTTACCTAAACCATTAGATATGGGCTGGATTCGGCAGACGGCAGCTGCCTGCAGGCAGACAACGTGTTCAAGGTTCCCGCAGCTCCCGGTCAGAAATTGGCCAATTGGTAAAGGGTCCGACGGATTAGAGTGGTGAGGAAATCTAAGCGGGCCACGCCTTTTGTGCGCTGTGATTGACCCGCCCGCCAGCTACGTTGCACCGGCACCTCCACCTCTCTCTGAAGTACCTTGGTCGTCGCAAGCACACGTAGCTCTCCGCGCCCTCCTCCTTCTCCAGACACCGGCGAGCTTCCCCAGGCAGCCTCCGCTGGTCTTCCGCCCGAGTGCAGACTAGGCTCCTTCTCTGGACCCTACTCCTCGCCTCCTGCGCACCTCCCCCGCCCTCCCCCTCCCCCTCCATCTCCGGCTCAGCCCTCGCGGTGTCCTCTCGTCGTGGACTACTTCGTAGCGGCCGCCCCCTTGTCCTAGAAGACGGCAGTATCGCCCGAAGTCCTTCGTTTACCCACCCAGTCACTCCTTCGCCTCGGTCGCTTTGGCCCGTACGCCATAAGAGAAAACTAATCAAGTAAGGCCGCACCTAATTCCCCGGACCACCCGCCCACCCGCGCAAGAAAGCTGACCAGCGCCCCGTCACTGTGAGTCCAACCGGGTCTTGTACAACGGCGGTGATCGGGTGACGGTGGGGCTGACGGGGCCTGTTTGCAGGACTTGCAGACCCCCCGCCGACTGAACGAACCGCCCCGAGCCGGTTGGAAGAAAGATCGAACAAGAGTCGAGGCGAGTGCAGACGATCGACGGTGAGTGTGCTCCCTTTGCCGACGTGGCGCGCGCCGCCTCCCCGGCGGCGGCGCTGTGGAACGAGGCGCGTGGGAGTCCGGGTTCCCGGCGCGGCAGACGCCCCTCCGCACGTGGGGGTGCCTCCGCGGTGCGCCTGCTGCTCGGCCTGTGCGCGCATCTGCGGCGTGTTGGTGGCCGGGGCGAGTGGCACGCCGTGGTGAGGAATGTTCGCGCGGGGCAGGGCAGGGCGGTGGGGCGGCCAAGGGCGGGAGAGAGCTCAGGCCTGCACACGAGGCATCTGATCACGGGTCGATAACATCTCCCTTAGCCCGGGGTAGCCCGGAAGTATTATCGGATTATTATCCCGTCTCAGAGCTTGTAGTCGCGCATTGTCCTCCCATCTTCCCGCGCCTGTTTGCCGTCCCGGCCCCCCGGGTCTCTTATATCTCTATTCGGCCGCCCTTCTCTCCCCCTCCTCCCATCCGCCCCGGCCTCGACGTTTGCAACGTCTGACCCGCGCACAGGGCCCCCCTCCCCCTCCTCCCTGTACACTTAACGATTTCCGACACTGACGATCTCATTACGCTCCCCGCGCCAGCTCCCCCGCCGACGCTTATCCCCCCCGCCCGCCCCAGCTACCGCTTCCCTGCGATAGTTGCATGATTTCTCCCCCCTTCGGTGAGTGTTTTCTGCCTCTCCTCGCGTCGGGGCGTTTTCTTTCCCTCGCGTCGTTCTCGTTCTTCGCCTTCTGCCCTGGCCCCGATGTGACGATCGGGCGGGTTGGCGCGCTCGCGTGTCTTTCGACTCGCGAGTGAAATGCCCGTGTTCATCCCGCTCTTTCCCCGCGTCGCTTTGGCGTGCCTCCTTTGCCTTCCCCTCCCCCCTCTCCCCCTTCCCTCCCGGCACTTCTTGGTTACCCCGCAAACTTCCTCGTGTGGTCTTGCCTGTGTCTTCGACCTCTCTCGCAGAAACTTGACCCTCCTCTATACCTTCCGCACGCGACGCTTTCCCTTGGATCGTGATCTTGCGATGACTTCTCTCCCGTCTGGCTTTTTTCTGGTGTCTCACCCGCGTTTTCCATCTTCCAGCGAATCTATAATATCCACCGCCTCCACCAGCAGTTCCCCCGTCTCGACCATGAAAGACGTCTCCAACTCCACCCGGGCTACGCGTCCAACAGCGTACCCCAAGAAGAAGCCTTCTCCCTACGGCGTCTCCAAGTCACGACGACAGTCCCCGCTCTACCCCCCACATTCGCTCGTTCGGAAGACCCGCGCGCAGCAAAGGCAGAACTCCTCGTACAGCGTCAGCGGCTTGCGCAGATCAGCGCGCTCCGACGGGAAGGCATTTATCTCGAGGAGGAATACCATGACGAGATCCGCGCATATATGCACGAGATGGAGGTGAGCCCGCGTTGGCGCCCACATCTTGCGCGAATCATGCCGCTGAGACTGCCTTCAGCGCATGACAATGTGCTCTCTGGCCTCAATGGACCAACAACCCGAGATCAAGTGGCATATGCGTCCGTGTCTCGTCGACTTCCTCGTCGAGCTGCACTTCATCTTCCGTCTCCGGCCGGAGACGCTCTATCTCACCCTTAACGTCATCGACCGCTACGTCTCGAAGCGCGTCGTGTACGTCAAGCACTATCAGCTAGTCGGTTGCGCCGCCCTCTGGATCGCCGCCAAGTTCGAAGACGCGAAAGAACGCGTCCCAACAGTGCATGACCTCGCGCAGATGTGCTCAGAGACTTACGACGAGTCGGCGTTCATTCAGATGGAAGGCCACGTTCTTTCGACGATCCAGTGGACGCTCGGACACCCTACGGCCGAGTGCTGGCTACGCATCCTCTGCTGCGGCCCGGTGACGGAAGAAGCCAAGGTTCAGCACGTCGCGCGGTTCCTCATGGAGATCACCCTCTTCTACCGCGAGTTCGTGCAGTACCCGTCTTCTGCCATTGCTCTGGTGCTCTCTCGCTTGCGCGGTACCTGTGCGGCAAGACTCGCCGGATCTTCGAGGAGACGGAGGAATGCCTAGAGATCGTGGATCATTTGGACAACCGGTTGGCGAAGCACGTCAACGACCTTTCGGAGACCCTGGTCAAGAAGTACTCGTACTCCTTCTACTCGAAGGCGGCGACCTTCGTGCTCCAGTTCTACCTGCAGGGTGGCAGGTGGCAGCGTCAACCTCTCGTTGCACTGCCGATGACGCCCGTGCGTTCTTACACGCGCGAGGTCACCACGCCCATGAGCGTTTCCAGCGCCTCGGATACGGACGATATGCCGGTCACTCCTTCGAGCCCAATCCTGTCGAGCGACGCGTTTTCGGGCTCGTACATGTCAGACGACAAGGAGAACCTGCCTTCGCCCAAGTTCGAGCCGGTGCTCAACAAGAACCTCGTGGAGCAAGTACCAGAACACTGTCTGCCCCACGACTTCCTCGCGTACCAGCGTCAAGCGCTCCACAACCTCAACATGGCCTCGCCGCGTCCATCGGCCATGGTGTCATGATACCTCCGGCCTCTCCGACTGATTCGTTCCACCCCCACGCCGTCGTCCGCTTTGCGCTCGGTGTAATAGGTTGTAAAAAGCTTTCCACCCGCTTTCCTATCCGCAATCTTTTCCGCTCGTCGCACAAAATGTACCACCACCGCCATCTCACACACGTCGTTCAACGGCACTTCCACACGCATTCACCGCCAGCACCATCATCGGCCCATCCACCATGCATTCATTTCTCGCACCTGCAATCGTCTCCACCATCCGTGTTTCTTCTCTGCCAGACGACGTGGCCTATACGAGTACAAGAACGCCGTCGAATCGGACGGCTCGACACAGCGGACCACCGCACTGTACGCGCTCCCTTCTGTACGACTAGGACGGCCGCCTACGCCCTGTTCCCGGTGTACCCGTCGATCGACTGCATTCTGGTATCGCTCTCAGCCCGGCTCGTGCGGACACTTCCACAACCGTTCCCATCTACAGTACCCTATGCACACCGTCTTTCCTTCCTTGCGCACCTCCCCCGGATCGCACACGAACGCCGTTGCCCTTCGTCGTCCGCCGTCCCCCTCCCGATCGCGCTTAAACTGTCGCCGATTTTGTTCTATCTTATTCGTCACGTTTATTGTACATCCTTCACCCCCCGCGTTGTCGCCCACCTCCCACCGATCCTGTTGCGCATTGTGTCATACCGCCCGTTTAGTGACCCTCTTCTTCCCGTACACTTGTCAATGTCGCAGCACCGAATCAACCACAATCACTGTCGTAGTTCTGAGCCTGAAGGGCTCGCCGCACTGTCTCGCCCACCCCCTGCCTGTCGTTTACATTACCAAGCCAATCGTGCATCGAATATATTATTTTGTGTATCGCCCCCCGCAGCGCGCGTGAGGTCGGTGATGCCTCGAGGCGGGACCGAGCGCGACCCCGCATGGGCCGGGATGACGTCGGGACCACCCAGGGCGGATCCGTGCGTTGACGTCGAGGACATGGCACATCAGCCTCGTCGGCATGCCCGCCATCGCGTCCACCGCCCTCCGCACGAGCCTCCCACCGCGCACCGTGTCTCTCGGGCCCACGCGGGGTGTGGATCTGCGCACCCGCATCAGGCGGTCCGCGCACGCTCGTCGGACGGGGGCAGGGAAGGGGCTGCAGGAGAACAAGGCGGCGTGATCGCGGTCGCGCGCGCGGGGGCGGTGGCCCTTCTGTTCCTTCCCGGTTACCACGATCACGTAAACGCGCCCCCGCCAGAAGGCCCGGCGAAGGCGTCGAACCCGCCCGGGGCTTTTCGCCGTGGAGGCCAGGCACGGGACCCGGACGGCGTGCACGCGCACGCGCGCGAGCGTCGCACAGGTTCGAACTTGGACGCTGCCCGGCCGGACCGTTCGAAAGATGACGCGGGTGGCCGTCGAGTCGAGAGTCCCCTCCGTCGACGGGGCCGACGGCAGAGTCGAACATCGAACATGCTCGTCGCCGTTGCGGGCGCAGGCTGGGGTTAACGCGGCCCTGCGTGCGGGATTAACGAACGCTGCGAGGTTCAACGAGCTGCGCGGGACGTAAGCCAGGCTCCAGCAGAGCGCGGGGCCCGCCGCCCCGTGCGGCAGCGCACTCGCACACCTCTCGCGCTCTCGGGACGTATAGCCTCGCATCGCGCCTCGCGACGCGCTCTGCACCCGCACCCGCAGCGGCGAGAGGCCGCGGGTGGGAGCGTCGCGCGCATTCGCCTTCCATCTCCGCGCGCGAGCTTGATTCTGCGTGATTTCGCCCGCCGATGGCCCATGGGCGCGCTGCGGCGGGGAGGATGGGAGAGTTCGTGCGCCCTAGTCTGCGCCGGACTTCCGTCCGAACGGCGCTCCCGTCCCCACGGGCGATCTGCACGAAATCGAAACCCCAATCGCCGCACGGCCAGTGGGCGGAATACCACCCGCAGGGCCCCCTCCTAGGATCCCAAGGACGCCCCCGTTCATCACGCGCACGGGCGCAGAGGGGCGCAGGGAGGGAGTGGGCCCGTGTGCGTACCAAGACGATGGATCGGCGCACGAACGCTCAACAGACGTCCCTGGCGGCGAGGAGCTGGCCCGCCACGGAGCACCTCCGAGGTCGACGCGTTCTGGGCGGAAGCGGCCGTGCTGCGACCTGTTGATGGGTGGTGGCCCGTCGCGCTTCCCCAAGTCCGCCGGACGAGCCCAGGCCGGTCGTGGAACCGCGGTCCTCCTTCCATCATTCCTCGCTCGCGCACTTGTCTCTGGCTCACTGGCACAAGACCGCGGCGGGCGGCGAATGCAGCACCTTCAAAGCGAACGGGCCGGCGCAGCTATTTTCCGTCGGAGTTGCCACCCGGGGAGATGGGATGGCCGTGCTTGCGCCCTTGCGGAGCGGGATGGCTTGCTCCTTGCAACCGCGTGGTCTCTGGCCGGAGAATTGCGGTCAGTGCCACTTAACACGCATCTATCGGCGACAATGGGCATATTTAGAGGACTAGACATTTGCGTCAACGGGCAATCGTTCAACCGATGCTGAGCACTCACTTTTGACCTTGCGTGCCTGGTCGTGGTCGTCATAAGACGTGCCTCGATGACGCTGGCAGGTACACTCTTATCAAGTATTAGTAGCACACAGCCGCGCCGCGCCACGATACTGTACGCTCTGGCGATTGGGTAAAACGTTTCAAGCAGCATGGACGTCATTCACTACGTCGACCGATAATATACATATGAACGACTGCTTTCATCCTAACCCGGTTCCCCCATTTTCCCCCCTGGCCTTCGACCCGCAACATACCATCTTCCGGCGCAGTGGCAGCAGGAGCTGACAGCAAGCCCCGCTCCATCTCGGACGTCCCCTACCACGAGGCGGCGACGGCGACGGCATCCGCGATGTCGACTTGTCCGCCAGCTGCCTTGGCTCCGTTCGCGACTTCACCCCCTCAATCTCAGGCCTCAGTCGGTCGCTCACTCGAGCACCCAGCCGTCCTCGCCGACGCGCTTGATCCCGACGGGCCGCCTCTCGTCGAGGCTGATGCGGCCCGCGTTGAGGATCGCGGTGGTGACGACCGTGTTCGCGATCGTGGGCAGCCCGTGCTTGTCGTAGTCAGCCGCGCCGGTCTGGCCCGCGTTCACGCTGCGCGAGGCGTCGATGAACTTCTCGATCGAGATGTAGCCGTACCCGCGCTGGCCGTCGAAGTGCCCGCTCTCGGACGGGGAGTACTTCATGCTGTGTGCGTGTGGGATGCCGGGGGTGAGGGTTTCGCGGAATCAGCGTTGAGTAGTTTGTCCGGAGGTATTGACGACAACGTTCGAAGGAGGCGATTGAAATATTTGTAGGAGCTTCGGTCAGTTTGGAGCTTCAGGCTAGCGAACGGCCGTGTCACGTACTAGAAGGGGTTGACCCAGGCCTTGCCAGTCTCATCCTGGACGATGTCGTAACCACGGTGGGCTTGGTCGACGTTGATCTCACCCTACAGAGACAATCCCGAGAAGGCGTAAAGTCGCAAGAGGCAAAGAATCGAAGAAAGCGGTGATGAATCAGAATTGCTTCCATGACGCGAGAGGGATAAACGCACCTTCTCAGCCATGTAGTAGAAGTGCTGGGAAGTGTGTACACCGGATTTAAGCGGAGCGGTCCAGGATGCAGTATAGACGGCTGTGCCCCGGTGTTTTTCACTCTTGAGCGACTGCCAGTCGACGAGAAGGGTGATCGTGTCCTCCGTCTGCGGTACGCAGTTGTATGGCGCGCCCGTCGCAATCCCGGCAGCCGCACTGGCAGTGACTCGAGTGGGAACGGCGCGACCCTGCATCATCCAGCAGTGGATGTCGATGTGGTGCGAGGACAGATAGTAGCTAAAGTACACCAGAAGCCCGACGTCAGCACGTAGATCTGTCATAACCAATATGAGACATGGACACATGCCTGATATCCGAGTCCTTTCCGGCCCATGCGCGGAAGGTCTCGAGCTGGTTCTTTGGCTGTGCCATCCATGCGCTGAAGAAGTTGAACTCGCCGAGATCAGCAGCCCGTGCCCTCGCATCACTGTACACCGGGTCGAAGCTATCGCGGCATGCATGAGCCGCGGCATGCAAAGAGCGAGAAGGATTGCAGTGCACTGACCGCTTGTGGTGCTCGACGAAGCAAACAACACCTTTCTTGGCAGCTGCAGCGACGAGGTCCATATGGTGCTGAAGAAGCTGGACTGCAGGCTTCGTCACGAGTACGTGCAGCCCGTGTTCGATCGCGTAGGACGCGATGGGGTAGTGGGTGCCTTACCATAGAACACGTTAGGTGCTCGAATCATGCACAAATGCTTCATACGACGTACTGTCAGGAGTGAAGATGATGACCGCGTCACCCGGAGACATCTTGTCAATGGCGCTCTTGTCTAGCTTTCAACATCAGTACTGGATAGTGTCGCAATAATTCTAGGCTCACAAGCTTCCGGGTTGACTGAGTCGCCTTCGGGGTAGGCGTCGAACCTAGTGTCCCAATGAGGCGCTGGGTGTCTCATTGAGAAACACGACGTACGAAACGTCCATGTCCTTGTACACGTTTCCGATCTTGTCTTGCAGATGTTGCCTAATGGCAGGGAATTTGCCGCCATTAACTCCCACCATTCCAAGGTTCCCAAGCTACGAAAGGTATAAGACGAGCGGAGGCACACTCAGGAGTATAATCTCACCTTTCCCAGCCTTCTCAGGTCAAAACAAGTGAGGGCAACGACCTGACGCGTTTATTAAGAACCGAAAATTACGGATAAACGTGTTTATCTTACGCCGATCTGAAAGAACATGTTATTACAGGCGAAGTAGGCGCCTTACGATTAACGACTTACCTTCTTGTCAGATGTCGAGGCTCCGGCCCCTGTCCAGCCAGTGGTGTACTCTCCCTGGACAAAAACATGCCGAGATGAGTGTTGTTATTTAGCGACATATGGATGAACGCACAGTACCACCTGCAGGATCGGATCGGAAAAACGTCAGCGATTTATGCCTTCAGAATCAAGCATGAAGAGGCATACACATCAACACATTGAGTTTCTTGAGCTCGGACGACATCGCGGGTGTGGCTGAGGGCGTGCTGAGCTGGTGGGGGCAGAGAAGACAGGAGGGGAACGGGTCATCGAACCCTGACGCAGCGAGTATTTAAGGTCTCTCCGAGGATTGTGCTCTGGTGAGGGACGGACCGTGGCCGGACCGCCCACCGGGCCGGACGTGCCGAGCTCGGAATGCAGGGCCGTTCCGACCGGTTTCTTGGAGGCAACGGAGACGACCAGTGCGTGAAGGTTGTCGGTCAACGCTTTCTCTTTCTTCATCACTCCCACCTGGGCTGGAGCGATTGCCCCCCTCCTGCTACGCTAATCAAAGACTGAACTAGGAGCTCTAAGCCCCTGCAAGTGAACCGGGCCCGTATGCGTCTCTTACCAGTCGTAACGTCTCACTGCATGGTCGGCAGGTGCGCCTACTCTTACGGCCCTGGTCGCCTGTGGACTGCAGATCCCATGGCGGAAGAAGGAGCACCCACAGCACACATATCCCCGTGGCCGAAGGTGGACCCTGGGGAGGAAGGAGTAGACAGAGGGGAGTCTAGTGCTGCAGATAGGCGGACTTACCATCCCCACGACTTCGAACGTGGTTGTTATTACCGTTCCACCACCTGCCCGGGTCAGGCGGAAGATCCGTGGGTAGAGCGTCGAGGTGAGCCCCATCATGGCGGCTCAAGGTGATCTCATGGGGTGAGTGCCGCCTTTCAAGTTCCCCCGTGAAGCCGTGTCCTCTCTCCGCCGTGGACAACATTCACGATCTCCTCATACCGCATGCAAACACTCTCTCAGGCAAACCGCACTGTCTTCTTCGTCACTATCGGTGGTGCGGGTTGGCTGCGGGTGGGCCGCTGGATTCTCTCTTTGATTGGTTGGGGTGGATCGGAAACGAAGCGAGCTCGTTGCAGATGAGGCGCTTTGCGCCGGTGCGCTCGCGAAGGCACGGAGGGCCTGACGCTCCGGTCGGCTGGGCGAGCGTACGATCCGCAGAGAGGCCAGGCTAGAGGGCGCTGGAAGGGGGCACGGAGGCAGGGAGGACGACGTACGGAGGGGGCGTGTTGGTGGAGGCGCGGTCAGGGCGAGGGTGGGCGCTCGACGCGAGGCACGTGGAGCGTTTTGGGAAATAGTGACGTGCAGGCTGGAGTGCGCGCACTCTCAAAGGTCGGGCACGCCCTGATATCGTTCCCCCTCCTCCTCCTTCATGCTCTTGTCATGGCGCAGCCATCCGCCTCTCCCACTCCCAACGTTCTCAAGCCCCCGCTCTCTGCGTCCCCTCCCGCCCTCCTTTCCAACTCCCTCTTCCACCCGCGGAAGGAGTTCTTGCGCGACCAGCAGCGGGTCTTCTCCTCTTTCTCCCTTTTGACCTTAGCAGGCACCGGCCTCGTGCGACTCTACAGCTTCCCGGACAGCGTCATCAATGCCCTCCGTAAGCTCTTCGAGACACTCACGGATATCGGCAGCTGTCGCGAAAGCGCAGCGAATCATTTCTTCGAGTTCTCCTTGGAGAGCAAGCCCTGGGCGAACGTCAAGACCCTCGCGTCGGAGAAACTCATTGTCGCGATCCTCTCCGTTGTATATCAGTTTGGTTTTTCTTTCCTGTCCACCATCGAATATGCGCGAGAAGCAGACGATCGCATCGCTCTCGCTTTCTCTCGACCCACCAATGCTCCCCTGAACCCTCCCATCCCTGCGGTACCAAGTGGCTCTGCTAGTACCCTCCCACAATCAAGTCCGATGCTCTTCGCTATTTCCTTCCCCTCCACAGCCATTCTCCGGGTCATTGATCCACCCCTACCATTGACTCCTGGCATCCTCCAAGCCGTCAGGAACGCGTGGCCCCGTGGAATCGCGTATGAGAAGAAGATCGGAGATTCGTATGAGTTCAAGCTGAGGGGTTACAAGTGTATGCGCATGCTTTGTGACTTCTTTGTGATCCTTCGACCTGACGCCCATATTTCGCAGGGTTCCAGGAGAACACATTTGCAGTGGATTCCCTTCAACAAATTCTGTCCTTACTCGCAGCCCTCGACCGCCATTCTTTCACCCTGCTGACCTCTCTGACCATCGGGAACCGCTCAAGAACCAGGGACCTGTGGATTTTCATCGGGCCTCCAGGAGAGTCTCACTCGCTTGAATCACCACCATCCAGTCCAACAAGTTCAAGCCTGGAGCTGAAGCGAGAGATCACGCCGCAACACGGGTTAGTAGTTGGTGGCGTGTAGTGCGTAGGGCGACGATTGATGACTTCATGCCATCCGTAGAGCCATGTTCGACGGCTTGCCCGATCAGAGCCGTCCCACCTCCCCTCCCTTTTCTTCTCCCTTGAAGCAGGTCACTCCCACCAGTAGCAACAACAGTAGCAAGCTGAAGAAGCCGTTCCCTCCAGTCAAGCTTCCCAACGCGTTCACGTCGGAAAGCTCACTGCATGCGAAGGCTGCGAGCGAAGTTGGAAGCGTCGATATGACTGGTGTTGGAACCCACCGCAGAGCCGAAAGCCATTCTAACACGCCGGATGTGTTCTATACCACCGGCCCAGTGCAACCTGGCAACGTCTACCAACGCGACTTCAATCCGTGGAACAGAGGAGGGAATGCTCCCCCCATTGAGGCGACTCCGTCATCGCGACCTCCCCCGTCAGCATTCGGCCGCACCCATTCTCGTCACTACTCCATGTCCTCTACCGACGACCCTCTTCTCCGATCGGTCAATGTTGATTCCCCGTATGATCCCGCACGGCCGGGCTCTATGAGCTCCAGCTCGACGAACTCGCGAGCGCGGAGGGCGTCGTCGCCGCTGGCCTCAACTCCCCTGACAATGCAACCGCCTGTGGTGCACATCACTCCGTCCTCCGACGTATCGTCCGTTCAAAGCAGTTTCCCGTTCTTCACAAACGGAAATGGGCAGGCTCCGAAGGCCGACGGAGAGCCTCTACGCACGCCAACGCCACCGCTGCTTGGGTCGGGCGCGTTCCGCGATTCCGCGTTCTCGTCCAGCACCGGATGGCGGTCTACCACGGAAGTGCCTATCGCCTGGACGGGCAAGGATCCCGAGCCGTCTAATGGAGATGACCCTCATCCGGTCAGCTCGTCTTTGCCCCGGGTCACCCCCTTCGGCCCACGCGAACGCAGGCCAAGCTCCGGTGGACGGACGGACGGCCAGGTGGTGCAGGCACCTGTCCAGCCACCCCTTGAGCGCCGTGGGTCAAGCGGGCCGCCGCTGCCGGGGGCATGGGCGTCCACTCCACAGGAGGAGAAGGATGACGTCGTCGGGCACGGCCCATCCCTCTCAGTCACCACTAGCTCGAGCACCAGCCCGCCGAACCCCAACATGATCCCACCCACCATCACCGAGCATCCGAGCCAAGAGGGCGACGAAGTCACCGTCCAGCTCAATGGCAGCGTCCGCGTCATGCAACCCAAGCAGCACCGCGCCCAGGGCGACGGCGCGCGCAAGAGCGAGGCTGCCGTCCTTGGCAACACTGAGGACAAGACGGCCCTTGCTAGCATCATGCCCTCCCACAACGGCAGCGCGAACGGCTCGGCTCACCCCCCTCCCTATTCAAGCTCGGGCTTGCCCCCGAGCGGCAAGCGCCGCGCCAACTCCATCTCCGAGGGTTGGGTCATCATCAACGTCGATAGCAAGGGGAAGGACGGGCTACGCCCCGGGGCCCTGAAACACCAGCGCAGCCAGTCCGACTCACGCATCCCGACGGTGAACGCGCTCGCGCAGACCACCACGGGCGGGAGCAAGTCGACGATGTCCCCCGCGGCTAAAGCGATCGTCATGGTCGATGCCATTGGGGAGAAGGAGCGCCAGCGCGAGAAGCAGTCTGGCAGCCGGCTCAAGAAGCTGCTCGGCCGCTCGGTGGACAAGTCGGAGAAGGCGAACGGCAGCGGCGCGAGCACGCCCCAGCAAGCTGCCTCGCCCACGCCGAACGGGTCAACTGTAGGAGGCAGCCTGCGCAGGGCGAGGCACGCTTCCCAGCAGGCGAGTCTGCGGAAGTGAGGCGGCGATGCGTGTTTGAGATCATTCAGGACACGGTCGGTTCTGGTTTTCGTACTTCTTTCCACATCGGTTCCCTCAACGGACTCAGTGCTTACTCGTTAGATGACTCTGCTTCGTAACTTGCCAGGTACTGTACACTATGACGATTCATACGTTCTCACCGATACCTTCTCCTACCCCACTCACATCTTGGGTATACTGATGACCTCTCTCGAGTACGACGGCGGCTGACATGCTTCGGACTGCTTGCATTACTTGTACGACAACGTTGCGACCCTTACTGTACATCCACCTGTATTCTCATAGTGTACGGATACCGAGTAGAGTAGTTGAAGTGCGCGCGGTCGATGTCGCAGGTGCCGATATGAAATGAATGTTTTGCGGATGAAAACTTGCTGGACTTTTGGCGATAGTCGTCCGTAGTTCCTCCACAGGGACAGGACTCTTTAGATGGCCTACAGCAAATCCAGTCTATTGCCGCTTTGTAATATGTACACTTCTGACTTGTGCGGCGTGCAAACAAGAGATCTATTGTCTTTCTTTCCAAGCGCGAACATGGCACCAATGAGTATGCACGTGACCGTTCCGCGCGACCACGGCCTTTTGTCGCGGAGGGAAGCATCCTCCATAGCTACCGTAGGCTACCGTTCGGAGGTAACGCTTTGCTGCGCCAGATCGCAGCCTGTGTCTCAATGGTGTACCTTCGTGGTATCCCGGTTTGGCGCGAGTAGATGCCCGTGGAAAGCGCATGGGGAGAGTTTGACGCACCTCGGCGAGAATAGGAGACTGTACACCCTCCCGACTTGTCATGACGGTCTCTCCATGAAGACTCCACGAGCTCTCTGCGCTCTGCGTCCCCCGCCTCAGCTTGAACGACGCGTGACCGTGTCATTCGGCGCGCTCTGGTCCTGTTCATATGGATAGCCACCGCTGCGGGGGAGAGCGCGCGGCGGCGCGGTGGGTGTGGCGACCGATGAGGCCTTTGCACAGAAGGCCAGAGCGAGACGAGCGGGCCTGCGTGGTTTCCCGAGCTGCGAGGATGTCGGGGAAAGGAGGGCCGATGGGAGAGCGCGCGCGGTGACGGGTACGCCGAGGGTGATCTGGGTGGCCTCCGTGCGGCGCGGGGGGAGCATCGGGCAGGAGGCCGGGTGGGGGTGCGCAGCTCGCGCGAGGGGGGCCGCGCGGAGTGCGACGAGGAGCGCGACGCAGGGGGGTGGTAGTGGCGGGGGAGAGGGAAGCGGGGCTGAGTTGGAAACCGCGCGGGGTCGCGGGTGGCTGGGCAGGCAGGCAGAGGCCGGCGGGTGGGCGTGGAGGCCCTCGGGAGACGCACTGCTGCAAAAATGCGAGGAGACCGCTTCACGCCCCCGGAGGCCAACCTAGCCACCTGCCGCCCCTCCGCCGCCCTTCCCTCCCTTCCCTCCCTCCCTCCGCCCCTCCCACCCCCACCAGCTCCCGCCGCCCTGCCGCCCGCCCGCCACCGCCATGCCCACCTGCAGGCGCAAGCGCGTGCTCCTCACCGAACCGTCCCCCGTCCTCCTCGATGCGCTCAAGCATGATCCGGCCAGGGAGGTCTTCTACCTCGCGGAGACCGGCGAGATATTCGACCACTACGAGTGCGCCCATTGTCTTTGTTGCCTCTCGCCGGCCCGCTGCTCACCTGTCCTGCTGCTACCAGAGCCTATGCCGCCCGCATGTCCTTCTACAGGCTCAAACAGTTCCAGTGCGAGGTCACTGGCAAGAGCGGCCTGGACTACTTCCAGGCCCTAGAAAGCGAGCGACAGGAGGCCCGTACCATGCACTCCAGATTCCCGGACCAGCTTAAGGCTGCCGTGCTCAAAGCAGTCCAGTGGCGTGCGTTGGCCTATCTCTTTTATGTTCTACGTGTCCTTTGTGCTCAACATTGCCCGCTCATCCTTCCAGAGGTCATGGGTCGTTTAGACCACCTAGTAGAGGCTGTGTACGACCGCTTCAAAGACCGGTACTACCCTGACGAGAGTAAGTATGTCGATCTTTCTTCCGGAACACCACTTAACCACGACGTCATCGTAGAGGTTTATGTGGACATACAAGGCGACAAGTGCGTGTATTTCTGTCTTGGCGCTTCGGTCCTCGCCCTGACTACCATCCAACTCTTAGGTATCTCGTGCGCGTTATTGAGGTCTCTGCGCAGGGCTCCGCCGCGCCTCCCCAGAGCCCCGTCCCTGTCGCGTCAACATCCACCGCCTCATCGCCACTGTCGTCAGATGTTCCAACACCAATACACAAAGTTGCAGAAGACCTCAAGATCCCCGTCAAAGACTCCATTGCTATAGACGATCCCGTGAAGTACGTCTACAAGGTCCAAGTGCTTGAAGAGGAGAAACAACCTGGTTTCGCTCGGACAGCGGAGAAGAACAAGGGCAAGGAGTCGGGTCGAGGACAGTGGAGTGGTACATTCATGGACGTCAAATGTGCTGCAATGGGGTGCGTATCTCAACATCCTCGCGCTTTACTACGTGCCGACGCTCTGTTGTAGCCGAGACCGCCTAGCCTTCTCCAAGTCTATATTGCGACGGTTCATCCGTGATTGTGTCGACCGCGATGCCGCTGTCGCTTCTCCCTGGACTGTCAAGCCTGCAATTGCTGCGCGATACGGCGTCAGCAGCGTCATGCCCGATGACATCAGAAAAGGCGTAGAAACATTGAAGAAGGGCGAGATTGACAAACGTAAGAAGGTCTGGGAGGATAAGGAAGGTCCTGCAGCGAAGAAGCGGAGGCAGATGGCGGAGGAAAAAGGTACGGCGACTTCTGTCTATTTGTATCCCCATGCCGTACTTACTTCGTTCAAACGTAGCCGAGAGAGAGAAAGCCGTCGCCGAGCAGCGGCAGCGTGAAGAGCGTGAGAGGGTTGAGCAGCAGCTGAAGGCGAAAGAAGAGAACGATCGTCTGACAGACAAGAAGAAAAAGAAACCAATTCGATATCCAACAGAAGACTTGGACGTAGTGCTCGGTGATAAAGAGAGACGTGCAGGCATGAAGGTAAAGAGACCCGCTCCCAGCAAGCTCGCAATGCCTTGTGGAGACGACCCGGAAACCAATGCCCACTTCCTCATGTCCTACAACTTCCTGGTCGTTTACGGGTAAGTTTTGTTCTTCAATCATCGTTCGTGTAACAGTGTGTGGATGCTTGCTCTGCTCCCAGTCAACCGTTACACATGTCAACCTTCACGATGGACGACTACGAGGCCGCACTTCGGCATTCGGCCATTGAACCGCGTTGTCAGTTGCTCGCCGAAGTCCATGCCGCGCTCATTTATAACCTGCGCACCGTCCCATTCAACCGACATAGCGCGGTCATGTCATTGGTTGCTCTGAAAGAGGAAGAAGACATGCAGAGCGAAGTATTTGGTATCACTATCGACGATCTTACGACCGCAATGGCTGACGTTGGCAACAACTGGGAACGTGCACCTCTGCGACATTCAGAAGGCCGTGAAGGCTGGGAGGAGTCATTGATTGGCTGCCTCAAAGACGTGAGTACCTTGCTGGGTACAATGGCGAGTACTGACCGGTATACCCGACTTCCAGCATGCGACGGTCGAGAATTTCCCTCGTCTACGAGAAATTCTGACGCGTCTCCTCTTCGCCCCAGAAGAGTCTCAAGAACCATCTGGTTCTGCCGCCCCAACACCAACTACCAGCCCGACGCCCCCTCGCCTCACAACGCCGACCGCACCCAGTCAGCTGTACCACAAGCTCCCGCACAAGGACCGTATCGCTGTCATCGCTTTTATGTGCAACCTAGCGATTTCCAGCAAAGCCATCCACGCTCACATGGAATTTTGCGAAGAGCAGCTCACTGCATTACGAAAAGAGAAGATCGAGGTCAACCGCACCAAGAAACAACAGTGCGCCTGTCAGCCCTCGCTTCGCATATTGCTAACTGACCGATGCCCGATCAAGCCTCGAGGACATGGCGCGCTGCAAGGCGAGCACAAGTTCGAGATCAACGGGGACGGCGACACCATCATGCGCGACTCCTCCGACCTGTCCGACGCGCCCGGCTCGGAAAACGAGCAGTCTCGCGCTCCCCGGCGGACCGCCGCGAAGGAGCGTGAGCTCGCGCGCGCGAAGGCCTCCTCGGTGAAGCAGGCGGTCGCCGAGCACCGTCGGCTCGACGAGGAGGTGAACAAGCTCGAGCGGCGGCTCGAGGGCATCGAGCGCGAATTCCGCAAGCTCCTCGGCGCCGTGCGCGTCAAGCCAATCGGCCGCGACCGGTTCTACAACCGTGTGTGGTGGTACGACGGCATGGGCGCGGCGTCGCTCATCGGCTCGGGCGGCACGGTGCAGTACACCACCGGGCGCATCTTCATCCAGGGCGCGAGTGAGTTCGACCGGGAGCTGTTGAGCCGGAGGGACGAGAACATCGAACAGCGGCGGCTCGTCGAGGAGGGGCCGGAGGGTATGCTGGGCTCGAACGACTGGGCAGTGTACAATGACATAGAAGAGGTGAATCCCCGCCACGCCCGTTCCTCACCGCCGTTTGCTAACCGACATGCAGGTTCAGGAGTTCATGGCATGGCTGAACCCGAAAGGTGTCCGCGAGTTGAACCTGAAGAACGCGCTCACCAAGTGGTGGAACCACATCGGCCCTGGCATGCGTCGACGCGCGGCGGTGAGTCCCCACTCTATCTCCGCTCGCCAACATGCAACTGATGGCCATCCCCGCGCAGGATCTCACCGCGAACGCCAAGATCCCCGAGGCCCGCCGCAGCGCACGCAAGAGTGCCGGCACGGAGCTCATGCGCGAGCCATACATGCAGTGGACGAACCGCAAGGCCGTCAACGGGCAGTGAACGCACATCGCTCCCGCCCCTCTGTGGACTACGTTTCTCTTCCTCGCCATTGCACTGTACTGTACAAGTGTCGTCTATAATCCTCCCGGGTTTGTGTTCGGCCGCTCTCCTCTGTAGTAGATTTGCCACATTGCTCCACATTTCCTTCCGCCCGCCCTTCCACTTACCGAGTCCCAGATATTCTCTCATCAATCTACATTCACGCAGCTACATTCATCACAACAGACTCCCTCTCTCGCATCGACCCTTCGCCTCCGGAACGCGGACATTATCGCCACGACTCACGCGATCCAACAATCCAATAAGAAGTGTTCCATCATCACACGGATGTCGGTGCAGACTTGACGCGTCCACGTTCTTCCTGCGACAACGAGCCGAATCTGCTCTCAACGACATCAGCTACGAGCACAACCTGTCCACGCAAGCAATGCCTGTGCAACGCAGGCGCGACTTCGAGTGCGCTCAATTGGTGTGATTTGAACTTTCCACACGAATGACGACAGGTATTCGCACAAAACAAGATGCTGATGGTATATGTTCAAGCGGCCCTTCATGATAGCACACAAAACGTCACACAGCGCGTCGCATCACGCGCTGCCCTCGCCCTCGCCCTCGCCGTCGTCATCCTCCCCCTCAGTGTCGTTCCCCCAGTACTTGTTCCCATACCAGAGGAAAAGCTCATTGCCTTTGCGCACCTTCTGCGCTGCACGTATCGGGCACAGTCAGTATCTGCCACCCACCACTGGGCCTCGGGCCAACCAACAGGCACTCACTCGTGAAGAAGAGTAGCCTGTAGTTGCCGTCGATCAAGCGCGCTGCGAAGCAGGTCGTTGATCAGCTCATGGCGCAATGCGCATGACGCAAGACACGGAACGCACACTGGACGTCGACGTTTGTCTTTTTACTGGCGGCGTCGACCTCGGCCCGGGTCATCCCGTCGCTGGGGCCGACCGGGTCGTTCATGCACCGCGTCGGGTCCCCGACGGTCGCGGCATCGGCGATGGCGACCAGATTCTTTTTGTCGATGCCGTCGTCGATGTTGAAGAGGTAGTTGAGCTGGCGGTGGTTCTGCACAAGCGAGTTTGCATCGTCCACGCTGGGGGTGAGACGAGGCGGTCAGCATCGTGTCGAGTAGGTACGGGCTCGAGGGGGAAGGCATACTCTGAACTGGCGACGGGATGGATCTCCGAGATGTACTCTGTCGGCCAGAGTCAGAAGGACGGAAGTGAGAGCGAGGGCGGGACGGCCGCGCCAGCGGGTCAATTGACAGGGCGCGCACCTCCAATGAAGGTGCCCTTCGGAATGTCGCTCGCAGCGAACGTCCCCAGGCCATGAAGCCCGCGCTTCACGATCAGGTCCTATCACGCCGTGCGTCAGCACGCGGCGAACCAAGTCTGTGTGCCGTACGCACCGGCTTTTTCTGCTTTTGATACTCCATGTTCTTGCAGCAATGTTTTGGCCGAGAACTGAGAGATTTTCCGCTGCCCTTTCTCTCTGGTTTATTAGGTTGTCAGCACCCCGGCGGCGTCGCGTCACTGCGGGTCACATTCTCACTCTGTCTGGAGAGACGCGCATGGTCAATGCCACGGTCAACCTCAGGCTACATGATGGCTCACTTGGGCCTGCAGAGCTCTGGGTTGCATTCCCGCATCGCCCGAATGCATGCACACTTGTTATACACACACTTCTTCGTGGATCTGCAGGTGTCCCCGCAGCCCTTGCGCCTAGGACCTGAAAGACCCGCCCGGTAGAGTTAGCTATGGACTGTTCATTGAACAACGAAGAAACGCACATCTTTCAGGGCACTGGCACCTCGATTGACATGGCTTCTTACTGCGAATGCAGTAGCAACGCGTCGAAACGTCGGCGCAATTGCCTTCGTGCGCACAGTAATCAAGGCTGCAGGAACACAAAGCCATGAGTCAAGACGGATCATCATAGACAAGCGGCCCACTTCTCTGAGGCCGCTCTCAATGACGTAGTCGGGCGGTCCAGAAAGGCAAGCACGAGGTCTTGCTCCTGGTCAGGGAACATGACTGCCCTGTGGTACCAAAACTGCAGATTTTAGTCCTAAGTAGTGATCACATGCTACGCGGAGCGTCTATGACTTACATCAAAGCAATTCGTGCCTTTGCAGAGCGCGACCAGGTCACAAGGGAACTGGTTCGGACACATCTTCAGTACTCCCCAAACGTCGCGGTCAAAGGCATACACATCCTATTCAAGGCGTATATGAGAGACACGAAGCACTGGGTCCGGCAAGAGTAACTCACAGGGACCTCTACGACATCTCTCCTGAGCATGACGAGGAAACAGTTGTCGCTGCATGGCCGCTTGTCCTTCTGACTGGCGAGCTGTCGGTTTGTTTTCGATGGCTTGTCGTACTGTAAAGGAGGACCGGCCATATCTGATGGTGACGTGAGCTATTGTGACGTTGCGAGCACGAGAAAACTTACTGTGTGCCATACACAGCGCCATGTGGCAAAGATTACTGCGACAAAACACGCTGTTCATCGTTTCGAGCGACCACAAGAGGTTGGCAGGCGGCGAAGTCGCAAAGACTGTGAGCTGTTCTGCGAGAGAGGGGACGCCCCAATCCGGCAGATCGCTTCCAGAAAGACCAGGGGAATGAAACGTTTAAGATGAACACGAATGTAAGGGTATGAAGAAACAAAACATACCGACGTTTCAAGCTCGATATGAGCCCGTCATGCCCGCGAGCGATTGGAAAGACGCCAGACTTGTCTACAGTTGCCAGGGTCGTGCTGGAATCGAGTGCGGCTCCGCTTTTGAGGGTTTGGTGGTATATCCACATTCCGTGCAATGCAATGAGCTTGTCTGTCAAAGCGTAAGCCAGAAGCCCTGAAACGCGGACTTGCAGAGAGCTCACAATCAACATCATACCAGCGATGCTGCCATGAAAACTCTGTATACGGTTTGACGTACTCCGGGATTTCTTTCTGAAAGTCCTCTTCGTCGGCATACGGGATGAATTGAAGCAAGTACGGGTCGTGGTCATTGCAAATACTCTGGTCCGCTGGCGTGCACGCCTCGTACTTGGGGTAGGCAAACTCAGAAGTTGCGCTCTTTTTCAAGTGTACAGTGTGCGCAGTACGAGGGCCCTGGGTCCGTGAGCCCGATTGCTGGAAAAAGGTTTGGGTGTATGCGGCAGAATTAGAGGAGACAGGCTTTGTAGGAACCTCGCCATTGATGAGGTCGTCAAAGGTAATTGCTGGGGGAGCGGTGTACGCAACCCGCAGGCCCTGTATCATGGTGTTACAGTGATTGTTCTCCCACTCATAATAATCATGCCAGGCTTGTCTGTACGAAGCTACCTGGTCGTCAGTGCGCTTACGACTCTGGCGGAAAGCCTCGTTGACACTGCTGTCTGGAGCCGGGGTAGAGTTTTCAGATCCGGAAGCAGACATGAGAGGAGTGGTGGAGGGCTGAGGCCTGAGGAGCAGCGTGGCGAGCGTGCGCGTGAGCAACGCTGCAGCACGCACAGTGCATGTTAGCGTTTAAGCACTCGAGTCGTGGGTCGCGTGTCACGTCGCCAGCTGCCTTCACCGTGACACAACATAACAGTACTCTGCGATTGCTACTGGTACAAATAATCGGAAGTGGGGTCGAGACAGTATAGCTACAGGTGGTGCTGTGGAATGCGTGCATAGGGTATGTTGGCAATAAGTCCATGTTGGTATCCAGACTTGTGAGTATCGTGCGAGTATCGTGCGCGGAGTGCCCATAGTCCACCGGCCAATCCTCCAGGCAAACACAATCGTGGGTGAGCAAATCTGTACTTCCCATACAGAGCAAAACATATGCAATAAACAGCAAGCGGCACAGCAGCAAAACAAGACCACGCGATCGTCGTGGTCATCGGTCCTTCGTTTTCGCTTAAACCTGGTCAGTCTTTCGTCGGCCTGGGCTCTGGGTGATGCATCAATGGTTGTGGTTGTGGTTGTTGGCAAGCCAGTCGCGCATTCATCCGTGCCTCGCGCGCTTGGCGTCCGCGGCCTCAGCGGGCGTATACTGCTCGCGCCTCACTCCCCCGCCGGTGGCCGAGCTCGCACCTGCATGCTGCAGACCCATACCTTGTTGAGGCCGACGCTGTGCTGCCTGTGCCTGCTGGATCCCCCTGTGCAACACAAAACACGATGAATGAGGCGGATCGCGGGAAGGAAGACGGGGCAGGACATGACTCACTCCATGATCGCCGCAGTGCGCTTGAGGCTCGCGCTCCGCGCACCCTGGTTCATGGATTGGGCGTGGTGCTGGTTCGGCGCGGACGGAAAATTGAAGCCCCCACCCATGGACGGTGTGCGCGCCCTGTCTATTGGCGTGCTGGGCCCAGTGCCATTGGACTGGGGCGCCTCCTTCCCATTGACGTTCCCGTGAGCGAAGGCACTGGGCTGTACGCGACGGTGCTCGACGGGGGGGTTCGAGGCCGCCTGTGGTGCCTGAGGCTGAGGCTGAGGCTGAGGCTGTCCGTTGGAAGCAGCTTCGGTCATTTCGTCGTCGACGCCCGCACCCTCGTCGAAGTCGATCGGCCGCCCCACGCCTTCGTCGAGCGTTGATAAATCAGCGTTCGCGAAGAAAGCGTCGTCATCCGACGAGAATGTGTAGTCGTCCGAGCCGTCGTGGTCCGTGGCCGCAGCGCCCTTGGCGAGCACTTGAACTGGGCCGCTAGACACGACCTGAGGGACATTCGAGGAATTCGACGGAAGGGCGTGCTGAGGGGCGGCCTGGGCCGCTCCCTGTTCGCGATGTTGTGCTTCTTGGGCCTCTTGGATTGCCTTCATGCGCTGGGCATGGCGCAGGGCTTTCAATTTCGACAGGGGGTCGTCGTTTTTCAGCGAAGGTGCGGAGGCAGATGAGACCGCTGACGCGCTGCCGTTCTCGGCGGTGGAGGTTAGTACCGTCTTTCCTTTGGCATTGGGAGTGGAGATTGCTTGCGGAGGGGGGAAAGAAGTACGATTGGGAAGGTGAGCCGGAGGTGGCATCATGGGTAGAATAGGCTCTTGTTTTACCGGTGGTCGCTCCGCCTTCACGGAGGACGGTCCAGCTGCCAGGGAAGGAGCTGCAGACACAGCGGCGGATCCATTCGGAACGCGCGAGCTACCCTCCTCGAATTCAGGACGCCGATGGAGTTCGCTCTTGTCCAGTTTGGCCTGCATGGCATGTAAGAATGTGAAAAAGATACTCCATATATGCGCCATACCGGGGGAACCTTGATCTTCACGACCTCTTGAGTGTATGCTTTGTCGTACAGGCAATTCCCGAGCAGGTTACCAAAGTTGCGGAGAGTACGCTTGATAGCATCGGTGACGGCCTCCTTCTTGCACTATATGCGCGCAACCGTCAAACCAGTACTAAGGAATGCAGAATATACATACCTTGTCCAGTGCTGCGCCCTTGCTCTTCGAGTTCTCCAGTAGCCCATACCCAACATCCTCGTGGAACACACCGTCCCGAAGGGTAACGCGGACAATAGCCGTGACTCCCACAGAGTATCGTGCACTTTGCTCGCTGTAGTCTATGAAGTCCGTGGTCAAGCTCACGATGGTGGAGCTCCAACCATTGAACCCAAAGCTGATGTATGCGTGGGGTGGTCAGGGCTGAGACGCGGGGTAGATGCATGACGGACTCACACTTCGTTCGCCAGGTTGATGACCTTCCAGCCTTAGTGGTTCTCAGAGAAAGGGCTTCAAGCAGGTGTATATGCCACGCACCTTCCGCGTAAGTCAGCTTCGGCCCTCCGCCAGGCCCTGGCCTCTGCGAGATGAACTCCGGCCCAAGCTTCTTGTTCAGCTTTGCTTGCAAGGCCGCAATCTTCCTCTCGCTCTCTTCGCTCATGATGGAATACGAGCTGTCTGACCAAAATGACTGCTGCGTTCCAGCAAAGCCGGATGACGGAGATGCTCCATGTACAGAGGCGTTGTAGGACATGGGGCCGCAAGTCGCGATGTGGGTAATATTATGGGACGGTTGACCAAAGGGGGCCCTAGGAGATTGCGCGGCGTTATGTGAGTTCATGAGATGCGAGCTTAGGGAGCCTGGAGAAGCCATGAGGACATTAATGAGGAAGAGAGACTGAGTCCAATCGAGTTGGTGGCGGAACCGTGATCGCGGGCGCCAGTTGACGCGGCGAGCGATCGCGTCAGTGTCGTGCCTAGGTCACGTGCACTTTGAACAGGGTCAAGTATGCTGAAATACTCACCAGGGTCCAGCGGGCACTGGCCCGGTGCCAGATATTCATGCACATACAAACGAGTGCACTTGATCATGTCTGGTACGCCATAACAAAGGCGTCGTAAGTGGGGCTACCGACCGTAAATTGGAATCGGTTTCCATGACTCTGCGTTGCATCGAGTCAAAGTGTTCGACCGCCCTGCTCCAACTTTGCATCCGGCTTCGCATTAGCTAGGATGCTCCGGCCGCCTCGCCTTCATGGGTTCCCCGTCATCCTATGCGCTCGACAAGAAGAAGCGCCTATGTGGCTTCGCCGAGCAGCTCTTGTGGAAATGTATAATCTTCAAACCAGCAATTGTACTCGACGTATATAAACAAAACGTCCAGGTATCGATACACATCATGAAAGGTCGTTACCGTGCTCGAGTCTATGCTTCTATCTAAGGTGTCATCAAACCGAAATGATTGTCCATACACGCTACCTCCAAGTACTGCGTCTCATGACCGAACGAACCCTTCCAGCCATGAACTGGCAATTTTCGTCTCCTACGCCAGAGCACCCTCTTCAAAGAACGGGATTCGCGCTCTCGAAAGCACATATCGTGCCCCACACCGCCATCGCGGTGCTCACTGCGAGCAAAATCGCGTCCCAGAAACCACACTGGCGCGCACCACCGGCGAGCGCCACTTTGGCGCAGACGGGGCCGATGATACAGAGGAGGAAGGAGAAGGTAGAGCCAAGAACGGCCATAACGGACGCGAACTCGGGTATGAGGATGGAGACGGCGACGGAGAGTAAAGTGAGCGCGATGCGCTCGGCGGTAATGAGGAGCTCCTTGGTCTTGCTGGAGTGTCCGGAGGAGGGAGAGATTGGGGAACCGTGAGGGTCGTGAGGGTCGGCGGCGCCGGATTCAAGGCCGAAGAACATTTCGATCGTAACATTAAGCTGCAAATGTGAGACAGTGAGTTGCTTGGGAGTAAGGGACAAGTCGAGGGCATACGCACGGGGCGGGCAGTAAGGGCATACTTTGACCTGCATGGTAATTAAAGCGTCAGTAACTTGAATGAAAAATGACGGGAATCAGACGCACAGGGGAGTGATGACGAGACCCCATAGTGCGATCGTGTTCAGAGCCGGATGAGTGTTATACCTCATCAGGTCCTGACTGAACTCATCGCTGACGGCGTTGCCGAACATGATGTAGCCGACTACGCCAAGCAGACCGTATATTCCGGTTGCAACGACGAAGGCCCAGTTAATCATTTCGTCGAAACGCGAAGGATCTTGCATGTCCCTCGCCAGAGTGGGGATGACAGCATGTCCAGAGAACTGCGCAGGCGTTATAAGCGAAGTAATGGCGTGAAAACAGAGAACTTACCCCCGCCATGAACAGCCCGAACGCAACCCCGAGTTCTTTAAAGTTGTCAATACCAAGACTAGTAGCCGCTGGGTTCCAGAGACTGCCAGGGCTGTCGAATTTGGTGAAGCCGTCGAAGATAATTATGCAGATGATGGCCACGAGGGAGAAGATCCCGACGATAGACGCAAACGAAAGCACAGAGAGGGGCATGAGAACCGCGGGTATCATTCTGTAATTCTGTGAGTCTTCAGACAATCCACATATTGGCATTACAACTTACATAGCAAGACCAATCAGCTTGTAGATATCTGAAGAGTATTCTGGGAGGACCGCGTGCAGAGAGTCGGCATATAAAGTGACCAGAGCAACACTGCAATGTGTCATTATATGGAGTGTGTGTTTGCTACTAGGATAACTCACGAAACGGTGAATAGTTCGAGGCCAAAAATGGCACTGATGAGAGGCATCGAGCGGGGTCCAAAGGCCTTTCGACCAATATCGGCGTAGGAACGAATGGTGTTATCTCCGAGAACTATACGCGCAAGGATCTTCGCACTGGTGCCAGTTAGCTTCGGATTACAAGACAACTCAGTGGAGATACGCACGTATAGCATGAGATATAGCCATATCCAATTATAAGAATAGTGCCCCAGATCCAACCGGCGTAAGAGAAAGCCATGGGCTCGGAAAGCATACCGATACCAAACAATACGGCAACTGCATTAAGCAACTGCGGGACGAGCTTGTATTAGCTCGAGATATCTCATAGGCACGTAGAAAACGTACCGTCTGCGCAAAAGTGCTCTGCCCGCCATGGCTTGGCTTGCGTTCCCTCCAGGACGACTTGGATCGAGTACTCAGATGTGAAGCTCGCCTTTGAAGGGCGGAGTGCTCTGGTATGCTCTGCTCGACTTGTGCGGGGGTCCGGTAGTTCGGAACAACGGTGCGAGAGGAGGAGGAGCGGGCCATAAGGGGTGTACGTTCGCCTGGACCGGCGCGGGGAGTAGGGAGGTCGTCCTCGTCTTCAAATGCTGGAGGAATATTCCACGGCGCTCGTGCAGCAGGACGAAAATCATACTGGCGACCTTCGGAGGTAGGGGCAGGAGTCAGATCGTCGTCCCACTGGATGTTGGCAAGGAACGGGTGTTCGCCGGAGCTGCGTGTCCTCTCGCGTATCGACGGCGCATCCTCGTCGTCGTCGAAAGGGTCGAGGTCATCGTTTTCTTGAAAGGCATTTTCGGGGTCGGTTGCGGCGCTGGGACCAGAGGACGAAGAGAGCGATCCAGAGACGAAGTCGGAGTGTTGGGTTTGCGTGCGACGGTCTAGGGAACGTTATCAAACTGCGAGCAGTGATCGGGAAAGGGAGCAAAAGACTAACAGGCTTCTATAGCACCTATGACACTACTCGCGGACCGGTAAGAACCAGATACGACGGCGGCTGGGAGGGACATGAGAGCGGGTCAGAGAGGTCGTGTGCAGAGGAGCGCGGTCCGCGGAGGGAGGGCGATGGGGAGCGGGAACAAAGTCGAGGGCAGAGCTGTACCTCCCGGAGCAACGGTGGCGTTGATGTGGGCGGGGGCGGAGGTGGTCGAGAGAAGCAGCAAGGTCCGGGGCGGCTGAGTCGGCAGGTGAAAAATGCTCAAGTTTGAACGAGCTCACCACGCGGACGGTGTTCGGCCTTTCCGGTGCGTTCGCTGCGCCTTCGGCAAACTGCCTCAGCTTTGGGCGGGTGCGACAGTGCGAGTGACCTGACGTCACTCGCCCACGATATCACGCGCCTCGTTCGTGCCCGGTTCTTTCATTTCCACCACCATGGCCCGCCTCCCCTTCCTCGGCCGCCTTACCTCCAGAGATTACGCCGCCCTCATCTTTGGCGGCGTATTCGTCCTCTTCGAGGCCATCCTCACCCTCGTTATCTCCTTCCTCCCCAAAACCGTCATCGAATGGTTCTACGACCGCTCTCGCAGCCTCTTCCACTTTTCCGTCGGCCCTCCCATCCCCAAGTCTCCCCACCAGCATCTCACCGACCGCATCCGTCGTGCAGAAGACTTCTCCAGGCTATGCGAAATCTTTGGCTATGAGCACGAGGAGCACGTCGTCCTCACCAAGGACGGTTACCTTCTCGGACTCCACCGCCTGCCTGCAAAGAAGGGCGAGGTCAGAGAGAACTCGGGTGTATCCACCGGCAAGCCCGTCGTATACCTTCACCACGGCCTCCTCATGAATTCCGAGGTTTGGGTTTGCCTCACCAACCCCGAGCGTTCTCTTGCCTTCACCCTCGTCGAGCTTGGTTTCGACGTCTGGCTCGGTAATAATCGCGGCAACAAGTATTCCAAGAAGTCCATTCACCACAATCCTAACTCTACCAAGTTTTGGGACTACAGCATCGACGATTTCGCCTGGCACGACATTCCCGATTCCATCAACTACATCCTCGAGGTCACCAAAGAACCCAGCCTGAGCTATGTTGGCTTCAGCCAGGGTACCGCTCAAGCATTTGCCGCCCTAAGCATCCACCCTCCTCTGAACGAGAAGATCAACGTCTTCGTTGCTCTCGCGCCAGCTATGAGCCCAGACGGATTGGCTGCTTCTGTTGTCGACAGTCTGATGAAGGCTTCGTGAGTACCCTCGACATTCATACGCAGGGTTATTCTTAAACGCTACTGTACCCTCAGACCGACACTCCTTTTCCTCATCTTTGGTCGCAAGTCGATCATGTCCTCGGTACCCGCATGGCAATCCCTCCTCTACCCTCCGGTTTACTGCGCGGCCATCAGCTCTTCCCTCAGTTGGCTCTTCAACTGGCAATCCCATAATATCTCCGACTTGCAGAAGTTGGCCGCCTTCTCGCACCTCTACTCCTCGGCTTCCGTCAAATCGGTAGTCCACTGGTTCCAGATCATGCGGAACGGCAAATTCCAGATGTACGACGACGACGTTCAGCGCGTTGTTCTGGTACGGCGCACCGCCAAGCCGTCTGGCGTTACTGCGTACGCGCCCGCCCAGTTCCCAACACGCAACATCGTCTCTCCCATCGTGCTTCTGTATGGCGATTCGGATTCGCTCGTGGATATCGATGTGATGCTGCGCGAGTTGCCTCGCAAGAGGACGACGGCTCGTCGTCTTCGCGGCTACGAGCACTTGGACGTCATCTGGGGCGATAACATCCACAAGGACGTCAACCCGCATGTCGTCGCCGCGCTCCGAGACCACTGCATTAACCCAGAGCGCCTCGATGCGGCGGCGAAGATGACCAACGGGTTCTCGGACTTTGACGACGTTACGGAATCCAACACCCCTGCAGATACCCTCTCCGGATACGAAAATTAATTCTTCCCTCGTCATGTATGCAGTCGAGTCTGGAACACCGTCACAGATCCTAGCGTGTCGCATTTACACACTGTACCGTATGGAGAGCTGTAGTGCCCGCGCTCATAATTGTCCGACCTTGCTTACCGTTATTGTCGAAAAGCTTGTGTCAATTTTCATAGCCACTTACGATCACTGACATTTCTGTGATATGCTATTCATATACTCGAGTGTGTTCCTGATTTGCTATCAACGGCAAAATGACTGCAGGATAGTGTGAAAGGAGATTGTGCCATCTCTATACGCGAGCACGATCCGTGTGTCGTCCTTGCACATCGCCATCCGCACGAGGGGCTTCTCCCCCGTGTGTACTGTGTAGTATCCGCGCGACACACGCTGCGCTGCCGACGCTCCAGAATCGCACCCTCCAGTCGCCGTAGGAGGGGTCCGATTACAACCGAATGCCAATCTCGACCAGGCGTTCAAGCGTCAAAATACGAGGGCGAGCGTGCCAGGCGTCCTCGCCTGTGTCGCACAAATCCCGCGGACTCGAGGGAAATGTACTTTCGCAGTCAGATCCAGTATAGAGACACCGGTAAGAAGATCTACAGGCTACAGCGTCGCGGCTAGTTTACAGCGGGTACAACAGGAAGGGATGTCTGCGCGGCGTGTGCAATGACTTTTGTGAGCTCTGCAATTTGACGCAAAGCGCGCTGATGAGACGGAGGTTAGGGAAAGAAAACATGAAGGACGCACGAGAGAGCTGAATGTTCTCCTGAACTACTGTCGACTCGATCTGGTTGTCGGGATTGGGTGGGATACCGACGACGCTCGAACTTGCGTTCCACGTCCAGCCGAGCTTTTGAACGTAGGCATTCAGCTCAGGGCCTGTCAGTGAGCGAAACGGACGGAGCGATGAGCTCCACGCATGAAAGAAAAAATGCGGCAAGACGTTGCATACCAGACAGGTTAAGATAGGACCCCAAGCGTTCACTGCCTATGCTCGTGAACGCGGCCTTAACTGCGCGGACAGCGACCTGGCGCACTGCGTCCTCGAACCCCACGCACTCCACCGTGTAGTTGTCCCTCAACGACTCGACATCATTCGACCGATAGAAGACCCAGAATGCAGGGAAGCGACATTGCTGCAAGAGACCGTGGAGTGCGGTGAGGATACGGAGCTGATCAGGAAGGGGGTCGGGCTCGTCTTGCGGCGGTGCGGTGGTACGCTCGTCCAGGAGGGATATGCAGAGATTGAAATCGGGGAAGGGGGCGGAGGTGAGGGCTTTGATGAGAATGTTGATCACAACATCGGGGTTGTACAGGTCCGGGTTGAACTGGTACCTGGAGGAGGACCATTAGCTCGCACACACAACCTCAATGGGTGGCAAGATCTTGGGGAGGAAGAGAAATGAAACTTACAGCTTAAGAATGGCAAGGTTGGCAAGGCAGTCATACTCCTCACTACGGATCTGGTGGTAGAGGTAGTCCTCAAGGATGCCGACATTGGACGGATTGTACCGGTCTGTAGATTTGACGTCCGATCAGAGAGAAAACTTGCATGCAGGGGGGCTTGGACTCGTACCGACTCCGGAAACCAAAGTCTCGATCAGAGGGGGCCGTGAAGGAGGGGCCGCCCAGTTCGCCGCGGAAGTCATTGTGAGGTCGTGAGGGATACAAGGAGCGTCGAGGAGCTGGGAGCAGGTAGGAGTACAGAGCAGACCGAGGGCTGAGCCAAGCGGCGAATCGCCCGGCGGGCCGTACAATAGTTGTAGACGCCCGCCTGAGACATGTTCACCAACTTCGTCTGAGACGCGCCCAACTTCGACACAACCTCCAGCTCAGATGTCTGTTACTGTCACCATGAACATCGACGACGAGGACCACAAGCCGCCAACGGAAATGGTCATGGGTGGCGCAAATGGCGCATCTCGTTCTCACTCTCCTGTTGCCCCGGACTCGCGCATGTCAGCTCCTCCTACCGCGTCTTCACCTCCTCCGCCCCCTTCCTCCGCGTTTACGCCTGTCCCTGTGTCAGCACCAGCACCAGCACCAGCACCAGCACAGAAAGGCCCATACAAACCCAACTACAAGCCACACTTGATGTTAAGCGGTCATTCGCGGTCAATATCTTCGGTCAAGTTCAGCCCAGATGGGACCATGTTGGCGTCGTGCGGTAAGTGTGGTGGAAGCCCGGGAAGCTGTGGACGAGTACAGACTCACGCATGATGGGAAGTAAGCTGCCGATAAACTCGTCAAGCTATGGGATGCAGACTCGGGCGATATCATCCATACATTCGAAGGCCATACAGAGGGAATTTCCGACGTCGCCTGGTCGAGTAATGGCGAGTTCCTCGCATCTGCCTCAGACGACAAGTCTGTGCGCCTGTGGAGTCTTGAGTCGGTGAGTTGTCTGTCCTCTTCATGCGTGCGTTGGCCGACGTCTCTCTTCACTGGTAGTACGATGTTATGAAAGTTCTACTCGGGCACACCAACTTCGTGTTCTGTGTGAACTTCAGCCCTTCGTCGAACCTGCTGGCCTCGGGCGGTTTTGACGAGTCTGTCAGAGTATGGGATGTGGCGAGAGGTATGCAACATGTTTGTTGTACATGCACGGTCAACTAATGTTTCCGTTCAGGAAAGACCTTGAAGACGCTCCCCGCACATTCGGACCCAGTGACTGCGGTGGCGTTCAATCACGACGGTACTCTGATTGGGTCATGCTCAATGGACGGCTTAATGTCAGTGTCCGGGATTTTACTCCAGTAGGCAGTGCTGAAGCGCAGTCTTCCACTTGTAGTCGGTTGTGGGACACCGAATCCGGGCAGTGCTTGAAGACATTGGCGGATGACGATAACCCAATATGGTCAGCTCAGCTTCCCTGCTAATAGGAACCCTACTTACCCCCGACAGCTCACACATCAAATTTACCCCGAACTCGCGGTTCATCCTGGCAAGTACTCAGGACTCGACGATTCGGCTCTGGAATACGCAGACAAATAAGTGTGTGAAGACGTATAGCGGGCATTCAAACCGGACGTATTGCATATTCGCGGACTTTGCGCCGGGCCGAAAACACATTGTGGGCGGGAGTGAAGACATGAAGGTCTACATCTGGGACCTGCAGACGCGAGAACTTATTCAAACGCTGGAAGGTCATCGAGGTGCGTGACGGCTGTTGTGGCAAGGCCGCGGATGTTCTAATAGCTTTACAGATGTCGTGGTAACAGTCGCCGTGAGTGATTATGTTGCCGCGTGGAGGACCGTTAGCTGACAACGACATTAGTCACATCCTACTCGGCGACTCATTGCGTCGGCCGCGATGGAGAAGGACTTGACTATTCGTCTGTGGACTGATGACCAACCTGACGGACATTGACCGGAATCTGATTTTGGGGCGCACGGATGTCGTCGTTCCGATAGAGCCTATTGTTATATGAGTATAGTTCCAGTGGATGACGTTCCGTAAGGAAATACGGAACTACGGACGCTCCGTAGTTCTCTAGACCGCTCGAAAGGGCAGTTCCGCCGAGATGCCGACGAGAAAGTGATACCCGAGGATCTCACTGTGGCTGCTGGAATAACAAGCGCCCAAAAGTCTGTGGAGGGGTCGGCACCCCCCTCGCAGAGCAAACAAGCCTGCCGAAAAGCTGTAGAGGCCTCCTGAAGGCCTATTTTGGAGGGGAGGTAGTGATGTGGACCATTATCGGCGCTGACAAATCGACGACTGGACCTCAACGGACCTCCATGAGGTCTGGCTAAGGTCTCCGCGCGGTGGAGGCACTCCGTTGACGCCAGCTTGACGCCAGAGATCCCTCTCGTCGCTTAGCCTCGCTTAAAGCTCCGGAATTGCATTTACGGGTCTAGTAAGAGCGGTCTGGCTTACGGACCGTCATCCAGTGAATCTAATTGTCGCCATCTGGCTCGGAACAGTCGCTCAGACTGACCCCAGATTCCGACTCTGAGTGAATGCTGGCGGAGTTCTGGGTGCTCTCCGGCGTCGGAGTGGTTCTGAAAACAAGGAACGAGGGTCCGAACCCCGACGCCGGACCTGGAACGGGAAGCCTTGTCGAACGCCCAGGCCTTCAGGAAGGCGGGTGAGGAAGATAGGACACGGCGTCTCGCGTTCGAGAAGGTCCGGTCGTGTTCCAGAGTGCGCAGCGCCTCCCTATTCGGCAAGTCATTCTGAGGGCGCAATCGGCTGACTCACCGTTCCGTGCCCACGCTTTCAAACTCCGCCGACCGCCATATATAAGCTGCCCGCGCAACCGCTGCGCCTCAAGCTACCCTATCTACACCACCCACCTCGCATCGCATCCCTCCTCATCACTCGCCATGCAGATCTTCGTTAAGACCCTCACCGGCAAGACTATCACGCTCGAGGTTGAGTCCTCCGACACCATCGACAACGTTAAGGCCAAGATCCAGGACAAGGAGGGGTGAGTGGCGGTCGTCGTTGGAGAGTGTGAAGCATACTGACGACCTTAATAGCATCCCCCCTGACCAGCAGCGCCTCATCTTTGCTGGCAAGCAGCTCGAGGACGGCCGCACCCTTAGCGACTACAACATCCAGAAGGAGTCGACTCTGCACCTCGTTCTCCGTCTGCGTGGTGGTATGCAAATCTTCGTCAAGACTCTCACCGGCAAGACCATTACCCTCGAGGTCGAGTCGTCGGACACCATCGACAATGTCAAGGCGAAGATCCAGGATAAGGAAGGCATCCCCCCGGATCAGCAGCGTCTCATCTTCGCCGGCAAGCAGCTCGAGGATGGCCGCACCCTCAGCGACTACAACATCCAGAAGGAGTCTACCCTTCACCTCGGTACGTCCGCATCGTCCTTCGTGCACGATATCTCGTCTGAGACCCTTCATAGTCCTTCGTCTCCGCGGTGGCATGCAGATCTTCGTTAAGACGCTGACTGGCAAGACGATCACGCTTGAGGTTGAATCTTCCGACACGATCGACAACGTGAAGGCGAAGATTCAGGATAAGGAGGGCATCCCGCCTGACCAACAGCGTTTGATCTTTGCCGGCAAGCAGCTCGAGGACGGTCGCACCCTCTCGGATTACAACATCCAGAAGGAGTCGACGCTGCACCTTGTCCTTCGTCTTCGTGGCGGCATGCAGATTTTCGTTAAGACGTTGACCGGCAAGACCATCACCTGGAGGTCGAGTCGTCCGATACCATCGACAACGTCAAGGCTAAGATCCAGGACAAGGAGGGTATCCCGCCTGATCAGCAGCGCCTCATCTTTGCTGGGAAGCAGTTGGAGGACGGTCGCACGTTGTCCGACTACAACATCCAGAAGGAGAGCACCCTGCACCTCGGTATGTTTGAGTGATTCATCTATGAGGTCTGACGCTAATCATAACATTCTGCAGTCCTCCGTCTCCGTGGCGGGAACTGAGCTGGATGTTGTCTGCTGTCGCGCACTGTAGTTTTTCTGTCGTATCATCAGTTGTCGCCCGTAGCATGTGGAATGTATCATCACCTGGCTTTCGAATTGTCGTCATCGTTGGGGAAGAGCTCCTCGGAGCCAGTGTATAAGTGAGAACGTATGCTACATAACATATCAGCGATGCTAGGTCACTCCGTCTAGACCGCCTTGGGTTCCGACTTCGCATGCCGTCGCCTTCGTTTCCGCTGATGTCCTGATCCTTCTGTATGCTGCTCCCCGTCGTCCAAACCTTCCACCTCGCGTTTACGCTTCTCGCCCGCATTGTTCGTTTCAGACTGGGGCTTCGAAGATGTACCCGCATCTACCTTTGGTTTCTTTTTCTTCACGCTCAGTGGGTTTGGCCCTTTTGGACCCTTCTTTTTGCGTGGCGGTTCCGCAGGTGCAGGTGCCGCACTCTGCAACGCTTGTGTCTCCGGTTCGCTCGGGCGTAGCGCGTTCTCCTCCGCCTGCACAATAAAAAAGCGAGGGATGAGCAAAAGGGCGAGCGGTCGCCAGGGAAAGGACGCACTAAGGCTTTCGTGTGGAGCGTCGCGTCGCTCGGGGGTTCGAGAATCATCACCGCGCGGTTGAGGTGCACGATCGGGACGGCGGGGATGGCGCGGAGCGCACTGCGAAGGTCCGTGGATGCGTCGCGAGCGCGTAGCGGTGCTTGTTCGTGTCGCCTGCGGGGGCGGCGCATGAGCAAGAGCGAGCGCCGCGGGCCGTCTCGCGCAAGCGGTAGAGGGCAGAAGACTGTGGGCTGTGGGACGGGGAACGGGCACGCACCGACGACACTGCGGAGGCACTCGTCCCCGGGTATGGGCGTGCGGTGGTTGCATTTTCGCCGCTCGAACGTCTTCGCGAGCGCGACGGCGTCGGGGTGGTCTTTCTCTTCGAGGTAGAGCTCTTGGATGCAGCATTGGGTGATCACTGAAACGCGGCTTCGCCGAGCGGATGGTCAGCATGACGCTAACAATAGCGCTTGGGGACGTAGCCAACAGAAGATGCAGGGAGGATGGCTGCTCACTGGGTTTAACGGTTCCTTGGAGAACGACGCCAAGCTGCTTCACGAGCTCGATCTTGTGCGCGCTCGCTTCCTTCGCCATATGCGAGTCCACTATATTTCCGCCGCAGAATGAGCGTGGGTACCGGCCGGGATATGTCGTTGCGCGCACCGAGAACTTGGTATGGTTGTCGGAATCCGAAAGACATCGCATACAGCGACATGAGCTTCCGGTATGCTTTGGCACGCTTATGTCTCATGTTGGGTGAACAGTATCTTCAGGCTCCAGTATCAAGACTAAAAAGTCGGCTTTTGGGAGCAGGGTGTATAAGGACTGACAGCAAAGACGGGCAGCAAGACGAGCAGAGGATGGTGAAGGAGCCTGAGCAAAGTGCGAGGAGATTTACCGCCCGCGCCGGGCCGGCGCTGAAGCCTCGCATGCGTGTTGCCGGCCTCGTGCCGGCCAGTCCGTTCTCTCAGCCACCACGACACCATGCGTATATCCCTACTCGTGCTTGCCCTCGCGAGGTTAGTCAAGCGGCGGTTTATGCTTGCGTGGTGCTGACTATGGTTTGTAAACAGCTTTTGCATATCCACATTTGCCCTCGACTTGAAGGGCCGCATACACTGGAACGACCATTGCAAAGGTACGTTCCCGATCCTCGAAAGGACGGCTTGTTAACCTTTCGATGGCACCGCAGGTCTCAACGAACTTGGACAGACCAAGGTAGCGCTTGACAATGGAAAGCTGCATGGAGGGGTGACACGAGATGGCTCGTTCGAGATGTACGTCTCCTGTTCAAACCCATCTGCGCTCTCCCTAATGTCTTCGCATCACCTAGCCCCGATGTCCCACCAGGGACGTACGTGCTCTCCGTACAAGCCCCCGACCATGCATTTGAGCAGGTGCGTCTGCTCCCGTCTGTGCGCCCCCACCCTGCTCATCCCGCCCCGACGCATGCCTCGCAGATGCGTGTCGACGTGTTCGAGACCGACTCCCTCCCCGAAGTGCGCCCGTACTTCCCCGGGACGCCGCTCTCGGCCGCGTCGACGGTGACGCTCCCGTACCCGATCCAGCTCGCCGCGCGGGTGCGGTACGACTTCTTCGTCCCGCGCGAGAGCTTCAACCTGCTCGCGATGTTCCAGAACCCGATGATGATGATGATGCTCGGCGCGGGCGTGCTCGTCCTGCTCATGCCGATGATGATGGTGCGTGCCCCTTCCGGATCCACCCCCCTTCGTTCTCCGTGCGCGACGCGCAAGGTGTGCTCACGCGCGGTGTGGCCGAGCAGAAGAACATGGACCCGGAGGTCATGGAGGAATTCAAGGAGCGGCACGCCAAAATGACCGGCGCCGGCGCGCAGTTGCAAAGCGGGGACCTTTCAGGCGGGTGCGTGCCGTATGCTACTTTGTGATGAGTCCGTGCTGACTCGACATGTTGTGCAGGCTATCTCAGCTGTTCGCCGCGGCGAGCGAGGATTCCAAAGCGGTGACGTCGGGCCAGTCGAAGAATGCGAGTGCCTCGGGAGCGAAGCAGCGCAGTGGCAAGGGCAAACGTCGGTAATTGGTCGGTTGTGCAAACTTTTGAGGGGCGACTGAGACTGGAGTCACCTACATAGCTGAACGAGATGCCACGGCCTCTGCGCCCTGATATCAGTTCGCTGTACTCCCTTATTTGTACCGGAGAGAGACCGGCGATGTGTGCGCATGCTGTGAGACAGGCTTGTTGTGACATGATCTGTCTGGACTGCTTGTCGCGGCCAAGGGTGACGTCAAGAACGAGAACGTGGCGGTGGAAGAGCAGTACGTTGTGGCATAATGTTCCCCCGTGTAAGGAGGTATAAATACTCTGGTTAATGTTACACGGGTCCTCCAAGTAGGTGAAACAGGCCCAGGTCACCACAGGTGACAGGGATCAAAGGAGCACACTGCGCGCCGTGCCGTATCTTTAACCTATGATGGCGGTGGGTCTTGGCCGGTTGTAGCAGCGGTCGGGTAGTCGAGTATATGGCGCAGAACAGCGTTCCTGGACACGGACAGCCTCAGCGATGGCACATGAGGGGAGGCCACGCGGGCACGGACCTCTGCTTAAACCGAGCGAGCACAGTGTGCACAGACATGTCGTCCTCCTCTGGCAACGGACTGCGTGCAGTGAACGTCAGGGCTGCGGGCAGGAACGCGGAACCAAGGACGCTGCGACGAACCTGGCGCTCTCAGCGACAGGTTTGGTGGCAATCTCAACAACATAGATATTGTTGTTCCGCAGGGCGGGCTCGCCTGCGACGGCAGCGCCTGGGGCGTCAGACACCTTGAGGGAGGAAACGATGAGATCCTGAGAAAGACTCTTGACGGCGGGGGGACCGGGACGAGCGGAATCATAGTCTAGGACGAGCACATGCTCGCCGGGAAACTGGGGCAAGAGGGCGGCGGGAGAATCGTCGGCGTAGTGGTACTCTATGGCGGGGTGGCCGAGGGTGGTGGACGCCGCTGTTACGGGGTTGAGGGCATTGGTCTGGGCGACGAGGACATAGTAGGCGGGTCGGACGGGGACGGCGCGGCGGCCATCGGAAGGCGGGCCCGCGAGGGAAGCAGAGCCGGTGTGGGGGAAGTGGAGACGACTGACGGATGGCGCGGATGGTTGCGAGAGCGCTACGGACAGGCACAGACGAGGGCGGTTTCCCGCGGTCATTGCATAGCGTGCGCCTTCCGAAGCTGGTGCACCCCGCCTCGGCTTCCTCTCCGCGACGAGTCGAGACCGCGCCCGCCCAATAACCCTCGATCGCCGACGACTGTCTTGCGTGCTCACTTGACGTCGCTCGTGATGTGCGGACGCTCGGCGGATGGGTTGCTTCCGCCTCATCTGCTTGCATGTGCACTCCGCCCGCATCCACACCCTGGGCACATCATCCTCGTCCCCCTGGTGACCGACGACGATTCGATCGTCCAAACTTCCGACGCGCTCGCCTATCCTCGCGTGTGCCGTCGACTACAAAAGCCCGCGCCGGGCCCTGGAGCAGGCCACGAACCTCCCGAGACTGACGCAGTGCGCCCCGCGTTGTCTCTTTCCTCCCTTCCCCCTTCCTACTCACCTTTCATTTGCACGCTCACATTCATTTTGTATCCATACTCTCTTTCGCGATCATCACCACAATGACCCGCCTCGCGTTCACCCTTCTCACCCTTCCCGTCCTCCTTTCCTTCCTTGCCTCCGCTCAAGCCGGCCCCGCCTGTGCCAAGAGGAACCAGGACTCTACCGACTGCGTCGAGGCCTGCAAGGGCAAGTGGGGATGGCCTGGGTTTGCCATGAACACCGACCGCTGGGGGTCTGTTGGATCTGCCACCGGCACCTCGACCGATGCTCTGACCGCCGCTGTGACCAAGGGTTGCCGCGTCCGCACGTACGCCACGTCCTCACTTTCCTTGCGTCCTTCGCTCACCTACTGTTTCTAGGAGGTCCTCTTCGGCCCTCTCGTCTGCGACCGCACCCACTAGCTCTGCGACGCTTGTTGGAAACGTCGCCCTCACTGCATCGGCTTCCACCGCGTCTGCTGCCGTCACATCATCCGCGTCCATTGCTCCCCTCGCCAACTCCTCCAGCGCGATCAACGCCACCCTCTTCCACAGCTCGACCGCGTCCTCCTCTCACAAGCTCACCGCACTCGCGAACACCGTCTCTTCAACTTCTACTAGCAGCTCTAAGCCCAGCACCACCTCCACAAAACCCGAGACCACGAGCACCACCCCCAAGACGACCTCCACCTCTAAGAAGGAGGAGACGACCGAAGCCCCGCCGACCACAAGCGCCAAGCCCTCCACCTCCACGAAGAAGGCCTCGACAACGAAGCAGGCACAGACCACACAGTCCTCCGGCAACTCAGGCAGCAGCAGCTCCGACGCGACCTCGCAGAGCGACATCAACGCCTACCTCACTGCGCACAACTCCGTCCGCTCCCAGCACGGCGCTTCCGCGCTCTCCTGGAGCGACGACCTCGCCGCGTCCGCGCAGACCTGGGCCAACAACTGCGTCTTCCAGCACTCTGGAGGCAAGCTCGGCGCGTTCGGCGAGAACCTCGCCGCGGGCACGGGCAGCAGCTACGGGATCAGCACCGCGTCAAGTCGTGGACTGACGAAGTTTGTGAGTGGTCTCTGCTTCGCCTGTGTTAGCATCTTACGCCGGAGGTTGACGCCGCCATGCAGCCGACTACTCTTCCAGCAACCCCCAGGCGTCCCACTTCACCCAGGTCGTTTGGAAGGCCACCACTCAGGTCGGTTGTGCCGTCCAGTCTTGCGGCGGCATTTTCGATGCCAGCTTCGGGGTACGTGTCCTACCTCTTGTCCGACTTGCATCTCAGCGTCTGACGACGACCCTCGCCACAGCCCGCCAAGTACTACGTGTGCGAGTACTTCCCTCAGGGCAACGTCATTGGCGCGTTTGCGCAGAACGTCCAGGCCTAAGTCTGAGCGCAGCCTCAGCGCTTTACCTTTCAATATTCCGCCTCGACCAGGGGACCACCCGTTGCCTCATTCCCGCCGCGCGAGCGCGAAAGCCGAGAGGGCACGATTAGCGTATTTCTTTTTAACCTTTCAGTGCCGCCGGTGCATCAGGCATGTCGCGACGTGTCACCCCTGTATCTTTCTTGACCATTGGCTAGTACCGTACCTTTCGACCTTCTCTGTAGCATCTTGTCGCGTTTTGGGCAAGGTACCCCTCTTTTGTCGTCCCGTGGCTCTCGGTTCTACCTGTGGCGGAGTCGAATGCAGCTTGTACCATCATCTTTTCGTGTGAAGGCGTGCCAACCTGTGCCAACCCACTCGTAGATCTCGAGGAACCCGCAGTTCTTGCTGTGCTGCCATCTCGAGTCAGGATTCGGAAAAAGGTTGTTGAGTGGGCCAGAGATGCCGTCATATAGCCGGCGTCGACCGGGCGGTCGGTGCTCTGCCGGGCGCCGACACCAGAGGGACCAAGGTGCAGCTCTTGGACTCTCACCTGCATGTTGTCCCGGGTGGCCCGGTGGTCGGCCGTCTCCCACCTTCTCTATGTCGTCCTCGTTCTCCTAATTGCTATCTTCACCACCATCTCCTGCGCCTTCCTCATCTCCCAGGCGGTGCGCCATGCTCCCAACCAGTCCTTCAAACAGAACATCAATGTCATAATAGTTGGAGCATCATATGTCGTCCTGGTGGGTGGTCCGTCCGCGTAGTCTCACGTGCTATTGTTGTCTCATGTTCGGCGGCAGCTACTCGTGTCCATCGCGTTCTGCCTGAAGCGGAGGATCGCAGTCCACAAGCGTCTGCAGAGGATCTCGGAGACTTTCCACACTCTGGGCAAGAGTGATGTCCCTGAGGTGCGCACCGAGAGTTGCTGAAAGTTCATGCTGTAACGTCGGTGCCCGCACCCAGTCCGTCCACAAGTACATCCAGCAAGAATACACCCGCGCGTGTCTCATTGCGTACGAGTCCCGGCCGAAGGGTCTCTCGCAGGACGGGTGGGGCAAGCCCGGAACGGCACTCGACGGTCTGCGCTTCCGTACGGCCCTGCTGGACTCAGTTCGTGTGATCGGTGCGTGGCCCTCCCTTCGCTCGCGGTGCTAAACCCTGCTCACGTCATGCGATGTGTAGACAGTCTCGCCCACGAGGTCATACCTCGACATCCGGTGCTGCGTCCTCACGCACGGATGCTGCACCACTTCCGCTTCATCATGCCGCTCATGAGCAAGGACGAAGACGGCTTGACGCCTCTGCACTATTACGACTCCGCCGTCCAGCTCGCTCGACATGCTACCCGGGAGCCGGGGAGAACGAGTTTTTGGTCGGGATCACGGCGGCGAGAGAGATCGAGAATGTGTAAGTCGACTATATGCTATCTGATGCGTCTTTGGGTCTCAACGCTCTACCAGCCTGCAGGAGTGTTTGGCGGAGATGCGCAGGGGCTCCGCTTCGGACCTGAGTACATGTAAGCCCGTGCTGTGCATGTCCTTCGAGGCTCTCGAACTAAACACTCGCCACCGTAGACGCAGACCTGTTGACGGGCCGTACCAATGACAACCGCGGTCACCCCGAGCTCTCAGGTGCAGTGCGAAGAGTCCATATTCGTCAAGGAAAAGGGTACAAGTACACGAACAACCGCCATTTAATGCAAGCCCTTCTCGTACACCTTCTGGAACGCCGGCCTCGCCGCCCACGCCTTCCAGTACGCCTCCACCTTCGGCGGCACCGGGCCCCTGTCTCCTTTTCGAGCGTCTTGTACCCGTCCGCGACGGAGCCCCCGGTGAACATCGCGATCCGCGCGAGCCACGCGCCGAGGTGGTAGTCGTCCTCGCCCGGGGTCTCGCCCCCGAGGAACCCAGACTCGGGCAGGAGCGTCGGGAGCTCGGTCATGATGAACGCGGTGATCGTCTTCCAGAGTTGGTGCCGGCCTCGAAGACGCCGGCCTTGGCGGCGTCGGGCGCGGCGCCCTTGAAGACGGCGAGCAGACCGCCGTTGACCGCCTTCTTGCCGGTGTAGAACTCCTGGAAGTCGGCGGCCGCGGGCAACGCGCTGTGCTTCTCGAGCGAGTCTTGGCCTGGAGGTCGTGCCCGGCAGAGGAACGGTGAGTGGTTAGTCCTGGAGTGCGATGGCGGAAATAACTCACGGTTCTGGAGGAAGATCAGCGGGAAGCCGGACGCGAGTGCCTTCAGCTGCTCGTCATTGCGCTGGACGGCGGCGCGTCAGCACGGGTCTGGTGGCACGGCACGGTGCGGAGCACTCACCGCGAGCAGCATGGGCGCGTTGGGGTCGAGCTGCGCCTCCTGAAGGGTGTCCCGGAGTGCGGTTCCCTTCGCGGCCTTGCGCGGGGCGTGCTCGATAAGGTACTTGATCACCTGCTTGGTGGACGTGTACGCTTTGCCGTCCGCGACGAGCGTCGGGAGCGTGCCGTTCGGGTTCTGCGCGACCCGTGCCGCGGGTACCCAGTCAGTCTCGGGAAGCGCTGCAAGTCACAGGGGTAGGCTTGGGCACGCACGATGGCGAGGAACTCGGGCGTAAAGTTGGCGCCTTCAGCGAGGTTGACGACCTTGACATCGATGGCGTCGGCGGGGTACTCGAGGTCGGCGCTGTGCCGGACGCGGATGAGCAAACGCAAGGATGCGGCACAATGGCGCGGGGACTCACATGGCAAGTTCTCCGGCGGCAGCCCAAACGGACATGCCGAATGTGTAGTAGGTAGGCTGTATAGGGAAAATATTCAGCCTCTGGTCGGCCAAGCCACTGTATAGTCGTTCACCTTGGACATGGCTTTGCTAGGTGGTGGGTGTAATTGCAAAGAGGGATAGGAGGCGTGCAGGAGAGATGATATCGATGGCAGTCGAGGCTCGCCTGCCTTTTATAGCGTACTAGTATACAGGTACGGGCTCGCCACATCTCAGACATGGTCCGCTCAGTCGCCAGCCGACGAACCCCGGGCTCGACAACTACCAATCGCCGTGAGAGAGACGCAGACTGGGCGGCGCAAGTGTGCTATGGCGTCAGCGCACGGGACGTCGTTTGTCACACCCAACAACTTCTTGGTGCGCCGCGCTCGGGCTTTGATGGTGTCTAAGCCTGCCCTAGACTCATTGGCCATTAGTTGCCAATCACGCCGCTGAGCGTTCGCTGCATCGTTCCCCCGAGCCTAGTGATAATAGCTAGATGGAATTCTTCGGAAGTCGTTCGCAGCGTCAGCTAAACATGTGCCAGTAACAATGTCGCCCCGGGTCGGACCCGACGCTCGACCACACTGCTGAGAGCAGCGGTTATGATGTGCATGTGTTTCGATGGTTTTTGGCAGTCCTCGCACTTCTGACTCACACTGACCGTGCGAGATCCGGAGTACGGTGAAGCGCACATCGCATGTCGTACAATTTCATCATCTCCGAACGTACGGGCGCGTTAACTAGTCGTAATTGGGAACAAAGACATCTTCGCGGTCGAGAGTCGTCCATTTCCTTCAGCTTGCTTGGTTGGGGGGAACCTCCTGTCCGTGCGTCACCACTGTCCCCCAGCGAGCGTGAAAGGTGAGCACAGAGCACTCAACCCTCGGGAACAAAGGCACATAGACTCACCTCCACGTACTGCGGCAGGTCCCGCACCACCTTCTGGAGCGAATTGACGACGCTCGGCATGTGGTACAGCTGCCGCCCGCACACCGCGCAGCACGCGGAGCCCATCTCCGCCATCTCCTTGAGCATGTACACCTGCTCGTCGAGCGCGGCCCCGAGCGGGAACCGGTCCAGCCGCTTCACGAGCGCGTACTTGAGCCCGATCCACGCCGCGTGCTCGAGCGGCGCCCCGCACCGGCTGCTCCCGCACCCCGTCGCCACGCCGTATCCGAACGCGCCGACGCTCGCGCGCCGGCGGCCGTCCCCGCCGCGGGCGCCGAAGGCCCAGCCGTCGACGCGCCCGCAGACGGCGCCGAGGACGTTCATCGGGAACGCGACGAGGTCGTCCAGGGCGGCGACGAAGCGCGCGCGGCGGGCGCGGTGCAGTGCGAGGAGGCGGTCCGCGGCGCGCGGCGGGGCGTGCGTCACGAGTTCGAGCAGCGCGGCGGGCGCGAAGACGTCGAGGGCGCGCGAGACGGTGAGCGCGGAGGCGCGCTGGGCCTCGTGCGCCCAGCCCATTTGGGAGGCGATGGCGTAGAGCCGGATCGGGGACGCGGGCGTCGCGGCGGGCGAGGGGGTGGTCGGGGAGGTGGGCGAGGTGGGGGAGCCGTCCGAGAAGAGTTGGATTCGAACGACGTCGAGGGCGAACTGGACGTCGTATTTTTCGGCCGCCCTCAGGGTTTCTTCCAGGAGGTCGATGTCATTGGCGGGAGGCCCATACCGCCGATTATGCCGAACAGTGCTGCGAGCACATCCGTCCCTTCAGGCATTGGGATGGGGTCAAACGCTGCCGCGCTCGAACTTTGGGGCAGTGTCAGCATTGTAGAGAAAAGAGCTGAAGCCTGCCGTAGAGTATCCGGCGAGACCCCGAAGTGAACACCCTCCCGTGATCGTAGGACGAGGCGTCCGTCGGAAAAGGGAAATTTTCATGAAATACACAGTTTGTGGAGGTCGTGGGGGATGTCATCATGCCTGAAAATACATCAGGATTCCATAAGGCTCTCAGGGTGAAAGGGAACATGAAGACTGACGGGGATAGGGGGTGGACGGACTGGCACGTTGTTGGAGCCACAGATCAAGATGGAGACGAAGGACGGGACACTCATGTGCTGAGCACGCCGGACGTGAAGGCTTAGGAACGGTAGAGGTTCATTGTTCCCCATTCACCTGAAGGACGGTTGTATCGAACGACATTCGCGAAGGTTGTCTCCAACACGACGGCTATTTCCACTAAATCCTTGATGGTACTTTTGTCATTAACGCACAATTAGCCCACGGAAGCACCTCTACGGACAACATCTAGAATAAAGCACTCTGATGGTATAGGGCGCTTAGAAGCAGAAGACCTGAGAAAGGTGCGGTTAGCCAAGCGTTGTTACGTGATCTCGTCATACACACCTGATCCTCCAGCTTGCTGACAGTCCGGGGCGCAGGGTACTTGAGCTCGTCAAGGTATTTCCTGTGGTTCGCGGAGCATTCAATACGCAAGCGTGACAGGCGAAGGGGGAAAATCTCACTTCATGGCAGTAATCATGGGCGGAGGGCCTGTGGAACGCGATTCAGCTCACGCCTTGCTGCGGACACGTAAGGCGCGTTTACGTACCGCAGAGAAGGACCTTGATGTTGTGGTCCGTGGGCGGCATGTGTTTCTCGATCATGTCCTTTGTCACAAAGCCCACACCGCCTTGCCACGCCGTAGGCGGGTTGTTGAGCACGTAGTAGACCCGGAAGCGGTTCGAGTGCTGGGCGGCGAGCTCATCAAGCTCCTTCTTGAGCAGGATGTCCTCCTCGTTCACGTTCGCGTAGATGAGCGAGAGCTTGGTGCGGTCGAGCGGGTTCTTGAGCGCGGCGCGCACGATCTGGAGCATGGGCGTGATGCCCGTGCCGCCTGCAATCATACCGAGCTCGCGAGAGAGCGAGGGGTGGTACTTGAACTGTCCCTTGGGACCCTTGATGCGCACCTTGTCGCCGATTTTGAGGAGCGAGATGTAACGGGAGATGTTGCCCTTCTCGTACGACTGACAGTGCGCGTGGGGTGGTAAGCGCCGGTGGGGATGCACAAGGGCGGACAGAGAACGCGCGAAAGGACAGCACACACCTTGATAAGAAGGTCGAAATGGCCAAGGTTGTCGTCGCTGCTAGTGGGCGTGTAGCTGCGCATGATGTCCTTGCCATTTATCTCGGCCGAGACAGATACGTGCTGGCCAATGGGCAGGCCGAGAACATCCTGCGGGTGGGGAAGCGCGAAGCGGTAGCTTCGGGAACGTTGAGCACGGCTCGGACAAGCCAGCAGACTGTATGCGCGGGCGTGGACTCACATCGCGGTGTTGGGAGAGATGACAATCTTTTCCTTGAGGGGGAACTCCTTCCACACCTGAGCGTCCAGCACCGGCTTGCGCTCTGTCCAGCAACGCGGCGTCAGTTAGGACACATGGGCAGCGGACAGCGGACACGTACTGCCGGAGCTGAACTTCATGAAGATGAATGCGCCGGTGGCAAGCGCGAGGGCAAGCGCGATGAGCTGCGTGTAGGAGCTGTCCATCCTGCTGAAGTCGTTGTGGGGTAGGTCGCGGTCGGGATTGTCGAGGCCAATGAGGATGAGGTCGGCGAGGTATATGCCGCGGGCGTGAAGCTGGGCGGAGATGAACCGAGAGAGGCCGAAGAGGACGACGGACGTGCCAGCGAAGGACGCGATGAAGGTGACTTGGAGGAGGTTGGGCATTTGGGCGGCCGCGGGGCATGCGTCCGCGTAGCAGTTTCGCACTATCCGAGTCTGCCCAGGCGCGCCGAGGCCGCGTTACGCGTCTGACCGGCCCGCAGACGCCCACTGTTACATACTGGAATCGCGCCAGCGCATCCAAGAGTTCATGCACACGACTTGCGGTGGCACGCGGTTGGTATCGTTGTTAGCGAGAATGGACATGGTATGAAGCAAGAGTCGCGCGTACACTGATGGATGGACGCTTTCAAACACTCGGCGGAAAACAACAAAAAAGTGGCTAGGAGTGGACGTTTCCTCGCACCTCATGGCGGCTGCATTGTCGAGGCGGGCGGCAGGACGGTGGGACAATAGTAGCGGCGATGGTTGCACGGAGTTTTTGTGGATCAGAGTACAATGAGAACACAAGGCGGTCAGGCGCGCTTCCAGACCTGTGTGAATGGACGCCGAGGGTGTGGTCATGGCGATGCCCGCGACTTTTCTACGGCCGAGTCGTCTATGAAAGAAGCTCGGTGTCGACGACGCGAAAACCGTGTCCGGTCCGACAGGAAGCCGTCGTTTCATTGACCCGCAGTGCGCAGCCGAGCCCCACGGATGAACCTGTGCAGAGCCCGGGAGGTGGATGAAGGCGACGGTCTGCGAAGGTCCACATCGGCCTTACGGCTCAGGCTGAAAGAAGCTACGGATTGACGCAAAACGACACGAGCTGACCATGCGAGGATACCGACGAGCTTGAGCTCAAGCCAGGCACAGGTTTACGAATCGCTGCGGGGAGAGCGTTTTCCACCGGGACGCAAGTGGCCAGGAACGAGAGGACGAGCGCAGCGCATGAGCGCCACGTTTGGTGATGAGGGGGTGATGTGAGACCAAAGGACGGGGGAAACGGGGCCGAGCCACGAGGGAATCCGAAGATGTGCCTGCAGATCTGAAGCGATTGCAGCTGATGGATGTTCATGCGGAGGGGAGATGTTGCAGATCCCCGTGGGCGAAACGCTGGCTCGCGCGAGACGTGGCGTCGGGCGGGGGGGAGTCGAGAGTGGAGTGGCGGGGGAGCGGTGTGCGGGACCGTGGCGCGCCAGCTCTGCGTGGCTCCGGTGGATGGCGTGGCGCGGCGCGGCGGTCGCTGCGGACGACAGGCGCGGGCGGGGAGCGGAGGAGCCGTGGGCCGGAGTCCGGAGCCCGGGCGGCGCTCGGTCAGTGGGCGATCGTTTGGATTAGGGCACATGGGCCAAAGCAAGCCAAACACACGCTCCCGCGCCCAGACGCCCAAGTTGAACTTATGGGCCGGGTGGGCGGAGGATGCTCGCCACCTCCCCCGACTCCCTCCCGCCCGTCTTGCTGGGGCTCCTCCCGTCTCCCGCCTTCTTGGGAATCCGCTTCTCGTTCATATTTTTCATTTCTCCTTCTTCGGGTTCCCCCCAAAATCTTGCTTCTTGCAAACGCTATCTACACGCCGGCGTGTTGACCAAGCCATGAACCCCCCGCAGCTCGCCCTTCCCCCACGCCGCAAGGGCCCTCCGACCCCGCTGCACATCCAGACTCCAGGCCACAATCCGTCTCTCGCCTTCTTCTCGAGCGAGAGCTCCGCCTCGACTCTCTCTTCCACCACCTCAGACGCCGACTCCTTCATCCTCCCCTCCCCCAGCAAGCCTCGCTCCCTTCGTAACATGAAGAAGCTCTCGATCACCCTGCCGTCCGCTCAGTCCTCCGTCAACTCCCTCGGCCTTCCCGCCGACGACCCTCACAATCCTCCTCCCACTGCCCCCGACGCTTCCGTCCTCTCCAAGCGCCGGCCCTCAGTGGTTTCCCTCCCTAACACGAGCAGCCTTCTGCTCCGGAGAAAGGGCGAGGATGGCGATGGCTCCCCCACTGTTGCCTACAGCGATGGCCCTATCCAGATCCTTCCGGGCATCTGGCTTGGCTCCGAGGACAATGTTCGCGATTGGGCGGGTCTTAGGGAGAGGGGAATCCGGTCGATCCTGAACGTAGCAAAAGAAGTTCAGACCGTCTTTGACCAAATCGTTCAACCCATGCGTCCGTTCATGTCGACTCCCGACTTGAACGCGACTGTTGCTCACGGGCCCGACTCTGACTCGACATACAACCCTGCCCATCTCCCCACGGGTCGGCCTGCTATGCACTATCTCAAGCTTCACTGGTCGCACGGCCAGGCCGATCTGGTCTCCAAAGGATTCCAAACCGCGTTCTCATATGTGGATCAGGCCTTGGAGCGTGGAGACGGTGTGCTCATCCAGTGCGTATATCCAGTATTCCATCGCTCCGAAAGCTGACTAATTCTGGTCTATGTAGTTGTCAGTGCGGCGTCTCCCGTTCCGCCACACTCGTAATCGCCCTCGTTATGCGTGCTGCTGCACAGCAGTCCCCAAGCGTCCCTCCCGAAGTCTGGGCGCTGAAGGGGATGCAGGGCGCCTACCAGTTCGTCAAGGAGAAGAGCAAATACGTCGGTCCGAACATGTCGTGCGTTTCTGTTCTCCCCACGTTATGTCAAATCCATCATCTCACATGTGCTCCCTGTAATAGTCTTATCTACCAACTGCTCGATTATGAGCGTGCGTTGAAGGGCGGTAACACTTCTCCGACGCCCTCGGAGATCTCTGCGGAGGAAGAGTGGAGCCGTCGCCGTCTCGCCATGGAGGACACAGATGGTGAAGATGACCGCCGAAGTGTCGAGATGATGCAAGAGGCCAAGGCGCTTGACCAGGCCATGGAAGACCGTATCATTGCTCGCAAGGGGTCCGCCTCTTCTCTCAGCTCGACAGCATCCACAGGTACAGGAGGTGTTGGCATGGGCGCTGCGTGGCGTTCCAAGTACGGCTCTGGCCGCAAGCGGAAGGGCTCTACTGCCAGTGTTCTTACCAACGGGAGCATCCTCAGCGAAGATCTCGTGGAGGAAGACGAGGAGCACGAGCTTCTTGGTGTTGGCCGGGACTTCGACGGCGCTAGTCTCGGCGCGAGGAGCTCGGGTGAAGAGGAATCTGGTGATTCGGCTACCGACCCAGTTCCTCCTGCCTCGGCATGCTTGACAGCACGCCCTCTCCCATCTGCTCGTCGCCAGTCACGTCGTCCGCCTGGTCTTTCGCTGGCTCCGCCTTCTGCCCCTGCCACCAAGACCTCGTTTGGTCTTATTTCTGCGCCTGCCAACAAGGCGTCTTTCAACCTCCCGCCCATTCCGGCCACTGCGGTCAAGTCCTCGTTCGACCTGACCCCTCGGGCCAACCGCACCGCGAAGGTCCCTCGCCATCGCCCGCCTCCTCTGGGTATTCTACCCGCCGTGCCCGCCTCCCCTATCATTCCCGTCAACGTCCCCATTGGTCAGCCCCGCAGTCGGACGGAGTCTCGCAAGCCGGATATGCCTCCTGCGCATCTTCGCCATTCGCTCAAGATCACCCCTCCGAAGACCAAGCCCTCCACCATTCCTGCGACACCCTCCCAAACCCTATTCGTGTTCCCTCCGTCTCCGACTTTGGCGGCCTCGCGCACACCATCGACACTCACGCTGACGTCGAACTCTTTCCCCTTCCCCTCTTTGTCGACGCCCCGCGTCTCGACGTTCAAGGCGGAAGGACGTCGCAAGACTTTCATTGGCCTTGCGGCACCACCCACCCCCACTGTCGCGTCTTCGCGCGTGGATGTTCGTGGCTGGATCGCATGATTGATACCATGCTCGGCACATGTTTATGCCCATGCACCCCTCTCCTCTCGCGCTGTCGCCTGTCCTCGTGCATTTTTATCCGTGTCACATCCCGGATCCCTCGCATGTTCTGTTTGTCTGTTTATTACCTTCATCCTTCACTTGGACTGTATCTCTGCATCCAAATTTGTGGCCGCGTAAATATGACATATCATTATCACGGCGTCTGCTTTCCTTCGCTGTCTATTCTTACGCCCTCACGCGTCCTTTACGTTCTCTGTGCATGTTTTCCCCCTCTTCACTTGACATTGCATTCGGACTTTGCATCGTGGCGTCGCTCCCGGTTGTCTGTATAATATACGTCTCATCCTTCTCCCGATCGAGCCAGTCAGCATCTCTCCTCTTGCCGCACCTCATCACTCCGCTCACCCCTCTCGCATCACCCAAGGCCCGCGTCTCCTTTGCATTTCTTTATTCCTTTCACCTGTCACATATCTACACTTCTCCACATCCGAGCACGTTCCGCTAAGCGGGCGAGAAAACAATTTTAAAAAAGGAACCATGTTGTTCCCTGGCACAGACCAGACATGTATCCCGCCCCGTGTGTGCCGCTTTTGTCGGACTGCCGCCACACACTGCGATGCTTGAGCACGAGAATGGGGCGTTCCACAGGCAATAAATTACGGAGCACCGCATCCGACATGCGTGTACACGGGTAGCAAATGAAATGACGTCGACAGCCATACGCACGGTGGCGACGCCTCGCAACCGTCTCCCTGAGAGCTTGAGCCGGCGGCTCCTGACCACCCTCCGCCCGATCACCCGTGCTCGCTCGATCGAACCGCCCCAGCCTGCGGCGGCAGAAAGGTGCGGCCTCGGGGGTTGACGTTGCGCGCTGAGCGCTGAGCGTTCAGCGACCGCCACTGAAGACGCGGCCGACGCTGGTTTTGACGACGCCGGTGAGGAGCTGGCCGCCCAGGCCGCCCAGACCGGGCACGCCCCAGCTCGAGGCGGCGAGGTTGTTCGCCCACTTCTGCTTCGCGTCGCGGTCGCTGCAGGCGGGCGCGTGCGTCCCCCGGGGGTGGCGGTCGCGCGCGGACGGCGAGCGCGACGTGAGCCGGGAGAGGGGGTTTTTGGGATGCGTGAGGGGCGCAGTCGTCGGCGGGGAAACGGCGGGGGGACGGAAGCGGGGAATCAGGGACGTCAGCTTCCAGAGTGCGGGCAGGCAGCAGGTGATGGGGGAGGTGCGCACGCGTATGTGAACCCGATGGCGTTCGTGACATTGAAGACGAGCGCGAGGATGACGAGCGGCACGAATCTAGACAGCCGTGGGCGTTGGCGTCGAAAACGCGTGCATGTGAAGAGACGGGCACGACGCACGAGAGGTTGGATATGAGCGCGACGATGAGGAGCGCGACCCACGCGACTGGGAAGGTGTACACCGCGACCTAGGAGCGTAGGACGGGTCAGCGCGACGTTGGCGCGGCGTGGGAGGTGCGAGTCTCACTCACCCAAAACATCCTACGCGAACACGGGCGCGGTGTGAAAGCGCGTCAGTGGTGTGTGATCGGCCCCAAGCCACCGCGTAAACGGCGACGCGAACTCACCTCGAGTCAATGGGGTTCGCAGGGTGGGTGGGCTGCGGGATCGAGTAGACAGGAAGCAGACATGCGAGAAGCGCGGGCGATGGGATGGTTAGATGCTGCACGCAGATATCCGGCAAGACAAAGATGGGCGCACATCACGGCTTTCAAACACCCAGTAGCTTTCACCATCATCGTCCACCTGTGGACATATGGGATCGTGTCAGCGGGCGAATGATGCGCGTGAAGTGATGCGCGTAGGGCCGCGCGAGGAAGGGACGGACCTGGTTCCAATAGCGCAGGCCCACGAGTCGTCGACCCGCGACGTTCTGTGTGTACGCGTCAGATGAGCATGTTCATTACACATGCATATGACATACGCACTTTACAGTTCCAGAAGTCCATCGCGAGCAACACCACGACGATTACGGACTACACACGCGAGCACGTTGAGCTCATTTGGCGGGCAGATGTGACGGAGATGAACTGACAGAAAGAACATAGCTGGAAATGAAGAAGCCGCACAGGATGTACACAGCCAATGCTGCGGAGCGGAATGCGTAGAGAAAGAATAGAACAGTTGGGTGGGCCGACTGGGACACGGCAGGTCAGTAGACTCGCGAGACTGAGGCAGGACGACATGTACGTGCCTGTCTGAGGATTCCGGCGATCCCTGTAAACCGAACATACACAACCAGTCCCACCGGTGTCCTTGCACCAAGCTCGAGCGTACGCACCTGACTCTGCGTCCCCCGGAGTGGACGCCAATTGTGTCGGTGCAGTACGAGTGTTGGTCGCTGCGGGTGCTGGGCCGGACGCAATGTTGCCGGTCGCGGACGTCCTCCGCTCGTACTCCGGCTCGTCCGGCTCGATGGTGTCGAATAATGGGGTGTTAGAGCTCATGGCTGTAGAGAGACAACGAGCATGGGCGGTAGGTGTCCGCGGCGATGTCACCGGTGCGCGCAGGCGCCGCCGTGCATACAGCAACCGAGGCCTACGCCGCGCGGGCCGGCACTCTGCTCTGCTCCTCCTCCATGGACCGTCTCCGAGCTCTTCGTCGCACCGGCCCCGCCACGCCATCTGAGCGCACGCCTCTTCTGCAAGGATCCCCACGCCGCGGCCAGACAACATCCAGCCTCTCGATAGACGAGCATGAGGACCTCCCCCACATTGGTCCCTTCGTGGCCGCAATGCGATCTGAGGACCTCCCGAATTACACTGCCGAGAACCTATACCCTCCAAGCCTCTATTCTCGCTCACTTCGGGCGTCCTTCGCGCTATGCTCGCTCATGTACTACCGCGACTACCTCAAGGGCCACTCGCCACGCGGGCGCAACATCTGGGTCCAATGGACTGAAGAAAAGCGGCGTACAAGTGCACTTCAAGACGTTGACATGCTCTTAAGCCAGGTGTGGGCACAGTTCATCTCTGAGGAGGGCTCTCCAAACGAGCTGGAAGAAGTGCTCTGGGCTCCATTTCTTCTCTATCCAGATTCCAAGCTGTCCGTCCGTCGTGCGTCCATTGCTTTCTTCCGCGCACCCCGAAGTTCATGTTCACTGCCAGTTGTTGATTTCCTCGCTGCGGGGGAAACACCTGTCGACCTCGTCACCCATCCCCTGATACATTTGAGTCTCCTGGATACCTGGAGATATGGCCGTTCTAGCCGTTCCTCCGACGATAGTATTTCAGCCAGGATCCTCCATCTGGTTGACGGCAACGGGGTCCCTAGGTGAGTAAATACTCATTTCTGCAGACTTTGCACTTGTTTACCACTTACAGGGTGCTACACCTCATGGATCTTCTGATATTTTTCGCTTTCCTTGGGGTGTACTGCAGCTATATCATTGCGCCTGCCAATCAAGCAACGGCCATACAACCAGATTCCAGAGGACCACTCATTGCACTATACGCGCTATCGCGGCTATGTCGTCGGTGGTCCGCGTCCACCCTGTCGTTTGCACTCATCCTGGGGTCGTTCATCTCGTTCGTCCCTTCCACACCTCCAGCCACGTCCAGCGCCTTTCTTTTCGCCATGCTCGCCTTCGCTTGGCAAATCGTCCTGCTCCATCTCCCAGTGCACCCTAGTCCATTGTACCTCCTGCCCGTCGAGCGTATTCTTCCTTTGACTGTGCTGGTGTGGCGAGGACTGCTCCGGACCTTTCTTCCAGTCACGGCGTTCTTCCTCCCAGGGTTCCTCATCTCGTTCTTCCTTCTATCCGTTTCCCTATATGACAACTTCTTCGTTCTTTCTTGTGGCCTCTTCGATCAGGCGATGTCTTCACCAATGGAGACTCGAGTTTTGATATTCACTCTGTTCATTGTCATGTTTATATTTCTATGCTGCGCCCTTGGCGGTGCTGTCCTGGTGCAGCCCTTCCTTACTTCTCCAGAGGGCCCCGCTCCTCTTACTTGGGATCGATACTCTCCCTACATTGGTGTGGAGGCTCGTCGAGTGTTTGCTCGTACAGTTGCGATCTATTCTGGCCCATATTACTTCCCTGCTCCTCTCAACATCCTCCACATACTCTTTGTTCAATTTCCGGCCGCCGTTGGTGCCATTGCGGGATGCAAGTCCCGTTCCAAAGTTTTCGATGTCGCCGAGAAGGTGTTATGGAGAGTGACAGTAGCGCCATTCGCCTTTGTGCTTTCGACCCTTTGGTTGTGGAACCTACGCACCCGATAGCTCAAGGAATGTTCGATTGCACTGCTACTATATCATACATGGTGTTGGAATTACTTTCTCTCGTTAAGCTACTGTGTGTTATAATTTATGCTGTACCACGTGCCTGAACATCGGAGGATTTGGCGCGATGTGTATACTGAAGCGTACGTGATGCGTGAGGCTGTGTTGAGCGCTGAGTGACTCTTCGGGACCGGCGTCTCGGCCTTGGCCACGGTACCGGCCGTGTTGCCAGCGACTTCGCTCTCCTTCAGACCATGATGAGCTCACGCAAGAGGGCGAGTCGCTCTGGCGGAAACCCTCTATCCAAGCGCCGAAGGACAGGTGGAATCGGACAGCCCACGCCCGACGACGACGTCCCCATCGCGCAGTCACAAGCAGAGGCGCCGTCCGCCTCGGCGTTGTCGATCCGGACCGTTGCTCCCGAGCATGTGTCCTCACTGTCTACTTTCTGCATCAGGTCGTTCACTCAGAGCTTTCAGCGGCTTTCGGGCGAGGAAGACGTGTGGGATGACGCGAGACTGTGGCTGAAGGAACTCCCAGACGCCCTCCTACAAAGGGTCTTCACAGCTCTCCGGCAGACATGTCCCACCTTTCTCCATCATGGATTTATCGCTACTGTAAGTTGCTCCTGCATTTTATACTATGCATCCTCTCAAGGAATCAGTATCTTCTGCGTGGCCACGCAATAGCTTTGGGTGAAGATCTCCCCGCTGTTTCCAGGAAGACCATCCAAGCTATCGGCGATGTCCCTGCGAAGGACAAACTTCGTGAGCTGAGTCTGACCGGACTGTCAAAGATAGCAGACCCTGTGTTTGCGGGAGTCATAAAGAAACTTCCTTCACTAAGGAAAATAAATTTACGGTCAGTTTACTTCCGTCTCACTAAAGCATCTACTGGATATTGAAACTCCACCAACAGCGGCTGCACGAAAGTGTCCCAGAACACTGCTGACGCGATAGCAAACCACTGTACATTACTTGAAGTGCTCAACCTCAACTACACTGCGGTGCCTGCAGCCTCGCTAGCCCCCGTACTCCTGAACTGTAAACAGCTGGAGGTGCTCAAGGTGGCTGGCATTCCCAACTGGGTAAGCTATCTGTGCCATTCGCGAACCATGACTCATCCCAGAAACATCAGACCGACACCACTGTCTCGAAACTGTGGACCGCCCTCGAGGTCTCTGGGGACCTCACGTTCCCAAATCTCCGCTCACTCAAGCTGCGCCAAGCTCCTCTCACCGATACCGTCCTCCACCCGATCCTCGCCGCGTGTCCAGGCTTGCAGCGACTCAACCTCTCATTCACAAACGTCAAGAGCCTCACCGTCTCGCACGGCACCAACTTGCCCCTCAGCCCCCACCTAGAAAAACTCGTCCTGACCTCGACGAAGATCTCCGTGCTCGAGCTCCCCGCGCTCATCAGGAGGCTCCCGAAGCTACGGACGCTGGCCATCGGCGCGCTCGGCGGTGGGCAGGGCTCCAGCGCGGCGATAGCAAACACGTCCGCGATGACGCTCACGGACGACGCGCTGCGAGAGCTCGCGCGCGCGATCGCGGCGCACTGCCCGGACATCGAGCGCGTGAGCCTCGTCGGGAACACCAAGCTGGGACTCACGGGCTCGCGCGGGCCCGACGCGGCGCTGAGCCAGTTTGTCCGCGCGGTGGGGCGCCGGTGCAAGGTGCGTCGCCGGGAACGGAATGACCCGACCGGATCACGCTCACTCCGTGACGTGTGCGTTTCAGGGTCTGAACCTGGCCAGGATCACCTCGCTCCGCTCTTCCGACTTGGAAGGCCTGGCGGACGCGGACGATGGAGAAGGCCCGCCGCGGCTGACGCATTTGAATCTGAACGGCACGTCTGTAGATGACACCGCTGCGCCATATCTGTCTGCGTGCGTGGATCTACAGACTTTGGAGCTGGGAGGGACGAAGATGAGCAGTGAGTGTTTCGCGGTATACATCGGGATTGCGCAGTTGATACGTGAACGCTTTTGTAGGCGTGGGACTCTTCCCTATCATCGACGCGTGTGAGAAGCTCGAGAAGCTGGACCTGACAAGCTGTCGAGGGGTCAAGGTCGGCGAGAGGCGTCGCTTCTTTGAAGTGAGTTCCATACACGGATGTTCAAGACACAGTTGTTCACCGCCGTCAGGTTTGGGAAGAAGAATGGAAGAACACCTGAACCAGAACAGGTCGGAAGGAGATGGAAAGCAATGGCGTATATTAAGACTACAAATGCCCTGATACAAGGAACCCTGTCAACTACCCACTCATCGTAATATCCCTGTTCTGTATCTTGTTTTATGCAACTTAGGAGGGAACACACTGCGAGTAGAAGTCGCTATACTTCACACAGGTCGAACCAGCTGTGGACAAGTCCTCGTATCAGCATGCGTAATCTAGGTCCCACATCACGAAGGCACGTACCAGCACAAGCCGTGGGTCCGGTCCAGCTTTGGCCACCACACTGTCCATAAACAGCCGAGGTGCCGGTGGAGGTAGGTGCAGTCGAAGTCGTGGTCGACGAGACCGTCGTCGTGGATTTCGAAGTTGTAGTGGTGGTCGTTGGCATGGAAGTGGTGGTCGTAGTTTTCGAGGTCGTAGTGGTGGTCGTAGGCTTCGAAGTTGTAGTCGTAGTCGTAGCCGTCGTGGTCGGGCTCGTCGCAGAACCCGACACGTCTCCATAGAAGATCCCGCGTCCGTTCGTGCCTATGTACACCCTGAAGAGCCCCGAGTCAGCGACCGTTCCTCCCTCCCAGACTAGAGACGAGCGAGCAAGCACACTCACCGGCCGTAGGTGTTCAGGTCTGCAGCCATGCAGTTCGACGCCGCCGATCCGAACCCGTGCGCCGCGTCGTTGATCTTCACCCAGCTCGCGCCGGCGTCGTCGGAGCGGAAGTAGCCGACGCCGCCGATGTTCGCCGCGGCGAACACGGCGGGGTACCCGCCGCTCGTCTTGGGTGCGCCCAGCGCCATCGCCCACGCCTGGGTCGGACCCGAGATCGCGGTGAAGGTCTTGCCCATGTCGGCCGTGTGGAAGATGCCCTTGTCGGTCGAGACCCAGACGTCGCCGCTCAGGCTCGGGTGGACGACGACGTGGGAGGGCGAGGTGGAGGAGCCGAGCGTGCCGGCAGTGGCGGCGAAGGTCTTGGCGCCGTCGGTGGAGAGGTAGAACTTGGACGAGTCCGCTGCGTAAAAGAACGAGTTGTTGCGCTTGTCGGAGGCGATGACGGCGGTGGAGGGGAGCGAGGAGACGACGGCGAAGGAGTTGGTGAACTGCGAGACCATGATGCCGTTGGAGGGCGTCTTCCAAAGAACGGTGTCGCCGTCGGCGGAGAGGGCGACCTTGCCGCCGCCAACGTTGTCAGGTGCGCCGTAGTCCTGGTACCTGAAAGAATCGCCTCAATGGGGCGAACAGGGTGAAGAATGGCTGGTGACGAACCAGGTGGAACCAGAGTTGGACGAGAGAGCGATCTGTTTGCCCTGGGAACCATCCGTCGAGGTACCGACACGAACAATGTTGGAGGGCTTGTTGCCGGCGTAGTCGATGTCCGAAGAGGTAGTGTATGTAGGCTCCGTCCGGGAGGTAGTGGGAGCCTTGTCGAGGTTAGTGTGGACGAATCCTATACCCTAGATAAGCAGACAGCAAGAACCTTCACGTAGGACACAATTACCGTCAATATCGCCAATGGCAGAAATCAGCGGAGGACCTGAGGGGGGAGAGATAAGGCCTTGCACAGAAGTCTCTTCCACTCCGTCGGCGAGCGACTTGAGCGTCACGTTGCGGACCGTGTCCCACTTCAACAGGTCATGACCGCCGTAGATGGTCAACCCCGTGCCGTAGAGCCAGTGGTTCGAGTCGAAGGGGTCGATGACGAGACTTTCCATCATCCAACCGATCTGCTTTTCAATGTCGGAGGCCGTCATGGAAGGCCCAATCCAGGGCGCTAAGCTGTCGTCGTACGCGTAGTAGCGGTCCATCGATGGGTACGAGTCCCACGCCCAGAGCCCAGTCCAGGTCGTACCGCTGTCAGTTGAGCGGAAGATCTGTCCGTCGGGCCACCAAGCGTTAAGCGCAGCGACCATGATCGTACCAGGTTTCTGGGCATCGAGGGCAATGCCGCTGAACAGGAGTTAGTGACGGGGAACAGAAATGTGACATGTCTACATACCCAAAGCCGAAGTAGAGGTCACCGGCAGACACGGGAGTAATGTCCTTCCAGGTGCCAGCAGCAATGTCGTACCTATGAATGTAGCCCTGGGCAGCGAGTTAGTATCAATGCTGCTAACAGGACTTCGTTACTCACGTTTGTGCCATCGTAGGGACCAGCACCATCGGAGTACGAAACATAGAGTGCCTTCTCCGCTTTGGAGAGAACACCCTTGTGAGGCATGAATGTGTGGTTCTGCCCAGCAACAGCGCTCCCTACAGAGCTGATGAGAATTTGGCAACACATACTTAAGCAAGCTGACGACCCACAAGTTGAACCGGCATCCTGAGACACGAAGACGTTGTTGGCTCCAAGGTTGGCCACACCGACGAAGATACGAGGAGTAGCAGTGCCTGAGGTGCCTGAAGTCGAGTCGAAGGTGACCCAAGCCAAGCCGACGATGTCGCTGTTGTATCCAGAGGCATCTGTGGGGTCAGGGATGTAGGTACCTACGTGGTGCGTTACGTTAGAGAGGGCGTTTCTTTTAGACACACATCTCCACTAACCGACACTGGGGAAGCTCTTGACCTGGCTCCATGTAGCGCCGTGGTCAGTAGACTTCCACAGGCCATTACCGCTCCGAGCACCGAACAGCAAGATGTTGTTACTGTTCGGGTCGATGGCAAGGCGCTAAAATGACAGGTCAGCTTCACGGTCATCCGACAAGGGATAGCCATCCGCACCTCACCCATGCCGCGACCAGGCATGTTGCCGCCAACTTTGAAAGGAAGTTTAGAAGGCGTGAACGAAGCGCCACGGTCGGTGGAGATCAGGATTTGCCCGTTGTTGGGATCCCACGAGTTTGTGTACATGCCAGTCGCCTTTAAAGACGTGAGCAAACACGTTGAAGGGGAGACCAAGCGAACGTACCAGGTACAGCCGGCTGGGATCCACAGGGTCTGTCGCAAGTGCGTCGACACCCCAATAATCCCAACGCGCATCGTCGGCAAAATCCAGCAGAGGCGTCCAGGAGTCGTCCGAGTTGAGCCTGTAAGCCGCGCCAATGTCCGTGCGCGCATATGCGAGGCCTTTCTCGGAGGGGTTGAAGACGATGCCGGGCACAAAACCGCCCCCGCCGCCGATCTTGACGTTCTTCCAAGAGTATGTCTGGGATGAGACTGCGGCCACGAGGGTGATGGCCGCAGAGACGGACAAGGCCGTCAGGAGCGTTGAGTGCAGCATGTCTAGCGAGGGGCGTCGAACGGTCGGAGGAGTGCTGAGCTCATTATATGCGCGGCGCCCAGTGAGCGGGGCCCCGAGTGGAAGACAGGAAGCAAGGAAAGTCGTTATTAGCTCCGAACATCATGCGTTCCGCAAGCGTTGACCGAAGAATATGCGGGGCAGAAGGGCGAGTGAGGTCGCATGTGCGAGGGTCGGCACAACTCGTAGGTGGCCTGACAGGGTGACGAATAATAATGTTCCGAAGATCATCTGCGACATGTAAGGCCGAGACTGAGCCGGAGGGTCCAGCTGTTGCAGCACATGGGACACATATCTAGGACACATATCACTCGATGACGAACAGTATTGCAAGATCAACGGGACGCTTACCGCGCTGACGAGCACAGAGGGCTGAATGGGGAACGGCAGGCTTGCGGGGTTACTGAGGCCCACGACGCTGAGAAGGCAGACATGACAACAGTGGGAATTGGCGCGTTGCATTGGAGGTGATTAGCCTTCGACGTCGAGCTGTGCTCGGTCCCTATGCGGCACACACACGGTCAACCATGAGCCTCAGCGGGACGACCAAAACCTGTTCGTGCGAGAGGCACATCTGCGATGTCGTACTAGAAGACCACAGATGGACAGAGTGACGTTTGGGGGTCGCATGCGAGGATGGGAGATCAGCTGACTGGGGAGCAGATGGTGGATGGGTGCCTGGGGACGGACATCGCTGGAGAGCAGTGCACGGAGAAATTTGGCTCCCATGGGTGAGAGACTGCAGTGCACAGGGCCACACTTGAAGCGCGTGCCTGCCCAGTGTAAGAAAGACCTGCAGGGCGAGGACGAGAACGTTCAACCAGACAAGGGCCGCACGCGGAGAGTCGGCGGGTCGCCAGGCGATGGCCGGCCCGGGTCGGTCCGTCGTGGGTGGCCGCTCTGAGGCGTCAACGGCTGCCTTTTCGGCTACAAGGCCATTTGTTGTCCTCCACAACAACCTCGCAGTGGCCGTGTGTCCACCTTCTCTCGCTAGCGTTCCCCCCGCTCTCAAAGATGCCCTCTCGCGCACCACATCCACACTTTCGCCCTTTCCCCTCTCTCTGCACCCCTCACCTCTGTATACCGTGATGTCTCAACTCCTCAGCTTCCTCCGTTCCACCGCCTTCACTTTCAGTTGGCCGTTTGCTGCGCGTACCCCACACACCCAACCGCCAAGATTTCTCACCCTGGATGAAGGAGTCAATACCGGTGGCGGCGCTGCAGGGTCTAACGACATGGAACTAGATGATGAACCTCCTGTCAGGCCTTCCGATCATACTCGCATCTTCGTCCCGGATGGTTCACTTGCTTGGGCTGCGTATGAGGATTTGGACCCAGAATTCACCGACCCGATACTCCTTCACGGTGGGTCACCTTCGTATCTTTCGGTTCTGACATCTGAACTTGTCCGTTTAGAGTCTTCCTCTTGCGCCACTGAGCTGGGACAAGCCCTGATCGGACACCGTTTGACGCAGCTTGTTCGCAGGAGGTATATATTCTCTACCTCAATCTCATTTCTTGTTTAACGATGGTTTCAACGAAGATGGCTGCGTGACGCACCCTCGGCATTCGTCGGATCCTACAGAGAGGTGCATCCATCCGTCACACACTCCACCCCGAAGCCGCTAAGCGTCATCCCGTCCTACAGATAGCACTATTGTGCTCCAAACAGTACCTCCGTTCAATGCAAGGCGCGGGCGTGCCCAGAGTAATCAACGTCTACGACGACGTGAACTACATCAATCTGGCAATTGTGCCTCCCCACCCCACCCTCTGGTTCAACGCATCAGCCGTGATGCCGCATGCTCTCAAGAGAGCAGTCATAGAAGCTTACAGGAAGCTGCACCGTGCAGGTATTCTTCATAGCGCGGTCGAGAGGCATAACATCCTCATCGGAGCCGACTGCCGCGTCACACTGTTCAACTTCTCCCACTCCAAGTCCACACGCCCCGTCGACGGGCTTTTGGGCCGTGCAACAGCCAAAGATTTCCAGGCGGAACTCAGAGAAGTCAAATACAAACTTGACTACGACGGCACTCGTGCACGCACTCGTTATGCTTTCCGGGACACTTCCAGGGACCCTCGCCTCATTGAAGGCAGGATTGTCAACGAGCGGAATGGGAAAGGCGATGACGGCTACGTCTTGCATCCCGCCACAGGCAAGCGTTGGCGCGAAGCATTCCCTATGGAGGAACCTGCACGAATATACGTCCCTAGCCGAAATGCTGAGCAACGAGAAGACGCGCACCGCGAGTACGAGGAGGCCCTCAGACGTCTAGAAACACGACATCGGGACGAATCTGAGCTACCGCTTTTTGTGTGGCCTCTCAAGTCTCGGCTTCCAGCTCCCTTGGCTGCACTACGGGAAAGGGACCCCCAAAAACACCAAGCAATACCCTCGGCGAAAGGTGCGCCTCGAGATGGCATTCATCCTCTCAAGTACCCATGTGCGTCATCTTCCCCTGCATGCTGCCCTTGACCCCACTAATTATGCTATGCAGCGACCACGAGAAGCTACAGCACGGGTTCTGGCCCGCTTCCACAAGCGTCCCCCTGCGACTCACCCCCAGCTGAGATCAAGGTCCGGGACTTCGTCTCGGAGTCCTACACCGGTCCCCGCGGCTTCTACGTCCCACACCCGCCCACAGAGGCCCTCTCCTCCCTCATCCGCGTGGCCCACATCCGGAACGAGAACGCGCTCGCCTGCGGCGCGGAGGGCCTCGACACGTACTGGCGCGGCGACGCGCACGCGCACGCGCCCTCGAGCGGCTTCTCGCGCCCCGGCGGCCACGGCGACGACCACATCTCGCGCGGGCACCTCAAGCGCAGGCGCGAGGCTGCGCTCCGCGGGTACCCTCTGACCGCCTCGGAGGAGCGCGAGGCGAAGCGGCGGCGGGTGGAGGACGAGCGACGCGCAAGCCTGCGCGAGTCCCCCGACCGCCCCGTCCGGTTTCTCGACATCCCGATGCCCCCGGCGCCGCCCGTGCCGCAGGAGATGCGCTTCGTCGAGGTCGGGGTCGAGCCTAAGCCCCGCGCGCAGTCGCATCGTGGTCGCACGGCCGACTTGGACGTGCGGTCGACCGGGGCAGACGACGGGCAGGCGGAGGCGCCGCGGCACAGGTTCGCGTGGCTGCCCCGCCCGATATTCCCTCACCGCATCCCGGGAGCGGTCCGCAAGGGCTCGTTGAAGCGCACGCGGCCGGTGCGCGAGGTGTCGTATGACCTCCGGACGTGGCAGCCGCGGCGGCTCGCTGAGGAGGCGGCATCAGACGAACGCCCGTGCCTCTGTGTCACGGAAGACGGGTTCCCGAGGTGTGTCCGCGAGCACAGCGGGTTCAGCAGCGACGAGGACGAGGACCTGGACGACGTGGTGGCTGCGGCGGTGGAGGAAGCGGCGAGGGAGGACCGCGAGGACACGCCGTTCCCGGACTTCGGGATGCTCGGGGCGGGCAGCACGTCGAGGCGGAGCGCGCGGCTCGCGCAGAAAACCGCGAGGACGTCGAGCGCGAAGGGCAAGCAGAGAGCCGCGAACGGGAAACGAAAGGCACCCGATGACGCCTCGGATCTCAACCCAGCCCCCACCCGCAGGCCTCGGCTGTCCTCGAGCGCGCCTGAGGCTGGACCTTCCTCTCACCGTGGCCCAAGCTCCTTCCACCGAGCGTCGCCGGACGCGTCTGGTTCCGGCACAAGTACGAGCCAGGGCACCAGCGTTGCTGCTTCGTCGAGCGGCGGCAGCAAGACGAACACCCGCACTCGAGGTTCGAGCTCCAGCCGCCGCCGCTCCGTGCGCTTCGCCAGTCCGGATCCAATCCCTGCATCAAGTCAAGCTGGACATTGTCATCGATCGGCCTCCCAGACCACTTCCAGTGCCTCCTCGAGCACAGCTGGTCCCAGCACTAGACCCCTCGGTTCGAACGCGGAACGCGATAGCGCGCGGGGCTCGCAAGGGATGAGCAGGATGAACAGCTTTCGAGGTCGTGCGAGGAGCGGACCATCTGCTGCACCTGCGCACCGGTCGGACTACGACTCGGACTTGGAGCCCGCCCCCTCGGCCACGCCTGCGCAACACTCGCCGGCCGTGCGGGAGAACGCGCGCTTCTTGGAAGCAGGTGCTGGGACACGGGTAGCCCCGATGACGTCCGGGCCGGACACGGATGTCGACATGGTGGACAGCATGCCTCTCACGACCGTCGACGACATTATGGAGGACGTCGCGTCGCGTATGTGGATGGACACGCAGAAGAGGCGGGCGACGTCGATCACGCATTGGCTGGCCCATGGGGGGTTCGAGGACTTTCCGATACACGATTAGACATCGGATGTCGCGTGTATTTGGGTTCTGTCGTTGGTGCTCTGCTCGTGACGCCCTGCAGCAGGATCATGTGGAGTTCAAGAATGAGAGTTTTGGGTCCGGGGTCTGTGTTCCTGCTATGCATTGCGCTGCGTGTGCCAGTCATGTGCCAAGCGGTGGGCCAAGTGAGTCGAAGTCCTTGGTTGTAGAGCGAAGATGTCCGGAAACGCATATGATACTTGTGTACGTATCAATCAGGCTAGGTGCGGCTCTCGGCTATCTTTCCACTGCACGAGGGATCTCCGGTGCCACTGGGTTTTGCATCTCCAAGAGGCAAAGCCGTGATCACATCCACTCGGACATACGTTAGCGACTCGATCGTGACTCACGGGGAAGCGTCGCAACTGTCGAGCTTTGTGAGCCGGGCGATGGCTCTGACAACAGCTGAGAGAGGTTTACGAAAATGCGAAGGGTACTCACATAGCCCTGTATGCACTCACAGTTCCGAGTCCTTCTGCTGCGGCTGAGGTGTGTGTGGAGGCCAGCAGTTGTGGCAAGGCCGGGGGCTGGAAATCAGTTCGGACGTGCCTGGGGAGCTAAGCCAAACACAGCCGCTCGCGTATCCGCGGACGTCGCTGGTCGTGTGCCCGGTGTTTTCGCCTCCGCCATGCTAAGTGGAGCGTTCCCTCTGCGCCCACGCGTGGTGGCCGACGTTCGCGAGCAGGCACAACCCTCACGCTCGCAATAAGGTATGCCCTGGCCTGCGCAGATAGGGAGCAGGGTCAACCGTGAGCGGTTCGGACGCCCGGAGGTGAGGATGTCGATCAACGGGTCGGCTGCGACAGGCGATCGGTCGGTGCGCTCACCGCTCGTCCGAGATCATCATCTCCCCCTGGGCAGCCTCACCCGAACGGACGGCACGATCTGAGCTGGGGGCGAATTCGTTGCGATCTGCACCACGCATTCCACGTGACTCGTGCTCGCGCCGGGACCACAGCTGGGCGCACCGTCGGAGCCCATGGTTATGAATGAACGGCCGATGAGCTACTCATCCGCGACATACGGACCTGATAAGTGCGCAGGCAGGGCGGAGGACGAGCAGACCTGCGTGGGCTACGCGACGGTAGCCGAGTGTCGCAGCTGGGGGCGACGGTGTGTTACGCGCGCCACTGACGGCACGAGAGATTTTGCGCGCGACCCCACAGCGGCCAGGCGCGTGGTTATCGCCCTGCCCCGCACCAGACGCCTGCCTCTTTGACAGCCTGCGCGGGGCACTGGCTCACAGACAGGCATCTCACGCGCACTTACGCGCGCGCGCAGGGAGGGCGCACCGCAGCGGGAATGGAGCAAGGAGAGGCGGGGGCAGTGAGGGCGAGCAGCTATCGCGGGAAACGCAAGAACGAGATTGGACATGGCAGATAGCGGCGGCGGGGGCGCTCCAGCTGCCATCGCTAGGGACGCCGGGCTGACGGAGGATATAAACTCGGCCCCCGTCCGTCCGGACGCGAAGCTCCTCAGGCCTTGCCTTCCTCCACCTCCCGTCTCTGTCCCCCATCCTTCCACCATGGGCGTCGAAGACAAGCGGTCCGCCGACCCTCACTTCGTGAGCGAGGCCATCGTGGAGAAGCCTCTCGACTACGACTCCGAGTCGTCAGGCGCAGCCCCCCAGAATGGCACCCTGAAGCGTCAGCTCAAGAACAGGCACATTGCCATGATCAGGTCCGTCCGTCCCCCTCCTCGCCCGCGATAACACGCTCCTGACCCCACGTCTCTCGCAGTATCGGTGGTATGTTTCCCTTCCCCTTAGCCGCTCATCCGGCCCGTGTAACCCCTTCGCGATCGCAGGTGTCATCGGTACTGGTCTCTTCTTGGGCAGCGGGTCCGCTCTCGCAAAGGGAGGGCCCATCGGTCTCCTCCTCGGCTACCTCACGGTCGGCACGGTCTGTTTCTCGGTCATGGTGCGTTTCTCCCCGCGTGGACATTGTCGCTCGACCTATTCTTATCGCACCACTCCCTGCGTATGTTTGATAGATCTCGCTTGGCGAAATGATCGCGTACTTGCCGCTCCCTGGTGGTCACATCAAACTGGCTGAGCGTTTCGTCGACCCTGCGTTCTCCTTCACTATGGTATGCATCACGTGTTTACCGCGTCCCTTCGTGCCGTCCGTTTTCGATCGCACTCACTCTCCGAATCCAGGGCTGGAATTATTGGTACAACTGGACGATCATTCTCCCCGCTGAGCTCTCTGCCGCTGCGGTTCTCATCAACTTCTGGAACAAGTCTGTCAACAACGCCGTGTGGATTACCATGTGTCTTGCCGTCGTCGTCGGCATCAACCTTTTCGGTGCTGGTGCTTACGGCGAGGCCGAGTTTATCTTTGCGTGCGTTCTCTTGTCCTTGTGATCTGGGGATGTGCCCGATTGACACCCCCTGTCTCAACTAGCTCGATCAAGGTTATAACTATCGTCGCTCTCATTATCATGGGCATCGTGCTCGACCTCGGAGGAGGTCCCAACCACGATCGCCTCGGCTTCCGTTACTGGAAGAACCCCGGTCCGTTTGTCCAGTTCGATGGCATTGGGGGCGCCAAGGGACAGTTCCTTGGTTGGGTCGCTGTCTTGACCCAGTCTGCCTTCTCCTTCATTGGGACTGAGATTGTGGCTGTACGTCATCGTTATAAACGCGTTTTGAACTCCTGACGCTTACTTACTTCGCATAGATCGCTGCTGGTGAGGCCAAGAACCCTCGCCGCAACCTGCCGAAGGCGATCAAGCGCGTCTACATCCGTATTCTGCTCTTCTACATCGGTGGTGTCACTGTCATCGGCCTGCTCGTTCCTTCCAACAACCCCGACCTCAACCTGAACACGTCCAACGCCGCCGGGTCGCCTTTCGTCATTGCCATCAAGACTGCAGGGATCAGCGGTCTCCCGTCGGTCATCAACGCCGCTCTTCTCACCTCGGCTTGGTCTGCTGCCTCCTCTGACCTATACACCTCGTCGCGCGCCCTCTGTGAGTATAAGTATAACTTGGTTTCGACGGGGACGACAAAAGCTAAATTTATTCCACTACAGACGGCCTTGCCCTCTCTGGGAATGCGCCCAAGATCTTTACCAAGGTCACGAGAAACGGTCTCCCCATCGTCTCGCTCCTGTTCTGCGCGATGTTCGCTGTTCTCGCCTACATGAGTGTGTCGTCGGGTGCTGGTACCGTATTCAACTGGTTCGTCAACAGTGAGTACCCAAGTTCAAAATGCTGTCTGCACAACTTGTTGACATACTCGCACAGTGACCTCGATTGCTGGTCTGATGACCTGGTTTGGCATCTGTGTGACGTACGTCCGCTTCTACCACGGTTTCAAGGCCCAGGGCTTCGATCGCAAGACTCTGCCCTACGCGCACTTCCTCCAGCCCTACGCTGCCTACTGGGCCATCTTCTGGTGCCTCCTGATCTGCTTCGTAAGTGTTTCTGGGTTCACGTTGCGTCGTGGCTGTGCTGACGCCCCGCTGCCATTCATTCAGTTCTCGGGTTGGGCTGTCTTCCTCAAGGGCCATTGGGCGACGGACACGTTCGTCACGAACTACCTCCCCTTCGCCCTTTTCCCCATCCTCTACGTTGGCGCGAAGTTCTGGTTCCGCACGCCGATGGTCAAGTACGAGGACATGGACTTCATCTCCGGTCTCAAGGAGATCGAGGCCGACACTTACGACGAGCCCCCTCCGCGCAACGCGCTGGAGCGCTTCTGGGGCTGGCTCATGTAAAAAGCGATCGTCGTCGTCGACGGACGTGTTGTTGTGCTACAAGGTCCCTCGGAGGTGTTGTGTGTGTACGGGCGCCGCGCGTCGACGCTAGTCCGCGCGGCCCGTCTTTCCTACTGTACTGTAGCTGTATATCCCATTCGTATACCACGAGTCCGGACGCTAGGGCCGGTATGCTCTATAATCTATGCCCAGTAAAAGCACACATCGAGGGCCCGCGCGCGGACGTCGGATCATGTCTGCAGATTATTTGCGAGGTGGCCGCATAGGCACCACAAAGTCGCACGAATATGCTGTAAGGGATTGCATCCGTTGACGTCCGCGCCAGGGACAGGTACCTGCAGATCCACGCGCGATTTGCTTCCGCAGCGTCCAGCCCACTCGAATCCGCGGTCTAAGCCCATCCGGACGCGGCCGCGCGGGCTGCACTCGGTCCAGTCGCGCGTCGTGGCTCTTCTCGTGCACGCGGCCGCGCTCTGCGACCGGGTCAAGGATCCTGCGAAGACGCCGCCAGCGGAGATGTGCGTTGTGTTCGATAAGCACTACGTAGAAGGGGCTCCGCGAGTGCTCCAACATATGACGCTGGACCAGGGTCAGAACCTCGCCGGCCGGAGTACGTTCTCCCGCGCGCACTGCGACCCAGTGCTGGCTTCCCCGCCTTCTCTCCCCGAGCCGCCATCTTCTGACGTTCCGGCGTCGGGATCCATCGATGGGTGATGTGGATGGGAGACTGGGATCAGAGGGCAGAGGGCAGGTGCGACCGTGCCGGGCGCCGTGGCGACGCCATCGCGGCAGGTTCCCTCCCCAGCTGTACTTAGGGCGCGCTTCTGTCCGCATCGACTCTTCCGAACGGAACTGCGTCATCGCGCGCTCCTGGTGGAATGCGAGAGGGGCATGAGAGGGGACGAGCGGCTGAGCGGCGACACGGCGATATGCTGTCTTCGTCGACGAAGGTGTGTACGTGCTGAGGGGTACTACTTACGTCTGTATCGACAAGCGCGACTCACTAGCGTGCGGATCACCGAGCACGATTCCCCATAGGATGCAACGACGTACTTTTCAAGGCCGCTACACTGTGCATTTGTGGGAGACCTCCGCCGCCATGCCCCGCTTGGTGGTCTCAACCACCCTTTCGGGTTGCTTGTTTGACGATGTGTGATGTTCCTTGATGCAGCCACTAGTTTGTTGGTTGAGATATTGTTCACTGGCGGGACCTCCGCCAGGGGATGCGTTGGATGGGTCGGCGACGGGTGTCGCGAAACCCATGGACACAGTGAAGCTGGACCCTTGAGGTCCAGGCTGTGCCTGGCGAGGCCGACCAATCGACGCCTGTAGACCGTCGCTAGGCTCGTCAACGAATGTATGTGAGGATCTTGAGGCTCCCGCAGCCACTACGGTTGCCGACCCAGACCCAGTGGTTGACGTTGACGGTGCCAGAGTGGACTTCTGAGCGAGGCTTCGACCTCGACCGCTGATCGGAGGGAGTTCAACGACTGGGAAAACGGGCCACAGCCTCTCCGTCGGAAGAGTGGCAGAGAGGAAGGAGATCGCGAGTGAGCTGTGATCTTGCTTGGCCATCGTAAGGGATAGACGGGCGAACACGCGATTAGCGGAGGTGGAGAACTCGACGATGGTGCGAGGCAAGAGAGGGAAAGTCATTTTCTCTTGCCCCGGTGTCGGCGCGCTTTTGGACGAGAGGGGCATCATGAAGAGGCTGTACTTGTGTCGGTCTTCTGCCCGCCAGAAGCAATGTTTTGCGTGAGGCTCAGTTTCCTGTGTTCGAGCTCCGTGATGCGGCGCCAGGATGCCTCAACGGCGCGGAAAGGCGTGACGATATGTCTCCGTGAGATCCGCACGTCACCGCGGCCCTCCCGGACGTACTGGATGAACATGCTCACCCGCCCGTCCAGCTCGCGACGTTGGAGCCGAGTGCGACGAGCAGCCAGGATATCAACAACGAGGTGCAGTTGACCCGCGAGCGTGAGGCCGCCGAGCGCCGTGCCGAAGGTGCGCGAGTGGTGAGTTTGAGGACGCTTGATCAGCGCGGCGACGCGATCCTGAGGCCGGAAACCACTCCGAACTGTCCGCCGGCATCCTGGTGAGGTCGTTTGTAGTGCACGAGAGGTGCGGACGGGGTATCACCGCGCGGCCATCATGGATGATAATCAGCTGCAGGTTTTGGGCCACCCCCGCACGTCGCTTGTGGTCTGCAGATCGTCCATAGACGATTTGCGGGGAGGGAGCTCGGCCGAGCGGGCTGACCACAGACGGGGATAGGTCCAGATGCCAGGACGTACACTGCTCACGGATGTCAGCGTCATAGTCGCTTGCGTACTTACGACGTACGTCCGTGGTGGGTGGCATTTCCAATTGGACCGTAGGAGGTGCGTCTCTCGATAGGCCACGACTCGGAGAGCGCGAGTGCAGGACCCATGACCTGCTGCCCCATAAGCGGCAGTGCCTTCGCAGGAGGCATGTCTGAGAATGACGGTGAAACCGACACTGTGAATTGGTCAGTGACCAGAGTGTGCGAGGTACGGGTTTGAACCGTTGAAACCTGGGCCAGACTCCGATGCATGGGCTAGCCGTTAGCGTCGGGGAGCGCTGGGGCATAATCTCCGCCATAGACCGGACCAGGGGATGAGCTTCTGAGAAGACGAAGGCGGCGGACAAGGGGAGAGTGGAACGCCAGTGCTACGCAGTGGAGCCCTAGGACCACGCGGCATCCCTCCGTAGCGACAGTTGGGACAATGACAGTCTGGGGATCCGAGGATGGTGCGGCGTGGTGGCCGTCGCGAAGAACCAAGTATTATCGCGCCGACTCTTTGTACGCAACTTGTACGCATAGACGATGGTGCAGGCCAGCCGTGTCCCCACGACGTCACACCATCTGGTCGAGGCCACACATCGTGCTGCGCGCGGCGGCAACAAAGCTTGGAAGGCTAAAACTAGCGGCGGGAGTTGCGGTCGTCGGGCCCTTGTCCTTAGCAGGCAGGCCTTGGGCTGCTAAGCAGTTGAGCATATCCGTGGCAGAGCCAACGGGAGCGCGGGTAAAGGATGGTGGATGCCATGTTTGAGATCATGCGGAACGCGTCGGCCAACGCTCTGGACTGTGCGCGCGGGGCGGCGGGAGAGGGTGCGCAGGCGTTCATTATGGGGCGGGCTGTACGGTAGAGGCGTGATACAATCATCGCCGGACGGTGTCGTGATGGATGATCTCGCCCGGTACATCCTGTCCATGGGAGCCTGAAGGGGTCCAGTGCCGTTCTCCCTACACGCTCGCGCTAGCCACCCAGCCGGCCTCTTGCACCTGCACACCATCCTGGACGTCCATCACGCCTCCGTGCCCGCTTGCTTCCCGCCCCGACGTCCCTCTCCCTGTCGCCGATGCCTGGCTCCGACCTGGACGAGCTCTACTCGTCGTACTCCTCTCGCTCGGGCCTCGCCGACGTCGACGACCTCGATGTCGACAGCCCCGTGCTCGGCCACCTCTGGGCGGACGGCGAGGACCGGCGGGTGACGAAGAGCAAGCGCGAGTCTGGTGAGTTCCGCCCCCCTTTCGCTTTCGCCCGTTTTAGCACTGCGCCCATCGAGAACCTGGCCCCGGGCCCGTCACGACCGCAGACGGCCCCGCGTCCTCCCCGCCCCCCGCCCCCATTCCTGCTTTCCGTCTGCGCTCTCCTCCCATCCTTCCCCCCGCTCCGGCCCTGCGGCCACAGCGCGTCCCCTCCTTCGCCTTCCCGAGCGCGTTTCAGTGCTGATCGGCCCCCTTTCCACCCGCGCAGAGCTTGACTATTACCACTTCTCCGCCCTCTCCCCCCCGTCCCCGTTTTCCCCTGGCAAGACCGCCATGCTCGCCCGGCCGCGTGCGCCCACACCTTCCCGCGTGTCTGTGGCCGTCGACGACTGGAACTCCGACTACGACCCCCAGTCACCCGACGCCTCCGTCTCTCCCTCTTCCGCCTACGTCGTCGCCTCTCCCCCGCAGATGCTCACCCCGTCTCCCGTCATCAACTCCCACTCCCTCTCCGCTCTCGGCTACACCGCGTTCGGCGGCGCCAGCTCTGCGCCCGGCCCCCACGACGAGGAAGCATCCCACTCTGATCATTCCTCCCAGCGCTCGACGTCTGCCACCGCGCTCCCCGATCCCTCCCAGTTTCCCGATCCCTACCCGACCTATCGCAGGCAGCCCGCGCGCTGGCAGGTCGGCACAACCACCCCCGCCCTTTCCTCAGCCGACTCCTCCTCGGCATCCACCCGCTCGTCCGCATACACAGGCTCCGCAAAGTCAGGTGACTACGGCCACGTCCATGTCGCTCTAGGCGAGGACGAATCGGCCAAGGGCGTAGGCGTGGGTATAACCACCGACGAGGTCGTCCAGCTGCTCTCCAAGGAGAACGGTGCCGTCCCCACCAACCAAGGTAGGACCCCCGTGGACCAGTCCCGGTGGTCGGACTTCTACCAGAACGGCCTCCGTTCGCGCTCTTCTTCTCTCGCCAACAGCAACAGCAAGCCCAACTCAATGCACGAGAAGGCCCTTCGTGGGTCCCCCAGCTTCGACATGGGCTGGCAGCGGCCCGACGAGCGGGATGAGCAGGGATTGGCGAGCGACGAGGACACGGACGAGGATCCATCTTTTGAGGATGATGAAGACGATGAGGATGACGGCGAGGGAAAGGACGATGACGAGGAGCCTACGAGTGCGGCTATCATGGCAGAGGACGGTCGTGGGGTGATTATTCATGGTCACGACGTCCCAGTGAGCAAGCTGCATGTCTCTCCAGGTGCGTATCCCTCCATCTATGCGCGTCGAAATCGCTGATTCGCCCCAACACGAACCAGAGACCACACATCTGCTCATCGGATCGTCCCCTACCCAGAACGCCGTTCCATCATTCCTCGCCACTACGCTTCCCCAAATCTCTGCGTCCCTCCTCGCCCTCGACATCTCGGCCAACTTCCTGAGCGCTCTCCCACCAGCACTTTCGACGTGCGAGAGGCTGGAGGAGCTGAACATCGCCTCCAACCCGCTCCGCGTTCTGCCGACCTTCTTGGCAACCCTCGACAGCCTCCGCGTTCTCATCGTCGATGCGACGGGTCTCACCACGCTCCCGGCGAACCTCGCTTCGCTCGAGAAGCTTCACACGCTCAGTGTTCGGCGAAACAAGATGCATTCGCTTCCGAGCTGGCTCTGTATCCTCCCGGCTCTGGAGACCCTTCTCGTTGACGGCAATCCCTTCCAAGGACCGTGGAAAGCTCTCATGGAACCCCTCCTCTCCCGCGGCCCGCTGTCTCCCACATTCCCGCCTTCCACGCCCATCTTCCCCCTCCCGTCCGCCAGCATGCGGAGCATGATGACCACTGCCACAACAGAAACAGACGACTCCGAGGAAGCCGTCCCGCTCGCTACCCTCGCCGCTCGCTCCGCACCCGGACGCGTGAGGATGAAGACCTTACTGTCACCTCACCGCGTGCTCCGAACCTTGCGCGATCCATCACCGCTCCCACTCCTAACACCACCACCCAGCTTCCATCCCCCGGGCTCTCTCGCACGAGAACAACGCCGAACCGCGCATATTTTGACAAAAGCCGCAGCGGCAACGCAGGGCCGCAGTCGATGTTCAGTGAGGCCGGCGCACCCGGCACGTCTGCGAAGTCCGCTGGGCCTGAGAATCAGGTCCGGAGGATGAAGAGCGCTGGCGAGTTGCACCGAAACTATGGTGGTTCTCTCCGCAATCCCTCCGCATCGGCCTCTTCGTCGCCCCAGCGCCCCGCGCTCACCGAGTATGTCACGTCAGCCTCAAGCTCCAACTTGCTGACCATGGCAAATCTGGCGAATGCCGCGGAAGACTCGTCTATGCCTCGCCGATTTGCAAGTCTCGGGGTCGCTTCGGGTGCGATGTCGCCTACGTCGAACAGGTCTCGTCGGACTGTGGAAAGCAGTATCTGGGATAGCCCAACAGAGGATATCGAAACTTCTCCCGTCCCCCCGCTTCCGAACCGGGTGGCATTTCCACAGGGAGAGAGCGTGTATGCTATGGATCAAGCACCACGGCCACGCTCGAAGCATGAAGGGGAGAAAAACAGTCGATGGGGCTTCCTCAAGAAAATGTCAATGGGCAAGATGCGTCCGGATCAGCCTGTGCCCACGAACCGGTTGTCGCACCACGGTTCGCAAGCGCGGCCGGGTGCCCGCCCCGGCTCTTCACGGCAAGCACCCTCTATGCCCGTCATCGATGCTCGCTTCTCCACAACCGGCGCTGCCCTCCACCAGCCCGAGCTGCCTGGCACGGAGCCCGCCATTGCACCCAACCTCTCGCGGCAGGCATCTGGCGACCTTCTCAAGATCTCACCCCTCGACCAGCTCAAGAAAGCGTCGACCGAGGCCGCGAAGCAGGTCCCCCGGTCGTGACCAACGGCCTCCTCTCCCCTACCACGCAAACGTCGCGCGCGAACAAGCGCAGAAGCTTCCTGCCGATCGACATGACCCCGATCCCGATCCCGAACGCGTCACAGTTCGTGCCCGACGTCACCGCTACGAACTCCCACGAAGAGGCGGAAGAGTCGGCCGTAGCGTCGCTCTCCGTGCCCAGCCCTGTACCCGCCGAGGCGTCGTTTGATGAGATCCGTCTACGGGAGGAGGAGCGCGCGCGTGAGGCGCGGATTCGCGCCCTGCGCTCGGTCATGTCCTACCTCCGCGACATGCACGACCTCAGCCAGTCCGCGACGCAGACGCTGTCGATGTACGGCGGCCCGCCTGCGGAGATTCCACCTACGCGCTCGCGCCGGCCGACGATGGTCGACGGCGGGCGCATACTGTCCGAGGCGTCAATGTCGTCGATGGGTTCCGGGCCGTCGTCGCGGCCGGAGTCGATGAACTTGCGCCAGACCGAAGGCCGGATGGGCTTGTCGATGATCCAGACGAATAGCGTCGCGACGACGGACAGCATTGGCTCTGGTGCCGGGGAAGAGCGCAAGTGCAAGGACGACAAGTCGAAGCGGGTCAGGGTCATCCAGGAGATCGTCGAGTGCGTGCTCATATATATGGTTCCGAAGGCTGACTGAACGCTCAAGCTTACCTTTTGCGTCCTAGGACCGAGAAGACGTACGTCAAGCAGCTTCAGGAGCTCGTCGACATCTATATCAAGCCTGCCACTGCCACCATCACCATCTTGAGCGGTGTCAGTCAAATCAAGGACACCGTCGTTCCCTCGACGGATCGGAAGATCGTCTTCGGAGGTCTCGAGTCCCTGTACTACTTCCACAAGGAGAGCTTCCTGCCCGCGCTTGAGCGTGCCGCCCATCCGCTCGCGATCCCGTCGAACGCTGAGGACGCACGGATCTCGCTCGACGTCGCACGGCATGTGGCCAACACTTTCACCTCGCACGCCGCTTTCATGAAGATGTATTCGACCTCGATCAAGTAAGCTGTCGTCTTCTCCGCGTTTGCCTCTTTGCGTCAGTGCTGATCATGCATGCGTGCACAGCAACTTCGATAACTCGGTCGCGAGACTGAAGCAGTGGGTGTCTGACAAGCCGCCGCCTGCGGCGAGCACTGCCCTGTCACCGTCGTCGAGCACCGCGCAACTTGCGAGCCTAGGCATGGGTCTCACGGGTGGGCTTGCGAACGTGACGTCGCCGGACGGATCTTCAAAGGAGCCGCCGCTGTCGTCGAGCCAGCGCAAGCGTCTCAAGCAGTACCTCAAGCGCTGCAAGATGAACCCCCGGCACTCGCAGATCAGTCTCGAGAGTTACTTGCTCCTCCCGGTGCAGCGTATCCCTCGTTACCGCATGCTTGTAAGTCGTGGATCACATCATTTAAGATACAGTACCGTTGCTAATCAACCACTCTGGGGTTGCAGCTCGAGCAGCTGGTCTCTAGCAGCCCGCCGGCAAGCGAGTTCATGGACGACCCCATCGAGCGTGCTTTAGCGGAGATCTCTGGTCTCGCGACCACCATGAACGAGGGCAAGCGTGATGCCGAGTCTCGTGGTCGGCTTGTGCAGTGGCAAGGCCGGATACGCGGAAAGTTCCCCAGTCCTCTCGTGCAGCCGCATCGGTGAGTGGATGAATCTGGCGTCTTCTGTTGTGTCAACTGATCGCTCTCTCTGTCACAGTCGTCTCATCATGGACGGTCCGCTACACCTCACTCGTGTTGTGCGCAAGGCGACGGTGGCGTTCGAGGTCATCAACGCCCAGGGCGACTCTTCTTCCGTCGAGGTCGAATGCCTGTCACCCGAGCTCACGCCACGGTCCCTCATCGGTATTCTCTGCAACGACTTGCTGGTGCTTTGCAGGGATCCTTCTGAAGGGCAGGACCCGAGTTCCAGTGTTGATCTCTGGGCTGTGCTTCGCATGCAAACTCTTCCGCAGCCGGCGAGCATCGTACACGCCAGCAGTACGTCCTTTGTCTGTATGCGCTGACGGCGGTAGAACTGATGTTGGCGTGCGTAGCCCTCCGCTTGGTCGACAACAAAGCGATCCTCTACTTTGACGCGCCGTCGACTACCGATGCTCTGACGTGGTTCCGAGGTGAGCCCGGTTGCTCGTATCCGATGACGCCGTGGGGTCCTGACAGACACCCTCGCAGCTATTAATCTGCATATTCCTGCATCGAAAGCTTAAATTTCTACGACCCTATCTGACGCTTGCCACTAACAACCTCATATTGTCTCATTACACCCGATCTACTCCCCCGTCCCTCCATACTCCATGCCCTGCCGGCACCTGGCCCGGCCTCCCTCCCTCGGCCCTGGCCTCGGCCGAGCCTCCCACTCTCATGTGCACGCTCGTTTATACTGTATTCTGTCAGACCGCCCGCTCACCATCGCAGACCTGTGTCCTCATTGTCAGCCCTTTCGCTCCTTACCACCTACCTTTATCTCATCTGCATGCCCACGGGTTCCTCTCTCCTCTCTCCTCTCCTCTCTCCTCTCTGTCTCTTCACTGCATCTTTTTATTCTAGACTGGTCTGTGTACTTAAGCTGCCGGCTCTGTCGATAATCCCATCTAAGTCGCTTCGTATGCCCTCAGTCTTGTCCTTCAGGGTGATAATCGGTTGCTCGTGGATTACGGTAGGTTACAACAACAATACTATGCGAAAAGGTCCCCGACGGATGTGCCGCTGCTGTTCAGAATGCAACCAGGCCGAGTATGATCACTCCGACGGCGCACAACCACGGCAACGCTAGCGTTTGCCTCGTTGCGTCGTTGCCGGGTCGCGCTGCATCTGAAGGGCTGACTGTTGCGCCCGAGCCTACTGTTGCCGCATGACAATTGGCGAAATCTAGACGAACACAGGCGAGAAAGGAGCTTACCGGACGCTCCCTGTGAACGAGACGAAGGAGTCGCAGTCCCGCCGCCGGCGTCGGTGCTAGCAGAGGTGAGGGGGGAGACGCTGGTACTCACACTTGGAGTGCTACTGCCGCTTGCGCTAGGATTGATCACTGCGTTGGTCGACCTGCGTGGAACGAGCGGCGAGTTGACGCTACCGAACGGCTTAGTAGGACAGGGGACGAAGGACGCACGGGCAGAAAGTGAGGGTGTAGTCGGCGTTCAGGCCGGAGTCGCACGTCCACAGAGCCGTGCCGCTCGATTCGTCGAACGCGTACGCGTACGCGTTGGGGCAGTTCCCCTCTGCTCGCGGAGTCAGCGCCATCGCCGTGCGTGGGACGGAACGAGGGAGCGCCCACTGAAATAGGTGTAGAACTCGACGCCGGACGAGGGGCAGGTCGCGGCGGTGGCGTGGCTGCCCGAGCAGCAGTTCGCAGAGTCGGCTGCGTGTGCGTTTCCGGGGGCACGGGTTAGATTTTCGGCGGGATGGTGCTGTGGGGGTGAGGCCTACTGAGGTCGCCGTCCAGGTTGGCGGAGCATGCGCTCGAGCAGCCGACTGGAAAGCCTGTCGAGTTGAACGGGCCCTGAAGAGGCTGGGGACCTGGGAGGTAGGTGGCTCCGTCAGCCGTGATATTTGGCGGAGAACGAGAGCGCAAGCACAGTCCGGTCCTAGATCGACAGGACAGTCCGCGACGGGGCAGTTCGCCGAGTTTGTGACCGCCATGGGCAAATTGTAGCCGTCGACGAGGGACACTGGGGTCGTCGTCGCGGTCAGTCTTCGAATATTCATCGAGAAGTGTTTGGGCTTGCCATCGTAGAAGTCACGGTTGTTAGAAGTCGGCGGCTCGGTCGGGGTCGGACGAGGAATAAGATGCAATCGATACGACGCGGTTGGTCCCTATGGGCACCGGGAGGCGAGTACAGACGGACGCGGGGGAGAACGAGGTGGTGGGGAAGGGCAAACGCGTGAGGCGAGTGCGGGACGAGGGGCGGCGGCTATCTACGGGATGACTAAGCGCTGGTACCGTACGACCGAGCTTGCTAAGTATGCGGGCAGATTCCAACAACGGTTCCCGTCTCCTTGCAGTGTCCATTCCGCGACAGATGCTGGTGGGACGCCCTGTGGATGAAAGGTGAGAAAATCGTCGACTGGACGGCACTCTGCGAGGCGCACCGTTCCAGTCGAGGGATCGCACAGCAATCCGCCATTGCACCACCCGTCCAAACAAGTGGGCCCGGTGGTGATGGAAAAATCACAATCGCGCCTGCCCTGTCCCCGGCCCCTGTGGGCCAACATACGTCAGTAGCTGGTCCAAACCAGCGCTTGCCCAGCGGCGAGCCCACCCAGATCCGTCCGGCCTTCCAGTTGTCGGGTACCGCGAAAGTGACGGAGTTCGATGGCGGCGCCTCCCACCTGCACACACAAGAACAACGACACTACTCAGTAGGCTTTGGAAGCCGAGTGCAAAGTGACAGGCCGCACCCGGTGGGGAAGTCTGGAACAGCGGTGCCTGCCGACAAGTCCGTGAACATCTAAAGAGGAGCAGAGATGAGCTACGTTCTCCGCTGCGCTGATCTGTGCTCACAGCAGGCCTGCATCAGTGAGTCAGCGTAAGAACGGGATTATCTGCGGTCTGCACGGACCATATCGTGAATGGGCACGAATTGAGGACTGTAAAAGTCCGCGCCTGAACAGTGGTGGCTGTACCGGCACTGAAGGCGAGAATGAGACAACTGGAGAACATCATGATGGTGAGGCGTTGTTTGTCGCGTGAGGGGGTCGTTGGTGGTCGTCAGAGATTCGGAAAGGTGCTCTCACGCGTTTTCCAAGGATAGACACGGCGTGGGTGGAGCGGAGGGCTGAAAGCCCCCGCCTTCAAAGTTTGCTCGCTGCGGGGCACGTTCCAACAGTGCTCCTCGTCTTGAAGCTGAGTGGCTCCGCTGCCGGCGCCAATGGGCCCGGCGCCACCACGCCCCATCGGAGGCGCCTAGATCGCAGGTCAGTGAGTCAGAGTTATCAGATAGGCCGACGCTGACGGACCCATGACGCATCTCGCCGGCTTGCCACGGCCCACGGCGCGGGCTCACACCCACTCTTCACTCTTCCTACCAACCATTTCCGAATTCCCTCCTGCGGCCGCGCGAGGCCTTTCTCACGTCGTCTTCTCCTCTGCACCTCTCCCTCGGTGTTAGGAGACCGCGACATGGATCCATTCGAGGCAAAACTCGTTGCGGCCGCAGTGGGCTCGACCGTCACTGCTCTCACCAGTCAGTCTTCTTGCATCTCCCCTTCGCTCGCATCTTTCTGACGAATCTTCTCAGTGACCCCTTTCGACGTCGTCAAGACTCGATTGCAAACCCAGCCCCCTCGACCCCGTCCGTCGGCTCCGCTGTTCCCCAACCCACCACAAAATCAATGTTGCCAACCATCAGGAGCACCGTGCATTCGCAACATGTCCACTCTCGCCAGGTCTGCCGTCGAAGGCGAGGTGGTCTGTGTGTGGGATCATGGGGTGTATAGGACAGAGCGCGTGAATGGTTTCTTTGACGCGGTCAAGCACGTCTGGAAAGTAGAAGGACTCGCGGGTCTATGGAAAGGAGCGGGAACTTCGCTGTGAGTTTTCTCTTCTCGTTGGCGCCTCCCCGCTCAACATCTCCAACGCCCTCTAGTCTCATTGGTGTTCCTGCGTCAACATGCTATATGCTCACGTATGATCATTTGCTCAATACTACTCTCCCTCCGCTCCTCCCACAAGCCGTCGTCCCACTTTCCGCCGGTATCGTTGCACGCACTGCCATGACTTCCCTCCTCTCTCCCCTCGAGCTCGTCCGAACAAATCTCCAGTCCACGCCAATCTCCCCCGACAACCCTCACACGCTACGCTCCGTCCTCACCTCCGTTCGAAATCTCGCCCGCGTCAATGGCTGGCACTACCTCTGGCGCGGCGTCGGTCCCACGCTCTGGCGCGACGTGCCATTCAGCGGCCTCTATTGGGCGGGCTATGAGCTGTGCAAGAGGCGATTGGGACGGATGGGCTACGAGGGCGCAGGGGTCGCGTTCGTCAGCGGCGCGGCCAGCGGCACCACCGCCGCGCTGCTGACCTCTCCATTCGACGTTCTCAAGACCAGGCGGCAGGCGCTTCTGATGGCGTCGTCGTCGACTCGGACGTCCAGTCTGGGACTCGCGGCCGAGATCCTCCGAACCGAAGGTCCCGCAGCGCTGTACGCCGGGATCGCGCCTCGAATTACGAAGATCGCTCCAGCTGCGGTATCATGATTGCCAGTTTGAGGTAGGTTTCGTTGTGGTATCTGAATGCACTAAGCTCATTATCGCTGTCAGGGTATGGGCGTTTCCTTTCCATGGGCAATAGACATAGAGACAACTGATGACGCACGGGGACGTTTATCTTTATATCCGCATCTAGTACAGGAAAATTACCGTCGTTGTAATACCAAGAGACATGTCATATCCAACGCGAGTGCAGGTGTGATCAGAAGTAAGTGTGCTAACCCAAGAAAGCAGCAGAGCGAACGAAGTACTAGATAATGCGGAAAGCAGCAGTAGACGCACACGCAGTCATCCTAGCCTGTTCAACTGTCTCTTCGCACCTGTGAGCTTGCCCCCACCCGGTCCACCTCATTAGTCAAGTCATCCAGCTCCTCGTTCTGCTCCCGGATCTCCTGGTTGATCGCCAGCCCGAGCATCCTCTGCCTAGACAGAATCGTCGACAGCTGCGCGAGGTGCGAGTCCTGCTGGTCCATCTGCGTCTGCTGCAGCTGCACGAGCCCGTGGTTGTCCAGCGGCCGCGTCTGCTCCGTCTCCTTCGGCGGCGCCGCCTGCCCAAACACCCTCGCCACCGGCCTGCTGAACCCTCCTGGCATCCCCCCGCCGGTGGGGGACGACCCCGAGCCGAGCAGCGCGTCCCTGTCCGCCTGCGCCGCCGGGTTGCGCTCCGCCGCGGACCCGATCCCCCTCCCCGTCATGCGCGCGACGGTGACGATGCGCGCGAGCCGTTCGCAGTCGTCGCGGAGGCGCGCGGCCATGTCCGTGCGGCGCTGGAGCTCGCCCTGCGCCATGCCCGACGCCGCGGCGAGCACAGGGAGCGCGGCCTCGAGCGCGCCGACGCGCTGGAGCGCGCCCGCGAGGCGCTTCTTCGCCTGCACGTTCGCGCCGTGCGCGCCGTTGACGTCGCCCGCGTCCGCGAGCGCGTCGCGCCGGTTGATGTCCGCGCGGACGTCGCGCACGCGCGTCTGCGCGTCCTGGTGCGCCTCGAGCCACGCCGCGGCGCTCATGCCCGCGCCGTCGCCCGCGTCCGCGGCCGCGCCGCCGGCGTAGTCGGGCTTGCTGGAGGGCACGCCGAGGAAGTCGCGGAAGGCGAAGGCGGCGCGCCAGACGTCGTCGCGCGCGGCGAGGATCGCGCGGAGGTACTGCTCGAGCCCGGCGCGGCGCGCCTCGAGCAGCGCCGGGTCCGTGCTCGAGCGCAGGAAGGAGAAGGCGTGCTTCGGCGGGAGCGGGGCGGGCGGGGGCGCGCCGCAGGCCTTGGTGAGCTCGAGGTGCAGGTCGGCGAACTCGGAGTACCGCCGCCACATCTGCCAGGAGCGCACCGAGGCTTGGATCTCGATCCGGAAGACGACGTGCGGCTTGGGCTCGGGGCGGTCTTGCCAGCCGCGGATGTGGATCGCTTGGATAGCCGTCATGTGAAGGCGAGCGGAGGTCGGGAAAGAGATGGGGGTGGCAGATTAGATGGGCCGAGCGAGGAGGAGGAGACGCAGGAAGTGTAACAAGAGGAAGAGCGAGGATGGTGGTGGTAGGAGGGAGAAGAGCACAGCGCGAGAGCCGTATGTGCGCGGCGGAGGCACGCAGTCCGCACGCTTACGCACCGTCGGCGTCTAACCTGTAGATGCAACACGCTCCAGAATCCGGATGGAGTCAGAGAAACAACGGTCGTATCTCGTCCTGAGCAGAATCGCCATGCTGTTTACAGACCATACCAACGTGCTTCGATATCAATGCATACAGACAAGGGGGCTCAATAAGGCTACATCTAGGGTTTCTGCAAGCTACTACGACCGTCCTCGACAAGAATCCTCGATCGGAGATCAACGTAAAGTCAGCGACTGACTGCCGGGATCGGACTATGAAAGCTGTTCCGGTGGGGGAACTTCTGGTGGTGGTGCTTCTGGGGCAGGAGTTGGCGGAAGGGGTATCTCCACCGGGACAGGGATGTGGTGGTGCTCTTCGCCAATGTGCACGTCGCCGACGAGATAGCGAAGGACGTCGCTCAAGGTGATGATCCCCAGAAGGCGGCCCTTCCTCCCGCCCCGCCGCTCTTCGTCCTGAGAACGACGGTCAGTACGCACGGCGCCAACGTCAAAACAGAGCGGCACTGACGTCACCCTCGACGACGACCAGCCGATGCACCCGACGTTTCTTGATAAGCTGCATCAGCGTGGCCAAAGAGTCTGACGCAGTGCAAATCACAACTCCCGGGAAGTCGGGTGTCCGCTGGTTTAGTGCTTCGGAGATGGTGAGGTCCAGGGACTGGTATGCTCCTAGTCGTACCAACGTCTGCACGTCCCTCAGCTCGGAAAGCGCGAGTATATCCGGGCAGTACTCACAATCACGTCCACGGTCTCATACATGTTCACTACGATGCCATCCTCGTCGATGATCGGCACTGCGGAGATGCCGCGTGCTGAGAACATGTGTACGACGTCGAAGACGGTGGTAGACATGGTGGCCGTAGCTATTGGATCGTATGGGTTGTGACCTTCAGGCGTGTTTTCAGGATGCGGAAAGGGGACGAAGGTGCCAATGCCTAATCTGCGGAGTGGTAAGTGCAGCTGTTGGATCTCCTTCCCGCACTGAGGAAGGCGAACGGGACAGGGTTTGAGACTCATAGTCTAACGCGCGATCCAAAACCGGGACACTTGAACTGACGTTTATGGAGATGAACTTGAGGAGACGGTACTGTGTGAGGATGGATATGATCACCTCATGGCCGGTCTCGGTGTCGCAGTCGAGTAGGGGGACCCGACGAGCATGGGTCTGGATGAGCAATTTGGCGGCCTCGTACAGCGTCGCAGAAGGGTGTTCGCGGAGAAGAGGAGGCTGGTCAACACCGAGCTGCTTCTCGATGTCTTCGGCGATGTGAGGCTGATAGCATGGGAAACTCGGCGGGGGAAGCACGCACCTCGCAGTGACTCTAGCCGAAAGGTCTCTACGTCGGAGGCGGCGGCGTCGTACGACCAGCACTGGTAGTAGTATTGAATGAGATGGATGATGTCGGACACGGTGAACATGCCGGCGAAGCAGGATCGCTCGCTGTTCCATAATGGCGCGGAGACCACGCCTGAGAGACGCGGGCATCAGGCGAGGAAACGCGTTGGGAATGGGGGAAGAGGATACCATTAATGAGGAGACATTGGAGGGCCTTCTTGACCTCCAATTTGGAATCGAGGACAATCAACCTAAAGCTGACGGGAAAAGTGTCGTAGCAGGTTCTGCCCTTGAGGTAGGTCCTGATAGCAGCAAGGGCGGCATCGTGGCTCTCCTGGGTGATGGGCGGGAGATGGGAGCCTGCGCGGGGGCGGCGCGTGGAGCCTTTGCGGCGGACGCGAGGGGACGAGTTCGGGGTGAGGTTGCTCATGAGGACGGCGGCGCCGTGGACGGAGGCAGAGAGCTCGAGGAGTGCATCGCTGCCCTGCGCCTGCCCGCTTAGTCAGCCTGCCCGGAGCTCGCCGGCGGGCTGCCGGCGGGGCTCCGGGGCCCAGCGGTGGCTGGCAGTGGGCAACGGCCTGCGGGCGGTGCTTTCGCCGCCGTCCTCCGTCATCGCCGCTCGTGTGCGTTCCCACTGTTGGTTGTCTTCCTCTGCCTCTTGCCCTGCCCCTTCTTTGCCTCGTGTCTCTTTCCCCTTCTCCTTCACTCCAGGGCCATGAGCCAGTCCGAGGGGCCCTTCGTCCCTCCCCGCTATGCCACCTGGGATGAGGTAGCACAGGCCCTGTCAGCCGGCGTCGCCGCCGTCCAGGACAACCTCCAAGTCGGCCCTCTCGACCTCTCCGAGCAGACCCTCGTTCAGCCCACGCCAAATCGCGATCCTTTCTACATCATTCTCCCCATGCTCATCGTGCTTTCTACCTTCCTCTTCCTCCTTCTGCTCTTCCTGGTATGCGTCATCCTCCTCCGCCGACGGCGAGGCATCATGCTCCGCGACTCCGATGGTCCAGTGGACATGAGCCGGGAGGATCTCATCGAGGGCGAAGGCGGATTCGAGGGAGTCGAGTCCCGCTGGCTGGAGACTGTCTCAGAGTTAGAGCGTCGAACCTATCAGCGTGCAAAAGGTGAATTCCCCATCGTTCTATCCTCTTGCTCCCCCGCTGACCCCATTCCCCCAGAGTACCAACTGCAGTACCCTCCCAACTCCCTTCCCACCGACATCACGCTATCCCAATTCCTTTCGATTCAAGAGAAGGGTGTATCAGCATGGTGCTTTGAACCGGACTTCGAGGCGCTATCCTCCCTCTTGGTGCATGCTCGCACCGAGCTCACGTTTCTTCCCGACCCTGCCTCTGCCTCTTCCGTCCAGTCCAATCTGCCTCTACCCAAACTCAACGAGGTCTACTATTGGGAGACGAAGATGTTTGACCTTCCTGAGACGACAAACGTTGCTATTGGCTTGGCCACGAAACCCTACCCGTCTTTCCGCCTTCCTGGTCTTTGTCGACACTCCGTTGCGTATCACTCTAACGGTGACAAGTCCCACAACTACCCGTTCACCGCTACCGCCTGCGGAGTGTCGCTCAAGGAAGGCGATGTCCTCGGTGTTGGATATCGGCCCCGCTCAGGCACGGTGTTCTTCACCAAGAACGGGAGGAAAATGGAGGATGCGTTCACGGGTCTCACCAATTGGAACCTCTTCCCTACCATTGGTGCAGATGGCCCGTGCAGCATCCACGTCAATCTCGGCCAGTCCGGTTTCGTCTTTATCGAGGCCAACGTCAAACGCTGGGGTCTGGCGCCCAGCGTCGGAACTCTTGCCCCGCCGCCAGCGTACGGGAGCGAAGTGGGCAGTATTCTTCTCGCCGCTGGGGGCGAGATGACGCCAATTCATAGTGGTGCCGGTACCCCCACGAGTCCAGCAGGCGGTTCCACGCGGTCCCGTCGTTCCCACCGCTCACGCAGACCACGGTCGGGCCTCTCTATATCCGCGCCCGTCGAGTCCTCCCCCCTCCGCAATAGCCCTCTCACCTCCCCATCTCCCCCGGCTACGCCCCCGCCCCCAATCACCCCCATCGAGGAGGAGCCCGCCTTCCAGGACGGGGCAGGATCATCCACATCTCGGAGGTACATCTCGCCCACCGACACGCCATTCCACGCCCCTCCTAACTCTAATATCCCCTCCTCTCCGACGGAAAGAGAGGAATACCTCCCTGTGGATGACGAGGTGTCAGGTGCTGGCTCTTCCCCGTCGCACTCCCGCAATACCTCGGGTGCAGGTGCGAACCAGTTCAATATCCCCCGACCTCAGCCTATCAACATCACTCATACCCGTACCGGGTCACGCTCGTCGGTATCAGGCGTGGACCTTGCGATCCAGGTTCATCCACCTCCAGAGTCGCCAATCACCAGCGACCTCCCCACACCCGGACCCCGTGACATCCACCTGCAGGCGTTAGCCCCCCCAAGTTCTTCTGCTGCCGGGCCGCCTGCTCATAATTCTGTTAGCTCGGCCTCGCAGCTGGAAGTCCTGAACGCGGAGCCCCCCGCGTACTCTCCTCTGGATGCCTTTGCGTACCCCGACGGTGCCCAGGTGGATCTCCCCGCCGAGGTCATCGCCGCGGCGCTGGAGAGAGGTGCTCTGCCGCCGCATGTCATCGGGACTGGGAACTCCCGTTCTGATAGGCACAGGAGTCGTCGTGACCGGCGGACGTGAAGAGGCGGTAGCGGTAGCTTGAAAGAGGTGTAATCCAAGGACTTTAGAGTAATCCTATCCGGGTTCGTCGCTGCTTGATCCAGGTTTGTATTTGTATGAGGGCTCGCTCGTTGAGCCGTGGACGTTGCCGTTAGTTGTCGAGGTTTCGAGTCGCATCTAATACGCACACCCTGCACTGTACCCGTCATTCACCCACCCATCCCACTAGCATCCCCATCACCACCCCACACTTGCACTCCCATAGGCCCCTCCCACGTTCGCTCACCTCCCTGAGGCCAACATTTTGTCTGTTGTGTTATTGCTACCTATCGCGCCTGTTTTCCTTCGCTTCGCCTCGTTCTATGTAGATCTCGTCTCGATGCATAAATCTAGCCGGAACCTAATCGCACGCGCTCTGCACCGCGCGTTCTAGTAGTCATTCTTGTTCCTTAGCAGATACACCTCCGCTTGCACACATCCCTCTCGACCCCGAGCAGGTTGAAGCCATTCTGAGGGACGCGCCGGTGCGCAACAACATAACGTGCATTGGCAGTATCGTGGACTAATGTGGAACATCCGATTACTGCAGCGCAGCGGGTGGACGAGCCGCACGGCACAGCGCACAGCGCAGAGAACCAGCCGACAACTAGGAACCAGCCCCCAAACGACGAAGACGACGCGACGACAGCGACGACACAGCAGACAAGTACACCGACAGCGTCACGCAAAGCGCACCGCTCGAGGCCGCGTCGGTAGGTCCTGGCAGTCCAACCCGAGCCCGAATGCCACCGATCCCTCCTTTTCCGCCTCCTCCTCCGCCTTGGACTCGACGCTCGAGCCCGCGTCGCTCGCGATGGACGCCTCCCCGCGGCGCGGCGCGCCTTCTCGTCCTCCCCCGCGCTCCACCGCGTCGGGCGCGCTCCTCGCGGTGCCTTGAAGTCGCTGCTGTGTCTGCTGCATCGGCGTCGGTGTCACCTGCGCATGCGCCGCGCTGGCAGGGCCCAGCCGCGCGCGCTCGCGCTCGCGCACCTCGCGGTCCGCGCGCCACTCCTCCACGGCCACTGCGGGCGACGTGAACCCCAGCGGGTCCGCGCCGGTCCCGCGGCGTCCTGCCGGCGCTCGCGCGCCCGCGCCCTCTTCCGTCGTGCGGCGCGGAGGCGGCGGGGCCACGCGCCGAACGCGAGCCAGAGCGCGAGGGCGAGGAGCGCGAGCACGCCGAGCACGACGAGCCCGATCGCGTTGCGGGCGCCGAAGCGCTGGATGTCGGCGGCGAGCGCGGTGTCGCGGCGCAGGTTCGGGAGGTCTGATGTGGAGAGGGCGGCTGGGTCGTGGGCGGAGGAGGAGGCGGCGGAGGGGCCGGCTGGAGGGGGTGCGGAACTGGTTGGGGGGTCGTGCGGGAGGGCGGCGACGGCGAGCGGGGGTGCGATGAACATTTTGGACGACGGGAAGTGCGGGCGCGGCGAGAGGGGGGAGGATGGCGAGGAGAGGACGGCGTTGGGGAGCACGACGGCGAGGCGAAGAACGGCGATGGCGAGAGCGAAGAGAGGGCGGACGGGTGGGTCGACGCCGTCGACGGATGGACTGGCTAATTCACTTGAGACCGCGAACAGCAAGCGGACAGGGCGGGCGACGGTCGCGGGGCGGCGAGCAGTGTCCGACGAGCACAAGGCGATCGGGCTGGCAGTGCGTGTGGCTGGCAGGTTCGAGTTCCAGTCGGGCGTCGTGCATGCATCATGCATCCTCGATCGGGACTCGAGAATGGAGCGGCCGTGCTTTCACCGCGGGTGATGGAAAAAATGTGAGCGAACGCGCGGTAGATCGTGAACTGAAATCTCTTTCATACAAGCCAGGATTGATTGCTACAAGTCGCAGTGCTACAGGTGCATGGTACGCTGCTATGCGGTCTGCGCCACATAGCTATCTGCGCCCTCGCTGCCTCTCTCCACAATCTTACACGGGATAACCTGTGCACGCAGATACGCTCCACCTTCACACACACATTTGGGCTGCCAGAGTAGTCGGAATCACGGCTCCAGTCGCTTGGGGTCACGGGGGAAGAGCGAGGCGCGGCGGATGTTGTTGAGCTTCAAGAAGAGCATCAACACCCGTTCCAGACCGATGCCACCTCCGCCGTGTGGAGGCAGCCAGCTTGAAGGCGTCGAGGTAGTGGCTCATCGACTCGGGTTGCACACCCTTGCTGAGCATCTTCTCAGCCAGCAGGGCGCGTCGTGGATACGTTGAGCGCCGGAAAGGATCTCTTCGCCGCGCATGAAGAAGTCGTAGGAGTTTGAGAGCGTCTGATAGAAAGAGACGAACACGGAGCCAAGTCAGTGCGGGACGAGCGTGGGGTTAGTAGAGTGTGGCCTTACCGGGTCGTCGGGGTCGGGCATCGTATAGAAGGGTCGGAGGTCCATAGGGAATTTGTCGATGATGAAGTAGTCAGTGTCATACTTTGCACGGACGATGCGACCGAGACGCTTCTCGTTGTGGTGCTGGGAAAGCCCCGGTGAGTACAAAATCTTCCCTAGACAATGAAACGTACTCGATGTCGTCAGGTCTTCTCGAGGAACCCATCTCGACCAAGAGGTTAACAGCCTCCCTGAAGGATAGCTTGAGGTTCCTTCAGGACCCTCTCTCCACTTGAACTCGTCCGCCGGGAACTGTTCCGCACGGTCTCGATCTCGTTTGCATACTTCTGCTTCAAGCTGCGGAACATGTGGAGGAAGAGCCCGTCGAGCAGCTCCATCACCTCGTGGTAGTGCTCCTCGAAAGCCATCTCCAGATCCAGACCGATGAACTCGGTCATGTGTCGGTGAGTGTTTGCGTTCTCGGCGCGGAAGACGGGGCCGATCTCGTATACGCGCTCAAATCGGCAGCATGGCCATCTGCTTTGCGAGCTGGGGCGACTGCGCGAGGTAGGCCTTGCCCTTGAAGTAGCTGACCTCGAACACGGAGGCACCAGATTCTGTGGCAGCACCTTGCAGTTTCGGACTGTGGATCTCAATAAAACCCAGGCCATCCAGGTATTCGCGGAAGAGGTGGGTGATCCCGTGCTGGAGCTTGAAAACAGCTTGGTTGGTTTGTGTCTGTACAGTGATTTTAGACAGTGTGATAGATGGTCAATGTAGTGTATCATACCCTCAGGTCGACGACACGGTTGTTCAGACGGGTGTCAAGGAGGACGCGCTTGATCTGAACGTCCTCTGCCTCCGTTTCTGGGGGCTCGGGACGGTTGGCGTCGTCAACAGTAAAGGGCAGGACAGTCTCGAGGCCAGAAACGAGATGGATCTGACAGCCCGGCCATGTGAGCATGACTGAACGCATCTCACGAACGATCAAGCTCACCTGCGAGATATGCAGTTCCGCGTCCTGAACCGTGGCGCTCTTGATCGCCTCCGGCGCCTTCTTCACGGTGCCCTCCACAAGCACAATGCTCTCGATCGACAGACCCGCGGCCCACTTCGCCATCTGCTTGCTGACCTTCTCCGGCGCGACGGATAGCAGCGCCTGAACGGAGTCGGTACGCTGGCGCAGATTGAGGAAGACCATCTTGCTGCCCTGCGCACGCGAGGTCTGGACGCGCGCGCGAAGGAGGACGGACTGGCCGTCCATGGACGCGTTCAGGTCCGCGATGCGCGCGTGGGCGCGCTTGGGGCGCGACTGCGACTGGTTCAGGGGGAGCTTGCCGTAGAACTCGGTCGCATAGTCCTGGTGCGCGTGCGCTCTGGGTGAGGACGGCGGGAACGGGGGGACGAGCGGGGGCATGGACGCACGACGTCGGCGGCGGCCTTCTGCGCATCGGCCTCTGCCTGCTTGGCCGCCTTCTCTGCCGCCTTGCGGGCCTTCTCCTCCTCCTTTGCGCGCTTCTTGAGTTCGTTCTTGGATGGGCCCTTGGGGCCGTCCGTTCCCTCGGCGGGGCTGCGCACAGCAAAGTAAGCGTGCTGCACGGTGATGCGGATCAACGCGGGTCAGACGGCTCACGGGGCGGGGGCGGGGTCCTGGTTGGGTTGCTCTGCGTCGGCCATAGTGAAGGTTGGGAGAGAAGGGGGACGGGGCGAGTTTTATGTCGCTCGACGCAGGCTGGCCGAGTCGAGGTGAGTCGAGCAGATCCAATGTGTGCACTTATCTGATCTACCCGGTGGGGTTAGGAGAAGCGCGCGCGGGGTTAGGGCCCGGCGGCGCCGTCTGGACCGCGCCGGGTCCATCCGGCCGCTCAATCGCCGTTCTGGTCCGCGGGGACCTCCGCGGGCCCAGATGTATATCCCTCGACCGCATACGCTGGCAACCTGCACTCTTGTTCCCCCCTCCACTCACTCTACACTCGTCCACAAAATGCAGGCCATCGCCCGCCCCCTCGCGCGCGTCGCGCCGAAGCACGTCCGCTATGCGGGCACCGTCTCCGCCTGGTCTGCGGTCCCGGCCGGTCCTCCCGACCCCATTCTCGGTGCGTGTCAGCCGTTCGTGTACGCCGAAAGGCCCCGCGCATCTCTTCGTCCGGGCGTGGAATTCGCGTGGAATGCGCCATTGCGGATGCGGGAGTCTGCGCGGGGCCCCGTGGTTATAATTACCCCGCATTCCGTGTGCGCACCGTGCGCCCCGGATGAGTGCTGACGATCCTCCGGTGCACTCACAGGTGTTACTGAGGCCTTCAAGGCGGACAAGGACCCCCGGAAGATCAACCTCGGCGTCGGCGCGTACCGGGACGACAAGGGCAAGCCGTACGTCCTCAACGCCGTCCAGAAGGCGGAGGAGCAGCTCGCGGACGCGAACCCGGACAAGGAGTACCTGCCCATCACTGGACTCGCTGAGTTCACTTCCGCGGCCGCGAAGCTCGCGTACGGTGCCGAGAGCGTGCCTCTGAAGGAGAACCGCGTACGTACTCTTTTGTTTTGGCGCGCTGTGCGTGCGGACGCGTCCTGACGTGGCGGGCGGTCTGCAGATTGCTGTGACGCAGTCCATCTCGGGCACCGGCGCTCTCCGCATCGGGGGCACGTTCCTCGGCCGTTTCTTCCCCCATGTCAAGACGATCTACCTGCCGGTGCCGTCGTGGGGCAACCACACGCCCATCTTCCGTGACTCGGGTCTGGAGGTGAAGGGCTACCGGTACTTTGACAAGAAGACGGTCGGTCTCGACTTTGCGGGCATGATTGAGGACCTGAAGGTACGTCGGGTGGCGAGTCTGGGTTCGAGCGCACCGCTGATGTACGCCACCTCACGTGCAGAACATGCCGGCGCAGTCAATCGTGCTGCTGCACGCGTGCGCGCACAACCCGACTGGGGTGGACCCCACGCCGGAGCAGTGGAAGGAGATCTCGAACGTTATCAAGGAGAAGTCGCTCTTCCCGTTCTTCGACATGGCCTACCAGGGCTTCGCGTCGGGGGACACGTCGCGGGACGCGTTCGCGGTCCGGCACTTTGTCGCGGAAGGCCACCAGATCGCGCTCTCGCAGTCGTTCGCAAAGAACATGGGCTCTACGGCGAGCGCGTCGGCGCGTTCTCGCTGATCACGGCGAGCCCGGAGGAGAAGGCGCGGGTGGACAGCCAGCTGAAGATTGTGATCCGGCCAATGTACTCGAACCCGCCGCTGCACGGGGCGCGGATTGCGAGCACGATCCTCCGGAACGAGGCGCTGTACGGGCTGTGGGAGTCGGAGGTGAAGCTCATGGCGGACCGGATCATCGAGATGCGCTCGCGGCTGTTCGAGAACCTGGTGCAGCAGAACACGCCGGGGGAGTGGAGCCACATTAAGAAGCAGATCGGGATGTTCAGGTGCGTTTCCGGTCGTGGTCGCCGCGGCGGGCGTGGGCGCTGACAGACCGGGGCGGGGCAGCTTCACGGGCCTGACGCAGCCGCAGACGAAGGCGTTGGCCGAGAAGGCGCACATCTACATGACCGCCGACGGGCGCATCTCGATGGCGGGTCTGAACGGGCGGAACATCGACTACTTCTCCGAGAGCGTGAGCAAGGCCGTCAAGGGCGACCTCTGAGCGCGGTCGGGGCGGGTTGGAGCGGGTCGCCGGTGGTATAGAGGGACGGGGCCGTGGTAGACGTTAGACTCACCGTGTCCCCGTAGAGCGCACGCAATGAGACTTGTCGCTTCCAAGCATGCTCGCCTGCAACCGCCGGCACGCGTGCCCCAGCCGGACGGACGCCGCCGGGGGCGTGCGCGCGGGAGCTCCTCGAAGCGGACCGCCTGTCACCCGAACCCGCTCATTTGCCTTCATTTACTCGGGACGGACGATCGACAGAGGCCGCCTTCGTCCTTCGCACCCCCCGCGCCCCGCCGTTTTATCCTCTCCCCCCGCCCCCGCCCCTCTCTGCCCCTTTCCCCCCATGTCGACCAACGCGTCCCGCAGACTGTCCGCCGTCCCCCGCCCCCCTCCCACCCCCGCAGACTCCGGCGACGACCTCCAGGACGCAGACGTCTCCTCCGTCTCCTCCAGTGGCAGCTTCATGGCCACCGTCCGCGCACGCAAGGCCCGCCGTCGCTGGACTGCCCCCGCCCCCGCCCCCGCCCCCGCCCCCTCTGCGCGCGTCCACCCGACCTCGCGTGTCCCAGCGCCCATCCGCACCGATCTCAGCCCCTGTAGGTCCAACCTGGAGCGCGGTCCCAACATGTCTCCACTCACCGAGGGCACGGTGCGCGTTTCTCTCCCCCCCTTGGCCGTTCGCGCTCACGCATACATCCAGGTTTCGTCTGCGTGGTCCACACCCCTCCACACCCCCGATCTTGCCGACTGGACAACTTCCATGGGCAATTATGGCGGACACTCACTCCTTCTGGATCATCCCATCCCTCCTCGCTCCCCCACTTCACCCACTTCACTCACTTCAGCCGCTCGTTTCAGTCACCCTCCGCCCCCTCGCACTCCCACCGGCTCGCCTGCACACCATCCACGTCTCTCGTCCTCGGGTTCTCGCGACCTTCGCTTTCCGTCCCCCCACCTCGACCCTCCCCTCCTCAACTTCATGCCTGGCCTTCCTCCGCTCAAGCTTCCTCTCGCCGACATCTCCGCCCAGGTGGACACCCAGGAGTACCACAGCCCCCCTTCCCCTGCCTCCGACGCTTATTCCACCACGTCCCTCTTCGCCATCTCCCCCCAACACCTCAGCCACACGCCCTCTGATGCCGATCCTCCCCGCTTCAACGTCCTCCCAGCGGATCCGGCAGAAGAGGTCGCCCCCCAGTCCTACCTCCCGGCATTCTCTCCCCAATCGGTCACCGGCATCTACTCTCCCACTACCCCGGACGTCTCTGGAAGCGATTCCCCTATCCTCCCCACCGGCACCGTCGCTCACATCGCGGACCGTAGCCGTCCCGAGTCGGTTCGCTCCGCCTACATGGACCCGGACATCGACGCGTTCGCGCTCGCGACTGCGGTCGCCGGCTCCAACCACTCGTCATTTGACCTCCCATCGTCGGTGGTCTCCGTGGCGGTGCTCCCCGCGGTGTCCTCGGGCTTGCCTTCGCCTGAGCTCCCTCGTCCGATGAACTTGAGGACGGAGTCAGGAGTCGCGTCCACTGTTCATGTCACACGCGATGTTTCATCCGCCGCAGCGGAAGTTCTTAGACGGGGTAGCGCCGATCACGATCGCACCTCCCGGCGGCACTCGACTCCTGAGCCTAGCTCATGGTACAGTCCCAACATGGAGCCTCTCCACACGATCACCAGCCGTGTGGACGTGGATGTGGACAACCAGCTTGCGTCAGGGCAACAGAGCCGACAAAAGCAGCCTGTTTTTGACTCGGTGCGCAAGATCGGTTCTCGCATCCGTGGCCTCTTCAAGTCCAAGGCGGAGAGCAAGATCAAACGCAAGGATGCCGATACCCAACCGGAGTTTGGCATGATGACTCGGACTACCGCCGTGACCAATGTCGAATACCAATCTGTGCGTCTCTGTCTGTATTCAAATCTTATGTTGCTCAATGCGCACTGCAGGAGCATCCTATACCCTCTCCTAGCCCGGTGGCTAAGCTCAATCCCTATCGTCGTCGTCGCTCGTTACCCCCACCCGCCCTCACCGATACCCTGGCGCCTGTACCGAGCAGCTCCTCTATGTTTACCTGGGCTCATTCCTTGTCCGCACCTGTATCGCAGTCCAAGTCCAGCCTTCCCAAACCTCAGGTCCCCACTGTCGACCAACGTCCTACACAATCACTGGACGATCCCTCTCGCTCGCCGCATACTCCCAAACCTCGTAGGGATAGGACAAACACCAACGGCAGCGAGCGCACTAGGGGTTCGCTTTTCTCGCTCACCCCTACCGCCGCGAAGCCGGAGTTTAGCTCTGTCCGGTCGACCACTGCTCGCGTCCAACCCGCCCCAGGCTCACGCCTCGCGGAACTTTTCCAGGACAGCGCCTTTTCCATCACGACTGAGCCAGAATCATTTTGGGGGGACGAGCTGCCAGTCGTTCAAGTTGCCGAAACAAATGCGGAAGAACACCCAGCAAATTCGTTGGACTTGAGCGCCCCGTTCTCAGAGCACAAGAGGATGGAGACAGCCCCCTCACAGACGGCACCGAAATCACAGGCGGCGGTCGACATGGAGCAGTCTGCAGCAAACGACAAGCGATCCCGACGGTTCTCCCTCTCCTCACTCATTAGCAAGCGGTCTTCGCGAAGCGGGCCTTCAATGTCTACTGACTCGAAAAAGGGCCGCCAGCGCTCTCGTACCAGTGTCATTATCCCCGCCGTCCCACCTCTCCCTGCGGACAAGTTCGCCGGCCTGTCTACGTCACTACTGTCACCTCCCGACTCCCGGGTCTCTGTCCTGAGCTCCGGCGCCGAGTCAACATATTTTGACGCCCCAGACCACCCACACGACGAGTCCGACCTCGAGAGCATGAGCTTCGCACGCATGTACGGCTCCACGACCAACGGCTCTTTCATGAGCCTCGGCTCGAGCACGGACCGTGAGCGGCCCTCGGACCATGGCGGTAGCGGGCGGCGCGAAGCGAGCGAGGCCTCGACGGCGACGGCGACATCGAGCCAATCGCAACCACAGTCGCTCTTTGCCCGCGCGACGCACGGGCGCGCACGCCGCGTCTCTGCGGTCGCGCAGCTCGTCGGGGAGAGCGAGAGCGCCCCGGTAACAAAGACGCTCCGGTTCTCGCCTGGGGGGAGCTTCGGCGGGAAGGAGGCCGAGGACGCGGACGCGGACGCGGGCAGCCTCGTGGGGAGCATGCGCGGCCTGGAGCGCGAGGAGGACGCGGGCTTTATGCACGCGCTCGGGTTCGAGTACGACGAGATTGTGCGCCGGGTGCGAGAGGGCTCCATCTGAGATGGGCTCTAGGACTTCAGTCGAGTATTCTGCACACGGACAGGATGGTAGGATCGTGTTTTATTGTATGTTTGTGTTCTCGGTTCGGTAGCTTACAGCTCGAGGCTTGTACTTTTACCGTCCTCGCTCCAGTCTTTGTCGGACCAACGTTCTTTACTATCTCGCGAGTGTCTGTAGCGCACATGGCACGCTACATGTATTGTACATATCATCTTAATGGGGCGCATCAGATATCCAGGTCTTCGTCGGGATCATCGTCGTCCAAGTCGTCCGCTGAGTCGGGGTCGTACAGTATCACTCCAGGGGCGGGTACGACGGGTTTTCCTGTCAGTGTTGATCAGTAAAGCTGCTCGTGCCGCAAGCCCACAAACAGACCCGACCTTCATGCGCGTAAGGCAGCGGGACCTGCGCGCGGGACCGCTGCTGCTCCGGCGTGAGATTCAAGTTGAACGACAGGTCCTGCGTCGGGTCCGCCGTGCCCCCAGGCTGCGAAAGCGCGCAGGCAGTCAGCCGTTCCAGTCTCCCCCGTCGAGAAAGAGAAGGAGGGACGCACCTCGGACGCGGCGGCCTTGCGCCCCGCGAACAGCGCCTTCAGGCCCCCGAGCTCGCGCAGGGCGCAGGGCGCGCCCCCGGCCCAGCCCTCCAGCCCGCGCTCAACGCCGCGACGGCCGCCTGCGCCGCCGCCGCCACCGCCGCGGACGAGGGCCTCGACGACGAGCTCGTCAGCCGCTCCCGCGCCGCCAGGGCCCCCAGGCCCGAAGACGAGGCGCTCGACGTCGGGCGCGCGCGCGGCGAAGGGGGAGAACACGCGCCAGAACTTGGCGTCGGCCGGCGAAGGAGGAGAGGCGGAGGACGTGGGAGAGGCGGCGGGCGGCGGGTGGACGAGGTAGGCCGCGGCGAGGTGGGGGAGGAGCGCGGCGGGGTGGGCGGTGAGGTGAGTGAGCGCGGGGGAGAAGCGGGTCGCGAGGAGCGGCGCGAGGAGCGGGGAGGGCGCGACGAGGTGGAGGACGAGGCGCGAGGGGGCTGGGTGGGCGGACGGGGGGTGAGGGGGGCTGGGAGGAGACGACGAAGGGGCGGGCGTACCTCCGCGTTCGCGGACGAGGGCGAGGACGTCGGAGAGGAGGCGGGTCGTCTCTGAGAGGGAGGCGAGGTCGGAGAGGAGGGTGTCGCACGAGTCGATGGCGACTGTGAGGGCGCCTTGGGGAGCTTCGGGGAGAGAAGGAGGTCTTACTTGCGGTGAGATCGGCGCAACGGGATGGACGGCGTACCTGCACGGACGGCGTCGAGAATGCTCTGTTTCAAGCGCGCTTTCCATTCGCCGTCGGACTCATCGGAGTCGTTGTACCCGGGCACATCGGTGGTTCGGTCCAGGATGTGTATGCGCGCCGAATCTACTTGAGTGCTCGAGGCCAGCAGGCGCGACGGCGGGTAGAGAAGGCAGATGAGCACGAGCGATTCGCGCGCGCTACCGCTCGACCGCTGGACAATGGCGCGCAAGATCGGCAAGCATGTTTGGGCCGTCGATGACTGGAGCAGGACGAAAGACGAGCCGCGGGGAGACGTTCCGAGGGAGGAGGAAAGGAGAGACGCCATTTCGTACGCCAAATTCAGAGCAGTCGCGGCAATCTACTACCTCTCTGCCACGGGCCGGTTTGCCGGGCTGAAGGGCTCAGGCGCCGCAATAAATATCGGATTCATTGCGACAGTCGACCCGCCCGTCATTGGATGTACACGCACAACTTCCTCACCAGCTACCCATACCAATAGTTCTAAAGTTTTAAACTCGCCTCCCCTGACTGTACGTGTCGGTGACTTAATGAAGGCTTTGAAGGTAGGAGTTGCGGCAGTGTCCTTCAAGAGTGCGAAATGCACGGAGCCATACTCGAAATCACCCACGGCATCTTCAGTAAACGCAGGTACACGGCTAGAAGTTGACACGCTCCATAGCAGGACATGGACAGAACTTTGAGCTTATGTGCCGGCGAAGCGCACTCTAGATCTATAACGACGACCTCACGGCGAATGGGAAGATCGAGGTACCCGGCAGCCCGCTGATCCGTTCTCACCACCATCTCCAAGGTATTAAAACACCAGCGGGGCAGCAGCAGCAGTTATACACACGTACCTCTCTACGCTTGTGCTCCTTCGACCCCTCGACGAAGCACTGCGAGAGACGTTCGAGATGTATTCGGAAACCGTCAGTAGCGCGTTATGGTTGGCTAGATGTCGCTAACACCGCACTCATTAGACGTTCCCCAACTTCCCAGTCCCCGTGGACCACTCCATGGAGGCGCTCCCTATGGACTGTCGGCTGAGACAGATGTACCCTGACGATCTCTTTCCGAACGGTGCGGGTATCCGCCTCTGCGTGCCTTCGTTGAAAGTGCTGAGGGGTTCCTAGGAGCGTACGCGGCACTCCCTTATGGGCGTGTGCGGTACTGGCTGATGGGACCGCAGGATGGTATCAAGGTCGGCTTTCATCGCGTTAAGAGGGCTCTAACAGATCACTCACCATGAGCCGAACGACAGGTAGTCCTCATCCACGGCCTCTCGACGCCCGCGATCACCTGGAAGGACATCGCTCCGTACCTCGCTGAGCGCGGTTTTCGTCTCCTGGTCTACGGTGCCTTCGCGCGTTAGTTCGACATCGCGCGGGTTCCGCTCACACATCCGCCAGACCTGTACGGCAAAGGGTACTCCGAGGCCCCCAAGGTACCCAGCACGACGACGCTCTTCATCACTCAGCTCGCGTTGCTTATGCAGTACGTGCACTGGGACTCGGCCAACATCGTTGGCTTTTCCATGGTCAGTTCCTAAACTAGTGCCCCACCGGTAGGAGCCGACACTCACTTTGCGCATCTTCACGTAGGGCGGCGGAATCTGCGCCGCGTTCTGTTCGACGTTCCCATGGCTCGTCGGGGGCAAGGCTGCCTTCGTCTCGGCCGCTGGCCTTCTTAGCGTGAGCATCCATCAACACGTCTGCATCGAAACCGCGTGCCAGGAAGACTCACCAGCGTCGCAGACCAAGCTCGCTCCTCCCAGCCTGCCGGTACGTCCCCGCATCCAGCATCGCAGCCGCTGCTCCGCTCACAAGGCGCATCGCCGCGTCCCAGCACACCGGCGGGATCTACACAGAAGTAAGTTGGGCCACACTGCGCTCTCACCTGCGCTCCTGATACCTACGGGTTCGCGCAGTTTCGCGACCTGCAGACCGCAGAGCTTCCGGGCTACGTGCGCAGCCTCAACTCATGCCGCAAGGTCGGCCCGCTCCGCGCACTCGAGCCGGCGTACGACAAACTTGCCGAGGTCGTGGTCGGTGCCCAGAAGACGAAGCTGGCGGTGCTCGTCGTCCACGTCCGTGCAGTCTCGTTTCTCGTGTCTCACCCGTAGCTGACAAAACGCAGGGCACGGCCGACGAAGTCGTCCCGCTGGAAGAGGCGGATAAGATCAAGAGGCGTGTTCCACAAGCAGAGGTGGTTAAAGTTGAAGGTGCCATGCACGACATTGTAGTGAGCGAGGGTCATTGGCAGCAGCTCGCGCAGGCTCTCGCCCGCTTCTTGGCCTGAGGGCAGACCATGAACTCCACGCACGAAGTGAGCGATAAAGTAGTTAGCAATTCACGGAGGTGCCCTGTGTATGACCAGTACAAAGTGATCAACATTGTCAGTAGATGAATACTATATATACGCGCATTATACCATATGTCCCAGAACCCGTTGCCCTCAGCCACGGGCCCTCGCCCTCACTGCTTGCCCTTGCGCGCCTCCCATGCGTTTCTCGCGAGGATCCGAATGCTACTCTGCCATCGGAGCGCACCGACGCGCTCCGTCTTCCTATCGAGCACGAAACCGTGCTTGGCCAGCGACTTCGCGACGTAGCCCTGGAGCGGTGACGAGTGGGCGCGGACGGCCTCGAGCGTCTTGTCGGCGCCGAACGCGTGCTCGAGCGCGAAGGAGAGGAGGTCGTCGGCCATGTCCGCAGGCCGGTACGGCTCGTCGACGTAGAAGTGGCGGATGGACGCCACGGCGGCGGTGCCCTTGGTCGTCGCCGGCGCGCGTTTCGGCGTGGGGTCCGCCTTCGTCTTCGCCTTGCCTTTGCCCTTGGACTTGGGGCCCGCGACGGCTGTCGCAGCGGCGTCGAGGGCGGCGTCCGAAGCGGCGTCGAGGGAGGCGTCGAGGGCGATGAAGCCGACGAGGCGGGAGTTGTACTCGAGCACCCAGAAGCCAGACGCAGGGGAGCGCGAGTAGTAGGCGGGGATGTCGACGAGGTCCGGGGAGCGGAGGACGTGTGAGGAGCGGTCTTCAAAGCCCCAGCGGTTGAGCCTGCGGCCGAGGTGAACAAGACATCGCGCGCGCGGGGCCAGAGCGGAGGGAGAGGGACGCACCAGTCGATGGCGAACATGAACACGATGGATAGCGCACCAAAGGCAGGGACCGGGGTCAAGTAACCAAAAAGTCCGAGCTCGGGTCTGGGCCACCAGTTTTGCCACTGCACCCATACGGACGACAGCGCCACCCAGAGCGCGACGACGAGGGGATTGAAGTACACTGCAGGCGCGCCATGTCAAGCTGAGGGCGCGAAGGGGAGAGAAACACGACAAACTTTTCTGGTTCGCGACTGCGATGGGCTCCATGCCCATTTTTCCAACCAAGAAGCGGATTTTCTTCTGGTCATCGGACGCAACGGGGCGAATGGTGGCCGACGGCTCTGCGTTTGGCTCGGCCATTTTGTCGCGCGAGAGACCAGGAGGCAGGAGCGAGATGGAGGTGGTCTCGCGCGGGGGACGCGGAGGCGGAGAGGCAAGAGGGGACGGTGAACGACAGCGCGGCCGCCATTGCGCTCGGTGGGGGCAGAAGATGGACGGTGGCAGCGCGATCGCCCCGCGCACGTTCGTCCTCCCCTCGATCCACGCCCGGTGCACGTGACCGACGCGTCTAGACTCCTTTTTTTTTTTTTTTTTTGGATCCTCGTTTATTGCCCTCGAGGGCGGGGCCCTATGGTAGGCATAACATACGGCCAGTTCGTAGTTCGTAGTGTATCGCGTAACAGCGGGGAGCGTCGTCTTCGCATATGCACCCCCGGGAGTGGTCCCGGAGGCACAGGGCCGAAACTTGCCGGCGGGCGTTAGCCGGCGTGCCAGTGAGCCTTGTGGGGGCTCAGGGTGTGTCTGAGTGGGGGTGGAGAGAAGAAGAGACCGGAGAATGTATACTGTACTAATTCAAACACTCCGATACCCCTTGTGACCTGTGACACAAAAGTTCCGGTTCCAACATCCGACAGGATGGTCCGTGAGCCGTGACATGTCCGAAATCTCGACAGACCGAGCACTGAACCTCACCTGAACATGCGAGAAACCCGTTTACACAGTGTCTGAATTCATTAATGGTTACACATCTTCTTCTCTTACGCGTGTACATGTGTGCGACAAGCATTTACTACTGCGCTCGCTCCCTGGCTTGAAACCTGGCTCATATGGTTTCGTTTGCGATTTTCGACAGATGCCCCGGTGACGCGTGACAAGCGCCCAAATCTCGTCCGCCCAGCGGGCTGGTGACCGTGATGTGACGGAGTGTTTGAATTAGTACAGTAGTATGTGTACAGTAGTAGTATAGTAAAGAGGGGAAAGAGAACAAGGCGTGTGGGGTGCATCAACGGGGAAAGCGCGGTGGAGGCTGGCGTCCGTGCTGGTCGTGGGCGTCTTCGCGCGGGTGTCTTCTCGCGCAGGGGTGTCTGAGTAGGGGACGGTTGAACGTTGATCAGCGGAGTCGTGCAGCAGCGGTCGTCTTTGCGTCTAGACTCCACGGTCCCCGGTCCGGAAATCGGATCCCATCGCGATGCAGTCCAGCGTAGACGGCTTATATATGGCTCTCTCTCAGTTCTGTGCTCGCCTGCACTCAGACTGCGACGATGCTCGTCACCAAGACCTTCCACGACGTCCCGTCCAAGCTTGACCCCAATGGTCGCCCTATCAGGGTTTTTGTCATTGCCCCTTCCGTCCCAGGCTATCCGAACGCCAAGTTCCCTGGTACGCCCATCGACTCCCTCGCCTCTGATGGATGCTCACGTCTCGCCTCTTTTTAGGTGTTGTTTGCTTCAGGTGCGCAGCATAGCACATCGTTTGCCCCTGCAGCAGCGTGTGACGGCATTTCGCTTGTGCCAGTGAGATCTACCAAGTGACCGGACCTGTTGAACGTTTCGCGGGCCAGATCGCCAGCCAGGGCTTTGTCGTTGGTATGTTCTTCAACTCACGATTGTCATTTCCTTTCATTCAATTTCACGTCCCTCAAGCGTGCCCCTCGACCTACCATGAGTTCGAAGGCCCTGAGGGCATCCCGTATGACGTCGAAGGTGCGACAATGTCCTGATCACTTTGACATAGCATGACTGCACACGAGGTTTTAGGCACCGATCGGGGGAACAAGTACAAGGTCAGAATCCGCACGCACGCTGCGTATCCCCAGCACTGAACGTGTACCAGATTGAGAAAACGATCGCGGCCTACGACGAGGTCTGCATCCCTCAATCGCTACTACCTCTCGATCTCATATCCGGTGCCAGGACGCAGCCTTGGCCATCGACCTCTTGTGCTCCCTGAAGAACTGCAACGGGCGCATCGCAGGTGAACGCCCCGTGAAATTGCTCGCCCGTGTTCACCCCTCACCTGTCTCCCTTCAGCGACTGGCATGTGCCTCGGCGGACACCTGGTCCGTGCCTCCCCTTTCTTACCCTCCTCCCAAAATTAACCTTCGCACCTCTACAGGCGTTCAGGGTACGCACCTCGCCCAGCGCCTCCCTCACCGCACACCCAACTCACCCTTCCGCAGGCCGGCTTCGACAAGCGCGTCCTCGCCTCCGTCTGCTTCTTCGGGACCGACATCCACTCCGCGACGCTCGGCAAGGGCAAGAGCGACAACTCCCTCGTCCGCGTCCGCGCCGGCGAAATGAACGCCGAGCTCGTCGTGCGTCCCGTTCCCCTCGTCCTCCTCTCTCTCACTCTCACCGCTGCCCGCCCCAGATGATATTTGGCAAACAGGTGTGTGCATTCCACCCCATCCTGCCCTTCGCGCGCGCCCTCCTTCTCACTACTCTCTCTGCACCAGGACACACACGTTCCCCGTCCAGGCCGTGACCTCATCCGCCAGACGCTGGAAGACGCCAATGTGACTGCCTCGGTTCGTCAACCCATCTGCTCTCGTCCCACCCTTAGCCCTCATTGCCCATAGTTCCTCGAGGTCCAAGCTCAGCACGCCTTCATCCGTGACGAGTCCTCCAAGGGTCGTTGGGACGCCGCCTTGACCCGTTCTCTCTTCACCTTCATGATGGAGGTCTTTGAGAGGACTGTTGGCCGAGACCTCGGTGATAAGGTCGATGATGGCGCAGAGATCGAGCATGTCTGCTGAACATAAGTAGTGACGCTTCCATGCACGCTGTGTACGATACAATGAGAATCGAATTGCATACTGGTCTAGGCGTACATGAACATCCCCATGGAACTCCTGACTGGTCACACAGCAGATAATATCAGAGTGCGAAGAGAGCAACGCTACAATCAATTGACTTCTTCTCATCCTCTACGCAACGTACGACATTACAGAACATGAGCCGCGGCCCGTGAGACCGGCGGCATGCTTCGTGATCGTGAATACAACAATGGGGGGAGGTGGTAAGAACACAGTTGCGACAGTTAGAGATACCATGCGAGATGAGATGACAGAAAGCGTGACGGGACCGAAGGGAAAGGAAGACCGCGTCAAAGAAGTTTACTTCTTCTTGGATGCCTTCTCCGCTGACTTGGTGACTGCAACCCATACTGGTCAACATCATGTCATGCTGCAGTCAAAAAGCGCGCTTACCCTTGCCACCAGACTTGTCAGTCTTGTCGACGCTCTTGATGATGCCGACGGCGACCGTCTGCCTCATGTCACGGACGGCGAAACGACCAAGAGGGGGATATTCGTTGTAGGCCTCAACACACATCGGCTTGCTCGGGACAAGCTTGGCAATGCACGCATCACCAGACTTGACGAACTTGGGCGACGCCTCCATCGTCTTCCCCGTCCGGCGGTCGACCTTCTCGATGAGCTCGGCGAACTTGCAGGCAATGTGGGCGGTGTGGCAATCGAGGACGGGCGCGTAACCAGCACCGATCTGACCAGGGTGGTTGAGGATGATGACCTGGGCGTTGAACGACGCGGCCTCCTTGGCGGGGTCGTTCTTGGAGTCGGAGGCGACGTTACCACGGCGGATATCCTTGACCGACACGTTCCTGCGATGATGATCAGCATCCGTCAATTTCGTCGAAGAGCAGTGCACTCACTTGACGTTGAAGCCGACGTTGTCACCGGGGGAACCCTGCTCGAGCTGCTCGTGATGCATCTCGACGGACTTAACCTCAGTGGTGACGTTCGTGGGCGCGAAGGTGACGATCATGCCGGCCTTGATGATACCAGTCTCGACACGACCGACGGGCACCGTACCGATACCACCGATCTTGTAGACATCCTGGAGGGGGAGACGGAGCGGCTTGTCGGAGGGACGGACGGGGGGCTCGATGGCATCGATGGCATCGAGGAGGGTCTTGCCCTTGACGGCGCCGCCTTGTTCTCCTTGGTCCAGCCCTTGTACCATGGCATGCTGGAAAAGGCGACATCAGGCTATGAACATGAGTAATTACCGTGCGCATACGTACTTGGCCGACTCCTCAAGCATGTTGTCACCGTGCCAGCCAGAGATGGGGACGAAGGCGACCGCCTTCGGGTTGTAGCCGACCTTCTTGATGAAGGTGGACGTCTCCTTGACGATTTCGTTGAAGCGGTCCTCTGACCACTGTAGCAATGTCGTTGATACGATGTTAAAGGAAGCCAGAAGAGAACTGCGTACCTTGGTGGTGTCCATCTTGTTGACGGCGACGATGAGTTGCCTGACACCGAGGGTGAAGGCAAGGAGGGCGTGCTCGCGGGTCTGGCCGTCCTTGGAGATACCAGCCTCGAACTCACCAGTACCACCGGCAATGATGAGGATAGCGCATCAGCCTGGGAGGTACCAGTGATCATGTTCTTGATGAAGTCACGGTGGCCAGGAGCGTCGATGACCTGGAGAGGTGATGAGAATACATCCACCATATTTACAAAGAAAAAAATAACATACAGTGACCATGTACTTCGGGGTCTCGAACTTCCAGAGGGCGATATCGATGGTGATACCACGCTCACGCTCAGCCTTGAGCTTGTCGAGCACCCAGGCTGAGACGCTCTTCGATTAGATAAAGAATCACATGCGAGCGCCTAGATGTACTCACCATACTTGAACGAGCCCTTGCCGAGCTCAGCAGCCTCCTTTTCGAACTTCTCGATGGTACGCTTGTCGATACCACCGCACTTGTAGATCAAGTGGCCAGTGGTGGTCGACTTGCCGGAATCGACGTGGCCGATGACTAGAGGCGATCGCGGATGGACGATGATGAGTACTGGGGACATGGTCGACATGCCAAGCGATGCTCACCGACGACGTTAACGTGGGACTTATCCTTTCCCATTTTGAGGCAGATCTGCGAGGCCCATGTCAGTACAAGGTCGGGATCGAAGGAGGTCGCGCATCGGTCGGACGAGTAGCCGGCGGGTAGATGTCGGACGAGCGCGCGACATCAATATCGACGGCGCGTTCGCTCGCGCGACTGCCCGCCGACATCCTAGACCACAAGGGATAAATCATAGAAGAAACTCACGCAAAAGAAAGTGTGAAGGAGGGGGAGACGAGAGGGGGGGATGAGGGTAAGAAGAAACCTGGTGTGGACGAGATCTTAAGGTTTATATCCCCCCGCACGGCCTCAAAAATTTTAGATGATCGATAGAGATCTTGCTGATTACGGTGCAAACCCCCCATCGCGGCTCCGGCGCCTGCCCGGAGTCACCGTCCGGGCCGCCGATTTGGCGTGTGAGCGCGCGAGATCCAGGCAAAACGCACGACGGGCTCGAAGCAATGGCACAGGCCCAGGTTGCCGGGCGATCGCAGACAGCGGGGAGTGCGGAGCGAGACAAATTCGAATTTCTATTGCACATGGCTAGTTACTACGTACGCAATACACCGTATGGATGACAGGGGGCATGTAGGAGAACAGATGCGGCCAAAACGAGGGACGATGCGATGGGGTCGATAACATTATGGTGTGTACAGAACGGGCGTGAGCGAGTGCGAGATAAATGTCCCTTCGGGGGTGCCGAGCGATGGATGGATGGAAGAAGATAGCATGACTTGCAACGAGGTCAAGGGCGCGTTCGAATCCCGCTCCGGGGGCGCGAAGCGATCAGATAGCATTCCGGTGGTCCGCATCTACAAAAGCCAAGTCCAATCAGCCCGTCAGCTAGACACTTCCGATGACGCGAAGCGACCCCGCGTCGCACGCACTTTCCATGGATCTTCTAAGTACTTTCGTCGGCGACTACGCCTCCATGCCCCACCCACCGCTCCCGCTGAGGAACCGGCTCTGGAGGATGGTCTGGAACGTTGGTCGCGCGTTCACGTCCACTTTGAGACATGCGCGAACGAGCTCCGCCGCGTCGCCGACAGCCCCACCTCCGTCATCTTCTTCGCCATCCTTCTCCTTGCCGTCCGCGCAGCGCTCGTCCAGCGCGATCGACGCCGTGGCGAACGGAGACTCGAGACCATCCTGCGCCTCGGCTGCTGTCGTGAACGGGCATTCGCCGACCAGCATCACGTACGCGACGACGCCGAAAGCCCAGACATCTTGCTCCTTTCCGTAGTATCGCTCACCGCGGAGAATCTCAGGCCCAGCGTAATCGAGGCTGGAAGGTCTCACGGGTTGAGGGTCATCAGGGTCAGATGGAGGACGATATGCACTCACGTGCCGCTGAAGGTGTCCCAGCCGCCCTTCCTGACCAACCCGGAGCTTCCAAAGTCGATAAGAACGCATTTGCCGTCGGGGCCCAGCACCACGTTCTCGTCCTTGATGTCTCGGTGAACTGCATCCCGCGTTTCAACATGCAAAACTTACGTATAGACGGGTCAGACTCACCGATGCCTTTTGAGTGTAAGAATCCGACGGCGTCAGCGATCTGGCCAAGATAAGTTCGGATAAGATCTGGGGGCAGCCCGTGAGGGAAGCCCTCTACGAGTTCGAAGAGGTCCGAAGGCGGCTGCGGCTCATCCGGTTTGGGCTCCGGGGTTGTAGACGGAAGAACGAGGTAATAGTAGTGGTCATCCTCGAAGAAGTCTAGGAGGGGGCAAATGTTAGGGTGTCCGCTTACGACCTTGCCTTCCACCCAATCATTCTGGGCATCTGCTTTACGGCGAAGGGGGTCCCAGGGGCGCGGTGGAGGGAGAACATAGTGTGTGGTGGAGATTGCGGACATGACATAAATCTCTATTGGGATGGTGCCAAACTTCGGATGACGCTTCCAGCAATCCGCCAGAATACGCGACTTGATAATCTGTTTGATGACAAGCGGGGGCTGCAAGAAAACGTCAATCTACCGACTCTCTGACTCGCTCCACAAGGACTCACCCCCATTGTCCCGTCATCCATCATCTCCCGAGCACGCTTGACCAGTCCGTATGCCCCACGCCCGATCTCGCGCTCGACCACAAACTCAGAGATGCTCCTGTCGCCAGTCGGGCATGCCTTTTCTCCAGGGGTCGGTGGTCCGACGCTGCTCGCGACGCTAAGGAAGCTCGCCGCACTGCTGGTCCGGACTAGCTTCTGGGGACCAGACGGCATCGGAGATGCTTCCACCGGAGCTATTGAGACACGCCCGGCCACGAGCGACACGCGTTGTTGAGAAGATCGACGCCGCATGCGGGGCATTTGAGAAGATCGGGGAGAAGACGGTGTACTTGAAAGAGCACTGCGGAGGGATAGGGAAGACGCCGTGGGCACCATCGGAGAGGTTGGACGAGATGTGAATGACCGCGGAGAAGGTGGTCGGGATGAAGCGGGGGACCGAGTCAGAGGACCAGCGATGAAACTACCTGTCCGAGGAGACATGGGGGTGAAAGGCGTGGGGGGAGTGAAGGACGTAGAGATCTTGGGCATGCCGTTTGTTGCCGCAGAGCGTGGCACTGCGGAAGAGCTGAGCCACACTGGACGAGTTGGACGGATGAGACTTGGCTTGTCCTTGGGTAGACTGAGAAGAGAGTCGGGGGCGACTTGGAGACAGCTTTCATCGCTGGAACCTTCATCTTCTGCCTTGTGGTTGTTCCACTTGAAGCCGCGGCCGATGGAGGTGACTCCCCAGCTATTGCCAACGCTGGCTGCGCGGTATAGCTGGGGACCAGAGGAAGGAGCTATCCAGTCGTCGTCATTGTCGAGGGAGAGGTCGACGGCGTGGGACGCGAGCATGATGCCTTGCAAAGGGGGGAGGCCCTTTGGGCGGTGACGAGTGCGTGAGAGGGAGGGAGTGGAAGATGGTGGGGCTGAACGGGAACGCGAAAGGCGGAGTGACGGCTTGGGAGACGGCGGCTCTATGAGGGCGCACGTGAGCAATTGCTCGCCACCGCGTCCGTGGTTGAGCCGACTGGCTGCAGTCCACAAAAACTCGTCCTCTGAGCTGGAGTCGTATTCCTCATCCATGCAGATCGTGGTGGTTGGAGGCGAAGCTGGGACGCATGGATCGTCGTGGCACCGTCGTCTCCCTGCCGGATCCAATGGGACGACGCGACTCGATCTGGAGACCTCCCTTCTCAATTCGCCAGCCTGCCACCGCCCGACCCCAGGTGATAAGCGTCACGCGTCACGTCCCAAGGCTCGCTCGGCATCCCGTCCCCACGTGGAACAGGCGCCCGTCTCCCCGCGCGCGCATCTGGTGTCGTCCTCGAGCTCAGCACACCCCCGCCAACGCCGTCCTCAAGCCCCAATAATCGTGAGTCCGTCCTGATTCTCGTTCAATACGACGTTCCTGCATCCCAGAATCCTGTCAGTGCAACGTTTGACGGCAGACACGACCAGCAAGAGGTTGGATGCTTATCCGCACTTGTGGATGACTGGCGGGACTTGGCTGGCATATCACCCGCAACCTTTTTGCTTACGTCGCTGCTGCCTCAGTTCGCCATGGTCAAGGTCCCCATCGTCAAGAAGCGCACCAAACCGTTCAAGTGAGCTCTACAGGCTGCCTGCACACCTCCCCAGATCCTGAGCATAACTGCAGGCGCCACCAGTCTGACCGCTACAAGAGCGTGAAGGAGGCATGGAGGAAACCCAAGGGTATTGATAACCGTGTCCGGCGTCGTTTCAAGGGCCAGCTGCCCATGCCCAAGGTTCGTTTATGTATGCTCCTCCCGTTTCCGTTCTCACAACTGGACTTCGCATAGATTGGGTACGGCAGCAACAAGAAGGTAACATCCAAAGTCCTCGTGTGCGTACTCGCAGACCCCTCATGCGTTTGATACAGACCCGCCACCTCCTCCCCAACGGCCTCAAGAAGTTCTTGGTCACCAACGTCCGGGACGTTGACATGCTCTTGATGCACAACAAAAGCTTCGCAGCGGAGATCGCGCACAACGTGAGCAGCCGCAACCGGACACTGATCCTTGAGAGGTACGTCGGGATATCACCTCGGATTAATGCGTGTAGTCTGATTTTCTGGTGCGGGATAGGTCGAAGGTTCTCGGAGTCAAGGTCACCAACCCTGCGGCCCGTCTGCGGTCAGAGGAGTAAAAGGTCGTTGTCCGTATTACTGCTGTCCCACTTGATGTTCCTCCACCACATGTATCCATTTGACTATGCCGAGCACAATCGACATGCGACCATGATCCAGGCCTCACCGCAGATATCTCGTTTCGTGAGCGTGATCGGTGCGCATCGCTGAACATGCTGCGTGAATGCGGTCGAGGTCGAGGTGGGCGGCAGGCGTCAGATGTAGATAATGGCAAATGGACCGATCTGGTGCGTCCGGAGACTCCGAGCGCATGCAATTGGACAGACTGGGCTTGTTCCAGATGTGCGGCTGAAGCGTTCTTGCCTCTGACCTCGACCACGACCTCGAAGGAAAGCATACAAAACGAGGCCCCGTCTTCGGCGTCTCTGCTGAGACAACCCGCAGCTCTGTTCTTGTCCCTGTGCCGCTGCCTCCCGATACCCACCTCTGTATCCACCATGAGTTCCAGGTGAGCATCACTCCGATCTCTCCAATCTTGCTCCCCCGGCTCATGCATCACTTGCGTATACGGACAAGCGACACATGCGGACTCCTGGTACACCGGTAACCAGTCTCAGTTGGATCAAGAGCTCACAGGCTGGTTGGCGGGGGTGACGCCTGCACCCGAAGACAATTTCAAGCCTCCAATCTCCGGGACAAAGGCTATAATCGCGCCGTGAGCAAACCTACGATTTATCTGCCTCTGCGATGATGTTGTAACACTATGGCTAGTCATGCCGGATACTCTTACTCGGGTGCCGCGGCCGCGTGGGCGTACAAGAGTATAGATGTTACAGGGATGTAAGTAACGCGCTCTTGGCCCTTCCTTTTAGTGCTAACAAAGATAATCGTACAGAAAGCGGGTGTTCATCTTGGGCCCTTCACACCACGTCTACCTAGACGGTTGCGCTCTCTCGCGATGCTCTCAATACGAAACGCCGCTTGGTGGGCTCCCTATAGACACAGATAGTAGGCGGATCGCATTTCTTCCAAGTGTCACGAAAACATGACACACATGCGTAGCGATGAACGAGCTAAAGAAGATCGGTCGTTTCACCGAAATGTCGCTCGAAACCGATGAAGACGAGCATAGCATCGAAATGCATTTACCCTACATCCGCAAGGTTTTCGAAGGGTGCGCAGTGTTTCAGCGATGCGGAACGGCCTCTAACACCAGATGCGCATGCGCAGGCAGGACATCAAAGTGGTGCCTATCCTTGTGGGCGCGATCAGCTACGAGAAGGAGGTGTCGTACGGCCAGCTCCTTGCTCCATACTTGGCCCGCGAAGACACGATCTTTGTAATCTCTAGTGACTTCTGCCACTGGTCAGTGGGATTAACTTGCAATAGAAGATACTTGCTGACACTAGCCAAGGGGTCTGAGATTCCAGTATACTTTTTATTACCCTCGCCCTCCGCCCACGACCGCTATACGGCTCTCGCGCTCTGACATATCGCCGGCGAGTATGAAGGAGCACCCCATTCATGAATCCATCTCGGCTTTGGACCACGAAGCTATGGAGCTCCTTACGATGCCTCCCTTCCGGGCGGGCCAAGCCCATCAAATGTTCGCCGATTACTTGGCGAGGACGAAGAATACGATCTGCGGACGGCACCCCATAGGAGTGTTGCTTGGCGCGCTCACGGCACTGGAGGAAGAAGGGACGGGGCGTCGCTCAAGTGGGTGCGGTACGAACAAAGCAGTCCCTGTATGACCATCAAGGATTCCAGTGTCAGTTACGCTAGCGCATATGTGACGTTCTAGATGTACAGCATGAAGTATAAGACTTTGATAGGACTGAAGCAGCAGCAACCAAGTTCCCTGTACACTAATGTCAATATATGCCCGTGTGCCATTCTCTACCTCTATGCTCTATGGATATCGTCTGGACAAGGTATTGGCGACAACGGCGTTCAAAGTTTCAGGCGCTCTCGAACCTCAACGGGCAGAAGATGAACCTGTAGGCCAACCGGGTGGTCAAGCTCGTTCTCGGTGCCGGGTTCACCACGGTGGGCGACGACCTGCACAAATCGAATCAGTATTCTCCCGAACCACCGTCAACAGGGAGGCTCACGTTCCAATCCCCACCACCTTTGCCCTTGCACCGGCTGTCGACGATGTACTCGGCATCATGAAAGCCCCAAGGCCGCTGAGCGCCCTCCGAGAGGTGCCCGACCTCAGCGTTCCTCTCGAGCGTGAACCCCCCGAGCACCTCCTCCGCGCCCAGGTCCTTGCGCCGGACGCCCGTGATCGAGCACGTCGCGACGCTCAGCGGCGCCTCGCGGTCGCCGACGAGCTCCCGCGCGAGCGCGGCGACCGTCGCCGCGTGGCTCACGAGCAGGATGCGCCGGTGCGCGCCGTCGAAGCGCGCCTCGACGGCGGGCACGAGCGCGCGGATGAGCGCACCGGAGCGGTCGTGCACCGCCGGCACGGACTCGCCCTTGCGCGAGGGGTAGTAGAGCGACGGCCACCGCTCGGCGTCGACCTGGGGGAAGTGTGCGCGGAGCTCAGACGCGGGCCCCGGGCGCGGGTGCAGCCCGGTGTTGGGCTCGACCTGGGAGTACCACTCGGAGAGGCCTGGCCGAGTACATGACGAGCAGGACGGGTTCTGGTCAGCAGAGCGAGCAGGGCGGGGAAGGGCTTCGAGGGGACGGACCGTGCTCGACGAAGAGAGGGACCTGGAGCGCTTCAGCGGTCGGCTTCGCCGTTTGCAGGCAGCGATCTGGGGGTGGGGGTGATTCCCGGTTACGCTGTTTATCAATTGACACGAAATCGCCTACACCTACAGTATGGCGAGGAGAATATCGCAGTTGGGCGCTCTTCAGGTGCGAGCGATTTGAAGAATTCGGCCACTTCTTCAGCCTGAGTCACCCCAGTCGGCGACAAAGCTGGGTCGCGAGGAAGACCTGTAAGAGTGTGCGTGGGTCATGAATAAGGGCTTGGAAGCTATTGTCTCTAGCCGAACCTGTCGCACTCTTCCTGTAAAGCGGACCGTGGTCCGTGAGTCATGTCCGACGAGCTCGACAGCTGTAGTACGTACCAGTCATCCGTGACCCAGTTCATGCGATAGCCTGCAGAGTAGTCAGAGAGCGAGCGTGAAAGCTAGGCCAGTGGTGTTTACCATGTCGGGCAATGTAAATGTACTCGACTGTCATGCCGCGAAGGAGCCCGTGGAGGCGGAAGTAGAGAGGCGACAATACACCTCACTATCAGCTCGCCGATCTCGGGTCGACCCCAGCACGGCAGCTTCGGAGACGCGGTGATTCGCCGCCAGACTCTTTCTGGTCCAATGAGAACCGCTGTCTCCGCACGTTGTCAGCACCAAGGAGGACCCACGTTCAGGCTGGAAAATACGCTGGGCGCAAACTGCATCGATGTTCTTACACCTCGTATACAACACGACTATATATGATGTGCCAAAGAGCATAATATACCGTGCATAGTCTTGGTTCATATGTCATGTGAAGTGAGTGAGACGGCTACTACGGAATCGCGAGCAGAAGGACAGGGTACGCGGAGCAAAATGATGGAGATAGAGGGAGAAACACGAGGCAGCGACGATGCACGAGTAGCGCACAGATATCAAGACACACCAACGACGGCACAAGCAGGGATCAGAGGATGTGACTCCACTTTTTGTCGGGTCCGGGTTATAAGGAGGGAGTCAACGGCCGAGTCGCGAGCCAGTATGTTCTTCAGGCCAGCGAGGGGAAGGCGGTCTCGTCGTTCACGTTAAGCGACGTAGTGGTGCCCGTCCCGTTCGCACCACGACCACGACCTCCGCCACGGCCACGACCACGGGTGCCGCGCTCGGCACCACGGTCTCCACCACGGCCGCGACCACCGCGCGCCGGACGCTCAAAGCGAGCATCAATTTCAATGAAGACCTTCTCCTCCTTCTTGGTTTTGGTCTTAGGAGCAGACCTCGTCTATAACGGTGACGGTTAGATCTATTTCACTTGAGAGGACATCAAGCAACATACCTTGCCAACAAAGTAGGCGCTCTCTTCTTCGTCCTTCTTGGCGACGACGACGGCATCCTTGAACGCTGCGTCATCAATCTTGCGACTCTCGAGCTTCGGAACGATGTCCAGGCCGCCTTGCTTCTTGCGGTATTCGTCCAGGGTGAGCGTGTTGTCATCTTCTTCAGGCTCGCGGGGCTCGCGGGGCTTGCGCTCAGCCTTCTCGTCCGCAGCGCCCTCGGCGGCGGGGGTATCGGTGGGACCAGCACCCCAGGCATCAGCATCGGGAGCCGGGGCCGCTGCGCCCCATTCGTTGGACTCGGCGGCGGCGTCGGTGACGGCCGCGGCCTCGGCCTTCAGCTCGGAAGTGCCCTCGTCGCCACCCCAACCTTGGTGGACCTTCTTGTCTGAGTCGCTAAACGATCACGGGATAAATCACCATACAATCACCGATATCGAAAGGAGTACGTACGTCTTGCCAGTCATGCTGTGGCGATCGAAGGGGCGTCCACGACCACCTCGTCCGCGATCGCCGCGTCCCCGGCCACGGCCACGACCACGGCCTTCGCCATCGACTGGATGCCAGAAGTACAGGGAGAGAGGAAACCTGTGAGGATGATGGGGTAGTGCAGCTCAAGGCGGCTTACCACGCTTCTTGGGCTCGCTGTCGTCACCAGCAGCCTCAGCATTCTCCTTGTCACGAGGAGCAGTCTTGCCGCCGCGTTGGTAGTAGCGGCCCCCTCTTGAGGCAGGACCACCACGGGTCTTCTGGGCACCATCGCGAGCAGCGGGGGCGGTGGCTGCAGGCGCTGCCTGCTTGGCCGTAGCGGCAGGAGATGGGCTCGCCGGCCGCGAAGCATCATCTGGTGTATGCGCAGCGAAATCAGTCGGTCGTCGAGAAATCGTGGGGCGCGATGCGGATTGGAAGATGGGGGGAATGGGTGCATAGAGTAGAAACGCACCATCGAGGAGGGCAAACGGATTCCTGCTGGCCACCGACATCTTGAAGACACGGGGCCGACTTTCAGAGTCAGAAGGGGTGGAATTCCCTGAGTACGGTCAAGTAGATTGGCGGCAGGGGGCGTGAGGGGCTCGCAAAGTCTCTGCCCAGATTCAGCCCGCGCAGGGACCCCGACTGCGCGCCCGGGGTCCTGGTAAGCCACCCCCGATCGCTGTACAGTTCTTCGCACCCTTATAAACCCGGGTGGGCCCGACCGTGCTCTTCAACGCTTAAACACAGGTGAGCCAAGTCCCTTCCTCGGTGCCTGCCCTGTACTCATCTCTTCTTCTCCAGCCTTCAAAAGCATCTCGACGATGATCTGCTCGCCAGCACGCTGGACTTGAGTGGGTCGAGGACCTTGAGACCGTCATAATGGGCTGGAGAACGAGAAGGCTCCGGCTGCGAACGATGGGACTTGGGTGCGACGCACTCGTGCTCTGTGGATGGGACTTCGGTCTCAGCAGTTGACTCTTCGTAGTCGCTGTGTGGGCTGCGTCGCAATGTCTCGTTGTACATCTCAATGTCATCTTTTCCTCCTTTCATTGCCGGTGTGAGCTGTGACAATACCCCTGCCTCGTTGGGAAGCTGGCCGATCACGCCCGTGTTCCCGCCCCGAGGCTGTCCCGCCCAAGGCTCGAGCGACCGAGGTGATTCGAGGGGAAGGCTGCGAAGGTGCGCTAGCGGCGGAGCGCTGCACGCGTGGTCCTCGACGGACGATCGGCGGGTAGGACCAGTGCGGGACATGTGCATGATAGCGTTTCTTCGGCGAGATGCGCCTGTGACCAGAGAGCCTATAGCGGCGCCCTGAGCCTCTCACCTAAGATGCAGTTCGCCCTACTCCTTGTCTCCGACCCTGCTCCCCGCCACGGCGACTGAAGCACTCAGGTCCCACACTCCACTCCGGGCCCCCTTGTTTATGAAGGATGGGCAGTCGCCGTCTCACCATCTCTTCGCTGCTCTGCGCCGATGACCAACCACGGAACATCCTCAGCCACCCGCCCCTGCAGAGCCTCTGTATCCTCAGATACTCTCAGGCCCTGGCATACCACCCCCCAACGACTTCGTGGACTCCACATATCAGCCTCCCCCCCTCCATAATACAGGTCGTGTTCGCAGCAGGACAACGTCCGGGCCGAGCCGAGACAGTCACCATACCGTTCCTCTTGCCTTGCAGCCCGGACAGCTTAGGGCATATACCCCTTCACCCCCGGTAGATGATGCGGTTGTCCATTCTGGGTCAAGAAGAGGCTACAGGGATGATGTTGCGGCCCCAGACACATTTGCCAGTAGTTCCAGGATCATGGTTTCATCTGGAGGCCGTGACCGACCTTACCATCTCACACACCACCAGCCACACGTTGCTCCTCAGCCCACTTCTTCCTCCTCCTCCCGTCGAAGCTCAGACCCGAATCGTGCGGAGTATCGTTTGCAAGACACCGCTTCTTATTTCTCACCGCCAACCTCTTCGCGAAGTATTCGTCCCGACTCCGTGGCGTCGTCGCCCTATCCGCCGCCGCCCACGCAGCAGCACGCTCTCTCGCATTCTCCACCACACCAACCATCTCCTCTTTTATATCACGCACAGGCTACCCGACGAGCCCCCCAATCACCAGAGGTCGGCCTTCGGCCAACGACTTACTCGCCCTCGTCTACCTATCGTCCAATGACGCAGTCTTCACCGTACTCCCATTTGTCAGGGCCAGGTTTTCCTCCCCAGCCCCTGTCGCACGCCCAAAGTCCCGGAGCGCCATCGAATGCGACAGTTGTCTCTAGTCAAGAGACTGTCACGTCGCGGGGACCTCGCTTCCGTGCTCCGTCGCTCTCACAAACCGAACCTTCGTCATCGACCCCACGACACTCGGCGGCAGCACTTCCCAATCTGCTCAATGCCGAATCTCCACGCTCTCCCAACATCGGGCTGGGACCCCGCCCGACCTCGAGCGGACTGAGTGGACTGGGAGGTTTGGAGGCACTGGTGCAGGCTGCGACGGAGGAAAGGCGAAGGCTGAGCGGTGAGCATCCGACCTCTTTGGAAGCGAAGGAGACGGCTCGTAGGGCCTCTCAGAGCCCTGTGCTGAATCGGCACCCACCTCCGCTACCTCCAACCCATTCTCCGGTGCTACAGCGGAGTCCAATGCTCCCCTCCCCTCGATACGACACTCGCGTGAACTCACTTGCCGTAATCCCACTTGGGGGTATGAAAAGTACGCATGATGGAGAACCACCGAACAAAAGACGGCGCAAGACTGGTAGTTTCAGCACCGGGCAACCCAGTGCCGCCGCTTCTTCGACGACATCATTTGCTCCTCCTCCTCCGCCATTTTCGACGCCACACCCTCCATCAATAACTATGCACCCCGAAGACGCATCCAGCCACGCTCAGCCAAGCCAAGAGCCGCCTAGGGTTCCCAAACGCACTAGCATCGCACAGTTGCTTTCTCCTGAGCCGGCACGATACAGCCCTCCTCGAATGACCTTCAACCTCTCTTCCTCGCCGTCTCTTCCGACCCCAGAGCTACAAGAGGGGCTATGTGACAATGCGAACGTTCCGGACACGACAGTTGTGGCCTCCGCCGCGAGTGTGATGGGGAGGAAAAAGGGGACGGAAACACGAGAACAGGCAGTTGCGCACGTGGAGAAGGCCCAGGTGGTCAAGTCGCCATCACCCATTCAGCAGCCCGAGGTATCAGTTGAAGAATTTCCACCCGTGGATGAGCTTGTCGCGGTCCCTTCGCCTCGTCCAACTGAGGCTTATGCTCTCGCGACACCCCCGGCTCATCTCCGTGCGTCGATATCTCACCGTTACCTCTTCAGGTGGATGTACATCCAGAGCCGTCCCACACGCCTCCTGAAGCGGAACATCAGGTCGAAGTTCCAGTCATTTCATCCTCTCCACCGCCTTCAGATGTCCATCCTCTTCCGGTCGTATCGACAGTACAGACAGAGGCCGAAGACGTTGGGCCGGTCGACAGGTCATCGCCATCAATCCAAGCTCTACAGACTCTCCCTATTGAGGATGTGAAGCTGGATATCGATCTGTCTTCTCCCGAACGCCTTGAGAATACCTACCCGCCGGTACCCGTCTTCGCCCCGGCAGAGGCATCCGTGGATGCACACGAACCCTCTATCCCGCCTGCTGCCGACATCGTGCGCGACACGCCGGTGGAGGACGTGAGTATGGGATCTCCATCGTTGCCTCCTGCGGTAGTGGCTGTTAAATCTCCCCAAACTCTGCCGATGAAGATGCTCGCGCTGTCACCTAAGCTTCCTGCCGAGGAACCCTTGGTGCTGTCTGCGGTTCCCGTCGTGGCCGCCATGGTTGTGGATGCTCCTTCTCCAACCCCGGCTCCGGCTCCGGTCCCGGTCCCGGTCATTGTCAAAACGGAGCAGGGAGCGCTCCCTTCATTTCCTGCAGATATCAGTGTGCGGCCTGTTCTGAAGGTCTCAGCGAAGGAGGACAAGAATGGCGAAGGAAGCAGTCGACCTACGGAGGTACCCGCACCACAACCAAAGCCGAAACCGAAGCCGAAACCTCGGCCAAGGCCGAAGGTGAAGCCAGCACCAGCACCAGTTCCGGAGCCCGAAGTGAAGCCTGAACCAAAGCCCGCGCTGAAGGTCGAGCCAAAGCCTATCCCGAAGCCGCCGCCCAAACGCTCTGAGCCCGCTCAGGAAGAGGACGCTCATGAGTGGTTGCTTGAGCATTTCGCAGACGGATCCCCCGCACCGTCTCGGCGTTCATCGGTGCCTCCTGAAGAACCTCCACAATCGCCATACGTCTCAGAACCCTCTCCTCCCCCTCGTCCTGGCCCTTCATCCAAACGATCTAGTGCAAAGAAGCGTCCTAGTCCCCTACGCTCGCCGACGCCCACGGCTCTCCTGGAACAGGAGCTTGACGATATCGCTCAGGACCACACCACGTACCACCAGGCGGCCTCAACGCCTCGATCTGATGGAGACACCGATTTCGCGCTTGAGCTCGATCTCGCTTTGAGCACAACGCCAGACAAGGGCGCTGACTCCGATGTCGTGATGGCGAACGACCTAGATGATGAGTTGCTGGACTTGATCGACGAGAAGCCTAGGCATACCCACACCCACTCGCACGTCGCTCCCGCAAGCAAAGCCTCCCATCCGTCTACAAATGCCGCTCGACCCGAGAAGCCACCTGTGGTCAAGGAACCTGTGGTGAAAAAATCTTCACGCGAGGCCACTCCTCCGCTGCGCGTCGCCTCCGGTTCACCAGCTCCTTCTGAGCGCATCGTGATGCCTCCGCCTGTTGCTCCACCAGGTCAGAAAACTGGTACGGCTCAGTCGGGATTTGTTAAGGCGGAGAAAGAGGAGGTCGGCAAGGCTGGCAAAGCGGAGGCTGGCGCCCCGTCCGGTGCTAAGGAGAAGGAGAAGGAGAAGGACTTAGCGCCATCGAAGGTGAGAATGGACCCACTTAACCTGTATCGTTTTGCCAACATTCTATCCTAGGCTGCTCCAAAGCCGAAGCCTGCCAAAGCCAAGCCCAAACCGATACCGCGACAGAAGGCGAAACCGACCAAAGAGACGGATGAGGCTGCTGGCTCTTCAGGGCGCCTCACCCCCTCGGGTGCTGCTCATGTGGCCAAGAGCAAGAAAAGCACGGCTGGGGCTACTGCCACGAAGCGAGCCGTTCCTACGGCGGTTGGAGCCGCTCGATCACGCTCTACGTCTGAAATGCCCGTGGAACCTGCCCCGGCCCCCAAGCCCAAACCTCAGCCGGAGGAAGATGAGGAGCTTGAGACGGAAGAGGGGGACGATAAGCTTTACTGCATCTGCAAAACGAGCTACGACGAGGACCGTGTTATGATTGCTTGCGATAGGTGCGTTTCAGCATTGTGACATTACTATCATGAGGAGAGCTAATATGCTTGTAGATGCGACGAGTGGTATCACACCCAATGTCTAGGCATCAATGACTTGGAGGTTGACCTCATCGACCAATTCGTTTGTCCGCCTTGCATTGAAGGTGGGCCATCTCGTTCCGGCAATAGCAATGGTCGAGCTGACGTGGACTTTCACAGCGAACCCCGATGTCAACCTAAAAACCACCTACAAGCAGCGCTGCATGGCTGGTCTCAAGCACCCACACCCCTCCTCCTCTTCCGCATGCCACAAGCCGTCCCGTGGGGCCTTCTCCAAGTTCTGCTCTGACGAATGCGGAATCGCTCACATGCAGCAGCGGATCGAAGGGTGGGGTGGCGACCAAGCCGTCCTCTGGGCCAGCGTCCGGGACACGAAGCAACGTGAGGGCGTCGTGGTGAAGGTGCACGTCGTTAGCGGTCCGAACGGCGTCGTCAAGGACGAGCGGCGCCCCGGCGGCACCCCCGTCAACAACCTCGTCCAGGAGACCCTCGAAGTCCAGCGGCCGCGCAAAACGCAGCGGGACCGGCTCATTGCCCGACTGCAGGTCGAGTTGGATAAGATCGGGCCCAAGCGCGAGAAGCTCAAGGAGGAGCTCGAGATCGTCTTCTGGCGGCAGAAGCTCCTCACTCTCGCCGGCGAGCGGTCCGATATGGTCGACGAGTGCGGGTGGGACCAGCGGCTTTGCTTCGACGACGACGAGTATATGGAGTTTGGCGCGGGTGTGCTGGAGAGCTATGAGGAGGGTCACGCGCCGCAGCCCGTCAGTAATGGGGACCTCGAGGATCCGATGCAGGTGGATGGTCAGGCGGTAGAGGACGGGGAGTGGTGGTGTAGGGGCGAAAAGGTGTGCCCTCGGCACAGCGGGTACGTACATCTCATCTCGACGTTAGAGCGTTTCACCGAGCACTCGTCTGGCAGGTGGCGCAAACTTCGCGCCAGTGAATTCGACTTCGACCAGGAGCTGAAGGAGAAGACGATGGGGGCGCTGACGACACAGGAGCGCGAGATCCGGAAGCAACTTGAAGACGCGATGAGCGCGCCCGAGCGGCCGCTAATGCTCCCCATGCTCGCTTCTACGGCGCCCAACGGACATGCGCTCACAAATGGATCAAAACCGAAAGCAAACGGAGTGTCGGGGAAGAAGGGGAAGCAGAAGAAGTGATGTTTGGTTGCGTAGATGCTGATGAGATTAAGTTTCGTTAACATGTCGCAATGTGCTCTTTTACAAGCTATGCACGCGATGATCGACGCTGTCAGGTTGATACTACGTGTGTGCGACAACAATGTGAGGTAAATACAACAGTCCGGATGCCCCCCAAGGTGTAATGAATCTGCCTGTGTAGGGGGTGCATCGACACGATGAAGATCAAGAGGTCCAGGAAGCTGGGTGCAGCCAGTGCAATCGTCGGTCAGTATCCATCGCCTTCTCCACCCTCCCTGCAGAAGCCCTTTTCCTCATATAGGAACTGTGACTTGTCGTCTTCGCGTTTCTTCTTCGTCGCGACCTCCTGCTTGTGGTACGGCTCGAGTTCAGCCCAATCTACCTGTGTGAGGGGAATGTCGTCTTCCTGATCTAGGTCCTGTATGAAAGCTTGAGATCGAACAGAGCGACACGACCGTCGGGAGACTTACAATCTCGCCAAGCAGCACCACGTTCTCTCCACGAATGAGGAACAACCCCCGCCATGCCTCCGCAAACACATTTTCGTGGTATATTCGCTCTACAGTGTCCTCGAGCACAAGATTTGCTGCAGAAAGCCACGGACTGTTAACGCGTCCCCTAACCCGCGCGGAAGCGACGTGGGACGGCTCACCGAACTGATCGTAAGAACGCAACACTCCCTGAAGCTTCCGGCCATCACGAAGGACCACCAACATCTTCCCTAGGAGTGCCCGACGGAGGGGGGACATGGGGAGGGAGACAGAGAGTGGCAAGGGAATTGGGCTCAGGGTGCACCTCGAGTACGCGGACTTTGGATAGACGTACTGTCGACGCAGTCTACGAGCGAGCCCGAGGTTGTGAATGGGATCAGGGAGTCCATTGCGCTGGCGAGGCACCCTTACGGGTGAGGGTGGACGTTCGTCTGAGCGTTTCCGGAGTCCGAGTGCAGTCCGACTTGTCCGTTCCGCCATTTTGACGGCGCACACGGCGGAATGGCGTCTCGATGTGCTATGTGGGTCTATATGTAATGGGGTTGTTCTAACACAAGCTGATATGGCCGAGTCGTTAAGGCGAGTGATTTGAATTCTATTCATTATCACTTGGGCGTTGCCCGCGTAGGTTCAAATCCTGCTGTCAGCGAATCTTTTTCTTTAGTCGAACGTCAAACATTTTAAAACATCTCCGTTGCACTGTATGTCATATTGACAACATGTACAGGCCATCCCTTTTAAGAGTGTGTAGCCATCTCAGCCGAGTTTCGGACGTTCTCGGACATGACCTGCTCCATCCTTCCACTCCTGGTCGTTGAAGTTCGCTGCAGCATGGACGTGTTCGCGCGTTATGCAGAAAGGGATCGCTCGCCGCGAGTGCTCCGTGCAAGATGGGTAGAAGGTGTGGGCAGTCGAATGCATAGTACAGTGCAACAAAGCTTATGGTGTCGACGCGGTGGCCTCCTTCCCAAAGTACGTCCACTGTCCGGGCTCCGGCTTCTCTTCCAGTGGCTCCCAACTGCCGTCCGTGAAGTGTGAATATTCGTGCCTACACGGAAGGAGATGATTGACCCACGCTTTCCACTCAAGCATCTTGGTCGCAACGGACAGCTCGTCCTGCGCAATGTCCATGGACTCCTCGATCTGCCCCTCGTTCAGCTCCTTCTCCGCCGCGTGCACATCCCCGTTGGCGCGCTCCAGGACTTTGAGCTTGTGCTGCGTCAGGGCCTCGGCGGCTTGCCGGTAGACGGAGGCTTGCGGGATGGCTGAGAGCGCCTGGAGGGTGTCCTCATACGTCTTCTTGAGCTCGGGGAGCGGGTTGGCGGACACTTGAAGTCCGGTAATGCCCGTCGACCGCTTGGCGACTGCAGTGAGGAGGGTGCGGGTGCAGCGGAACATGGAAGGCGATGGTGGAGGGTGAGAAGGCCAGCTGAGCTCGCAAGTTGCGTCGAGACGCCCGGAGGTTCGCGGCGCGCGTTGGCACACGGACGCGCCGACCTGCCAGTCTCTCCGCCCCATCCCTTCCTCCTCAACTACCATGGCGGCAGCGTTGGCTCTCCATCAGTCTCGCTCGTGGCTTGCCGTCCCGCGGCTTCCTCTTCCGCGGCTTTCTCTTGCTGCTGCGTTTCTTCCTTCCTTCCTGGCCACACAGAGGCCGTTCACGTGGGCGATCCCTCCACTGTCCTCCCTCCTCGAGCTCTTTCCCCCGTGGCTGCTCGCCGTCCCCAAAAAGAAGGTCTCGCACTCACGAAAGAACATGCGGAGTGCGAATAAGGGCTTGAAGGACAAAGAAAGTAAGTCGTGCTACGTTCTCCTAGCCCAGTAGAGTACCCATGTCTAACACGCCCACGTTTGTACCAGACTTCGTTCAATGTCCAAGCTGCGGGTCAACTAAACTCGCCCATCACATCTGCCCCACATGTTATCGCGATATCAATCTGAAGTGGAAGGCTCGGAAAGCCGAGGGCTCAGCAGAGTTGTGAGTTGTGGGGGTAGACTAGTGTGTGCGTTAGATCCTCCGTCTCTCACAATGGGATATTGACCTTCCCATCTCACCCGTAATAGAATCTAAACTCTCATAATTCATTTCATAGAACTTTCTCGCCGCTCAGCACGCACTTGCGACGGAGACTACGACGCAACAGTTGATGCTAGAACTGCCAGATTCATGTGGGCAAGTCCCAACTTGGAGTTTATATGCCCCTGGGTGACATCATGACGATAATTCATGGTATTCGTCAGGACAAGAGGTCGCGCAAATGACATAACATACCAGGGCATCTCACCTCTGAAATACACGAGCAGCTGAATGCGCCACGAGCCCTTGCGATTGGCGGAGCTCGGGATTGAACGGATGGCCGCGCGATTCTCACCTTTAGCCGCGTTGTAAATTGGTGATATAAATATACCAGGTTCAAGTTCAAGGGAACATGGTATGACCTTTGTGGTCTTCGTGTTTTTGTTTCATTTGAGGAAGTTTGGCGGGCTACCCCCCTCCCTCAACCTTTGTATGTTGTATACATCGCGTTTGCGCCTCCTGCACGTAGCTAGCTCGCGTCACTTTCTCACAACTCCCTCTGCGTAAAGTGTGTGTCACGGCGTGAAGCAAAACCATACTGCCGGAGCGGCGGTCGACAGTCATACATGATGTAAAGTGCGGTGAGGGTGTACCCTTCAATCTAAATGCTAGGACCTGTTAGGATGTTTTCCCTTGGGTAGCATTCTCCCCGTTCTACTCCTACACACAAGGCGAGCAAACCCGTTGGGTAGGTCGCGACACTTCATATCCAGCGTACAACACAGGGTCAAGCAAACGTCTCATTCAATGTACTTTCATTTGTGTTACAGCGTTGTAGACTTCTCTTAGCTCATATGATCCCATGGGCCCTATATTGAGCTACTGCATGGCACAATTCCGTACGAGTGCTGCGGCCTCTGCGGAGCGAGGGACTATGTCACACTCGACCTTGGAGGGGTACCTGCGAGGGTGCAGAGTGTCAGGTGGAGTGGGTGAAGATGAGAGCCGAGAGGAAATGCATACGATACAACTCCGTGCAAGAGATCGGTGGGGTCCACCTCCACATGGTTGCCGACCTTGTCTTTCTTCGGGTGGATCTCGAAGGTGTGGAGCACCGAGGCTGCGTAGATAAAGATCGAAGCGAGGGCGAAGTGGCGTCCCGGGCAAGCTCTACGAGCAAACCATTCTCAGCCGCTTGCGTGATAATTATCCGATAATCCTACGTACCTGCGTCCGAAACCGAAAGCAAAGGCACCGGGATCCTGAACTTCCGGGTTTAACGCACCGTCCTTGAGGTAGCGTTCCGGCATGAACGTCATGGGCTCGGGATACATCTCCGGGTTGTGTGTCATCGTCCTGGAAAATTCGTCAGTCACACTGTTGGACAACAAGTTCCACACTGTCCTACCAAACGTTCCCGAGGACCATGGAGCCCTTGGGAATGCGATATCCCTTGTATTCGTCTTCCTCCATGACCCGGTGGGGTAGACCCAGCGTAAAGACATTCTGCCACCGCAAGCATTCCTTCACGATGGCAACAATGTAAGGCAGGCGGCTCTGATCCGCGAATTCAGGAAGCCGGTGAGAGCCGACTACCACATCGAGCTCGGCCTGAGCCTTGCACTGTACTTCGGGGTAAAGAGACATAGCCAAGAAGAATGTCTCTAGAGTCGAGAAGCTCTGGGTGACGTAAATCGAGCCGGTTGGTCTCAGCGGAGATGAATGATGTGGGAGTGCTTACTGTGTCAGCACCGGCTACAATGGATTCCAGAGCCCGATGTCAGATCGATCTTTCGAGCTTGCACTGACAGGCCTCTCACCTCCGTAGACAACACCTGCGACACTCATAGCCAGCTCTTCCCGGTCCTTCGCAGGAAGGTCGTTGTTGTCGTCACGGGTCATAACGTCCGTGGCGAGAGACCAGGTCCCTGTACCGCTTTGCTGCAACGATTGAGTAACGAGATGGCATCGTGGTCACGAGAGCACCTACCATGTCGGCCATCGCCTTCTTGAACGGCGTGTGCTTCAGATCCATGGCCTCGCCCCGATATCGGACAGCTTTCCGCGCAAACGACGCACCCGGCCATCCAAACGGAAGTCGCCGCAAGAACGGCAAGAATTCGCACCACAGGGCGCCGAGCACCAGCGACTTCGTAGGCCCTTCTACTGCTCTTTCCCCAATCAGGATATACTCATCAGTGGCACCCTTGGCCTTGACCCCATAAGAGACCTCTAGAATAGTCGCCCCGAGCACGCTTCGCAAGATATATGTCGGTCGTTTTTCCGCCATAGTAGAGTGCATGTACTTACTAGCGGAGATCGTGCACAAAGTTCTGAGGGTTTTGCAACATGCGGAACAGAAGATCGCGAGCACCGGAGACCTGCGCGGGTTGGAATTTGCGCGAGGCAGACTGATGAAAGTGCTCGTGCAGGGAGCGTCGGATCTGCCGCCAGCGTGTGCCGTAACACATGAGGGCCACGTTCCAGTCCCATCCGATCCTAGGATTCCCAGTGAGATGGGACCGTCGGTAAAAAGTGCGCGACTCACATGTCAACGACTGTTGAGTGATAACGATCTGAATAGATGGCGGAACGCCTCTCGAGAAGGTCGGTGACCGCCTCGGCACTGTTAAGGACAATGACCGGTTGACCCAAAAGACTGATATGGACAATGTCCCCTGCGCGCTGCATTAGCACAGGTATTGCAGTGGAGGCAGTGGAACAAACCGTAGTCCTTTGCCCACTGATCGAACGCGAGAAACTGTTTGGTGTGAGGAAGATCAAGGGCGTTTCCAACTAGTGGCCGGGGTTTTGGACCTGGGGGCAGCGGGAGCGTCTGAGGTCTGCGATATATTGCAATCGTGAGGGCGATGGTGAGAAAGGACCCAAGAGCGGCGGCAGGCTGCAAGTCCATCATGTAGTCTCGGCGAAAGACGGGGGTTGACGATTCTGCGACGATCGAACAGGGCATTTATACATAAAGCACGCGCCCACCTTGGCTATGACGGTGCTCGACACCAGAACCGGGGAAGGTGCACATAGCACATCCACATCGGACATCGGAGACACTAAATGAGGACCGCGCACCGATATACCGTTACCGCCAGGGTTCAAACGTTCACTCCTGGTGAAGAATTGCCAAGAACGCTGGTCTTAACATGTGTATGGCAAATCCGCGGATCCAGCATGTCCACCAGAGTGGACGCCCAAACCGAAGACAGCAAGACCATGTGAGAAATAGCGTAAAGGTCGAGAAGTAAGGCACTCACCGAGAGGCTCTTGTGGTGCAAGTGATTTATCAGGCAGATGCCCTGACAGGCTAACCGAAATGTGCCCTCTCTCGCATTCAACTTGGAAGGGGCTATCCTCGCCCCGCTATAGCCGAGTTGACGTTGTGGTAACCGACGTCGGACGCAGTGGTGGAGCGAGCGTATCGGAGCGGTGCCGGCATTATGCCATTTGGAATGCGCAACAAGAGTGGCCACGCTGAGAAGAAAACGTATTAGAGCTCTGCCACGATCACTAGCAGCGATGGCAAGCTTCGATCAGATAATCCGAGTGGGCTGAAGCTGAAGGCTTACCCCACGAAGTCCACCTGGATGACGGAATGGCATCTTATGCACAGTCTTGCCCGTATCATCCTGCTCGCAAGGCACGCGTGTGCGGCGGCCGGGCGTCTGGTGCTTCGCTGCTAGAGCGGACAAGTCGCCTTGAAAGGGCTCCCGGAGGCAGACGGCGGGAAGCGGGCGGCGCTCCGAACCGACTCGAAAGCCGCCCAAGTCGCCCACTTCACAGACGCAGTCACATGACTGACGCGCCTTCAACCACCACGCGAACCCAGCTCATTCCCTTCTCCCCCTTCCTCAACCTCCCCGACGCGCCATTCGCTGCCCCTCGTCCCTCGAGAACCCGCCTGCACACCATGGATGGCTCAAGACCCGGAGAAGCAGGCGTCATCACCTGGTGCAACTCCCTTCGCCTCACAATGGCCAAAGATTCCGGCCGCCAGTTCTTGCACGAACAGATTCAAACCGAAGGGTTTGATTTCCTCGACATGTACCTTGAGAACTTCCTTGACGGCCCACGCAAAGAGTATGTGTCCACTAGCTCCTTTTGTTTGCACGTCTTATATGAGTTGCGCAGACCCGTCCTCGAGCTCCTCAAGACTCCCGGCCGCAAGAAGAAAGCGCCTACTACAACTCGCTCGGCCGTCGCTGCCGCTAGCAAAGTCCAGGCAGTAGTGTCATTACCGCTCGAAGTAGGTTTTCGGAACCATTCCATCCTCCCCACCTAACGTGCAACAGGACGGCGACGCCAAGGAGAATCACGGTCCCATAAACGACTTCCATAAGGCTCTGCTACAAGTTAAAGATACGAAAGGCAAACCCAAGGATGTTCGAGATTCAGAGACCTCCCGGCAGCCGTCCGAAGAGCGGCCTCGTCCAAAGCCACCGGCCATCCTCGCTAAGCTGAAAACCCAGAGGGTCGTTACGGTCGCCGACAGCCCAGCCCCGGAACCTGCAGTTGAGATTCGCGACACGCGGCCACCTCTGCCTTCTCTCCCGTTGGAGGAGCCGTCTCCCGTTCACCCTCCCGTTCACCAGGCCGCGAAGGAAGATACAGCGATGGAACAGGTGCAGCAAATGGCGAAGGAGCTTTCGATGATTGAAGAGGACGATGAGCTAGCCGAACGAAGTCGTGCGTCTTTTACTGTCCCGCCCCCAGCCCCGTCAAGAGACCCAAATCCCACCCCCGACGCTATGGGTATACTTCAGCCTCAAAATACGATTGATCCTCCGTCGCCGGACGTTATGATGGAAGACGAGCTCGATATTGCGCCAAGCCCAGAACCAGAACTTCAGCCGGCAGATACCACAGCAGCATCAGCGCATTCATTCCACGACGTGCCTCTTAGCCCTCAAGTCCCTCAGTCTCAGTCTACGTCGGCTCATACTGCTGAATTTCACACTGCACCTCTCCCTCGCGTGTCGATACCCCCCGTTCCTGTGGAAGAGGAGCAATATTCACATACTGCACCTCTCCCTGCCACGTTTTCCACCGTTCACGAAGAATTCACCGTGCCTCTTCGTGACGAGCCCTCCGCTCCCGTACCAGGCCTCTCCAGAAAGCCTAGCTTGGCTCACTTCACGGGTCTTCCAGCACCATCCCCTTTACGCAAATCTTTGCGACCAGTCGGCGATACAGCGACTGTGCCCACCGCTCAAGCTGCTGCTCCCGCGGCTCTCGGGAAACGCAGTTCGACGTCATGGCTTTCGAAGGCGCGAGAAACGAAGGCTCTCGAGATCACTAACAAGCGCTCAAGTACCTTCGGTGCGGCGAAGCGGAAGAGCGGCGAGATGTTGGACGCCGCGCACGCGGTTCTCAGGTCACTGGAGGAGGAAGAAAGGGCTCCGAAGACACGGAGGCTATCGAAGTCTCCTGAGGAAGCGGACGATGAGCAATCCGGGAAATCGCAGGAAGCAAGCTCGTCACGGTCGACAGCACCGCCTGTCGAGGCACATGCGGACGAGAACGACACGGACGTCTTCACGATGCTCTTCAAGAAGAAACCCGAGCCGAGGCCGGGCAAGAGCATGGGGAAGTCCCTCGGAGGGATTGCCGCCGCCGCGTTGGCTGAAGCGCGAGCAGCAGCAGAGGTACGCGTGGCAGAGCGACACAAGATCGAACTGGGGGTGTCGAACAAGTCCGAAGACGCTGCGATGGACGTAGCGCGCAAGTCTCCCTCGCCGGCATTGGAGCCTACCCAAATCGAGCCAAGCCAGCCGGAAGAGTCGAGCCGCAGGCTGAGTGTGTCCGACCTCGTGCCAACGTCGCAAGGCAAAGGAAAGGAGAAGAGCAAGGACGTCCCGGTGTTCTCCTTGCCTACGCCTGCTGCCGTTGCCGCCGACACCAGCTCGTCCACGACTCCGCCCACGTCCCCGCCCCCCTCGCGCAACAACACCTTCATCGCGCCCAGCGGCCCCGTGTTCTCCAAGCCGCCGGCCGCGAGCACGGTGCGCAAGGACGCGCCGCCCGGGCCCCCGCGCGACTTCAAGCTGCCGACCACAAACCCATTTTCGATCCCGGCCGCGATGGCGCTCGGGATGGGCACCAAGTTCCAGCCACTCTCCGCGCAGAGCAGCAAGGCGAGCATCTTCTCCGACGTCGTCTTCGACCGCCAGGACAACTCTCCCGGCTGGCTGCCGTCGACCCAGGACACGTCCTACTCGGCCGCTCAGTCGCAGTCGCAGTCGCAGGGCAAGACGGGCGCGGACGAGCACGACGAGCTCGGCGACGACGACAGCTGGGGCATGGACGAGAAGTTCGGGCCGCAGCACCAGTGGACGCCGTACGGGTTCACGAGCGCGAACCCGGACGGGAAGGACGACTCGATGACGTGGAGCACGCTCCCGAGCCAGAGCACGGGCCGGAAGGGCGGGGACACGACCGGGTACCAGCCGACCCAGCCGTTCTTCACGACGTCGCTTCCACGGACACAGGAAGAGGAGGAACAACAGGGAGAGGAAGATCGGGAGCGCGGGTTTGCGGAGCGTCTTGCGGACGCTGCGCGGGAGGAATCTCAGAGAGAAGAGGAAGCCATGGAGGAGGCGGACGTGGCTATGGAGATGACGACGATGAGCCGGAGCGGACAGACCGGGGGAAGAGCTGGCTGCAAACCTACTGTCAAGCTCGTTCAGCAGGTGGATTGTCGCTCTGACCTCGAGCCGATTGTTATGTTACGAGCATTTCACTGACGGACTTCTCTTTACAGGCTTCGAGGAGCGACAGCCAACAGTCCATGGCTTCGATGACGTCGTCAGCGTCGTCAAGTCAGGACCTCGGTTTCTTTGGCCAGGCCAGCAAGCTGGTCAGCAGCGTGCTTGGTGGTGGCAAGAAGGTTAAGCCCGAGGTGAAGAGCCTCCAGCTGGCTGCCGCCGCTGCGAAGAGACAGCAGGAGGAGCAAGATAAGAAGACCACTCGTCTCAAGGAGATGGAGAACCGCCGTCAGCAAGCCATGCAGCGCAAGGCGGACGAGGAGAAGGCCCGTGCTCAGGAAGAGGAGCGGAAGATCAAGGAGGACGCCGAGCGTCGCAAGCGCGAACGTGAAGAGCACACGGACAAGCGCCCCATCAGGCCTGCGACCTCCATGTCGAAGAGGGTAAGCGGATGGATATCTTTGCTGCTTCGCTGCGTTTGCTGACCCCATCGCACAGTCGGAGGACGACACTATGAAGCGCAAGCTCAATGCGCCCGCGGCGCAGAAGCCTCCCTCAAAGGAGAAGAAAGAAGTGGTGCCTCCGCGTCAAACTAAACCTCCTTCCACCGCCGCAGCGAAATCCGCACTCAAACCCGCACTCAAGCAGCCCGCGGCCGGTCCTTCTTCCAACCCCGTCACTCCTGGCGCACCAAAGACGGCTGCCACGAAGACCGTGAGACACGTCCCTTCTGCCAACAACCTCAAGGCCGCCGCCGCGCCCGCGACAGGGAAAGGCAAGGCGAAGGAGCCCGCTCCCGCCGCCGGCCCGAGCCGCCCGACGGCCCCAGCAGCAGCCGCGCCGGGGCCCCCGCGCGTGGCGAGCGAGACGATTGAGCTGCCGGACATCAACAGCGAGTACTCGGATTCGGAGGACGAGGACCGGCCGCGGCGCGACCTGCCGGACTGGGCGAAGAGCCCGGACATCGCGGCCGCGCTGCGGCAGCAGAGCACGATGAACCCGGACGACATCTTCGGGGCCGTCGCGCCGCTGCGGATGGAGGACATCTTCAAGACGCGGCACAGCCGGTTCCGCGCGCGGACGAGCTCCGCGAACTGGGCGGGCCCGGACGAGCTCACCGCGGCGGAGGAGCGCGAGTACGCGCGCCGGATGGGCTTCAAATAGACGAGCGAGGGTTGGGGGTTCGTCGGTTGTGATCGGCGCAGGGGTTGATGTCAGACTCGGATCAGCACGCGTGATGTGGACTTGTTAGACATGGCGTTGGATATGCAATGGTGGGGTGTGTTGGTCTCTGATTACAGGATGGGGGTCGCGCCACTACAGCCAGGGATACAACAACGAGCGCCACGTGCGGAAGATGCGTATGGGAAGACAAGAAGACGAAGGTCCGAGGTAAGTGGTAGGTACAGTACGGTCTATTGACATTATCTACTATAAACAGGAGGGGATCCTGGGGGGTATACCTGGGAGATAGACGAGGAAGGTCGCTAGAGACCGCGACGGCAGCGCCGCTTGTGCGCCTCCCAGTCGCTCCTCTGGGCCAAGGGTCAGCACCTGTTGTCAATCCCGACCGAGTCAGGCAAACATACCTGACAGTTGACAGAACAGTAGAAGGCAGTCTGTTCCGAGGAGGTCAGCTCGGTCGGCATGCAGAGAGACGGATTTGGACTGACCTTGCAACCTCCGCAGATGCAGAAGTCCGGAGACCGGAGCAGCGGCCCAGCACACTGCAGAGAGACATAGAACGAGTGCGTGAACAGGGCGGCAAGGAGAGACAGGGGGGCGGAAGGCGTACGCTGGTGTGGCTGCACGCATGTCGTCGGGGGCGCCGAGCATGCGGAGGGCTTTGGCCTTGAAGAGCTCGCGCTTGGCGCGCTGGACGCGGGCGAGGTTCTCGCGGCTGCTCGCGATCTCGGCGAACTCGCGGATGGCGACGGAGACGTCGAGGGACTTGGAGAACCACTGCTCGGCGTCGTCAAGACGGCCCATGTGCAGGTAGGTCTCGCCGAGGCCGTTGGAGAGCCGGGCGAACGTCGGGCTCGTGGAGGGCGTCGAGGGGCTGACGAGCTCGAGGGCCTGGTGGAAGAGCCGCTCGGCTTCGTAGTAGCTGCCGCGGGCGCCGAGCTGGCGGGCTTTGGTGCTGAGGGACGCGGCTTCCTCGAGCGCAGCATCGGAGGTAGAGGGCCTCGGGTCGGGGAATGCAAGAGTGGGGATTCCATCGCGGACTGAGGAGGTCGGGTGAGAGGAGAGGAGGGGCGGGACTGCGGGCGGGACGGAGGGGGTTCAGAGGGCGACCGGTGGTGGGCGTGTCGGGGGCATCAGTCGTTGCGCTGCAAGACGTTGTTGCGGGCTCGAGGGGAGGGGGCGGATATATGACATCCGCGACCGCGCTCCGAGCCAAAGTTGGCCAGGAACGGTCACGTGGGTGCAGCCCCGCGACGCGGAAACGTCACAGCCACCGCCGGGAAGGCCGGCAGGGGCGCGGCGCTCGGGTCGGGGGCCCGTCAGGGGCGCGCGGCCATTCTCCGTCTCTCGACCTCTTCCGCCCGCAGTCTCCCGCGCGCGGATGGCTCCTGTCCTCCACCGCGTCCACCGCTCCCCGTCTGCACGAAATGGATAAATACCCTGCGTCGTCGCCGGTCAGTCTCAGGCTCCCATCTCTCACTTCTCATCCCGGCTTCTCATCCACTCACGACATCCACTCACGACAATGTTCGCTCTCTCCTCTCTTTTCCTTTCCCTCGCGCTGGGCGCGCTGGCCGCACCGACCCCAGACAGCGCGATTCGCCGCATCTCCGCGCCGAACCGCAAGTCTCTCACGACTGCAGATGGCCGGTTTGATCACCAGAAGGCCCTCCGCCAGGTCGCACACGATCACAAGTAAGCAGCCCTCGCCAATCCCCCGTCCTCCGCCGTTCCTGATCTCCCGCCGCCCATAGCAAATACCGCAACAATCTCATCAACCTCCACAACAACGTCGGCCCCGATCCGTCCAGCAACGGCTCCCAGCTCCTCCCGCCTGCCGAGCACCACGCGCCCCACGCGCGCCAGCTCCCCCACGTCGAGCCGATGACCGACGAGGACGAATCGTACTGGGCTGGCTTCATCGCCGTCGGACCCCTTCCCAGCCTTTTACGTCGACTTTGACAGTGAGTGTGTCGTGTCCACCGCTCCCTGCGCCGCTCACCTCTCTCCAGCCGGCTCCTCCGATCTCTGGATCCCGTCCGAGAACTGCAAAGGGCCCTCCTGCGACCGGAAGAGAAAGTACTCGCCTGGTCACTCCCACACCAGCAAACTGCAGAAGGACAAGTTCTCCATCAAATACGGAGACGGCTCCACTGCGAAGGGCCCCGTCTACACTGACACTGGTGTGTACCTCCCCCCTTCGATGATTCGAGCGGGGAACGCTGATGCTTCGTCGACGCGCAGTCACTCTCGCCGGCATCGCTGTCAACAACCAGTTCTTGTCTGCCGTCGACACCATGTCCGACGCGTTCATCGACCAGGCCATCGACGGCATCCTCGGCCTCGCCTACCAGTCCCTCTCGACGATGCACAAGACGCCCTTCGTCAACTCGGCCAAGCCCAGCACCTCATCCCTCCGCCGAGTTCGGCATGAAGCTCACCGTCAGCACCTCCGAGCTCGTCATCGGCGGCCAGGACCTCAAGCAGTGCGCCGGCCCCCTGAGCGCCATAGCGTCACCGGCAAGACCGGGTTCTGGAAAATCTCCGGCGGCTCCCTGCTCGAGCACTCTCGCCCCGTCTTCACCTCCCACTTCGACGCCATCATCGACTCGGGCACCACCCTCATCTACGGCCCCCCTGCCGACGTCGCCAAATTCTGGAGCACGATCCCTGGAGCAAGGCTCTGGGACGCCGGTGCCGGCTTCTACTCGTACCCCTGCCACGAAACTCCCTCCGACGTCGCCTTCAACTGGGGCGGCCGGAACTGGGTCGTCGCCCCCGAGAACTTCAACCTCGGCGAGCTCGACCAGCCGGGCATGTGCATCGGCGCCATCGCCGGCCACGAAACTGGCCTCGGCGCGAACACCTGGTTGCTCGGCGACAGCTTCATGAAGGGTGTCTACACCGCTTTCTCGTTCGAGTCCAACACCGTTGGTTTCTGCCCCAGATCAGCTTGCCCTAGAAGGATCACACACACACTGTATCGTTAGCATTTCGCAGTGCTGGACACTGCAGAGATCTCGTTAGAGCTTGTATCATAGACATCTACACACATTGTACATCAACCAATCAAATTCTGAAAACAATCCCAGACAGAGGTCTGCCAGTCCAAAGAAGAGGTATACGGTTACTTGATCTTGTTGAGCTGTGGACGTGGTCAGCACAAGAGGCATGGTCTCAACAGGAGTTGACTCACCCTCTGGGTGTTCTTGAAGAGAGCTCGTCCAGACCATCGTCTTCTGGGTGATGCGGGTGATACGCTCATTCTGGGTATCCAGCTCGCCGCTCATCGCCGAGCCAAGGGCTTTCAGGCGCTTCGTGACGTCCATGATCTCGTCGAGATTGTCGTCAAGCTCGTCCTCGAGCTGGTCATCCTCCTCGTCCGCCTCGAATTGGTACCGCTTGCGCTGGTCCTTGCGCTGCTGCATTTGCGCCGCGGTACGGAAGCGACCGCTGCCCCCACCGCCGATCCCCTCCTCTCGTCCTCGCCCCGGCCGTAGGTGGCCGCGCGGCCGAGCCGGTCCTGGGTGTCGCGGATGTCGCCCATCGCCTTCTCGCGGTTCTCCCGCTCGTCCTCGTATCGCGCCTGGATCTTGGCCTCCTGCGCCGCGCGCTTCGCGTCCTTGTTGAACGTGATCACCGGCCGGAAGATCGAGCGGTTGAGCTGCTTCAGCTCGTCCGTCTTGTCCGTCGCGCGGAGCGAGTGGCCCTTCGAGACATCGAGGTGCCGCTCCGTGTCCGCGAGCCTCTCTGCGGTTCGGTTTCGCGTCAGCACCGCCCAGGAGAGCGCCCCTCCGCACGCACGACGCCCCCAGGGGACGGGCGGAACGCAGCACGCGCGGGGGAAGAGGACGGACGGCTCACCAGACTGCGACCCGAGCTTGCCGATCGTGTTCCGCGCGGTCTCCTCCGCCTCGCGCGCGAGCCGGAGCGCGTTGCGGTCGAGTTGACCGAGTCCTGCTTCATGTTCCGGAGGTCCTGCTTGATGCCCTCCACGTCCTCCTCGTTCTCCTCGCCCGGCGGCGGCGTGCCCCGCCGCCCGGGCCTGCCCCCGGGGCCGTCGTCGAAGAAGCGGCCGGAGCCGCCCTTCGGGGCTGGTACCCGGAGAAGAGCTCGCTCCGGTCCTGGTTGACGTCGCCCCCGCCGCGCGAGTAGGCGTCGCCGACGGCGTTCTGACGCACGTAGCGCTCTCCACCGTACTTGTTCTGCGGGGCGGAGGCGTGGCGGTGGCGTACGGGTCGCCGTCGCGGCTGGCGACGTAGGTCGACGAGGACGAGCGGGTGAAGTTGCTGGGAGGGCGGGGGGAGCTGCTGTTGCCGCGGTTGCCGAAGAGCTCGTTGCGTTTGACGTCCTCAGACATGGACGGCTGCTGCACCGGCGGGATGGCGGTCTTCTCCTTGCGGCTCCAAAAGACATGGTGGATGACTTCTAGAGGGTAAGCGAGAAGGAGGCGGTAAGAGGGAGCGACGGGATGAGAGAGGACGGATGAGAGAGCGACGAGGGGACGATGGGCGATGGGCGATGGCAAGGGCGGTGTGCTGTGCGGAATCTGCCACAACGATTTAAGTACAGCACAGGCATCACGTGAGCATTCCCCTGGAACGCCCGATCGGCCTGACCACACGACGCGGTTCCAGACACACTGGCACCGCGAGCTGCCCGGCAGGAAGACGTACAGCGCAGCACAACAGTCAAGGCGGCGTAATATTATGCACGAGGCAAAAACCCAATGATATACTGACAATGACTATATGGCTACATTACGTCCGCTTGTGATGATCCACATGGTATAGAAGAAATCATGCTAGGTCGCGAACACAAACTGGAAGGGAGAGGACGTGAAGACAGAGCGCAGGACGCCCGTGGTGTGTATTCAAAAGGTCGTACGGTCGAAGTCGGCGTGTGGATACATGGTCTTCAGCTGCTTCCGAACCCACCAAGCAGGGGTGGCGAAGCTGATGTGGGGGAAGGTGGCATGGCGCTTATTGAATGTGGACTCTCTGAATATGCCGGAGTGGAGGATGCCAACCATTTCTCCTTTGCCATTGACGATGAGCGAGCCCGAATCGCCGCGTGTGCTAAACGGACGGTCTTCACTGCAGTAATTGAAGAAAGCGAGATCTACTGATTCGACGCCTTGAGGGTTGCATAAGAAAGCCTCCAATCCGGCGTGGTTCCCGACCGTCAGGTCGGTGGTGCTGCCGTCCTTCATGACGACAAAACAAGGGTGGCCATTCTTATCTGTGCAGTTGGGAGTAGCCAAGCCGTCGCGTGGACACATCCCTTGATCCTGAGCTGGCCATTCAAAGGCCACTTGAACGCCCTTTGATCATCGAGTCGTAAGGAGTAGAATTTTCCCGCAAGCTCGCCGGGGGAATAATGACCTGCTGAGAAGAGTCTGTCGGTTAGACTCGGTGGTATGAGAGCATGGGGTCATGACACACCCAAATCGAGGACGTTGCCCTTGAAGCAAGGCTTGAACTTTCTCTCCTCGACCTCAAACGTCGCCAGATCCCGAGTATAGTTAGTATCTTGGACGTCGACAGAGATTCTCGGAGCCCAGTGGACGTGCCCTATGTTGCGAAAATCCAGGTCGCTCCATTTGGTTTGCATGTCGACAAGAAAGGTTTCCACCACGCTCCTGTCGCAGTGAGCTTTTGCTAACTCCTCCGCTTCCTAGCTAACTTGGTTGCTACGTTTGGGTCGTCGATCGTCGGCGTCTGCTGCAACAGGTCGATCTGCTTCACGAGTCCTTCGGCTTTCTTAGCGTGACCAGCCACAGCCATTTTCGTCTCTTCGAGTCCGCGCTGGTATCGACGCAAGCCAGCGAGTCGAACGCGTTGGATACGGCAACTAGCAGGATGGAGCTTATAGTCCACGGATGGGCTCCCGTGGAGAACATGGCAGTTACTGACTCCGAAGACCTTGTCACTAGGGGCACCGTGCTCGTCCTGGTTTTCGTGGAAGAAGAATGCGACGCTTCCCTGAGCGTCGGTCACTTCCATCTCATCCTTGGTGACCGACATACCGAGCGCAGTGGTGAGAAAGCAGCGCAGATGGAATGTGGGTTTCCTTATCGCGGTGTCGAGGAGGCACGGGCCTTACTTAACATCTCCACGACACCCTCAGACCACTCTACGGATGCTCCCTGGATTCCGTGGCTGTCGAGAATGCTGAGGATACCCGGGGTGGCGTTGAAGGCATCTTCGGCCGTTGTGGAGTTGGGGTAAACAAACATCCAGACGACGACAGGGCCCATGGTGTCTCCTTCCTGGTCGTGGGTGACGAAGCGAGCAGGCACGATGACTGAGTACTTGATTTTCCGAGCATTCACGTGATCGCGGATATGGGGGCCAACGACAGGCCAGACGGAATTCAGCGATGTGTTGAAGACTCCGCGGGCAGTCTTGGTGGGGACGAAGTGAAAGCGACCGGTAGGGGCGGGAAACGGGCAGTCGAGGAGGTTTGATCTGTAGACCAAGAAGGGGGGATTCGGAGCAACGCCACGATAATACATTGCTTGTTCAAAGGCGGAGACGAAGAAAGGAGAGCAACGGGCGCCACGTCAAGTGTAGTGGAGAAAGATGGGACGACTGGGAAGCGGCACTTTTGGGCCATCCTATCGATACATTGAAGGGTGAGCAATGAGAAGTCTACGTGGACGATAAGTGAGGTGTCCGCGGGAAAAGCAAATGAAGGACTCGCAAGGGCGTTTGGATGCATCGACATCATCTCTAATGTCTGGAGAACGACACTGGATACGCCTCCAAGAAGGCTGTCAGTATGACTCGGCAGACCTAGAAGCGTATTGCGATGTTCACCTTCGCCCCCAGACCTGCTTCGTCCAACTCTTCCTTCGTGAAAGGGGATTCTGCGCTGGGGAGTTAGTTAGCATGTGAACACGGCGAGGGAAACGGCCATGGCACTACCAACCCGACGGTACCATGGATATATGCATAGGGGAGGGCATCCGCAAACTGGTTGTCGGAGGCAAAGGCCAAGAGGCGATCCAGGCAGGTCTCAAGCCTCAGGCCTTCAGGCCCGAAAAGCTCGTGCAACGTCAACGGCCTCGATCGAGGGCCAATGAAAGCAGGATCAGGATGTGCGGCTCGTGGCGCCTGCGTACTTACTCCTCCAATGACATCATGATATGCAGGACTTGCGCTTTACACCACCACCCGGAACGGATGGCTGGCGGATAATTTTGCCGAGCTGAAACTACGGTGGAACGGAGCGTTCCACCGGCAGAGCTGAGAGCGAGTCACCACGCGCGAGGGGTGCAACACACGAGGTCGCACATTTGTCGAAGTACAGCAGCGGCAGAGAGCAATGAGGTAACAGAGAGGATATGACTACGGTAGGCAGGCGACTCTCGCCAGCCGTCCGAATCATGACTTGCCTCGTGCGCGTTTGCCCTCCGCCTCCTTGCTTTTCTTGCCCACCACCGTGACACCCTTCCCGTTCTTGACCAGTGTCTTGAGCGCAGCCTCCTTCTGCCGCTTGACGTCGCCGACGCCTTTTGGCCGCCCGAACTTCTGTACACTCTTCTCGATCGCGTCGCGGGTCTTTTTCTTTGCCTTCTTCGTCTTGTTCCGGAGGGCGCGTTTCTCAGTCGGCGTGAGCTCACTGCGCGCACGCAAGTCGCGTGATGACGGTGCGAAGATCTCCTCTGGAGCGAGCATGCTCGAAGTAGCCATCATAGTCGGGAGTGCAGATTCCAAACTCGCGGCGGCGACATTGGAGACGCTCTCGATTGTGCCCTTGGGCTACGAGGAAAGTCAGTGATTTATACGAGCGATGAGTGGACATGATCCTTACAGCCTTAGGAGTGAAGTGAGCGTTGCACAGCGCATCCAGCTTGTGGCAGATATTCTCCCAAAGCTTCTCGATCTCTTTGTGTTCCTTCTGGAGCTTGCCGTCGCGATCTTGCCCCGCAACGCCACCGCTCTGTGCCGCGGTGTATTCGTCTTCGTAGATCTCCGCGAGCGACTGCTTCGACTTGGAGTCTTGAAGCTCGAAGAAGCGTGACGGGAGGAAAGGCTTGTCGTCAACTGGACGTTTCCGCACAACGTCGTCGAACTGTCCCTCGAGGATGCGAGCCTTGATCCGCTCTTCGAGGCTGTGAACAACGTCTTCGGTGATGACTGGCACGGACTTCATCACCCGTTCGAATTCCAGGTCTTCTTCAAGAAGCGAATTTTGTGGTCGCGACTTGGATGTCGCCTCGCCCATGAGAGTCCAATCCTTCTTGCCAATGTTTTCAGCTTCCAACGCCGCGATCTCTTCGCGCAGTGTCGCCATACGCTTTTCATGCGTCGACATCCCTGAAAGATCGTTCAGCAATAGGCCAGGCCAACAATACACTGAATGGACACACCTTTCTGGTCGTCCTCCTCCTCGTCATCGTCAGCGAGGAGATCATCCTTTGTACGCCGTATCGTCGCCAGGTCATCATAGTCCTCGTCTTCTATTGACGTCTCATCCTCTTCTTCCAACTCGTCGTCGTCGCTATCTTCATCTTCCTCCGCCGACATATCTTCATCCTCGTCCTCTTTGTCGTCGTCGTTGTCGTCATCATCACCTATCGTGTCAACATATGAAGAATCTTCGCCTTCGTCCTCCTCTTCCTCTTCATAAAACATGGCTGAAACAGGGAGATTCTTGCCCTTTGCCTTGATCTTCTTCACCCTGACCTGGTCGTTAAAGCGAACCTTCCCTGTTGAAGCGGCCCCACTAGCAGGTTTAGAAGGCTTCTTGGGTTTCGGGGCCTTAACGGCTGTGGGAGGGTCGAAGAAGTCTTTGTAGAGCAACTCTGAACGCGAGAAAACGGAAATGAGCATCTGAATCAACGACAGATAACAATAAACCTGCACGTACCTCCGCCGCCTTCAAGATCCTCTTCATCAAATGCCGCTGAGCCGTCAACCGGTGCGAAAAGGTCAACTTCCTCGTTATCGTCATCGTCGTCCTCGTCGTCCTGGCTGAGTCTACCGCGCGAAACGTGCTTGGACTCCGCAGCCTCGATCTCCGCATTGAATGCCGCGAGGTCAAAAAAGCCGTCGTCCAGCTCGGGGTGCCCGCCCTTCTTCCGCTTGAACCTCAGCGTCCGCTGGCCTCCAGAGAAGAAAGACGGCTCGTCCAGATCCAGCCCCGGGTCGTCGTCGTCCGAGTCGTCGTCGGAAGGGTCCCGCAGCTCCTCCACGCCCTCCCCAAGGTCCGCATCGTCGCCCTCCTCGCTTTCCTCGCTGCTCTCCTCCTCGTCTCCATCTTCCTCGTCGCTCTCCTCGTCCTCCGACCCCGCGAGCTCCAGGTTCTCCAGGTCGGCCGGGTCCCACCCCTCCGCGAGCAGCGCCGCCTTCATCTCCTCGAGCTCCCGCCGGCTCGCCTCCTCGTCCAGCTCATCCTCCTCGCTCTCGCTCTCGCTCTCTCCCCCCACGCCGCCCCCCTCGTCCTCGTCCGCGTCGACCCGTATCGGCCCGTCGAGCGCGTACTCGAGCATCTCGCACACGCCGCGCGCGCGCAGCTCCAGCTGCGCCCAGATCTGCTCGTCGCTCATCTCCTGCACGAACAGCTCCGCGAGCGGGGTCTCCTGCATGACCGGGGCCGCGGGGCGTGCGGGCGTGGGCGCGGGGCCGTCCGGCTCGTCGCGCTTCCGCTTGCGGTCGTTGCTGCCGCTTGCCGGAGTGGAGGGGGGTGGGGTCGCGCCGCAGCAGCGGCGGCGGCGGCCCTCGCGCGCGTCTGCGGAGCCTGGCTAGGATATATGGACGCGAGGAGGTTGTTCACCTGATGTGAGGCGGGGTGCTCGGTGGAGAGAGCTGGGTTGGGGCCGTGAGCACACAGGGGAAAGCACGCGCGAGTGCCAGGTTCGGTACGCACCGTGGTCGTAGACCCATTTTGTTGCGTCTAGGGCGGCCTGGCGGAACTCTTCGCTCCCTGTGGCCAGGGCCTCGGGCTGTTCTCCGATGAGCTTTGAAAGATGTTCGAGTTGAAGGGGAAGCCTCCGTTCAACAGCTGCTGTCTTAGTCGGGTCGGCGGGAGCGTCAGCCGACATATTGCGGTTGAAGGGCCGAAGACGAGGAGGTAAGGACTGTATGTGGAGAGTGGTGCAGGCTCAGGCAGGCGCCTACAGTGCAATAATTTTGGATCCGAATTCGGACGCCAGTTGTTTGTTCGTGTTGTCCAACGGCTTCAACTTTCCGTTCACCACCTCGTTACTATATTTACACACACCTGCTTATTCACGAGCAAGCCATGGGGGGTAAAGAAAGCGTACACGTGGATAAAGTACAACATGCCATGAAGATTACACCACTCAGATTCCCTTCAGCGCAGCCTCCACCACGGCACCGATCCCCAAAACTTGCTCTTCGTGCAAGTTAGGGCCGACAACTTGCAGACAAGCAGGGAGCCCGTTGAACTTCTCGGCGTCGTCTGAGAGTACGATTAGCATGAGATTAGCACGCATTCCCCTCGATCCAGCTCCACTTACAAGTATCATACACAAACTTGTCATCTTCACTCCAGAAGTCTTCGCGTATCGGTTTGGCGTCAAGAGCAGGATCGACTTTTGTAACTGGGAAGACGAGGCTGGGGTAATCCATCGTGTTCCAGATAATGGTATAGACAGACGACCTGATACAATGTCAGTCATGGTTTTGGGCAATGCAGGGCGTTTTGCACCACATACCTAACATGCCCGTGAGGCACGGCAGTGTAAGGACCCGCGGGAGAGATGAGTGCGTCGATCGGACGGCCAGTGCCCGTCTGCGCGGAAGTAGCCTCCCAGCGATCAAGGAGCGCTTTTCGGAGCGCTCGTCGCTCCTTGTTCAACTGCCAGATCTCGTATGCGGTGGCCTTCGGCCGAGGCACACGCCATGGCGCAACATAGCTGGGGTCTTCGTCGGGGTTCATGGACTGAATTAGAGGCTCGCCGGTTATGATACTGGCGTTGAAGTCGTCGTTGCCGTCATTGAGGAAAGCCGAACGCTTCACGGAACAGCGGTGAGTGAGGACCTCCCGCGCAGTGCGTATTGGGGACTCACCGCTACGGTAACATACTCGGCATGCCGCAAGGACTGCCAATCAATAACTAGACGCATGGTATCAACGTTAACGAACCATCTCTGTCAGTGGGAGAGCACGTACCAGTATGCCCTGCGCTTTCAAGGGCCTTCTTGGTCATCTCCAACGCCCGTTGGATAGGTGGGACAGGTTTCATTGACCCTTCGTCCCACATGATGCCAAAGCAAAGTTTCTTCCCTCCGCCAAGACCCTTCAACTCGAATTCGTCTTGGGACCACGGTTTTGGGACGGTGTTCGGACAGTACCGCCATGGTTCTGCCTCGATGATCGTTCGCACGAGTGTCGAGACACCCGAGAGAGAGATGCTCAGTGGGCCGAGCGAAGATGGGACCGATTCTTGACCATCAAGCGAGTTGACGATACCATACGACGGAAGGCGGTTGCTGGATGGCTTGAATCCATAGAGACCGCAAAAGGACGCCGGGATACGGATGGAGCTGAACAGAATGTCGGTGAAACGACCCGTAGCAAACTTTGAGTATGAGTGACCCACCCTCCTATGTCAGAGCCGACACCCAATACACTGCCATGCATCGCGATAAGCGCACCCTCACCGCCAGACGATCCACCAGGGGTGAATCGACGATGCAAAGGATGATGTGTGCGCCCAAACACGTTGTTGGCGGTCTCTCCCCACTATAGGGAGACATGAGCGTGCGTTCATTTTATTTGGAGAAAATTCGGCACCATCAGTGTCTGAGGGACATTTGTCCTGACAAAGAGGACCGCCCCCGCCTTGACGAGCAACTTTACGAGTACGGCGTCATCCTCTGCGACTTTACCGATCCATGCAGCGTAGCCTAGTTCACACAATATTAGTGCTAAGAGTAAACGGAGTGAGGAGGGCATAACTACCCATCGTAGTTTCTAATCCTTTGATGCAGATCTGGTCCTTAAGGGATATAGGAAGGCCGTGAAGTGGACCCATCACGGTGCCATGCTCCTTAAGAAAGGCATCTAGCTCTGCCGCACGTTCCAGAGCCTTGTCGATGAAGATCTCCGTGAGACAGTTTACCTGCGTTCCGGTGAGTGTGAGTTTACCGATGATAGACTTCAAATCGCGCACCGCTTGCTGGGCGATGATGGCCCTCTTGCTGAAAGCCGTCGTGACTTCCACTGCGGACCATACTCCAGATGCAAGCTTCTGTAAAAGGATAGACACGTCGGGGACATCCGTGATCTCAATCTCCTTCTCTGTAAGGAGGCCGCAAGTGTATGGGACGGCCGATACGTCGGTCTGATTGTCGGGTATCGCTGGAATAAGCCATTCCTTGGGTATAGAAGCTTTCCGCCGCTCGAGTTTGTCGGCGACATGACGTTTCCATTCCCCCATCTCTGCCGGCGGCGCAGTCATGGCAATCTTCGATGAGAGAGAGGTGTGGGCTGCGGGAGGAGGTGAGCAAGGCACAGAGAGCGCGATAAGAGGGTAGGTATATATATGGTGCTTGCCTGAAACTGAAATTCCCAGAGGCTCTCAACGCGTGCCTATGGATACTAGCACGGACTTGGATCAAACGAACGTCACGATGCATGGTGAAAAACTGGAACATGATCAAGCTCCAGCTGACTTGATCGAGTCCAGATGAAGAGGACAGTTGACGTCTCGGGTTCAATGTTCAACGCTTCACCCGAGCCACCCAAGAGGATCATCGAGGAGCGGTGCCTCGATAAGAAGACGCTTCACATACGCGGGGGCCGCACCGCACCGGTGACCTGGGTTCAAGGCTCGAGAGCAAGTCAGCTGGTGGCGGCCCACCGTGCGTAATGTCCGTGACCACCTCGACGACCACCCGAGCGCACACCGGCACAGAGTCAATGTACAAGGCGCATCAGTGGCAGCAGGCATGGAAATAGAACGTGACATAAAAGGCAGAGCAGAAGAGGAGGCGAAGAGCCTGGCCGGCCCTGTTTGTTGTCCGGGGCATAAGCGCCTGGGACCGAACTGGAACAAAGGGTGTCGCCACCCCCGTCGTCGACCCCACACTTGTCGTCCTCGCTCACGCTTATCCTTGTCCTCTATTGTTCTTCGCCTGCTCCGTACGATGCTCCCCTGCTCTGCACCGCCTGTCTGGACCTTCTGCCGACCCTATATTTAAGGCCTCTCTTTGCGTCTCACTTTTCTCCATTGTCTCTTGACGACCTCTCGCCCCCTCTCCATCTCTGCAGGCAGGCCTTCCACTCGCTCTCTTCTCTTCACGACCTTTCAGCTAGAAGCTCACTTGCCTCCACGAAACCCGACTCTCTGCACACCTCACTCGCACCTGCCCACACGCTTTATTCACGATGCTTAACGGAGTCACCAAGGCCGTCAACCTCTACCTCATCCCCCTCCTCTCGCTCACCTCCTTCATCCTCATCCTCTTCACTTACCTGGCTCCGGTCATTCTCTTCCCGGGTCAAGTCTCCCTTCTATCGGTCACCCCATCTACTGCCCTCACAGACTCTAGGTCTTCTGACGGTGTGGATGGGCCTTCGGTCTTCCTGGGCGCGCTCGGTATGTTTTTCTGCGTTGACGACGTCAGTTCCCTCGCTAACTTCCCTCTAGGCTCGTGCACGCGCCCCAACAATGGTGGTCCTTTGACCTGCACTGCGCCCACCGTCTCTCCCACCTACGGTACGTCGCAATCCCCGCGTTTCATCTACACCCATTCTTATTGTGCCCCAGACCTCTCCGTGCTCCCCAAGAGCGCGCCGGACCTGCTCTCCGCGCCCACCGCGACGACGCCCGTGTTCATCGCCATCTCCCTCGCGTTCACGATCATCTTCTTCATTCTTTTCACCCTTACCACCTTCCGCTCCAAGATGGGCAAGGCCGGCAACGTATTCGACAAGCCCGCTGTGCAGCGCGCGACCGCCTGGATCGGCCTCCTCGGCTTCCTCATCGGCATCGTCTCCTTCCTCGTCATCCGCATGTGGTTCGGCAAGGCCGTCGAGGACTTCAACCGCGACATCTTCGAACAGGGCTCCAACGCCCCGCAGCTTATCGCGTCGACCGCCAACGGCTTCATTAGTGAGTTCCGCCGAAGCTGGGCGGTGTGTAGCGTGGTTTCTGACTGTCTACGCTCTACAGTGGCCTGGGTAGGCTTTGCGTTCTACGCTGTCCCTGTCGTATCTTCTCTGGCTAAGCTCCACGTCGCTGCTGGCAAGGCGTGAGTTTGCGTGCTCCCGAGCTCCTCCGTTCTACAAGGGCATAGAAAAGGACTCGCCTCATGAGTCGTGGACATCACGGACATACATACATATACCTTGAGCTGCTGGTGCGGTTCTGCACTCCTTTACTGTATCGATACGACTCCCCTGTACCTTGTATTCACTCGCGATATACATAATGCTCTCGCCAGAGATGGAGCGCGTCTTTCCCTCCCGATTTTCTCGATTACAGCCGGTGTGTCATTGCATGAGTGTCATTGAAGAAGTCGTAAAGAACAAACCATGAGAGCGATACGAGAGCCAGATGAACCGACCGAGGCACAGACAATCTTACGAATCCAATGTTCCCACATTCTCCTCACCGCCGCCAGGCCTATAGACTAGAGCTCGGCAGCGTCTGCGTGACGCTCGCCCCCGCGAGCCCACCCGACGGCAACGTGAAGCTCAGCGTCTTCGTCTTCGCCGTACCCCACCCCGCCGGCGCCGAGCCCGAGCCGAGCGTGAACGTGAGCGTGAGGCTGGCGAGCAGCTGCGTCGGGTCCGCGACTGTCACCTCCCAGCTGTCCATCCGCACGATCACGCTCGCGCTCCCCGTCGACGTCAGCCTGATCGTCGCGCCCCCCGCGGCCGCGGCGGGCACAGTGAACGCGCCCCCGGTGGCGTCCCAGAAGACGCCGTACGCCGTCGGGCCGTGCGCGGCGTCGAGCAGCGCGGAGATCGAGCCGTCGTTGCGGATGACGGCGAGCGTCTGCGCGGCCGTGGCGGCCTTGCTCGCGAACGAGGACGCGGTCGTGCCCGGGAAGACGAGGTAGGCGATGGACGCGGAGAGGTCGTTGTGCGTGAGGTAGGCGGTGAACATGTCGACGGAGATCGCGCCGGCGGAGGACGCGCCGATCGCGCTCCAGTTGCCGGTCTTCGTCGACGCGTCGACGGTGAGCGTGACCGGGTTCGATGTGTTGAAGGCGTAGCCCACGCCCCCATGCCAGAGGGTGCTCGGGTGCGAGAAGTTTCCGCCAGTGGACGCGGCGCCGTTGACGAAAACGCTACCGGAGAGCTTGCGCTGGTCGAGCACGGAGAGCACGGGCGTTGATGTGTTCGTGACCGAGACGCGGGCGACCATGACGAGCTGGACATCGTCGTCGAGGAAGAGCCAGGTCTTGCGCCAGTTCAGGCTCTTGTTGATCGGGTTCTCGTACCGCATCGCGACCGCGGCGACGGTGCCGTCGGTCGCACCACCGACCATCGTCTGTGTGCCTGTCTTGCGCGTCATGCTACACGAGAGGACGGTGCCGCCGTAGTCGACGGTAATACCGGGAATGAGGTTCCAGTCCCAGGCGGCCACGATGTCTTCGTACTCGTCGCCGTTGATGTGGGTGTATACGGTCCCGTCCGCAAGGTGGAAACCGAAGTTGTTGGCGGACGCGGTGCACTCGGTGTTCTGGGTCCGCTTGGAATACATACGCAGAGTGGTAACGTAGCCAGGTCCACGCTGAACCTAGTACGATGTTCAGAAGAAGGCGATCGGTTCAGGAGGAAAGGACATACAAAGTAATCGTTGGCGAAGAAAACACGGCTTCCCATAAGATTTCCGGAGTTCGCCGTCGTTGTGTTCAGGTTCAGGTTGTTGAAGACGTCAGAGAAGACGTCCGAATCCCAGAGCTCTCCGATGACTTGTATCTGGGTAAGATTGGTCTTGATATTGGCCGATGCGCTGTAAGGGGGGCTTCAGCCACTGCTCTGTTAGGTCATCGTACACATCCGTGCTTACTGGTTATCGGAGACAGGATCCGTCATCAACCTGCCCAGCACGCTCTGAACGAGCTATCAATACTGGAAATCAAGGGGGAAAGTTGTATACACTCACGAAATCCCAGTGCAGCACATTAGTGAAGACGTTCCGGAAGATCATCCACTGAATGGCATCCACCAATGTCTCCAAAGATGACCTTGCGGCGTCGCTGGCCTGGAACTGGGTTCCTGCGGCTTCAATTTCGAAGGAGAACAAATCATTTTCGCTGAACGTCATCCGTTGGTGCATATACGCATATTTGAACGCAGACGACCCACTAGTCTTTCCCATAATTGCCATTATAAATAATTCCGGCATGCTGCCCAAAGGAGCCGTCCGCTCTGATACCGTCGGCCTTGGTACCATTCTGGATGAGAGCATCGGAATGCACGTGGTCGAAGCCGGCAGAGACGAGCGAGACGTTCCCCTGAAGAAGACCTTGATCGATGCCGATGCTAGCGATGTCTTGCAGGTTCGCGCCGGTGATGTTCGAGACACCGACGATGCCTGTATCGAAGGTGGCGAAAGACCTCGAGGTGAACTTGACGCAATTATCGAGTTCAGTGGCTATCAAAGAGTCGCCCAAGAGCAGACATGCTTCACCGACGGAGGTCGGGATTCCGACGACCTGTGAGAGACGAGTCAGATCAACCCATACGTTTGTGATATATGTCCTGAATATGTACATTACTGAACCAGTTCGTATTCCACAGCCCGGGGACCCACACGGGCATGCATCGGTGCCGCCTTGGTCAAGGCAAGCGGGAATCGGAAAGTCGTTCTCGAACCAGAAGTTCATGGCCGACGAAATCGCCGCGCGGATCGTTGAGTCCTGTGTCCACTGGGCGGCGTTCTTGAAACCGCCGTGCCAACCCGCAGAGAATGTCACTACGCTTTTATGAGTCCATGGCTACAGACCGTGGCGTAACAAAAGCTCACATATGCGGGACCAGTGCGTTTCCGCTTTCCAATTGGCGGTCGGGGCGTTACAGCCAGTAGTATAGTCGACATCAGGCCAAGAGCCGTCCGCAGACTGGGTAGAGAGCCTAATACCAGTGTGAGGATCAATGCTACCGTATAGCGTGAGATCGTAGTGCTCACCAAGTTTGGATCGAGGTTGCGCCGGTAGTCGCGCCGACAATAGTGGCAAACCTGCGCTCCTTGACGGTGTCAATATCGTCGTCCGCGGTAGAGGCCGCTCGGACAGCAGCGGTATCGGCAGGGATGGCAACCGCAAGGCGCGAAGCCGAAGCAATCAGAGGAAGGATGGCGAGATAGCGCATATCAAGCACCGGCTGCTATCAGAGGAACGGCTCGAGACCTGACGAGGCATGGGGGGCATGGTGGTGCTTTTATACTTCCAAAGGTCTTCCCCGAGAATGCCCAATGTGCAAAGAAGCTCGGCGCCATCCGCGATGCAGATGGTCGTCCACCTTCGCGCACGCGATTCTCCGGCAAGACTCCCTGCAGTGGCTCTGGGCATGATGTCGGAGGCCTCTCCAGGCACAGGGCTGGAGTAACTCCGTACAATACGGAATGCACTGCCATGAACAGAAAACTGGTCCTATGTGATCAGGAAAAATATACACAAGACCTGGAGGCGACTCACAGAGCGAGAGCTGGATCTTGGATCATTCGTATCGCCTTTTGGAGGAGACTCTGAGGCAGTCTCGGTGCATTGCTCCGCGAGTGTTCCTGCACAGAAGCGTGTCTAATTTGGGGGCTACCGTGCGCGCAACGCTACGTGCCGCGTGGTATGTCGGATAGCTGCATCGGAGAGAGGGCCAGTTGTGGCGAGGAGCAGGTTGGGAAGAAGACGAGGCCCGCGTGGGATGGCGGCAGCGTTGATCACGAGCCGCGCGCCCGGCGAAACCTGGCTCTCATGCGAAACGGGCTCAAAAGGCTAGCAGACGGCCCCGGCACCACTCGGGGCCACTGACAGTACAGGCACAGGAAGTTGTGGGTCCATCGCGTACATGTCATCTCTAGTCACCGTTTAGCACGGGCGTCGTGTGTATCACGGCCGATATGTCATTTCGTTATATATAACTAGTCGCACAACAAATGACTTGGACCATTGGCGATCATAGCAAGGGGAAATTTTGACTCCCAACGCTCATTCAGGGTATTTTCCACCGCCCCTGTGTGATGACTCGCTTCGAACATAACGGAACAATTGTTAGACCTCGACATACGTCCTCCCGGAACTCGAGTCAGACGTCAGCGAGCTTGCTTGAGCGACATTGTTCACGATCCAAAGCAAATTAAACCCACTTATTTGGCTTTGTCAATGTGAACCGAGACTGAAGGAGGGCTCGTCGGGCAAGCCAGGTTGTACAACAGGGGTCGTCCCATGGATGCATAACGAGCAACGTACGACATACAAATCGACATAAGATCAGAACGCAGCGGTCTGCTCGTAACCTTGCTGGTAGCCCTCCTGAGGGGGGTACGCAGTCTCCTCCGCCGCAGGCGGCGGTGCAGCGACGACTGCAGGCTCGCGCTGCTCGGACGTGGGCTCGGCCACGATTTTGTCGAGAGGGGGCTCGAGGATCTGGACAGAGTCGGGAAGAGGCTTGCGGGGTCCAAGCTGACCCTCGGGGTCCCAGCCCTTCATGCTAGATACCGAGGTTAGAATACTTCTTCACAGTAAAACAAAATAACAGCGTACATTTTGACCTTGATACCAAGGACACCCTGACGGAGCATGACGTGCCTGACGGCGTAGTCAACGAACTCAACGGCGGGCTGACCGGAGTGGATCATGAAGCCGTCGGTGAACTTCATGGACTTGGCACGTGCCGCACGAAGCTTGCCGGAGACGACAACCTCGCAGCCCTTCGCATTGGACTCCATGACGAAACGGAGGACACCATAGCAAGCACTTCAAACCGAATCAGAATACGGCAGGGGGAAGCGTTGGCTGAATGTGCGTACCGGCGGACAGCGAGACCACCAAGGAGCTTGTAGCGGAGAGACTCGCACTGGGCGATGGCGGAAAGACCACGGTACTGGACCTTCTCGGCGTAGAGCTCGAGGGAGTTGTCGGGGAACTTGAAACGCTTTTGGACGAGCGCGGTGAGCTCGCGGATGCGGCGGCCCTTCTCACCGAGGACCTCCTGGGTGTGGGTGGCACGAATGATAATCTGGGGGTGGGTCTATGGCTCGAAGTGCATTCCGCATAGTGGACCGCAAGAGCACTCACCTCAGTGCGAGCGTGGGTCACACGGACATCGCAGCCGGAGTAGCCCTCCTCGGAGAGCTCGCGGGTGAAGAAGTCGTTCAACTCGGCGCGGAAGACACCGTCTGCAACGAACTTGCGCTTCTTGCTAATCTGGCTGGCCATCTTGAATTTGAGGCGAGAGCTATGGAGGACAAGTGATGTGAGCGCAGTTCTCAGCGTCATCCGAAACCAATCTCATCCATCCATCCGGTTCTGCAACGCTGACCGCGCTAGGAATCCGCAAGGCATGACCTAGAAACCATACGTACTGGATAGACACTCACTGAGGGGGGTTGCTTCACGGTGGACGCGCCGAGGATGTAGCTCTTGAGGCTTTGGCACGAGACTCCAGCCAGGGCACGACTTCCATGCTGGGAGGCTGCATATGGTAATTAACTCCCACGACCAATGAGCGCCGAGAGTAGCATAAATTTCAGCCGCGGACGCATCGAGTTTTCTCGTGCTCTCCCTTCTCCCTCTTTACGACGCAGTCTGCACATCTCACGCTTGCATTGGTGAGTTTGTCTCGTTGCGGTTCTCGTGTCCGCTATGAAGAGTGTTGTGTCTTCAACCGTAACTGGCACCTCTTAGTCGATTCGATCCCTTGCTTCCTGGCACTTGCCTTGCTTGGTCTCGATGACATGAATGACCTTCTGAGCTTATCATGTCGTTTTCCGTTATATCCTCAAGCTGACTTTGTGACTCCGTAGGTTCATGTGTATCATCTCTACACAGTAGCTGTGGGGTGGGGCGCGGAATATGCGGATGTAAAGTCAAGTAGCTGCATGTATCACAGTTGCGTGTATAGGGTGATATCGTAATGTTTATTGTCACTTTTATTGTCACTGCGGAGTTGGTGGTCGAGGTTATGTTTGTAATATGGGGACGGCCATGGCTCTCTGCTTTACTCATTACCCGGTGGTGTTACGGCTCATTGCATTTCCAGCAGATATCTCCAGGTCCAGTGGATTGGTGTCCTGAATTTGAACCCGGTATGGTCTGGTATGGTCCCTTGGTAGCCACCGTCGTGAGAGAGCAGCGTGCCCATGCGAGCACTAGCACTCGCTGTATAAGACAGCCATCTGGCTTCCGCAGGGCGCTATCAACACCCCCACCTCTTCGACACGAACGGCCATGGGTAGCTGGCAGGACCTCGTCGCGGACAAGAAGCTCAGGCAGCAAGCCGCCATCCCGCTCGACTGGGTGCTCAAGTCGCCTCCGGCCCCTGATGTGCTCGATGTCAGGACGTTCCCCGACAGCCCCCAATGCGGTGTACTATCGGAGAGGGAGATCACGATCACGAACGCGGTCGACGTCGAGCTCCTGCTTGCCAAGCTAGCATCTGGGGAGTGGTCGTCTGTGGAAGTGACCACTGCATACTACAAACGAGCTATCATTGCACACCAGCTGGTACGTTCAACATCCTTGCTTGCAGCCATGGTCGCTCACTGACCTCTTGCCGTTATAGGTCAATTGCTTGACTGAGATATTTGTCGATCGTGCCCTGCAGAGGGCTCGGGAACTCGACGAGCATCTGAAGACTACCGGCAAGGTGGTAGGCCCGTTGCATGGTCTCCCGATCTCACTCAAGGACCAAATCCCTATCAAAGGCCTCGAATGTACCATGGGTGAGTATAGTGTCTTCGCTGACAGGGCAGGCCTGACCAGACGAGTTTCCCAGGATACGCTTCATGGATAGGTCGATACTTTGAGAAAGATGCAGTCATGACCCAAGTTTTGTATGCTTGCGGGGCAGTGCCATTCGTCATGACAAACGTGCCACAGACTCTTATGGTTCGACTTAAATTGGTGCTATTCAGCGGCTGCGTTCACTCACGCCATACATTTCAGTGGTCAGAGACGTACAACCTTGTGTTTGGTCGGACCTCCAACCCCGCCAACCGCACGCTCACATGCGGTGGATCGTCCGGCGGCGAGGGCGCGCTCGGTGGGATGAAAGGCACTCCTCTGGGCATCGGGTCTGACATCGGCGGGTAGGAACACGCCAGGCTCTTGCTTCTTTCCACACATAATCTAACCTTGTCTCTCTGTAGCTCCGTCCGATACCCGAGCGCCTTTAACGGACTCTATGGTCTCCGCCCCTCTTACCATCGCATCCCCTACTCTGGATGCGTCAACAGCCTCATGGGCCAAGACTCGGCCCCGTCCGTACTCGGCCCGATATCCGGCAGCCTCTCTGGAGTCCGCGCGTTCATGAAGGCCGTCATTGGGCAGCAGCCATGGCTCCTTGACCCGCTCGTTGTCCGGAAGCGATGGATCGAGGAGGAGTACCAGCTCGCCGATCACGGCTTCGGGAAGCAGCTTTGTTTCGCCCTTATGGAAGACGACGGGATCGTGCTTCCCCACCCTCCCCTTCAACGCGCCATGAAGATGACGGCAGACGCGTTGCGCGCGGCTGGCCACAAAGGTGCGCTTCGCTCGTGCTTCGTGGCATATGCATGACGAGAGCTCACTCCCATGATAGTGATCCCGTGGAAACCATACAAGCAAATGGACATCTATACGACCGGGGCAAGTGGACATCGACCTGCTCCGCGCGCACCGCATTGATTCGCTTTTGTTTACTAACCTAGGCTGCCATCTGGCTCGCTGGCGCACTCGAAGATATCGATGCGGTCACCGCGGCCAGCGGCGAGCCACGCATTGAGAGCATGGCGATGCCCGGGGCCCAAGCAGTCGACACGGGGATGGGCTACCCGGCAGGCATTTCGGCGTACGAGAACTGGCAACTGCACAAGCAGCGCACTGCCCTGCGCGAGGAGTACCTCGCTCTGTGGCAAGCCAGCGCGGCCGAGACGGGGACCGGACGCCCGGTCGACGCAATCATCTTACCCGTCGCGCCGTCCGCTGCCCCGCCTCATGGCAAGAGCATGTACGTTCAGTCTACTCTCGATGCTACGACCCTATTGATCAAACCGTATCCTGGAGAAGCATTGCGACGTACACCGTGCTCGGTAACATCATGAACTACCCAGCTTGCGTGTTCCCGGTCACTACGGTTGACCCCGTCCAAGACCCTGTGCAAAAGAGGGAGACCTTCATGAGTCCGACAGACGAAGAGAATTACAACCTCTGTAAGCACGAGGGTTCATGATGCTTGCAGTGTGTTGCCGACTCTAATGCCATTGCTGCAGACCATCCTGACACCTTCAAGAACGCTCCCGTCAGCTTGCAGCTTATGGGTCAGACTTTGGAGGAGGAAGCGGTACTTGCAATGACCGAGATTGTCGATAACGCACTCAAAAGCAAGTTCGGAGTCGTGAAGAAATGACGGGTAGTGTAGGATCCATTCGTAGGGTGAAGTTTTCCAGAAGATGTACATTGAGCAACAAAGAATCACCTTTCAACCCGACAACATCCTTCACGCGCGTGCTTCGTTCACGAAGATAGCGGCCCCTCCCATGCCACTGCCGATACACATGCTTGTGCAGAGAATTGGCGCTCCCCTCCTACGGAGCTCTGCGAGACCTGTAACAACTTGACGGATACCGGCTGGGCGGAATATATCAGTGTATAGAAGCACATATTCCATTAATGTGACATACTCATTCCCAGTGGATGCGTGAGTGCAATAGAACCACCACTAAAACAAAGGATTAGACGAAAGCACCAGGCGAATAACCGGTATGAACGGACTTGGGATTGATATTCTCCATGGGAATCTGGAGGTTCTCTACACAGTACGCAAATTGCGACGCGAAGGCTTCGTTGATCTAAGATGGTCTTCTGGTGAGCCTGGTGAAGATGGCGAATGGTGATAGGAAGTACATACCTCCCAGACGTCAACGTCTTCTTTCGAAAGGCCTGTCATGGCCAAGACCTTCGGGATGGCGACCGCGGGAGAGATCCCCATATACCGCGGCTCAACGCCTGTGAAGCCGTGTTTTCTGGATCAGAGAACAGACAGAATAAGATGGACGGGAGATTGACTCACCGACAAACGTGCTCGCAACGTACTTGCCTACAATGTCCCAGTCCTCGCGCTCCGCGCGCTCACGGGTTGTCAGGAAGCAGAGAGCAGCACCGTCACCGACGCCACTGGCATTCCCAGCAGTAGTCGAACCGTTTTCGCCGAACACAGGTTTCAGTTTGGAGAGTGAATCGAGAGTGACACCAGGCCGAACGGTATCATCAACTGAGATCACGGCACCGCGGATCTCCAAGGGCAGGATCTCTTCCGAGAAGGTACCCGACTGGACGGCCTGTCGGACATGTCAGCTTGTTCGTTCAGAGTACGAGCATGAGAGATGGACCTTTGCCGCACGAGTGTGTGAGATCAATGCATACTCGTCTTGCTTTTCGCGAGACACATTGAAGGCCTTCGCGACTTGTTCGGATGTCCATCCCATTGGCTGCGTAGGATTGCGACTCCATCAACCGAAAGTTGTAACAAAAAGAAGCATGGTCGCACCTGCACGCAGTCGGACGACTGCGAGTTGCTACTTAACAGTTCTACAATCTCGGGTGTAGGCCGAGGGCTACAGAGGAATCGCTATGGGTTCCGAGCGGAGGTTCGAAGGGATAAAATCCACTTACTTCAGCGTCATGCTTCCACCCCGACCGCCATCCCCAGTTCAATCTGACCGCTCTTCACCGCGTTTGCAATAGTGACAATAGATTGAAGTCCGGACCCGCAAAGCCGGTTCGTGGTGGAAATGGAAGTCTCTACGGGCACTCCGGCCGCAATCGCCGCCGCACGAGACACATACAGAGGAGACGGCGGATGGCATGTTCCTGTAGAGGGTTGTAGACGAATACTTAACAGCATGTGGACGTGCAAAGCTCACCCACGCAAATATCTTCCAACAACGCTGGATTCAGCTTCGACTTCTCAAAGCTGGCCTGGTCCAGAAGAGCCGTAAGCTTCAACGCTTGGACGTCAATAGGTGAACCATACCTTAAAGAGGGCATGCAGCAACTCATCGACAGGAACGTCCTTGAGCTGGCCTTTCTTCGCTCTGCCCAACGCCGTTCGCTTGGCGAACGTTATGACGACGTCGTCAGGATGCTTCGCGAGGAGGCCCGCGCGACCGTTGGCCTGGGTAGCATAGGAACGGGCCAGCGGTTGCGCAGTCTGTCGGAGGCTTAGTCTAGACAACATGGTCGATAGCAAAACGGAGAGGGAGAGAAAGAGAGAGGGGGAGGAGGGTGGTTCATGGGTCCAACAGCACTAAGTACTGTGTATTGGGGGATATTCCCCACACTAGTGGCTGCAGCTAGCGGTAGATCTGTGCTCCCAATCCCTACGACGCGCACACATGACCTGTCTCGCAACGCGTCTTGCTCATCCGTCCGACTAAATCCGACAATGGCTCCCGCGCGGTCCTCCGTCCATTACGCGTCCGTTATATTTGTAGCTATATACACATAGAAGTAGGTACATTTATATACGTTGAAAAAGCATTTGAGAGCAGAGCAGTACGAAACGAATCCAGATATAGTATACGAGAGCCTCTAGGAGCAGCAGTGAAAAAGCAGATAGGACAGCGATAGCAGGAAGAGACAATCGCTGTGTATGGTGTCGAAACTCTTTCAGTCGAAGTCGTTTGAGTATATTTCAGGCATATTCTTCGTCATTGAATGCCTTCTCGCTCTTGGCTCGTTCTCAGGCCTCATAATTGTCTCCATTATCTTCAGAGTTGACGTTGTCCTCGCTCTTCAGCCAAGCTTTAACCTTGTCATTGACTTCGTCTGTAGGTTCATCTTCATCTACTTCGCTGCAATGTTCTTCGGCGGTAAGCAGAGGAGGCTGACCAGGAATGCGCTGTCGAAGGGTACATCCTCAATGAGGAAGTCGTACAAAGCTGAACAAGACCTCAACGATACCTTCAGAGCATACTTGCACACCAGATGACCCTTAGGATTCATACCCGGCTCTTGCCATGCCTTTGGCTCCGAGGTCAGTATGACTATGCATGACAATTGCGACAGTACTCACCCGCTCCACGGTGTAAAGGCCATCATATCTGTAGCCTTCAGCAGGGGCGAACTCAGAGTGAAGCTTATAGCCACGAATCACGCGCACGGGTTTCTTCGTCTCAGAGGATCGCTATCGGAAAGAAACGTCAATCGGTTGTCCCTATCATGAATTAGGCTAGTAGCAAACCTTTAACGCAGCATTGAAAGGGTTATCAAAGGTCTGGTCATAAGTCTGGGGTCCTGTACGAAGCTGCAGCCAGCAGTCAGGAGTCCTGTACGAACCAGTGTAACAGCATCACGAACATTCTTCGGATTCTTCCTGGTGCCCTTGAGATCGCGGCCACCTATTGTCTAGATTGATACCCTTGAGACATAAGAGACGATAGGAGCAGCTCACCAGACCCTGTGAATGTACTGAGCCGTCGTCAGAGACATCTCATGAAGTCGAAACATGGGCACTCACAAGCCTTCTCCGAAGTCAACGTCATCCTCGTATCCTCCTGACAGTGCAATCGAATATGCCCCATGAGGACCAGCAGAAATACCGGCAACCCACGGTCTGAGAACGCGTGAATGAACATGACCGTGGGACGAAAGATTGACACTCACGCATGTATCGAGTCCGCGCTGCATGCTTGTCTAGAGGAATGTCGTGAGCATGCAACTCAAGCCAGTTGAGCAACAACACGTACCGCGTCTCCCACCAAGAGCCTACAGGGACGCCAGGGATGGCACCATATGTCTTACTGTACGACATACGCATGGATTTACTTGTTCCAGGAGCGGCAGGTGTGGCTTTGGGTACTCACGGGTCATAATTCCTCTTCGACAGATTGGGGTCCCGCGCCGCGCTCACGACGCGGGGCAGCGCGCGAGCGCGGAGCATTGCGGCCACCTCACCGTCGTCCTTGTAGTTGAGCTCCTTCCCTCTGTTACGCGCACTCCTTCGCACCCCTTCTCCGTGGTCGGCCTTGGCAACTTTTTTCGGAGGCTCCTCGACTGCTTCGTCGTCGTCGTCAGCGCCTAGGTCGCGGTTTGACGCGTCGTGAGTGGGTAGTCCGCGCTTTTTCGACGGGTCAGGTTTGCGGGGCTTGCGGGGTTTAGTGATTACGATTTTCTCTATATTCAGCGCTAGTAATGCGGCCTGATTGCTGGCTATTCGCGCCGTGCGTGTCCGGTCGTACTCCGTCATGCTGAAGTGGAGGGATGGGAGGAAGGTGGGAAACTTCAAGCGGATGCCGTCCGCCAAAGCGCTTTCGCGTGTATCACGTGACCGTGTAACCTCGCGTGGTCTTGCGGAGGCTCAGGCAGAGGCAGTTAGATTGTGACGCTGTGATGCTACAGAGTGATAATGCTACAAGGCAGTCCTGCACACACACTCGATATCCCGGATGAACATGTGGATCTAATACCCCGCCGGCCCCGAAGCGATTCCTAGGTAGTTCTGGCTGTGCCCCGATGGCGAGAATGAGTTCGCATCGACACCTTCATAAGTAGGAATGCGGAATGATTGCCCCTCAAACGGACTAGCAAGCGGCGATAGTTGGTGTTCGGACATGAAATGCCCTGCAGGACTTCCGGGGGCGATACTGGGAGTGCCGGTGGAGAAGCCAGATCTGTCGTCAAATCGATCGTGCATGTGCTCTACGCGGGGTCGTCAGCAACAAAGTAACATGTGGAGAAGAATATACGCACTTCCAACGAACTTGCACTTTCCCTGTTTCCGAAACACGCATTTAAGGCCTTTGGGACAGAAGTGGTTCATGATGCAGTGGTCGCCTAGAGGACACCGGTTGCCTTTCATGATGTATCGTTAGCCTCAAGTGATAATACAGTATAGTTCACTCACCATTATTGACTGCAGGGCATGGCCACTTCTTCGCATTCACTCGTAACTCCCCTACCTGATCGGGTGTAAGCGGGTAGTTGTGTTCATATTTGCAGTGTTCTCCGTTGTTGCATCGTGCGAGATAGAAGAAATTGCAGGGAGGTGGCCTCTCTGGGAAACGATGAACAACAATGCGATGGCACGAGCTCAAAGGATAACGTACGTTTGTGAAGAGGCTGAAGACCAACACACCATATCAGAAACCGATGCGACGATGATCACGGTAGCGACATACCTGGGACGGGTCGAGGGGTGTGACCTTCTTGCTTGGTGTAAAGGCCTGGAAGTTTGTGCTCGGCGGGGAAGGTTTGGATTGACGAGCTTTGTCAGAGTCTTGTTGCTGGACAGTGGGATGTTTCGGCTTCGGGGATTTGTTGTATGACGTTGACGCAGGCGTGCCAGCCATCGGGGGAGTAGTGAACGCCGCAGTCGAGACATTGGCCTTCTTATTTCCGTTGGTGTAGAGCTTCTTCTGAATGAACACGCCTGCAATCTCTAACTGAGGCAAATTCAAATTATGGATTTCGTGTGCGAGGTCTTTATATCCCTTAAGAAGGACGATCTTATCCAAGAGACCCTCGTTCTGCAAGAGATTGAGCGTGGAGGTGTAGCCGTTGTCGTGTGCGCCGCCGAAGAACACTCTGACGGTTTGAGGGAAGCGAGTGAAGACGCGGAGACACTCTGTTGTACGTCAAGCGTCGCTCATGAACGTGGGTCACTAGACTTACCTTTAATCTTGGAGTCGGCGGCTTCTTTCCCGCTGCCGACATCGACGATGGAGAACAGAGGAGACGCTTGGTTGAACCCAAGCATGAACGCCTCGAACTCCTCCATGGTGCAAACCGCGTTGCTGATGAGCGTCTCTACCAGTCCACTCTTGTTGCAGTAGATGGTGAGCCATATTTGCCCTCTCCCTGGGGCAGACGCCTCTGAAGGATCGATTGACGCAAGGTGATCGGAGAGACCCTTGGTCAACAGCATAGCCGCTTGTCGACCGCCTACTTGGCCCTGCTTGATGAGGTCGGAGGAGAAGATGTTGCCGTCTCCGTCAATGAGGCACACGACCAGAGGGTTGTCTTCCTGTGGTGGTCATGACGTAGGGACCCGGAGGTAGACAATGAATACCGGGAGAGTGCACAGGAAACAAAGAAAACAGCTGCGGCGCACCTTCAGAGCACCAATATTCCTCTCTAGCCTCAGGACCGTCTTGTTCAGGACCTTACGGTCGCCATCCGCAGTTTTGAAAGCCTCTTTCCAAACAGAGAGTTCCTGCTCAAGCTCCTCAACCCGCGCGTGCAGCTGCGTGTTTGTCTCAAAGGTTCGTCTGAAGAGAGCTGGATGAAGGAAGCACCCAGCATCAGCATGCACATGAGCGAATGGCAGCCACAAGCGTGTGCTTACATGTCTGGTCATCAAGAAGTCGTTTCCTGGTGGCTCGGTAAGGGAAGAAGGTTCGTGGGACCAAATATCCAGTGGCGTGCTCACCAAAGTGTAAGATCCGCTGAATCTACGGTTCGTCGCCCATGGGCATGCTGTGCAGCTTCAAGCTATGAAAGAGCGTCGGTAGGAATGGGGAGTGGTGGGAGCTTTCGCATGAGTCAGGGTTTTATACAAGCCCGAGTAGACGTCGCTACGGCTGGCGCCAGTGTCTGCTGAGTCTGCTCTGCTCGACCACAATTGGATCGAGGACGCCCATTTAGACGCCCATGACTTGCCTGCAGTGGCTCCGGGTGTGGTTCTCTCAAGCATCCGCCTCTCGGCACACGAAGGACGCGACAAAACGAGCTATGAGTCACATTCTAGTAGACGGTATCTGCGCCAGAATATCCTGTTCCCACACCCTGAGTAGATGCCAATGCCCTGTTAATCCTACACCTCTTCCGCAACAATGTGAGCGATTCGAATGAATGCTTCTTTGACCTCATTGCCTACAAGCGGATCTCCTGTGGCAGCACGACCCGTCTTCTTCTTCCAAAGTCTCCAGACGCCTGCTAGGGCGATTTTGAGATCCGCCTCGTCTTCGTCTTCTTCGGCGCTGGCCTCCTCCTCCACTGTACCCGTTCGGTGAAGATACGGAACAGAGGCAACGAAGGCGCCCGCGCTGGGTATCGGCATCCCAGTGGCCACGAGGGCGGGCTGGGACAAGCCCAAGGCCGATGAGGACGACGACTCGGAATCGCCAATGGTTGGAGAGCTAAGCTCCTCTTCCGGTTCGAACAGACCATCTAACGCAGGGCTCGGGAGAGGACTCGAGCGCGGAGAGATGGTGGAAAGAAGATGGGCGAGCGCGGACGGAGAGGCTGGATCCCACCGGGAACCTATAGGTGGTCGCGATAGCATCGACGGAGGAATGGACAGCGGCTCGTCGTAAGACTCCGCGTACGGAGCTTTGGGGGGATGTGACGACTCTTGTTCGTCAACCCCTTCGGCGTGCACTGCCGGAAGTGGCTTCCGTCGATTTGGTGCTACAGGTGAGGGAATGGTAGAATCCGCGGTGCCTGTGAGAGCGGATCAGAAATAGGATCCTCTCTCGTACACGACATGAGGGGGGGATACATACCATGAACAGAGGAGTACTGCGCCCAATATGCGTCTTCAGAGGACGATGTGTCCTTGCGACATGTGGGTATCCCGTCGGAATATGCGCTGTCCCCGATGTCGGTGGAGCCGTAAGAATTCCAATAATCGTCTTCATCCTCGTCACTAGCTAGAGAGCTTTCGCGCAAGGCGGGTGCATGGGCCGTAACTGGACGCACAGGGCTTGCAGGAGGGACGAGAATGTCCTCCAAGCTGCTGCGACTCCCCGAGGGGAACGGCATGAGGTCGAGGTTGTGATATCTCCAGTCTCCTGCGTCGTGCCACTGAAGAATGAGGCGAACGCCATCGCCGTCGTCCGAGACGTTTACATGGGCGAAGAACTCCTCGCCGTCGAACGAGTACTGGATGGGAAAGGTGAGAGGCTGATCGTCATCGAGGGGCTTTGGGCGGGATTCGAGAAGGTCGAGGATCTGGGCTCTCTTCTCCGGGGAAGAAGGCCAACAGAGGTACTCGTCCGGGGTATCTGGGGTAAGGCGGAGATAGTGATGGCGCTGGAGGAGGGTTTGGGAGAGCAGATGCGAGGGAATCGGCTGCGTAAGCTGAGACGGCGGGGAGATGTACTGCAGGAGGACGTGGGGGATGTTGGGGGAAAGCAGTGAGGGCGCCATGGAAAGGGTGAGAATGGGGAGAGAGACGTACGGGACCACGGCCTCTGAAGGCCAGCTGATACTTATGTTCAGAGAGAGAAATCCGGCACGCCGTGGCGATGTCCTCGCGTACACGATCGGGTTTTGCCGCCCAGACGACCGTCTTCCTCCCACCACCGCCAACGCCCCAGAGTCCGCCTCTGTCCCTCTGCATCTCGCGCCCCCGCCTCTCTGTCGCAATGCGTTGCGCACACGTCGTTGCCTCGTTCCTCTTCCCGCTGCTAGCCGTTGCCCAGGTGCGTAGAGTTGTCCCCCCTCTTCCGGCCCTTTTCCTCAAAACCACCCTCCCAGTCCAATTCCTCTACATCCGGCTCAACTGCCCCATCCTCGGGGTCCCCAGCTCCCGTGTCCAACTCAGGAAGCGGCACCCCCTCCGCAACCATTACTGTTATAACTTCCGTCTTCACCACCGTTGCACTCGGCACCGATCGCGCTCTCCACACTCTTACCTCCACGAACCTCATCACGAGCACAATAGGAGGCACGTCTACGGCCGGTTCCACTGGCGGCGGAAACACGGCACCCTCCTCCACCACTCCCATCACCACCACAACGGCTGCGGCGAGTATCGATGGTGGAGGGAGTGTCGCCGGCGGAGCCCCAACACCTGGCCAATCGTCCAGTGGAGGAAAATTCGGCCCCAATGACGGCTACATTGCGGCTGCTCTCGTTCATCACGCTCCTCTCGCCCTCGTCATCTTCACGGCCGTAGTTGGTGGTGCTGCGATGGTGATTGTGTAGGAAGGGCATTGGACATCACTTCGGACAGTCGGAACCCGTCGCACTCATTTCACACACTCGCATACGCATGGACATCTTGTATGACTTTGACGGACATTCGATACATACTGTATGCGTGTGGTTGGCCTGTATCGTGCTGTGTATCGTACACTCGCCATGGCATGGTCTTCACTGAGGTCACCGCACACCGTTCTTATCGTACACCTACCTAGACTGGATAATGACCTTCACGTTGATATCGACGACGACTGAACCCTCCGACGAAACGAGCGACATGTTCATCGCATATTCTGGCCGGAAACAAGCGTCCGGATCCGTGCGTGAACGCGTTTGGGCAGATCTGTCGGAATCCCGCGGACGGGATTCTTGAACCCAGTTCCAATCGATGTCGATGAGCAGGTGCGCATATCGCAGCATTCGCTCCTCTCTTCTCGCCAGCACTCCCCGCCGCACTCGCTGTTTTCCATCTGTATCTTTGACGCATCCCGTCCGTCTACACACTGCATCCATGTCTGAGGAACAGCCTGTCAAGAAGATGCGCATGGAAGGCTCAAAGGTGAGCAAATCCGACATGTTCCCCTTCAACACTTTCCGATCTATCGTAGGTCATCGGCACCCATAATGGTACATTCCATTGCGACGAAGCTCTTGCTGTGTACCTGCTCAAGCACACCAAAGCCTACGAGAACGCAGGTGAGGGATATGTTGACAACCCGTCGGGAGGATCGTTAACGCCCTCGTCAGGTCTCAAGCGCACTCGGGACCCCGCCATTCTCGACAGCTGTGACATAGTTGTGGATGTCGGCGGGAAGTACGATGAAGCTGCCCAACGGTTCGATCACCATCAGCGCGGATTCACCGAGATTTTCGGACATGGGTTCGAGACGAAGCTGTCGTCGGCTGGACTGGTGTACAAGTGCGTCCCTTTGCCTCGTCGGAGAGAAATATCGTGACGTTGAAGCGTCCTGGGCCAAGGCATTTTGGGAAAGAGATCATCTCTAACTGGCTTCAGCTGCCCCTCGATGACCCCAAGATCGAGACTCTTTGGCTCAAACTCTACAGAGAGTTCATTGAGGCCATCGACGCCATCGACAACGGTGTCAACCAGTACCCCACAGACTTGCAGCCCAAGTACCGGATCCGCACCGACGTCTCCGCTCGTGTGGGTCACTTCAATCCAGCATGGAACGAGTCGGTGGATTCGCAGACAGTGGACGTGAGTGCCTGGTTGATTCGGAGTGATATTCCCGTGGCCAATCCTCTTCGTAGGCCAAATTCCAGCTGGCCTCGAACCTCGTCGGTGGGGAGTTCTTCCAACGTCTGGACTACTATGCCAAAGCTTGGCTCCCGGCTCGCGACCTCGTCATCGCGGGGCTGAACGCACGCAAGGCCGTCGACCCGAGCGGCCGCACCATCCTCTTTGAGCAATTTGCGCCTTGGAAGGTAGGTTCACATCATGCTCCTTCTGGAACTTAGCCTCATCCGCTCCTATAGGAGCATCTCTTCGAGCTCGAGGCAGGCCTGCAGATTCCGGACGACGAGAAACCAGTTTATGTTCTCTATCCTGACGAAACTGCCAACAACTGGCGCATTCAAGCGGTCCCCGTTGCACCCGAGAGCTTCGAGAGCAGGAAGGCCCTTCCTGAGAAGTGGCGCGGAGTCAGAGACGATGAGCTGTCTAAGATGTCTGGCGTCGATGGCTGCATTTTTGTGCACGCCAGCGGATTCATCGGCGGTGAGTGTGTTTTGGCATCCATCGTTGTCGTTGCCCTCAGCTCATCAAATCGGTAGGCAATAACACCAAGGATGGCGTGCTCAAGATGGCCAATCTCGCGCTGACGATGTGAAAGCTGAAAACTATTATGGGAGTCGGTCAAATTGCCAATACAATGGCAAAAGATCACGCATGATGATCTTGTTATTCGAGTTACTTACTCGAATTATCTCTGTCCCTCCCGGGACACTACGTCCAAGACGTCTTTCTACGTCGCACACGCGTCGTAGATTGCCTCAGGCAATCTTCGCCTCGTAGACGAAACCCATGTCAGTGCGGCCAGACGTGCACGGAGTGTACGGGGGGAGTGCCAGCGGATGGTCGGGCCGGGGTAATAGCATCCTACTAGACGCTGTAGTTGGTAGCCTTGTCTGCTCATCCACTATCCGCACGGTTGGCTATTCACCTTTGACTTTTGTACACTATGTCCGCGCATCAACCCAAGCCACGCGTGCTGTTGACTGCAAGTACACTCCGTTTTCTCGTTTCCCCGCCCAACATATTATTGATGGAGTTCATGTCGCACCTTAAGAACGATGATGGCCCCCCGGTCCCGAGTCACCTTACATTTACGGCCTGTACCGTCATCTCACGGAAGATCTGGGTAAGTACAAAGTACTGCATGCTATTGAATGCATGATCACGGCTCATCATGGAACGCAGGGTGGGACGTGAAGGTCGTGGTTCCTAGTACCCAGAAATCATGGATTGGTGCGTACTGGTGTATATCGCTCCCTTGGAACCTCTTTGCGACATGCAAGTAGGCGGCGCATACCATATCAAAGACATCATCAATGGACGCTACTACTATCCCCGTGTTCCTGGTGTGTCTTGACACTCTTATACGAACTGACAAACGTCTCAGATTATTCCATACAGACGGTCTTGGGGAGACGTCAGAAAAGTCAAGATCGCTCAAGGAAGGGGAGACGGCCGAATGGATCCTTCTTGACGGTGTACGTCTCTCTTCTGCTTCGTAATGAGAGCGCGGTTTGGACGCTTTGCGATGATCGAAGACACCGGCTACCTGTGCAAATATTGGGCTTCACAACCTACACCACGGGGAGATAGATCTACTAGTGCGTGTTGCTCGAACCACATCTTCCGATCACTATCCTCACTCTCTACCCTCTTTGACTCCCTAAATCCAGATATCCGGACCCAACTTCGGTCGAAACAGCTCAGGTATGTCCCCACCTCTCCGATCCCAAGGTCTCCTTGTCTGCCCCACTCACACTCCCCTACAGCCGCGTTCGCGCTCTCCTCCGGGACTGTGGCGCCGCGCTCTCCTCCTCGCTCTCCAAGACGCGCGCCATCGCGCTCTCCTACGGCACCGTCGCACGCCCGACCCCGCCCGAGTACTTCGAGCCCGCGCACAAGCTCGGCGCGCGCATCGTCGCGCACCTCTGGGCGCACTGGGCGCGCGAGTCCGGCCCTGCCGCCGAGCCCGTCGACCTCTACAACGTCAACATCCCGATGGTCCCCGGCCTGCTCGCGCCCGAGGGCCTCCCCGTCTGCTGGGCCCGCTTCTGGCGCAACTCGTACGGCCGGCTCTTCCAGCCGATCCCCGGCGCCGCCGCGCGCACGACCGCGGACGCGCCCGCCGCGGTGCCGGAGGGCGCGCAAGGGGGCATCGCGGACGAGGCGGGCGAAGGGGGGGCGGAGGTTGGGGGCGGGCTGGTGTTCAAGTTCGCGCCGGACATCATGGAGCTCATCAACCCTGCGGCCGCGAGCTTGCCGATCGGTTCGGACGGGTGGGTGATCAGGAAGGGCTGGTGCAGTGTGACGCCTATGCGTGCGTCGTTCGCGGAGCCCGTGGAGTGGGACGTGCAGTCAGAAGAGGAATTCGAGGGAAAGATCTGGAAGAGTTTTCTATGAAGGGTACTCGTGTATGTCATGCTTGGATGATCCGTGATTCCGTGAAGCGTTGTACGGTATCCAATCGCGTATAATGTCCGTGTGAGTACATGATAGCGTCGAGTTGTATCGTTCGTGAGGTCCGGGGAAGAAGCCCTCTGAGAAAGTGTGTAGGGGCTCGTGAGGTGCGGGTCACGAAAATGAGGCTGTCAGGTGGCATGTCCGCAGCATCCGCCCTAAAGAGCTAACAATGCCAGCATAGGAAGGATGGCCACAAGCGAGACCACGCTCAAACGCGATGGGAGGGGCAAATTGTGGGCACTGCCATTGACGAGGCCGGACAATTTTTGCTTGCGATACACCTTGAGGGTGTTGATGCTCCAAGATGCGTTCTAAAGAACAGAGGACATGTCAGAATCGAGACGAGTCCGATGACATTGGATCGAGTACACCCACCACAAAGTTCGCTGGATCCATGAGGCGGTCCGTGCATGTCCCAGGGCACCCGGAGCTAGCGTACGAGTTTCCCGCCCAATCGCCTAAGCAAGAATGAAATCAGCGTGTTTGCTCGCGCACGATCCTTTTGAGTTTGCCTCACCGCAAAACGTAATGTCTGGGTACGAGTAGTCAGTTGACCGCCGGAAATGAAGACGCGTATGGTTGTACTCACCGAAAATGATCGAATGGTTTACGAAGTTGGAGATGGGGTCGCACCCGCTTGGGTCCAACATCGCCACGGGCGAGCCCCAGCTTGATGGATCCGGTTGACCATTCAGAACGTTCGCTGGGACGGCCGCACGGTAGAAGGACCCTACGCGAGAAAATTTAGGGAACAGGCATCACAGAGACGGAAGTAAGGACTCACAGACGGCAATTCCGTCGTCGTCCCACTTCATGGCGAAGACACCACCTCCCTGTGCGTCGAAAATCGGCCCGTATGACGCACGGCTCCATTCGGTAACACCGCAACCGGCGTTGTTGTTGATGGTGCCGTCACAGTTCAGGTTGGCGGACCCATTGCTTCCATCCTGTCCCGCCTGTGAGACCAAGGCAGCGCAAATCCAGTGCTCCTGAGCGTACCACGATAGTCCCAGTGAATGTGACATTGGGGTTCATAGTGCAATCTTTGCGCAGCTCTTGGTCAACTGATCAATCTACAAGCGTCGAAATGGCTCACTGGGCCCCGTGTGCCAAGTCACCTGGTTGTGAGCGTTGTCGTGCACGCCTTCAAGGATATCTATCTCTCCGGTCTACGGGCTTTAGGTTTAAGAGAATACGAGGTGTGACGTGTGAGCACTCACGTAAGGCCATTGTCCACCGCCAAGTGTCCACCATGCAGGCCATACACCTAGGACCTGGTCGGTCAAACCTCTCCCAGATGGATACGGACGGCTTACCACAGCCCCATGGCGCATGGTTGAGATCTAGAACGAACAGTCCTAGAGAAAAGTCAATCGATATTCCGCAAAGCCCAAAGGATTAGCTTGCCGGTGTTGTACTGCGCTATGCTTGATATACGCACACTCGAGGGGGATGAGAGGAGAAAATGTGTAAAAGAATGCTCGACTCACCTGTTCCGGAACACACCTGAATCCAGCTGGGTGGTATTGTCGCCTTTCATAACAACCTTTCCATCGTCCGTTACAAACGCTAGCCCGTTTCTTATGGCAGTGTCGTGGTCGGTGTAGCTGGGACAAGGGCAAGGATAAATCGACCAGAGCGCCCCAGTGAAGAGAGTACTCACTTGACCATGCCACTAACAAGGGCCACACGACGCCGTAAACATCACGCAGGAGAACGTCTCTGGCACATAGGCTACATACTGGGTGGGGTCGTCGCCAGTGTAAAAGGAGAACTTGCTGAATGGCACGATGGCTGTCAATGGGCGCCACAACCGCGATCGGGGCACAGACAGCCCGAAATGGCGACGCACTCGAAGAAGTTGTCGCCCTCGTACGTGTCCTGGATTGTCCATACGAACGTCGACCCGTTGGACGTCGTCTGTAGGCTGCTGGCTCGCGTGTCCAGCTTCACGGCCTCGGCGGACCCGGCATGGCGGAGCAGCAGAAGACCGAAGAGGCCGGTCGACAGCCAAGGAGCAGACGAGACAGTCGCAGAAAGGAGAGGGAGAAGAGTAGCAGGCGGCACAGAGAGCATGAGCGTTGCAGAGGAAGGGCTGCTAAGTTCCCGGACGGAACGGGGTCGCAGAGCAAGCCGCTGCTATAAATGGAGCCGAGGGTCCGGGGACGCGAGGCTGGGGACCGGGATGCCTGCAGCGTGTCCTTGATCTAAGCGGCACGCCCAGCTCGTCAAGGCCGCCGTCCAAGTCCGACCCGCACGCAGAGACGCCCCAGCCTCGCGGTCGAGCTCCGGGTGGCACCTGGTGGCACGCGTCCACCTGAGCATTGGCGTAAACAACCATTCTCGGAAGTTCCGTCGTCTTCTGCCATCCTCGTGTCAATCGTGCTGCTTCCATTGCGGCCGATTTGAGACAACAACCCCCTACGACCTTGCCGCTCACCAGATGGCCGTCAGGGTCATTGGCGTTACCGTACCTATGCGTACCACTTTCCACAATAACACCGGAAGGGCAGAGAAACCACGGCACTGCACACTGCCTCATCACCGAGGTTAAACTGGTACACACAATACAGGGGGCAGACAACCTCTTTTGTTGGGCAGGCTGCACAGAGGCATACATCCATAACATGCATGAGAGGACATGGGACGGAATGTGATGGGCGTGGGTGGAGGAGACGATATGGGGCATGACAAAACAATACAACAGATCACCGGTAGCGGCGGAGGCTGAGGGTGTTGTGCTTCTTCCAGGTCGACCAGCCCGGAGTGTGGTTGTAGCGGTGACCCTTGCCGAGACCACGGTTCTATTCGACGATCGATGAGAAATCACCAGGGGTCTCACAGAAGAATACCAACGCACCTGCTTTCCAACAGAGGTGAGACCACGGGCCTCGCGACGCTTGTGAACGGGCTTGGTGATCCAGTTGATCCTGGGGTCGCGGCGGATCTGCATTTTCATTGAGACATGCAGTCGCAAAATGGGATAGAAATGAACGTACCGCCTTGTGGCTGGGGTCAACGCAGATGACCTCGTAGTACTTGTAAACACCGTCCTGGTTAATCCAGTACGAGTTAAGGACCCGCAGGTTGCCGCAACGGCGACCAACACGCTCCTCCGCAACACTCCTCTGTCCACGCTGGGGCTTGAGCTGGTTAACACCCTGCCGAACGGGTTTACCGTAGGTAGCACCTGCGCGAGAGATGAGACCAGCACCAACTGCATCTCGGGAAAAAAATACCCTTAGGGACGTGCTTCTTGCGGTTACCACGGCGGACACGAACGCGGTAGATCACGTAGCCCTGCTTGGCCTTGTATCCCATGCGACGAGCCTTGTCCGGGCGGGAGGGCGAGAAGCGCGGTGGATGACGTTGAGCTGACGGTACTCCCAGCACCTGGCCGCAAAATTGGTTATGGGGACGCATTATGGAGGACAGCGACATACCGAACGCGCAAGAGGAAGCGGAGGACATCCGACTGCTTCTTTTTGTAGAGCTCGCCGATATACTTGTAGGCACCCATGTTGCGGGCTGGGTAAGAGATCAAGTCAGTCTCCGGATGAAGTGAGGGTCATCCACACGCGACGTCGCCCATCCACCGTCTTCCCGCCGTTCTTTCGCGTCCACCGTCCACACAAGCAGCAGAAGTACCATAGGGACGGCGTGGGATAGATTATGGTACTCACTTCTTGTGTCTTGAGGTCGGGCGGGGGGTCGTCGAGTTTGCGGTATCGTCTGTGGGTGGCAGACAGACTCCTTCGTATCTCGGCCGATGCCGACTCTCCACGTGGGCGGCCATTGCGATCAAGCAATAAGCGCTCGCAGCCCGAACCTGTCACATATGTACATATGCCGCGGCCTCGCTGGGAGTAAGTTAATACTTTGGTTGATTATGATCATATAGGTGCTGATCGACGCGTTATCTACAAGATGATGAGGTTGCCGCTGCCACCTCCCTCTCGCTCCGATTTGGACCGCAAGCGCAGCCATGCGGTCACCATAAACAGGCCCCATGCGAAAATAATGAGCGTCCCAGAGAGGATGGCGAATACTTCCCCTCGTCTGACCTCGCCCTTCGTGCGATATATCTTGCGCTTGAGAGTGGTTTCTGAAGTCTCCCCTGCTTCGTCGACGACCATAGCATCTACGAGATATCGACTCCCGCGTATAGTGTCCGTTTGAGAGCCACTTCCGAGCAATGGGATGTTTTGCTCGGCGCTAGACGTTGAAAGGCGTTGGACATGGGCGCTCAGACTGCCGCCCCTGCCTCTGGTCTCCCGACTTGCGCCGTCTTCGCCGGCCTCCGACGAATATTCCCTATCCGACGTGCCTTTGACAGATTCCGCGTCTTCGTCCTCGCTGTTGTCCGCAGTGCGAGGAAGCAGTGCGCTCATGCGTCGTGAAACATCTTCTTTCTGCTTTCTGTCCAAGCGGATGAGTGCGACCACGGAGAGAATCTCTACAACATTGAGAGCCACAAATGCGTTGAGCAGGTGTTGCGTCTCTCTGGAACCACCATCATTTGCCACGGAAGAGGTTTTGTGATTTTTGACATCAAGCGCAAGACCTGCCAAAGTTTGGAAGATAGTAGATCCAGTTTGTTCCAACTGTATTTTGGCGCAAAGCGTCTCATTAGATATCACTAACACCGACCAGCCAGGCAGTCATCTACGTACAGCTTTATGGGCACCAAGAGTCGTCGACACGTACTTGTCAGGTACGATCCTAGGGACGATTACGACAAGTAGCACTGAAGATCATATGATACTCAGCGCGGTCCATGCGGGTATTGTGTCAAGCCGTACTTACGAGGTGCAAATCCATGTCCGAGAGCAAATGATAGAACTGCAGGTATAGGTGTGCGTGTCCACTTTGGCGGTGCGGCGAGCCAGGCATAACATGCCGATGTCAAGACCCCAGAAACAAGCAGCAACTGCATCGGCATGTTGCGTTTCTTCGCACGATCCACTATCATACCAGTCTAGACGAAAAAGACGGTTACACTGAGAGCATTGGATCGAAGATAGGGCCTACCACAGGATACAGAATTACACTACCGGCGAGGAGGTATGACGCGGTTATACTTGCGTCAGCTTCGGGAATATCAAATCTGTGCTGCAAGACGTTGCTATGGAATTGTTAGAATCGGAACGTTCAGGCAAGGCGTTGTATGAGCGCTCACGCGGCAAGGTGTGTGAAAGGAGCCCATATTGATCCACACAGTACATTCAGACCAATGTATCTGATAATTTCCTGTTAATTTCGGCGAAGCAACAAATGGATGAATGACTTACGCCCAAAACACGTCGCCTAGTTTCGTGATGTCTCTGAGGTACACCATCCGCTTCTTCGCCACTTCCTTCAGAGCTTCTGCTTCAGATGAGATGTTATCGCCAGACAACGCAGCTTCTGCATGCAATTCCGACGCCTCTAGCTCCGTGCCTGATTCATGAATGAGCCATTTAGAGGCGGACAGATAGACGATATTTATGGCGAATGAAAGAGCTGTGAGGAATGTCGACGCGTAGAAGGGGGCGTGAGGTCCGAATTGCTGCGAAAGCGGATATGAAGTGAAGGCGGATATGAAGGAGGCGCCCTTCCCAGCGACCAGTCCTAGGGCAAGAGACACCCCCAGGCCATGCGACTTGAAGAATCGAACGATTATGGTTTCCTGTACAACAGCCAGAGGACTGACTCCGAGCCCGAAGACGAACATTCCAAGTGCCATGAGTCGAACATTATCCGAGAGGTTGCCGGCCAGTAGACAAGCTTGGCCTAATCTGACCTCAGGAAAATCAAGAAGGAAGTTCTGTCGTGGATACTCACCAAAAAATACAACCCCGGTAGCAAGAATGCTGGTGTACGTTGTCCCTAGTCTGCTCGCCAAAAGGCCACCTACGAGCGGTGTCCATGTACTGTTCAGAGACGATGCGGATATGAGAAGGGAGAACTCGGTGTTGTTGGTTCCCATTTCACGCGAGAGTCGAGACTTCAAAGGGCCGAGGATGTAGGTTGCACTATACCAACGAGTTGAAAGGAAGAAGACTCATGGCAGAAATGATACGCACTAGTGACTTCCAACGCTGAGCGAACAGGCGCAGAGTAATGCTAATGACCGAATGAAAGTCGCCCGCGCGGGAGAAGGCAGTACACGGTGGTCAAGAAGTGTCGCATCCTCTCCAATGACCTCTATCACTTCCTCGGGCTCGGATTGTGGGACAACCCCTCGGTATTGAGTGCTTTCCATGAGACTTGGTGGTGGTTGTCTGCAGACCTCCAGGACCACAGGGATTGTGTGTTTCCGGACGTCAGGGAGTCATGCGCTTTAGAAGGAAGCACAGAGAGGTGTGTATCCGGGTTTGGGGGATGTCGGCGAGCAGGGGGCAGTCAGACAAATTACGACGCCTGCGGCCTGGAGGCCTGAGAAGTCGATGACGTTTGAGAGCGCATTCTTATCTGATAAGGAAACATCTTCCGATCTCAGTGGCACACGAGTTGCACTGAGCTTGCCAATAGGAGACATATAGTATTCTACACCTTTCGAAACATGCATTTTCACGCGGTGCAGTACGTAGTTCCGTGCGTTCAGTTGGGGGTCTCCGGTTCCTGAGTGTGGGCATTCAATTGAGTTGGCACACATGGTGCATCGTCGAAGCACGCCATGATGAGACTGTCCAAAAGCGCCAGCGTACATTCGGAAGGGAGGTCGGAGAGTCTGAGATGTATGTGTACCGGTCTGCCTATACGAACATTCGGGAATCTCGGGTCCATCTCCGTTTTCCTAGACCCGTTCGTAACCACAGCAGTGTGGCGATGAGAGTCACGCAGCATAGGGCGAACTCCGTCCAACCCAGTGCTTCGACAGTGAGCGTCTGGCGACACCTGTTCAAAATGGTTGGTGGTGTTATTGGGCATATGGAGATCAATAAGATCAGAGTGTAGCGTACCGCGAGATGGGGGGTTTCCCTGCGCAATCTCCTCCCGTGCGGGCACCGTGCATGAATCCTGTCCCAACTCCCTGTGGATACTGTCGGTGCGGGGAGCCTTGACAGAAGCTCTACGGTCGGGATACTTACCCACAAGATGGCAGTGAGAAGCAGCCAGGCCACGGAGCTCGCTACCTGCGCGAGCAGATGGATAGCACCGTCGACCACCCAGAGGACGTACGCCGTTGAGAACAGCAGCGTCCAGGAGGACGAGAAACAGAGCAAGATGAGCCTGAGTTTCAGACGGGTGTCTGTCAGACATTGCCGACATTTGGAAGAAGCTAGAGACGGACAGAGAATGATAACTTGAGCTGCTCCATGTTCCCGTCTCATTGCCGGCACTGATGAGGAAAGCGGTTAGGCCGAGTTCGGCAGCAGCGGTCAAAGTCATCAGAGTGAAGAGGAACGGGTGGTAGTCGGCTCGCACAACCGCCGTTGGCCGACGTGGTCGCGCAGTGGCCTTTGAGGACATGGGGGGCTCTGGCAGAGAGATGATCTGCTCGGGAAAAGAGGATGGCTGGAGATATATAAATCGCCGGAGTCGCGCACGTTGCGTGCGGCAGATGCTCATGTTAGACTTGCACCTCGCGGACAACATGCATAGTGCGTGCATATGCGGGGAGCATCCGTAGAGCGTCCGCTCGCAATCCATTCCCGAAGTACGCTTCTATGTCGCGAGATGATGGTCAGGGCGACAGTCAGTAGGCACACGGGCAACGGTGCATTAATGAAGCCTGGGCGCGTGGCGGACGCTACAGAGTTCGCGGGCGTGTGGGGTCGGCTGTGGGCAGATGAAGGCGGAAGACGGCGCAGATGAGAGAGTTAAGACCAATGTGGGCCGCGGACGCAGGGGGAGGGCGGGCGTCACATGATAGCGAGGCGGGCGCGGGCGGTCAACTGAACGAGCTGTTGCAACACGCAACGGGCCTGCTCTCGAGCCCGTTCTCCGCCACACCTTCCTCTTCCCGTCGCCCTGGAGAGGCTGATGCCCACACCCTTGTCTTGTACCGAGACACCCCCATGAACGGCACCCTCGCCCACAAGTCATGACTCCCAAGGCTCCCCCTATCGACCTCCCCCAAATCCCATCCCTCCCCCCAATCCAGATGCCTGACACGTCCAACATGTTCGGTAGTTCTTCCGCCCCGAGAACTGAGTCGCCTTCATCCCGACCAAACTCCGGCTCTCCCTACACTTCCCAGGACGCTTTTTTGACTGCGCACACTTCCTTCTCACCGGATCCTCCCAGTCCGGCTTCTGGCAATGTCTCTCCGGCTCACATATATCCATCTGCATCACCCACGATAGCCACAACTCCCACCGGGCTCCGGAAGTCTATATCCGTCGACTCTTTTGTCAACCTCAAGCACCCTGGCATGACCGCCTCAAGACAGAAGCCGGCCAGTCCCCTTTCCACCGAATTCCTTCCTTCGCAGTCAGATGTCGACCGCTTCCCCACCACATCCGCGCGCCCCATGGACACGGCTTCGAGTGGCTTCCGGCCTCCTTGGGCTGACCGCGATAAGCGGTCCATCCTCACCCAGTCTGTTTCGTCACGTAGTCGCGGCACCAGCATCAGCACCGCTACTGACGACCGTGACCTCGACGACTCCGACATGGAACGTTCGGACGAGTACGCGAGGCGGACACGGAAAGGAAAACAGGCGACTCGTCAGTCTGTACGCCCGGGCGAGCTGCCAATGCCTCCCCGTCTTTATACCAGAGGGTCCGTACCTGCCATGCATCTCAGCCGGGCGGGCGCGCCATCATCCCCTTCTCGCAGTAGCAGTCTCAGCATCAGGGGATCGAGGTCTAAGATGCCGATGTCGGTGCATTCAGAGCATTCAGAGGTGCGCCATTTCATCGCGGAGGCGTTTTTGCCATGGCTGCTTGCTCATGTGTTCGATCACTGCTCAGATCGCCCCTCTAGTTGACCTCACTCTACTTGTCGTCGGGCCTCAAGGCTGCGGGAAGTCTAGTGTCGTCCACAAGGGCCTGAAGCAATATTCGCTAGGGATGCCTGAGGAGATCAATGTTGATATCGACGGAGGGAACGGGGTCTTCACATGTGCGTCGCTCTTTCATCCTGTTCAATACTATTCTCATTCCTCGCAGATACTGCCAGGAAAGGCGTCATCCCAGCAGATGACAATACCTCTGCATGCGAGCTGCGTGTTCTGGAAGCAGATGTTTCCACGTTTAGTCTCGCTCGGGGAATCTGGGAGGACGCTACTGATACCTGGAATGGTATAGTCATCTGCTACGATGTTACAGAGCCGAACTCCTTACAACACGTTGAGGACCTCCTCCGTGAGTTTCATGGTGGCCATGATGTCGGACAGAAAGCTAAACGTATCTACAGGCGCATTTGGCGACTTCCGTGCCCCAACCATTGTGCTTGCATGCAAGTCTGAGCTTCCTGCCGAAGTAAATCCCGCGGATGCAGCACGGATGCTAAATCAATATGATGTTGGTCTGATTGAAGTCACAACGGCGAGCGAGGACGGTAAGGCGCGCATTCGTAACGCCTTCCGGTGGATTTTTACCGCCGTCTCATCTCAACTCAGTGAGTTCAATTGTCGCGGATTTCCTGATTTATGCCGACACCTATTTCATGTGTAGAGTATGGTCATGATTGGGTTCGCAACCCGGCCTCTCCGGCGATGCTTGCGTCCCCTTCATTGCCTCCGTGGGACATCTCACGCGCGTCATCTGCCACTCCGACCGCATCGTCGTCTATGCTCGCGTCTCAGCAGCATTCTCCGACAAGTCGCACATCAATCGGCCACTCTGCCTCGCAGTCTACCTCGCAGGTTCCACGTGGATACCATCTACCACTTACCAGCAGTACCCCTACTTCGCCTCCGACACCTGCATCTCCTACCCGTGCACGCTCGACAAGCGATCTTCTGTCTGAGCACGAAAAGTACAAGCGTGAAGAACGCGACTCAGTCTACAATGCTCCGCGCAACGGTAGCCGCACGTCATTACAGGGCGCCCCTCCGATTGCTGGACTTAGTGCAGAGAGTGCTACGGACATTTCAACAGAAGCAGCAAGAGATCCTTCGGTGAAGGAGTCGTAAGTCGTTGACCGGTGAATTGGACATCCCCCAACTGATTATAGTTCCAGCCGAGCGCCTCCATGGATGAGTCTTGACGACTTGCTCAACAAACTTTTGTTCATGGCTGTCTGCGACGACGGTATGCTTGTTTTTGACTATGTGGTCCGAATACTCCCTGATCGATCTGAACAGATCCCCTCTTCATATCACACTTTCTGTTGACATACCGTCGCTTTGCGAGTCCACGAACCGTCCTACTGGCCATGCAGAAACGGATGCGCGCACTTGATCTCCCCGCTGGTGATCCAATGTTTGCATGTTACGCGCAGATGCGGTCAGTCACCCTCGCTTCTAACCATCACAGAACCCATCTCATTGTCCGTACAGGGTTTGCCAGCTTCTAGATCATTGGATCAGTCTATATCCCACCGACTTTGCCGTTCCCGGGGCCTCGAGTGCATTGGCTGCACTGATCAAATCCATCTTGAACAAGACCTACTTGTTACACTATGGCGCAGAGTTCCTCCCTTTCCTTGAAATGGTCTCGAGCCTAAGGGATAAGGACTCTTCGTGGGCTCTCAAAATTGAAGACGAAAGCTCGGATACGTCAAGTATATCAGATGAAGAGCATTTCATCGTAGACCACAGTGTCGCTGAACGGTCTGCCAGTCCTTCTCCGGTACCTGTGGAAACCGCCCCTGTCACTACTTTGGCACCATCTGGGTTCACAAGAGAGCGCAAGGCGAGCCTCCCTCTCTCCGCCAAGGCTCTGATCGCCGTGCCATCCACGTCTGGTAGCAGTTTTCACGATCCATCATATGGCATAGGCAACCACCTGTCAACGAAGACTATCCTCCGGGCCCTTCAAAGTGCCAGCCATAGTCTCCATCTCTGCGATCCAGCAGATATCGCACAAGAGCTCACCCGAATACAGTGTCAATTCTTCCTGCGTATAGAGGTGGGTTACTATTACCGTACGTTGATCGTGTGTCAACTGATGGAAACTATAAAGCCACGGCACTGGTTACAGCATGTACTTGTGCAAGGCAAGAAGGATACAGAATCGGATCCTATCACCGTCTACAATCTCATTTCGAACCATTTCGGCGAATGGTATGACCATCTCATACATGACATGGCCTCTTGTGCTGATGATGAATAACAGGGTGGTTTCGTTGATTCTTTGTCACGACAAGCCCAAGGCTCGTGCTCGACAAATCGAAAAGTTCATCGACGTCGCCAACCGGTTGCGCAATATTCACAACTACTCCGGTCTCCGTGCTATCATTGCTGGGATCAACAGTGCGACTTTCGATGGGGACGAGTCTCTGGAACTCCTGCGTACGAAGGCCAGCGATCACTGGAAGAACTTCCAGCAATGGGATCAGCTGCTTCAATCCGTGCGTTCACATCAGAAGTATCGGATGGCCTTGAGGAACACCAAGGGCGCATGTATACCCGCACTGTAAACGTCTTACAGCGTTGTGATATTTCCAGGACTGAAATTGTTTTTCAGCGAGATCCACCTTTCTGATCTTCTTCGTGCCCATGAAGGCAATCCTGATTACCACGACGATGATCCTAACAAGATCCACTGGGCAAAGTTCAACATGATGGCGCGTTTCATCGACACAATCGTGGGGTGTCAGAAAGGATGTCGTGAGAGTGGCGAATACGATCGATTCCCGGATCGCCAGAAAGTTCGCGAGCTCTTCCTCATCCAGCAAGAAGACATGCTTATGGACTATGAGGTATGTCAATGGTAACCCTGGCCGTTGTGTATACGCTAATCACGATCTCAAGATGCAACGGTCGCGTATAGCGCCCCCAGAGCTTGACTATGATGAACCAGCCCCGCCAAGAGGACCACGCGTCGCAGTACGGGATCAAACCCACAAGGACGCCGCGCTCTTCCGCAAGCTCCTCAACTTCTCATGGAACTGATATCCCTGCGTCGTCTCTCGGCTCATCATGTGTGCTCGTCGCTTTCCACTATACCTTGCTTTCCACACGTCGCACATATCTATGACATACCTTACCTCGCGCGGATCTCGTTTGTATCACACTTGTTGTCGACCTTTGCTATCCTGAATATGACGAGACTGTATGCGGGCCTCGGATCACACCCTACCATTATACCCTGTATGTCCATATCATCGAATCTTTCCCCCAATGCAGCACCAACGCTATGAACTGCACGTCGTTGTTCCAGATAAAATCGAAACTCTTCCTAAAGCTGTCTTTGCCCATTGCAAGCCAACATATTGGAACCTGGGGTAGCGTGCAGTCCGGACCGAGGGTGACGGGCGTCTATATCTTTGCTCCTGCCTCCGACCCCGGCGATGTCGAAAACCCAAGTGACCGAAGAAGCCGTCGAACTTAACCCGGAATTCACTTTTGATGTCACAGGGGATATCTATAGTGCATTCCTCGACGAGCACCTCGATGTGCAAGACCTTGTGAAAAAAGGTTCCAAGCCGGTACGCTGAAATTTGGTATGTACCCAATTTCACCACTGACGGATATGCAGGAACCTATCTCAGTGGACGATATCATAGCGCGGAGGAAGCTACGTGCCCATACGGGGAAACGGAAGAGGCCCATAGAAGACGAAGGACAGGAGGATGAAGACGAAGACAGTGAAGGAGAGGAGGATGAAGACGATGAGGAATCCGAGGAGGAGGATGAAGATATAGAGCAGGATGGTTTCGAACTGCAAGGTGGAGAAGGAGAAGACGAAGAAGACCCTTTGGCAACTTCGGACGAGGACGACGACGACGACAAGGGGGGCTCAGAACAAGCGGCAGAAGCGGAGGAGGAGGAAGGAGCGTCTTCCGAGGACGAGTCCGAGGAGGAAACCCAGGTGGAAAAAGACCGTAAGGCCGCTTTCTTCGACTCCGAAGCTGCACCGGCCGAAAACCACACATCCTTCCTGTCCATGAATCTTTCTCGTCCCATCATCAAGTCCCTCACGACCCTCAGCTTCACTTCACCCACACCGATCCAAGCAGCAACTATCCCCGTAGCCTTGCTTGGGAAGGACGTCGTCGGTAATGCTGTCACCGGTTCAGGAAAGACCGCAGCGTTCATCATCCCAATGCTGGAGCGACTCATGTACCGTGATCGCGGGAAGAAAGCCGCCGCGACTAGGTGTCTTGTGCTCGTTCCCACTCGCGAACTCGGTGTGCAATGTTACGAGGTTGGTATCAAGCTTGCCGCGCATACGGACATTCGATTGGCGTTGGTCGTTGGTCTGTCCCTGTTATTCGTCACGTTGGTGGCCGCTTGCTCAATACTATTCATACAGGTGGTCTCTCCGTGAAGTCCCAGGAGGCGACTCTTCGCACACGACCGGACGTGGTTATTGCTACTCCTGGTCGTCTTATTGACCACATTCGAAACTCGCCCACTTTCACCCTTGATGCTCTCGATATTCTCGTGCTTGACGAGGCTGATCGTATGCTTGAAGACGGCTTCTCGGACGAGCTCACGGAGATCATCAAGTCGTGCCCGACATCCCGTCAAACGATGCTCTTCTCAGCAACAATGACCGATTCTGTCGACGAGCTGGTTCGCATGTCTCTCAACAAGCCAGTCCGGCTATTCGTGGACCCCAAGCGTAGAACAGCCAGCGGACTCCTTCAAGAGTTCGTTCGAGTCCGTGCTGGGAAGGAGGCCGAACGGTCTGCTCTTCTTGCGACACTGTGTAAGAGGACGTTCAAGACTCGGGTCATCATCTTCTTCCGAAGCAAGAAACTTGCCCACCAGATGCGGATTGTCTTCGGGCTGCTGGGCATGAAGTGCGATGAGTTGCATGGTGACCTTACCCAAGAACAGGTGAGTTGAGACGCCAATACCACCTTCTTGTTGGAAATTGACTTGAACGCAGCGATTGAGGGCTCTTCAACAATTCCGCGACGGAGCCGTAGACTTCCTCATGGCTACCGACCTAGCCTCGCGCGGTCTGGACATCAAAGGGGTAGAGACGGTTATCAATTATGACATGCCGGGCCAGCTTGCGCAATATCTTCACCGCGTGGGAAGAACCGCCCGAGCCGGGAAGGAAGGACGGTAAGTCGTCCTCCGCCAACAAACGGTGCCTTGTTCTCACCAGTGTTTCTGCTAGGTCCGTGACACTTGTGGGCGAAGCAGACCGCAAATTGCTCAAGGCGGCGATCAAACACTCTTTCGGTGAAGACCAAGTCCGCCATCGACAAGTACCGCCTGAAGTAGTTGGCAAATGGTCACAGAAACTGGAGTCACTGAAAGGCGAGATCTCCGAGATCCTCCAAGAGGAGAAGGAAGAGAAACAGGTTGGCCGTTAGATGTCTCTGAACCTGACAGACAAACACTCACAACTTCGTCGACAGATCCGGCAGGGAGAGATGGAGCTCAAAAAGGGGCAGAACATGATCGAGCATGAAGCGGAGATCTTCTCGCGACCGGCTCGCACTTGGTTCCAGACTAGGAAGGAGAAGGCCCAGGCTGAGGGTGAGTCCATAACTCCGTGATGGCCAGCGCTGACCGCTTCCCGCGCAGCTGTAAGCAAGCAGCAGTACGAGGCCGGCTTCGAGGCCATCGAAAAGGGAAAATCGAAAAATCCCGTTGAAGCGAAGGTACGTAAATTACACCCCTTTGATCCGGCCGTACGACTCACGGGAGTCTCACCAGCCCAAGCGAGAGAAGTTTGCGGGGCTGTCTCGGCGGGCCAAGCGGAGGAAGATGGCGATGGAAGAGGACGAGGCGCCAGATAGTGGGGCCATTCGAGCTGCTGTCCGGTCGGCCAAGAAGGCGTCGCGTCCGGGTAAGATTGGCGAACCCGAGAAGCGGCCGGTGTCGTCAAAGGAGAAGAGGAAAAAGGCTCGGGCAAAGTCGGTCTCCAAACCAAAGGGCAGTGCGTTCGAGAAGGACCTCGGCCAGCGAGCCCCTCGAGAGGGTGCCCGAGCAAAGAAAGGCGATGTCATCGGGGGTATGGGTAAGAAAAAAGGCGGAAAGCGGAAAGCTTGAGCTATTACCGCTTCTCGGTCTTCCATCCGTTCGTGTGCTATGTTGCGGCCGTGTAGCTTTGCTTCATGTGTCGTGATACCATGTATACGTACCATGTATACGCCCACTTCCGACCATACTCAGTCTCTTCAGATGCTGCGAGTACTACGATGTCACAATGACTATCGTATAACGTGACCGTGCTTTGGCTGGACACGATCCTTACGCGTCGAAGCGCCTACAGACCGCGTTTGAACCGCGACTGAGTGGCACGGTGCGCCAGTCTCATCGAATGCATTCCTCGCTTTGTGCTCTCATGCACCCATGTCCATTTCCTCGACGCAGACGACACGTCCGATAGCTTAATAGCCACTCGCCTAAGGGTGTCGCCTCCTCTGGAAGCCGCTTTGATACTCTGCACCACAACTGCACCAAGCAAGTTTCGGCATACTGAGCCGACTCCTTGCCTGCGCCAAGCAAGTGGTTTGTCTGCATCCTCTGTCGGCTTCTCACGTCGCTCCTTCAGATATTGTCGTGATGACTTCGACAATCGCCTCCATCGCGACTATTCAGCTACCCGCACCTACGCAAGTTCTCACCTCATCATGGTGCCCAGACAAAGATTTGCTTGTTGTATTCTATCGCGTGTCACATCAAACCAAGATGGCCTTGTACAAAATGCAGGGCTCGAAGAAGTGGGAGGTGACCATTGACTCGAGGCAAATCGGAAGAGCGGAGGTGGAAGTACTTGGGGTGGCATGGAGCCCCGACGGTACGTTTCTTCATACACATCGTTCCGTTGCCCCTTCACAATCGCATAGCCCAGTCGCTTGCTGTGATTTCCAACCCTCCTTTGGTCTCTGTCCACTCGATACAAACCGGGCAAGTTGTGAACGACATACCGTTCAGCCAGACTGCACCCCTCAAACTAGCGAACGTTTGGTGGTTTCGTGAAGAGAAGAAAGTAGTGGGCAATGGGATACCTGATATTTTCAAACGGGGGGATAGTACCGTGAGCAGCAATTTAACAGCTGTTGGAAGTGTGTTCCGACCATCGCGCAGACAGGTTCTGCACTCGCGATTTTGAGGAACCTGCCGTTGTTGGATCCTATGGAAGATGATGCGACACCACTGAAGTACGAGGTCTCTCAGATCGTGGTGGATGAGTCTCATTTAGTTGCAGTTCAAACGATCTTTTCGCTTTCCAAGGGACGCGAAACCGAGCAGCTCCAACGGCTAGGACCATCCCTGGCAGCATCGCCTCTTGGCCTGCTTTTCAGCAACGTCGGGATGACGCCTCAATTGCGGCGCAGGCGCAAACAGCGCAACAAGCATTCCCAGAGGAAGCTGATAAACCCGACGATACGAACCTCAATAGCATCCTCGCCGTTGCAGACACTTACGGCCAAATGCACTTGTTCTTGGAGGGCTCATATCTCCTGGGCACGCTGGGTATCCGCGAAACGACGTACCCTCGATCGGTTCACAAGCTCCGAGAATTCTTCTTTGCTCACATCGGATCCTCAGCCGCGGGCGATGCCGATGTAGTGCTATTCCCGTACGCAGCTCAACTCCCGTACCTAGCAACAAGGCACTGCAGAGAAGTCGCTCGTGTGTCTACCGCAGCGAGGGAGCTCGCTGGATACGCTATACAGGTGGTGAAGGACATGCGTTCAGCATGGTTTGGCACGGAGACTCAAGGTGGAGCACGGCTTCTGGGACAGAAGTGGGTCCAGGCCCTCGAGGAGAGGCAGACGAAGGAGTTCGGACGTGAGTGCTATTGCCATCCGCTTCATTTGGCGCCTCATTGACAACTGCGCAGAGGAGGAGGCGTATGGTCTCCTTGATTTGACCTGCTTGCTCACTACTGGCCGTTCTTCGGAAGCACTGATGGACTTTCTCGGGAGTGGGGAACATATGAGCGAAAGGGTGCGTACGGGGGTTTTAATCTCTCGCTTCGCTCACTTCATCTTTGAATTGCTACCAGAGCATGCACAAATGGGAAACCATGATGACCGAAGCACTGGTGAAGCTCCGCGATATGGCGGAGCAGCGTGTTGCACCCGCTGTGCAGCGTCTTCACCTTCTCCTGCAAGAGGTCCAGGGCTGGGCCACTCTGTAGGCGAACCTTATATCGAGTCTTGGAACTTGCTGACTGTGCCCTCAGGCCGCAGTATGCCGTGTGCAATATCAACCCGCCAACGATCGAGGCCTGCCTCGAGCTAGCAGCAAGCGCGATCATTCTATCGAGCTGGCTCGCTACTACCGCACGCAAAGAACTCCTTCGCTTCAGGGAATTCATGAAATGGCTACGCTATGGTTCGTCTCGGATGTCTCTTCTGTGACGGTGTCCGTTCATCATTTGTCCTAACACGATTGGATGTACTGCAGAGACTAGTCGTGGAAATGCTACCGGGGACCACCCTACACCACGACCGCAACATGATATCCTGGAAGTCAATGAATACCTTTCATCGAGTCTCGTCGTCAGCCCGATCGACAAATGGTTCTTGGGTCTCGCCGCGCCCATCAAACGGACGGCACTCGGCGTCCCGAGCATGGACACCGCGAACCTCAAGGTGGCAGTCAAGAAGGCCCGCGAGGCACTAGCGCAGTGGGATCGCGGCACGCAGCAACAGGTGAGCACGCGCCTCGACATCAGCGTGGGGGGCGACGGACGCATACGTGGGGTCTACCTGATGGGTTGTACGCGACGGGTAGGGAGCCCCGCGTCCCCGTGTCTGCCCTCCCGAGGCGAATTTCCACTTTTCATTATCGCCTGCGAGACTGACCCGATCGCTCGCAGCCCGTCCAGCCCCGCGACCTTCCGCACATTGAACGGAACCTGGACTCGCTCCTGCATGCTCTCGCGTCGCGTTGCCAGGAAGTGTTCGTTGAGGCGTGCAAGGCCGCTGGGCGCTCAGCGGTCGTGCTCCGAAGTCCCGAGACAGTGCCTGTGCCGGGAGAGGCGGCTACGGATTTGCCGACAGGACCCGCCGCTCCGTTAGTACGCGAGCGGACGGTTGAGGATGACAGCAAGGCAAGCGACGCTTTCGGCGTTCTAGCGTCCTGCCGTGCGTTTACTGACCGCAGACGGGTACACTTGTTTCCGTCCCCACAGCCGGACAATTTTGTGCACTGTCTCGCGATGAGGCCGCCGCTCGTCGGTGACGGTGTCGGAACGGGCCCATCATACCGTGAGCACCATCCCTTCCGCACAATCTCCCCGTTCGGCGTGGTTCGCCAGAGGCTGCCTGCGCTGTTCCACGTTGTCGTGCGCGATCTGGACTGACTGCCGCCTATCGCTTTCGCTAGTCTGCCTCGCCCGACTGCAACAGGGCCTCGGGGCCCTGGACACCCCGCCCACGATCGAGGTGGCCGTGTTCGAATGCAGCGTCCTCGAAGACGTGGGCGGCGCCGGGCACGCGTTCGAGCTCGTCGACCTTGACTTTTTCGACGGCTCGCTGCTCGTGATCGTGTACCGGCACCCGGAACAAGGTGAGTGTGCGCTCCCTCCGCCTTCCTCCCGTCCCCCTCCCCCACCCGACACCCCGCCTCCGCCGCCCCGATCGCGCGCAGGGTGCTCGGCTGGCTGTCGGTCATCACGATCACTGACGCGCCCCGCCCACGCCCAGGCGCGCGCATCGCGACCGTCGGCTACGCGGACCTGCTGTACCACACGATCCCGGCGGACGGGTACGTAACCGGCACGACTCGAGGGGCGCTGATGCGCGACGTGCTCGCGCGCGTCGCGGGCGGGCAGGTGAGTCGGTCGGGCTTCCCGCGGTCTTGCCTTCTTTGTACGCGCTGCGCGTCCATTGCTGGCCGGACGGGGCTTTGCTTCTTTGCGGCCATTGCTCTGGGCTCTCGCCCTTGTTCTCGTATCCGCTCGGCTGAAGGGGGACAAGGGCTCCGCCGTGGCATGTGGATACCGACCGCTAACGGACGCGCTCGGCTCGGTTTGCAGCTCCCTGCGGTGCCCACGCCGATTGTGCAGTCGCGGCCGCTGGGTGTGGCATTCAAGACCGGCGCGGTGAAGCTCGCGGTGAACGGGCGAACCGGCCGGCGGGTCGCGTGCGTGCTGGACGGGACGGGGACGGTGGTGGAGGTTCTGGATATGGAGGCGGAGGAGGACGAGGAAGACGTGGAAGACGAGGACGAGGACGACGCGGATGCGGCGGAAGAGGGTCCAGAATAGGTTGCGGTCGCGCCGCAGGAAATGAGAAGATGGTTAGCGGATTCCTGCATTCGTGCGCATCTGTCGCACTCGAGAACTCGAGAACCACCGCACGCGCGGGAGTATCGCCGCGCACCCACCCACCCGGGGCTCGCCCCTGCAGCCGGGTCGCGGAGGGGAAATGGGCTTGGCTGAGGGGCTGGGGCACAAGCGGGGATGGGGACGAGATGCTGTAAACAATTGACCGAACCGGCGGCGGGAGGCGGAGGTGATCAGAACCTGGAGAAAGCACAGCGGCGGACAAACAAGGGACAGAAGCCCCCATCACCCGAACTTTCCGGGGCTCTGGGCGAGAGCGGGCGCGATGGGGCGTGGCGAGAGCTGTGCTCGGCGGGGCAGGTGGTCTCATTGGTGCGGCGGGGGTGAGCCTGAGAGAGCGCGAGATGCGGGGTTGGCTGGATGGTGGCTTGACGAGGCCGTGGGCGCTGGAGATGCTCTCCGTGCGAAGCGAGAAGGACGCCGGCGGGGGGCGCGCCGGACAATGGCTGCGTACTATATCTGATTCTGGGCTGCAGCTGTTGGCAGGCGGCTGCTGGATCCGTGTGCTGGCGAGAGAGCGCAGACCGGGTCACGCACGCGGGGCAGGGCAGGTGTGCGCTCAAGCTGTGGGCGCAGGCCGGGGACCGATCGCGCAGGGCGGGACACGTGGGCGAGGCGGGCGCCTCGGGAGACAGACGGGCGCCCTGGAGGCGCGCGGAGGCAGATGTGGCAGGGCGTCCGTGCGGGCGGGCCGGGGCTGCCCTAATCTCATCCCGGGCGATCGGGCCTGGGGCCCTGGGCAGCAGGCAGAAATGCGGATTAGGCTCTGGATCGTCCGAGCGGCTCCCGGGCCCTCCGCCGGCCTCCGCTGCGCCCCGCAGAGAGGGCGCCGGGGGGGCGGCCGGCAACGGCGCCTGCCCACCGGTGCCCCGGGCAAGAAATTAATAGACGAGGATGGCCGGCGTCGTGTGCCGGCTCGCGCTCGCCCGCCCTGCTCGCTCATCCGAGTCCCAAGCGCGTTATTTCTCCCTCGCTCGCATCCCCTGCTCCCGCCACCCGCCCGCTCTCTTCTCCTCCGCCGCCCGTCCCGCCCTCCCTCTCTCCCTCCCTCCCTCCCTCCCTCCGCCCCGCGCACCATGCCCCCGTCCCCCGAGCCTAAGCTCAACTCAGACGACAGCACCTCCCGTCTCTCCGACGCTGCCCTCAGGAAGAAGAAGAACGCCGATGCTCAGGCCGCCTTCCGCGCTCGCCGCGCGAACTACATCGCGACACTCGAGGAGACAGGTCCGCTCGAGCTCGCCTCCCGCTATCCCGCTCCCCGCTGATCCCCCTCGCGCCCTTCCCCCGCATACAGTCACCAACCTAGAGGCTGTCGTCCTCGAGCTCCAGGAGTCTGTGCGCAAAAACCAGAGCGCTCTCCAGGAGGCTCGCCAGGAGAACAGCCGGCTCAAGTCCGAGCTTCAGAACAAGGATAAGATGCTCCGTATGTACGAGCAGACCCGCAAAATCGACTGCGACCCCCAGGACGAGTACCCCATGCCTTCCTATGCTCCCGCGCGCACCCCTCCCCTCACCATGCCCTCTATGCAACCCGGCGCGACCAACGGCTTCTCCGACGACCCCATGCGCTACCCCTCGGCCAGCCATACCTCGAGCTCGATGAACGGCTCCTACCACAATCCGAGCGGACAGGACTACTCACAGCGCTCCCCGGCGCTTGGATATGTGCCCATGGCAACGTTGGCTCAGATTCGCGGGCCATGGACGCACACAACCGGATGCAGCGCTATGAGCCCTACACGCCCTACCCCATCGACACTTCCGCGCGCGATGGCGGCTGGGTCGGCCACTCGGCAACGACCGTCAGCGACGGCTCCATGGACAGCAGCTCCGCGACGCACTCGCCCACATTCGTCGAGTCGCCCACGCTCACCGCATCCGAGATTCAGTACCAATCCCGCTACGGCGTCATGGAGGACCAGAAGGTTCCCATCACCCCGCTCGCGACGTCCCCGTACATGTTCGCTCCATCCCGCTCGTTATCTCCCGCAGCCTCAACGCCTTCCTCCGCCTCCTCCACATCGCTCGCCCCCAACTCCTACGCCTTCACTTTTCCTGAAGGCTCCGCCATCGCCGACCGCCCCGAATTTTACGGTCGCCGTCCCCAGAACCCCCCAGAACTCACCCTTCATGGCGGCACTGCCGACGTCACCGCGATTCTCCGTATGAGTGGGCGCGGCGGCACTGCGCCCACGTCGGAACGCCCGGTTCAGGCGCCCTCACCCTACACGCGCGGTGACAACGGTTCGGGCGAGCGCGAGTCCGACGGCGAGTCCTCCTCATACACCTACTCGTCCCACTCGCGCACCCGTACGCGCACCACCAGCTCTGCGTCCGCCGTGTCCGTCGCCGCGTCACGCGCATCGCGCTCCCCTTCGCCGGACCTGCGCCGATTTGTGGAACGCTTGCGGTGATCAAGGCACAAGCGTTCGGGGCTCTCCGTCGCACGCGCGGCCGTTCGAAGAAGACGAGCGAAGGGGCTGCGAAGGCGGCGGTGGAGGCCCTGGCCGCCCGTGGCATCGGCGTGGGCGGCGACAGGCTCGGCAACCCCGCCAAGCGTCCACGGCTGCACGACGGGGACGGCGATTTACGGATCTAGTGCGACGGCGGGCGCGTCGGGCGGGAGCCGCACGCCTCGACTCTACAGATACGCCCGGATGCGGAGTCGGAGACTACCGCCGTCATCGCTGGGCGAAGGGGCTGAGCCTCCGCGATTGCGATTGGGTCTGCGCCCAGGCCTTGCACACCGGGGGACGCCGCGGACGGGCGGGTCCCGGGCTTCGGGTTTGTGGGTTCGACGGCGGGGTGCTTTATTCACGACCGTGGTGGACGCGGACGCGGAGCACGGACCGGACCACGCGATGTCTGGTTGGAGATAAAGGCGATGGCACGACGCGGACGAAGACGAGGACGAGGGGCGATTAGGAGAAGACGACACCACACGCGCGTACGCTCACGCATTGACTCGCAAGCTTGCAATCCCACCCTCCTTTGCCCTGCTATCACGCCCAACGCACAGAACAAGAAATTGAATTGAACGGAGTATGAGAATCGGAACATGCAACATGTAGAGGCCTCCCACACACCATATGTACCAACAGCTCGAACAGCATCGCCATTTCCATCGCCAGCACCCTCGCGCACCCTTTACCCGGTCCCGGCTCTCGCTCTTGCCACTGCTCTAATTCCCTCGTTTCCCCCGCCTGCTGGTTGCTCTCTGACTTGATTGCTTTGGGACTCTGTAGACGTCTGCTCGTTCCTACTTTCGTCACTGCCTCTGCCCTGCTACACGTCGCGCTTGGATATGGATTTTTACTGGTCCACGCTCTGTTCTACTACCATTGTCACATCAGATACCGCTTTCCCTGCGCACGTCCCATGCACACCCACAGTCATTGGTTCGTTACTTATTGCTCTCTCTTTTATCCCCTCGACCACCTTCTATCCTCTATCACACACGGCCTCGTACACTTCACTGTAGGATAGTATTGCTGTAATATAGCACTTGCGCTTGCTTTGCATGTAAATATAGCCGCTATCGTCCACCACATGCTTCCGCCGCCGCCATCGCCGCCGTGTCCCCACCGAGCGCACGCATTGCCCTCGCCAGCCGCAACACACGGGCGCGGGCGTCCGCTCCTCCGCACCGAGCCCGAGCTCGCGCCGGGAATCTCCTCGCCCTTCCGCCTTCTGCGAGTTAATGATCGACGGTGCCCGCACCATCCGCGTCGGAGGAGACAGCCCAGACGGACCCCATACACGTCCCTCGAGCGCGACCAAGCCGCGAACGACCGGCCCAATCCACTTCTTCCCCTTCCCCGCAGCGTCCCCGGCTCCGTCCGGGCCTCCGCGGCGTCGAGTGGTGGTGGCCCCCGCCTGCCCCGCTGCCGTCGCCTCGACTGCGCGGCGCCGTGCCGCCCCGGGCAGCGCGCCAGCCAGCCCGAGCCTAGCCCCATCCTCCCTCTCTGCACCGCGCGTTTGGGGCCCACCCCGGAAACGACGAGCGACGTCGGACGGGCGGGCTCCAAGCCACCAGGCGCGCGCGCGCGCGATAAGTGCGTGCTCGCACGGCCGGGACGGGCTCCGTGAGGGGGGAAGGGGGGCGTCGCGCCGAAGATAGCCAGAAGAATCCCCTGCGGCGGGTACCTGCTGGGTCCCGTTCAGAGCCTGCTCTCGAGCCGGAGCGGACGCGAGTGCCACGCGTTTCGCGCGCGACGTCGTCGTCGCCGTCGGGCCGCGGGTGGCCAGATGAGCTGTGCATGTCGTTGACTGGTGACTCGTGGGCGGGGGGCCTGGCCGGCCCAGGGGCGTTTTGCCTTCACGCTTTTCGCTTTCTGCTCGCGAGCTCGTCGGAACGGCGCGTTTCCCGGGCGCGTCGCCGCCGCACGCAGGGCCCGGGCCGGCCTCAGGCTCGCGGCGCGCGGGCGCCGTGCAGCGTGGTCGCATGGCCGCCCACGAGGAGATGGTTTTGTGGAGGGGTGAGTGATTGAGGGAAGGCTGGAGGCGCAGGTGTCCGGTGGATGTGTGGCGCGCTAGCCGTGGCACGGGCGGGATCGCGGACCCACTGGAGGGCGGCAGCTCGGACTTTGCGCGTCCACCGGCCCCGCAGGCAGTCCGAATGGAGGCCGTTCGGGCGTCGTCCTTGCTCGGCCGAACGTACGGACGAGGGCGACTGTGAGCACGTCGAGCCCAGCGCCAGCCCCCGACCCCCAGGCGCGCGGCCTTTCAATCTCTCATCAAGATCCGTCCCAGGTTCCAACATCAAGACCGTCTCTCCCGCCGCGCCGTGCGCGTTACAATCGACCGCAGCGCGCACGGCTACCGACGGGCGCGCGGCGGGATCACGGAGCGAGCCCACCCCGCGCGCGCGATGCGGTGGCAGCCTGTGGGATGTGGGGGCCCGTCGCCGCGATGGGTGCGCTCGGCTAGCCGATAATCGCAGATGCCACCCCTGCGCCCCATCTCCCAGGGCCGGCCTGGACTAGAGCACTAGACTGCGCGAAGGCTGGGGCGCAAGTCCGCGGAGTCGCCGCAGGGCGGGCGCAGGTCCGCGAGCCCCGACCCCCAGCGAGCGACGTCGACCGCGTCGGCCGTGGTGGACGCGTCCGCCCCACGCCGTCGACGATCGGGCGGCGTGAACACATCGCCCGCACTCGCCCACGTTCATTTCTCCGCGCCGGCATCAGGGCAGAGGGACGCCAGGTTCGAGCCCGTGGGACGACCGGACGCGCTCGGCTACGGCCCAATGGAACGCTAGGCTCCTTCGAGAACACGCGCTCGGGGACTTGGCGAACACCGTCCACGGCGGAGCGGCCGGCGGTCGTTCGCGGACGGCCGTGCCAGCGGTGACGCTCGACCAACACGCTAAAAACACCGAGCTAGGCGTTCTCCATTGTCTCCACCCTGGTGGGTATCCGGGCGTCCACAAGGTCCGGGCGATGGCCTAGGTTCAAGATGGTCTACACAGGAACGTTTGCCTGACCACACCAAACCCCGAACGGCGAGCGGCGAGTCGGCAGAGATGCGATTGGCCCTCGTGCTCCGCTCTACATGGATCCCCGGAAATGACCACACAGGATAGCCTAGAAGTAGCCGATCCGCGCGCGCAGAGTCAACGCGAGAGCGAGAGCCGTCGATTGACCTTAGGCACGGCTGGGTCCCAGTCGCCTCGAATTTCACTAAACACATGTTAGCTGCTTCGGGAGATAGAGGGCTATGACGCAACACGCACTTCTTGTACCGCTGCGCCCAGACGAGGACGCCTGGCGCAATGAACGTGGCGAACAGGAAGCAGACCACGTAGATCCGGGCTGCGGTGCGTGATAGCGACTGCGTGAGGAGAACCGCGAGCGCGGACATGAGCAGCGTGAGGACGACCTGCAGTGTCTTCGCGCTGACCTGGGGCGAGCAAACGTTTAGTTATCGCACCAATCGAGAGTACGCGACCGACCTGCATGCGGCGGCGTAGCATAGGGAACAACGCGAACGATTGGACCGAGAACAAGATCAGCCCAAACACAGACAAATCGTCCGGTAATCGCGAAGCCAGTACAACCGAGGACGAGATGGCAGCGTTCATTGACAGCACCGAGGTAAGCCTTGGAACGAGAAGCGTCCGGAGTTAGATCCCGACTCCGGTGTCTTCTCACGCAAAACGGCGTACCTCTCGCGCTGCTGGCTTCTGGGTCTCATCGCAGTATAATCGGCCAGAAGCGCGTTCAGGATAAACAGACATGCCGACAGAGCCCAAATCGAGTCCGAGGATGTTGCAGCGGTCAAAGTCTTTAGGACCGGAGAGAGGGACATGAGGGCGAGGAAAACGAGGATAGAGGCTTTGACTGCCTTCGCCCCTGAGCAACCGCTGCGGTTAGATATCTAGCACACCATCCGATTTGGGGGAGTGGACGAACTGTTCGTGTTCCGAGTCTCTCTGTCTAGCACGGCCCATTCAAGCAGCTCCCACGCGATGTACCCCACCAGGAAGACTCCGGAGGATATCCATATGAGGGCGCGTGGATCCAGCAACCGCTGTTGTAGCCGAACGAAGATTGCGATGACGACGAAGATGCTGGCAAGGTGCTGACTTATGGGGCATGAGAGGAGCACGAGGTGCCAATAGGTGTAGGGTTTGAAGTTTGCTGCGAAGCAAAGCCGATTGAGATCACTGGAGGAGCGACGCGTTTACCCTAACCACTCACGATTCTTGCTCAAAGACTTGAGAAAGGACTTGGGGACATAGTTATCGGGGTATGGCTTCTTCTTCCACAAGACACGCTCCCACTCTTCCTCCCATGACTCCGTGTACATTCATGGGACAGTGAGGAGCACCCAAGGCAGCGTCCAGCGGTGGTGCTGGCCGTCCCGAGGGCTGGGCTGATTACGGCCGGGCAGGCGGTTTGGGCGAGGACTGGATGGATGGAGACAAGTGGCAAGGATGGCCGGCCCTGCGCTGCCAGCGCCTCCACAGGGCGCGCGTCTGGCGTCTGATAGGCGTCTAGACCGACCAACGCCGAAATGAAGCTTCGTCAATATTAATCTCACTCTTTCCCTAACCACCGCTCTGTTTTTCCGAGCCGAGTGGAAGCCATATTTGCGACGTTTATACAGCCAGACACCGACCAGCTTCAGACGTGCACATGCAGTCCGCGAGGCTGTCTGTGTGCACTGTGCAGCAGACGCTTTGCATGCACCGTTCGTCCATAGAGTACAGATGTCCGTCAGGAGTCCCATGCGGCCAACGGCGACCTGGTAGGTATGGCTAGTCCACAACGTGTGTGGGTCTCTCAGTGCAGGCTCCTCCGTTATCATCCAACTTCCGAGCGCAGACGGCAGTCCGTCTGCCCCGCCAATGGCCATTCTCCCGAACGGGCGGCGTTCAGTCCCACTGCAGGATGCGCGGTGTCGTAAGCCCAGGTCCCCGGTCGCCCCGCCCTGCACCTTGCACTCACCACGAGTCGCTCTGGCGCCGCGGGCTCCGGCGTGCGCGTAGCCGTCTTCTGCGCCTCCAGCTTCGCCGCGAGTCTCCCCGCCTGAGGGTTCGAAGGCTTCACCCCTCGAGCCTGAGCCTGGATTGAGAACAGGGGAAGTCGTCAACATTCGCCGAACACCAGATGCCAGGGACACAGATGAACGGCACGGACGTCTTTCTGCCGTCGCTCTGCGGCTTCCGCGGCGGCCCTTCGAGGGTCGGCGGGCCGGGAGCCCTGTAGGGACCCTCCCGCAGCGCCTGCGGGGGCGGCCCCCAGGACTTCGTGTCCGCCAGTGACGGTTCCAGACTTGGAGCACAGAGAACCCATGGGAGGGTGATGAGAGTCTATGCGAACCTGGAAAGATGCAACATGCCAAGGCGTTCCGGATGCGTAGCGGTGCCGAGGCGCAAGGCACTCCGCACTTGCCTGAGATGGACACCAATCTATGCAACTTCTATGCATCACTTCTTCCGCGGCTTGTCTGAGCGCGGCAGTACGATTTGCAGCTGCCCATCCCGCGACACGAGGGCAGCACGAGTACGTTTCAAGATCAACACGTCCGTACGATCCACCAGGCAAACTCGGCGCCCATGCAATGACGCCGAGAGCTGTGCCTTCGAAAGACCGCTGAATTAGTACAGAATGGATGCGCTACTAAAATACAAATGTCGGACGCTATGCGTCCGGACGACGTCCTCACGAGGATGCGTGTCAGGGATTTGGAGGCGAATCAGCAACGGTCTCGTATGTGCCCCTTCCGTCCCTCGTAAACCCTCTCGTCGCGCCAAGACGGATGTCCTCGGGTCGTCTCTGAGGGATCCATGCCTGGGCGGGACAGCAAACTCAATTGTTTACCGACAGCGGACGCGCGTGAACAGCACTCACCTCCCACCACCTCCTGCTCGCGCTCCACGCCACGCCCGCGTCGAACCCTGCCTTGACCATCCGACCCTTGATCCCCGCCCCAAGCAGGAGGCCGAACACAGTCAGCAGGAACAGCGTCACGACGAGCTGGTCGCGCGGCGAGTCCCTCTCTGCATTCCCGGCGCAGCGATCGTCCGCGCGGAGACCGGCGAGCCCGAGCGCACGGACGCGAGAGAAGGAAGACGGAGGGAAGGGACGAGTGAGCACCCCCGCACACCACACGCGGTCAGGGACTGGGACGCACGGAAACAACGAGCCTCGATGTCGCCCTCCTTGCCCGTCGCGGTGTCCGGGTTCGTGTCCCCGATGGACGCCCCCGCGCACTTGGCGAGGTTCTGGTTGAGGCACCACTGCTTCGTGCACGACAGGCACGGCTTGCTCGGGTCGTCCGGGCTGGACATGGGCAGGATCGTGTAGTTCGTCCCGAAGCAGATGCCTGCGGGCGGGCGCGCATGCACGCGTGGAGATAAGCGTAAGCGTGCGTTCCCTTCACTGGTGCGAGCGCGGACGGGACGGGGGAGGGTGCTCACATTTACAGAAGTTCGTGGCCTCCCACTTGCCGAGCGCAGCGTAGACGGATGGCTGCGCCCGCGGACGTCAGCGGACCTTCCCTGGCGCATGGACATGCGATTCCGCTCACTGTGTAGAGGAGGAGGAGGAAGAGCCAACACAAGACCGAGCTTGCGCGGGCGGACGCTGTCTGAGCCATGGTCGCGGTGCTGGGCAGAGAAGCGCGAGCAACGCGCGTCTGTCACCGTTCCTCTCTGGCCATCGACCGCCAACGCCCCTCTGGGTCCCCTCGCTCCTTCTGCTCCCCGCTCTCCCGACGCGACCGATAGCCTACTGTTTCATTCCGTTAATCTTGCCGATAGCTTACGACCGCGACCTAGAGGCGAAGATCGGTAGCTCGCGATGGCGACCGAATTCGAGGACGTACTCACCAACCAGCCTGTGGTAATCGACAATGTTCGTCCCTCTCCTCGTGCGCCGGTGTAATTCTCCCTAGTGTATCGTGTATTGAAGCCTGACTGAACGCTGCAGGGCTCCGGGACGATCAAGGCCGGGTTCGCAGGCCAGGACCATCCAAAGTGCTTCTTTCCGTCTTTGTGCGTACACGCCGTTGCATGACGCGTCCCGCCCCGTGTTAACGTCCGCCTGCTGCCAGTGTCGGGCGGCCAAAACATGTGCGCGTCATGGCCGGCGCGCTGGAGGGCGACGTGTTCATCGGGCGCAAGGCGCAAGAGGCCCGCGGACTGCTCAAGATCAAGTACCCGATGGAGCACGGGATCGTGACCGACTGGGACGACATGGAGCGGATATGGAGCTGGGTGTATGCGGAGGAGCTGGGGACGTTGAGCGAAGAGGTACGTCGCGCGTTCTTGTCCGGTGCTTGGACGAGAGACGAAGCGTGAGGGATATAGCATCCGGTTCTGCTCACAGAAGCCCCGCTGAACCCGCGTCATAACCGCGACGTCGCGGCCCAAATCTTCTTCGACACGTTCAACGTTCCCGCTCTGTATATCTCCGTTCAAGCTGTATTGTCATTGTGAGTAGACCTGTGGCTATGTCTCGCCCTCGACCGCTGAAACCATCGCGGACTGGCAGATATTCTTCCGGCCGGACAACGGGGATTGTCCTGGACTCAGGTGATGGCGTAACACACGCGGTTCCCGTTTTCGAGGGATTCTCGATGCCGCACGCTATCAGGAGAGTAGATGTTGCAGGAAGGTAAGCACGATCTCAGATTGCTGGAGTGCTTCGCCATAACCGTACGTATTAGGGACGTCACCGATCACCTGCAGCTACTGCTCAGGAAGTCCGGACACCACCTACACACCACGGCAGAACGTGAGGTTGTGCGCACAATCAAGGAGAAGTGCTGTTACGTCGCGCTCAATCCGGTCAAGGAGGAGAAAGATGCCATGGGACGCAGCGAAGATTTCCGGTTACCCGATGGAAACACCGTCCAGGTATGAGACTTTGTTCACTAGGACTATGCGCGTCTCTCACACAAGATTTGCGTCAACAGCTCGGCCCAGAGCGGTTCCGCGCACCGGAGATCCTATTCAACCCCGAGCTCATTGGACAAGAATACGCCGGTGTGCACCAAGTTGTTGTGGACTCGATCAACCGAGTGGACATGGACCTGAGGAAGAGTCTTTTCTCGAACATCGTCCTCAGCGGTGGCAGCACGCTCTGTCGTGGTACGTATACGTGACGTCTTGGCGCGAAGTCCTGATTGACATCGCGGAACAGGATTCGGAGACCGTTTACTAAACGAGGTTAAGAAAGTAGCGTTGAAGGATATCAAGATCAAGATCTATGCACCTCCTGAACGCAAGTACTCGACATGGATTGGTGGTTCGATTTTGGCTGGTCTGAACACATTCAAGAAGGTGAGTCGGATTTTCCTTGACTCGTAACTTTTGCTTATGCAAGAACAGATGTGGGTATCCGCGGAGGAGTATCAGGAGGACCCAGACATCATTCACAAGAAATTGGGTTTCTGAACGTGCTCTTCACTCTACTTACACTCATCACTGGTTGTTCGTCGGTAGGCCATATCCTTTTGTCGCTGTGATACCCGACTGTAGTGTGCACTCCTAATGCTATCTCGGACATCAATCTCATACAGATTGCACAACATGAATAGTCCGCATGCGCATAGTGTTCATGAGCATTAGACAACAGGGGAAGCGGGCATAAGTGATAGGATACAGCTGCAAAGAACTTTTGCGATGTGCGAGTGTGCATGATGTGCAATGCGATAGAGCCCGAGGATAATACAATGCGCCCGACCCTTACTTGCCCTTCTTCGCGGGCTCGGAGGCCTTGGACTTTTTGGTACCCCGGAGCTATATGCAACAATGGATGAGCTGCCAAGGTCGCAAGACCCGCAAGCAATGAAACAGACCTTCTTCGCACGGTTCTTGCGCTCCTTGCGAAGCTTGCGGTTGGTCTTCGGTGGTGCAACCATGAGGCCAGACTGACATACGTTCAGGCTCATGAGTTACATCGTCCGCAACGAGATATGCAAGCACGGAAGACGCACCCGAATCAACCGGTACTTGGGCTCGAACTTCCGCTGTGACGCCTCATCGTCATAGATCAGGCCGAAGCCCGTGCTCCGTCCACCACCAAAGACAGTCTTGAAGCCAAAAGTGACAACGCGGTCCTTGTCCGTCTTGTAGGTGGCGGCGAGGCGCTCGGAGAGCTCCGCCTTGGAGACGTTCGCGCGGCTCGGGTGGAGGACGTCAAGGACGAACTGGCGGCGGGCCAGCAGGCGGTTGGTGATAAACTTGCGGGTGCGGATTGTGACCGGTGCTGAGTTGTCGGCCTGCACACGCACGCGCAGCGAGTACCGGGAGTGTTCAGAATGCGAGCGGGGAAGGGGAAGAGGTCGTCAGACGATCTGCCTTCACTGGTGGACCGAGCTGCCATAGGTACATCCAGATGCCAAATCGTCCATCCATCCCATTCCGCCGCTCGTACGCCCATTCCACCATGCCAAACGGTCTGCCAGACATCCGGCAGTACGATGGAGAGAGACTCACCATGGTTACTTGCCGGCTTTTGGGTCCTTTACCTTGATGTCGTTCGGCGTTGAGAAATCGCCAGTGCGCCTGCCAGTTGTGCTGACCAAACAGGGCAATACACGCGGGCCCGTCGGGCGAGCGTGAGCGCCATTGCAAATACCCGCAAATACCACCGGTGGCGGACTGGGCGCCTGCACTCCGGTCCGTCTCCAACCAGCTGCTGTGCGAAGCCACTCCAGAGTCGGGTGTAAGGAGGCCGCACTGCGCACCCCCCTCCTCGACTGCGCCAACCTCCATCGTTGTCGTATTTATTCCTCCTCTACCGCCTACCCGCACCCTGCGCTCGCGCCGCCACCGCCCACGATGAGCATGAGCAGCAACAACCGCTCGAATTTCGCCTCCTTCGCGGCCTACGTGAGTCTTCAGCATCTTGTCGCCGCATGGCCTCACTGTCTAGGCCTCCCTCCGCGCAGACCCCACCGCCAGACGATCCCTCGCACGCCTCGCCGCCCCCGCACGCCTCGACCTCGCGCGCGTGGTTCCCCTCGGGTGGGGCCCCACCCTCCGGTGGCCTCGCGCAGCCGACGTCCTACCAGTCCGGCGGGATCCCGACGTTCAACACCTCGCAGGCGGGCGGGCTCGGCGCCGTCGAGGATGCAGACGCGGAGAACTCGACGAGCATGTGGGAGACCCGGCACGGCTGGCGCGTCGACCTCCTCGCCGCCTCGGCGTACCTGCTGGGTCCCATCTCCGGTGCGTGCTCCCTGGCCCCTGCCTTCTCGGGAGAGCATCCCCCTTTCGTCGCCCTTGGCCCACGTCTGACGTGCGTGCGTGTGTGCAGCGTTCATCATCCTTGTGACGGAGACCTACAACGACTTCGTGCGTTTCCATGGTGCGTCATCCTCTCCTTGATATGTGTGCTATCAAAACACTCCCCTCACCTCCCTCACTCTTCGCAGCGTACCAGTCGGCCCTCCTGACGACGCCTCTGGTCATTCTCCGCATCCTCGCATCCCTCCTGCAATTCGCTCCGTTCCTCCGCACCGTTTTCACTTTCCTGATAATCGTACCGTCGCTCTACATGGCGTAAGTGGTCCTTGTATGCACCAGCGAGTCTTAGCCGCTAACTCCTCATCTCGCACAGATGGCAAGCATATATCGATGCATCTCGTAATGGCCTAGTACGCTTTCAGATACCCTTTATCGGTCCGCTTGCAGAACGATGGGTCTACGAAGAGTGACCGTATGTTCGTAAATACGGCTTGCCTGCTGTGCATCGCTTTCATCAATGTACGATTTTTCCGAGAACGTCTGCTCTTGCGAAAACAATGGTTCTGAACGGTGGCTCTTGGTGTGCGTACCCTCGTCCCCAACTATCCATACAATCGCTCGTTGCTTATGGTGCCATATGACCTGCTTTATTGCTACAGAAGAGTGTGTGGACCAGCCGTCTAGTGATGTACAGATACAAACGCGAGCCCGCTCAAGAGCCGTTACACCGACATGCAGTGTTCAGAGAAGCACGCCTTCGCACTTCCAGTCAAATTCGCACCCGGTGTTCGTCGCTTTGCCAATCAGTGCCAGGACGGTAGGCTTCAGCTCGTTGATCAGCTGATCGAGAACGTCCTCCAGCAGGTCCAAGACGTCGATGAGGATGCACTTGATTTGGAAGACCACTGTTGCGGTTCGTTAAGGTCGACGCCCAAGGAGCGCAGCGCAGGGAGCCCAACTCACCAGGTTCCAAAGTCGAGCCCAAGATCGGGATGTTGCCGACGAGCTCGTCGATGTACTTCAAGGTGTCCTTGAGCGAGTTCACCAGGTCCTTGATCGCCGTCTCCAGCTCGTTGTTCTTGTCGTAGAAGCCCAGGCCCTTGTCGGTCTCGATCAGGCTCTGGAGGGACAGCAGCCCGGTCTGGAAGGACGAGATCGAGGCGACCGCGTTGTCGCGGAAGATGGGGTCGTTGCCCTCGGCGGCGGACCGCCCGGCGAGGCCGCCTGCGCGGTGGTCAGCTCACGGTCGTCCCGAGCACAGAGCGGGCCCAAGCACACGCACTGATGATCGTCATCTGCTCGGTCAACGAGCTGAGGATCGCGACCGACCGGCTGTGGACGTCGTGAGAGGCGGCGGACGAGGCGCGGCGGGCGACGGGCATGGCAGCGGTGTTTGCGTTTTGGGGGGCGGACACGACGTCCGTCTGCGGCACAGCCGCGGCGGAGGTGAACAGGCCGGGGTTCTTCGCGGCGTAGTCTGCGAAGCGCATGGGAGGGGCGGCGATGGGTAGGGCAAGGGCGCCGAGAGGAGTCGACGAGGGACCGAGAGTGGAGACCAGGGCGGCAGCCTGAAGACCGAGGACGACGGCGCGGGTGAAGGTGGGCATGTTGAACTTGAACGCGAGCGCGAGGGGGTTAGGTTGTTGAGTAAGAGCCGGGATCAACCAGAGTAGGAGACTTGGGGACGCGACTTGCGCGGAAGGGCGACCAGAGAGTCGTAGAGTAGAAACCAGCGGGACGTGGGCGACCAGGAGCGCGAGCGTAGAGGGAAAGACGGGACGGGGGCCCCTCGCCCTCCTTCGCGTTCTTTATACTTCACATTTTCCTCGGCGGGCTCGACGCCGGACACAACCTTAGTTCTCTCTGGCGTGCATCCGCGATTGGCTGCCCGGCGCTCGCGTGCAAGGTTCGAACCCATCACGTGCCGCGATTTTCGGTACAGCCACGCACCCGAACTGTGCGGGTCAATTTCCTTCTTCCAATGCGGACGACGCCATGTCTCCTAGCAACGGCGTTAATGAATTCGTACAGCACACACGGCAAAAGGCAAACACAAAATGAAAGCGCAGGCGCATACATTGGGACGATCAAGCCCTTCCAAAAGCCCAAACAACAAAAACCCGAAGGGAACTACGGAGACGAGTTCACGCCCAGGGGCAAATGTCCAGCAGAGTGAAAGTACATATATGCGGAGTCGCGTACGTCTTGTCGCGATCGCGACATAGGTAATCTACCAGCCTTCACTAGGGTACACCGTGGTACCGTAGCCGACAAGACGAGTCTGTAAAGGGTCCTCCCCACCGCCCTCCGAATCCGAGCGTGCGAAAGCATGAAGACCAAGATAAATAAACAAGAGGGGCGTAATCGTGTGGGGAGACGTGCGCGCAGACCGCAGCCCCCGCGGGCGGGGCGCGCTCAGCCGGCATGGTGGGAGAAGAACAGCGCGGAGCCATCCGCTGCGTGCGAGCGAGGCGGAAGAATGTGCGAATGAAATAAATGGTGCGCGGCGCTCGGGCGTGATGGCTCGTGTAGAGTCCGGGGCAAGTGTCCAACTGATGATACGTGAGCGAAGGGCAGTGTCTGGGTGCCGAGTCCGCCGACTCTTGGGTCAAAGCAGGGAGCGTAGCAGGGTAATGAATGGACGTTCTTCATGTTCGGAACTGGGAAGCCCAGCCAGGGCCGCAGCACGGAAGACGTGCGCGACGCAAGGCAGACTTGGGGGACGCTGGGAAGCGTTTAGACCTTGACGCAGGTCTTGTTGTCGACCGACTTGAGGAAGCCGCTCGCACAGGTCAAGACTAGATAGGCGCGGAGTCAGCAAGCATTGCCGGCGATCGCAGCGGACGTTCGCTGCGTGATGGACAGATAGATGGGCCAGAAACAGATGCTCACCAACACACTCGCCCGCGCGGCAGCCCACATTCTTGGAGCCGGTGATGGCGGTGCAGTCCTCGCCAGCGCCGACCGACGCGCAGCCGCCGCACGACTCGAGGTCCGAGCTGGTGTCCACGCACTCGAAGTTGTCCGAGAGGCCGGTGGTCGAGGTGAGACACGCCTCCATGCCGGCCGGGCACACGCTCGTGGAGCGGGCCTTGTGCGACCGCTTCCAGCCACCCTTGTGGCCGTTGCCGGAGTTGCCCCAGCCGTAGCCGGAGTTGCCAGTGTTGCCCCAGCCGTAGCCACCGTTACCGGAGCTCGGGGTCTTCGAGGGAGTGGCCGGCTTGGTGGACGTCGTGGTGTGGGGGTTGCAGCAGAAGGAACCGGAGTTCCAGCCCCAGCCGTTGCCACACTGCGGGGGAGGTTGGTCGGGGTGGTGGGGGACACAGCAGCCCTTGCCGTGGTTCCACTCCCAGTTGGACGGGCAGTCAGTGCCAGAGGGGGGCGAGGGCGGGTTCGGGCTACCACCGTGGGGCAGGCAGCAGGACTTGCTGCCCCAGCTACGGGAGCGAGCAGGTGCGCGGTCAGTCGGGATCGACGCAGGGCGGGCGAGAGGGTTACGTACTACCACTGGCCAGAACCGCAGGTGCTCGAAGTGGTGGCGGGGGGCGCGGAGGTGGTGTGGACCGAAGTGGTCTTGACCGAGGTGGTAGGGTGGGCGGTGGTCTTCACAGTAGTCGAAGCGGCGGGCGTGCAGCAGCTCTTGCCCGAGTTCCAACCCCAGCCGGACGAGCAGGAGGGGGTCGAACTGGAGGGGGAGTCTTCGGCACACAGCAGTCCTTGCTCTGGCTCCACTCCCAAGAGGACGGGCAAGACGAGCCCTTCGGCGGGCTCGGGGGTTTGGAAGAACCCCCGTGGGGGAGACAGCAGTCCTTGTCACCCCAGCTGCGTAGCGGTCAGCGCCTCGAGTTTCGGAACCGAAAGGGCGTTCGGAGCACTCACTAGAACTCGTTGCTCTTGCAGGAGGATGAGGAACCGGAGTTGCCCCAGCCAGAGTTGCTGGTGGCGAGGGCGAGCGGGAGCGCGGCAGCGACGACGAGGAGACGGGCAAAGAGCGTCATTTTCAAAGATCGTGGGGCCCCAAGGCAGACGGGGAAGGGAGGACGGTGGGATGGGGAGGAACAAACAGGCTAGGGAAACAAGGCGGGCAGGGGGGAGGGTTTTATACCGCGGCCGATCGGAAGGTTCCTCGAGAATCAGCAACTGTTCTGTTCACACACATTCTAGTAGAGAGGGACTGATATCATCTGCACCTTCCAGGCGGCCATCAATATCCGCCACGGACAACCGTGCTGTTGGCAAGCGTCCACTGCGTGAACCCGTCAGATGGCACCGGCGCCTGCGCGAGGGGCCTGGTCGCCGGCAGCCACTAGCTCGCAGCGCAGGGCTTACCGACCGTGGCTGAAGGAAGGGGCGGGCGCAGGAGGTGTTTCGCGCCGCGTCCAGCGCGTAGGGGCACGCTTGTGTGCGTTGCGGCCCGCGCGCGTACGGCATGTGCCTGGCATGCCGACCAGAGAAGGGTCCAGCGGTCCACGCCACGGCCGAAGCGGAGAAGAAGTCCAGCTGGAAATCCGGATCTGACGCGCGAAATGAGCGCGCTCGGGCGCGTGTCGGACGCCAGGGTTTGTTGCGAGCACGATCTCGTCAGCGGTCAACACAGGGCAGGGTGGCGACTGGTGGCGGCGGCCCACCTGAGGCCTGAGGACTGGTTGCGAGGCGCATCGGGGTATCAAAGGGCGAGAGAGATGTGTCGGAGGAGAGATCGCAGTGGGATCCATGCCACCGCCGACGAGGCTGGGCACGCCACGGTCTCTGCAATTAATGCGCCGTCGGGGCCTGCAATGGTCTGTCGGACGACCAGGGCGGGTCACGACGGGCAACGGCCCAGCTTCGGAGCTCGAAAACGCGTAGAAAAAGCCTGTCAAAGGTGTCTTTTCTGCCGCTTTTGTGCGCGTGTGAAAAAGGCACTAAATGGGCAATTTTTCCGGATGCTTTACGGGGTGCCGAAAACGATCGATAAAGAGACCTTTGGTACCCATTCCAATAACGCGCGTTACTTATCATTCGTACTCACTTGTTTGTTACTCACATACTATACACGTTCTATTGCCTTTACAATGAATTCTATTGTCTTTGTTCTGAGCACAGTATTCTGTCGTGCCAAAACATTCTTCCAAAACGTCACCTTTCAGGATACTCTACGACACACACAAACTTGACATAAAAATTCGCCTTTCCCACCCTTTTTCTCCCCTGGAAAAATACCTGCCGGAAATGACACCTTTGACAGGCTTTTTCTACGCCTTTCCGGGCTCCGAAGCTGAGCCGTTGCCCGTCGTGGGTGCAGAGGTTGCCAAGTCGTCGGGGAGGACAAGCAGCCGCCCCGGGCGACAACAATGCATGTCCAGACGCCCGTCGGGCCTCGTGCACGCTGTCCACACAACAGACAACACCCCGAAACCGATCCAAGTCGTCTTGCTCTCGTCTTGTTCCCTGCGGCTGCCACTGTCGTCGACGTTGGGCTCGCCGACTGGGCCTCCGAACGCGCGCCCACCCTGCCGCGAAAGGTGGGCGCCGTCATCCGCGTACCTCGCCCCCTGCCCCATTCAGCGCGCTACCCACGGCTCTCTCCGGGGTTGACTTATCAGAATTGGAGGGAAAACCATTGCGCCTATATTTACATTTCTTGCCAGTCATCACGGACATCAAAACGGAAGGAAGAAGCGGGAGCTTGACGCGAGGGGAAATCGCGACTGTCTGATGTGCCCGTCAGGATCCTCTTCCCTCCCCGCCCCGACCCTTCCGCGCCTCCGCCGCACCGTACCAGTCTCCGTCAGCGTCAGCGTGCGTCCCCTCGCGGGTGAAGGCCGCGTCCGCGACCCTCTTGGTCCGCGTTAGAGCCTCCCGTGCACGTCCTCCACCAGTCCGCCAGCGCCTCAGGCTTCTAGCGCATGTGCCTTGCCGAGCGCTCGCGACGCGAAGAACCGCACATCCGCGTCCGTATCGTTCTTGAGGGCCTCCAGCACCGGGGCCACCTTTTGCTGCACCAGCTGCGAGCCCTCCGGCGTGTCCCCAAACGCGGTCGCCACGCTCTCCAGTGCTTTGGCAACGTTGAAGCGGATGTTCGGGATCGGGTCGCTCGCGAGCTGCACCAAAGTGTCCAGGACGGTCTCCTGCACGACCTCGAGCGTCAACGAGGGTGCGATCGTCTGTCAAATCCATCAATCAGTCACGGTCCATGACGGGAGGTCCATACCCTGCGCCAAAATCGCGAGGCTATGACGTGTTCCGGCCCCTTCTTACCATGATCGCTTGCACGGTCGTCATCCTGTAGAGGTAGTTGGGATGCTGGCCCATCCCGACCACCTTCGGGACAATTTGCTCCTTCGACCATTCCACCCCAAACACCTCCGTGAGCTTCTTGAGATTGACCGCCGCCGCCTCCCGGATGCTGTAGACGTTATCTCCGAGCCACGACATACACAGATTCCCGAGCGACTCGTCGAAGAACGGCTTGCCGAGCTGCGTCGCGAGCAGCGGGATGTACTCGATGATCGCTTGGCGCACGCGCCATGACTTGTCTTCTGCCAACTCGACAATCGCAGGGAGCAGACTGTCCGACAGAAGTTCGATGCCAATCTCTGCGGACACTCGGCGTTAGCTCGCCAGCCCGAAACAGTGGAGTGTATGGGACAGCCTTTGCGTACCGGAGTTGACTTGTTCCAGCTTCGAGATGATGTTGAGCCGCACCTCTGGGAACTCATCTTTGAGCACATGAAGGAATAGAGGCAGCAGATGCTCGATGGTCGCATCTTTGCCCAGGAGCGGCGCGAGCCCACTGATCTGGTTGGCGAGAGCGGCGCGCACATGCTGGGACAAATCCTGGCACAGGTCGCGCACGCAAGGTACGATGCGAGCGAGCACGACCTCCTTCTCGAGCAGCTTGGAGAACCCTGCGGCATGGTTGAGCGATTCTCCAAGCTGACACCTGCCGCACACAACGTACCTGGGACCTGCCCCGCGGCCGCCGTGCGCACCTCCGCCTCGTTGTCCTTGAGCAGCTGGACGAAGTGCCCGATGAGCTCCTCTCGGACAAGCTCCTGCCCGACCACCTCCGCAAGCTGTTCCAGGAACGCGCCACTCAGCCTCAAACGCTGCTCCGACGCACGTGGTGGGCGCCACGCACCTCGTTGAAGTGGCTCGCAGCCATGTATCGCACGCGCCAGCTCTTGTCCGTCATCGTCTGCCGGATCTGCTTCAGGAGCTGTTCCTTGACCTCCGCCGGGGACAGCTGCTGTGCGATCGCGATCAGGTCCTCGACGGTGAGGAGTCGGACCGAGTCCTGGTCGTCTGCTTGCAGCTTCCGGTACATCGCGAGACCGTCGCTGAGAACCTGCGCCTTCGAGTACTTCTTCGCCAGGGGCTATATGCGGGGATAGGGCAGATCGCGCGCAATCAGCATGGAGTCCCGAGGCGTCATGGAAAAGAGCATGCGTGGAAGGGGCGGGGACAATAGGAATGGAAGGGAGTACGCACAGCGAGCCATTTTGCTGCCGCACGACGGACCATGGGGGTGTCATCTGCGGCGAGAGATGCGAACGCGCGGCGAAGGTCGTCTTGGATGGAAACAGGAACCTTGTCGTAGACGGGGGCATAGAGTGCGCAAGCCGAGGTGCGGGACGTGAACCATTCTCCTCGCGATAGTCGTTGTACGAGGGGAATGTAATATTGTTCGATCTGTTGCTGGCTGAGGATGGCTGCAACCTTGGTGATGGACTCTGCTGCCTATCGTGCATCGGGTGAGGATGTGGTCCATGGGACGGAAGGACAGGCAGAAAACGACGGAAACAAGGGGTGGATAAAACGGGCGCGACGATGCGTTGCACGACGTACCTTGTCCCGAACTAAGGTCTCCTCGACCGCAGACAGGTTCTCCAACGGACCCAACAACACATGCGCATGCTCAGGGCCCCCGATGTACTCCTCGAAAGTCCGCCCCAGTTCCTCCGCAAGAGCGAGGAGAACCTCGTCTTCGTCGTCGACCGAGTCTTGCAAAAAGGGTATCAGTTCATCGCGCGCGCGGTCAGGACCCAACGCGAGTGCAATGGTCGAAATGCGGTGGATGGCATTCAGGCGCAGTTGGACGTCCTCCGACCGGAGCTCATCCATGAGAATAGCAATCGGGGCAATCTGGTCATATAAGCAAGAACGTGATGAGCTTCAGCGGGGACGGGAAGACGGCAGTAGGCGGACATCATCTAGAGATGTATTGGGGTCCATGATATGGCTAGTTGTCTTGCTCTAGTGAGAGAGAGCGGCGTTACTATCTTCGTCGACGGCCGTGAGCGTATGCAGGATAGTGCGCAGAACTGCGGTGCGAGAGAAACGCGGGTCGAGGTAGTGGGGAAGGAGCGAATGCTACCAATCGCGCGCCCATGCCCATGTTTGGTGCCGCGCTGCAGACTGCCTCGTGCGACCTGTGCCGCGGGCGCCTCTTTCATTTTTTGATGTACCACCTTTCTAAACAGGGATGGCTACACCGTCGGGCTTGGCTAGCAACAACACGGCAGGTTCAAATCATGCATTTCGACGAGCTACAGATACAATAGCTACAGCCCAATCGCGAATTTCTACAGCACGAAGCCACAGCAAACGCGACTGAGAGCAAAGCCTTCGCGAAGAAGGTAGGGTTTTCAAAAATTGTGCAGCACGGGCTAAGCACGAAGCATAGCCCAAGTGTTGACTCTTCTGTCCAAGCTGCCACAGGTTCTCTTCTAGAAACCCGTGCGTTGATGAGGCCTAGGGTTGATGGCGGTGACTACAACAACGTTAGCTAGCAGAGTAGGAAGGAGATGCTGGATACTTACTTCTTGATGTGGCGGCGCTTATCCATAGGTGGGAGACGGGAACGAAGAAACGACACCGAAGACGACCGTAGCGCCTTGATCATGGGCGATGCCCGCACGCCTGTACTCCTGAGGTCGTGGGCTCGATCTGCAGTCCGTAGACAGTCTCTGGATCCTTTGACCATACAAGAACGCCTCCGGAAACACCGGGGCCGATCGCCGAATGTGTTCGCGATCTACTGACGACGTCCGCCAGGAAATGAGGGTGCTTGACCCTATCGTGTCGACGAGGTTGACAACCTGTGACTAGCCGAGCCTGTCGCCCGCTATCGCTGCGCGTGGATCCGCTAGCGTCTACGACGTTCTGAGTCGATCGTGCGTGTTGTGACGTGAACGTGGACGTGTACCACCGCTTGTTGCGGGGTCTTCGGCTTTTCCAGCCCGAACCGCTTCGGACCGTGCTGGTGCCAGGCTTCGTGCAACCGCGAGGACGGCGAAAGATGACTCGATGTCGATCCTCGTGCGTCCAGCGTCGAAGCCGACCAGTGTCCGAGTTCGGTTGTCCATCGGGCTTCCTAGGCCATTTTCCCAAGGCGCTCCAAGAGAGGAGCGCAAAGCCTTCGATAGACGCACGAAGCGACCTCGTGGGGCTACGAAGGATTGGCAAAGTGGGCGACAGAGATCGTATTGCGTCGTGCGACCGTACACTGCTTTCGCTCGAGCGACGTGACGTGCCGTTGCACCGGAATAAGCCCGTGGCTGAGAGGAGCAGCATTGTCCTTTGCGAAGCGACGGGTTCCCCATTCGTCCGTATATACGCGGTCTGCAACAAAGCCTCTGCAAAGCTCGGTAGGTCAAAGACATAAACAGGAAGTCGACTCCATTTGCCTATCTCTGCGTGGCCGTACGTCTCGCGGCCCCCATGACAGGGACCGAGGGTGCCGAAAATGGTGCGAGAACCACCTCGTACACCCGGCTCGAAACAACCACGCTCGCGACTTGTGTGTACGCAATCCAGCACGAGTGCGGCCATGTCCATGAGGAGCTGTCTCGAATCGAGGGCGTAGCGTCATCGGGAGGAAGAAACAAGACCACAAGCCTGGCGGAGTAACCTTGCCATACTGGCAAGAATAGCGTAAGGACGATGCCGCGAAAACCGGAGCAAACTTGGAAGAAGGCGGAGAAGTGCGTCTGGAATGGCCGAGGCTCAAGCGGGACGACTCTTGCGCAACAGAAGGTGGTGGAGAAAGAGCATGGGGCTGCAAGGGAGGGGAAGCGGCACGGAGGGGGCAGGGCAGAGGGAAGGGAGCAGAACCAAGTCGAGGCTGCGGCCAGGCTGCCGGAAAGCAGTCGCACTTTTGTAGTAAGGCGGGCGTGCTTCAGGGCAGGCGCGCCTATCGTGAAACCCGAGTCACGCGAGGCGGTGACCAGTGCTGTGTCACACTGCGTCACCGCCTGTCGGCGTCCATGGATTGCCGGCGGACGATCGGACCGGGCACACAGGCCGGGAAAGCCGTTGCAGGGCGACCGCTCCCAGCCCCTCCAGGCTCTCTATCCTCCACCCCGACGACGACGACACCCACCTCAGCATGCCGGCCAACATCAAACGCGATCGAATCATTCTCAGTCACCCCTCCGTATGGCCAATCCTACCTCACCCAATCAGTACTAACGCCCATTGTTTCCCAGGGGTCCTCTGCGGAGATTCTGTTGTACGGAGCAACTGTGATCTCCTGGAAATCGATTGGGCCGGACGACAGCACACCGAGTGAACGTCTCTTTGTTTCTGGCAAGGCCGCTACGGATGGGAGCAAGCCCGTTCGAGGAGGCATCCCCGTAGTCTATCCCTGCTTTGGTGCCCCTACACACCCCGATCACATGAAACTTCCCCAGCATGGATACCTGCGCAACAATGTTTGGCAATTCGACGGCATTCCTATGGACAACGAGGCAGGCGTGACGCTGAGGCTCAGTGGGTCGCCATCCTCATCATGGCTCGACACTCAGCTCACCCTCAGCTGTTAGCAATGGCGCCTAATGCGGCCATGAAGGAGCAGTACTCCTACCCAGTCAGGCTTCAATACGTGGTTACCCTTGCCCCCCACCAGCTCAGCACGGACCTTCATGTGAAGAATGTCGCATCCAGCGACTCCTCCCCTATGGAGTTCCAGGCGCTTTTCCACAATTACTTCCGATGTGTTGCCAACGATGCGCTCGTCTATCCTCTCAAAGGTCTTTCTTACCTCGACAAGACGGAAGCCACTCCTGAGCTCCGCAGCTCTACCAAGCTAGAACTTCGCGACGGCGTCGATGTGAAGAAGTTCACCGATTCTGTATACCTGGACGGACCGAAAAGGTACACGCTCAGGTGGCCAGGCGGAGAGATCGACATCAACACCAACCTCAACGACGTCGTCGTCTGGAATCCGCAGCAAGAGGCGGGCTCCAAGATCGGCGACATGGAAGATGGCGGATGGTTAGTAGAATCATCGCGTTCACATGTCTGTAGCTAATGTGATATTCTAGGGACAAGTATGTTTGTGTGGAGCCAGGTACTGTTCGTGGATTCATCACGCTTCCTCCCGGAGAGAACTACATCTGCCGCCAAACGTTGACCGTCAAAGTGTGACGTTCCGGGTCCGAATGAAGGAGTTTAAATGTTGGGAGGTTTTGACTACAGTCCACCAATGTACTTGTAAGGTTGGAGCGTTGACTGGCAGACAATACTGATGTGCAATTACCGTGAATTTACGCGACCTTTAAGACTAAGTGCCCTCAGTCACAGTTGTCGTAAGGATAGTCCGGGATTGTCCGGCGGCACTGTGAGCCAAACGAGCACGTGCTCTCGACGCGTCCTCGACGCGTTTCGCCATTGCGCGTCTGAGCGTCTGTCGTGATTGGTTCTTGATCACTCCCGCCCACGGCCTGTATATGTCCCCACTCTCTCATCTTGTATATTATCTCTTCGTGCCGATGCAACTTGCCGTCGATGTCTTCCCCGTCAGCGACACTACAAGTCAGGATCAATCATATTGATTACACCGTCATTCCACCGGGGCTCCTCGATAATTCGACCCTCCACCGAGTCCCTGTTATACGTATTTATGGGGATTCTTCTCTGGGCCACAACACATGTTTACATGTGCATCAAGTATACCCTTACTTTCTTGTTGAATACCTCGGAAAAATGAACCCGGACCTTGGTATGCCTCCTCTTTCATCCATGCTGCCGCTGCCGTCGAGCTGCCGTCCCTCATGCATCTTTCATACCAGTACAACGCTATGTCTCGAAGCTCAAGCATTCCCTGAACCATGCAATTGCCATCTCCCTCAAACGTAACCCTGAATCCGTCAAGTCTCAGTTCGTCCGTGCCATTGTCCTAGTCAAGGGCGTGCACTTCTACGGCTTCCACTCCAACTACGCTCCCTTCCTCAAAGTGCACATCGCCGACCCCGCCTTCGTCAGCCGGGCTGTCACCATCATGCAGTCGGGGACGGTCATGTCGACTCGGTTCCGCGTGTACGAGTCCCACCTGTCCTACATCCTCCAGTTCCTCTCCGACTTCGGTCTGTACGGCTGCGGTTGGATCAACTTGGGCGAGGTCTGGCGGCGCGGAAGGGAAGAGGAAGATGAGAAGGAGGAGCACACGACCCCCCGGGTAGACTTCAAAGACTCCCCGTACCACCGCCAGTCTCGGATGCCCCTCGAGGTCGACGTCGCCGCCCACCAGATTCTCAACCGGCACAAGCTCTCCGCGCGGGAGATACACCACAAGCTCACCGTGCCCGCGCCCCCTCTCCCCCCAGAGCCTCTCGTGCTCAGCGTGCGCGAGCTCTGGGAGGATGAGCGGCAGCGCCGCGCCGCGAAGGGGCTTGAGCCGTCTCCCGAGCTGCCGAAGGACCCAAGCGCGAACTCGCGCGAACCCGGCGGGGACTGGGTCGCAGAGGCGCGGTGGTGGGAGGAGATCCGGATGCGCATCGAGAAGGAGCGTGGTAGGGAGGCGCCCCCGCTGAAGATGTCTTGGGAGAGGTGGGTAATGACCACATTCGAGAGCGTCGAGGCGTTGTGGGAAGACGAGTACAAGACATGGAAGCCGCAGAGGAAGCAGGCCAACGGGAACGGGGAGCATGAGGACGACAACTCCGGGACGTCGGACGCGAATCCATACCATGCTTCACAGGGATCGGGAACTGCCAGTGGCTTTCTCGGTGCGTTGGATGGGGCGATTGCTGAAGAGGTGGATGTAGACGAACGTATGCTCGGTAGCCAGCCATGGCTCAATTCATGGAACACGAAGAAACGGAATGGCCGAAGGATGGAAACGATGGCGAGGAAGGAGAAGATGAACAATACCCGGAAGAAGATGAGATGGAAGACGGGCCTCCGCCTGACAAGACACTTAGTCAAAACGATACCGAGAAACGCGAGAGGTGCGGCAGGGTCTCATCGCATGGTTCCGCCCAATTTGACTCTCGAGAGCGCACAGTCCGACAGAGCTCACTCCGTCGCCCACAAATGACAACCCCTTCGCAAATGTGTGGTCCAAAGTATCGCGGTGCGCTCGATCATCTCAAGTTTGTCATCAAAGCTAACAAGCAGCCAGGTCCTCGTCTGTTCAACGGTCACAGTCTCTTACTTCGGTTGATCCAAAGACCCCGACGAAGTAGGTGATGCTGCTCATATCTACAATCGATGCTGATCATATGTCAGGGTATTCGTCATCAAACATTGGCCTTAAGGGAGGCTGACTGTTTCCACCAGCGTCGTAGGCTCACTCCGGCGTCGCCCGCCCCCCTAACACCGTCACCCTCGCGGCCCGCAACGAAACGACCATTTGCACGTGCGATGAGCAGCGATTCAGTGTTACCCGGTCCTCCGGTGGAAGCAGATACATCGCGCGCGGTGCTCCAGCCGCTACAAGCGATTGAGGACAACGTTCTGGTCGAAGTCGATACCGCGATGACAACAGCTGCCCATGGAGACAAGAGACCCGCAAAGAAGCGCAAGCTCAGTCCACCTTTGCCCCCCGTCGCCGCCCCTGCGCGGAGTACAGAATCTAACACTTCTGATCCAGTGTCTGATGTCTCCTTTCAGTCTTTTACTCCCATTCCGACCTCCCAGCTACTCAGCGACAAGAACGTTTTCCAGTTTGCTCGCTCACCACCAACTACTGCTGAGCTCCTCGGCAGTACCGATCGTTACAACATTCCCAGCAAGGTCTACCGTGACCCGTGGTATTCCAAAGAGTCAGACGCTCCTGACAAGCCTAGGGAGTTCGCTGGTCTCGTCTTTCATCTTAAGGGAGGAGAGGGGGTTGCGAACCTAGAGGAATGGCAAGCGACTCTGGGTTCCGAGTCGAAATCTTCGCTTTCGCACACATTGAGTCATCGTGGCGTCAGCGGATGGGAGTTCGCCGGTGCGCCTCCCAGCGTTCGGCAAGTCAGGAAGTGGCTCCAAGAGGACAAAGTCCGCGCTAGTCAACGGACTGCAAAGGACACCTCTCAGGCAAGTGTTTCCAAGTTCGAAAGGTTTACTTGCCATGGGTTTTAAAGAAGCCACCTAGATCTCGGGTCCGACCCAGCTCAATCCATTTGGGCTCAAGAACACATTGGTCGCCCGGTCGGACAAGGTCAAGCGTGAGAAGCAGACAATGACCATCCTCGGGCTTGAAGTCTTTGGTGGGTCGTGTGGATATGTTCTAACCTACATGATCTGATGCAAACTGACGATTCAGCGCCGTCCAGGGACGATCGTGTCCCGGATCCTGCGGAGGACGAGATTGTGGCCGTGTTTTATTCTTTCCAGGACTCGGTGCGAGACTCTGATGGAGCAATTGCTTTGGAGTCTGGTATTATTGCTGTGGAAAGCGAGCAACTCAGCCAGCGCCGATTGAGGGCCATCAAAGCGGACTATGCTGAGAACGAGTTGGAACTACTCAACAAGTTCATCGACATGGCGAACGAATTGGATCCAGATGTTCTCACTGGATGGGAAATTCAAGCTGGTTCGTGGGGGTATTTGAGTGCTCGCGGTCGAATTTATGGTAAGCGGAAGGTCCCCCGGTCGTTACGGACAGCACACTCATTTTTCTAAAGGCTTGGACCTCGAAGAGCAGCTATCTCGCGCTCCGGCAAGACATGTCGGCGGGCGCAATGACCGATGGGGCATGCGCACGACATCGACCTTCAAGGTCATCGGCAGACATGCTCTCAACACTTGGCGAATCATGCGCTCGGAACAGAACCTGAACATCTATACATTCGAGAACGTCGTGTTTCACGTCCTCCGACAACGGTGGGTTCCATCTGAAAGCCACAGGTCTATCTTTAGCCCTCATTTCAACTCCAATTCTCAGAACGCCGTGGTACAGCCCGAGGAAGCTGACGGAATGGCACTGTAGTGCCGTCCCGATGCACGCGGAATATGCCATTCGATATTTCTCTCGACGTGCTGCCATGGTGGTCGAGATGCTCGACGCTGTTGATGTAGTGACAAAGACGGCGTGAGTCTGCAGTTGACTCTGAGAGCAATTGAGCTGAGCCCCTCAGCAGGGAGTTCGCGCGCGTCTTTGGCGTCGATTTTTTTTCGGTTCTGAGCCGAGGATCACAGTTCAAGGTCGAGTCGTTCATGTTTCGGATTGCAAAGCCGGAGAGTTTTGTGCTGCTCTCTCCCAGCAAGCAAGACGTAAGCGTGTTGTTTTTCGTCTACCACCATTGCTTATATGCAGTGCTCGCACAACAGGTCGGAAAGCAGAATGCTGCCGAATGTATACCTCTCATCATGGAACCTCTTTCGGCCTTTTACAGCAGTCCGTTGGTCGTCCTGGATTTCCAATCACTATACCCCTCAGTTATGATTGCTTATAATTATTGCTATTCTACTTGTCTCGGCCGCGTCACGGAATTCAAGGGCACGTACAAGTTTGGCGTCACGGATCTGCGTCAACCGGCTGGCATCCTGGATACCCTGAAAGATCACATCAACGGTAAGCCGCATCCCGCTTGTTTTCGTTTATTGCTAACGAATCACTGGCACAGTTGCCCCTAATGGTATGATGTACGTTAAGGAGACTGTACGGAAGGGGCTGCTTGCCCGCATGTTGATCGAACTGCTGGACACGCGAGTCATGGTCAAACAGGCGATGAAAGGCGCGAACGATGACAAGGTGATGTGCACGTACCTTCGCTCGCCGTCTATCACAGCGTGTTGAACGTTCGCAGGCTCTACGTCGGATCCTCGACGCCCGACAGCTTGGGTTGAAATACATCGCTAACGTCACTTACGGATATACAAGCGCTTCTTATTCGGGGCGCATGCCGGCCGTGGAGATCGCGGACAGTATCGTGCAGAGTGGTCGAGAAACGCTGGAGAAGGTATGAGGCAGTGACCAATGACAAGCCCATTCTTCTCAAGCGCTTACAGGCGATTCGCGTGATCAACGGCACAAGCAAATGGGGCGCGAAGGTCGTATATGGCGACACCGACTCCTTGTTCATCTACCTGAGAGGGAAGACCAAGGATCAAGCCTTCCGGATCGGCCAGGACATGGCCGATACGATTACACGCATGAACCCTGCTCCGATCAAGCTCAAGTTTGAGAAGGTTATCAGTCCCTCGTTCCCGTGACCAAAATTCAGGCTCATGAGGACTGTGTAGGTCTATTTGCCCTGTGTGCTGATGGCAAAGAAGCGCTATGTCGGATTCAAGTTCGAAAACCCCGACGACACGGAACCTGTGTTTGACGCAAAGGGTATCGAGACGGTCCGTCGCGACGGCGTGCCTGCCCAACAGAAGATGACGGAGACCTGTTTGAAGTAGGTGGTATCAATTTTCCCAATACTAAATCTCAGCGTGCATCACCCAGGATTCTTTTCCGTACACAGGACCTGAGCGCAGTCAAGGAGTATTGTTGCCGAACCTGGAACCGCATACTTGACAATAAGGCTTCACCTCAAGACTTCATCTTCGCGAAAGAGGTCCGAATGGGAACATACAGGTTTGAGAACCATGGTCTTGAATGTGGTGCTCGGAAGTTGAACGCTGATTGGCTCTAGCGACAAAGTACCGCCTCCCCCTGGGGTCACGGTTGCCGCGCGGCGGATGCTCGAGGACCCCAATGATGAACCGCAGTACGGTGAACGCATTCCATACGTGATCGCCCGAGGGGAACCAGGATCTAGACTCGTCGACCGTGCAATCGATCCTCACGAGTTATTCCGAGACAAGTGAGTGGCCAGTGACAATCATCTCTGGTAGTTTTCCTTTTCCCAGGCTCATTGGTTGCTCAGCCACAAGCGACTCGATGCGACGTACTACATCTCGCGAGTGCTGATCCCACCGTTGGAACGGATATTCAACCTCGTTGGAGCCGACGTTCGCAGTTGGTACGACGAGATGCCCAAGAGCCTACGCGCCGATCAACCCGACGTCACTCTGTCCCCTAGGAAGAGCAAGTCAAAGGAAGCAATAGCGGCAAATGCTCACAAGATTGATGATCACTTCCTGAGTTCTCGTTGCCTGATCTGTGGGGGCTTCACTCCGGAAGGTGAGTATCGATGCTCATCACTGTTCGCTGATATGCTCCCTCATGCTTCGCTCCATAAGTGCTGTGTGACCTGTGCCGGACGGACTATCCTTTGTCCATGAGCGAGCTTTTGGCACGCATCCACAAAACGGAGCGGCGGCTCATGGACGTCCACCTCGTCTGCAGCTCTTGCAGTGGTATTGCACCTGGCGAACCTGTTGACTGCGAGACACTAGATTGTCCCTGGTTCTACGAGCGACAAAAGACATATGCCAAATCAGATGCTCTTGCGACAATTCACGAACTAGTCGACGACCTGGAGGAGGAGTCCAAAGAAGAACCTGGATGCTATGTTGTTGTTGAAGAAGACGAAGGACCAAGCGAGGAACTGTCGAGCACAGACACCACCTCGGATGACGAGTTTATGTAGCCGTACACTGTTTGTGTTTCCCCATGTAGCATATACGCTCATTGCGGCCAGTCACCTACAACTTCAAGTTCGGTTTTAATTGAACGTCCGCACTGTAGTAGCTTCCGACAACGCCGCCACGTGTAGTTCCGGGCCGGTGACACCCGGCCCCGCGAACTGCGTGAAGAGCGGCCTCTGCACCAGGCTCCGCAGCGTTGAAGTTGTCTCCAGTCCTACCACTCTCCTTCCCCATACACATCTGCAGCTTCACCATGGCGGACTTCATTCAAGCTTTGGACCCCTCAAAGCTGGTTCTCGCCGGGACGGTACGTAGATTCGGATGGTTTACGAGTCCACATTGTTGCTCATGCCGGTGTCCTACAGACACTGTCCTTCGTGACCAGCGCGTTCCACGCTCCCGTGTACAATCTCCCCATTTTCCTCTTTGGCATGCTCGCGCAGGAGAGCCAAGATGCTATCCAGTCCCTCAGAGCGGTATGCCCGTCCATGTTTCGTTGCTGTAACACACGCCTCCTGACATGCAAGCCCCGCCCGCCCGTAGTTCACGATGCTTCTCACGGGGTCGGTTGTGTACGATATCATTTGGATGTCCAGAAACTCTCAAAACTGGTTCGTCAAGCTTGTTACCATCCTTATCCTCATCGTCAAGGTGTGTTCCGTTCTCTGCGCGCGTTTCTCTCCCGCTGCACCCACCAACGCATATGCGTAGCTCCCCACCGCGCTCGCGTTTGCGACTGCGCTCCAGCAGCGAGGCTCTTCCTTCCCCGGCCTTGGCATCCGCGGCAACGACCTTTCGGGTCCGACCGGTGAGTCGTCCTTGTCGCGCCCTTGCATAGGTGCGGCTGCGGCTGCGTGTGACATCATCTCATTTCCTCCTGCGCAGTGTGGTCCATGCCCGGAGGCTTCACCTCCAACTTCGGTGGTCGCGACGGGTACCAGAACGTCGACGAGCCGGCGCCAGGCCCCAAGCCGCTCAGCGTCCCTCCCTCGCAGCCTCAGCCGCCCTCTGCCCCCCCTCAGGCACCACCGCAGGCACCAGGCGCGTACCAGAACGTTTGAGTTTTCTCTCGCACGCAAAGGCAAAAGGGCGGACGTGGATGATGTTCGAACGTACTATTTATACAGATGGGACTGCGTAGTATGTGTGTGCTCGAAGCGACTCTGCTATGAATATTGTATACGAGAAACATGCGACATTCTGCGGAACAGATTGAGAGGTACGGAGAAGCGGCAACACGGTGTGGCCCCAAGCACTGGGCAAAGACTTATTCTACGCGCTGGATACGCACCGGATCGTCGTCCTTGATCCAGATGCAGCTGCTTCTCTTGTCCTCGCCCTCACACGCCATCCATTCGTCTGAGCACTCGTACTGCGTGCCGTCGACCCACCGCCGCCACGCCTCCCAGAGCCCCTTCTCGAGGTTCCTCGTCCAGCGCGCCGTGTCGAAGAGCGGCATGTGGTCCCGATTGAGGAACAGGTTCTTGCGGAGCCGGATGAGCTCCCCCGCCCCGCGCGGGACGACCGCGCCCGAGGGCTCGCGATGCGGCACGTACGACACGCTCTGCGCGAGTGCGACCGCGCGCGCCTCGTACTCCTCGGCGCTGTGCACGGTCATCTCCGCGCCGAAGCCCGTGGCGTGCACTATGCTCGCCGCCACGCGGGAGCACATCTTGTGCCGGTGCTTCGGCCAGGTGAGCATGGGCGTGCCCGTCCAGAGCACGTCCGCGGCGATCGTGTGGGCGTTGCACTGCACGAAGACGTGTCGATCAGTCTCAAGTCGGCTCCGACGATGGTATGGGAAGGGAGTTACCTCGACGGTATCAAGGAAGAGGTCGACGACGCGTGCGCGGTAGATGTGGAAGTCCTTCCTGGCGATGTCCGTGAAGCGTATTCGTGACGCGACGTCTTTGCCTGCCCACAGCGCGGCAGACCGCCGGAGATGCTCCTCTGCTGCTCCGGGGAAGCGGAGCAGCCACAGAATACTCCGCGGCACCTTGCGAAGGATGCGAAGCCACAAATAGAAGATTCCCTGACCGGTGATCGCCAGTCAGACTGCAGGATAACGATAAGAGTAATTGTCTCGTAACAGGACTCACCGGATCTACCTGTGCAAACAGCCAAGGCCACAAACGCGCAAACGGCTAATGGGCGGCAATAGGTCGGAGAGATAAAGGCAAACTCACCTTGTAAAGCTGTCCAGACCGTTGTGTGTAAGCGTGTGGGACCTTGTGTGCGCCGCTGATAAGCACGCACCTGGTTAAAATTAGCGAATACAATCACATCCCTACAAGGACGTAATCAGTGTGCGGTGTAGTGCCCGCCGGGCATATGGGTACTAACTGTGGTATGTCCGGGAACACCTCTCTGCGGGCACAAGCTCGCCGACGCTCTTCGTCGAGCCACAACGTATCGGCGTCAATAGTTGAACGAGTTTCTGGGCTCAAGCCGTCGTCTCCACGGAACGATTGCTTGTGATCGGTCACCATGAAGGTGTGCTGTAGCGTTTATCAGACGAAGTACTTGTGGTGAGAGATGGTAATCATACGGGCATGTACATGAACTTCTCGGAACTGGACGAATGCGGTGTAAGCGCAATACTAGATTTGAGTGGATTGACTCACTAGATCCACAGTTCGCTGTCGTCTTCCGGATCTAAGTCCGCGCCCATGTCGAGCGGTTCGATCGGCAGGGGGCTATCGCCTCGTTCGGACTGCAAGATCCTCCATCGCTCGGCCGCAGACAAATCCTGCGGACAGGATATCGGGTCGCAGACGATGTAGTCGCACCAGGCTGTCCGTTCCATCAGCGCGTTAGTGCAACGAGCATGGTATATTTGCCTACACGCGCCGACGGTTCCCGCGTAGCCAATAAGCTGCATTTGGATTGGCACGGGCCTCACGGCGAAGATGTCGTTCCTCGCGCCTTTAGTGTAGCCGCCCAAGTTGATCACTGGGACCAGGAGGCGTGAGCATATGTCCCACGAAAAGGCCGTATTTACCGGTTGACATACAAATGTGGAGCTCGTGCTCGCCAATGTGTTGGAGGATCTGCTGGAGGTTCCAGCTCGAGACATCGACGCAGTGTTCAACCATGCTCGCAATTCGTGGCCGGTACGCGGTACCGTCCCAAGGACTAGTGGTGTAGATAAATATATTGAAGCGATCCCTGTCATGCAGGCCAAATACATTCTGCATGAGATGAGAAAGCGGATGGTTGCTGTAATACAAATATTAGCCGTTGGCTTCGAGGCAATCACTGAGGACGCTCACTTGACATCATTGGATATGTATCCCAAATTGATCCTCCCGTTGAAAGGTGGTCTTGGGGGGCGGAATACATGCTCTGGCATCCACGGATGGGAGTGACCAGCGTATGAGGCTTTCAACGCAGCACGGTGTGGTATAAGACGAACAGTTCTCGGGGATACTGGACATGTGAACTGACACGCACGTTTCATTAGTAACGACCAAACGCACGAGTAGTATGCTCAAAACGTACAGTATGGAACGGCAAAACAGAGGGTACTTCGGGTGACTGCAGAGCCTTAGGGAGGGGTGGCCGGTTGAACTGAGAGGATATAGCGTTGTTGGGTAGATCCACGAAGTCGCGGACTTCATAAGTTCTACCGAAAGTTCGAAGATACCATCTTCGCTGAAGCTGTGGCGCAATCCAGTCGCAGAATCTGAGAAAAAAGCCGACACTGTTGACGTGATAGACCATTCGGTCGTTCACACTGCCTGCCAGACGTTGAAACCTCGAGCGCCATTGCTCATTTTCATCTGGCCGGAGATGTCGTCCTAGTCCACAAACTAATGCGCGCAGGCACGCCTCGGTCGTGGTGACGAGCGAGTCACCTCTGTAGAAGGGCTGTCGATATCCGTCCTTGATCTGCTCGTCCGTCACCGCAACCATCTGGGTGACCCAGCCTGCTTGAGGGTTTCGTGCAGGAAGGAGGTGACATCCAGCGTCGTCGACACCGATTTCGTCAACCAACGCACCGCGTCCACGCCAATCGCATATCGAGGAGAGGGAATTCGCTAGACCGCAAACGGCTTCTGGGAGATTTGGGTTTGCTTTCGCCGCGCGATAATAATACTCGACTGCATCCCAAGGACGACCCTTACGGTTCTGCGTCAGTCTTCTCGATTGTCTGTGTGGTGGTAGTACAAACCGAGTCCTTGATGACATTTCCAAGATTGGCCAATGCAAGTCGCAATTGGGGTTCTGTTCAACAGCCTTCTTGTACAATCTGATACTCGTGCGATTGGGAATCAAAACATGGCGGAGGGTGAACGGAACACTCACCTGATCGCTTCCTCAACCTGGCCTTGTTCATTTACGAGTGATCCGAGATTGGTCAATAAGTGTGGGTGCTTGGGATCAATATGCAAACCCTCCGTGTAGAACATACGAGCAAGGGCGGTTCCATCTATGACTTCGCCATCCGGACTGGATCGGGTTTGCGAAATGCCAGAAAGCATTATCCCCAGGTTGTTATAAGTCGAGGGCGCGGGATCACAGGTGAGGGCGATGTAGTACAGCAGGATGACAATGGACGCGCTGATACGCAGCCCACCCGCCGAACCAGGGATGGCAGCATTGCTCAATGCGGCGTCTTGGAAACGTTTGGCCAGTGTGAGAAGGACTGTGCTCGTCATATTGTTTGCCTGCTGTCGTATGATATCTGACGGTGGCACCAGTGCTCCACTAGGACCAACCTGACAGATACCGGGAAGTACGCCGCCAGAAAAGAGTGCAGTGCGGAGAGATGACACTTGTTCTGGAAGAAGGAGCGGGACGGGAAGGAGGCCTCCTCCAGCGAGTAACAGCGGGTGTAGGAGCTGTTCGCCTGCCGCCCGAACCTTCTTCATAAGAAAGAGAGAAGGGTCGTCCAAACGCTGACTGATGTCGGTCTTGAATATATTGCTGAAGTCCGCGGAACCAACAGTCCTGATATCGGAGCATAGCGCGTGCCCAGCTGTGCATGTGGCAATGAGGAGATCGCGAAGGCTGTACTGTTCGGAGTCGAGGCATGGTGACGGAGGGCGTAGTACGAGCTCCAATGAACGCGCATACTCATGAAGAGCGCGCTCTATGTTCGTTGGGCCGAGCGTTGAGTAGATGGTGCCGCTCGTGAACACGGCGCGCTGCAAGCGAGGTATTTCGATGGGTTGGAGACGCGAAGTCAGTCTGCCATTGGAGTCGAAAACATGCGTCTGAACGTATTGACAGATAGCTTGGGCTTGACGATAGTAATTGAGACGACGGCCTTGATCAGATGCACAATGAGCCAGCGTGAAGGTCATACCCAAGATGTTGTCCTGCGAGGAGCAAGTTCAAGGAGATATCACCACATTGGGTACGGAACTCACCAGTGCATCCCAGAACGTAGGGCGTACTTGCAGCGCTTTCCACCACCACTCAAACGCCTTCTGGATCTGGCCCTGAGCTTTCATGGCTGTCCCGATGTTATTCATTGCTTCCACATAGTTCGCGTCGATGGACAAGATTTGGTCATTGACGGCTATGCTGGAGTCAAAATCGCCCAAAGCATAGTAGATGCAAGCTAGAAGCAGCATGGCGGGGAGGTGATGCGGATGCAAAGCAAGTAGAGTGGTGAGGACAGGAATAAGACGTGTCCTATAACTCTCCGAGGGTACGAGGATCCCCGGCGATATATTTGCGAGAGGAGCCGAGGTGAGACCAACGGGGACGAAGGACGGGCCTGGTGCGTCGTAGGCGTTATACGCGTACACCATTAAAGCGTCCCGAGCGAGAGTCGTGGCTAATGCATTACTGCCACCCAGGGAGAGATCCTGTTGCAGGGGAGGCGAAAGTGCGCGAGAGGTCGATGTAGAAGGTTCAGGTTGTTGGAAAGCAGAAGGTCCCGGTAGATACGCTAGGACAGGTATGAGTATACGGAGCGCGAGAATCCTTGGGACATGAAAAACTTACTGGGACGATGCTCGTTGGGGTGCGAAGCCGAAGAGCAATGGGATTGGTCGTGTGAGAGACACGAGGAAAAATTAGGATGCCATGCCTGAGGAGGAGGGAGTTGCTGTGCGTCGCCGAAGCGAATGGAAATGGATGTGGGGGAGAAAGAACGACAGAGAGCAGATGGGTCTGGAATCGGACGCGAGTCTGACATCTGCAGAGTCTATGGCCGTGGGAGGGGGGGCGGTTGCATGGGGGCGACGGTTTGAGCGGCCGTGTGCGGGTAAGGACGAAGAAGGGGCGGGGCGCGCGGGGTGGATGGAGCTCGAGCATGTTGGACGCGGTGTAGAGCTCGTCAGTCCAAGCTGGAGACAGTGCCGTCACTGTGAACTCGCACTCGCGTCACTCGCCCGCATGACGTCGCTGATCAGTTTCACGCTCACGTGCCACGCGTCTCGACGCGCTCTCTCGCCTCTCCCGAGACTCGAGTCCCCACGCGACACAACCACGTACGTCCGAAGTCTCGTGTCTTCGTCGATCGCACCCGAATCGGCCCGCGAGCAGGACTAGTCCCTCTCTGCACCGGTGGGCCAATGCCGGGCGTGCAGGCTCGGACTCCGAGTCGCTGCGACGCCGCGGCGTGTTGGCCTGCCCCGGGAAAAGCAGCTCAGATGCATCCTCCGGTCCGTCATCCGCACCCCAGCCTTTAGGCACTGTCGGGAATAGCGTCTCCCACCCCTGCCTTCAGCCCCTACGCTCTGCCCCCACCGCCTTCCCATCCCGCGCACCACCCGATCCCTCAGAGCATGTCCTCCGCCACCCTCCTCGCCGACATCCGCTCGCGTCTCGTCGTCGATGTCGACTCGATGGACCCTGATGTAGCGGCCCGTCATACCAATATCGCGGCCAAGTTCTGCGACATGACCTCCAACCAGGCAATTGTCTACGGCGAGGCCACTCGTCCGGAGCGCGCCGAGCTTTTCAAGAAGGCTTGTGACCACATCCGATCAACCAACGCAGAGCTTGACATCGACACTCAAGTGTCGAACGCGATAGATCTTCTTGTACGCTCTTGCCACACTTGCTAGCTCCAGGCCCTACACTCACCATGTTGCAGACCGTGTTGCTCGCCAAGGAGGTCTACCCTTACCTCACAGGTCGTGTGCACGCCCAGGCCTCCCCGTCGACGGCGTACGATACCGAGGCTACTATCAATCATGCGAGGAAGCTCATCTCCGTTTTCGAGGCCAACGGTATCCCCAAGTGCATATACGCCCGTATTCCCACCGCTGTTCATGGCGTTTCACTCACACCTCTCGCATAGGACACGGGTTTGCATCAAGATCCCCGCCACCCCCGAGTCCGTGGTGGCGTGCAAGTATCTCGAATCCATCGGCATTCGCACCCTCTCCACCTGCCTTTTCTCTGTTCCCAGGCCCTCGCCGCTCATCAGGCTGGGTGTCTCTACATCGCCCCTTACTTCAACGGTGCGTTCTGTGATCCACAGCAAACCCGGCTAAATGACGTCTTGATTTGTTGATTCTCCAGAGCTTCGGGTTCACTTTGTGCCCGGCGTTTGGAAGGAGTACACAGACACCGCCAAAGAGCACCCGGCCTCGCCCGTCATCGCTTCGATCGTCAAACTTTACAAGGAGATCGACACCAAGACCCTCGTCATGCCCGCCAGGTATGTCCTCCGACAGCATCGTCCGGTCAGCGCTGAGCTTCCTCCGCCCACGCAGTATTGTAACGGCAAAAGAGGTGCGCGATTTTTCTCGTTCGGGCTCCCTTCATCCTAAGTGAGCATCGGCTATGGATAGGTCGTCGCCCTCGTCACGCTCGGACCCGACCATCTCACCCTCTCCGGCGCTGTCTTGAACCAGCTTGCGGCTGCCAAGGGCTCGGAAGTTTCCCTCGAAGCTGAAGCCTCCGTGGGCGTAGCAGTCGGTGCGGTGGATTCGCTTCCTTCTCTTTTGGAAGACTGACTTGAGATTTTTGACCACAGAGCCCGAGGTAAAGTCAGCCGACTACCTTGCCAATGGTGGCGCTGCTCTCAAGTCCGCCATTGCTGCCGACGCTGAAACGAGTCGCAAACTGGAGGATGCGCTGAAGATCTTCGGCGAACAGGAGGACAAGACCAAGGACCTCATCCGCGCGGCGCTGATGGCCTAGGCCTTCAGGTCGATGCACAAGACACGAACCCCAAGAACCCCGCAGGAGCGTTAAGAGATATAGGGACGGACGGTCACCAGGATATCGCATAGAATTACCATGTTATGTAACAACATCTATAACAAGCCTTCTTGCTTCAGTACGTTGATGATGAGATAGGCCGATCGTCGATCCCTATCCATTCCAATCCAGTCGCCTTTTTTGAATGGCGGATGGTCTCCATCTGCGACGTAAATATCATCTTCATCGACTCGGCGTGCCTTCTTTTCCTCGGCTTCTTTCTCAAGATCCTCTTCGGTGTCCCATTGCACTTCTGCCCACTGCCATTCTCTGAGAGGTCACTGAGCCACGGCCGCACGTCGAAGACAGAAAAGACGTACCCCAATGTCATTGCGACAATGCGAGGATCTGGTACGTTTGGTAGGATCGAGAGCAGCAGGTTTGTCAACACCGGCTGCATGTCAAACGCCTCCTCCATTACCGGAAGCGGTACGTATTCGACCTGTGTGCGGCCCGTGAGCTTCCAGTCCACTAACTCAAAGAATAAAAGTCATACTCGCCTCAAGTAGCATCCCCTTCACCGCACCGCCGGACAAAATCACATTCCCCGCCCTAACCAGCCAATCGCTCCCGATCGCATACACATGCCCCTCCACGACCAAGTGAGCGCCCCCGCCCATCGTCCCCGGACCCTGTTGCGTGCCCTGGCTACCGACGATGCTCGACTGGCTGCTTGAGCCCTGGCTGCTGCCTCCTCCGCCCCCACCGGACGAGCGGACTGGCGCCCAGCGCGCGCGGAGCTGGGTGAGGAGCTGCTCGAGCGCCATCGGGGGCACGAGCGTCGGGAACGTGTGACGGAAGTGTGTGGGTGGCGGGAAGGACGCGCTGCCGTCCGGGTGTGCGCGCGCGAACTCGGCGGCCTGGGCGAGGTAGTCGGCGCGCATGGGCGCGGCGGGGTCTTCGAGGACGCAGAAGACGTTGTCTGTGGGCGTGCGATGCATGAGGCCGCGTCTTTTTGCGAAGGTTGGGGTGCCTACCGTCCATGGTGAGTGTGCACATGGAGCGCTCTACGGGGACCTGGAAGCCTGGGACGGAGCCGAGAGTCGAACGAAAGGACTTCATGTGTAGTTGCCATTTGCCTCGGTACAGACCCTGAAGCCTGTCAGCATCCCCACCAATATGCAGCTTTTTTTCTCAGCACCTGGTGGTTTTTGGTAATATTCTGAGCTATGAGCTCAAGTCCTGTAGTTGGGGCATTGGTCCATCTCACTAGACTAGTAAGCAGGGCATGAGTGATTGATGCTACGTGAAAAGAAGCAATGGACAAACCCTGAGAAGCCCATGTCGAGGTATTGACTAAGGTGGGTCAACCGGATGTTGTGTGCTCATTCACCCGGATGTGTGGCCCACCACCACGCTGGACTCGCGCAGAACAAGCCACATTAGCGCCCTCCCGAAATCCAACGCGTCGTTAGCGTCGTGACGTCACGCGTGTGAAAACAGATCTGCACACCGGATCTAGAGAAGCGCAGCTTTCTGGATCTGTCTATTTCGTCCACCATCGCTGCCGCTACTAACGGACTTTTGAAGATGTCTGGCTTCGACACGATATGGCCTGCAGACTCGGCAGAGTTCTGCCCTCACCCCGACAGGCACAATATTTTTGTTTGTGGAACGTACAAGCTTGAGCAACCAATGCCTGCCCTTGAGGAAGTGGATGATCACGCAGACCCCTCGGATACGTCTTTCGTGAAGAAATCACAGACGCGACGCGGCAAGTGCCTTCTCTTCCGCGCTGACAGTGATGGCCGCCCGTGCGTAGAACCTACATTTTGGTGGGACTGACTGATAATCGTGGCCCAGCTCAGAAATTTGCTTCAGGAAACAGAGCTTCCTGCGATACTGGACATGAAGTGGTATGTTTTTGGCTTGCCCCAGACGAGGTGATTTCAAGGCCAAATCGAGTCTTCGAGGTGTCATCGAACATCCCATGTCCTTCCTCTGCTCGCGATCGCCGACTCGGAGGGCCATATCACTTTACATCAGCTCGAGAAGGGCACGGTAAGGACAGAGCAGCCTGCGTGCCCATCTTTTGCTGATGGTACATACTCTCATAGGCTCGCCTCACGCAGATACAATCAATCGCATGCGCGGCTTCGGATGTATTGTGTCTATCGCTTGATTGGTCCAATCGCAGAATGCCCGCTGAGTGCGTACATTGCGGTGGCACGGCCGGAGCGCGTCCGCTCACTTGCGAGACCAACAGCGGGATGGGCAAGCTCGTCGTCTCCCTTTCCAACGGATCTCTTTCCCTTCTCTCCCCATCAGCTGCCGAGCTCGTCGTCACGGATTCTTGGCATGCACATGACTACGAACCATGGATTGCCGCATGGAACTACTGGGACACTAACGTCGTGTATTCGGGTGCGTAAGGTATTCCTTGCCCAGCGCAGTTACATTTACCGACGGCATTCAGGCGGAGACGACCTCCAAATGAAGGGGTGGGATATCAGACAGGGTGGTGCTCAGCCAACCTTCACCAACAAAAGGTTTTCCGTATCCCTTCTGCGTTCTGACGGAATTCTAAATCGGTTCGTTCACAGGTTCGACGCTGGCGTGACTACTATCCAAAGCCATCCTTTCGTAGAGCACCTCATGGCTGTTGGAAGCTATGACAACACCGTGCGGCTCTTCGACACGCGTAAACCTCTTGTACCTCTCACACAGGTTGACGTCGGAGGCGGCGCATGGCGAGTGAAATGGCATCCGACTCCCGCCCGAAAGAACGACTTGCTCGTGGCCTGCATGCATGATGGATTCAAAGTGGTCCGCTTCGAGCTCATCGGGGAAGACCCTGTGCAACCCTTATCGTCGGAGATCATCAAACGCTTTAACGAGCACACGTCGCTGGCGTACGGCGTGGACTGGTCATTTGCGGACGCGGTGGACGACGGTACACTAGTGGCAAGCGCTTCGTTCTACGATCAGATGTTACATGTATGGAGAGCGTAAATGAATTATATAAATTAATGTCAGGCGGTACCGTCGACATTTTCCCCTTCGGGTAGTGGAGTGGAGGTCCTCGTCAGATGAGCAGGGGTAGAAGGAGCATTTGTGTCCAGACGTTTCCGACGCCAGAAGCCCGCGTTCGGACCCTTCATAACGAATGCCAAAGTCCATCGTGAAAGACCACGCAGGGTATCTGGTCGGTGCACTACGGTGGTGAGCAGCGAGGCCAAAGAAAGAACAAAGATGGTTCTACAACTCATTGTCAGTGCAAAAACAGTCGTCCCAGCAGAACAAGACGTACCTTTCAGCCAAGCGAACGCTGAACTTGCCACTCTTGACCCAGTCCGCGGCGAGGCATGCCCTGATCGCACGAGGGAGGACGTAGAGTGCCATCTCGCCCCTCCGACTGCCACGCTCGATCCAAATACTCGCTCCACAGACCAGACTCCCCATGAATGCGCATCCGAATGGGCCGTCCCAGAAATCGTGCGAGATGTGAGGAAAGAGACGTGCCAGAAGGAGAGTGCGGGTTAAGCATATGGTGAACCAGGTGGACGACACAAAGGCTGATAGGAATGTTGCACTACGGGCCGCACTGAGTGCGGTAGCAAGGAGGCGGGGTATCTCAAGGAGCTTTCGCGGTCTTGTGATGGCAATAGGCAAGAAGTGAACCTGATTACTCAGTCAGCAGGATGTCATTGGCAGATTAATGAGAGCACCCACAGGGAGATAGATGGCAAGAGCCTCGGCGAAAGCCTGGGCTCCACGAATGGCTGCGTTGGCAGTACAGCTACCTCCGGTAACCCCGCCATGAACGACCTCGCAAGGCAAGCCTGCGACTCCTTGCCTTCCGGGGATAGAAAGTCTCCTCCATACTGGGTTAGCGTAGAGGCCATATGCGGGAACAACGGCTGGGTCACCCCATGCAGCTGGATATCCAAGGTCCCTCGAGAGCGACGTGACCAGGTCCTGCGGAATGGACACCCCCCTCACATAGGAGAACTTCCCGGCGCGAATGGCACGAATGGCAGCAAGTAGTCGCGGGTCGATGCTGGCGAGGGTCATGATCCACTTGTTGTAGGACCGGGGTAGCCTGTCCGGTTCGTAGAAGAAGCACCACATAATCCTGGAGCGATGTTAAGCGGACGAAGCGAATATCGAGACTGACTTGACGCACCTTGCACTGCAGGCCCAGAACACTAGGGCATCCAACCGAGTAGACCATTTCCGATTGACTGACTGCTGATCTTCCTTTTGAGTCAGTGTGAGCCTACTGAGCTGCACCGCCGACGGCTTGAAGAACATCATCTGCACCGCGGAGTCCATCGCTCGGACCAGGAGCAGCAAGGAGAGGTCCAATGTCGGTGAGGGACGTCCTACGCCAGCAGAAGTCGCATGACGTCGCCGTGAATGCAGCAGCGCGACTGCGAGAATGGACGACACGACATTGGAGACGAACGATTTCTGCCAGTCTTGTAATGAGGCGGCCCAGGTGCGGAGCTTATGGAGGGCATCCCAGTACCTATCACCCCCTCCCTCTCGTGTACCAATGCCAACAACCTCGCCTTCTGTCCACCTGTCCCATAGTCGGCGAATGGCAGCGCCACCGGCTACGCCAACGGTGATTGAGGTGGCGAACGCGTTGGGAGAAAGCTCGCGTGCAAGGATATGTAGTGCGCGTCGAAGGCCTTGTGTGCGCGCCTTACGCGAGGTCAGGAATGGGAGGAGCGCGGGTCCGAGCGCAAGGGAGAGTGCGAGAGTGTATGTGCGGAGGGCGATCTGGAGAGGATGGTCGTCTGGGAGGGCATGGAGGAAGTCCGCGAGTTGATGGGACGCGTCGTGTAAGCGTTGGCGGATACGCTCAGTCTTCATGGAGGCTGCGACGCGTGTGGTGAGGAGGAAGAGGACATGGTCGTCTTGAATGCAGGCAGTGGGATCGACCGTGGCAATCGGCGTCGACTGCGCGTGATAGCTTTCCGGGTGCGGTCAATCACATGCGCGACCGCACCCGACCGCACCCTCATCATCAACATTCAAATGCATAGTGCCTGACCACTGCGAAGACACAGGCAAACATATTACGCATGTGCCGTAATTCCTTACGAAGATGTAGAATATGCCACGAATCATCGTAAGTACAGTATATACATAGTGCCAGTGAACTACGAGGCCGGAGACTGATGTGAGCTAATGGCGTCGCTGTCCATGCTCTGGGTATAACTCCAAAAGTCCAAATAGTGCGTGCTGTCTGACATGCTCAATCCTGCTTGAAATTCTGGGAGTAAACCGGCCCGACCTAACAGCAGTAGGAATCTCGCGCGAGAATCGGGGTAGACAAATTGAGTCAACACCTCGGGTCCCTGCAACAAAGCATGAGCTCAACTTCAGTGAGCGGCCAAACACTACACTCACATGCTGGCGGAGGACCTCTTTCAAAGAATCTCTGGGGGCCGGTGCAAGGCTAGCGCCGCTATCTTCAACGAGTTTCTCCGCGCCAGACCGACTGGTTGTGATAGAAATCGTATCCTCGAGCGAGGAAGGACCCGCAGGCATAGACGTTGATTGCGGCATCGTTGAGGGATTTACGTATGGCGCTATAATGGGACTCCAGGATGCCGGACGAGACGGCGGTGTACTTTGGAATACGCCAAGCCAGCTCGCCCAAAGCTCCAACTTCCTCCCGTCTCTGCCGAGACGACGAAGGGCAACGTGGCACCGCTCCCAGTCATAGTCGTCGCCCTTCCAGACTTCACACCCTCCGCTATAATCACTGACGGTGAGCATGACGGATGGCGGCCTGTCGCGCCCTCTTCGTGATGTTCCAGTGTGGGCAATGGATCCAGTGGTCCGTCCGGAGCGTCAGGGTCGTATGAGGGTTCATGTGCAAGTTGGGCCGGGCGCATCATGAGACGAATCCACCGTCGTCGTCGTACGAGGCCGCGGTTGTTGAAAAGTCCTGGGTTGGGGCCCCACTGCTTACTGCGAAATGAACGTGCATATTCGAAGCCGTCGTATTGCACTAGACCGTCGCCTCGCATATCGATCATCCATGCGCGGGACACCCATTTCCACGATCCATCAGGGAGTGGGTAGTCTTCCAACGAGACGGTAGGCTGGTTCTTCCTTGGCGACCTCACGGGGGTGGGAATAGTGAACGGAGGTGGATCAAGAGGCAACAGAGTTAAGGACGAGTAATATGGAGTGGAGAACACTGTGGCACTAAATACGTCTTTTCAGGGGAGATGCATGGAGACGAAGATCCTGGATACGCACCCTCGCTGGTTTTCGTATAGGATTGCCCAACGATAGACGTCCTTGTCTGGAGCGGTTTCTGAAGAGGCAGTAAAACCATCTCCGAGCTTGACAAGATCCAAACCATGAGAGGAAGCCGAATCCGGGCTTGTCACTTCGGGGAACGCTGGAAAGAAGGTCGTAGACTTGCGCCTGAACGCTTTGGGGTGCCGACGAAGAATGTGAGGGAGAGACACATTAGAAAGGAGGCCACGCTTCTGAAAACGCTGTCGAGCTTGCTCTACAGCTTCGGGGTCATCTCGCTGAATGGAAGTGGGTGGGGGCGGGGGTGTTTTAGCGGATGGGCGTGGAGAGGACGGACCAGCCAGTGAGGAAGTGAAGGAGGAATCGGACATGGCTCAAGGGGAGCGAGGGGATGTCTGGTTAGGGTCGCAGTTATATGCCAGGGATGAATGCATGATGTCATCATTCACTTCCTCCCCGCCGCCATCATGTTACGCCTTCGCCCTCTAACTTCCGCTCTTCCGCGCATCCTATCCTCGGGCCCTTCTCCGATACTACCCCCCGCGCGAACACACATCGCCGCTTGGAAGATCCCCCGACATTATAGCTCTGGTCCTGGTCGTCCCTCCAAACTCTGCCCGTCATGTTCAGCCCCGTTAGCGACAGCTCTACCCGTCTGCGCGAAATGCTCCTATATTGCTCCCATACCAGAATCTATGACCTTTCATGAGATGCTCGGGGTACCATATGGACCTAACCCGTTCACAGTCCGTGTTCCGGAGCTTAGGCAAGAGTTTCGGGCAGTACAAGCGGTTGTACACCCAGATCGGTGGGTGTCGAAGCCACAGGTCACTTCCTCCGTTCTTTTTCCCAGCACTTTGACGAGCCTTGCTTTAGGAACAGCAAAAAATAGCTGCGGCAATGTCATCTCGCGTGAACGAAGCCTTACATAGACTATCAAGCCCACTGAGGCGAGCAGAGTATATCCTTGGACGGGAGGGCTTCGCCGGAGACGAGACGGACAAGTTGGAAGATATGAGCCTCCTTATGGAGATCATGGAGGCTCGCGAAGGGCTGGCAAGTGCCGAAGACGAGGAAGTGGTTGCCGAGATCAGAACAACGAACAATGGTACGGGGCAGTTCAACTTCACACCACTTGTCTGACCTCGTGCTTAGCCAAAATAGAAGAAACTATTGAGGAGATTGTGCGGTTAGTTGAAGCTAAGGACTGGCAAGCACTGCGTTCAGCGGCAGTGAAGCTGAAGTACTTGGAGGGTGTAGAGTCTGCAGCTGCCGCTTGGCCAGCTCAAGGGCCCGAGCACTAGCCTGTATTCTGCACCACCATTATTCTACATGCCCCCATCTCGTTACAGCCAGAGTGAATATCCTGTTTTACGCGTGGCCCTCATTCTCAGAAGGCAACCTGCGCAATACTTGATGCTTCTTCCACTGAGGAAACATTAGCATACGCGCCTTGCCGATAATTCCAGCCGACGATGTAGGCGCCAATGTAGGCGCTCAACGCGCAAGAGGGCGTTGGCGTTGTCGCTGCCACTCGTCCTCTTTGCGTTCGTCCTCTTTGTCTCGTCCGGATCGGCTTTTTTCGGGTACGCTCAGTGCTCCCAGTGAAGCTCGATACAGTGAGGGCTCTGCCAGGTATGCTCACGTCCCGGTTCACTGCGCTCAGTTAGCTTACTTTTCCGACTGGCCATAGCAGATCTGTCAGTAGTTCCATCCATCCCCTTATGCGCCTTGCCCTTTCTCTTCGACTGAGGCGCGGGCTCTCTCTCATGCAAGTCTCGCATACTCCATCATCTGCGTCACCCCTGGCTTCAGCTTCATCCTTCTCATCCGCCGCCCCCAAGCCGACGCCTGCTTCTCCAAAACGCGCCTCAAGCTCTCCTTCCCCAGACGAGCGGCCTGCAAAGCATACCAAACTCGACGAGCAGTTCTCCAACATGAATAGTCCGGATCGTTCCCGTTCTTTTCCCACTCGTGGCGCCGGCTCCTCCTGCTTGCTAGAGCGCACAAGAACAATGTGTCGAGAGGCAGAGGGGGTAAGAAGAAGCAGAAGGCTCCTTCCGTGCCTGTACTCCCTGGCCCAATGCACGACGAGGCATACATCACGAGCACGTACAGAAAGAAAACTACCACGAAGAAGACCTTGACGGATAACCCCAAATCTCCGTTGAATAACCTCATCACGGCAATGGGCGGACAGATGGTGTTCACGGGCGAGCAGGGTACCATTGATGGGAGCGATGCGCGAATCTGGCGGTGAGTTGTTCGATTGAAAATCTCCCAAATATGATCTCAAGGTGTATCCCTCAACAAGATGCACAGTCACCGTGAATTATGAAGGCCATGAAATTGTCGGGACTGGTGACCATGCCGCACGCAGAACGGCGGAAAGTCTGGCCGCCCTTTCCGCAGTGTATCAGCTGGATACTCTAGATGCAGTATGTCATGCGTATTCATTGAATCGCCAGTCTCCTAACCTTCTGCCCGAAGTTCGATAAAAAGAAGGCCCGTGAAGATGTTGCACCTGTCGAGACGCAGCTTTCCGACGGGAAACTCGTAACCTACGAGCAGGCTCGCCATTTCATGGACTACTACTGTCGCCGCTTCCGCTTCGGCAAACCGGACGTCGTGTACACTCAGCCTCCTCGAAGCGGATGGCAAGCAGACATGATCGTCGGCGACCGTCGCATCGGCTTCGGCAAAGCGAATTCCAAGAAGGACGCTCTTACAAGATGTTACACGGATGTCGTGCAGTACCTGGAAAAGTGCGATCCGCAAATCTGGAAAGATTTTTTGGAAGATGTGAAGACAGGAAAGGACCTCGGCATGGCATCCAGCGTCCTGTTCCAAACAGATGACGTGCTCGCAGATCGGGTCCAAAATCTCAAAGACGACATTAGACGCAGCACGCTTTACCACAATCGACCAACTGTCCGCAAGTTCGAAACCGACGGTGCTCAACCCGCTCCCCAAACAACCTTCAGGGAACGACCACTCCCTTCTCCTGCCTACTTCTCTGAGAAGTCAAAACGTCTGAAGGAGCGTCGCGAAGCGTACCGTGTCGACCCTCAACTGGAGTCCATCCGTAACACTCGAGCTTCCCTCCCAGTTTTCTCCAAGTCGGAAGAGCTCCTCAAGCACATTCGCGAGCACGACGTCACCATCTGTATGGCTGCCACAGGTTCAGGGAAGACGACACAGATTCCACAGCTTCTCCTCGACGAGATAATCGACCGGGGCGAAGGCGCTACGTGCAATATCCTCTGTACTCAACCTCGAAGGATTGCAGCCATCAGTGTCGCAGAGCGAGTAGCAAAGGAAAGAGGTGAAGTCTGTGGTCGCGGCTCTGTGGGATATCAAGTCCGTTTCGAATCCAAGCTGCCCGATGAACACGGCTCCATCACCTACTGCACGACCGGTATCTTTCTGCGCAAGATGCAGAGCGCTCTCAGGGAAACGGGCTCCCGTCACAGCATGGATTCCATCACCCATGTCATCGTCGACGAGGTTCACGAACGCGATGTTGATATCGATCTCATGCTCGTCGTTCTAAAGCGCCTCCTCAACGAACGAAGAGCCCAGAAGAAGCCCATCAAGATCGTGCTCATGAGCGCCACTATTGACTCGACCCTTTTCCGCACCTACTTCCCCGATGAACAAGGCAACCCCGCTGGCGTGGTCGAAATCCCGGGCCGTGCTTTCCCAGTCCAGAAGCATTTCCTTGATGATTTCGTCCCCCAGTTGACGCAACCTTCTGCAACCTCTTGGGTCTTCAGGGAAGAATCGGTCCGCAAGTACCTTGCTGCAGAAATAGGCGACGTCCCTAACCTTCCTACTGCTCTCAACTCCCGCGCTCCTACGCCGGTCTTACGGGATCATTCTCGTGACGTTGACGACCTCGACCTCCCTTATCCCCTCATCGCCCTCACCATCGCGCACGTAATTCAGCAGACCGACGACGGGCATGTCCTTGTGTTTATGCCCGGTTGGGATGACATTACCGCCGTTAGAAGGATACTCACGGACACCGATCGCTCCAAATCTCTTGGTTTCAACTTCACCGACCCCTCAAAAATCAGTATCCACGTCCTGCACTCCTCCGTCCCGGTTGCAGAGCAACAGGCCGTCTTCGATCCTCCGCCCCCTGGCGTTCGCCGTGTCATACTCTCCACGAACATCGCGGAGACATCTGTCACCATCCCCGACGTTGTGTATGTTGTGGACACTGCTCGCGTCAAGGAACAGCGGTACGATCCCTCGAGACACATATCAAACCTCGTCTCCGCATGGGTGGGGAAGTCAAATCTCAACCAACGTGCTGGTCGTGCCGGTCGTCACCGGCCGGGAGAGTACTACGGTATTCTTGGCAGGCGACATTCCGAGGAGCTCCCCGCCCATCAAACCGTAGAAATGAAGCGCGTCGACCTCGAGAACGTGGTCATGCACGTCAAGGCGCTCAACTTCCCGGACATGACCATCGAGGATGTCCTCGCTGCCGTCATTGAACCCCCGGCTCCGGAGCGCATTGAGGCCGCCATCCAATCCCTGCACATGGTCGGCGCCCTTGATGCCGACAATAACCTCACGTCTCTCGGTCATGTTCTTCTCCAGCTTCCTGCCGACCCACGTCTTGGCCGCCTTGTCCTCTTTGGATCATTCTTCCGATGCTTGGATGCTGCCCTCACTCTCGCAGCTATCATGGGCTCCCGGGAACCGTTCGTCGCTCCCATGCACGTCAAGGCCGAGGCTCAGGCTGTGAAGAATTCGTGGTCTCCAGAGGAGTCCCGGTCCGATCCACTTGCTGCGCTCCGTGCATATCGCGAGTGGTGGGAGTACCAAAGCCAGGGCCTGTACGTGTCCGCGAACCGGTTCTGTCAGGACAACTTCCTCTCGAAGCCTACGCTGCTGAACATCGCGAAGACGAAGGATCAGCTGCTCAAGTCGTTGTACGACTCGGGTGTCATTGATGTGTCCGCCGGTGGCAAGCTCCCCTACGTACCCCCGGGCATGCGCTCCAGGGACACCATCCCATTCCCAGTCAGCTCAACGAGAACGGCAACTCGTGGCCACTCTTGGCCGCCCTCATCGCGATTGCGTGCCAGCCGAAGTTTGCTATCCGTACTGGAGAGAGGGCCTACCGTACGGCCATCGAGAAGGTCAGTGACAGTACTGTGAATAAGAGCGACGTTCGTTAACTAGGGGGGTTCAGGTTGTGATTGTTCACCCATCTAGCGTGAACCATCGTAAACGCGACATGCCCAAGGATAGCGGAGACCATCCTCACATGGAGAGGCAGATCATTGCTTACGCCGAGAAGCGTCAGAACATCTCTACGGCTCAGAAGAACTCCGAAAAGTACATCGTCAACACCACCCGACTTGATCCTCTCACCTACGTTCTGTTCGGCGCCTTCCGTATTGCTGTCACGCAACGGGGACTGGAGTGCGACGAGTGGCTTCCCATCATCGGAGCGGTCGACGTCCTCGACGATCTGGAGCGGGTGAAGGTCATGATGGAGGATTGCATGCTCCGCGTTTTCCAGGGTCTCATCGCCAGCCGTCAACGCAAGGCCCAGCAGAACCGACGTCCGCTAACGTACGATGGCGGGCGGGAGGATGAGTCTGGTGATGAAGAAGAGGAGAATTGAGCAACACGCCTCTCTCCGACACAGAAGTCAAGGAATTGGACCTGATGACCATGGATATCGTCCGCATCCTGAACCACTACACCAAGTACCGCGCCGCTACGCAGTCAGAGACGAACTCTCGGCCCGGCACTCCGATGGCCTCGCCTTCGTTTGGGTCCTCGCGCCTCCCTTACTCCCCTTACAGCGGCTCGCGGTCGGGCCACTCGACGCCCTACAACATCGCCTCGGCGTATTCGTCTCGGCCTAGCACACCCAGTCGGTTGTCGAGGGTATAGTGCAGGTGGAGTTGAGGTTTTCACAGAGCGTTCTGGTTGCGTCGGTAGAAAGTTATACTAGTCTCTTTACAAGCAATATTCGTCAAATAATAGCATCACTTTCTCCCCTTACCAACCCCGCCTGAGTTGTTCCTGGAGGATGAGCGCACGTGACCGCGCCTGCGCCCCGGCCGAAACGCGAGTGATGGAGACTGGCCTGCCTCTCGAGCTCTCCACCTACGCGTGGCTTATGACCTGACCTGTGTACCTCTGGACTCACTTGGGACCTCGACCATCTCAGGACTCGCTGCTTTGCTTCGTTGTTCATACTCACTTGCTGTCCGAGTCCCGATACAAACACATTTCCCCGGTTACCCCCCATAACAAGATACCACCATGGCTACTAATATGCGAGGCCTGACGCAGGTACGTGCTTTCTATGTCTCTCTGAGCGTAAGCAGTCGAGCAGTTCTGGCAGTTCATCGCGGACATCCGCGGTGCACGCGTCAGGGAACTCGAGGAGAAGCGCATTAATAAGGAGATGGCCAATATCCGCAAGCGGTTCAAAGGTATGTACGACTTGCAGTGTCCAGACGGTCTTCTGCTCAGATATTGTAGACGGAAACCTGGACGGCTATCAAAAGAAGAAGTGAGTCTGGCTTGTGCATTGATAGAATCCGCCACTTACCCCATGCGCGCAAGATATGTGGCCAAGGTCATCTTCACGTACATCCTTGGGTACAAAGTGGACGTGGGGCACATGGAAGCCGTGAACCTCATTTCCAGTTCAAAGTACAGCGAGAAGCAAATCGTATGTTTGTTTCTCTCAGGCATATCTTTCTGTCATGTTGAGATTTCATACAGGGATACCTAGCCGTAACGCTGCTTATGCACGAAAACTCAGACTTCCTGCGTCTCGTTGTCAACTCCATTCGGAAGGACCTGAATGACAACAACGAAATCCACAATTGTCTTGCGCTTCATGCCATCGCGAACGTTGGCGGGCAGGAGATGGCGGAAGCTCTCGCAGATGACGTCCACCGGCTACTCATCTCTCCGTACGCGCCTTTGCTTTGCAGTCATCCTTTGTCCTGAGTGTTTTTCAGAACATCACAGCCCTTTGTTCGCAAGAAAGCGGCTCTAACTCTGCTACGGCTATACCGCAAGCACCCTGACGTCATTCCTGCTGCAGAATGGGCACTGCGTATAGTGTCAATCATGGACGACCCTGATCTTGTAGGTTATGGTTGTATTCTATGTTTGTCGTCAGTCTGACGCGTCTTCAGGGCGTCGTGCTCAGTGTCACTAGTCTGATTATGGCGCTCGCATACGACCACCTGGACGCTTTCGCTGTATGTTACCAGAAAGCGGTGGACAGATTGAGCCGCGTGAGTGATTATAACTACTCTCGAGAGCGTCCACCCATCCCGCATGCAATATCAGCTCATTGTAGAGCATGAATACGCGGCGACGTACTCCTACTACAAAGTCCCTATTCCCTGGCTGCAAGTCAAGCTCCTTCGATTACTCCAGTACTATCCTCCGTCAGGTACGTCAGCCAGCTCCCGGATAATAAGAACCTCGCTGATGGTCTGGACAGATGACCCCGCCATTCAAAGCATGCTACAGGAGATCTTGCAAACGATTATGAACAACTGCAACGAGCCCTCACGTAACGTGCAGCACAACAACGCTCAGCACGCCGTTCTATTCGAGGCCATCAGTCTAGCAATCCACATAGACACCACCTCTCCTCTCGTCAACACAGCCGCGGTCTTGCTTGCAAGATTCATCAGCTCCAAGGAAACGAATGTGCGATACCTCGGGCTCGATACCATGGCCCACCTTGCTGCGCGGACGGAGAACTTGGAGGCAATCAAGAGGCACCAAGGCACTATTATTCTTTCTCTGCGCGACAAAGATATTTCCGTTCGTCGACGGGCACTGGACCTGCTCTACAGCATGTGCGACACCGACAACTCGGAGCTGATTGTAGGGGAGCTGCTGCGTTACCTGAAGATCGCGGATTATGGCCTCCGGGAGGAAATGGTTCTGAAAATCGCCATTCTCACCGAGAAATACGCCAACACGTACAAGTGGTATGTGGACACCATCTTGGAACTGCTGAGCGCGGCTGGCGATCATGTGGGCGAGGAGGTCTGGTACCGTGTCGTCCAAATCGTGACAAACACGGAGGATCTTCAGTCGTATGCAGCGAAGGTTGTCTTCGAATACCTGAAGTCACCATCATCACATGAGAGTCTCGTGAAAGTTGGCGGTACGCGCGTTTCTCGACACGGTAAAGAAATCGATTCTCATGATATTGCAGGCTACATCCTTGGCGAATACGGGCACCTTATCGCCAACGAGCCCGGCTACAGTCCCGTCGAGCAGTTTCAGGTCCTACATTCGAAGTCCCAGTTCTGCATGGCACCAACACGGGCCATTCTTCTGTCCACGTACATCAAATGGGTGAACGTCTTCCCCGAGATCAAGCCCCAGCTAGTCAACGTGTTCGAGCGCTATCGTCATGTCCTCGACGTCGAGTTACAGCAACGAGCATGCGAATTTTACGCCCTCGCTCGTCGACCAGACGACGATGAACTGTTGCAGAACGTCTGCGAGGAAATTCCTCCATTCCCACCTCGGGAGAGCGCTCTGTTGAACCGCCTCAACAAGAAACATGGGGACACAGAGGACAAGCGTACATGGACCCTAGGTGGCAAGGACTCGAGTCTCAACAGGTCGGCGTCCAAGATGACGAAGCAACCATCAAAGCTTGACATCAACGGTTCTGCACCACCCGGCGACATTTCCGCAGACATCGCCAATTCGCTGCTTGGTTTGGACATGTCGTCATCACCAACGGCTGCAACAGCTTCTCAAGCGATCCCGGATTCGTCTGCCGCTCTTGCTGCGAAGGGGAAAACACGCCTCACCGCCGGCCCCAACGTCGACCGGTGGTTCGACAAGCTCATGTACACCGCGGAGGGAGTTCTGTACGAAGACGTGCAGGTCCAGATCGGCATCAAGTCGCGCTACCAGGGGCCCCTCGGTCAAGTCGCCGTCTACGTCGGAAACAAGATGTCGGCGCCGCTCACGTCGTTCACCACGACCCTGCACACCGAGGAGTCGGAGGCGCTCTCCGCATCGTTCGTCAAGATCGCGCCCTCCACGGTCGCGCCGCGCACGCAGATCCAGCAGGTCGTCCAGGTCGAGTGCAAGAAGATGTTCCGCACCCCGCCCGTCCTTGTCGTCTCCTTCCTCGCCGGCGCGCACCAGACGATCGCCGTTCGCCTCCCGATCGTAATCACCAAGTTCCTCGAGGGGGTCAAGCTCGGCTCGACGGACTTCTTCGAGCGCTGGAAGCTCATCGGCGGGCCGCCGCGCGAGGCGCAGAGCGTCTTTCCCATCACGCTCGACGCGTCGGGCCACATCGACATCGCGAGGCAGCGCCAGGTCGTGTCGGGGTACGGCTTCCAGGTCTTGGAGGGTGTGGACCCGAATACTAGCAACGTCGTGGGCGCGGGTATCTTGCACACGGGGTCAGAAGGGAAGGTTGGTGCTTGCTCCGTCTTGAGCCCAATAGGGAAGCAAAGGTGCGGTCAATATCTTGCCGCTGTAGTTTGTGACTGACCTCAATTGGCTCCATACAGCTTTCGCGTATCACGATCAGGAGTACGTCGGAGGACGTTGCTAGCGAGGCGCAGAAGTTGCTGCAGAAGCCGTTGGCGGCAGAGACGACTGGGTTGGCAGCAAAGTAGTCCAGGCGAGGGTTCACGTGATGATCTGTTCTGTGTAGCATGGACTCATATCTACCGGATGTGTACAACGTACAAGACACTGACGACTTAATGCATGGTATGTATAATACACTGGGAAGCGGTCGCAGATAGCAGCAAGCAGCGGTACGCGAAAGCAGCAACGCCGGCGGTTCGTCCAGCCATACATCCATACCCTCCGTCCAAAAAAATCTACAACACGGTGAGGGACACAGCGATGGAAATAATACATGTGGCGCTATCGCCGGGTCAGGATTGCGCGGAAGATGTTCCGTCGCCGCTTGCCCGCGTCATCCGAGCCGTCCAACGAGGGGTCCATCGTCGGCGACAAGAGCGGCGGCACGGTCTTGCGCGCGAGCGGAGAATCCGTCGACGTGGAGCGCGGGTGCGGGTTGGCCGTCGCGACGGGCCGCCTTGTGCGCGAGCGGCCCTCGAAGGACGCGTCCGCCGTCGTCGGCGTCTGCGGACTCAGCGACGGCAGCGGCGGGTGTGCCGTGCGCGGCGAGCGCGGCGAGGCCGGGTTCGGGCCGGAGCCCATCGACTTGCGTCCTCTGCCGCCCTCTTCGGACCGCTCGGGACTGGAGGGCGCAGTCGACGGCCGGCTTCCCTTGCGGCGGATGCGCTTGGCGGGCGAGGACACCTCCGCGCCGTTCCCGTTCCCGTTCGTGTTGCCACGGGAGGAAGAGATCTTGCGCTCGCGGAGGGGGAGGCGCCAGGGCGACGACGGCGACGCGAGGGCGGGGCTCGCGGGCGTGGCGCGGATCGGGACGTTGATGACGGGTTCCGAGTGCTGCCTGCGAGGCTTTGCGGCGAGCTTGCTGACGCGGAAGAGCGCCTGTTCCTCGACTTCGAGACAGCGGGCGGAGAATTCGGCGAAGTGGCGGTCGTCCGTGACGCTGGGGCCGCTCAATGCGTCTTTGGGAGGCTGGGAGTTCTGGGTCCGGGAGTAGCGTACGACGACGGAGGTGATGACGGCGAGATGGCGGGGTATATCGAGCAGATGGGGGAGCAGAGGGATGGCTTCGCGGTGGAGGACGGGGGCCGTCGCTCCTCGCTGGCGGAGGGCGTTCATGATGCGTAAGCGTTCGTGCTTGTCAGACGAAAGAGGGGTTTGAGGGCCTTTGTTGGTAGGTTCTGGGGTAGAAACGACAATAATGTAGTCAATCATAGCCTGCAGGCTGTTCGTGAGGAACTCTTTGACACCGCGCATATAATCTTCCTTTTGTACAGACTGATGTCACGTTAGTCAACTTTCAAAACCCGATGAACGGGGGAACTCACTGGGTTCAGGTTAGCCAGACTCTGGATCACTTTGGCTATAAGCGTCAAACTTCGTTGAACGGAGATGTCAGGCAGGCCTATATGGAGCGTGAGATTCGGGTTAACCGATGATGGTGTTCGCCCTAGTACCAACCTGGAAGAAGCCCGAAAAGATGCGGATGTAGGATGGCAGGAACAATGAAGCGCAGGAAGCAGAACGCCGAAACGCTCTGCCAAGGCAGCTCACGGCTCTGGTCGTCCTTGTTGCGATACTGGCTCTCCACCAGCCTGCGTGTATGCTCAAACAAACGACGCATTTCCCTGCACAGCCGCGGAGAAGCGTCAGCTTCTGCGATAAAAACAGTCAAAATCAAGCGTACGGCGGACAAAGTCTTCTCGCATCATAGATGCGATCCCAGAACTCTTGGCACCACACCACGAGCAGCTCGACGTTTTTCTCGACCGCGCGTCCCGTCTTGCCGATCCGTACGGGGTCAACCTCGATGGCCACCTTCTCGGAGCAGAGGCGCCTGATGGAGGCGCCTATGCTAGCTTCGAGGAAAGGCATGCCGTACCACGACATATACAACTCCACGGTCTTCGTGAACACAGTGTTGCCTCGGCTGCGAGGAAGGAGATAAGAATTGGTCTTTCACGTGCAAAGTTTCTGCCGAGAGACTCACAAGAGCGTGTTATGTGCTATAGATAAGCGCAGATAATGGTAATCAGGCACCGTGCTTCCTGGAAGAGGGACAGACACTCACAAGTCAGTGTGCCGTCAACTTCGCGGTCAGCCTGCTCAATGATGTCGTCCAGCAAAGCACTCTTCGCGATGGCAACGGCCATAATGTTCTGGTTCACATTCTTCGTCTTCATGCGGGACTCTAGGTCGCGCATCCAATCCAGATGATTGCGTGAATGCAACGTCTAGGACCGATCTCAATCTGGGGTGGTTCCGAGCATCACGGACGGCAACATACCTTGAGCATCTTCGAGTAGGCGGCATAAGGGAGGATGATCTCTCTAAAAAGACGATCAATGCAAGACCTAGAACGAACGGCGCGCACTCACTCGTCCACCCGGACCTTGAGCCGCATCTCACCCGCCTGGGTGCTCGAAGTCGGCCCCCCGTTCACGACAGGGTACCAGCCTTCGACGGGTTCCCCGCGCCGGAAGTTGACGAGCACGATGTTCACGCTCCCGACGGTGACCGGCCGGCTGAGGCGCTTCTCGCGCCAAATGACGATCTCCAGGTTCTCGAACGGCGGGAGGTCCGGGAGCAGGAACCGCTCGTACCAGTCCGGAGAGCCGATTCCCTTCTTCACCGTCGTCCGCCCGCAGAGCGTGCCGTTGAAGAACACCTCGCAGTACACGTCCATGTCGACCGCCTCCGAGGACTCGCTCCCGCGCCCGTCTCCGTCCCCGCTCGGACCCCCGCTGGAGCCGCCGCCGAGGCCGCCGGGGCCGCCGTTCGCGGCGTCGTCGGCGAGGAGCGGGCGCGGGACGCCGAGGTTGCGGCCCTGGAGACAGGAGAGGTCGACCTGGCGCCACATGCGGTACAGACCGCCGTCCTCGGGCGAGAGCCAGCGGCCATACACCTCGGGCATGGCGTACGAGCGGAGGAGGGCGAGCCAGGTGTGCGCCGTCTCCTCGTCCTCGAACTGGATGTACAGCGGCTCGCTGGTCGGGGCCGCGCCGCGCATTTGACCGCTGTGTCGTGTTTCGGTTTCATGACGCGCGCGTTGTCAGCGGGTGCGGGCGCGGTTCCAGGGGCGCGAGGGATCGGCGGGGAAAGAGGGGGGAAAGTTCGCGAGTGAGCGGGAGCGAAGCGCGCGGGAGACATGGCGACGCACGCGACGGAGAACACAGCCAGGCAGTTGCGGCGCTCGAAGAGCGAGCGGTGGACGACTCGGATGTCGGTATGGTTGAGCAGGTACATGTAGATAGATCGGTACAATATCGTGTCCTGCATGCATGCTTCAGCACGACGCGCGCACTGGCGAACGGGGGAGGACTCACGTCGACGTAGATGTTCAGCAGACACCCCTCCTCCTCTTCGACGAGCTTGCATCGTGCGGGCCGCCACTGGCCGCTGTTCGTCGAGTTGCGGGCGAGCCCGAGCCAGCTCGCTTTCTCTGCACCGATGGCACGCACGGCGGGTTCAGCCACCGCGACGACGCGTGTATGCGCGAGGGCGAGTGCGCACCTTTCACTCTCTTGGGGGGCGCGTCGCTCCCGCCAGACGCGGCGCGTACGGCGTCGCGTTTGTCTCCGGACCTCTTGTTTGGCGGCTGCACGCGGCGGGGAAACGAAACGAGAATCAGCGTGGGTGTCGGCAGGCGGGTGGGCGGCGAGCGAGAGATAATCAGGGCGTCGGCTCGCCAAGATCTCTGCCCTCCTTCGTCTCCTCGGGGCGGTAGCGCGGGGAGTGGGCAGCGACGTACCTTGCGCAGGGCCGCTGCGGCCTTAGCGGAGACGTAGAGCTCGACAGACACGTAGAATTCGCGGTCCATCGTGCGCTGCGTTCTAGAACGCCGCGGGGGGCGTGGGCGGGCGAGGGGTGCGCGGTGGTGGGCGGGGCCGAGCTGGCGATCAGGGTCGGTTCGAGAGAGACGAGGACGGATGCAGAGGGGGACAAGGACGCGTCGGGTGGGTGGCGGTGGGGGAAGGAAGGCAAGACGCGTCTGGGGACAGGTCGTGAGCCAAGTGCGGCTTGTATATGAGACTGGGGGAGACAGGGAGGGGGCGTCAACTCGGGGCGAGGCGGGGCAGGGTGCAGGAAGGGGGAGGAGCAAGAGGAGGACGCGGGGCTGGCGGCAGCTAGAACATGACAAAGTGCTCGCCGGGCGCGGGGTCGGAAGTGAAGTCGGAGGAGAGTCCGTCGCAGGTGGCGGCGCCGTAGCTCTGCTCGGGCGTCCGCTGGCCGAGATCGAGGCTCTCCGCCCGTGTGCTCAGCCATATCTGGCTAAGTAGTTGATGGTTGCGTCCCTCAACCGTCCCTCTGTCATCCTCGTCCCCCTGATCCGCACTGCGTCCTCAGGTGCACCACTGTACGCCTTGCATCATACTCCCGCCCAACGCCTCGCTCCCCGTCAATTCCAGACTTGAGCGCTGCCGGGAAGCCACTCCGAAACACGGTTCGCACACAAATCGTTGACCGCCCCGACTCATCCATTCGTATCTAGATGTCCGCTGTACACCATTAACATACGCTACCGTAAAGAGGATGAATGTCGGTTGATGAAACGTTCGCAGCGTGCCCCATCGCGATGACGTCGCGCATTTAGGGTATCAACATATCGGCAACGGCGCATCAGAGCACGTCTGCGTTTTTCGTCCGAGCCCATCGAGTCCGTTACTCTGTTTTGTGACTAGGTATATGGTACATCAGCTGCTGATGTTGGGATGGGGAGACCCAAGTTCGATGACTTACCCGTGACCATTCGCGACGCCATTCGCCTTAACGGGCCTCTTGCCAGTCTTGTACGTCTGAATGTAGAACTGGATGAAGAGCCCGAGATAGCTGGTGAGCAGCACGCATCCGAAGATGGCCGCAGTCTCGGTTCCCGCGCAAGAGCCGAATGATGGCCAGGAGGGGAAGTAGTTGGAGACGTAGTACGAGTAGGCTAGCGCGCAGAGCCCCGCATCAGTTCCGAGATCACAGACTTGGCGCGTTATGAGGAACTCACTGGCAAAGTACACAACGAACAAGTCGATGATGAACTGGGTAATCTGGAAAGTCGTCAAGTATTTCTTCCACTGTGGCGCGCGTCAGTATAGTTGTGGAGTGCACAAGCGCAGTGACCGCATACCCAGATCTTGGCACCACCGGCGGTAGCGTAGTAGTAGTAGTCTGCAGCCAACACTCAGCAACGTGTATCGCAAACATGTCTGGACAGAGACGTACACATGATAACGTGGACTATCAGGTTGATTGCGATAGGAACCCATTGCTGCAACGACGCTCGTCAGCGCTCGTGCCCGTTGGATACGTGGACGAACGGAAAGGGATAACGTACAACACTGGTCCTCCCGTTAAGTTGAGTATAGCATAAAAGCGCAGTTGCAGAGTGGTGGAAGACATGGAGGAATGCTGCGAGGAGTATGAGTTGCGGGACAAGACAGTATAAACGCCGTGCGCACCGAGAGGCTTCTTCTTGAGAGCGAGGAACACGGTGTCGATGAGCTCAATGTACTTGAAGTAGTAGTTGACCATGTAGTAGAACTCTAGTTTCTGTACGGCGCGTCGATACGCGTGCCTGCAGAGTATAGCGCACATACACGCACCTCGGACCACATATCGTCATTGCAGAGAACCCAAAAAGTACCATGCTTCAGGTAGCGGGGAACGACCTCTTCCATGATGAGGAGGACGAGGAGAAGACTGCCAGAGCTCAAGAACGCATTGTGTACGCGAAAGAGGAACTGGAGCTTGAGCGGCGACCTGTTCTTCATGAACGCCCGGATGCTGAAGATGGTGACGAGGTAGGCGGCGAGCATCGGGTAGACCTCTTGGGGCGTCGAGAGCGGTGTCTTCCCTGCGACATAGTGGGTGAGGGGGTAGGGGACAGGGAGAGAGCCGAGGCCGGCGCGGTGGAGGAGGAGGTCCGAGAGAGAAGCCATGGGTGGAGGACGGAGAGGTGGTCGACGAAGGAAAGACGCGAGTCGCATCGACTGAGTTTTCCCTGGCGCGGAGGCGCGTGCTTTTGGCGGGCGGCACTTTCCGGGTCCCGCCATGTGCGTGATCCCCAGTGAGGGTCCCTCCCGTCTACATACGTCTACATACGTCCCGGCGCCACTCACATATGTAGACGTATCTAGACATCCAGGACGGTCGGAGGACGTATTTTAAATCTGTCTAGAAACGTCTGTTCAGATCTAGACGTATTAAATGTGTCTGTATCCGTCTGTATATGTTCAAATATGTCTGATTATGTGTGTGGTACTGGATACGGGAAGCTCCCCACGACCATCGGCCCGTTCCACCCGCCCTCGCCCCGCCCGTCGCCGTCGCCTTGCACCCCGCCTTGCGCCCCGTCGTCCACGTCCCCCGCGCCTCTCACGTTGCGCCTCCCGCGCCTCTCGCGCGTCGCGCGTCGTGTCCGCGCCCCCCTGCACCGCGATGCTCGTCGCCAACCCAGCTCACTGCCTGCGCACGCGCGTGCCAGTCGTTCGCCCACACCCGCCCTTACCCACTGCGTATGCAGTCTTCCCCAGCAAGATGCGTCCCGCGTGTTTATACCTGGCTGTTGTCTCAATGGGTGTGAGATTGATCGGCGAGACCAACGAGGCAGCGCACCGAGGATACATCTGCAACGCCCCGTAACGTCCTTGCTCCCGCTACTCACGCCGCTCCAGCTGCAGAGCGATTTGATTGCAGAGTGCGGAATCTCGCCATCTCTACAACAGATACTATGTCAATAGGTCGTGGCGCCGATGAGTCCAGCCCTTACCGTCCGTTGCGGGTGCTTCATTGACTTGTAAAATGCGTCAAATTCTTCGTGGGTCCCGTGATGCGTATTGTACCGCAGGATCGCGCATTGGTCCCTAGGACTAGAATAGAAGGTGAACGCAGGTGCCAAAAAGGAAACGGACTCTACCTGAGCTTGGCCCTGTCTGCAGGTACCGGTGGCCACACGAACTTCGAGGAACCGGAGGCCTTCTTGGTGCTTGCAGAGACGTTCTTCATGGAGGTCCGAGGACCCCGCGCTGCGACACACCTGAGGATGCCCTTGGGGTCGATGATGAAGAGCCCGCAGAGGGCGATGCCCTCGTCATCGATGAGGACACCGTAGTCGTGCGAGATGGACATGTTGCGGTCCGCGGCGATGAGTAGGAGCTTGAGGCCTTGAAGTCCGGGCCGAGACCTACCTGCTTGTGCGGGGACGTCGCCCAGGCAAAGTGCGAGTACTGCGAGTCAGTCGAGACACTGCGGAGCTAGCATGAGCGGCTTCGGAACTGGACTCGGCGGAAGGGGAGGGAGACGGAGTGGGAGGTGAGAAGAACGGACCGAGGAGGACGGTGTTGATGGTACGGGGATGACATCCATATAAAGATCCGTTAGCGACAGCGACACGCACCACATAGACAGAGGGATGCGACGCACCACTGGCCAAGGTGGTCGGAGAGGACGACCTCTTGAAGAAGCCGTCGACGATGGCACTCGCCTTGAACGCGGGCACGGGCTTTGCACAGTGGCGACCTTCGTTGCATGTGGTTCACAGGAGAGGGAACTATGCACTGTGGATGGCAGAAGGGTGTGAGTGATGGCATCCGTCAAGGAATGGTGAGTATATGCGCACCTTAAACCACCCAGCCTGCATTCTGAACAACAAAAAACATACCGGTGATCATTCCAAGACGACCAGGGTGAGGTACTACGCACTCTCTTGCATGCCTCTGGCAAGACGAAATCCACGTCACACATGTCATCAAAGAAGGGCGTACAAAGCTGCGTTCTTAGATTGCGGAGGATGAAATAGACGAACGGGAGAGGGAGAGGTGGGAGGTGGTGGAACGGACGAAAGAGGGCAAGACGCGCGTCGCGCGAGGCGTCAGAAAGTCGCGACGTCATCGGAGGCATTCCGTGGCTCACGTGATGAGATCGAAACTCGTTTTTCAAGAGAAACAGGTGCAGACTCCAGAGGCAGTGACAGAAGTCTTGAACAGAAAAAGTGGGTAGCAAGACAAATAGCGAGGTGCTCTATTTTTGCGTGGACACACGCTGACAGGAGATGCTAGATTTGCTGATTCTAACGTCGTCTCCGGCGCCTGAGGGGAGCTGGTCGTCTGAAGACGTCCCACGACGTATTTCATCATATGTAGACGTTTGCAGACGGGAGCGGTCCTCACTGGGCGTGATCTCTCAGCCAACGGCCTCACCGGGAACCGACGCGTACTGCACGCTACTGCACGTTGGTCGCTTGGTCTCGTCGATCGCTGCACACGGCTTACGCGCAGGGGCTGGCTGGCCAACAGGCATTAGGTTCTCGCGCGCCTCCAGGGAGACAAGGGTACAAGCCGTACTTGACGGGAGCGCGACAGGGGTGTAACGTCTTGTAACGTGTGCATACGCCGTCTTCCATATAGGGTAGTAGATACATGTCCAAATGCAGGTTATAAACAAGAGAAAATGCGAGGAAAGCGACGACGAGGGTGCGAGGACAGGGGGATCAGGTGATGATGAGAGCGTAGCCATCCTTGAGATCAGCCAAGAGGGCCCTCTCTCTGAAACGGCACGTGTGAGCGGATCCCGGATCATGAACGGGACACATGCGTAGCAGGTGCCAAAACGAGAGGCGCACTTTAGGTCGAGCTTCGCGTTCTGCACGGCCGCGAACGCGGCCGCCCTGACGTTGGACGCGTCGAGACCGGAGGGAAGCGCACAGACGAGGCACATGGCGCAGTTCGCAGGTTGGAGCCTGTAGGAAGCATGGACCTGGGAGCCACGCGCGTCAGACACGTTCCGGGCGACAGAACGAGCACTCACCCCCGCCGCGCGGAGGGACTCCACGAGATTGTGCACGAAGAGGAGGGAGCGGGTGCGTAGGTCATGAAGGTCGTGCAAGTCGGCACCTACACAGGCGGGTGTAAGTATACGGGTTGTGGCCTCTATGACGCGTCGTGTGACCGAGGACACGCACAAGTGGAGGAGGAGGGGCAGCCAGTCGGGATCGTGCAGTGTAGCCTGACGGAGTGGGCCGTCTTCTTGATCAATCTACGCGCGGAGTAGATGGTTGAGAGCGAGGTCCAGTAGCGGACAAGGAGTTACTCACTGGGTGAAGGGCGCCATGGCCTCGTCTAGATTGCCCAGCTGGGGCAGGAAGGTTCCGTGAGACGAGGAGTGAGCGCGTGGGTGACTGGAACGCACCTCATTGAAGGTGACGTCCTTCGTTGGACGGTCGGTCTCGAGATGAACGGGGATGTGGAGGGAGGGGGACATGACAGACATCATCGTGAAAGCGGGGAGGGAGAGGGGGGGTGTGCGGCGGGTGTGGGGTCGGCCTGGGCTGGAGGGCGGGGTGGTGTATATGTATGGATGCAGTGTTCGTGACGGAGGACTGGGACCTCGTTGCAGGCTTCGCGGAGAATACCGGAGGGTAGCCGGGGGCGAGGAAACGGGACGGAATGGATCGGTGGTCCAGTCGCATGCACAGAGTCAGCCACAGCCTCGGTAGGCGAGCGCCGCCTGGGGTCAGGGGACCTCCATTTCCTCGACCGACGGCTCGACGGCTTAGCCTCGAGCGAGATGACCACCGCGCTCCGTGCGCAAGAGAGCGCAGAGCCTCCGTCCGCCCAAGCACGGTGATGCTCGCTGCCGGATCGTCAGCCGTCCCGCTCTGCCGTCGATAGCCCGGACGCCCGCGCCGGAGAGCGGCAGCCGGCGCGACCGCTCCCAGACGCTGCCGTCCTCCACTCTATCGCAACCACCGCCCAGTGCCCCTCCAGACTGCGACCAGGCCGTTCGACCGCTGGTCCAGTTCACCTTCCCAAACCACTCGCCCATCATGTTCCGTGGTACGACTGGTCGCCCCTCGGGAGAATGCACGGCGCATAGGCTAAGTTGTACGCCATCTAGCGTTTCACGTCGCATCGTCTCCCAAACCTCGGCCCAGGCCAGGGATCCAAATAATTCCTTCCGTGCTAGCTCGTCGTGGTCTGTTGCGCTGTAACCCAGGGCATGCCGTTCGAAAATCTTACAGGGTGCAAAATCAGTCGCTCAGATCTTCAACAGAACCACCTTACACTCATCATCCACCGCGCGACCGTGGCGGACCGTATCTCATCGCCGAGAATCAGATTTTGGTCGGCTTTCGGAACCGGGACCCTGCTACAAATTCTTCTCTCACAAGGCCCGTCCCAAACCGGACGTCCAAGCACAGGCAGAACTCGCCTTCCCTTCCTACTACGGAAAGTGACTGTCAGGGACGATGCTACTGCGTCCTGTCCCAGCCTCGTGCGTTCCCAGCACAAGGTAAATGGCCTGATGTGGCGGAATCGCCGAGATTATCTGTTTCGGTACCTGGCGACCCCAGTACTGGGACCAGGAATCCTAGCTGCGTGTTGCACACTTGCTATCTCTGTCACCTACGATGAGACCTTACCAGTCGATGACAGAAGAAGTTCCCGGTTTTTACCTCGCCTGAACGCCCTCCTCCCTCCCTGATCAAATGTCTCCTTGGTCATCACTGCTCCTTTCGTGTTAAAGGGCATTAGATTAGGGAGATTGTAGTATGCGTCCTTGCTAAGGTCGCGTGTCGAACGCAAGTATCACGGTTGGCGCAGGAGCAGGATCTCGCGGCCAGGATAATCCCGGCGCATGCCTCACCGGCAACTGAAGCCCTCAGGAGTCGTGTCTCGAAAACCCGGTCCCTTTTTCTAGTCCCCGTCCTCAAATCTGCCATTCGCGCCTCGTTTCGCCGTCGGACCTCATGTATCGCACGGAGCGCCTGACGTCTCGACGGAACTGCGGAAATGCCGATGCCGAAAGACCAGCCTCCTGGAAAATCAACCTCCAGGGCGCAGGGCTGTGCGGCGGCGTTGAGGGATGGTCACGAGGGCAGGCTCACCGCAAGTATGCCGTCGGTGTGCTCGACGCTGTACCGCGACGCTAGTGAGGACATTCTAGTCGGATGATGGTGGGACCCGGGAAGATGGGTCGATACTGCATAAGAGCCTGAAGTTTGAAAAGGGGATGAGCATCTCTCCGGAACTGTATCTCAGTAGTCAGGCTGCTAGGTAACGTTTACTGGTGTTTCCGGGGTTCACTACTCACCAGGTACTACGCCATCAAGGTGTGCTCACGGCACCACAGGTGATCCGCCGGGATGCGGTCTTCGCGCTGGAAAGCAATTTACCTCAGACAGACCGAGTGGACCACCCTTGTCGTCGAGTCTGAGCGTGGATGGAGATGGCAAGCGCCGACGGGCGGGCGGCCAGAACGGCCCTAAGGCCCGCTAGACGCACGTTGCATGGCATGACGTACGTACGCGACCGCGACCGCGCGCGATCACAGCCGTGCACTCCTCTGCGCGTTCGGTCCTCCAACTTGCTTTCCCCCTACATCTCGCTTGCGTTCTCCACCCCTTGTTATTATTGCTGCAGCCGGCGTATTCTAACGGCACTCACGTCCTCATCATGCCTTGGTGGTCGGACCCCGGCAAGGAGGTCCTGAACATCGTACGTTTCGCCTTCGGTTCGCTTGTCTCCGTTTCGCTTAGCCCGCTCCTGCGCTCAGCTGTTCAACCGCGTCCTTGCCCCCTATGTCGAGAACTTGGACATGAACCAATTGAACTTTGGAATAGGACAAGGTCATATCCTTCGTTGCAGTGCATCTCCTCGTCCTCACCCCGCGCGCAGGCCAAATCACTTTGAATAAATTGCATCTGAAGAAGGGCGCGTTAGACAAGTTTAGGCTGCCGGTAGACGTCATTGATGGTGAGTGGATCTAGCTATGTGCCGCTCCACCGTGTCGTGAACGTGTGCAGGCCACCTGGGGAAGCTGTCCCTCTCCCTCCATTGGATGAACCTCGGGAACCAGCCGGTGGAAGTCCTTGTCGAAGATGTCTACCTCCTCGTCGTCCCTTCCGCCCAAAATGCATACGATGCCGAAGAAGAGGAGCGCCGCATGCAGGCCGCTAAATTTGAACGTCTAGAGAACGCCGAGCTGCTCAATGTCCGCACACGAGCGGATGCAAGCCCAGGTTAGCAGCCCGCCCCGAAGAGACGTCCAGAGCGGCGCGCTGAGACGTTCACAGACAACGCGCAGTCGCAGGGCCTCGTTTCCTCGCTCGTGACGAAGATCATCAACAACCTGCAGATTACTGTAAGGAACATCCACATTCGGTATGAGGACAATATGAGCGTGCCCGGGGTGAGCCAATCGTTCTCGCGGCGGCCGAGCGAACTCGTGTGCTTAATGTCGGACTATGCGCCCCGCATAGCATCCGTTTGCGGCCGGCATTACTCTGGCCGGCTTCACTGCAGTCTCGGTCAACGAGCTTTGGCAGCCCGCATTCATCGATAGCAAGGCCGGCGCAGTGCACAAGGTACGACTGCGCGCCTGGGAACCAAGAGGAGATGAACTTACTTTCGCGCAGCTTGCACGTCTGGAATCTCTGGCCGTCTATTTCGATACTGATTGTCAAAGTCTAGCCGGACTTCCGTACGAGGAGTTCGTGAAGAAATTCACAGCGCTGGCGAGTATCATGAGCACGCGCTTTTGATCATCTCTGACACTATTCTACCAGATTTCAAAAGGCAGTCGCCTCTCACCTCACCAATTCATCCTCAAACCCGTATCCGGAGAGGGCAAGGTGAGCAGCACGCCGAATCAGTTTGGCAACCTATTGCTGAATCCTGGGTAGATCATCATCAATCATCAATACGACAAAGAACACCCTCATTTCGATATAGCGCTCTCGTTCGACGAGATCGGCGTGCTGCTCGATGACAACCAATACCGAGACGCCATCTCTCTCGTCGACATGTACCACTTCTACATTCGACAGCACCAGGTAAATATAGCTCGTTTTTGTCACTGGAATCTCACGCACTGAACTCTCTCACAGTACCAGAAATATCGCCCAGCCGCGACAGCGCTGCAGGAGAATCGGCCGAAGGCCCTGCTCCAATTTGCCACCACGGCCATTTTGGATGAGGTTCGCGAACGCAAGCGGAAATGGACGTGGGCATACTTTGCCGAGCGCCGAGACGATCGGCACCGTTACATTGACCTATTCAAGCGGAAGCAGTTGGGTTCTCTCACTCCAGCGGTGAGTCTAGGGAGATCAGTTCAGGTGACAGTTGTCTCATATCACCCTCAGGACGCCGGCATGCTGGAGGCTTTAGAGCGGAAGCTTTCATACGACGATCTTCGATTATACCGGTCCATTGCTCGTTCCCAGCTCCGCAAGGATATGGCGACACGACGAAAGCTGGAAGAAGAGCGGAGGCGTCGGGAGCCGCAGAAGCAGCAGTCATGGTCCACGTGGATATGGGGTTCGTCTGAATCTGGGCCCAGCAACGACGAGGCCGGCTTCTCGGGCGAAATGACGGACGAGCAGCGGCGCGAGCTCTACCAAGCGCTCGACTTCGACGAGAAGGCCGCGCTCGCCGAGTCGCTCGACACCCCGCGTGATGCACTCAAGGTGCGCGTGAAAGCCCAGCTCAACCGCGGCTCGTTCGCGCTCAAGACGGATCCACACGGCACGAACACCGAGATCATCTCCGTCGTGTTCGACATCTTCCAGGCGACGTTCCTGCAGCGCCTAGACAATTTCGAAACGTCGCTATCCCTCGGCGGGTTCGCCGTCCGCGACGGCACGACGAAGAACACAGAGTACCCGCTCATCGTCCACGTACAGGAGAAGCGGAGCCAGAGCGATGTCGTCAAGACGCTCCCCGTTGAGAACGCGCTTCCTGGCATGCCTGACCCGTTCTTTTACCTCAAATTCGAGCGCAACCCGCTCGACGAGCGCGCGGACAGCGCATTGACGGTTCGCATGAGGTACATGGAGATAGTGTATCACAGAGGATACGTCGAGGCGGTCTACAAGTTCTTCAAGCCACCGAGAGCCAGCTCGAGTCTGTCGAAGCGCTTCTAGATGTTGCAACTCAGACTTTGGAGAGCCTCCAAAAAGAGACGAGGATTGGTCTCGAGTACGCGCTGCAAACCCACAAGACCATCGACGTGCAGATGGACCTCAACGCGCCGATCATCATCGTTCCTGAAGGGTGCGTGCACTCAGGAGCTTCACTCTGGCACAAACTAATCATCATCTAGTGTGACGACAACGCAATGCAAGCACCTACTGATTGATGCGGGTCACATTTCCATTGTCAGCGAACTGGCCAGCAAAGAGTCGGTCCGAGAAATTCACGCCAAGCGGAACAAGAAGTACACCCAGGCCGATTACGACCACCTCGCGTCAATGATGTACGATCGCCTTTCCGTCAAGCTCGAAGCCGCTCAGGTGCGTTTTAGTGTCTAAAATCGACGCGTGCGTACTGATGACGAGTTCAGTTCTTGATTGGCGATGACCTCGACTCATGTCTAAAAGCCCTACGGTCCAAAGAGCAAGACAACCTGCACCTACTCGAGCGCACGAATTTCAACCTGCAGGTCCAGAACTCGATCGTCCCCACCGCGTACAGCCTAGCACGCTTCAAGCTTTCCGGGCACCTTCCGGTGTTAGAAGTCAATATGTCGGACACCAAGTACAAGGCTCTGATGCGCCTTATCGACGTTGCCATCCCGCACTTTGACGACGGTGCAGCAGAAGCCCGAGCTTCCTCCGTCGAGCGACCCACGATTGCGCGACGACGCCACATGTCGACTGCCTTCAAGATTCCCTCCGGCTTCTTCGGCTCGGCCTCGGATGAGCTCGCCATCGAAACCGACGATGAAGACGCCCATGCCACGGCAGACTCTGTGACAAAGCTGAGGGCCGATGGGATGACGGAAACCAAGGATGACGCGGACGATGAGTTCTTCGTAGCGGATGTCGGAGCGGCTTCCGTGAGTCGAAGTTCTTCTTATGGTACTGAAGAATGGGTGACCTCATCTCCTTTCGTCAGGATCCCGCGCTCCATCAACATGTGGTCGAAATCGACTTCAAGGTCGACACGCTGCGGGCCTCGCTGTACAAATCCGCGTCTGACGGGACGGAGAAGCCGTTGGGCAATGTGGCTTTCCAAGGTTTCGGCCTCACGTACTCAATGGAGAAGTTCGTCATGAAGGTAGATGTCAACCTCAGGTAAGCGGTCTACAAGGCCCAGCCACTGGCATTCTAAAATTGACGTGTAAACCCTCAGGTCGCTGTCGATGCACGTGAACCAAGTCGGGAAAGAGCCTCTGGAGTTCATGTCCTCTGCTGCTGGACCGACGGAGGACGATCTGCTCATCGTCAAATACGCCCGCGTGCAGCAGACGTCGCCGGAGTATCAGCAAGTCTACGAGGGTATTGATCAGAACGTGAACGTCAAAATCTCCACCTTCTTGTTCCGTGCGGCGCCGGAACCTGTCGTGACCTTGTACGACTTCATCATGACAACTTTCGTCCCAAAAAACAATGGGAACGTGCAGGTCAACTCTGCCCCGGGTACGCCCGAGGGCGGAACTCCGGAGGCCGTTGTGACGTCTGACCCGTCGTCTGGGAAGATAAGGGTGCTGTTGACCCTAGAGGGCATCCAAGGTGCGTTCGGTGATTGACATGACCGCGTGAACAGACACTAACTAGGTATGCAGTATTCCTAATCAACGATGAGGTGCAAATTGCGACACTGTCCCTTTCGACCGCATATGTGGCGATCCTTCTTCGTTCAAATACCATGCGTATCAACGGTCGCTTGGGCAGCCTTGCTCTCAATGATGATTCGCCCATTCAGACCGCCTCTGCCGACTTCAAGCGCATTCTCTCCATCGAGGGCGACAACTTCGCGGACTTCACTTATCAGACGTTTGACCCGAACGATCATGAGACGTACGCAGGCGTCAAGTCCTCCATTTCATTGCAGACCGGGTCGCTCAAGGTGCATTACCTGGAACACACTCTGCATGACGCGTACTTCTTCATGATGAAGCTGGCCAAGCTGAAGGGTCTGTATGACGCAGCCACCACTGTCGCCGTGCAGCGGGCTTCCGAGATCGAACGCATGAAGTTTGACGTGTCCATCAGCACTCCAATCATCGTGTTCCCCTCCGACGCCCAAAAATCCCTTGACGTACTGACACTGCGACTGGGCTCGTTGAAAGCACACAACGCTTACGACGATGACGATAATCGCACCATTGCTGGTCTGCATGGTATTCAGTTGACGTCGCGGGTGGACAATGCCGGCCTGCCTGCGGAACTCAAGCTCGTCGACGACATCAACATCGACGCCCAAGTCACCCAGAAGGCGAACATCGATCGCTCAAATGACCTTGATTGTCCTGACACAGAGGTCATTTTAGTTCAGTCATCCGGATCCTACAGACACTGACATCACTACAGGTCTCTGTCAAAATATCTGACGTCCGGCTCCACCTCACCCAGACACAGTACTGTTTGGTCATCGCTCTTCTCCAGTCCATCCCCAAGGTCTTCGCGGATGTTCCTGATGCGACATCTCTCACCACTCCCACTCTCCCTTCGTCAGTGACCGCGTCCGACATCCAAAGCCGCCACGACAGCACGACGGAGAGCTCGGTTACACCCGTGGACCTCCGTCCAGAGCTAGCGACCCATCCTTCAAGCGGCGCGGCTCGCCCGTACACTACACTAGACCTGGTGGTCACTATCGGCGCGGTTAAACTCCATCTCTACGATGAACACGCCACGACTCCAGAGAACGTCAAGGAGCATGGGATCGCTAGATTCACTCTAGGCGACAATAGTCTTCGCTTCAAGATGCTATCCCACGGCGCCATGGAGGCTCAGATCGTCCTGAAGTCCATGATGATGAACAACACTCGCCCAGGGAATTCGAAGTTCCGGGAGATTATGCCTGCGGCTCAACACGATCGGAACCAGGTCATGCTCCTGTACACGTCCTCTGGCGGACCGACAAGTCAAAGTCTTGCTATCCTGACCGTCGACTCACCGGAGGTCATCTTCGCCATCGACCCTGTGTTCGCCCTTTTGGAGTTCTTTACCAGCGCTTTCTCCTCTTCTCCTGCCCCATCGCCCGACGTCGAACAGGAGACCGCAGTCACTCAAGTTGCACATCCTTCCCAGCCGTCCAACTCGAGCACGTTTGATTTCCGGTTTGATCTGCATGACGTCTCTGTCAGCATTCTCGAGGACGACGCGATGATCAACACCCAGGCGATCCGACTCACCGTCAAGCAATTGCTCGTGTCTCAACAGGTTTGTAGCTTTGGCTGCACTATACTTCCCTTCTGATGGAGTTATTTCAGGGCATCTTCGCTGTGAGCGTGAAGCAGGTCGGGATGTCCTTGACTCGCATGGGAAAGCCCGCGGAGAGCGTGCGGTTCCTCGATGACATGGACCTTACTTTCACCCTAGACAGTCGCTCCGGAGAAGCGCACCAAACGACCAGCATCGAGATCACTGCGTTGCCGATCGTCTTCCGTGCATCGTACCGCGACATCATGCTCATCATGGCCATCGTCAACAAGGCCATCGCGCTCTACGGCAATTCAACTCAGCAGCCAACCGAGGACAAGTCTGAGGCTAAGACGCTCGGCAGACCTCAGTACCAGACCCGTAGAGTGTCGAAGCCTACGATACGCTCTCAACCTGTCGGAAGTGCGCGTGTGATCATGAGCAAGGAGCAGGTGGGTCTCGTTCCAGAATTGATGTTTTGAAGTGATGTTCTTACCTGTTCCCTTTAGTTCAAAGGCTCGTTCGAAGGATTCCGCCTAGTTCTCATCGGCGACCTGCACGAGCAGCCTCTTTTGCATCTAAGAGTCAAGCCCTTCATACTCGGCGCGAAGGATTGGTCTGGAGAGGTCGCTGGCCAGTTGTTTCGTCCGTCGCACTCTCACCTGACACTGTCTCCAGCTTCAAGCTACGTCCACGTTGTCAACCCACATCAGCTACTGGAACTTGACGAACTCCCACTGGGAACCTTGTGAGCGACACGCTCGTCGTACTCTATATTTGGCTTACAGTGTCCCTAGTGATTGACCCTTGGACTTTCACGGCGAACGTATGTACGCTACTGTTAGTTCACATTCAAAGCCACTGACTTGACGGATAGATCTCTAAAGAATCAGCCGTCAGCGGTATGAAGCTGTCAATCAATTCCAACCAACGCCTTGACGTCAATCTCACGATGACCTTTGTCGAGCTTGGCCTGTCGATGATGTCTATGCTCAGTACAGAAGGCGAACACATGCTGGAGAAGGCCCGTGGGATCTACGCGCCTTACAAGATTTGGAACCGGACAGGCTATCCGATCTTTATTTGGTCTGACACTGAAGGAGGCGAGTCACACAAGGAGACCAACACGAAGCAAATTCCAGCGGGCAAGACGATCGACTGGAGATTCAACGACTGGAAGACTATGCGTGAGGTACGACGATAATCTTGTCCTTCAATGGGATGTTGCTAAATTTTACTAGCACGTCTCGTCGAGCGGTCACAACAGCATTGGAGTACAAATTGTCGGCAAGCAGTGGGAGCACCTCCGAAGTGTTCCGGTAGACCGGGAGGGAGAGTACACGTTCTCGCTCAGGCCTCACACTGGCAAGTTTCCTCATCGCCTGGTATGTGAAGTCAAGGTTCAAGGGAATGTCAAGTTGGTGGAGCTCCGGTCGACATACAAAGTTGAGAATCACACTCTATACCCCTTGGAGCTGACGCTTGTGGACGAGACGGGTCAACCTGTGTATGCCGTCGAGAAAATTGGTATGTCCACTTGAACGGCCTTGTTTGACGTATATATTTAATGTGTTTCAGTGCCTGGTCAAGACTACTCTCTTCCAGTCGACGCTGTAAGCCAATGCCGCGTGCGCATCCAGCCTGATCGTACGTTCCCATCCTTTACACCCGTATGTGATGCTCACCATCAGCACTAGAGGGCTTCGGATACAAGTGGTCACCAGCGGTGCGGTGGGAGGACCTCATCGCTAAGCGCTCCTTCACTCTGCGTTGTCCTCACACGGACCAGAACGAGGCTGCCTTCCGATTCCAAGCGTGGGCAGAAGCAGATGCGAACGACATAACCTCTAGGTACCTTAACACATATCTTCCTTCACCTTGTACTCAAGGGCTCTACAGGAAGCTGCCTCGGATCACTCTCAAGCTGAGAGCACCCATCGAGCTCGAGAACCTCCTCCCCTATAACTTGGAATACCGGATCTACGACAAGGATACGGACCAGAATTGGAGGAGCTACCTGCGAAAGGGAGGGGTCATGCCCGTTCATTCTGTCGAATTGGGTCACCTCATCCTGCTCAACGTACAAGTGCAGGATACAGGTGATTGTTGGTCTGTAATCGCGCCTGCGATATTTTTGACGTGGACTGGGTATTTACAGTCTTCAAGCCGAGCGACTTCGCAATCATCAACACCGATGCGAACTCCGACTTCGATGTGGAGAGTAAACTGGTTCTGAGAGACGCCAACGGCCGCAAGTTGGACCTGAGGTTGAACTACATGTACGTGCATGACACTGGTGGTCCGTTATCGTTCTGATTAATCGCACCTAGACACTATCCCAACTCCGGAGGCTCTTTCAAGGTTCAAGTGTACAGCCCTTACATCGTGCTCAACAAGACGGGCCTGCCGTTCTTCGTGAAACCGGCACGTACACGCATCGGGGCTCCTATAGCGATTGCTGGGGACACGCGTCCAGGTGAGTGAAGCATTCGCTGCCTCCTACTTGCCCTGAGATTGCTTTTAGAGGTGCTCTCGACAACGGCGCCGTTCCGTAAGTAGTCATCGTGTTTATCTTTCGCCACCGTTTCTGTTAACCATGCTGCATAGTTCTATCCCACCCCAACGACAATGGCAAAGACTTCGCCTTCAAGATCGGAGATTCGTCTTGGTCCCAGGTATGGTTATGTGTGTGCAGTGCAGCGGGGACGCTGATTCATATCATCAGGGCGTGAGCCTCGATGCCCCAACCGCTGACACCAGGCTTGTCATGCCTCACCAGAGTCAGGGGACGGAAGAGATTCAAGTCGGGCTGTCGTGGACAGAAGGTCTCGGCAAGTATAAGCTGTCGAAGGTCATAACTCTGGCGCCGCGATTCATCATCAAGAACAACTTCTCCAAGTCTCTCGCCTTCAGGGAACATGGATCCGCCCCGCGCGGACGTTCTACCGTCGAACCAGGGGAACGCGTTCCCTTTCAGTTCATGCGGGTGGGCGAGGACAAGCTGCTCACTGTCGCTTTGCCCGGTCTCAACGCTCTATGGTAGGGCGGAAAATCTCATGAGATAGAAGCATTGCTGACCCCCTCGTAAGGTCGCCGCCCATTAACTTGGAGGACATCGGCACCGTACACTTCCGTCTTCCCATCGCCGACAAGCAGATGCGGTTGATGCGGGCCGAGGTCAAGATCAGTGGCTCTACGATCTTCGTATACCTCAGCGAGGCGACCGAAGGCTGGCCATTCACCATCGAAAATAACAGCGACTACCCCTTCACATTCTCCAGACCGTAAGCCGAGTCCAAGCGTGTCGGACGTACCACTGACTTCGCGACTGAATAGGACCAGAGCCGAGTTAATGCACCGCCAAATGCGAAGCCACTGCCCACCTACACAGTGCAGGCGAAGTCTGGCGCCAACTACGTATGGGACCAGCCAGCGGCGCGAGACAAGAGGATCGTACTCGCATATAAGGGCTCTCGTAGAGAGCTGGACATCATGGAGATCGGAGACCTTATTCCCTTCCGCTTTGCTGTGAGTCATGCCCACCGTATCGAGATGACAGTCACCTCACCGGCTTGCAGGGAGATGAGGGTTCTCGCATCGTATCCCTGGACGTGAGAGCCGATGGGCCAAGGCAGATCTTGAGCATCAGCAACTACATCGCAGAATTCAGCTTGTACAACCCAAGCGTCGCAATACCGGTCAGATCATGCGACAAGATTCAGTTGCAAGCAGTCAAGAAGCTTTCGAGGCAGTGCAGGAAATTGCCGCGCCCACTATCAGCGTTGTCTTGGATCTTCACGGTCTCGGAGTGTCACTCGTGAACAAGAGAATGGTCGAAGTCGTCTACATGTCCATAAACTCGTTGAAGTTCGACTACTCAAACAATCCTGTCTCCCAATCGGTCAACCTCTCCTGTGGCAACCTTCAGATCGACAACCAGTTGCACGATGCCCTCTTCCCAGTCGTCCTGCAGCCCACTCCAATCACCAAGAGTCGAAGACGGTAGCGGCCCTTCCTACTGTACAAGTTGCAGTCATCTGGTTGAATGACCAAGGTTTGTGGTCTGTCTAGGAGTCGTCGCACGTGCTAAGTACATTCCGCAGATCATGGTGTATTTTTCGTCAAGTATTGTTCGATCCTTCTGCAAGCCCTGACAGTAGAAGCGGATGAAGATTTCCTCTTCTCTGTGTACGACCTCACTAAGCTCACGGGGGCGTCATGGGACGCTGCTCAGGAAGAGTATGTATCCTCTCAATCTCTCCCTCCCCCGGGTACTGCAAGGTATCATTAACGAGTATAAAGTGTTCTGCTCCAGCAGCCAGAGGACATTCCTGAACCGCACGGCACGTCGCAAGGACAAGATCTGTACTTCGAGGTCCTCGAGTTGCAGCCGATCAAACTGTCTATCTCGTTCATGCGCACGGAACGCATTAGTGGAGAAGAGAAGTAAGCAACATACTTTTGGGTCGAAACAACGCTCACCGTCTGCAGGCTGAGCCTTCGCAATCCCATCGCTGTTGTCCTCAACGCGATCACCATGGCTATTGGAAACGTCAATGACGCGCCTTTGGAGATGAACGCCTTGGCCATCAAGGATATGCGGCTAACACTCCCTGATCTCCAGGAGCGCATTACGCACCATTACCGCCAAGAAGTCCTCCGGCAACTGTACCGCATCCTTGGCTCTGCAGACTTTATCGGGAACCCTGTCGGCCTGTTCACGAACGTTAGCTCCGGTGTCGCCGACATATTTTACGAGCCGTTCAATGGTGTCGTCATGCACGGGAACAAGGACATCGGCATCGGTATCGCCAAGGCATGTCATTCATCAGCTCCCATACAGCTCCTGGGGCTAATTGTGCAACAGGGTGCGGCGAGCTTCGTGAAGAAGACTATCTTCGGGGTCTCAGACAGTTTCACCAAGTTCACTGGCGCAGTCGGAAAGGGTGAGACAGCCCCTGTGGTCCATCTTGTTGTGACATTAACATGGTCTTGCAGGCTTGTCGGCAACGACTTTCGACTCCGATTATCAGCTCCGCAGGCGCATGAACCAGAGACGGAACCGTCCTCGACACGCAATGTACGTGACATAAAGTTTTGTCTCGGGATGCGAATGACGTGTATTGTAGCTATGGTGTGGCCGCCGGGGCTGAGGCATTCGCAAGTAGTGTTGTCAGTGGTGTGGAAGGTGTTGTCGTAAGTCCAGTATGGTCATACGGCTATCAATGCTGCTCATGCGATGAATATTCAGCTCAAGCCCATCGAGGGCGCCGAGTCGGAAGGCGCGAAGGGCTTCTTCAAGGGCGTCGGCAAGGGTCTCATCGGGTGCGTGTCAGAGCATTCTGCCGGTGTACATACGAACTGAAATATACAGCAGCGCCGTCACGAAGCCCGTCATCGGGGTGTTCGATCTCGCATCGAACGTCGGCGAAGGTACCCTGTTCTGCCTCGAAGCCGCAGAAGAAGCTCACATAGCCTGTAGGGATCCGCAACACGACTACGGTCTTCGATAATCCGGCACGAGATCGCGTTCGCATGGTAAGTCCTTCCTCTCTAGATCAACTAGCTGCCGCTTACAATCAAGCGTAGCCTCGGCTGATTCCCGCGGACGGCGTACTGGTGGTAAGCCGTGCCCTATGGCACTACGGGTCGCGACACTCACCCATTGTTTAGCCTTTCTCCGAGCGCGAAGCTCTCGGTCAATACTGGATGAAAGACTTGGACCATGGCGCGTTCCGCGGAGAGACATACGTCGCGCACATCAGTGAGCTCTTGAACTATGGAACTGTAATCAAGAGCTCATACAAGGTCCCTCAGACCTTCCCGGAGGCGACAACGTCGTCTTGCTCACCACGACCAAAATCATCTCCTTCTGGTCGAACAAGCTCAAGCTCGAGTGGGAGCTTCCCTTCACGCAAGTCCAGGGCGTCACGATAGAGGACGCGGGCATCAAGTTCGCGCACAAGGCTGGCCGGCAGAACGACCGCTTCGTCCACATCCCCGACAAGCCCTCCCAGACGTGGTTCTTCGGGCAGGTCGCATCGGTCGTGAAGGCGTTCAACGCGCGGCGGAGGATGGACTCATGATTGCAGGACGGAACACAGTAGAAGTTTCACGCAGCACATACGCACGCATCTTGGATTCTGACGGGCAGCGTCCCTCTCTCTCGGACATCGCGGACACGATTACGCTGTATTGCTAGACCGAAGTACTGTAATGCTATATGTACCATGCAAAACGCACCCGCGAGTGAGAACGGGCGAATGTGCAGGGCGTGTGTAGGGTGGGAGGGACAACAGCGGGCGGGTCCCAGAACGAAGTCGACTGGCTATGTAATGCAGGGGCGTCGAAGCAAGGACTGTAATGACAAACAAGACAGACATGGGACAGAACGGGGAACGAACGACACGCGGCCTATGAGACAAGGCAGGACAAAACGGGACGGGTGGAGCCAGACGGGACGAGCGGCATGTAAACCGCGGCCGAGACGAGAGCAAAACTGGGCAGGGTAGCGAACGAAGGCCGGAGCCACAGGTTGGGGGAGGAGGCATACGGGGTCGCGGGGGATCAAAGCGAGATATAGACATAAAGTAAGAGAATAAATACCCGGAAGGCACCAAGGACGCCGGCGAGCTCATCGCTCACGCGCGCCCGCCGACGGTGTCCGCGCTATCGCGCGACTTGAGCCGCTGGCCGTAACGGACGTTCGTTGCGGTGCTTGTGCTGAAGTTGCGCTCGCGGCCCTTAGGGCTCGCCGCGCCGGGTCGTCGCGCGCGCCGAACTCGTCGAGGTGGTGGTGCCCGGCGGCGACCGTGGTGGGCGTGCCCTCCTGCTCGCCGTCGGTGTCGCGGTCGTAGATGGAGCCGTAACTGCCGCGCGGGCTGGCCGAGTACGCGCTCTGGAAGTCCGTCTCCTCGTCGTCCGTCGCGATGCTCGTCGCGCCCGGAGTCAGGCTCGGCGTCGATGGCGTCACGAGCGCGGAGAGGGACGCGTTCGACGGGATATTGCGCACGTTTCCGCGCCGGTCGAGAGTCTCCTTGGAGGTCACCACCGACGGGCGAGCGGGGCGCTCCTTGGGGTCCACCTCGGTTTTGGACTCGCTCTCCGAGACGTAGAGGACGGGGACCTTGGGCGAAGGCACCTTTGGGTGGGGCGTGGTGTGGCCAGTGGTCGACCCGCCCAAGCTGCTTTTCCTGCTGTGGGGCTTGGCGCGGCGAGCGCGGAACCGGCTGGTCGCCTCCGACAGCTCGCTCTCGCTCGGCTGACTGTCCAGCGAGCGGCGGTAGGCCTCGGGGCCCATCGCGTTCTCGAGCTGCAGATGATCCATGTCAGCACACGAAAACTCACTATAGACCAAGAAACGCAACATACCTTGCGCTGGATCTCGCGTACTTTCTGCGCGATCTTGTCGCTCTTCTGGCTGATACCTTCGTCGACGGCCTTCATGTTGTCGCCCTCGTCCCCGGCCGAGAATCGCTTCTTCTTCTTCTCCTCCCGCCGCTTCTTCTCCGCCTCCATCTCCTCCTCATCCTCCTCCATCACTGTTCCCGTCACGCGCTCCGTCTTGACCAGGAGGTCGTCGCCGTTCGCGAAGCTCTCCGCAGCGTCGACTCGGTGCTGAACGACCTGAGCGGACGCGCCGGCATCGGGTGCCGGCTCGCGTCGCTCGGGCGGCGGTACGTGCTCGGCGCCGAGCGCGACGACATCCGGCTCGACGGCCGCGAGCCTCCGTAGTCCGAGTCGTCGACGTCGACGTCGACGGCCATGTGCACGAGCGCGCGCTCGATCTGGGCCTCGACCTCGGCGATCATCTGCGCGCGTTCCTCCTCCATGCGCTCCATGTTCTCGCGCATCTCCTCGAGCTCCGTGAGGGCCGACTTGTGCGCGGTTTCCGTCTCGCGCAGTTCTGCGAAGGGCGGGGAAGACCGGTCAGCGTCCCGTCGGAGGGCGGAGATGACGAAAGGGAAGGGGACGGGGCGCGCGAGAATGAGGAAATGGTTCGCGGCACTCACGGTCCTGCAGCTTCATCTTCTCCGCCGCCGTCAGGGTGATCATGCTCGACAGCCGCTTCGTCTCCCGCTGCTCCTTGTTGATCTTGCCTCGGAGATCGCTCGCCTCCACGCTCAGCTTCTCCGCGTACTGCTCGAACGTGACGAACTTGTCTCGCCAGAGGTCGGACTCGGTCATCAGGAAGTTGAGCCGGCGGGAGAGACGGCCGATCTTCGTCTCGAGGTCGTCCCGCGCGTCGACGAACGCGGACGCGCGCTTGCGGATCGACAGCTGGATGTGCTGCTCCGCGACGGTCAGCCTGGGCGGCGCGCGCACCGCGCCGAATGAGGAGATCCGCTTCAGCAGTGACGGCTTCTTCATCCTGTCCGCCAGCACGCCGTCGAACGCCTGGATGATCCGCGTCGAATGCCACCACTCGGGCGGCTTGACCATGTCCGCGACTGCGGTCGATGCGGCACCACGCTTCGCCTGGATCTTGCATACCGGGCGGAAACGACCTGCGGGGAAGGCCTCTTTGAACTCACTGCAACGACGAAGAAGCGGTTAAGCGTATAGCACAAGCAACGCGCGGCGGTACACCAACCTGGGCACGCAATGATCGGGATGGTAGTGAGGTTCGAACGCAGCAAGTAGCTTCTGCCGGTAACGGTCGCGCTGCTGCTTGGTCGAGATGGCACCCGGAGGGGGCGACGCACAGTTCAGGTAGTTGATGTCCCTGGGAGTGGAACGCGACACAAAAGTCAACTCCCTCGGGTCACAAGGACTGAGACGGAGATAACGGCACTCACAAGTCCACGACGCACACCTCCGGAGGAGGGCGCACCGCGTGGCGCGACTCGGTGGCAAGACCGATAATCCACGGGCCGGGGTCCTCGATGTAGATTTTGGCATCGCGCGAGTGTACCGCGGAGAGCGCGACACCGCTCCAGGCGCGCAGCTCGACCAGGTACTTGACCGTGAGCACGGCGATGCCGAGCATGGCGGGGTGCCGAGAGAAGAAGAGGATACGGCCGGTGGGTGCTAGGGCGATCTGACGGCATGGGTGATAAGTCACGCGAGCGCAGCAAAGGACAGGAGGATTTACCTCGCAGATGGTCAAGATGTTGTCGATGTTGAGGCACTTGAACAACGGCCACATGGTGAAGTTGACATCGACAAGCCCACGCCCGAAGTCGAGACCACCAGGGAAGCGAGCGACGACTTCGAGGCTGGTCTCTGCACCGTTGCTCGCCTGCGACGAGGCGTCGAGGCGAACGAGCTCGCCAGGCCGCGGAGCTGAGTGAGAGAGGATCTTGGAAATCTGGAGTGTATGAGACTGCACATCTTTGGAAAAGCGCGCCCAAGACAGCGTGAGATAGTCGCGCATCAAGTCATAGATGGGATAGCGCGAGACCAGGGCTGCAAAGAGAAAGAACCGCGGTCAGCGCTGCGCCGGCACCATCTTCACGGTCAAGGCGCTCCACTCACTCAACGCGTACGGCAGCCAGAAGACGGCGTCGCCGGGCAAGAAGAGCGTGCTCTCGCCCGGCGTGTGGCCCACGGTGCTGGCAACCTCGTAGTCGCTCTCGCTCACCGCCCCGCCCTCGCCGTCGGTCTCCATGTCGGTTTCGGCATCCGTGCCCGCGCCCGCGCCCCACGGGCCCCGCGCGCTCATCTTCGCTCGCCGACGCGCATGCAGGGTCGGGTCGCCTCCGCCGTCACCGTGCCCGCGCCGACGCGACGCGACGAGACTTTGCGCGCTCTCCTTGCGCGCGCGGTTCGCTTCGAGCGTGCGCCGGATGGCCGCTGTCCGCTCAGCGTCGGCGTGCGACCAGACAGTCAGGCACACGCCGTGATATGTGACCTGCGCGTTGTTCCCCCCGCCAACGCCGGAGCCGAGATCGTTCCCTGACCGCGGGTTTGGAGTGTGCCCGTTCGGAGAGAGGAAACCCGAAGACGGGCCCAGGTAGGCCGAAGAGGGGCGGGCTCTCGTGAACGGGTCGTCCGTGTACGGGTAAGCGTACGACGACACGTCGGTGTTCGTTGTCAAGACCGAGGCGCGCAGCATGTCGGTGGACGGACTAGTAGCGAGAGGCGTTGAGGGCGCGGGTAGGGTGAACGTGAAGTTGTGCACCGTCGACGCGGGCTGCAGCGTGGACGCGATGATTTCGACCTCGCGCGTGAAGGACAGCTGACCGGGGGCACTCATCAGCGGGCCGCTCGGCGGGAGTAGAAGCAAGGTGAGCGTACCTTAAGTGCCTTGGAGAGCATCTTTCCGATATCCTGCTTGCTGAGATAGCCCGACGAACTGAACGTCGTGCCGTTGTCGTCTTTGCGGCCACCCTTCTTGCGCTTCGTGCCTCCTCCGCCGGCGCCGGGGCTGATGGTGCTGCCTAGCACCTCAGGACGCCACCAGCGCCCGACGGCGCCCTCGCTATGGTTGAGACCCATGACAGAGTCAGAGTCCGCCAGGGTCCATGTATGCGGGCTCTTGGGGAGGCCAGAGACGACGTAGAGGGAAGCGAGCGGCATGGAGGGCCCAGAAGAGGAGGGCGGGGGTGCGCTCACCGAGGCCGGGGCAGAACGAGCAGACGCGAGCGAGTTGCGGTTCGAGGCAGGGATGGGTTCCATGCTCTGGCGGTGACGGATACCCAGGACGCGGGCAGCCTTGTCGCGGCTGGAGACAACGGCGGTGTTGTTGTCAGCAGGGACGTTGGCGTCGACGGTCACGTAGTCTAGGTCGTTCTCGGGGACTGAGACGAAGGAGGGAACGGAGGGCTGGCGAGAGACGGAGGACTTGCGGCCGTGGCTAGCACTGGACCGCGGCGCAGAGTGGTTGTTGAGAGAGGAGGTGTGTTGGAGGCCGGGGCCGGATCCGGAGTCGTCCTTGTTGGCTCCGCTTGCGGAGATGGTGATTATCGGGTCAGGCGCTGGGATCGCCCGGCCACCGCGGCGGCTGGTGGACGAGCCGCCGCCTTCGGTACGCGAGCGTGCACTGCCGGTCGAGCGCAGGCTCAGGCTCGACTTTTGCGCGGTGGGCCGGCGGGAAAGGAGCGAAGCGGAGTTGGACGTGGGTTTTGTGGACTCGTCGTCGGTGCCGCGAGAGGTCCTGGAGTGCCTCTCGCTAATGGGCAGCCCGGGACTGGCAGACACGGCGAGGGGCTGGACGGGAGGGTTGGCGCGAGTACGAGGACTGGACATCTTGGAGAACGGGTGGGCCGTGGCGCGAGGTAGACGGGGAGGAGTTGGGTGGGTGGCGGAGACGGGAACGAGGGAAAAGAGAGCGCGAGAAAAGGTGCTCAGCTGGCAAGCCTGGACGACCGCTGGAGGGCTGAAAGGAGGGTGGGGTAAGGACAGACGGACAGCCTAGAATAGAAGTCGTCGGCAGACAGAGCGGGCGAGCGACCCGACAGAGGATCCGGAGGACGGAGGAGGAGGGAGCGGTGAAAGAAGAGGGACACCGTGCGCGGCTTGTAGTGCTCGCACGCGGAGCTGTTTAGACTGGGAGGTCGGTCTCTGCCAGCTAGTCACGAACGTATAAGCGACCGGCAGTTTAGAGGCAGCGTGGAACCATTAAGCGATTTGATCACCCTGCGTCGCATCCCAAGAGAGAGATTCCACGGTTATACGGCCATTTCCGTGGAGCACACACGCTTTCTGCATACCCACGGCGCGCGCGCCCCGCGACGCACCCTGAGAGCAAGCGGGGGCCGCTATGCGCCCGCGCGCGGAGCAGAGGAGGTCGCGGAGAGTGCGCGAGAAGAGAGGCCGAACCAGGTTTCGGCGCGCGCGAGATGTGGAACAGGGCGGGCCAGGGCGCGTAGACGCTTGATGGATACGCGATCACGTGTGCGGCGCCGCGCAGGTTTCGCGTTACGGCAGATCGCGATCGGCTATATTGCCCGCTCCTACCGCGCCGGACGCACTTACATAACCGCGCACCTTCACCACCTCGCCCGCCTTGCACCCACGCGCGCCTCTCCACTAAACTCCCGCCGAGGCGCGCACCCTTTTCGAACCGTCCCGCGGCGCGTTCCCGGCGCCCCGGGACCCAGGATCCTTGCAGCCCGCCCATCACACGCTATCACACGTCGACCTCATATCGACCTTCTGTCTCGAAACATGCGCGCGAGCTGTGAGCACGTCGGTTCGGTCGTAGCCGCCCTTTTCGTTTTTCTCGCGTTCTGATCATCATTGTGCGCGAAAGTGCGCGCTCGCGAACTGCCGGTCTTTCGTGAACATGCCGCCCGGATATGAAGCAAACAGGGGGCGAAGGTAGCCATCGTCCATTACACTATTATATGTGCCGGGGTGTGCGACGACGGTCTACAGTAACCGTAGACCCTGGGGTATCGAGTTGGTGTTCCAAAAACAAGTAACATCGGCGGTCTACTACGGCCGCAGCCGGGATGAGACTGACCGTGCCCGCGCGCAATCGCTGGGCCCGCTCATCTCCCCGACTCTGCATGGAACACCCCCCGCAGCCACGTCCACGCGCCCTGGGCCTGCGATCCTCCACCGCCCTCACCTTCGTGCCTCGCGTCTAGCGCACCTTCACTGTCTCCCCGCTCAAGGTCCGTGCCATAAGGCAGCCCACTCCCCGCCACCGCTGCCGCTGTTCTCCGCTCTGCGTCCCCCTCGCTCACCACCCGCCGCATCTTGAGCGGCGATCGCGAGTTCGGCATTCCCCTCCCTAGCTTCCCCGCGCCCCCCTGTTCGCTCTCTCCTTCCTGCCCGCCTTGCTCCGTCCCGGTTCCACTCGCGCTCCCCATCGTCAGGCTCCCGCTCATCGCGTGCCCGCTCGCCGTGCCCAGTCCGCTCGCCGTGGGACGCCGCCGCCGCTCGCGCGGGACGATCGAGAACCCAGGGCTGATCGGTGACAGCCCGATCGAAAAGCCGCCGATGCCCGAGTGGTTAGGCGAGAGCGGGTTCAAGAACGGCGGCGATGACGGCGGGAGCGTCGCCCCGCCCATCGTCGTCCTCCGCCGTCGCGTGCCAGAGCCCGTGACGCCGCTCTGGTAGTCTGACAGCATGTCATGCTCCGCGCCCGTGCTCGTCGTGAAGGCGGAGAGAGAGCGCGGTGGGGGAGAGGCGAGTAGCGCGGTGTCGGTTTGTAGGCGGCCGTGCCCGCCGGGCGTGCGCCGCTTCGAGTGCGCGGGGCTGACTGGTAGTCGAGGGGAGAGTTGAGGGGCAGGTGTTGGTGTCGGCGGTTCGGTGACGATCTCCAAGGGGGGAGAGCGACCTCGGGAAGTCTCCACGATGGATGCTTCGTCCATAGGCAGGGGCTCATCTTCGTACGGCTCGTCGTCCCGCCCTTCAACGTCGATGTCCTCATCGGCACTCATAAGCTCCGTTGGCGGATCCCCAGATGTCCAGGCGCCGATATCGACACCTCGACCACCCTCGGGAGGGAAACTGATGATCCAAACACCCGCCAATAGGACAGCGATGCCGAGAAGGACCAGCAAGAGACAATAGGTCGGGAGCTCCGAGAATTCATCGAAGTACACGAGTCCGTTCACGATCGACGATAAATTGTAGAAGCAGAATGCGACTGGTCATATGTTAGTATGAAGCCATTCAACAACGCGATTTCACACTCACGGGGGCAAACTAACGTGGGGTCGGCGAGGACTAAGCTCTTGTGCATGTACCAGAGCTGCAGGAGGGCGAAGACAACCAGGGCTATCACCAGCATCCATGCTTGCCACCTCCAGAACTGGTTGTCTCCTCCCAGTGTGAGCAATAGTAGCTCAACACCGCTCTTGGCGAAAAGCAGGCACATGCCTGAGAGGATGCCCGAGATGGAGGCATACGAAGACGCGAGGAATAAGGGTGTGCGTGGGGATCTTGCGGTAAATGATAGCGGGCTGGTGATCATGGAACTGATAGAGGTGGAGGGTGAAGGTGACTTTGAGCGGGGATGAGGCTTGCGGTCAATGAGGGGAGTGCGTTCGGTGGGAGATGAAGGGTCCAGCGCATGGCTCGCGGTCGTGGCGATCGTGAGGACAGAAGGTGCGGTAGCAGGAGCAGCGAGGGGTGATAGAGGAGGGGTAACATCCGCAATCTTGAAGCGACGTGCGTATGAGTACTCCACAATGTGGGTCTAGGACGAAGTCAGCGCATACCCATGCGGCACAACGTAGAGATACTCACCGTGGCCAGGACGACTAACACAACGACTCCAAGGAGCGAAAAGTAGGCTATGAAAGCCGGCCTGCTGAAGAGACGGAGAAGGTCTTCAAGAGAGTGGGTAGGCTCCGGCAAAATGCCGAAGATAGCAATGAGCACGGCGCCGCCGGCGATGAGGAGAGTGCCAAGGACCATCCATGGGGAGAACACATCGCCAAGAAGGAGGCGGGCGAAGAAGGCGTTCCAGAGGAGAGAGACGGCACCGAGGGGTGCAAGGATGACGACGGGGAGGGACGCGATCTGGACGACGGATCCAAATAGGTTGGAGGAGATGAAGACGGCTGTAAAGACGTGAGCAAATGGAGACGATCGACCTGCGAGCAAACACACCAAATCCAAGAAGCCAGAGACTGAATGGGCGTGAGCTGCGGACATGAGGGACGGGAAGGAGCAACGCACGGCCTTCTGGTCTCGGGCTTCTGCTCCTCCTCTGGCAGGGCTTGGTTCAGTACATGACTCTTGCGCTGGATGGTGAGGCCAAGGGACTGGACAAAGGAGGCGAGGAGACCGATGACAATGCCGACAGGGATGGAGACGGTGGGTTCGCCGTCGCCGACGGTCATGAAGGGAAGGTTGTGGGTTGTGAGCGAGCACTGGCAGGCCGACTGAGCGCTGAGCGCTGAGCTCCTACACGCTTGAGCGGTGCGTGAGGCCATATAAGGGAATGCACGTGCGGGACATTGAGCCCTTGGGGCGCCCAGTCAGACAGAGTCCTCGCGCGTCAACGTCGCACACTCATCGCGCCCCGCTACGGTCCCCACCTTGGCATACCAGCTGCGCGAGGTCATGAGCTACGAGCTACTGCTCAAGGAGCCATTTGGGCCTTTCCGCGAGCATCACGCGCTCACTCCCGAGACAAGGGGTACTACAGCAAACCGTCCAGTTGCCCTCGACCAGCTCATCTTGGAGCAGGATGGGTTCATTACAGGGTGCGCCTCATGTGTATGCCACCCTCTCTGTCTTCCTCTCACATGCATTTGGACCTCCACCCGTAGATTATCTGAGTGCGAGCTGGACCAGCAGGTGGAGTTTTCCGACAAGCCTAAGAGCAGAGTCCGTTTTCAGGGTATCTTGACCATCCAGTCCTTGGACTGGCTTACTCGGTCTGCATTTGCTCATATTGAAGAGGAACTCCAGAAGCGAGACCTCTCCGCGCGTCGATCCGCCTCCCGGAGCACCCTCACCCTCGCCTCTGTGTACCGACACCATGAGAGCAAACTGAAGGTGATCATTTATGGTGTCAAAAATCTCCCTGCCAATTATTTCACTGCAAGTAGGCATGCAAAATACCTGCCCAGTCCATATCATTGACAACCCTATCTCAGCTCAACATGTCCCCAATGGTCTAATGATTGTGTCTTCCCAACAGTAAGTCATTTCATGTCTCCAAGTGGTATCTATTACTCACAGCAGAACAGTAAGCGAAGATATGCTGTGACGTCAATGCACCCACAGACCTATGAACTTAGCCGCAAGGTGAGCCCACCCATCTGCCATGTCCCGACTCCTCCCAGGGTACTAACAAGCTGACTTGCAGTATTTTTCCCGCTGGAGCCTCTTCACGACCCTCCAAGACATAGTCGCTTTAGATGCTGGGAACAACACATACAATGCAAACAAAACCCCACTCAAAGACCGCACCCCCGACTGGTTCGCCCGTCTGTACATCAAGCACTTCACCAATGTGGGTGGGCAGCGCCAACACCGCACCATCTTCAGCAACTCCGATTCCGACCTTGAAGACACACCGGAAAGCTTGGTGCCAGGCCGAAAAATGCGCGGGGGGCGTGAGCACGTGCTCCGGCACGTTCCCTACACGGAGGTCCTTTCGTTCTTCACCGAACATGTCGAATGGGTCATCCGTCAGGAAACAAGACGCAAACGGGACCACCTGTTCGACGTCGACGTGTGGACCCGGTGGCTCCCCGTCGTCAAGAAGTACCGCTGGGAGGCTGCTCGAGAGGGCCGCCGATGGGGCGTGTGGGTCGGCGACCCGCTTCCGACGGACGAGCCAATGGAAGAGGACGAGCCCGTGCCACTCGCGCCCGCACGCGCCCGCCCCCGCGCAAAGCGCAAAGCGTCGAAGAAGGCGGACGAGGCCGTCTCCGCGCCGCCCGCCGCGAAACGCAAACGCACCGCCGCGGCGACCTTCACCTTCCGCACCACGCGCGACGGCCTCCCGCAGAGCACGTACGACTCGGACTTCTCCGTCGAGTCCGACGTGCCCCCGTCCTCGCGCGGGTCGACCCCGGAGCCGCCGCACTACACGGACCCGGCGGACCCGGCGCTGCTCGCGCTCCTCCCCTCGTCCTGGTTCCACCCGCCGCAGCCGAACAGGGCGGGCAAGTGGGCGTGCGACGCGCCCGGGTGTCTGTACGTGATCGACCTGTTCCGGCCGACGGAGGAGAACCTGTCCTCGCCCGAGATCCCGCACGCGGCGCGCGAGCGGCTGCGAAGCCAGAAGTGGACCTTGAAGAAAGACCATTCGTGGGTGCTGGACGCGTTTATCGCCATGACGAACGCGCACTACCTCGTGCACGCGGAGGAGTGGGGGATCGTGTTTGTAAAGGAGAATGGAAGGGTGAGTCTATACCTGTTCTGTTACTTTCAGTATGGCTGCATCTCATCAATCTGTTTCTCCAGGTGCGGATGCGATGGAAGAACGAGAGGAGCCATGCAGTTGCGCCTGAGGACCGTCTCCTGCAGCCTCGCAAAGATAATCGTCGTCCGCCTCCCCCCGTGATCAAACGAGAGGAGACGTCTCAACGATATGTTATTCAGTGATACAGTCTACAAGTCTGTCGTAGTTCTTGTTCGTCTGCTCCCACGGATTTTAGAAACGAAAGAAAAGAATACATTATGCTATTGTATGTACTTTTAGAGACGTGTGCGGCTAATGATACAACGGTCGTGTTCCCCATCCTAGATCTTTGCATTCATACAGTCCATTCAATCCCATTGCCACTGCTTGCTCAGTCCATCTCCTCGATGTCGATGTCGTCATCGGCGTCCCAGTCGACGTCCATGCTCTCGCCAGTACCCTCGTGGTTGGGTAGGATTTGGAGCCGGTTGTGCGGGCCATCGAAGTGGACGCGGACGACCTCACCGTCCCGGACACGCTCAGAAAGAATCATGACTGAGAGCGGGTTGAGGAGCTCCTGCTGGATTGCGCGGTTGAGCGGCCGCGCGCCGTACGCGGGCGTGTATCCGACCGACATCAGGTAGTTCTTCGCCGCCTCGTCGAGCTCGAGCCTGATCTTCCGGTCCGCGAGGCGTTCCTGGACCTCCTTCAGCCGGACGTCGACGATCTTCAGGACGTTCTGGCGGGAGAGTGTGCGCTGTGGACGGGCAGTGAGCATCAATCCGTTCAAATTCAAGGAAATGCACACTTACGTAGATGACAATCTCGTCGACACGGTTGATGAACTCGGGCGGGAAGTGGTTGCGGATCGCGCCCATGACGAGCTCGCGCGTCGAGGTCTTGACCGGACCCGAGCCCATCTCATTGAGGAAGACCGCGCCCAGGTTGCTCGTCATGATGATGACCGTGTTGCGGAAGTCGACGATGCGGCCTTGGCCGTCCGTCAGACGACCGTCGTCGAGCACTTGGAGGAAGAGCTGGTAAAACTCTCTTGACGCCTTCTCGATCTCGTCGATGAGCACAATCGAGTACGGCTTCCGGCGAATGTACTCCGTGAGCTGGCCGCCCTGGTCGTGACCGATGTAGCCCGGAGGAGCGCCGATGAGACGAGCGATCGAGTGCTTCTCTGAGTACTCGGACCCATCGATGCGGATCATCGCGTCGGGCGAGTCGAAAAGGAGGGTCGCGAGCTATAATACCATAGTCAGCATCACTAATTATATGCACAAGAAGAAACTCACAGTCTTGCTCATCAGCGTCTTACCGGTACCCGATGGACCAGCGAAGAGGAAGCTGGCGATGGGGCGGTTTGCGTTGCGTAGACCAGAGCGGCTGAGGCGAATCGCGTTCGCGACCGCCTTGACCGCCTCGGGCTGGCCGACGACGTTCTCCGCGAGGATCTTCTCCATGCCCAAGAGCTTCTCCTTCTCCGTGCTCATCAAGCGGGTCACCGGGATGTTGGTCCACCTTGCAACGATCTCCGCTATTTGGTCGGGAGTGACGGTATCCGTACCTGCGCCGCGGCGGGCATCCTCCTCGGACTTCTTCGCCTCGAGGTGGGTGAGCCTGTTCTGGAGGTCGGGGAGGGCGTAGTAACGGAGATCGGAGGCGGTCGCGAGATCGTAGCGGCGCTCGGCCTCGTCAGCTTTGGCCTTCACTTCGTCGATGCGCCGGCGGACGATATTGATCTCGTCGCTGCGCTGCTTCTCGGCTTCGTACGCGGCTTGGAGAGGGGTGAGCATGTCCTCGACGTCGGCGATGGCCTTGCGGGCGACCACGAGACGCTCCTTGGAGGCGTCGTCCTTCTCGCGCTCGAGGGCGTGGATCTCGACCTCGAGTTCGAGCTTGCGACGCTGGAGCTGATCGATCTCTTCGGGAGCAGTCTCCCGGGTTACGCGTACGCTATGAGGATGCCATCAGTATCTGGGGAAATGGGTGACGTGGTGACCGAGATCGCTTACCTAGCACAGGCTTCATCGACCAAGTCGATAGCGGAGTCGGGCAACCTCCTGGACGTGAGGTACCGGTGGGCGAGGGTCGCGGCTGAGATGAGGGAGCCGTCGAGGATGCGGACACCGTGATGAACCTCGTACTTCTCACGAATGCCGCGCAGGATGGAGATGGTCTCCGAAACGGTGGGTTCGTTCACGAGGACCTGGGCGAACCGACGCTCGAGCGCCGGGTCCTTCTCGATGTACTTGCGATATTCGGAGAGGGTAGTGGCGCCGATGCACCGGAGCTTGCCACGGGCGAGCAGAGGTTTGAACAGGTTGGCGGCGTCCATGCCTCCGCCCTCTGAGCCTTGGCCGGCCATGATGAGGTGGAGCTCGTCGATAAAGAGGATGACGCCGGTGCCGTCCTGGGAGGCCTTGTCGACTTCGTCCAGGACGGACTTGATGCGCTCCTCGTACTCGCCTTTGTACTTGGCGCCAGCCATCAGCGCACCCATGTCGAGGGAGTAGAGACGGCAGATAAGGGATGCGGGAACGTCGCGGTTGACAATGCGTTGAGCGAGACCCTCGGCGATAGCGGACTTGCCGACACCGGGCTCGCCAACAAGCACAGGGTTGTTCTTTGTCCTACGAGAGACATGAGCAACTAATTTAGGAACAGTGCAACAATATAAAATTTACCTTCTGCAAAGGATGCGAACAACGCGGCGGATTTCGTTGTCACGGCCGATCACGGGGTCGAGCTTGCCCTCCTCAGCGAGGGCGGTGAGGTCGGTGGCGTACTTGTTCAAGGCATCGAAGCCCTGCTCTGCGTTCTTGCTGTCGACGCGACGGTTTCCACGGATCTGTTCGAGGGCGGTCTTGAGGACTTTCTCGGTCATCCCCGCTTCCTTGAGGACGGGAGCAATCGAGGGGTCCTTGATGAGCCCGGCGAGAACGTGGTCCTGGGCGATATAGGAATCGTGCATCGTCTTGCGGAGTTTGTCGGCTTCACGGAGGACCTTCATAGCCGCCGAACTGAGCGAGATCTCGTCGGGCGGGGGTGATTGAGTGGGAAGCCGGACGATGAGCTTTTGGACACCCCTCCGAACAGTGGTCTGCATGGAGATAGGTCAGCATCATCGCTCACAATATGTTTTGATGAAAGCTACTTACGACATCGCCACCGGCCTTCTCAATGACCGATGCGAAAAGAGAATGTGAACCGGAAGTCGCGTTCGCGTCGCCCTGACCCTCGTTGAGGAAGACGAAGGCCATATGTGCGGGTGGACTGTACGCGGGGGTGAGCAGGTCAGACGCTAGAGATAATCGCATGACGTACATACCCTGTGCATTGGCATAGTCCTTGCAGAGCTGGATTGCGGCGGCAAGCGACTCCTGAGTCTTGTCGGTGAAGTTCATAGAAGATGCCATGATCAAGGAGGAGGAAGAGTAACGGGAGAGTGAGGGGGAGAAGCGATAATCTGGTGAGTGGCAGGCGCGGCACTCGCCGGTAGATATACGCAGGCCATCGAGTCCGCGAGAAGTGCGACGAACGGACTGGACCGTCCACGACCACGCCGGAACGTTCGAGTAAGCGCGCCCGCTTTCCTCCCAGGGAAGGCGCGGTGACGTCGACGGATCCTGCGTACCAGCCCGAACGGTCCCGGCCTGCTTCCCACGGCCCCGTGCCCACCGACCAAGCCGTCGTCGTCGTCGCCTGCCATATGCAGACCCCGCCAACTCTCCGCCTGTGTTGACCGCCATGCTCGCCCGCCGAGCCCTCCAGGGCCTCGCTCGCCCCCTCACTCGTCTCTCGTCCACCTCCACCCCCGCCCCAAAGCCCGAGGCACCGACGTCTCCCGTCACCGCCAACCAGGCGCCGAACTTCCCCTCAACATGGTCCACTAACCAGCGGCCCCGTGCCCAGGCCATGACTGGCCCACGGTTCGAGCAGACCGTCCTTGAGCTCCAGCCGACTCCGCTCAGCGCAATGGAGATGATTGACAAGGAGCCCATCCGTGTGGTCCACGGCCGCAAGGCCGTCTGCGACGGCGGTGCGTTTCTCTCCTTTGACCCCTTGTAATTTCGACGTCTGACCCCTCAGTCCCTCAGGAGGTGGCCCTCTCGGTCACCCCAAGATCTTCATCAACCTGGTGAGTCGCCGTCCTCGAACGTCGGAGTACACCTCCTGTGCTGATATTCCCGTGATGCAGGACAAGCCTGGCCCTCGGGCATGCGGGTACGTTGTTCGGCTGTCATTGTCAATCTGCGACTCGGTTCTGAATGGACGCGGTCACTTTGGGCTTCTGGATACACAGCTACTGGTGCGTCCCTCGTGCATCCAGTCTCTTTCTCGTTCTCATGCGCCATTTCTGTCCCAGTGGTCTCCGGTTCGAGCAGGCACCTCACCATCACTAAACGTGGTCGGTCTTGTATGCGTCTTCTTCGCAGCGGAATACACTGTGATTCCCCGTTCCCGCATACCGCGCCCTTATGTGCCTCAGCCGTTCCTCATCGCCTCCAACCTCGATCGCTCGATGCAACGTCCGTGCTTCTGCCCGAGACGTGCCATGTGAAGTCCGCGTACGGCACTCGCACGAGGCCTGCATCCCGTCTGCCTTTCACCTTCCGTCCGGCGTCCACGCGCCGCGGAGTTAGGCTTCTCCGTTCCAGACCCGGGCCTCGCGTGCGTGCTCGGGTTTCTCGTCTGGGGAGCACTCGCGACATGCATCCGGCACTCCGATTGGGGTCGCCGCGCGGCGCGGGGAAGCCACGCCTCGCGCGATTCATGCACTCAGCCGCAGCCAAGGTTGGCGATCTACGCGCTGGTTCTCTCACGGCGCGAGATATTCTCCTGCGTGCTCGGAGGTGCACGGAGCGCCGCACGTTGTACATAGCCGGCCGCGTCGATAGCTCATGGTTTTCCTTGTGGCGTTGAATAACGCACCCGTTGTAGCCGAGACCACGCTTCCTCCCTCTGCAAATCTTCAGAGTCTAGACAGCCTGAATTAATCAAATTGTGCCGGCCTCCCACTACGACAAGCCGGAAGCCAAGACACAGGGTATCGTTTATCCTCGCCACCACCGGCTCTTGTTCTTCATGCACACGTTCGCCTTGTGCGCGGGTAAGCACCGGCGTCTCAGTCGACTTCGCTCGATCGCCGTTTTCCAACGGCGATAGCACGCTCGTCCCGTCCGCTGGGCCCCGAGCGTCGTGACCACCAAGTAGTTTTTCCGCACACGAAAGTCTAGTTCTCGTCTAGGAAGACCATCAGCTGTCGTGGGACACGATTTCGCTCGCGGCGCAGTCTTAGTGGCGAAGTATGTACACCAACCTCCTGCTGCCCAGGCAACGGACAGTCCTCGCTTTGAGCGAGACGAACCCATAAATGATCGGGTCAATCTGATGCACTGCAAGACGGACGGACTCCGGAGGCTTGGATCTAAGGGTCGAAGAGGTCAAGGCAACTCCCGAAGTTGGAACCGAGCTGTCGAATAGCCATGTAGTACGGCGGTGTCGAATAGCCATGTAGTACGGCGGTGTCGTGTTGCATAAGCAAATGAGATAGATGTGGGAGCGAGAGAGCGGTACAGGGATGATCGGAGAGCATTAGCAAGACATGCGCAAACGTGCCAGAGATCGTGTCGCGCACGGAAAGAACGTGCACTAGGTTGTCTCGAGCTGGTCTGATCAGGCGCCCGCTCCGGAGCGATGGCAGGTTCGACGCATGGCCATCCGCCGACTCCGCTGCGCGACCAGAGCTCGATTGCGACAGGCCACCGCCGTACTACATGTCCGGAGAAGATGCCGAGTTCGAGTTCGCCTGTGACGCGGGTCGCTCGCCGCTCGCCGCCTTCCACAACTCCACTCAGACCGCAGCTAGCGGATGCAAGAGAAGGATGCGATACACCACGTTCGTCGCTCTGCCCTTCTGTGTGGGTGGCCCTCGCCGCCTACGCCACCCGCTCGCGGTCGCAGTCGCGCTGCTGCCTTGCCTGCTTCCTCTTCTCTGCACGCTCGCTGTGACACGGCATGCAGTATATTCCGCGACTCGTCTTGACGCAGACGAGATCGTCGATGCTGTTCTTGCAGAGCCTGCATCTGTAGCAGTGGCGGTGGTAGGCGTCGTCACCGGACACGATGACGTCGTCGGGAATAGGCAGTTTGCAGACCTTGCAGCTGTAGGGGCAATCGGCGCATGTCGGCAAGCCGTCCAGGAGCAGCAGCAGGCTGGAGTCTGCGGTGATTTTATTGCCGCATTTTCTGCATTTGAAGCAGTCGAGGTGGAACCAGGATTGGCTGGGGAAGGGAACCACGGTCAGTCTCTAGGCAACGCAAGGACGCGGGTGTGGCGAACATAAGCGGACGCCGTCGCGGCCAAGCAAACACGTACAGAACCGAAGCTCGCGGCCTTGCAGACGCGTACACAAGCGAAGATCGCCGGAGCTGCCGGTGGTCGCTCACAACGGGCGGGGACGTGGTCCGCCACACGACGAGCAACGACCACCCGAAGACCGAGTGCTGAACGCATAGAAGCTCGAAAGATTTTGACTGGAACACTCGATGTCGCTCGAACCAGTGCCACAGGGCCAAGCCAACAGACGAAGTCTGACACCCCTGCAGTCATGCCTGTCGCGCACATAGATGAAAAGCCCTTGACGCATGAGTTTATAATGCATATATGCTCGTAATGCATAGCCAGGGCCATGGACGATCCGCCAAATATTCGCCACCCGATGACCATCTCAGTGGATATATGCTCATAATGCACAGGCCGACCGACGCTGTGCACCATGAGCTTTACATCTCTGTGACAAGTATACCAGGTGCGGCGCGCGTCCATGCAAGATGAAAGTATCGTCCGTATATGCGCAACGGCACCGCGGATATGTCGCACATCCATCCCCGCGCGATAACGCGAGTGACAGAGAGCTCGGGGAAGGGGGCAGATATACGCGTCAGAAACTCACCCGAACGAGACCGCGATCCCGTGTACGAATGACTTGCAGTCGTGGCAAATCTGGGAGCTCTCGGTCTCCAACGCGGTGTGGTGGTTTGCCATGGCGGTTCAGGGAGGGGGGTGGGAGAACCGCGAGCGTCGGGTCGATCGAGGGGGGAGTGGACGCGTAGTCAGTCCACGGAGTGCACGGGTGGAGGGAAGGCGTCCGTCTAGGATCGCTCCCTGTGCGCTGGCTCGCGGTGCATCGTGCACGCCGCGCGCGGCAGAGTACGCGAGCGTATGTAGGCGAGCCTTCGGAGGGTTCGATTCACATACCATCGACCGCGGAGCTGAGCGCCGACGGGTTGCTAGATTGGGACTCCCACGCTGTGGCGCCCTTGTGGCCATCAGCGTTCATCATTGGAATCCCAAGCTCAGGCTCTGTTGCACGCGGAGCTGTTGAGGTGTTTGTGTCCTTTTCTCGTGCGGGTACCGCCTCGCGTAATGTACAAATACAGGTGATATGTAGTCTAAGTACGATAAATGAGTTGAACTAAACCGCGCCGGGAGTGGCGGCGGGACGGCGGGGAGCGGGAAGCGGGAGGCGGAGAGGCGCGTGGGGGTTGCGGCGCGCGCGGTGGGGGGGAAAGCCGCGCGAAGAGCGTAGAGGAGGGGGAAGGGCGCACAGCGCACACGCCGCCGCCGGCGGAAATATTGGGCGAATTATAATGTACCGCGAAAGCGAAAGGTGAAGCAGCAGTGCACGACGAGCGAGGGGAGGGGCCGGGACTCGAGACGGGGAGGGCAGCGGGGAGACTGGGTAAAGTGAGCGAGTGTGGGGGGACGCGGGTGCAGATCGCCCGAGAACCAACGTCCACTCCGCGCGGCGGGGCAGGCGTCTTAATGACATGACGGTCATGACGGCCCGTGCGCGACGGGGGGAGGGTGCGGCGTGCAGGTGCGAGGTCCAGGTAAAAGGGGGGTTGTTCGTGAAGATGGGTGAATGAGTGACGGGTGAATGCTACTGTTAAGTTCGCAGACAGAAAATGCAGGACCAATGGTCAGGGATGGTGTGCGGATGAGGATGATGTGCTGATTACAGGGACAAGTAAGCAGTCCGACGGGGATGTAGTGCGCGAGGAGCAGAGACGCATGCAGGGATGGAGATGAGAGCAGGATGTGAGGCGATAAATAGAAACCAAGAGCGAGCGTGATATGCAGCGGATCATCCGGACAAAATGGAGGATGAAGCAGGGACCGAAGCAGAGAAAGAGAGCAATCACAATGTACAACGGACGTCATCCGAAATCGCTTGCAATGTCGTCCGGTGATGTGAACGACATTGGCGACAGAGGTGGGTACTCGCCTTCTGCGACGGCCTCGAGCTGTGCGAAAGGGGGTAGTGACCCTGGTCGCGTCTGCAGAGTCGCTAATGGAGGCTGAACCACACAGTCAGAACCCGATTTCTAAAGAAAGGGGGTAACGGTTACTCACCACCTTGAACATGGGATTGATCGCGGACTTCGGTGCCATACCAGGGCTTGAGGGGTAGCTCCCGTTCCCTGCAGACCGCGACTCGTACGGACTCAGAGACCCTGCTGGCTGGAAGCCGTTCGGGTGTCTGGGTTGGGGAGGGATGATCAATGTCGGTCGCTCTACCTCTCGCCCTCCTCGCGTGCCATCCCTGTCCAGTGTCGACCCGCTTCGGTTCTCGTGCGGTGCCCATGGTATTGGCGACGACAATGACAGCATGTGCATGGGCGGTGGAACAGGAGAACCGCCGTCCGAAATCGACGAGGAATCCACCGATGCGCGCAGGTTGAAGTCGTTCGCGAACTGCTGCTCCATCGCGATCGAGTTGGAGGATCGCCCGCTAGGCGCGAAGTCGTCCGAGAGCGTTGTCCCCAGGGAAGACATGGACGTCATCCGACTGATCCCCATCGCACTCGGGCGGTGTCGTAGTCGGTTCGGGCCAGGATCGCTGTCCACCGTCGCGAACGAGATGACCGAGACCGCGCTGGTAAGGTCGTTCGAGGACATGGAATGGTCGTCGTCGAAATCTCTCCTTCGCGCTTTGGGAAGTCGCTCATCGCGCCGCCATTCACGGTGATGGTTGTCTGAATGACCGTAGCCGGAGAAGTTGCCACCCGCGACGTCGACGGAGGACACGCCGTGACTTTGCGTTTGTCGAATGGGCCCGGTCGCTGCAGGATGCGGCACATGAGACTTGCCTCCCAACATCGCCACCGTACTGCTCCACTCGACTTCCTCCGTAGCCGCCACTTGGTCCCGAAGTCGCTTGTGCTTCTCCAAGACGGCACGCGCCTGCTCTTTCTGCATCTTCTCCGCGAGCAAACGTCGCTGCTTTTCCGCGTCGCGCTGGATCCTCGCTGCCTCTTTCTTCCGCTGCTTGGGGTCCAGGATGATGCGGGGGACCTCCTGGGCGGGAGAGAGCTCGGACAAGGAGCGACTGTCCGTGCTGGAAGACTGAGTGCGCTTGAGAGAGGGGGTCGAGCTGTTCGAGTTGATGGGATTCTCTTGCACAGGGGCGAGCGCATGGGAAGGTTTCTCCCCGTGACTGCCAAACATCTGCGCCAAACCCCACTTGCTGCTCTTCTTCCCGAAACTGAACTTGCCCAGCTTCCCTGGCTGATGATGGGGGACTTCTTGAATCTCCGCATCGTCGATGTGTGGTCGCTGAGGATGCTCGCGGGCCATAGGGGACGTTTGCACGTCCATGGCTTGGTAGCCATTGGCAGGGATCTCGACCTGAGGGGAGATCTCCATAGGGTCCCAATGCGAGTCCGACGCCGACGCGTACGAAGGCCATCCCTGGGACTGTTCTGAAGGGGTGCGCGAACGACCTGGTGGCAGCCGAACGTGTAAGCCTTCGTGAGGATATGGCCTACTCGAGTCCGAGTATTCCGTCCGAGAGGAGGGCGAGTCGTAGAAGGCTGTGCGGTGAGACGCCGAGACGTCGGGAATCTGGACGGTCGCTGCGGGCGGCAACGGCTCGAACTCCGGCCTTCCAGATCCCGAATGGTGGGAATGGGAGGGAGGGAGGCTCCGAGGTGAGACCGAGGGGAGAGAGCGCACTGGAGACACCCCGTTGCGCTCAGAGGTGTGCACAGCCAGATGGCCGTTGGAGACCGCAGTCGTCGACATCGGCGGGCCAGGCGGGTTGTTAAGCGGCGAAGTCCTGAGGAGGTAGGGATGTTCGAGACACTGCTTGCTGGTGAGGCGTATGTCAGGATCATACTTGAGCAAGTCAGCAATGCAGTTGACAAGTTCGATAGGAACGTGACGGTCGAAGAGAGAATAGAAGTCTTTGGGTGGGATCTACTCGGAAGATGATTAGGAGAGGTCGCAGTATACGGATGGACACGAACCTCAGGGAACGAGAAGCCCACTGCCCGCGCCATCTTGACACCTCGTGGCCACTGTCCCCCTCCAACGGGCATCCCTCGTGCATCGCGTCCATAGTCCCTGCACGGGTCTCCGAGAAGCTCGCAAATCCTCGCGACTTGGTCAACTTCACCTTGCCCAGGAAAAAGAGGTCGCAGATTGACCAGCTCGGCCATAATGGTCCCGAGCGCCCACATGTCCACCGGGTTTGAGTAGTCCCTGCTTTTGAGGAGGACCTCGGGTGCACGATACCACCTGGTTGAAACGTATTCCGTATACGGGGGCTTGCTGGCGGTCTCCCTGGCCAAACCAAAATCCGCCAGCTTGACGATGACCACGACGTCACTCTCCGAAGGTGCGTTGGGGTGGCGTGGGCATTTACCGGACGGTAGTCGTACAGGCCAGTGGTGGTGACGAGGAGGTTTTCCGGCTTCATGTCGCGGTGAAAGTAGCCAGACTCGTGTATGTGGTGCAAGCCCTCCACAACCTGCCGGAAGATAGAAGAGACGAGACCTCCTGCTAGCGGTTTCCCTTTCCGGGTCTTGATGAGCTGGTACAGGTTGCCCTCCATTGACTCGAACACGAAGTAGAGCTCCTTCGTGTCGGGGAGGAGAAAGAAGTCGTAGAGCGGGATGATGTTGGGGTGGTAGGGGATCGCGCGCAACGACTGGGAAGCGGTCGGGGTTAACGACCGCCGCACGGATGACGAGCAGCAGACGCACCTCGAGCTCTTTGAGCTTCTTGCATTCGTCCCATCCTCCCTCCCACTGCTTCTTCATCCTCTTGACGGCCACCAGCCTCTTCCCGGCGTACTCGGGTCGCGCGCCACGGCCACACTGCATGGCGGACATCGGTGTATTGGGCGGTAGCGTCCCATGCCAATCGCAGAGCCAGACGGTGCCAAAGGAGCCGTCGCCAACAATCTTGAGCGGTGTGTATGATCGTGTGGAGCCTGGGTCGTGTGGGGGCGTCGATCAACTGACTGCCACGGGTGGAGGAAGAGGGGCGCGGGGGACAGAAGAGAGGTAGACTCACTGCTCTGGGCGTCGCCGACGACAAGCTCGTTGTTTTGCACGGTGACGGAGGGGATCGCCTGGACGGTGATGCGCTCCTTCGTACCCGGCGCCTGTGTGCGATGGCTGTTGGCCGGGGGTGGGGCCGGCTGGTGCTGGGGCGGGGGATGGCGGGGCTGCGGGGGGAAGGGGTGGCCATTGTGCATGTGCGCGGGGGGATACGAGTGTTGGAGGTGGACTGGAGGATTATGGCCTTGGTGGACATGGTCTGTGTACATGATATGGAGATGAGTTGCATTGCCCAGGTGTGAGGGATTAGAGGACGGGCAGGAGGTGGTAGAGGCGCATAGAGTCGGCAATAAGGACAGGGCGGGGGCCGGGCGGGGCGGGAGAGGAGGGGCGGGGGGCGGGGGAGGGAAAGGGAACTCGGGAGAGAGAGCGGAGGACTTGAAGGGGAAGAAGGTGGCAGGGAGAGAGCGAGCACCGAGCGCTGGGACGCTCTCTCGCGCGGAAGACGAGAAACAGATTGAGAATCCTGCCCGACAGCCGATCACCACCCTTTATTTTCCACATTATTTTCCCTATCCGCCTTCCAATCGGTCCCGAAATCCGCCCTTCTTCCCTTCCTGGGCCGCCGTCCGTCCTCGGTCCGCCTCGTCCCAGCTCGTCCCCCCATCCCGCCCGACGCCCGTCCCGCACGCGCGCATCCTCCCCGCGCGAGTCCGCCCGCCCCGGTTCGTGCTGGGGCCGCGCGCGTGCGGGGCTGGCAGCTCGGTAATCATCCACCTGCTAATCGGGCGGCAGGCCATGCACGCAGGAAGAAGCCGGGGCGACTGGGCCTTTGGCGAGCGCGACGGTGATGCGCATCGATCCATCGCCGCGGTGGAGACATGATGGATCTCTGTGCGTGCTCGCAGCGGGCTGAACAGTTTGGCCATCGCTCGGACGTCACGCAGGCTGGCGGCGGCCAGCCGGCCACCCTCGGCCACCGCGTTAACGCCTCGGCGCTCGAGCGCCTGAGCGTCCGCGAGTGTGATGGGCTGATTGGGTAGCAGGCTGATGGAGCCAGAAGCGGCGGCGCGTGGTCCATCGCGCATCCTCGCCCTTCCCGCTGCCCATCCCCAAGCCCGTGCCGCCCGCCCGCGGCAGCGAACGCCGTCCGTGGGGAGAACGACCGCGGTCGGTGGCCTGCACCCCCTCGCTCCCGGCGCCGGGCTTGGTGGTCGGCCGCGATCAGCGGAGGCAGGCGTCGATGCTTCCCACCCGGCGGCGAGCTTGAGCTTGATCGCCTGCGTCAGCCACGGTCCATGCATCCGCCACGGTCCCGCTGATGCGACTCGGCGCCTCTCTCGAACGCACCGCACCGCTTGTCGCCCCAATCTCGCCCACTGGCCCCGATCCGGGTGCGATCCCGTTCTCCGACTCTCCCGGCCGCCTTTCCATGGATCGCCCACCGGCTCCCTCTTCCTCGATCGTCTGTGGCTGCGTTTCACTATCCGTGCCATTAAAGCCTGCGGTACAAGTTACAAGAGCCTGCACATCTATCTGTTCGTGCGAGAAAGAATCGTCCGCGCCGCCCGACATACCTCCACGCCACTAGTACGGCACCTCGTCGAACAGCTTCGAGATGCTCTCGCCGTAGTGACTGCGCCTGATCACTTCCGCGAGCACGTTCCCGATGTCGATAACCTCGATCTTCGCGCACTCCGCAACGTTCGACGACTGCGGCAGCGTGTTCGTCACGATCAGCTTCTCCAACGCCGACTCCTCGACGTTCTTCAACGCGTTTCCGCTCAGGATCCCGTGCGTCACCATCGCGTGCACGGACTTCGCCCCGGCCTCCGCCAGGTGCCGCGCCGCCAGGCAGAGCGTGCCGCACGTGTCGGCCATGTCGTCCACCAGGATCGCGGTCTTGTCCTTGACGTGTCCGACGAGCACCATCCGTGACACCTCGTTCGCCTTCTTCCGTTCTTTGTGGAACAGCGCGAAGTCCACCCCTAAACGGTCCGCTATCGACGTCGCGCTGGTGCCCCCGCGCCGGCTCTCAGATAAGCTCTTCCGCGATCACAAGACCGGCGGCCACGCACCGTTTCGCCCCACCGGCGTCCGGCGAGACAATGACGATGTCCGTGAGGTTGAAGTTGGCGCGGATGTACATGATGGCAGAAGGCTCCGCATAGAGCTAACGGGGTGGGCGCGAGTGAAAATCAATACGGAAAGCATGCACGGGTGTCACTTACGCTGCAATGTTGGGGATTATCATGAGTTTTCATGTTAGCTTGTCAAGAATGACAAAACACCCACTTGTCAACGGGCACGTCAAAGAATCCCTGGATCTGCGAGGCGTGGAGATCCATGGTCTGTGTGGTGGCGATCGGCGCGCCGCATTGCTCGTGAGACCAATGTTGGACGGGCGAAGGGACAAAACGTACGATGACGTGGTCGCAGCCTGATTTTTGGAGCATGTTGGCCACGAGCTTTGCGGTAATGGGGGCTCGGCTCTTGTCCTTCTTGTCTTGGCGGGCGTAGGGGAAGAGAGGGAGGATGGCAGTTATCCGCTTCGCGCTCGCAATCTTGCATGCGTGGATCATGATGCAGACTTCCATGAGTGCGGTGTTGACCTCGCCACAGCCGGTGTTGATGATGTACACATCGTCCTCCCGTACGGACTCCGCGACGCGAATAATGCTCTCCCCGATGCCGTTCTTCGTCACTTCCGCCTTTGCCAGAGGCACGCCGAGCCTGCAGTGCGTGGGGATCATAAGACGACGGCACGAACCGGTGTAAGAGTCTATGCGCACCGTCTGGCGATGACCTCAGCAAGCTCGGGGTGGCTAGTGCCTACGAGGAGATGAAGCAAATGGTACAATCGATGTGGAAGTGGACGCACCAGAGAAGAGCTTGATGCCGTTCCCAGTGAACATGATGTAGTGATGGTCTCAGCTGTAGTCCATGAAAAGAATAAAGATACGAGGCGAAGAGAGACAGAGGGACAAGGAGTAAAAGGGGAGGAGTATTTTACTGGAGCTGAAGCGGCTGGCGCGCAGTTTGCCAGAACGCCAAGCATGTGGCAGCCACCTTCCGTACAAGGCAATACCCACGAGGCCGGATCAGTTACGTAACCCCGACAATCACGTGTGTCGCGGAAGAGTGCCAAACAGACGCTCGACGCCTGCCTCCGTGCTCAGAACGCGTCCCAACGCTTGAGACGCAGCAGACCATTCCGTAACACAGCGATAGTGCAAATTGGTGGGCGGAGAGGGCCTGGTTTATAATAAGCATCACAAATGGCTCTGGCTACCACGACGGGGTCACTGAAGACGGCGCACTCACAACGCTCGTGCAGTGCCACACAATCTTCAGTACGGCCCTCAAGGACCCCACTCACCAGCACCCATGTGTTGCATATGTATCACCATCCGTCACGCCGTCAGGGAGAATCCCGGTCAAGACACTCGGCTCGTCAACCTGGTGTGTTGCTGTACACGGGTACAAGCGGAGCTTATCTATAATTGCCCAGATTGCTTCTCAGAGAGTTGTCGCACGGTTCTGTCTTCTTCAATGTGAACCAGGTGATCGCTCTCTCACCCTCCTATCCATCCGTATCGGCGTAGTGTTGCCACGCGCATATGTGACGCATAGGGATAGAATGAAAATAATAATAATAATAATAAAGGCGTAGTGTTGCCACCTTTCGTTGGATTGTAGCGACGTGCTCTGACAGGACACTAGAAGCCATCCGCCGCAGGTGGCCTTGTGCACTACATCTACAGGTCCCCTACGATGCAACCGTCTCCTTCTGTCTAGTCAATTGGAGTCGTGAGTCATTATTAGGCCGCCCACATTGTTTCCATTCGAGCTCCCAGGGTACAAGCCCAGCGCATTCGGATATATACGTGCATCCGGACTGGGCTAGCACAAGTACACAGCGCTCAGCCTCTGACAATCCCTACAAAGGTCGGGCTGAAACTGGGCTCACTCCGCTCCCGCTTTCTTCCTCTCTGCCTTGCAACGCTAGTCTGATCTTCCCTCCGATCCCGAGCACAGTTCTCCTCCGCCGACGCAGCAAAATGACGCGTCTGTGGATCCGCCCGCGCACCTTGTGTGGTTCCCTGGCGCTCGCACTCTTATCCGCTCCTTCCTTTGGCACAGCGCCCCGGAACGGTCCCAGCAGCCCTCCGTCCTCAAACTGCCGTTGTCTCTTCGGCGATCCGTGCTGGCCCGGGCCTGCCGAATTCGCGCGGCTGGAACACCATGTCTCACAGCCCCTCCTCCATCCCGTCCCCCCGGCGTCCCCGTGCTACCCCGTGTCCGCGCCGTCTGGAGACTGCGCGGATGTGCACGCGCAATGGACGAACGCGTCCTGGCGCGCGGAGCGGCCGGGGGCGATGCAAGGTGCGGTCTTCGAGACGTTCGTGTTCCCGAACGGGACGACGAGCGCGTGCTTCATGGACACCGCGCTCGGCGTCCCGTGCACGCAAGGGAGCGTGCCCGTCGTCGGCGTCGACGCGCGCGCGATCGAAGACGTCCAGGCGGCCGTCCGCTTCGCCGCCGCGCACAACCTCCGCGTCGTCGTAAAGACCACTGGGTAAGCGGCCCCGCTCTATCTTGCGCCCACGAGGTTTCTCCGTGCGCCGTCTTCTTTCCAAACCCTCGCTAATTCATGTCGTGCTTCCTCACCCTCGGCGTACCCACAGCCATGACCTCTTGGGACGGAGCACCGCACGCGGTGCATTTATCATATGGACGCACAACATGAAGGACATCACCTTTCACCGATCCTTCACGCCTGCCGGTGCGCCGCCCGAGTCGGAGACACATGACAACGGTGCGTCTATACGCGCGGCCCTCGACGCGCGCGTAGTACGTATTCCACGGTTGAGACTCAAGTACTCAAGTACACATCCCTCTTGGCAGCCATCACGTTGGGCGCCGGTGTTCAATGGGAAGAAGCGTATGAAGCTGTGAACGCCAAAGACCGGGCCATCGTCGGTGGACAGTCTCCCGGCGGCACTGTGGGCGCTGCAGCCGGTTGGGTACTCGGCGGCGGGCACAGCCCTCTGTCGCCGACGTTTGGTCTAGGCAAGTGTTCGTGACTTTTGGCGAGTAGCTGCGGTCTGCTAGTGGCGTCCGTCCTTCTCTCCGCGACGCGAGGCTGACGCTGCTCGGCGACAGGCGTCGACAATGTGCTCGAGTTCGAGATGGTGAGCTCGAACGGCACGGTCTTCACCGCAAATGCGCACCGGAACACGGACCTTTTCTTTGCGCTGCGAGGAGGCGGCGGGGGCACGTACGGCATTGTCACGAAGACCACGTACCAGACGCACCCGAACCTCCCGCTCACCGCTGCAGTCTTCGCCGCGTCGTCGAACTCGTCGAGTCTTACCGCGCCAGTGCAAAGTCTGCTCCTCAACCTCCTCAAAGCGCTTCCTCAGCTGTCTGACGATGGCTGGTCTGGAGTGACCTCGCTTTCCACAGACCCGACCACCGGCACGCTAGGGTCCTCTGGGACTTTCGTCCTCGTTAACGGCACCTCGGCGCAGGCAAACGCCAGCATCAACCCGTTCTTCTCCAAGGCCGAGGCGCTCAGCAATGCCTCCGACGGCGGGCTGACGGTGCAGGCCGCGTTCACGACGCCCCTCCCGTCCTACTTTGCCTTCCTGAACGCGTTCGCCACTCCCGACACCGCAGGTTCAAACGGCGCCGCGGGCTCGTGGCTGCTCCCGCGCGACGTCATCGAGCGGCACCCCGAGCGCGTCGCGCGGACGCTCGCTCCGCTGCAGAGCTTGACCATCCTGTGAGCACACTCAATCGTCTCTACATCCCGCCACACGACCACACTGCCGACGGCTCCGCGGGGCGGGGAACAAGACGTCTGCTGCGAGTAGCCGTGACACTCCGCCCCGCCCCGCCCCACTCGCCGTCTCTCTTTCCCTCCTTCTCCCCTCAGTCCTCATTCGAACCCACGCTAACAACTCCCGCCTCACACGCCGCAGGCTCGTCGCAGGCGGCGCGGTCGCGCGCGTGCCCCCGGCCGCGATGGGCCTCCTCCCCGCCTGGCGCTCCGCGCTCGTGCACGCCCTCTTCGCCACCGGCTGGGCCGAGGGCACGCCCGCCGACGTCATCGCCGGCCGCGTCGACGAGGTGCGGCGGAACATGACCGCCCTCCGCGCGCTCGCCCCGCACTCTGGCGCGTACTTGAACGAGGCGAGCCCCTTCTCTCCCGTCCTGGACTCCTTGTGCACTCGTGCTGACGGGGGTGTCGGCATGGCAGGCGTCGCTCGTGGAGTCCGATCCTTTGCAGGCGTTTTTCGGAGACCACCACACCGAGCTGAGGGCGATCAAGGCCGTCTACGACCCGATAGATCTGTTCGTAGTCCGCGATGGGATTGGTTCGAACGAATGGGACTCTGAGCTGGTTTGCAAACTGCCCAATCTCAAGATGTCCGCTTCTGCTCGTTGATGTAGTGAAATTCCAACTCACCCCCTTAACGCAACCGAAAGGAAAAGGCGCAAGGAAGATGGGGCGCGCGATGTGGCGGCGGCGGCGGCAGCTTCCAAAGGCTTCCTGTCGTTTTGGGACGCTTCTTTATGTGCGCATTGTCTACATATTGTATTTAAAATGCCTTGGGTTATATGGCGATGTAGTCTAGCTGTCTATGATGCTGTAGTCAGTGTAAGAATTGTGGAGGGCTCATGGTTCGAATCCTGGTGTATGTGTTTTCTTTTTTTCAATTGTTGCCACTGGTTGTACATCCGGAAGTGAATTTTCTGTCTGTCCCTCGTTTTATTCATGTGTGCCCCGCGCGAGTACACGGCATGTCCCGGCTGTCCGATGAACGAGTCAGTGTCCCATATTACACTCGCTTTTTTTACATTGTGTGACAGTACTTGCAGGATTCTGTCACTCCCGCAATCGGAGTGTAGCAACGCCATACAGACCCACACACGGGCCGTGGGCCCAGGAACCAGCAGCCATGCCTCCCGCCGCTGACGTGAGTCTTTCTGCGCCTCGCACGCAGATAGCCACCTACTTATGGCTGACCGAAACCCACCGAGTTATTTGCGTATCCCACGCCGCCCCGCAAGTACAACTGTTCCAATATCGATAGGCCGTTCTCGCGCAGGAGCGTCTTGGAGCGGGCCACATGAGCGCTAGCGCCCTCGCGCACCACCGCGCGACGGGCAGCGCGCACCACCGTGAGCGCCGCGCAGTCGTGGCGATGTCTCTGTGTGCACCCCCACTGCGCATTGTGCTCGCGTGCGAGGGATCATGCCAAACCTTCTGTCAGGACTTGAACATTGGACATACCCTCGCACCAGGTGCAGAGGCCATTCCACGGGACTCGTCGTGCGCGAGGAGTTTAGATCCGTGGTGCACGTATATCGCCACGCGCGCGCGGTGCTCGCAGCGGTGCGCTCGGACTCGCGCTGCCCGTCGCGCGGTGGTGCGCGAGGGCGCTAGCGCTGTGGCCCACTCGCGAGAACGGCCTATCGCTCCCGTAAACTCCTCCTCCTCCTCAAATCACGCACCTCTTCGCTCCACTCCTCCGTACTCGGCCCATTTCGGGCGTTAGATTCCATCGAAAGAACACCTGCATTACTAAGACTACCAAATCGAGCCATTTAGGCGCCGGGTTAAGGGGGTGAGTTGGATTCTCTGATGTAGTACTTCGGAGTTGTATATCCTATTTGACCCAATATCAACAAAACGTTAACAGCATCATCACAAACATGTCACCCGAGATCCGTGAGGCAGAGCGTCAGGTCGAAGGACGCTGAACACAACAAGGTGGATTGCGACGATCGACGAACATAGACGGACATTTGAGCACTACGCTACAAAACTACAGATGACGACGCAATGTATCGAGCTGCGATAACGACGGGAAGGCGACAAGGGAGGAGGGGGATGCACGGATCACGCGGATCACGCCTAGTCTGAGGAATCTGGGGAGGGGGGTGAGGGTAGGGGGGAGGGGGAAGGGACAAGAAAAGAGCGATGCAGAGAGAGAAAACGGAGGGCGGCGCAAAGGGAAGAGAGTTGGAGACGGACACACGGGCTCATAGCGTAGCAGGCGACAGGACGAAACTTAAAACACAACGACGATATCGAGGAATCGCTGTGGCTGCACTGTCCGGATGCTGAGCAGGTATGGGACGAGAACGGAGAGACGCAGAGTGAGAGACGCAGAGAGTGAGGGAGTGTGAGACAAAGCGGGAATCGAGTGTGGATATGCGATGTAGGTGACAAAACCAATACTAGGACGAACCGTATCAATACACGAAGGAAGAGCGCACTGCTCGACTACCATCGACATTATCTAGAGCCTGTAAAGATATGACTAGGTCACGCCCGATATACGGGGTTCGGTGTGTTAAGGATAGACAGTAGCTGCGCGTTGTTGGCAGCGCGAACAACATTATTGTGAGCTGTACGCACGCGATGGGTCAGAACTGATGGATAGCTTGAGTGACGAATAGAACTTACCAATGTGAGGCGTGTGGGTAGGAGGGAAATGATAGGGAGGAAGGGCACGAGCTGGGCTCGTAGGAACGCGCGCATACGGCTGGGTGAAAGGCGGGGGGCCAAGAGCGGGGGATGGAGGGAAGGGGCCCGAGGTACTGTTGTTCCACTGTCCATTCAGAGGTAGCATTGAACGAAGCTGATGCTCGTTCATGCTCTGTCGGGAGCCAGAGGAAGGGAACGGTGCGCCGTGAAGGGTGTGGCTTGTACGAGGGCGAGCCATCATCCCCTCTGGGATGTGCGGAGGGTACATCGAGTGAGGGGGAGGACCGTGGTGGGGATGAGAGTGCATGGTGGACGTGAAAAGCACGGATTTGTCCATCACCGGAGGATGGGGAAGATGCGGTACGTGCCCGTGAGCGACTTGCACAGTGGGCACCATGGGGGAAGTTTCCGGGCGGAAGGACATTCGAGAGGCCGTCCGGTCGGACTCTTGTGCAACACTCTCAAGGATAGAGATGTACCGCATTTCCTTCGTAATGTTGCGAGGATGCGAAAGATACGGGGAAACATCCGTGGCCACAGAAGACCCACGTCGCGCATGACCAGCTTGCCGCAGCATAGGCGATACGGTTGGCCCCGTGACGGTGCTGCGTTGCTCCTGCCGAGGGATGGGGTTGAGCGAAGTAGCCTCTTGTGGATGAGGAGACAAGGCTGGGGAAGACTGGGTCTGAGGGATGCCGGTTGGCATAGGGCGCATCGTGGGCATACGGGCGGACCAGTCAGGACTCAAGTCGACAGTAGGCCGTGTAGTTTCTGTCGACGATGTGGCAGGTCGTACAGTTTCTGCTGACAACGAAGCGGGGCGTGTAGTCTCCGACGACAGTGTAGCCTTCGTTCTAGTCGCAACCACCTGGGCCTTGAGAGGAGCTTCAAGCACCAAGGACGCTGCTGACCTTTGCAGGCTGGTCAAGAGGCTAGCGAGATGATTATCCCCGACGTCCAGGCTGGGGGCTGGACGAGCAGGGTCAGCAGTGCTCGAGTCAATAGATGAGTCGAAGGTGGCTTGGTGGACACGAGCGGCGCTGTACTGTGGGGAAGGTGTTTGAGGTTCTGCCGACGAAGCCTGGGAGCTGAGTTCCTGCGAGTTGCCCACAGAAGCCTGGTCATTGACGGTGGCTCCATCCTCCTCTCCTGATGAATGTATCTCCTCTTTGATGGGCTGAGAGGGCTTGCGCAGGATGTAACTCTGCTTGCGATCATGGATGAAATGCTTCAGAGGACTAGATGTGTGGACCATGCTCAGCAAAGTCGCTCTCACGTATGCCGGTAGACTTACGGGACGAAGGGTGTGATCAGATAGAATTTGCCAGGTGCTACCCGGTTGCGCTTCCATGTGGGGAGATCGGTCAACTTGAACCACGAGATTTTCTAATCACGTCTTCAGATCAAATGATTTCGGCATATTCAATCATTAGACTCACGCTGATCTCCTTCCTCGTCTTGGTCTTAAATTCGAAGTCCTCTGGTACCCCGGGGACGATGTAGAGGGATATCGACTGCTCCTTGATCGACAATTGAATCACGTTTTCAGGGTCCAGTTGTCCCTCCAGATTGTATCCTGTCTCTTCCAGCACCTGACAGACGGAAGTCAGTGGCACGTCACTTGTTGGCAAGGCGTCGTACTTCTCGGATAGCGCATCGGTACTTGGGCTCCTGCTCGTTGATCTTCCCTTTCGGGAATCCCCATCCTGCTGACGATTTCCAACCTTTGACGAGAACGCACTGCGGTAGCAGGGTAAGGTATTACGTAATGAGACGAGTTGAGCAGATTTTGCACTGACCTTGTCCCAGGTATTGTTGAGCATGATGGCACCACACACAGGCACTCGTGTCTTGTATTTCATAAAAGAGTCGAAGGTCCGATCGTGGTCTTCCGCCCAGTGTGCGAGGAGGGGACATGCGTGGAAGAGAGCTTCAGAGAACGTCTTGAGCGTGTAGGAGGGGAACTTGGAGGGATTCTGTTCCCGGACGAAATCCTCGTAGTACCAGTGGCTGCATCGAAACCGATCAACGAGTGGCGGGAGCATAAAAGAAGAGACCACAGACGCTTGTTCGACCTGGAAGCAAACCCTCTCGACCGATGCGAGCTCCTCTTCCGGGAGGTTAAGGATGAAACGACTGCAGGTCGTGAGCGGGAAGAGGGCGAGATGAACGGGCGCGGGGCGTACCTGGACAGATCTTCGAGGACCTCCTCTCGGCTGAGATCCGAGTATTGGACGGGCGCAAATTGGTGGGATGATGACGCTGCAGCGTGTGGGAGCTCGGGCGATGAGGATGATGATGAGGCCATGGCGGCGAGCGGGGGGAGGGGGAGGGGGAAAAGAAATGGGAGAGATATATAAGAAGGAACGGGTTGAAGCGGAAGGGTGTGGGCAGGGACTGTCGAGGTTGGTGGTGGCTGGTGGACGAACGCCTACGACCCGAGCCCAGTTGGCTCCCATGCCCGCCACAACAGCAACAAGTACAAAGCGACGAGCTCCCGCCCCATCGCGGTCACCGAGCGCTTGGCCACTATCCTGCCTCTTTCGGTCCTATCTCGACCACGGGGTTCTCGTCTTTTCTCCGTCGACCAGCCGCGGTCCGCCTAATAACATCCTCTCCGCTTCTGCCGTTTTCTTCCGCAAGCAATGACCGTTATCGGCGAGGATCTTTCGGCCGCTGCGCTGGCTCCGGACGGCCGTGACGCGGCCATCGAGCTGAACAATGAAGCCATCCTCCTGGAGCGCCAAGGAGACTTCGCGGGTGCCGAGAGCAAGCACTTGCAGGCAATCCGTATCAAGGAAGCCACCCGAGGTGTGGACAGTATTACCACCGCTGTCTCCTACAATGGTCTCGGTGAGCTCTATGCCACCATAGGCAATCTAGACAATGCGGAGGAGTACCTTATCAAGGCCGTGAGCGTGCGCGAGCGATTTGGGCTCAAGTCGGATCTGGCCGTTACTCGTGATAACCTGGGAAGGGTGTTCGAGATGAGAGGAGACCTGAATGCTGCAGAAGAGATACGTCGCCGAGGCGCTCCTAGCAATGTGGCTTGTGGCAACTTCCAAGTGAGTGCTCGTCAATGGCTCAGACTAGCGACTTGGCCGACTCCTTTAGCGACAGTGTCCCAAAATATCCAATGCGATATCCATCCTGTCAAAGTGTACAACATGCAAGGTGGGCCCTTGCGTGCATGCAGTATAGTATGATTGACTCAGCCTGATAGGCCATCTTCTATTGCTCTCGCCCTTGTCAAGTTGGTTTGATTCGTCCGCCCTTACTTCTTAGCAACGTTGTTAATGTGCGGAGGGCAGGTCGCTGACTGGAAGAGGCACAAGAAATACTGCAAAACTCGGTCTTAGCCTTCCGAAACGAGCGCCTACTCGCCCGTGAGTAGCTTTCATACGCTCCTGGCGTTGAGAAGACATCAGCATCGTACAAAGCCACGGGGAGAATCGCTGAAGATGCTCACTTTGTATCCACAACCTTTACATCCTACCGACAACTTCACTTGTTCATTTCGCGCGTGGGTGGTGTCTGATGAGTCGACTTAGGTAAGGGACATCACCCCTGCGGTGCCTTCAGAATGAATGCAGGTAAACTCACCTCGTCGACCGCATGCCTCACCCGCTCGCGTGAACCTACAGGTCATGCTGAACTACTGAAGTCGTGTGGCTGGCTGCTGTCACGCGACTAATCTAGGAGTGTTATGAGTCTGACCACCCACTAGCCACCCATTGAGGAATCCACGATATAGAGTGAAATTACGCCCGTGTACGTTCATTAAACGACACGGTTGCGACAGAAATCTAGCACTGTCGCTGGCTTGGAGAGGGCGATCGCTCAATCATCCACGGTATATCTCGTGAGCTTCAAATGGTGTCGTGAGGCTCTCTGTGGGACAACTCACCCGCGTTGCAAGAGAATGTCACAGTTTTCTCCTGCACAACTGTACAGATGCATCCTGTAAATATCAACCGTGCAGTGATGAAGAGGTTGTAGGAGCATGCAGGTAACGAAGTAAAGAGTGGTAGAGAGCGTTCCAGCGCATGGACATCAGGCCCAATATGCACGCGATCACATGATGTGACGTCAGGCTTGATCAAGCGCCCGAATGACCAGAGTTGAGTCGGGAAGCTATGGCTGACAGAACTATCGACGGCGTGCATTGCATATGGCTGAATACTTGAATTGTCATTTCATCGCAAGAATGGCGTTCTTCTGAGATGATTGCGGTATTCCCCGGCACTTTCGTAGACTTTGGGACGTAGATGAAACCTTAAAAGCACCGATGCAATGACCCAGAGCGATGAAACAGAGTATTAAAAGCTACAACATCCAGGATCCAGGGATAGTAGTACAAGAAAAATGGGGATCCGCATAATAGTAGAGACCTCATAAGATCTTCGCCTCCATTCAACTTTTGATCAAGCGATACCGAGGAATTCGAGGTACTGCTGCTCGAAGAGAGGGACAGTGTGGCCGACGCCCTGAGCGAGGATGGCCTGGAACTCGGATCCAAACGTGGCGTTTGAGTACCCAGCGGGAAGCGCAGCCTCGGTCGTGTTCGAAATGGGGGCGCTCGGGAGGCCGAACACGGTCGTCCACTGCTTGATCTCCTCCTGGAAGTTCTGGGGTGCCAAGATCGTGTCGCTGCGCAAGACATTGTCGTTAGCCAACGGAAGTAGTGAGACCGCAGTTGAACACTCACGCGGTGCCGTGCCAAACCTGGACCCGCGGGCGCGTGCCGCTGAAACTAGGGAAGGCAGCCATGACGCGCTGCGCCCACTGCTTGCCCGTGAGCACGAGCTTGCCGTCGGCGCACTGGTTGTTCCACGAGTCCTCGGGCTGTCCCGGGAGCGAGAAACAGCCGAACGCGACGCCGGAGTCCACGACGGCGGCTTTGAAGATGTCGGGGTACGCGCCCGCGAGGACGGAAGTCATCATGGCGCCAGAGGACGTACCGACGGCGAAGACCTTCTCTGCGTCGACGCCCCAATTCGCCACGGCGAACCGCGCCGCATTGGCGATCGAAAGTGAGTCCGAGCCTCCATCGTGGGCGAGAGTCGCGTCGGAAGAAACGTCCCAGCAAGTGCCTTCGTGCGGCTGCAGAATGGCTGGTCAGCGCCGAAGATCCCGAGATGCGACTAGCAAGGAGGCTCCTACCGAGGAGGGGAAGATGACGACATAGCCAAACTTCTCAGCGAGCTGAGCGAACTTGGAACCTTGGAAGTATATCTGTGCGGTGCCCGTGCAGACTGCGTGCAATCGCGTGCAGGTCAGCTTCTCGTCCACAAGCTTCCAGAACGAGAAACGGCGACGCACAGTGCGACGCGACGAGGAGCGCCGGGTTTGTCGCGACCTTCGCAGGTTTGTACACGAACATGCCGACGTTGTTCGGGTTCGTGCCGAAGTTGGTGAACTGGGTGAGCGTCGAGGCCGGGATGGCGTCGAGCGAGGTCGCGCTCGCGAGGACCTTCCCGGTCCCCTTCGCGGCGGCTGCGGCGTTCGCGCCGCCGAAGCCTGAGCTCGCGTCTGGGCCAGCCCCTACTTTAGCATTGGTTTTGGACGCTTTACCATTCCCAGACCCGAACCCAGCCGGAGCCGCACCTGCGGTGAGGACGAGAGCGAGGGACAAGAGCGCGGAGAGTTTGAACGAGACCATCCTGGATTCGGAGGCGGGCCAAATGCGTGGATAAGAGTTCGGTTGCGCGCGGTGTGTTTCCTTGTGTCGGCGAAAACAAGGACGGAGACGGAAGTTGGTGCGGATCGAGGAAAGGGATGAGCGCTGCTGCAGTCTCCAAACACAAGGGCGGCCCTTTTGTGCATCGACCTGCTCTTATGACGCGTAAACAAAAACCCACGGCAGGCCATCTGACCGCTTCTGACCCGCGCCGGGTGCACGACGGAGGCCGCGGAAGCAGTGGACGATCGAGCGTGGCGGAAGGCGACAGCAGCCTCGGACCGTGGCACGGTCGCCATCGCGGTGTGCGACGCTGGGGGGGCCAGGTCGTGGCCGGTGGTGTCGAGGCCAGGACACGCTTCGAGAAACGCACGTGGAGTAAGCGTATAGATCGTTGCTTCGGCGACGTTGTCAAGTCGTACATGATGGAGACGACGCAACGCTCTTGCATATCTGAGACCACAACGAAGAGTCGCCGTCGACCTCCTAAATAAACAGGGCTTGACACACGCATCGGCGTTAGTAGAGTTGTAGAGAGGCCGCATGACGCGATTTGCGTACCTCTCGAGTGTCATGCGCGTGGTAGGAGGCAAGTTTAGTCCACCGCTTGCGACGAGGTTGCCTTTCAAGGTCGGAAGAGCGCTTGCGTTACCGTTCTTGGAATGCCTAGTGCCAAGAACATCTCACGTCCGGCGCCCCTGTCCAGGTGGTCTCATCCATTTGCCATCGATAATGCTCTGTAATCGAGCCTAAGTTACGAAGTTCCATTCGCGTGTGAGAGTCGAGTGTTGCGAGCCGTTGATGGGGTAATATTCATCACCACGAACAGAGCGTCATTTGACGTTTAGATAGCTCTGGAATTTATGCACGGACCGAGGCCGTTTTTTACATATGACATCATGCGGACTTTCTGCACAAGACCCCTCAAACTCCATCTAGTCAAGTGGATGTCTTACGCAATGCCGAGGAACTGGAGGTACTGCTGCTCGAAGAGCGGGACGGTGTGGCCGACGCCCTGGGCGAGGATCGCCTGGAAGTTGGGGCCGAACGTCGAGTTGGAGTAGCCGCCCGGGAGGTACGACTCGGAAACGTTCCTCGACGGCGTGGCGGAGTAGCCGAAGACGGACGTCCACTGCTTGATCTCCTCCTGGAAGTTCTGGGGGTAGAGCGTCGTGTCACTGCGAGCGGCCCCAGTCAGCTGCAAGCGCTTCGAAACAGAACATCGCAGCACACGTACGCGGTGCCGTGCCAGACCTGCATCTTGGGGTAGCTCCCGGTGTAGCCAGAGTACGCCGCGCGGACCTTCTGCGCCCACTGCGCGCCGGTGAGGACGAGCTGGCCCTCCGCGCACTGGCTGTTCCAACTGTCTTCCGGCTGGCCGGGCAGGGCGAAGCAGCCGAAGGCGACACCGGAGTCGACGATGCCCGCCTTGAAGACATCGGGGTACGCGCCAGCGAGGACGGAGGTCATCATCGCGCCGGAGGACGTGCCGACGGCGAAGACGCGGTTCGCGTCGACGCCCCAGTTGGAGATGGCAAAGCGGGCAGCGTTGGCAATCGAGAGGGAGTCAGAGCCACCGTTGTGCGTGAGAGTCGCGTCGGAGGAGACATCCCAGCAGGTACCGGAATGGGGCTGGACCAGAGTTAGACGGTAAATGAACGTAGGAGGGATCTGAGCCTACCGAAGAGGGGTAGATCACGACGTAGCCGTAAGTTTCAGCAAGCTGCGCGAACTTGGACCCAGAGAAGTACGCCTGGGCGGTACCCTGGCAGTCTGTACGTGCCGGTCAGCTCTTCCACACAACTTTATGTGCTGGACGGATATCTCACAATGGGAGGCGACGATGAGAGCTGGCTTCGTCGCGACCTTCTTAGGCTTGTACACGAACATCTGGACGTTGTTCGGGTTCGTGCCGAAGTTCGAGAACTGGGTGAGAGTCGACGCGGGAATCGACGCCAGACCGCTGCCAGACGTGGGCGTGCTGCCAGAGCTGGTCGAAGTCGAAGTCGCGACGGTCGAGGATGAAGCAGCGCCGGGCAAACACTGGGAGTAGTAGGCGTTGATCACCGAGCAAGTCGAGCCCGCCACTGCGTCGTGCATTCTATCAGGCCCTTGCCAAAGACGACATGGCTAAAGCCTAACGCACCACATGTAGTAGGGCCGCTCCACCCGATCCCACCACATTGGCCGTACACTGCGGACTGAGCCGCAGCGACCGAGGCGAGGGCGAGGGAAACGAAGAGCTTCAGCGAGAACATGGTCGCCAAGAGGTCGTTGCGCGAACTTGTGGGGTATCGAGGCTTGAAGACGACTGTGATGGTGGAGTCGGATTGTCTGAATCTTATACCCAGGCGAATGAATTGCGCGCGGGGGTCCTCATCTGACCCCCATGACGATACGTAGGCAGGAGACCCGGATATGACGGAAGCCCTCGGAGAAACATCAGTTGCCCCGGAAAGGGCCACTTGGGTGATGAACGTTTGGATGGCGGCCAGTCGTGGTAGACCGCGTTGCGAGTCTTGCGCGTCGACGGGTGTCGAACCATACACGTGGGGAGACCAAGCGGAGATTTGTCGCCACAGTCAGAGTAATGGGGCCGTCGGGTACGTCTTCGAGGCCCCGGTGTCAGGAGTTCCAGAACTTGTAAGGTACGTCTGACCGACAACGGATTTGACAGGACGAAGCGTGGACCATGTGGCCGACGGCTCCGAGGTTTGTAGCCAACTACTAACTTGATGGAGGCATGCCCCGGCCTCGGATGCGCGTATTCGACGCCTCGGAAAGCTTGCTCCGTCGATGCGAGGAGAGCTGTACGGGTCACTCCATCCGCTTGAATGCAGCGCAGAAATAGAGAGGCCTCGCTTTGTTCCGAGCTGTACGCCTGTGTCGCCATAGGTCGCCATATGCGGGCAAATACCGCTTGACGGTACAGAATTTTGCATTCCGTCTGAACACCGCGAGTGTCATCCCACACCAAGCGGAAGAACTTGAGCCTTGACCAATACGGTTTCGGACAAAGGTGTTCCACAAATAACACTGGCGCCGAAGACCCATATGGACCTGCCAGTCGCAATTAGAGAGGGGGGCACATATGACCGAGAGGGCAAAGAGACCGTCACATACTTGAACATGACGCGATCACAGACTTGTACGATACATCATAGGACCAGCGTCGGTCCCGGGGCTCGAAGGAACAGGTCTGGAGGTTGGACCTGGGTTGTGGTAGAATGCAGCGATTGAAGTTTGGATCGGCTGAGACTGGAGAGAAACCATATTCAGCACGACCACGTGGATGTGACGTCACCTGACTGCCCTGCTCAGCCGTAACCCATGCATCGACGGTCGTTCCACTCGCACTCCCGAGTCAACTCTTACATCTGTCCAGGACAACTGGGCGCACTCTAATCCCGCATTTCGTGGTCTCGGCGGTCCACGCAATGGCTAGTGTGCACTCCTGGGCGGGTATGCACTATGCACGCTTACGGCATCGCAGTACCCACAAATAGGTCGAGCAACTCCGAGTCCTCCAGGCACTCCATCATCTTGCTGTTCTCCTCAAGGCCTCATGTCTAGCCCAAATTCCGAGACCCCCGTCGCCTTCGTCGCTCAGCCGATGCGCTCGGCCCCTGCACTACCTCCCCGACCCAAAGCTACTGGCAATTCTACGCGACAAAGCGAGCCTCTGGCGCCACCAGCCCTTCCTCCTTCTTCTCCGGTCTCTCCTTCAAGCTCTTCGGCATCATTTCTGAACATCACCTCGCCCCTTCCTTCGCCCGTGCCAGACTCGCATGCCACACCTCTCGTAGTGGAATCAGACTCAGACTCAGGCCCGGAAGATCTTACGGGGGTGGGCAGTCCTGCACCCGGTGCATCAACGGATACACTCAGCACGAAACCTGAAGAGGAATTGTCTGAAGTCCAGCTTAGGGGGCTCTATGATGATGAGGAGATAGAGAGATTCCTCCACTTGTTCTCTACGGTGCGTTTCCTTCGACCTATTTACAATGCCGACTTCAACTCTGGCTTGTTTCTGGCAGTATATCCGCGAAGTAAGGGTCGCAGATCCTGCGAGCGCGTCGAAATCGCATCTTGCTAAAGCTGCAAGCACCTCTGCCCTCCCACTCTCCGATACAACGACTGGTCCAGCAGGCGAGGTCCCGGTCAAGTCTCGTCCTCCATCTGAACGGGATGGCACACTATCACAGCGTATAGCTCTGGTTCGTTCTGCCCGTTTGCCTTGTTGTAAAGGCTGAAGTAAATCTCGCGTGGTAGGACTTCTTGCTTCCCCTACTTCCCCCAGCTCGACCGCCGCCACCCGGGTTCTCTCTTGGTAGGCTGAAGCAGAGCGCACAACGCTTATATGTTGCTATCGAACCATACTACTCTATGGGCGCAATCCCCCTGCTGAGATTAGCGACCTGGCAAAACCCGACAAGGAGTTTTGCCTACTGCGCTGTGAGCATTTGCACGTCTCTTCCATTCACCCCTGCGGAAACCTCAACGGCCCCGTTAGTTGTATTGGGTGCTCTGGTACCGGGGGTTGCTCCTATCAGCCTTGATGGCGCGTGTTTTGTACCACATTGTCCGCTGGAAGATGCACCCGTATCCCACCTTGGAGGAGCTCCGCGACCATCGTTCCCGAATCGACCGCTCGCAAACCTTCGGCACCATTCTCGCGACGCGTTTGGTTTCCAGTCCTGCGATGGGCATCAGGGACATGTGGGGGCTCTTCGATGACTATCGCAACATACGAAGGATGAAGAGGAAGGCCAAGAAGGACTCGAAAGAGAAGAATTCCCCGGATCCCGAGGCACCGCCGAGTATCTACGACGGCACTCGGTTGCATGCCGCAGCCCACAGCACGACGGATGTAAACGGAGAACGCTCAGAGCAAGAGATCATGGAGGAGGCCGACCTGGCACGCTTAGGCTTGTTCCTCTTGAACGAGGCGAGTGACTTGCTTGAACGAGTCAAGAAGTATGTATGCGCGAAATTCTTCTACCCATTTTTCCTAACACATGAATCAGTATCTTTTTGTGGCGTGAGCCAAGCGCCTCGGTGTATTACAGCCTGGTGAGTGTGGTCATGCATCACGGTGCTTGCGCAGTCGTCTGACGGTCGCGACAGCTTCTCGTCAGCTGGCTGTTCTTAGGTCTGCTGCCCGCTCAGTATCTAGTGAAGTCGATCGGGTTCGTGGTGGGGGTATGTTTCTGGCATGCTGTGCCGGTTCTCGGCGCGATTCCTCCCAGTGAACGCAGCAGGTACGTCAACGGTGCGGCAGACGCTGGATATTGCTGACGAAGGGTATGAATAGGTTCCCGTCTCCTCTTTGGATAGTGCCCACAGACACGGAGTACGCAATGGAGCTCATCTCTCAGAGGGTGGCGCGCGGGCTTCCAGTCAAGGCGAGGCGTCGGCGCGGGGACCAGGCCAAGTCGGCAGCACCGGACACGGCCGGCATACGGTCGTTTGGCACGGACGGCGAGGGCGAGCACGCGAGCACGTCGTCGGTCGACTGGAACAAATGGGGGGACCGGATCTCGGACACGAAAGAGCGCGCGGGCGAGCTGAAGCAGATCTTGCGCGATGGACAGGTTCGTGTCTGCTGGGCCTCTCCTCGGCTGTGTCTGACATGGACGTGGATGCAGTGGAAGCAGGCCGAGAGCTGGAAGGCGCTCAATCCGCTGCAACCCAGGGTGGCGGCGCCCCAGCTCGGGACCCAGCCGCGCGTGGAGACACAGAGTGAGTGCCGGGAGTCGCCGCACGTCCGATGCGCCGCTGATCGCGGCCCACGCAGCCTTCCCCGCCCAGCTGAAGAAGAGCCCGGGGCTGATCACGATGACGGAGGTCGCGATCTGCTTCACGCCCCTCATGTCGTCCCACGCCACGCTCGCCGTCCAGCTCGCCGACATCACCGCCGTGAAGAAGACGACGCTCACGAACGGCATCGGGCTGCACTACATGGACGAGCGCCCCGACGGCACCCGCGAGGAGAAGGAGGCCACCTTCATGTTTGTCGGCGGGCGCAGCGAGCTCTTTGCCCGGCTCGTCTCTTGGGGCGGTGGAGGAAAGTGGACGAAGATCTAGATCCTTCGCTCTCGGTACGACTGCTTCCTCAAGTGGAGTCTCGCTCGTTCCAGATTTGACCGCTTCCATCCAGGACTCGTTTGTGACTTCGGTTGTTGTACAGTAGACGTGTATTCTATCGCCCGTACAACGATTCCGTCGCGCCGTGTGCCCTCCCCCGCTCTCTCCGTCTCCCCGTCATGTTCTTTTCTTCAGAATTGCTGGAGCGTCGAGACAGTGGCTATGGGTTGCTTTGGTGCGTGGATGCGCCTCATGCCCTCTTTCCTGTTTTTTCATCCCGAGGTCCCAGGCTTGCCGCTACTCTTGGCGCCAAGTCGTCATTCAAGAGTCTCCCCAAACGTTCCGTCTTGAATGCCGATATCTCTCAGCTATGCGGGCTTATCGCAGAGCCCCCAGAGCCCCTCGCACTCCGGCTGTCTAGCAATCTCATGATCGGCGTTGCTCGGTAAACATATCTTCTCCACCCGCGTCGTTCTCTCGCATTCATCTCCCACTTGTCCAGCGTGTACAAAGGTGAGAACATCGATCTCCGCCATCCCACCCCACGACCCATTCTGGTGCTAGTCAAAGAAGACATCTTCTACGCCGATGTGACAACCTGCTTCAACTCGCTCAAGAAGGCCGTGCAAGAAATGACTGTGGTATCTGCCAGCGCTGCGCAACTTCAAATGGGCCAGCCTACCCTACGGTGAGGAATCCTAACGCACGCGAGGACCTGCCTAATACCTGGTGCTGTAGGGCAGAGGCGATCACACTGGCCGCAGATCCCGCCGCAGCGTTCAGCATCACCGTCGATGGCATGTTCTTGGTACGTCCAGCGATGTTCGCTGCGAAATCCATGTAACACTCTTGCGATAGACCTGGGGAAAGCCTACTCAACAAGGTATGTTGTCGACATATTTCCCTGTGTCCGCCTCAATGATCAGATGTAGAACAAGACTCGGACGATGACTTCGACCCGAAGGGCAAAAAGCCAAGATCTACGAGGCCCCAAGGAGACACGAATGCTCCATCGTCCGCCGTCCAAGAACAAGGTAGAGCGTTGCATACCCTCGACGACCGTCACCGCAATGTTCTTTTTGGTGCCATCGGGGCATCGCTCACGGGAAGTATACATGAGCCTCCGGGATTTGCGGCTTCGTCCTCGCAAGCCGGCGGAGGATTCAGTCTAGACGACATTTTTGATCTTCCAGAAGGCGCAACTGGGATCGATATCGGGGACGAGTTGGCGCGAGAACTTGGAGAGGGCTGGGGAGGCGCCGATCTTCAGCCGCCTAGGTGAGGATGGCACGTTTGCAGCACAACTCGTACCGTTAACGTTGATGTTTATTACAGCGCGCAAGGAGCACAAGACTTGAATGCTGCTCTCGCGGTTGACATGGGTGACATGAGTATGCATGATGACTTCATATTCAATCCCCCCGGGGGTGCTGGTCATTCGTCTACAAACCATGATGGCAGAGGTAATTCCAGACACTACGACCTTGCTACTCGATTCACATCTTTGACGCAGAGAGCTCGCCTCCACGTGGAGAGCCGATGTTGCCAGGGAGCCTTCCCAGCCCACATCTGCAGGAACCACTACCCGATGTTACCTCACAACCGGGGGCTGAGGGTCAAACACCTCATTCCCCACAACGCAAGGCGAAGCGGGCGAGGTTGCAGATAGACAGGAGGATCGAATTGACGGACGAGGAACTGAAGGTACGCCAACTCAGTCTTCTTTTGGCACCACGTCTCACTACTCCCTCAAGACTGCTCGCGCGAACTACGTTCAAATGCAGGAACACCTCAACCAGGAAGTTGCTCAGAAGAAGATGGACAGGGACGCCAATAGAATCATCGAAGAAATGATCTGTGGTGCTCCCCGAGGCGGTAAGCCTCTGTAGTCTCACCTGACGACCAAGCACTGACACACCCGCAGTGGAAGCTCCGCTACTGGTCGACTTTTGGTTGGAAAATTTCCGGTTGCACGTGGGTGCACGTTCTGGGAAACTTCACATTGAAATGGAAGGTGTGTATCGCTGCCTCATACTGTCTGATATGTCATGCTGAACTCACGCCCCCAGGCGAACCACCAAGAAAACGACTGCGGATTCATGACCTCGACACCGACGCGCAAACTGTGCGTTCTCCTGTAGCAGAGATGGAACCGCACGCTATGGATGTTGACCAGACCTTCAACTTCGAGCTCCCTCTTAGTGATCATCATCGTACGTTCGTGCTTACAGGACTCGTCACTAAGCTCATTCTATGCTTTTTGCAGATCACATCGGGGACGAGATCTCCAGGATGCGCTCTTCAGAGGTGCGCCTTTTGTGAACCTATATCATATCCTCCTCACCGTTCTATAGGAGCCCGGCCAAGCCCGTCGCGGATCCCGACCTCCATCAGCTCTTGGGAGTCATCTGGGAATCAACTTGGAGCCGGCGCACGACATCATCTCTGGATCCCAGCGTAGCGCACTATTCCCCTGGGATCACGCCGGCCCCAGTTCTTCCGTGGGCGGTGGTGCCGGTGATGCTTGGAAGTCAGCCAGCAAGCGCAACAGCTCCCACGGGAGCAGGCGCGAGAGCTTTGCGATCCCGGCCGACAGCAACATACATTCATCACCGGTTAATTTCGATTTTAGGAGCTCAGTGGCGGGCGGAGATGACTTTCATTTCAACGGTGCGCATCCACATGTGATCCCCGACGTGGCATATGGCTAACCTTTCGTGGCATATGGCTAACCTTTCGTGGCATATGGCTAACCTTTCGTGGCATATGGCTAACCTTTCGTGGCATCAGTACCGGACGCTCTTGATGGGCCCGAGGAGTCCCAGCAGTCCAACATTTTGACCCTAGAGAAGAACTCGTTCAATTACCTGGAGTGAGCTTCCACCGCCAGGAACACATGCGTCTCGTTCTGATGGGATATTCCCCAGATATGTGAAGATGCAGATCAGTGCAATGCCGACTGGAAATCAAAAGCTCTGTTTCGAAGATGTCGTTCCGAGCGCGACGAGCACGCGGCGTGTTGCGGCGGCGGCGTTCTACCACTGTCTTGGTATGTGCGACTCAATCGTCAGGTGCGAACGAGTTCTCATACGAAAGCACTAGTTCTCGCCACCAAGGATATGCTGAGCGTGCGGCAGGACGAGCCGTACGGCGAGATGGAGTTGAGAGTGAAGTGAAAATTCTGGCTTGAGGCTGGATCTATACTGGAGTGGGGAGCGTGTGTGCTGGATCTCTGAGAGGTGCTCGAAAGGCTCGTTCGATCTTGTAGCAGGATGCATGAATTGTGTGGCACAAAGGGGGAATAAATGCGGCCATAGTTACGTAAGCGACAAGAAAGTGGGCTGAGCGACTCGGTTTCCTGACAAGCGAATACTATTTCTCGCGATGATATCCGCGTCGGCCCACCCGCTCTCTGGCCCTCTCGTCGGCTTATATGTTATCGCGTCTGCCCGTCCTCCTCACACCCGCTTTCCGGCCTAGATCTCTCCCCATCCGCCCCCACACCCGTCCCGTTCTTTTTGCTGTCTCTCGAGCAATGTCCTCTCGTGCCGTCGAAGCCTCCCGCGCGATCCTCAAGTCCATTGACCTCTCCGGGGGCTATGACCCAGAGCAGACACGTCTCATGGACGAGCGATGCATCCTCGTCGACGAGGAGGATAACGCGCTCGGCGCGGCGGACAAGAAGACCTGTATGTCGTCCCCCTCCCCACTCCCCAATCCTCCCGTCCCTGCCCGTCCGCCCCGCTCACCCCCGGCGTCCCCTCGCACAGGCCACCTGATGGAGAACATCAACAAGGGCCTCCTGCACCGCGCCTTCTCCGCGTTCGTTTTCCGGCCCTCGGACGGCAAGCTGCTCCTGCAGCAGCGCGCGAGCGAGAAGATCACCTTCCCGGACATGTGGACGAACACGTGCTGCTCGCACCCGCTCGACGACTTCGCGGAGGAGAAGGAGGAGAGGGACCAGCGCGGCGTGCGCGTCGCCGCGAGCCGCAAGCTCGAGCACGAGCTCGGGATCCCCCCATCCCAGACGCCGGTCGACGGCTTCCAGTACCTGACGCGCATACACTACCTCGCACCCTCGGACGGGCTGTGGGGCGAGCACGAAGGTGCGTGGCTTCCCGCGCGTCGGGGGGCGAGAGCGGGGCTGACCGGCGGGCGGGGCGCACGCGCACAGTGGACTACATCCTGTTCATGACCGGGGACGTCGCGGTGACGCCGAACGTGAACGAGATCCGGGACTTCAAGTACGTCAGCAAGGGGGAGCTACAGGCGATGTTCGAGGACCCGGGTGAGTGTTCTTTGCGTCTGGGGCCGCGTCTGGGGGCGCGCGGGCTCACCTCGCCGCGGGCGCGCAGCGAACTCCTTCACGCCGTGGTTCAAGCTCATCGCGCGCGACTTCCTCTTCGGCTGGTGGGACGAGCTGCTCGCGCGCAAGGATGCGAAGGGCGAGGTGAGCGCGAAGAGCCTCGCAGGCCTCGTGGACGGCGGCAAGGTCGTGAAGATGGTTTGAGCGGGGTATACCTGAAGTTCTTGGGTCTCGGTGCATGTACAACTGAGTTGCTCACGGCGATAGACGTTTTGAATTGATTGCAGAACGCGGTGCTCGGGCGGATCTCGCAGAATCCGTTGGCGTTGTTGGTTCGCACACCACCTACAGTCGAAGATAGCGGAGACACAGCCAGCCGACACGAGCAGCATTGTGGGCCACTTGGTGGCCCACACGCCTGTGCTGGAAACTTCAGGTACCCGGCGCTTCTTCGCACAGCCCGAACCATATGTTGTCTGTTCTGGGGGCTGGACAGAGGAAAGGTTCGAGCACGATATGGACCCCACTGTTTGCGGAAGAGTCCAGAGGGTGGTTTGCGCGACGTCGCATTTTCAAACCACCCTTGACGAGTGCAAGCACCTGGTTCGTTAAGCGGTAGTGCATTTCATTGCCACAGCATTGATTCCTCTTCTTTCCTAGGATTCTGTCGCACAGCTTCACCAGCGTCCTCGGGGCGCACATGCGCCCACCACGTTCCATATGAAGGGGGGCGCTCTCTATTTTCAGCTGCAACCGTACAGCCCGTGGCGATAAACGGTGCTTCAAGGGCGCACAGTGACTCATAAAAAGGCCACGGCGGGACCTTGCTCAGATATCATCCCCATGGCCACCCACCAGTACGGAACCCACCAACCCACCAACTCCACCCGCGCACAACGCAACGCTGCCTGCGAGTCGCTAGAATCAGGCCAGCTTGGGCTTGCCGGCAGACTGCTCACCGTGCCAGCTCCGTCGGCCAGCCCGTGTTCTTCCGTGGAATGTTCTCCTGCGGAGAGGTGGGTAGCCCCGTCGCCTTGCGGCATTCGCATATCGACCACCCGTCAGATCCATGGACGATTTTTCCGAGCATGTCTGTGAGAACGACTTGCCTGCTGTTCCGCAGGTGGATGCCACTATGAGCCGTCCTCTTGCGGACGCGGTGTCACTGCGGGATACGCCCGCCACTGCCGAGGAGTGAGTACTTTCATAAATATCCCTCCACGTCTTGTTTCCGACATACCGCTCGCCTATTAGGGACGACCCCCTCCACATCGTCAAAGTTGACGACGACGCCGACTTCTTCACCCCCAAGGGGCCGAACACCTCGATGACTGGTGGTGTAAAGTCGGTATCCAGGCCTAGGCCTCCTCCGCCCCCTCCTCCGCCCGTCAGGCCCATCAAGAGGTGATAGACCGCACACCGGAGAACGAAGTACAGCAACTATGGTGGATGGGGAAATGATATTCGGGGTTCACTGCGGACGCGAATCATGACATGGACATGGACCAATGATACAGCGGTGCTAGTTTTGTTTGGTGTTGTTCGGTCGCGTACTCTGTATACCCCGCTCTCAGTATGAGCATGTTCTGGACTCTAGGGCTGAAGCGCCGGCACCGGGGCGCTAATGGGCGTCCGCGACGAGCGGCGGTGGCTTGGCATCTGTGAACGCTGTCCATGCTCCCTGCTGCCACTCCATTCCGTCATGTTACAATGCCTGCCTTTCGGTTGTTCCCACAAACACAAGATGCAAAGTGCTCTACAGCAACTAACCAACCCTAAATGGTTCAAGGTCTAAAAACGCAAACAAGTACGTAGCAATGCCAATGCGATTCAAGTCCTCTCCGACGTTCAACTGCTATCGCAGAGCGACTCGTCCGCCTATAGGCTGTTCGTGGCGCGGACGGGGTGCTGTCCAAGACCCGCGGTGTGTGTGATGCTCATTGCTGGTGAGTGGCTTCGTACACCGCTCGTTGGCTAGCATTATACGACGATGTCACATGGGCAGTCTTGCCCTTGGCTGTGTAGTTCTGGGGCGTCAAGAACCCATGGGACCTCCTTTCGTACTCGGAAAACGGTTGCAGGAATGTAGATAGGATCAGCTTGGCTGGTCCAATATTCCCCGCCGCTGCGGTTGGACTGTGTGTGGAAGGTTCCGTGCACGACGTTCGACAGGATGTACGTCTTCTTCGCGCGTTCGGCATCCTTCGCGTCGAGCTGAATTTCATCCTTAAGGAGGGCCCCTGTCGGTGAAAGCCATCTGTCAACTCCACACACGCCCCGTGGTAAACACACCTGCTCTCATAGCCGCGTAGGCTGTGTGTGCCGTCATGGCGCACGGAAGAAGTCGTTACAGCACAGGATGCGTTGACAGTTCCGTGCGCTGGAAAAGTGTATGGCCCCACAGTGCGATGCGTCTGTTGACCGCTTCTTCAAATCTCTAGACGACCGCCCAGAGCGCCTCAGAACGTCAGGAGCCGATAACGACACTCACACTCCCCCATCCCCTCTTCTCCGGACATGCCAAATGTCGACATCCGAGGCTCACAACGAAACCGCGCCAAGTATCGGGCAACGTCTTCTGTGTGCTCTCTCCGGTTTGGTAGCTATGCGTGAGTGGAAGGCTGTCACAGCACCTTCTGTGCAAGAACTCGCGCTGAGCGCAGACGACGTGCTCTTTCAAATCGACCTTTTCCTTGGCCTCCGTCACTCGATTGTATTGCATGACTTCTTCTCGTGAGTCCTTTCCGCACAATGCAGTGTGTGCGCGGCTTAACCAATGGGCGCTGTTCAGGGACTATCAATGAAATTCGCAAACTCGAAGATGGCAGTGTCGGACACATCCTGTGCACCCGAAGGCGCGTTTGCTGTCACGTTCCACTACATCTATCGATCTGGCAATGTCTTGCACCGGATGCTCCACCGCGGACGAGGCTCGAGGTACTCGCGTGGCCCCCTTGTCCGCATTGATTCCACGACGGAACTGTAACTTTAGTTTTATTCCCACCACTAGTTCAACGTGCTTCGTCAGCCCCGTATCATAGAAGGGTGGGTATAAGGGTGGATACAAGGCGCGTCTCCTGACGCTGATGCTCCTGCCGTCGCTATCGCTGGTTTGCTCCAAGCCTCCAACCATCGATCTCTGACCAAATCCTATCGCCCGGTGCGCAACACCCCCTCGCGGCGTTCACTGCATTTCTAATCAGACCGCAGATACCGCTACGATGAACTCGAGTGCCGATGACGCCTCGAAGACGGCCCAGTCTTCCACGCATATCGGACAAGACACCACGTACGCTAGTCTTGCTTCTGAGGCGGGCGGCCCATTCTTACATCTCTCAAATTTCAGAAAACCCAAGATCAAAGCCAACGACGTATCGGCTCGGGCAGACCCGTGCGTTGTTCGCTTTTGAGTATGACAGCGGGAGTCGCTCATTCGTTCATCTCGCGTTGGTCAACCGGCGCAGCATCATGTACGTCTCTGACTATGATACCGTTGGTGCAGCCGCAGGCCTCGGGCTGACTGCCGCTTAGCGAAGAGGACGACGACGATGACGACTACGATATCGAAAGCTTCAGACCAAAGGGTGCAAACAACACCTCCACCATTGGTCCCCGCGGGGTCTCCAAACCTGTCAAGCGATAAAGAATGGGCACTCTCAGCCGCGCGCGGAGCAGTGAGCGCGTCTATGAAAGGGCGGGCCGTGTCCAGACTTTGAACTTGCCTGTTACCCCACGCGCTACAAAGCAGTTGCTAATCACTGCGGCAACCAATACCCTGTAGAGACCCGGACGGCCTAGTGGTTGATTGAGAGTTGGACCGATTAGTTGATGGTCCTGAAACTCCCATGCGGACGCCTCCAGGCATTCTGTAGGGACGGTGAGGCCTGTCGGAGTGCAGGGGTCGGGCGTCGTCGCCTCACAAGGTTCTGGCGCTGGAGCAGGCCCTCTCCAGATATTCCCACAAGGGCGCGGCTGCAGCCTTGCGCCCGATGGCGGTCGGAGGCTGGAAGCTTCGCCCCGGCATCCGCCGCCCCTCGTCTCGAGCCTCGCCCCGAACTTCGGTCACACACCGGCACCCAACCACGCCCCGCCCACACGCTCGAACCGTCCACACAAGCCGCACTCACGATTGTGGCCACCGGTATTCCGGCCCAGAGACCACAATCCCAGCCTCGCCGATGGAGAAGCTCGCTTCTGCATCGACCTTCGCTCGAACCTACTCTCTACTGCCGTCTACGCACCACGTTCCCTCAGCCATGCTCCCAATCTAGGATTCTCGGTGCCATGCTGCGTCGGCCCGCGAAATCGAGACTTTGACCGTATCCTCAGCCGGCGCGATTCTTCGGCGCGTGCCCTGATCATGTGCTTCGAGTGCGTTCTCTGAGCTTTCCCACTGCGGTCAGGATACAAAAGCGATGTGAGTAAAGTGGACCCCGCGTCTTCGCTCCTCTTCGCGTCTTATCGCACATTCGATTCGTCCCGGGTGAGCACCATCATCGTCGAGAATTCGAACGCGTGAGTATCCGACAGAGCGCTGCCTTGCTTTACTCATCTAACTTGCTTCCAAGGCTGCATTCTTCCGCCATGGAAGCGCAAATCGGACCTCCTGGCGCGCCGAGCGATGCGTCAGCGAAGAAACCCGGCCTCAAGTTGCGGTAGGTCAAGCCCATCCTGCGGAGGAATGTGATTCATCGCTGACCCACCTCTGCGACAAGGATGCCTTCTCCAGACAAAACAAATCACAGTGTGGAGTAGGTCGCACAGGAAATGATACCGTGCGCAAGACTCAGTGACGCACGCCCCCACAGGGACGATAGTCAATGGTCAGACGAAAGCGACGAGGAGTTTCGGTCGAAGGCCCCAAACGACCGCATGACCGCGACTCCGCGCACTCCGAAGACCCCGAAGAGCCCGAGATCTCCTACGAAGCCAGTCGCGCGAGTGGCAGTCAAGCCTAAGCCGGCTCGGGCAGACGACAAAGCTGCAAAGGCGACAGACGTGGCGACCAAGTCCGTGACCGATTCCAAGCGAGGAGCGAAGTAGAGAGCTGGAGGACCCGCCGCCGACCATGGGCTCGAGCCCCGCGGCCTCGAGTCCAAGTTCGGGCGGGCACGTCTTGAATATAACGTTGGAGCACGCCAAACTTGTATTTACACTTTGACATCGGTCGTTCGGCGCGCCCCGTTCCCAATCGCCGACAAAGTCGAGGAAGCCAACCGCACGCGCGCTCATCCTTTGACAGGGCAAAACAGGGTTCAGATCCTGTACCTCCTTGCCAAAATGAGCCCCAGCAATGTGGCCAGATCTGTGCGGTGCACAGTCGCAGGGTGGACAAGCGCAGGGTGGATCCCCGACTCATAAGCTCGAGCGTTGAGGCTGGACCGGCAGCACTCTCCCTGCTCTGCCCGCGTCCTCGTCCTCAGTGCTCCCACTTGCGAATCAGTTCTCGGCATCCGCCATGTCCGTCGACGACCACACCACACCCCGCGCCGATTTCGCCACGCTGGACTCGGTCACCGTCAAGGCCTCGGCCAATGGGTTGACTTTGACAGAGGTGCATGTGGCGGAGAGTACGACGTACGTCCTTGTCCATCGTGCGGCAGTGACACCGTCCCTTTCCTCAACAATGTGCTCTGCGCTCCCAGAAATAGAGTGCTGATGACCACAACGGTCGTGAGCTGCGTTGAGGCGAATACCAGGTCAGCAGCGCCAGACACACTCTACCGGAACGGTTTACCCACCCCATACTGCAGCGATTCCGATTACGACTCCGATGTCGACGACCTCGTTCCAAAGGGACAAGAAACTCCACCCAGTAAAGGCCCTCAATCCAAAAAATCCGCGCCCAAGAACCCGTCTGCAGAGAAAAAGAAAAAGGAGGCGGCGGCGGCGGCGGCGGCGAAGGGGAAAGCGCCAGAGAAAGAGGAAAAGGCAAAGGTAAAGGGGAATAAGAAGGCAGGCGGAAGTTCGGAGTAGAGGGATGCAGGCTTGGCACTCAAGGATCATCGCGCGAATACTTTGAATTGGAATTGGATCGTCTGGGACTGGGTGCCCATAAATCTCTCCTCCAGGCCGCAAACGAGGCGAAGTGTCACGCCGCTTGAACTTCTTGTGTGCTTGAGTACTTGAGTAGGTGCTGACCGACGTCGGATCACAGCCTTGCTTGTCCTGTCCTTGTCGGTGGCCATGGCATTGGACAAGAACAGTGAAGAATACGCTCCTCGGCTGATAAACTTGCTCAGCAGACACTGTGATGACCTCGAGATGCTACCGAAGACCGGCATATGTGAGATGTTGAGGTTCCTTCGATAGGTCTTCTCATATTGCCAGTGTAGTCTCCGAAGCTCCCGAAGATGACCTAAACATTCGTGAGTTCATGAGTCATGACCACGCAGGCAAAGCCGAAAGTTGAAGGCGAAGAGACGAACCATCGGCTTAGCGAGGGTGGTGAGGTGTGTTGGCAGTGAGACCGCTGTTGGTCATTTGGCGCCTAGTGCTCATCCGGTGATCGGTCCGCAAGCCGCTGGCGCAGCGCCACGCCGCGTACCGCTCTGCCGTACCATGCCCATACCCAACTTTCAACTGCACAGGATTCACTTGTGTTTTGTTGCGCGGGCCGACACGGAGCTTTGGGACTAGTGTCGGCACGAATTCCGCTTCCTCCTGAGCTCAGTGTGAGTCCATATTTTCTCTTCCGTATCAATTCGTCTCTCCATCTAAGTTACTTCGGTCACTGTATGTAGCCAAGGCGATAGTACTGACGCCGTTCGTTGGCTGACACGGATAAAGCCCCTCAACTGGATTCGTCGACGGCGAATCACAGAGATGGACATTCCTTCGACCAAGGCCTCCGACCCTCGAGGACATTCCCTCTGCCCTCAAGCTTGGCTAAAACCCACCTCAAGAGCCGGCCGCACCCTGGTGTATAAGCCATCAATACAACGGATACTCTGCAAGTCACCGGCATTGGACATTGTCCGCGATCAGCGCGAGACTGCCATCACGCATGTTTTCCACATCCTCACGACAGGACGCAACGCGGCAGCTTCGATGCATAAACTAGGCTCCACGACGGTCCACCTCCGTGAACTCAGGAGCGACCGTTTCGGTCGCCCTTGGAGGACCTGGCAGGCCATCTGACGCCCCTTCAAGTTTGCCTTACACGCCCACGACCGCCCGTCGGAGGTGCGCGCCTGCCACGAGGGCGGCCATGGCCCCCGGCGGGCTTACGCGTATCTGGGGCGAACCCTCCCCGAGGTGTTCAGTATAAATCTACACCGCCTCGTCGCTCTCGGGCCCCAACCCGCACACTGCCCTTCCCCGCAAGACCCGCGTCGACTCCGCGCCTCAGATCTCAGAACCCTTGCTCTCCCTGGTACGTGACCGCATCCTGGGACTTCCCCCGCGCGCTGAAAGGACCTCCCCGCCAGAACGGCGCCCACCCGCCTGCTACCATTCCCCAAGGTAAAGCCCTATTCTTGATGCCCGCGCGGGCATCACGCCCTCACGCGTCTGCCGTCCTCCTGCCGCCCCCGTGTGCTCACCCCTCCCCGTCTAGCATGATCGCCCTGTCCTCCTCGCCACTTAACATGGCCCGGAACGAGGTCCCGGTCGCCCCTCCCCCCCTTCCCAGGTCCGCCGGCCTTCGAACCCACTCCCTCCCCAGAGGCCCATCGACCCGCCGACGCAGTCGACGACGTAACTGGCCCCGCCCGAGCCCGCTCGTCGTGCACGAAATCGGCCGTGCAGACGGACGACTGGGGGCGCGGCGGCGACCATCAGAGGGGAGGTTGATCGGAAAGACCGCACTCCGTGTCGTAAAAACGCAGTCGTTGTACGATAACATTGAGGAAAAGACCCGATGCCACGGCACACTCCCATGTTCTCGCGGGTCGGTCTTGTTCACGGGAGACGTGCGAGCGTATCCCTGCGGCCGTAAACGCTCTCGATGGCGCAATCCCGAAGCACCTCGATGCCGAGCGTCGTGGCCGCTGCTGCTGCTCCCGGCGAGCCGGGCGCGCTGGTAGTACGGCGGGCGCACCACTGCGGCGGACGAGAAGCCGCGCAGCATCGAAGTCTGGTCAGGCTGCGTTCTGTGGCGCTCTCTGGTCGCGAGCCTCGTCCGTTCGCGCTCGGCGGCGCGGGTTCTCTCACCACCCCGGACGCTCACGGAGCGTCGAGAAGCCGAGGGCGTGGCGGCGGCATGGCTGTCTGCCACATAAACTTGGCGCGCCCGCTCACCGCGGACACCGTCGTTATCACAGGTCCTCCTTGCGTGTATTCTCCGATATCGGGATCAGGTGCCGTCGAACTCTCTCCAGAGCGGACCAAAGTTGATGCGACCAGGGAAGCAAATGCGGGAGTCAGACAGATTTACTGTCTATGTGCAGCGCAGCGCAAAGCATGCGCGGTCGATACAATCAGCAGAGTCATAGTAATAGTATCAGCGTCTCAAATACATCTTATGGTAACAACGAAGCGTAGCAGACCTTCATGAGTAGTACACCTTGTACACGTACAGTCTATGAAAGAACATCGTCGTAATGTACGTCGCGATCGTAAATCTCGTATATCATGTACTGGAAAGAAAACGTCGCGTCCCATCGCCCGGCGATGGGCAAATGCCCGTCGGCTTGTCTGGCTGTTCAGACCGGGATCGGCATGGGAGGGTCGGGGTGATCCCTGCGACTCTGGCGACTTGAAGGCCGCCTGCCCCACCCCCGTTCATCATCATCATCTCCTTCTGGCTGGGAACGGCGCGCCACGAATTGTTCCGGAACACCCACATCTCTCTGCGGGAGCGAATGTCGAGCAGAGAGCGGGTGCCCATGGGCACGCTGCCGCACATGCGGAAGCCGTTTAGGTGGAGGAATCGAAGCACGAACGCCTTCAGCATGTTCTTCTCTACCGTGACTGCGGGGTTGGACAGGGTGAGCACGCTCACGTCGAACGAGGAGAAGAGGGCAAACGCACCACCATAGCTGCCCCGCTTCACCTCAAATATGTGCGATCCAACGTCGGTCATACGGTCGACGCTCACCCGCCGCGGAAAGTAAGCGCGTAGCTCCGAACCCATCCGCTGGGTGAGTTCAGGATCAGCGTGGAATATAGTAAGTCTGTCGCCAGAGTTCGAGATCATGATGGCGAAGCGTCGATTTCCTCAGGTTCGTGTTTCAAAAAGACGAGTCGGGGGGTTTTCCACTGCACGTCGCGATAGTGCGAGCTCTGGTGACTACGGGTCCCTCACGTACTGGGTTTCCGGCGTCGATTGTTGCCTGATAATGGTAGCCCTGAGGGGATTGGCCGTTTTAGTGGGAGGGGAGCAATGAGCAATGCACAGAAACATACCATGCGAGCGAGAACACTGTACATGGTGACAATAGTTCGTCCGACCCTACAAGCAGAGCGGGTTTGATATAGATCAGAGAAGGAAGTGGCTGCTACGTACATCGCGAGGTCGAGATCGCTCGACGCGTTCCATGGGCTTGCCACAAACTGGACGGACCGCTTCGTCTTGCTTTTGCTGCGATCAATGGAATGGATGCCGTGGGGCCAAGTGATGAGGGCCTCCTGGTTGAGCTCCCCGAACTCGTCTTCGTCCGTCATGTTCTCGATCTCGAGCTGGTCCGAGGACCGGAGGCTGAGGAAGACGTGCACTAAGCGGCCAAAGGCACGGCAGCGGCAGCAGCAGCCCCCCAGGTTCGGCTCACGCTCCGGGTGCGGGAAGAGGAACGCGCGGGTACTCACGAGGCTGCCAGGCGGGGGCGCGCATGCGCGAGCCGCCGGAGCGCGTCCGCTGGCGGTGGACCGCGTCCTGGCTCCGTCCGCGGGAGATCTGCTGGGTGAGGGACGGGGCGGCGTCGCTCATCGAGGGCGGGTACTCGGGCGTGCGCGTGCGCTTGAGCGCGGACTTGAGCGGGCGGCCGGTCGCGATCATCCGGCCGGGGGTGGAGGAGCGCGAGAGGTCGCGGTCGAGGGGGCGGGGGCGGCCTGCGCCCGGGGTGCTGGGCGGCATCGCGGCGGGGTACCTCGGGAACGGCTGGGCGAGGGGGCGGGGCCGCCGTTGGCCTGGGGGTAGGCGTAGCCCTGGTATGCCTGCTGGTAGTATTGGTGCTGGGCGAAGCCTGCGGGTGGCTGGGCGTAGTAGCCGCGCTCGGAAGGGTAGGCCTGCATGCTGGGAGAAAGGCGTGGGAGGCGACCAGAGAGTGAGCGGGCGAGAAGACGGAAGCGGGTCAGAGGAGAGGCGGAAGGCGGGGACAGCCAGAGCGCGGAGGGAGCGGGCAGAGGAGAAGGGAGGGCGGTGGACTGAGCAGGCGTTTTGGAGCCACAACTGGCGCCTGCGAACCGTTGAAACGAGGCGCGAGGCAGGCCGCGGCCGCGCGCAAGGCGCAGCGAGCACAGCCAGCGCGACACGGCGGCCGGGCGTTGGGAGATGTGTGTGCACAGAGCAGCCTCTCGAGCATTCCGCCGCACCCAGAGCGATCGTCTTTCCCTCCTCCCCATCTCAGAACTACCAGTGCTGGATCCAATGTCGGCCCTCTAGGCGGTCTGCCAGCGTCTATTGCATGTGCCCGGCCCGTGTAGACGCTCAGACGCGCTGGGGCACACCGGACGACTGCGAGAAATCCCACTCGTCAGACTCTAGTCATCTTTCTCCTCCCCCTTCACCATGGCCTCCTCCTTCGCCCAGTGGATTCGCTCCCCCGCCGCCATCAAGTACTTTTGCAGTGCGTAGCTATCTCGCTCCTCTTTTTTCTGCGACCCGCTCACGCCGTTTCACAGGCACGCATTTCTGGGGCCCGGTCCGTGCGGTACAGCACACCCGTGTTGCACGGTCTCACCATTCCTTGGCTTTTCCAGGTCGCCAACTGGGGTCTTCCGCTTGCCGCCCTCGCAGATCTGAAGAAGGATGAGGATGTCATCTCGGGGCCCATGACGACTGCCTTGGCGTCATACTCGTGAGCCTTTCCGTTCGCACTTTCGCCGCTTCGCCAATGTTCAATTCCGCTCCCCGCTCCACCCAGCATGGTCTTCATGCGGTTTGGTACGTCCCCGTGTTCTTTTGCGGTTGGATGCTTTTGTTCAATCCGACTCCGCCTCTGCAGCATGGCGCGTACAACCCCGCAATTACTGTTGTTCGCGTGCCACGCGACCAACGCAACCGCGCAGTCAGTCCAGGGCTTGCGGTTCGTCAACTATTGGTACATGGGAGGGAAGGACAAAAAGGATGCGGCGGCCATCGCTGCGCCGCCCGCATCTGCTTCGTAGATTGCTGGCGAGGAGGATCTGAGGCCTGAAGGTTACCGAGGAGGACATGGCCGAGTTGGCTTCTTCAGGACCGCACCAGGACCACCTGCTATTCACTTGCACGTCGTTGCATGCTTTTCCCGTCTATAACTTACCCATATAGTAGAAACAGTGATAAAATCTCTCATGCCTACGATCGCGTACCCAAGAGGCATATACCCACACATCCTCGTCCAACCGTCGTGAGGGCATTTCACCAGAAACCATCGTCCGCATCGCGACCCTTGCCTTTCTTCCCTCCCTTCGTCTGTGCCAACACCTGCCGCTCGTACATCTCTGCAATCTGCTCGGACGTGTCAGCCCGGTCGACTGCGACACGCGCGTGGTGAGCGGACGCACCTGCTCTGGGCCCGTCGCGTCGTCCGCGCCCTTGTCCTCACGCACGCGAATGAACCGCGGAAAACGCAGCGAGATCCCGCGCTCCTCGACGATGCCCTGCGCCGCGGTGTAGATCGGGCTCAAGCTGAGGTCCGCCGCGAGCACCTCCCACACCACCTTGGGCTCGACCCACACGTCCGGCTTCGCCCCGCCCACCTTCACATCCCCTCGCGGCACGGCGGTCTCGAGCGGCGACAGCGCGCCGTGGTGCGCCTGCAGCGCCTCGTCCGAGAACCCCGTGCCGATCTTGCAGATCGTTTGGTATTCCTCCGAGTCGGCGTCGTAGCAGGCGAGGAGGAAGGCGCCGTAGACGTTGGTCCGCTTGCCCTTGCCGTGGTAGGCGCCGACGACGACTAAGTCGAGCGAGTCCCCGGCGCCGGCCAGGTAGTCCTTCTTGAGCTTCAGCCAGTTCACGGTCCGGCGCGAGGGCTCGTAGCGCGAGAGCTCGCCGTCGAGCATCTTGACCATCAGGCCCTCGCAGCCGTCCTTGACGGACTCCTCGAGGAACGTCTGGATCTCGTCCGTCGTGTCCGCGTCCGAGGCCTTGGCGAACTGGAACTCGAGGTCCACGGGCCGGAAGTGCTCCTGAAGCAGCCGGCGACGCTCCGCGAAGTCGAGGTGGAGGAGCGGCTGCGGACGGAAGGCGGGAATTAGGCATTTTGCGCCGGGATCGGGGGAGTGGGCTCACCTCGCCGTTGAGGTATAGCAGATCGAAAGCGAAAAGGCAAACTCGGACTTTAATGTCCTCGACCTTGACGTCCTTGCGCTTCCGTCGACTGAGCTCTTGGAAGGGAAGTAGCTTCGCAGTATCCACGTCGATGGCGACTGCCTCGGCATCGAAGACGAAGGTCTTCGTGCCTTCCTTCACGCACTACGGAAGGAAAAGGTCAGAGAATGGGTCAAGCCAGGGACAGATAGAATGAATGGAGCGACAAGACTCACACGCGGCAATTGCTCCATGAGGTCGGGATACTTCTTGCTCATGTCTTCAGAGTTTCGACTGAACACGGCGATGCTTCCGTCTTCAAGCTTGTGAACCTACGGCGGGCACTCAGCAACACAATGGTATGATGGAACCACCAACCCACCTGTGCGCGTTCTCCGTCGTACTTGTACTCGCAAGTGAACTTCTTGCCCTCGAACTTATCCAAAACCTCGCCGATCGCCTTAGTTGGCTTCGCCAGCATGGGTTTCAATGGCACTCCAGGTGTAAGCTTGCACTCCTCTCGGAGCCCGTCGAGCCAGCATTCAGAAGCGCGGGAATGACAAGGTCGTAGTTGGGCAGTTCGCTGTACACTTGCTTCAGGATGCCCGACGCTTCCCCAGTCGTGCCGTTATCTTCTCCATGTTCAGCTTCTTGCTCGCTAACAGAAGGGCGTCAATATAATCCAACATACAGCACTTGATGCACCCGCCTGCTTCCTGCTCGGCGAGAAGAGCAGCATGTGAAAGCGCGACCAAGACAGTGCGTTCGGCGTTGCCTATCCGAAGCTTTCCTTCCAGACTCCGAATAATATACTTCGCCTCTTGTCCTTGACATGAAGCTAGAAGTTTGGTAATGATAGACACTTTCTTGTTTTGCGACTGAGACCGGGGTCAGTCAATCCTAACGTAAATGTGCACCATTGGCCTTACCGAATGGCCGCTGCTCATCGCAATCTCTTTAAGATTCTTGAACACGACTGGCAGCGTCAGAGGCTTCGGTTTGAACAATGTCTTCTGGCTATTCTTGGAGTTCTGGATAGGACATCAGAGACGAACAATATTCCGTTGCAAACGTGCGAACCATTGCTACAAGTCCGAGGTCGCCTTCCTTCTTCAGGTCGGCTTTGACGACAGCCGTACTGCGGCCAGTGGACTCGGTGATAGCCTTGATGAGAAGGCTCTCTCCGATACCCAACTCAATACCCATGTAGTCGGGGCACAACTGAAGGAGTCTTATGAGGCGAACTGATTATCTGAGACAAGTCACATACTCGGTTGATGCACAGGTAGACGGCTTGTAACAAACTCTGCGTGTCCCCCGTTGCTCGTCGGCGAATCACTAATAGGAAGAAAGAGGTCAACAAAGCTGTCTTCTCAAGGCGCTTTGTGGTTGCCTCAATGAGCCCGAACACCTTGGCCAGAGCGGCGTAAGGCACGCTGATGAGACGGTCAGGACACTTTGGATGCGTCAATGTATGGGAAACGTACGGCTCTCCAGGCTTCCAACCGTTCGGGAGGTCGACATCTTGTGTGCGGGATAGTGCCTCTTGTGCACTGCACACGCCTGTGAGAGGAAGCCACAGGAAAGCTCAGGAACTCACCTCTGTGAGGCCATGCCTTCTTCTTCTTCTTCTTCTAGTTCGTCCAAGTCTACTTCCTCCTCCCCCTCATCAGCATCCTCTTCCACGGCCGAAGACATGGCGACGTCTCCCTCCTCTGGTTCATCCGAAGGAGCTTCCTGGACTTTGCCCTTCGACCTGGACGGCGCACTGACGCCGCTGGTCTTCGGCTTCGGCTTGACACTGGGACCGCCGGTCTTCGTCTTCGCAGACGACTTGGAGGCGGAGGGGACAGCATCATTGCTCGCATCTGTAGCAGCTTTGGTTTCGGATGCGCGGCTGACGAGACGCGACGGTCCCGCTGCTCAGCGGCGGTTCAGCGACCACAACAGCCCATATTGGATCGCGCACACCCACGTTCGGGAGCGTCCTCGTCGTCGGACTCCACGATCCTGCGCTTCTTGGCAGCCGGGTTCTTCACTTTCGGAGCGCGCACCGTTAGAATGAGATGGAACACAGACCGCAGCACGAACTCACCTTCCTTCGCGGGCGATGGTGAGCGAGGGGCTGAGGTGGAATCAGACGGGGACTCTGGGGCGGTGGCACCGGAGACGCACCTGCGGCAGCGCCTTTGTGCTCTCTTCGGCAACCTCTGAGCTCTTCTCTGGGCCACCGCCTTGGTGCTCCGCTTCCTCTTGCCTCCAAACGCGTCCTTGAGGGTGGTTTGGACAGGTGCCTGGGTGTCTGGCTTGCCAAAGAACTTCCCTGTGGCCGCAGTTAGATTACATCAAGCAGTATGCATAGCAAGCATACCTAAAGTTTGCTGGCGCCCCATGGCAATGCAGTGAACGTAGTGTGCGGTGAAAGGTGGGGCGGACGCGACGGAATGCGGAACGCGGCTTTGACGCGTGCTGTGACTGTTACCAGCATGTGTGACTCTACGCGACACGCCAAGGAGATCGGCGGCCTCTCCAGACAAGCCTGCAAAAGACAAGCAGACAGAGGCAGTAACACAATGGCAGGTTGAAGACAGGGACCAGGATTGCATAGGAATGTGCGAGAGCCATGGGCGGTGGCCACTGCGACGTGACAAGCGAAGTGACAGACGCGCCGCGCGCGAGCGCACTTGGTCTACCTCTGCCTTGACCAATGCCTTCACTCACGACCCTGCACCACATGGCGCACTCCGTTTTCCGTCACAGGCTTTCACCAACACAAAGCCCATGCTCATCACATGAGTCGATTGTGCTCGGACAGATGTCCCCGTGCGCCCTCACCTGCAGTGCGGAGTTGCCTGTTCATGCATGGCACCCGCTCTGATCAGTTTTTGAGTTCCGATACAGCCTTCGTGTACTGACCATCTCGCCCGAAGTCAAACGCAATCATGGCTTCCTCCCTTCCGTCCATTTGGTGTCCTCATCTGCGCTGCCCGGAATATAGCAAGTTCCACCCACACGCCCCTTCTGCCCGGCTCCCGGTATCAACATCGTGGCCGTTTCTGGTGGCATTGCGAGATATAGTTATGCCATCCACAACCTCCGGTGAGGGAGCTCGTCCAGTTCCCTCCTGCTCGACCTTCCTTCAGCGACTCTCCCCAGCGCCCGCGAGTTTGCAGCATCCCTACGGACTCGATGGATGTCCTCACGTCGGCGGTCATTGGCTTGGAGGTGCGTTACTCCGGTACATTACTTGACGGACCGGGCATAATGTAATGCGTGGTCCGCCCAGGCCACAAACATCATTCTATATCTCCTTCTCATATGCACCCCAGCACGAAAGCATTCTATGGTTCAAGGCCTCATCATCTGCTGTCTCCTTCGCTCAGTTCTGGACGTTGTCATGCCCCTTGTCTACAAGGTCTCGCCTTCACAGCTGGACAGCAGGCCTATAGAGTCCCCGTCACTGGCCACCCTGTGTGTCGCACAATCTATCCTGTGAGTTGACGGGGGGTGGGTGTAAATAATGATCAGCATTGACTGCTATTTCAGGCTCCGATATGCTACGGTAGTAAAGGCGGCCTTCGCGGTCAGCTTCACTTTGGTGATTCCCTGTTCTTACACGATCAAGGAGCAAACCTGCTTACTCCTATGCAGCCATTACTCTACTTGGCATTGTGCCAGCTTCAACCGACCCGTAGTGCCGATGAATTTCCTCGGCTCACGAAGAATTACGTTGGTGCGCTCTGCGCTGGGCCCTTCAGTGAGTAGGGTTGGGCACTCTCTGTGAGCTGCCTTGACTATTTGCCAACTAAAACACAGTATGGGCTCTCCCGGTGTTGATCACTCCAATCGGGCCTATTGTGAACGGTACACCCACTGATGTCGAGTTCAACATCGTGAGTAAAACTTCTTTGTTTTCGAGCTGGCGTTACGATTTTACCCTGAACAGACATCATGCTACTTCGAAGACCCGGCTTTTGCGATCGTTTCCTTGGTCTTCACCCTCGTGCCGCTCGCGGTAGCCGTCACGCTTACGGTGCTGATCGGTGTCGTCATCTGGCGGAACTCGCAGACTATGCTAGAGCGCTCAGGCTGGCATTTCATCAAGACTTCCCGCTTTATTCGCTTCACCGCCCTCGTCTTGGTGACCATAGTGTCTATGGCGTTGTATACTGTCGTTCTCACGCGGTGGATGTTGAATCATCGCCGATGGAATGGGGAACATCAAATGTGGACGCGGGATAAGTTGTGGCTCTTCGCTGGTCGGACAAGCGTCATATGGGAAGGTAAGTTCTCCATGATCTGATCTACATCATACACAACTCGAAACTTTTGCATAGCGGTCACTCCTCTCATCTTTTTTGTGATTTTCGCGGCACAAGAGGAGATATACGAGACCTGGTTGGTCTGGCTGTCGCGTTTTGGACTGCCGAGTAAATGGTTTCCAAGCCATCACTCAGGAACTGGCCTTCAAGTGGCTGGACAACATGGTATGACATCACATCCACATGGACACTACGGACCGTACTGACCATCCTGATAGTGATCTCACATGCGAACGTGTCCTCGTCGACAGTATTCGCTCGCCCACTAGACAAACAGCACCCAGCCTCGCCTGCGTTGCCGGCACATCCCAAAAAGATCCTCGCACGCGCACGAGCCTCTTCCCACTTCCGGCAAGGATATCAGCACCACGGAAGCCGCTGTGGACAAACTCAGTCTGTACATGTGGACAGCGGACATCCCCTCCCTCCACGATGTAAACCAGACGATGTTTTCACATCACCCGATGGTATGTCTCGGTTTCGATCGACCTTGTTGAATGGCCTGCCAATGGCAACGTCTGGTAGCCAGGCTTCGAATATCAGTCGTTATACGGACCACAGAGACATCAGATTCGAACCAGTGAATACATTCTACAGTACGTGATGCCCATCGGGGTCGTCCAATGTTTCTGCGAATGCGATACCATTGAGTGTATCTGTATTATATTTGAGGCTCTGTTCAACAATGTCACCCTTGGACTATCACTCCGTTTTCGATCATTGGTACAGAATTGGATGGTATTATCACGCGGCATTATAGGACAAATGTGGTACGAAGGACTTGCTAGTGTGTCTGGACAGAATTTCTGGCAGCGGTGACCTCAGAGCTCCGTTCAGGAATAGACGCCCTGGAGGCTGAAGCCGGCAGTCGCCGAACTGTACAGTTTATTGATGGTGGCTGGGCGGCAATATATTTGGCGCCCGTGCCCCGAAGCTTCAGCAACAAGCTAATCTGACTGGTCCATCCCTCCCATCCTCAAGACACCGCCGCACACCATGGCCGAACAGGTATGCATGTCATTTGCACATTGCGACTTTACACCCCTGACGACGTCGCTTTTTAGATTGAGAAGGCTTTCCAGAAGCAGCCTATCTTCCAAAACGCGAAGGCTCGCGGTGCGTCCCTAAGGTGTCTGAGGATGGCTCGGGAGGATGTTCATGGAGAGTGCGTTCGTAGGCGGTAAGAAGGTCTCCACCAAGGAGAAGCGGTGGTACAAGGATGTCGGTCTTGGCTTCAAGACTCCTGCGGAAGCCATCCAGGGTACCTACATCGGTATGTCTTGAAGTGTCTCTTGCATTACCTGTCGGCAAACCTTTGGATCAGACAAGAAGTGCCCCTTCACCGGCGAGGTCTCGATTCGTGGTCGCATCCTTACCGGTCGTGTCGTGTCCACCAAAATGACCCGCACGATCATCATCCGTCGGGACTACCTCCATTACATCCCCAAATACAGTGCGTTGATATGCTCCCGTTTGTTTTATGCGCTCGATCCTCAAGGCCTCGTTTCTAGATCGTTACGAGAAGCGTCACAAAAACCTTGCGGCACACCTATCACCAGCTTTCCGTGTAGAGGTCGGCGACCAGGTCACTGTTGGTCAGTGCATTATATCGCCTGTAGTCAAGTTTTTGCGTGCTTATCCCACGCAGGCCAGTGTCGGCCGTTGTCGAAGACGGTGCGTTTCAACGTCCTCCGTGTGTCGAAGAACAAGGCGGCGGCGAAGACGTTTGGCAAGTTCTGAGGAGGCTGCCGAGCGACTGCATCGACTTCAGGGGGCGTAGTAGGATATGGTATTATTGTTTCCTCATGTGCTATGACTGCATCAAAATGACACTGCATCCATGCGACGACAACCGGTATGAGTGTGCTGCGAGTGTGTGCATTGTGTGCGAGGCGAGCGAGGGACAGGCACTGGGAGAGGAGCGCAGGAGCGAGGCCATGGCGGAGGGAGTGCCAAGCCGCGGGTGGCGGGGGAGCGGAGGACCAAACAGTTGCCAAACAAGGATGAGGGCGTCCCGACGGTTGGGCCGAGTCGAGGAACGCTGGCTCTGGCGTCCACCACCGCCCTACTTGCCGTCCTCCCCCTCACTCTGTCCTGGTGTTAGTGTACCATATCTTCACGTTCTTACGACGCCCCATACCCCGTCCACCATTCCTTTCCCCACCTAACCCCCACTCTCTGTCAAGCTGGCGCCAACACTCCTCTCCGTGTTCACCTCTCGACTCTCGAAGTCCAGGTCTCAGTCACCTCAGCCTTCGTCGCCCTCGAGCGGTCCAGGAAACCTCCCGATGGGACAGCAGCAGTCCAAGAAGTCGAAGAAGGGCAGCAAAGACAAGGATAAGGAGGGCAGTACCGACGCTGGAGCTCCTGATGCCCCGAGCGCCGACTCCAACGATACGTCCGCCGCCAGCCTCTCCCGCGCGACGGGCTCCAAGGACCACGCAGCCAACGGGAATGGCCACGATGTCCTTGCGACGCCATCGACACCTGCCATGACGATCACAAACCCCGAGGGCGGGGCGGTCGTCCCAAACGGGAGTGGTTCAAGACCCCCCGGCTCTCCGAGCAGTTCTCCTAATGACGGCCTCGCCGACAACTCAGGCAAGAGTCCATCGGTCACATCATCTCCCCTGGCTCATGGCAAACCTGCTCCCCTCGATATTCCTATCACCCATACCATACTTTCCACCTCTCCAGGTTATCCCACCCCCGGGTCGACGAACAGCTTCTCTATCAACGAACCGTCGAGCGTCACGAACAAGGCGAACGGGAAGGATGCTGTGAAACAGCTGGACATCGATGACATGATCCAGCGGTTGTTGGATGTCGGGTACACGGGCAAAGTGAGCAAGTCGCTCTGTCTCAAGAACGCAGAGATCGTCGCAATTTGCCAGGCTGCCCGTGAAGTGTTTCTCAGCCAACCGACGCTCATTGAGCTTTCACCACCCGTGAAGATCGTTGGCGACGTACATGGGCAGTATTCCGACCTTATCCGCCTGTTCGAGATGTGCGGATTCCCGCCGGCGGCGAACTACCTGTTCCTAGGCGACTACGTGGATCGAGGGAAGCAAAGTCTTGAGACCATCCTCCTTCTCCTTTGTTACAAGATCAAGTACCCCGAGAACTTTTTCCTCCTCCGAGGTAACCACGAGTGCGCAAATGTCACCAGAGGTACGTCTCCTGTCTACACACCCCGGCGTCTCTCCGTCTTACACGTCCAGTGTACGGCTTCTACGACGAATGCAAGCGCAGGTGTAACCTGAAGACCTGGAAGACATTCATTGACGTCTTCAACTGTCTCCCCATTGCCGCCATCGTCGCGTCGAAGATCTTCTGCGTGCACGGCGGACTTTCGCCCTCTCTGCACTCTATGGAGGAAATCAAACGGATACAGCGACCAACAGACGTCCCCGACTACGGCCTCCTGAACGATCTGCTATGGTCAGACCCTTCGGATACCGCAGTGGACTGGGAAGACAACGAACGCGGAGTCAGCTATTGTTTCGGAAAGGCCGTCATCAACGACTTCCTCTTGCGGTATGACATGGACCTCATCTGCCGAGCACACATGGTTGTGGAGGATGGCTACGAGTTCTGGAACGACCGGACTCTGGTGACCGTATTTAGCGCGCCCAACTATTGCGGAGGTGAGTCATAATTTGTCCGCGACCTCGTGCGCTACTGAAAGCATTCCCTCAGAGTTCGATAACTACGGCGCATGCATGAGGTTTGTGCCTTCCGTCGCTGCATCGTAGGGCCGTCTTCTCACTCCCATGCAGTGTGTCTGAGGAGCTCCTCTGTGCGTTCGAATTGCTCAAGCCTCTAGATGGACCGGCACTACGAAAAGAGATGACCAAGGCCAAGAGGAAGAGGTTTGTCACGTCAACTTCTTGCGTCGACTAGGTTCTCACTGTCGCTGCCCGCAGCATGATGGCCAACACGACCTGATCGTGTTTTGATATATGTGCTTGGAGGGTGTCTATACGAGTATAATCGCCAACGGAGTGTCTACCCACATCCGTCCCGTGCGTGGTCAAAGCCAGCCTCCCCCCTCCGAGCATAGACTTCCGCGCATCGCCCGCTGGGAACGTCGACACAACATATGGAGTAGGGCTGGCCAATCGACCGCGTGCGCGGACGGCAACTTGTCGGTCCGCCCATACTTAACTTAACACGTACCCTCGTCATCGTTGTCTCGCTCTCTCCAGTGCTGTTGGCCACTCTCAGGGATCACCGTTTGTGTACACACGCCGCTCATTGCACTCTCCACCTCGACGTCTGTGTCCACGCACCCTCTGTCTGTCTGTACGTACGTGCCCCATTCCCTTCGTCTATGTCGATTGTCCATGTCGTTTGGATCCCCGGTTACCCCTTCGTCTGTGCTGTAGCCCATCTGCCCGTCCGTTTCCTCACCTCCTCCTCTACCCTCACTTCATCACCTCTCTCACTGATTTCTTCGCCCCAAAACTCTCGCGCTTATTGGTTTTTGCGGGGATCGGATATCCTGGAACTTCCTCCCTCGCCCTGCCCGCGACCCGGCTGGACCCCTAAGGGCGCCATCGTTCGCTAAGCACCGCAAACGACGCTCGCTCAATTCGAGGCCGACAAGCGTCCGAGAGGGACGAACGGCAACATAGTCGTAGAGTTCATGCCGCCCGGGGACGAGCTTCTTGGAAGGGAGAAGCAGAGCCGCGTGCCGGGATGCCAACGAAGCCGCCGAGGCGTTCGTGCTCCAACGCTCGCACTTACTGCAGTACTGGTCCGCGTGAGCGGTGAGGCAAATCTGCTTCTCGCGCGCACGAGGCTCTCCAACAGTTGCGTGTCCCTATCACGGCAACCTCATGCGACGCGAGCCACACGCGAGCCCTGGATTTCCTCGGCGGGCCACGGAACCATCCTTGACACGGCTTTCCCAGACCTCCACCGGTGTCTCCTTCCGGAGTATCACGCGCGCGTCGGTCGCCCTTGACATTTTGCTGTTTAGCGCCCTTCAGCGCAACGCAGTGCGCGGGTTTTGCGCGCCGGGTAGGCTCGCGACGAACACAGACGTGATGTGCGCGAAGTGCGGCCTGATGCGAGACCACGGTTGGAGAGATGCTGCGACACACGGTGCGGAAACGCGCCGGATGAGGGACAGGAGACATCGACAATGCGGAGATGGACGATGGAGACGGAAGATGGAGTGTCTCTTTGGCTCGTGCGATCGATTTGTATGCGAAATGACAGGGCCTCCAGTGGGCAGAAGGGCGGTGGCGCGATAGAGTGCGGTGTGTGAGCCGCAGCGCGGTTGCATGGCAATCGGTGGCGAAACGGACGTTACCTTGCACCCCTACGCTGACAGAAGCCGCTATCTTCCCTTCATCATATCATATGCCAGAATCCCGAACGCGAGGACGATGGATCCACATCCCAGCAAGCTCCAGACCGTGATGGTCTCCACGGCGTTGCCGAAAACGGCGTCGGAGGCGAAGACGAGCACGATGGTGAGCAGATTGCCCACGGATGTCACGATGGGGCCCCAGACACCCAACAGAACCTACAAATGAGGTTTAATGAGGACTGTGCAAGGAGCACTCAAGAGGACCCATGAGCGCACCATGAAGCTAGCGTTGAATATGGAACCCGTGATTGCGATGCACAGTATGGTGAAATACGTCCGAACCCCGTGTGGCAGCTCGAAGGGAACGACACCCCAAGCGTCCAGCAGCGGCACAGGTACCCATAACAGGACGCAGGTGCACAGCCCAATAAGGGATGTGAGCAGGTTGGGGAAGAGGCCGAATGGGAGAGGGCGGATGATGCCGTCATTGAGGGCTCTGCTTTCCTCCATCACGGCCGCCTCATCGTCGTCCATCAGCGCATCCTCTGCAGAAGGAGCGAGGCGAGAGTAGCGGCGCTCAGCCTGGACCTCCGGATCGTTGGGCAGCACGGCGTAGACCTTGTAGAGTACTTGGTATGCACCGTACCCGACGGACGCTGCGAGCGTCATGAGGTCGCCTATGAGAGCAGTCGTACTCGCTTGCTGTGCGGAGACGGCGTCCGTCTTGTCTGCTTCTAGGTGGAACCACCGTAGATGACCGCGAGGGCTCCAGCGGTTGCGATGACCACTCCCAGCAGCCGGTGAGGATCGACTTGAATCTTGAGGAAACTGATCGTGAAGATATATGCGAAGAACGCGTTGGTGTTCCAGAGGGCGGTGACGTCTGTCACACTGAGCAGGTATTCAACGAAGCGTTATAGCGGGCCAAGGGTATTCACTCACGGAGCCATGGTGACTGCCACGAACCACAGCAGGGAGGGTACAGACATTCCTATCGTTAAGAATATGACGAGGCGAGTGATTCTCCATGTGGGGAAGATGGAAGGACCCTGTGTGATGCCTTCCGCCTTGGGAGAGAAGTGTTGCAGCAGAGCGTCGAGAATACTGTCACGGAGCGCTTCGAAGGTGTGCTGGGATGTTGCATAGAGGTATAGTGCATGCAGAGGGAACATCAATAGGAATGAAGAGTGCACGATGTAGCTGGCATCGTGCTTCAGCGATTTGGCACTTGTGTGAATGCACTCAAGCCTCACAATATGAGGTAGGGGTGTCGGAAGCCGAGAGACGTCTGGACATACTGTAACCGGGTCTCAGCATCGATAGAAATCGCAGCAACAAGGGACATACCTGCGTCAGCTGGGTCTCTGCCACGAACGCGACCAAAGCAACTGTGAATAGGGCGACCGCGGGCTTTCCTCCGAGGTGGACGGCCGCATGGTGCTGCGAGGACATCTATCGGGGGCGGGGACGTTGAAGCGACTTGCTAGCGCACTGAAAGCGGCATGGAAATGAAGAGAGACGATCTGCGCAGGGAAAAGGGCTGGCGGTTGGGCTCTTGCCCGCGGCCGTCCTGCTTTCCGTCCTCCATCTCCGACATGGGGTCGCCGCTAGACGCCGACCGCCCGGTGCCTTCCACCAATCACATGCCGTCCGCTCCGGCCGGCTTGGCTGGAAGAGGAAAGGCCCTGGCCGGGGCCCCGGCCGGCCCCGGCGTCCACGGCTCTGGCAGACAGCAGGAGAGGGAAAGACTCCGCATCCTCAGCTCGCCGACCGCCATGTTGCGTGCCCTCCTTGCCTCCTCTCGCCCTCTGCTCGCGCGCGCCCGGGCGGCGTCCGTGCCCCTCCTTCACGCTCACCCGCACCCCCACCACCATGCGTGCGCTACCGCGTCAGCAATCCCGATGCTCTCGCGAGGGATGAAGGTCCGCGCCTCGGTCAAGGTCATGTGCGACGGCTGCAGCATCGTCAGGCGGAAGGGAAGGATATACGTGATCTGCAACAAGAACCCGAAACACAAGCAGGTACGCCGTGCCCGCTCTCGCACTCCACGGGCGTCGTTGACGTGCCCCGCAGAGGCAAGGATGAGGAGCGAGCCTCGGCCACCCCACGCGCCATTCGGTGTCCCACCACCCGCACTACTCTGTATACTCGCATCCCCGTATAATCATCATACACACACTGGGCCGGGCGGCACCTACTGCCTCACCCACATCTGGAACTCGTACTGCACCCCGTTCTCCTCCTGCACTCCCGCCGCGACCTCGAACCCGACCCACTCCTGCAGCTCCTCGTGCGACGCCTGGTGCCACGGCTGCTCCGCGCACTCCGACGTCGTGACGAAGTCGGGCATGAACACGTCGCAGCCCTCGAACGCCGGGGCGAGGATGCGCGTGAGCAGCACCCGGTCGACGAACGATTTGGCGGACAGCGCCAGCGCCAGCGTGTCGCGGTACAGCGACGCGCCCCCGATGACGAATGCGCGGTGGACCTGTGCGTCTTGCGTCTCCGCCGCCGAGAGCCGGCCAAGCGCGTCCTCCAAGCTCGTGTGCAGGTGGACCGAGACGCACGACGTCGCCGGCGACTTTCTGAGGGAGTTTGTCTTGTCTGAGCGCCGAGGTTCTCTGCGTTTTCGCGGTGCCCCCCACTCACAGATCGTACTGCGCGTTGCTGCTGACCACGACGTTGAGCCGCTGGTTGAGCGGCCGGAACTTGGGCGGGATGCTCTCCCATGTGTTCCTCCCCATCACCACCGCATTCAAGTGGCCTTCCGGCGCGGCGGTCGTGACGCGCTTGAAGTACGCCATCTCTTTCGAAAGTCGCCATGGGAGCTGTGAGTTCTGGCCGATGCCATTGTTCCGCGTCGCCGCGACGATGAGCGTGAGGCGGGTCATGGTACGGTGAAGGGAAAGGCAAAGAGCGCGCCTGAGGCTTGAGAGCAACGGCCCAATGAGGCGCCTCCGTTCATAGGTGCATCCCATAACCACCAACCTACCGCGCGTTGCACAAGCTCTTTACCCAGGTTTTCTATGTAGTATGGAAGAACAGTGACGTCGGATGCTGGATGACTGTTGGAAGCGCCCATGGGGTTGGGTAGCGGTTGTGTACAAATGGAATGGTATCGTGTATCCTTGGTATCGCGGCCAGATGTCTAGCACCCTCCTGCGCTCGTTTTATTTCATCAAATAATCCCCGCTGGGTTTCAAACGAGCGTAAATATGCTCTGTGAGTATGCCGAGATGGCAGATGGCCATGAGGCCTTGCGGCGAATACCACATGGAATTTGAGAACGTATAATCACATCGGACATGTCGGAAGTTCCAGGATAGACTATGGTCGCAAATGATAGTATTGGAGCGTGATATGGGCGTAAGCTAGCGTTATACAAGTAGGTGTAGATCTATAAATCGTCAAACAGAGGAAAGTCCGCTCAAAAGTCCCAGATCGTCATGTCAACATCCTCTGGCCTGCACATCTACACTGATCGGGGAGTACGAGTCTTGGTGAGCTCGTAATCCCCCTCCTCGCTCTTCTTCAACAGACGGCCGGGGTGGAAGACGTTGAGCGTGAACATGCCCAGGGTGATCATGACACCGTCGAAGACGACTGTGCAAGGCAGTTAGCAACGAGTCTCCCGAGTCTGCTTGAATACGACTCACTGAAAAGCCACTCAGTGTGAGCGATCTTCCCGTTAAAGCCGCCAGCGAATTCGATAATACGGTAGATGGACCTGTGTTTGCACACTCTTGTCAGCAAGGACGATGGTAACAAAAAGAGCTTGCGCGTACCGGACGTATATGAAGAACGTGCTCAAGGTGATGCCCGCCAACAGGAACTTCACATTACGGTCCATGGGAAAGCCGCGGGTAACCTCCTTGTGGTACGGCCGCTCGTTCGCCCGGCGCCAGACGAACTCAGCCATGAGGGTGCAGAAGACGGTAAGCGAGACTAGGAGCTAGTCAGAACTGTGAGATCCCGAACCGGGGGATTGAACGCACAGATCTGGATCCCCAGACCGACGAGAATGATGTCGCTGCCCGTCTTAACAGCACTCGGGTTGGTGGGGCCAGTCGCAGCAAGGCCTCCACCGCCGCCGGTGATGAGAAGGCACAGGATGTCTACTGAGAGGAAGATGCGAGAGTCTGCAACAGTCCAATTAGTTGTGCAGAGATTTTTCCGGGCCGCGGCAGATGAACATACACCACCGGGGAGTGAGACGGCTGTACTGAGGGCCGACATGGGTGACTATACGGCGTAGGCCAATGAAGAGCGCGGCTACAAATGGAGTGGGCGCAAGGACAAGTACAGTAATTCTGTGGAAATTTGTCAGCATTTGACTCGAAATGAGTAGGCGAGGAGACTGACTGAATGATGTAGGGATGGAACGAAAACGGGTTGGAGGCGGACTGTATCCGCGCCGCCCACCCAACAACCTCTGCGGCACCTGCAATGACCGCTGTTGGGAACAACCACCACGCTTTTGCCCTCGTGGCTTGGAATGTATGAAGCACTGGACAATCTGGAGTTCATACGGCGCCGAAGGAGCGTCAAAGGAAGGACTCACGTGTTGTGATGCCGAAGAGGACGACAAAAGCGAGACCGGATTCCTTGGAAGGGGTGTATCCATAGAGGTTGGTGGTGTTGTCACCAACTGCGAGAGTGATTAGTCGAGCGTGATTGAAAACGGGTCGGAAGGCAGACATACGCATTGTAGAAGAGGTGCGCTGTTGGGGCGGGAAAGATGGAGGACGGAGAACGGGAGGAGGAGAAGACCGGGGGCAGTCTGAGAGATCTGGTCGGTGACATGATGGCTTATAAGTCGTGCAGAGAGGTTGGAACGGCGTGGGGGCTGTGTACTGTAGGTAGAGCCTGACGGCAGAGGTGTCGAAGCTCGGACTCGCCGCCGAGAAGGATCATGGGCCGAGCCAATGCGGAGGTGCAGGCGTCGAGCATAGTGGATTGCGCAGTGCGCTAGCAATGGCTATGCCCTGTTCCTGGGGCGCTCGGAGTGGTTACGGAAAATGTTGTGAGCACTTGACGGAGATGAGGCGGAGACGCCCCTGCGCGGGCTCGGGGCGTCAGCGCGGTGACCAACTGAATGGGCCAACCTCCGACAGGCGCCCGCGCTCGGGGTCGCCTCCGAGAGCCTGTGGGCGCTTCGTGCATTGTTTGTGGCCACCAATTTGACGAATGCCTCCTCCATCGACATGCGGCACTCAACCGATTTCAAGTCATCGACTGCAGCGGGCGTACAACACACCATCCTCGCACCTGGCGCGAGGCAGTAAACTTGGCGCCTCCATCCCGGCGACAATCTCATTATCTATCGCGACTGATCACAAACTACTAAAGAGAGCGTCCACGAACACCGAGAGGTAAATGAACAAGGTCCACGAAAGTTGAATCTACACCACGGTGTTGACGCGGCGCGAGTTCTTGGTCACCAGCGGCATAGCAGCCTCATGGACCTTCGCAGCCTTTCCCAGCAGCCGCCCGGGGTGGCACGCATTCAGCGTGTACATGGCGAGGACGACCATTGCGGCATCGAAGACGTCTATGCCGCACAGTTTAGTCTGCATATGCTCCGTCTGAAGAGTCAAGACTATGGTACTCACTGAACCACACTTCGGTCCGGATGATCTTGCCGGTGAAGCCGTCCGCGAGCTCGATCGTCCGGTATACCGCACTGTCCCATCGAATCAGCTCAGTCCGTCGGCCTTCTCACATCCACATGTCCTGCGCCCAACTTACCGAATGTACAAGAAGGTCGTCTCGGCCGACAGCCCGACAAGCAACATCTTGAGGGGTTTGATTATGCGAGGCTTGTTGGAGGACGTGCCACCAGAGGCGCCGCTCGACATGCGCACTAGCGAGGGGCGCAGAGGACGCCCTTCGTAGTATCGCCACACGTACTCAATCACGAGCGCACAGAACACGGTGAGGGAGGCTGAAAGGTGGGTATCAGCGCTCGGACGCTGATCCTGTTCTGGGTGCGACTTACCCAGCTGGAAGACGATGCCCGCCAGCATGATGTTTGAACCCTGCGGAGATAACTTAGCTTGAGACCCCAGCCTCGGCACGGACAGGCTCACCAACTGGGAACTAGCGTGATCAGGGCCGGCGGTCGCTGCAATCCCACCTCCAGTGGACTGAACCAAAAGAGCCACGAAGTCCTGCAAGACACACGTATTTTGAGAGCTGCTCCGATATTAGCGCCACTGATTCCTACTCACGATTGTGAAAAAGACCTTGGAGTCTGCATGAGTGCGTCCCTGGTCAGTAAGAACGTCCGAACTACTAGGTCCGACTACTAACAGAGAGCGGAGGGCAGCCGGCTGTACTGGTCGCCCAAACAAACGACGACACGCCCGAAGGTGATGAACAGTGCGCCAACGAGCGGAGTTGCGGCTATAATCGTGCACACGATTCTGCGGCGGGCGTCGTGTCTGAGTCAAGGAAAGGGGATTTAGAGTTGAAAAAACGCACTGAATGAGAAAGCCGTTGCCGTTGAGGGGATCGTAACTTGACCACAGTCTCCCGGCCCAGCCGATGGCCTCTCCGATGCCGGCGAGCATCGCCGTTGGGAGGAGCCACCACATACGGTATCGAATCGACTGCCCCAGATGAAGGACTGCACGCGTGCGCCGTTAGCCAACTATCTAAGACCAAGCAAGGAGCATTTCTCACGAGTAGTGACGAAGAAGAGCACGACGAAGGTGTAGCACACCCATTGCGTGGGCCAGTAGCCATAAGATGGCGAGATGATATGGCCGCCGGAGTCGTGCTGGATAGGATCTGTCGACAGGCATGTGAGTGAACGAGTCATGGGTTAACAGGTTAACAATGGGGGTTGGTGCGTACCTTCGGAGCTCATAGCGGGAGTTGTGAAGAACCACTGCAAACAACAGAGGATGTGGAGGAGAAAGTCCTGATGAGCTGGCTGGGACCGGCGCATCCCATCTGCTTTAATACCGAGGGTCGAGCACCCACGAGTGCCTATCATACGTATGAGCAGCTGCGGGGCCCGGACGCCCATCAGAAAGCGGTGACCGTCAGGAAGCTGCACGCAGGCGAGAAACTGCGGAGGTTCCGGAATCGGAAGACCATCGAGCCGGGAAAGGCGGCACATGCTGGACGTAAGAACTGGTGGGTTTGGGGATGGCGCTCGCAGATGCGGCGTAAACGGGAGTCGTCGACAGCAGACGGTACGGTGCCGTCGATCCATTCTCGGGAGGGTGCATATTTGCAGGCCGTTACGGGTTACTTGTGGTTGAGCGGAGGATTGCCGGCGAACGTGGCATCCAGGACTGCGGGCGTTGAACTGCGCGAGTCCCTCAGATGTCACTCGACCTGCGTCGCAGTCGTCAGAATCGTGTGACTGTCAACGTGCATCGTCAGTCGGACTACCTGCGCAGCCTCGTGGGCTACTCACCTCCGCCTACCACCGTTGAAAAGTGACGTGGATCGCCTATAGAGTCCGCCGGTCTCGGATGTGACGACTGAGCGTCAACTCTCGAGCCAGGCATCTTGCGACAAGCGTTGCAGCCCCCCGTCTTCACCGCTGGGAGCTTCGCCAAGATTTCGCGCATCTGGCGAAATGGAGGGTGGCCCAGGCACTTGGTGGTTGCAGAAGACGAGTTGCCGACAGCACCGCTTCCCGGACAGCGGCCCGTAGGCGCCCTTGCCTTTCGACCTCCACTGCTCCCATCACGGCAGAGAATTCTCCCCCCGATCGGAGAAAAGTAAGGAAAATCCCCACTGAGATGATGACTGAGGCACGCCCGCGAGCAGGCCGAGATCTCAGACCACGCGCCGCGCACTGCCAGAGCGGGGCGACACGTCGTGCGTGAGTCGCGAGTTGGGCTAGCGGCGGTGACGGTCGTTCGTACCAGTAACGTCGGACTGAGGTGCGGAAGGCGGCAAGTAGCATAACTTGGCAACTTCCCCGGTGCTATCAGAGAGCGAATGAATGAGATCTCGGCCTTCTGTATACGTCTTCAGTCGCTCCCTCTTTTGTCATTATAAATAATCATTAATGTGCGGGGGTAGAGATAGGATACCCGGCCACTGCAGGATGCGTCCTTTCGAGTTAAAACGCGTGGATAGAGTCCGAGGTCTCCATCGAGAATCCCATGGCGAGAGAAAGAGCTTTAGTCTCTGTAAGGGCTGTGGCTGTGCATGAGCAAGGACTTGCGATGCATAGAGTCCGACTCCTTGATCCCAGATTCACATGCGTAAGCAGGGTGTTTTTGACCAGCCAGGAGCCATCCGGGATGGAGGATCGCAAGGGTGTAGATGGCCAGAACTACCATGCCCCCATCTAGAACATCTGAACCAATCGTTAGCGGATGAGCGCGTACATGATACTGAAGCGCACTTACTGAAGTAAACCTGGGTCTGGATGATGGGTCCGTCGAAGCCATTCACAAGCTCAACTGTGCGATAGACCGACCTAAGGCGGATGGATCCCAGTCAGCCACCGTGGCAGTCCGGGGTAACATGCGGCATCACTGACCGAATGAATAGAAAGAGTGAATCGAGACAAACGCCGAGGACCATCAGCTGCATATGGGCGTCTATGGCACCGCGGCACAGCGCGAACGATGACTGCGCCGCGGACGGCGACTTCGACTTGCGGACGGGCCTGTCGGCGGCGTAGCGAATGAAATACTCGACCATGAGGGCGACGAAGACGGAGATCGACGCTGCGCATATAAGTGGGAGGACCGGAGCGTGAGAAGCGCAGGTGGTTGTTCGTAGGGCGCAGTCAGCGTACCTAGTTGAAAGACTATGCCACCCAGCATGATGTTGCTTCCCTGTATCGTCGAAATCGGAGTCCGTCATTTTGTCGCAGCACGCGTGTGCACCAGAGACTTACCAGGTTCAGCTGATGCTGGTCTCCATCTGCGGAACCTGCGAGTCCACCGCCAATGCCTTGGGCGTTCAATGAGATAAAGTCCTGCATAAAAACAAATGTTAGACACAAGATACATGCTGAACAGGTTACACCTACACATGCCAGGAAGATTCGCGAATCTGTGGGTGCCTCAATCAGCAGGGTGACCGGCCAGGGGAACAATCAGAACGTACACCACTTGGGCGGAAGTCTGCCGTACTGCGTACCGAGCCGCTCAGAGATTAGCTCGAAGCAGAGGAAGAGGGCTGCGACCAGTGGAGTTGGGGCCATGATCGTAACAGACATTCTGCGCTCAGCGTGAGGCACTGTCAAGCATGCGTTCTGCTCAGGAGCGCTTACTGCATTATGAATGCGTTCTTGTTCAGCGGATTGATGCTGGACCAGAGGCGCGCGGACCAGCCCACAACCTCGCTCAGTCCGCACAGGGCCGCAGTGGGTAGAAGCCACCTCATGCGCCAGTAGAAGCTTTGCGCAGTATGTATCACTGCACGAACAGATACATCAGAAAAAAACTGTAATCATCCGTCGAACGCGCACATACCAGCGGCGAGAGTGAAGAGAATAATGAAGGTAATGCATACGCTCTTCGTAGGAACATAACCGTAGGAGTTGCGGGGGTCATGAGCCAAGTCAACAGGCACTGCGATTCGAGCGATTAGCGATATCCAGTAGAGCCACAAGTCACGCATGTCTACCAGAGTGTTCATGTCACTGGACTGAGGGCTTGAGAGAAAAAATCGAGGGAAAACTGTGAGATGCAGTTCCCCACAGACTCTGGCCTATATATCACGACACTTCATGCATCTCTTGCTCCGATCATCACACCAAGGTGACGCCTCTCCTGGGCGATAAAGTGAGCGGAAGTAGTGGCGATGCACAGCGGCTGTAAACGCACCACGTGGAGGGGGCGCCCGGGTGCTCTTCGATGCAGCTCCTGATGCTTGCTCCGGTCATCATGGAAGAAGCCTCGACATGTAACCTGAAGTTTATTGTACCGGTGCTGCTCTGTCAAGGATACCAATGAGATTTTTCACTTTCCGGCGAGAACGCACCCGGGTCCGTTAATGGCTGAGAGTATGCGCGCTGTGTGCTGCGCTGGGCGATGAGAGCCGATACGTGCACAACCTGACGCTCGCGATAAGAGTATACTTCGGGGCAGAGAAGAGCAACACAATCGACGGATAGCTAGATTTGCAAAGTACAACAATTTGACAGTCAACTTAGGAGAGAAAGCACACACTTGCATTCGTCCGTTCTCCAAATTCCCAACGTCACACGCAGACATTGTCTTCTTCAAGCCGCCCATTTCTTCCACTCGCTCCCTTCAGGCGGCTTGACTTCGACGTTTCCCTTGCCGACCTCAGTCCAGTTCGTGCTGAGCGTCGTGCCGCCACTCTCCTGGTAACTCTTGAGCATCGCGCGACGAGTGTCATCGTCTGCATCTGCGTAAAGTTTCTTGAAGAAATCGTTCACCGCGGCGTCACCACCAGCGTTCGGGTCCTGGTCGGATGTAATAGGCTTGTCTTGCTTGAGGATATCAGTCGTAATCCCCTCCCAGTTCTTCTGCTGCTTCCGGGCGGTGGCAGTGGGGGCTGCCGACGTAGGGAAGGAAGAAAGGGCTACGGTGTGCGCGCGTGGTGTCAGATGCTAGAAGCGTGGGCAGAGAAATTGGGGACGCACGATCAGGAGCTTCGCCCACCAGGCCTCCCCATCGCCCCTGAGCCATCTTCACGAGCCGGATCTCCACCTTCACCTTTCCGACGGTGAAGTCGCATTTTGATGCGTCGATCTGGCCCTTGAGAGGCTCGAGGACGAGGATCTTGTCGCCATTGGTGTACGAGAACTGGCCGCGACATTCTCGGCGGTGAGGATGCGTCGATCGCACGAATGCGGACTGCACTAACCTTCCTGGGCTCAAAGGTGATCTGCACCTGGGCGGGGTCTGCGCCCTTGTCGAAGATAGAGAGGGTAAGCCTTTCGTCCGTCTCGTAAAACTCGTGCCTGCAGGTGTGCCACTCAGATCCTTCCGCCCCTAGGGAGCGGAGAGACGTCTGGACATACCTAGGCGTGGTCATGGCTCGGGTCCTGGAGAGCGATGAGAGTGGGACGGAATGTTGCGCGAGATGCTGGCTGAGTGACGGGGGTGAGCAGCGACGGGTCCTTGGACAAGACGCATGATGGTGGACGCTGCAGTTATTCAGGGCCAGGAATGGCAGGGACGCGAATATTCTAGAAGCACGTGAGCGACGCGACGCGCAGGTCCGGAGATGCAGATCGGGTGTACACCTTCGCCTATGACGTCATCCCTGTCTCATCCCGGACGGTCGAGCGACGACCGTCTCGTCTCGTCTGGGGAGATCTCCACTGCGACTACTTCTCCCCCTCCACCTGCACCTCAGTACTCAGTCCTGACCTCCTCTTCGACCCACCGCCATGGCTGCCCCGCTCCCCAAGGCCGCGCTCTACTACAGCCCCCAATCGATATGGGCCTCAGTTCGTAAGTGTCTGCATTCTCGTCTGCACTGCTCTTCTCACCCCACTCCCGCGTCACAGCCTTGCTTGCTCTGTGAGTGATCGGATCCACTCTTGATCATTGCGACCATGCCCCTGACATCGCTTTCAGTGAGGAGAAGGGATATGGCAGCGATGAGGTCGATCTCAAGGCAGTAGACATTGGTGCAGTGTCGCCTTTTGGGGTCGTTTTCTGGATATGGCTGATAAACTATCAGCCAAGGGCGAAAACTTCGCTCCTTCCTATCTGCGTCTCAACCCTAGTGGCAAGTCTTGTCTTGTGCGCACGGCGTCTTCGCCTCATGTTACCTCCCCGCGCCCGTAGGCACGGTGCCGACCCTCGTGGTTCCTCTCGAAAAGACACTCTCACCGGAAATCGAGAGCCGCTACAAGGCAATCCAGGACACCAAGGTGCCACTTCACTCGAAACTGTGATGTCATGCGTGCTCACACCGGCCTTCAGTCCATCGTGGAATTCCTCGACAAGTCGCGGTCGGCTCAGTCGCGCACCCACACCACCTCCTCCGCGCCGTCACCGTCGCTGACAGCCGCTACCATCGCTTTCGCCACAACCTCCAGCCTCATCATTCAGCTGCTTCACAGTCCGGAGACAGACCCGAATGCCTTGTACTACATGAACGCGCGCTCTGACGAGGAACTCAAGGCTTTGGCGCAGCAGCTTACCCCATTCCTCGCAGGCCGCCATGACGCCCTCGCCACGCTCATCGCGGACAGCAATTCCGACGCAATAATCGTTTCGGAGAAGACCAAGGCGTTCTGGAAGGTGAAGAAGCTGGCGACCGACAAGTTCATTCAGGTCTTCGAGGTGGCCGACAAGCCAGCGTCGGAGTTGTCTGAGGAGGCGAAGAAGTGGCGGGCAGATTATCTCCAGTCTGCACGTGAGGCGTGGAACACGCTCAAGGACGGCCTGACCACTCTCAATACAGAAATCATCGGGCCGTTCGCACTTGGTGAGCTTCGTTCGGCGCGGCTCGAATCGGTCGAGGATACTGACTACGGATACGTAGGCGACCAGCTTTCCATTGCAGACCTTCATCTCGCTGCGTGGCTCGCCCGCATCGCGTTCCTGGCTGGTGCGACCACGTCGGACGACGGCGGCACGGTACTCGCGAAGATCGAAACGCACCTTGGCGACGACTTCACGCTCCCGAAAGACTTCTCTGTCGCAGAAGCGCGGAGAAAGGCGGGTTTGGTGAGTGCCGACGTCGAGACGTCCGAGAAGCAAAGTAAGCTCGCGGCGTTCTGGGACGCGATGAAGGACCGTGCAAGCTGGAAGAAGGTGTATGGCGATGGCTTGCACTAATTCCTGCGGCGGGCTACGGCGGTGTTGGTCGTGCGCTTGCGGGTGCGGTTTGATGTGTATTCCTGAGCGGGACTGGAGAGTTTCAATGTACTAGATCCGTGATCAGTGGAGACGGCGTCCATGGGCCTCGTGAATGATGGTGTGGTGTACGCGGGAAGAAGTTATGCGAGTTGTACTTGTACTCCATGGAACATTGTTACGTTATGTCTTGAACCTCGCTCCGAAAGGAAACGCAAGTGCTGTACGAAACAGCACTGCCCACTCGCCGCGAGGCATGACACAGGACTCGGCCGCGCTTGGGGAACCTTTTGCCCGGGCGAGAGCCTTATCGATACGCCTGGATTGTGCTGACCTCACAATGCGTGTTGAATACGAGCACACGCTGAAGCAGTGGATACGCAACATAGCGCTCACGGGCTCTAAACCCATGTATGACACGCAAGTGGGGCCAAGGAGCGTCGCGCGCAGGGCCGGGACGGCGGCCCGTCGGCGCTATCGATCACAGCGCGCAGACCGCAGGCCGAGACGTGGGGCAGGGAGCGGCCCAGGCAGGAGGCGGCGGACATACGCGAAGACAGGCGAAAGCGGGCCACGTTGGGGTCGACACGGGGAGAGCAACTGGCAGGCGGGGGGACGAGCGTGGTGACGGCCGGATATGTTGATGGGGAGGGGCGAATCGGAACGGGAGGGGGCGTCGTCCGGGGAGGGCGAGCGCTCGGGCAGCGCAGCCGCTGTGCTCAAGCCCAAGCCCGCCAATGCTCTTTCCTCCTCCTTGACCCCGCCCCGTCCCTCGCCCCGTCTTGCGCTGCGCACGTCCGTCTTTTGGCCTCGTGGAGCGCTCTTCCGTTGTCGCCCTCTTGCCAATGTCCTTCATTCGTGACCTTTTTGCCCCTTCCACTTCCTCCAATGTCCCCCTCACGAACATAATCCCCGCATCCGACCAGGACTACTCTGGGATCTCGCCGGAATGTCCACCCACCGTCCCTTTGTTACCGTCCCGCTCCACCCCTCCCGGCCAACCCGCTCCCCCATACGACGAGGATGAAGAGGATCTGAACGTCCTCGCCCCCCGCTCAACTCATAACAGGTCGCGTCTCTACCCCCCCAGCCCCGCCGAAACATCCCTCTCCGCATGCTCGTCCGTGACGAACACCCCAACCCCCTCGCGAGCGCCCTCCCCATTCGCGTCCTACTATTCCGGCACCTCTTCATCCGACTCCGACTCCGATGACGACGAGGCCGACTCCCCTCTTCTCAGCCGAAACGCGCCCTCTTCATGGCGTTCCGGTGAGCAGACGCGTTGGTTTCTCTTTCGGCCCCGTTCCCGGGGACCGGGCAGCGAGCGTGTGCGTGGGCGGAGGAGGTGGAAAGACATACATGGCGGTTGGCGATCCGTCAAGAGACTTGTCCGACGGCTCGTCCGACATCCGTTCTTTCCCAAGACTCCCGTTACCATCGTGCGTACCCTTCCTTCTGCTCCTACCGCTTGCTCCGAGCATTGGGTGCACGGCATGGCCCCGCACCTCACGCGTCTGTAGGCAATTCGAGCCGCGCGGGTCACCAATCGCTATCACACTATGACCCCGCCAGCCGTACTGCGCAGCCGGACCTGCCCTCCGTCTCTTCTGCGTGCTCATCCGACCCATACTAATAGCTTCTGTTGCTCTAGTTGTTAACCCTGCTCGCATTCACTATCTTTGGCGTGTCTCTCACGTTCCTCCTCATCTACATCCTCAACCCCGACAAGGAGCCACTACCGTGGAGAGGATACTGCACGCTGCCACAGTACGATGATGGGCCTCCCTCCATGTCGATGAATCCCAAGGCGTTCCTTCACACACCCATCCCCACCAACATCACCGCGCCGGAGTTCCCGCCCGCGGATTTCGACACTCTAGCGCCAGCGGGCGTGTTCGTCGGAGTTTTCTCGATGGATACTTCTGTGGAGCGGAGGATGCTAGTGCGGTCGACATGGGCGAAGCATGTGAGGAGTCGGGAGGGTGCTGGAGTGGGCGATGGAGGCGTCGGCACGTCGCGCACGATCGTCCGGTTTATTTTGGGTCTTCCCCAACGGGATTGGGACCGGAGAGTGCGACTGGAAGCCGACAGTGCGTTTTTCATGGTCGATGTGTTTTGTTTGGCCAACGGTGATTGACGTGACTCAACAGCGTACAAGGACATGGTCATTCTGCCCATCTCGGAGAATATGAATGGCGGCAAGACGCATGCGTTCTTTTCTTGGGCGGCCAACAACTCTTGGGTACCTCCACAGTACTACGACGGTTTCGGCAAGGTCCCCGAAGGCTTTTCCTACCTCAACGAAACTGATCCTGCCCCTTCGTTGGCGGCTCACGACCCCAAAGCTGCTTTCCAAGATCAACAACGCCATGCTGTCCCTCAACCTTGGGTTCGACCAGATTTCGTGCTCAAGGCAGACGACGATTCATTTGTGATGCTCGCAGAGCTCGAAGCGCGTCTGCGTGTAGACCTCTACAAGGACCCATTGCCGACGCCTTGGGAACGTTCCGAACGGGAGAACACGCGGACAAAGGAGGCTACCCCCGCTACCTCTGCACAGTCGGCATTGTTGGACTACACACAGCTGGCTGCGTACCTTGGTTCTTCGCCCCCTGTCCCGCAGACCCCACCTTCAAAGGACCCATTGGTTTTCTGGGGATATCTCGTCAAGAATCGCTTCATGGCCGGGGAGTTGTATGCCCTTAGCTTCGCTCTCGTAAGATGGGTGGCCCAAGACCCGTTGGTCAAGACTATGACACGGGGAGCTGAAGACAAGCAAACATCGAAGTGGATCCGCGCTCATCCTTTGGCAGATCAGGTCCGTTGGTCCAGCCATCGCTGTTGGATCTACGACCACCCACGAGCAGGCACGGTGTATGTCATCCAAATAATCGGCTTGATTGATCGGCAGCTGATCCGCATGCAGGTACTCACATGGCTTCTTGTTCCCGTCTGAGGTCAAGCGTGTGCAAGATGGCGTCGTTCGTGATCTTGAGCGGCTTGCGCAGCACGAGACCAGAATTGAAACCTCGACGGTGTCGGGCTACGCCGCCGCGCTAGGACATAGCGTCGCTGCCCCTGAGCAGTGGGCGCACTCAACAGTGTCCAAGTTCCACGTTCACTATCAGCCTCCCGTCGCGGATCTTAACCTCGAGCATTCCGTCGAAGCCCTTGTTGAAGGCAGTGATATGTCGTTGATACATGACGGTGCGTCGTTACTGTTCCTTTCGATCCTGTGAGCACCGACCTAATGGCATGATCAGACAGCTCTTTCATGCCGGATACGGCGTGGAAGTACCGCGAGGGGAGGAACAAACGCTACGGTGACCGGCGGGTCGGTGGTACCGTAGTCGTCCATTTCATCAAGAAGAACATGTGGTTCCTCGAGACTGCGGCCGCCCTACTACGTGGAGACGATGTAACGGAACTCGAGCGGTCGCTGGGGCGGCTCGATGCGTCTCAACCGAGTGAGGACGGCATCCCATCGGACTCGGCCGTGGATGTGGTACGCCGGCACCAAATTCCATAGCATTCGTAGGCCTGTGTACCTTCGACCTTCATCTGCACTCTGCTTTGCTCTGTCGCCATTGTGGACCCCTCCTTCACATCCCCATGCCTCCTTGCGTACGCCCTCCACCTTCCATCCGCCTCGCATCGCACCCCTCGTTACTGCACCTGCCCCCGTGCGGCCCACGAAGCCCGCCCCGCCTGCCATCTAATCCAATCCTACTGTTACCCGTAGATACACATCTTACTGCTCGGTTGCGTAAATTATCACCATTGTATATATCCCTGCCGCATGCCGTGGTCCCTCAGATCGAGGGTGATGAGTTTATGTGCGGGCAGCGGAATGTAATACCGATGCTATCGGTGAATGGCCGAAGCGACCCGTTTGCATAGTTCTCCCCCTCGCGACGGAACGCCGTGGCGGCGATGTGTGGTACCGTGAGACTCGGCGACCTGGGTGACTGGAGCCTTCACGATGATCAAGTTCACGGTTCATTTGAACTTGTCGCGGAGAGACTCCCGCAGCTGCGCACTATACACATGAATACATCCGCGGCTCAGCTCACCGTCCACCCGAGTGCTATGCTCTAGTCTGGGCTCCGCTGGAGTCGATGCTATGGGCACGGCCTTGAGGGAGGTTTCGGCGGCAGCTGAGAGCAGGCTGTGCAACAATTGAATGGTGCTCGGCAAGGAGAGCGGTTAACTAGTGCATCGTGTGATGCTCGACGTGCGTAGCCTCCGGGCCAAGAGTTCGCAAATGATGCGGGGCACAACGAGGGCTCGACTAGGTTCTGAATCCCGGACGGACGCGTCGCCGACGTTCATCGTGCACGTCGGTGTCAGCCAGTCCCATGTGGGGGCGCCGAGAATAACCAGAGAGGCCAACTAGCCTGGCAATGACAGCCAGTCCCCAAAGGTCCTCGAAGGACCCGCGTAAACCGACGGATTAGTAGCATGTACCGTGCCAGCAATACAAAAAGCTTCGCAACAACTCGCACTCCGCCTCGCCCTCGCCCGCCGCCCTGTCTCAGCTCGCCCCGAGCCCGACGTCGGTCTCTCAACACATACCCAGCGCGAGCGGCCGGTGCGGCGCAGGGTAGAAGTAAGGCTGCGGCACAAACGGCTGCAGCGCCTCCCCGCTCCTCCTCCGCCGCCACACCGCGTCCCGGATCGCGCCCTCCCAGCGCTGGAACCACTCGCCCTCGCTCTCGCCGACGAGGGCCATCGCCTCGCCCGTGGGCGCCTGTTGCCAGCGCGCGCCGCCGCCGGGCGCGAACGGCGGGGACGCGCCCGGGGGCTGCAGCTGCCAGTCTTGAGCGCGTACGCGCCGCCGCAGACCTCCCAGCGGCCGCCGCCGCGCGCGCTGAAGCGCCTCCAGAGCCAGAGGAAGGGGTAGACGAGGGTGACGCAGAGGAGGAACTTGAGGCAGCGGTTCGAGAGCGTGCGCGCGAGGGTGTTGTCCGCGCGCACGCGGATCTTGTGCAGCGCGAGGTCGAAGGAGACGTGGATGTTGTGGCGGTACACGGAGCGGATCGCGGCCTGGAGGGCTTGGGTGAGGTTGGCGGTGTTCCAGCCGTACACGACCTGGCAGGAGGTCAGCGTCGGCTCGATCGCAGGGCCCAGTCGTCAGACAGGTGCGGCGTACCTTCGTATACGTGAACTCCTTGAGCACCTTGTCGCTTGCGCAGTACTCATCCGCCCACTGCCGCAGGGTCTTCGAGGACTCCAGCACCCGCGCCGCCGCCGGGGGTGCGCCGGACCCGGTCTGCTCGAACCAGGACTCGGGCGCGGGCGCAACCCACGGGGGGAGCCCACACTCCTTCCGCATGGCCTTGCGGTCCTTGGCGGCGCTCTTCTCTTGCTTGGTCGCCTTGCGCCGCCCCAGGTGCATCGGCTGTCCTTCGGGGTCGCCGCCGGCGGGCTCCGCGTTCGTGGGGTCGTACAGGGCGTCGACCTGCATGAACATCTGGCCGCGATACGCGGGCTCGGCGTCGGGCAGGCTCCAGTGCACGGGCCCATGCACAATCTGGGGCGTGAGGTCGATGTAAAAATCGAAGTCTGTCGGGCCGATTAGTGCGCCAGATCGAGAGGGACGGAGGAAAGGACGGACGGACCGGTGACGGTCTCGGTGTAGGTCTCGGTCTCGTGGCGCGTGTGCCCGTTCGAGTCCGTCCTGGTGACCGAGCGCGTGCGGTGCTCGGTGTGTGTCCCGCGGAGGTGTACGCGGTAGTCCGGGCGGGTCGTCGACTGCGAGAGCAGAAAACGGTAGAGCGCCTCCCCTGGGAGAGCGGCAGGTGTGAGCTAGGGTCTGGCGGAAGCGTTGAGAAGCCGCGGCGCTCACCGTCCTCGTTCAGGTGCGGGTCGTGGGTGACGATCTCCTTGCCGGAAATGAAGTATTCCGCCTCGTAGGGCGTGAACTCGGGCGGTGGCTCTTCCCCGCCGGGCGGGATGTACGTGTACTCGAGAGGGTGCTCGACGTATTTCGGAGCGGCAGCAGCATCTGGGGGCGGGCCGAGATGCGCCGCATCGGTTGAAGAGGACGAGGCGGCTTGACTGTCCTCAAAGGTCGGGGGCGCCTCCACGGGTGGCGGCTTGTTGTCCAGCTGGTATTCAGACATGTCTTGTGGGTGCTGCAACGGTGTTGTTGGTGGAAGAGGTGCCGGAAATGGATGAGGCGCGAGAGGAAGGTGACAGCCACATGAGGGCGGTGCGGATTTCAAACACGTGTTGCTAACGTGCTGCACTGGCAGCTGTCGGCATGGCGGGCCGGCTGCTTCCCGCTTATGACCTTCAACCACCTCTACGTTATGCCATATTCTTGACCACTTGCATCACTACTAAGCTTGCTACTCCGGCAGCTGGTGCATAAAGCTCGCCCTCACCTCCCAAATATCTTGCCATGACTTCACGAATACTAGAGCGCCGCCACCTCTCAGAGCGGACAGTCCGGTGCGCCGCACCCGGATCTCCTCCCCGCCTTAATCCGGTGCACCTACGCCCAACGTCAGTCGCCCGCCGTCGCGCCGCCGCCGCACATCCTCTCCGAGCCGACCGGATCGTGCGCACGCAGGGTCTGTCTGCTCTGAATACCCCCAAACCCGGGTGGGAGATCATGGATCATGCGACCCACCGTGCTCGGATTGCAGCTGGGATCGTTGTTGACGCAGATGCTCGGTCTCTAAAGGGCTCGAATGGGATAAGAAAGAACGCGTTGTGTGTAGGCGAGACCTTTGAAAAAGCAAAGTTCGCATGTTCTCAATCGCAAGTGTAAAACTGCAACGCTGCGGAATCCTGGGCCTGAGCTGCGCGCACTATGTGATAACAAATATGGCACCACGCTTGTCGGGCCCATGCGGACGTCGTGTAGCACCTCCGCTGTCCAGAATGTTGAACCCATGCCGCGTTATCTGTCTCACAGAGGGACCCCCACCGCCCCCATCTCGGGCGCTTGAGCATCGCCTGGTGGCTCGTGTGGCGATCGGGAATGCACGATTGACAACCACCAACGTCCAACGTCCCGCTCCCAGGCACGACTCAGATCAGGCACGCAGCGTTAGCACACTTGGTTCGACGTTTTGGAGACATCAGGGGCGAAATTTGGGCGGAACGCGCCGTGGCTGCCGTACGATCCCGTTGAGCATCTCGCGCGCGGCACTCACACGGCAGCGGGCGGGGACATGTAATAACGAATGCAAAACAGTACTTGGCAAATGACTGAGCGGCAGCACGCGGAGAGTCCGAGTCCGTGGGGGGTGCCGGTGAGGGCGTGGCAGCGTGGGGCGTAGGTGACGAGCAAGTGACGAGCGAGTGACGAGAGAGCGGAGGTCCGAGAACGTGCGGCGGGCGAGAGCGAGTGTGGGATGCGCAGTCCGGTCCGAGGCTATAGGCTGTAAGTTAGAGAGCGACGTGCTGTCCTTTCGCGGAGAAGAAGGGCTGTACAGCGCCCGAGGGGGCACGAGGTTGTCCGTGGTCGTGCGGCGTGCGAGAATACAGTAATGCTAACATACACCAAGCGACGGATGGGTGGGTGCGGGGGACGTGCGTACGAGAGACGATTGTGTGCGAGAGACTATGGAAAGCAGGGGTGGACAAGAGTAGAGAATAAGTGAACGCAACGATGGGGGCAAAGCGAGTCATAAGCGTATCTAACAGCCACGAGGAGGGCCCGCAGTTCAACACCTCCTTCGTTCGAAAGTCATCCTATCAGGCGGCACCTCACCCACGCCGCGAGTTTTCCCTCGACATGTCGCCGACCTTGACACCAGGTGGGAGGTTACGAATCTGAGACACCGCCGACGTCAGCGCCGACGTCCGCCACCGTCGAGACAAGACGTACCTCAAGCTTGCCTCTTGTAGGCTCTGGCACGACGTCGCTGTCGACCGAGTACACGCTCACCGTGTCTCCGCTGTCCCCACTCGCCGGCCGCCGCGTCTCACTGCTGCCGCTCACGTTCGCCGCCAGGTCGAGCGTCGGCGTCGCGGCGGGAGTCGCCGGTGCGGTCGTCGCGGCGCTGTAGTATCCGTTCAGCAGCGGCTCTGTGCTTGCGATGCTACCCTTGGCGGCGTGTCCCCATCCCATCGAGCTCGTCGTGCTCGTGTTCCGGCTGTGCGTTTCGGGCCGGCCGGCTGTCGATCCGCCTGGGCCTGGCGGCGGGCTCGACGTTGGTGCTGGGGCGTACCCATCCTTGCGTTGCGCGGGTGGCGGAGGCGAGACTGCGCTGGGGCCGGCGCCGTGGGTGCCATAAGGGTCGAACTCGCCAGTGCCGGGCGTCGGCGGCACGTTGTAGCCCTCCGCAGCTGCCGGCCGAAGTCCGGTGGCCGCGTACAGGTTCAGCAGCCCAGAGGACATGCTGGGGTTCGACCCGCCGAACGTGGCCGACGGCGCGGGCGTGCTGGGCTGACTCATCCCCTTTTCCTCGTCCTCGTCGCCGTCGACCGGATGGCGGTTGTAGCCCGCGGCGGCGAGGGTAGAGGCCACAACGACGTCGTGCTCCATGCGCTGTTGACGCCTTCTTCGACGGATGTAGCAAATCAAGAATAGCACCAGCGAGGCTGCGGTCAGGCCCACAATCACAAATACGCCAGCTACCGCGCCTTTGTTGCTGAAGAATCTGGAAAGTCGTGTCAGCGAATCGTTCCTCTAACGTACCACGTTGAACGCATACTGAGACGTTTGGGAGACACTGTCATTGTTGCTGGCCGGTGTAGGATTTTGAGCGATAATGGTCACCACCGAAGTTCCACCACTACTGTTTGTGACAGTCGATGTCTGTGTGACCAACGCCGGAGTGCTAGTTATCGTGTCACCACTCTTGTCAGTCGTGGTAATGATGACAGTCGACTGCAACGTTGTTCTAAACAATACCGTTAGCTGATTCTGTGGAGAAACTGATCCCTCAACTCACGTAGGCCGTACCGGAGCATCTGTCGAGGTCGTCAACGAGCTGGTCGTCAAGGTGTTTGTGTCGGGCAGAAAGGTGGTGGTCGAGGTCGTCGTGTTCGATGTGGACGTAGGAGGATCCGCAGCGGTGGTGGTACTTGAGGTGGTCGTCCTCGAGACGGTTGTCGAAGTGGAAGTGGAAGTGGAAGTGGAAGTGGAAGTGGAAGTGGAAGTGGAAGTGGAAGTCGTGGAAGTTGAAGTCGTGGTAGTAGTACTAGAAATAGAAGTAGAGGTAGAGGTCGTGGACGTCGTGGTGGACGTGCTAGTAGGCCCAGAGTCCGAAGTGGTGGTGGTGGTGGTGGTGGTACTGGCGCTTGTTGGGTTCGACATGGCAGTGGTGCTGGTGCTGGTGGTACTAATGGAGAATAAGACAGAAGAAGTGTGTGATAGGCCTGAGAATACTCACAGCGTCCCAGTGGATGTGCTCTCTGTTGATGTGGTCGTTGACTCCGCGGGGGGCGACTGTGTGGAATCCGATGTTGTTGCCGTTGACGTCCCTGCAGTGGTAGACGTTGTTTTGTCGGGGGATATGGGAGATGAAGGAGAAGTGGAGGACAAAGGTGTTTGGGGAGTGGGAGTAGCAGTCGTGGAAGCGGTTGAGGACACATTGGTGGACGTCGGAGGTGTAGTGGAGGTGGACAATGGGTCAGTTGGGCCGGAAGCAACGACGGTGGTTGCAGACGGGGTTGTGTCAGACATGGGAGTGGCAGTCAGCGAATGTTGAAAGAAAGGGAGTGAACGCAAGGAGAAAGCAGGCGCAATCTCGCGTCGGGGTCAGGAAAGAGGAAGGAGGCGGAGGCGATAGACTGCGGGGAGTGGCCGAGAGACATGAGTTGGGGGTGCGGACTGCAGGAGATGGAGGGAAGCTTACGGAAGGCGTAGGTTGCGGAGGAGAATCGATAGGCGGAGACGAGAAGGGAAAAGGAAAAGGCGGGGGGAAGACGGAGGAAGGGACTAACCTTCGGGAGACTGTCTCTTGGAACGGCTGAGAACGCTGGCCATGGATGGCTCAGCAGCGGGCGGACATGGTGGGGAAAGGAGAAAAGGTCGGCGGGCGGGATCGGAGGCCGTGAGCGCGGCAGAGTACAGCAGTAGCAGGGCCGATGAGGGCGTGGACAAGCCTCCTGGCGCAGGTGGCGGCGAGCCCTCCACTTTAATCGCCCCGATCAAAATAGCCGACGGCCGCGGCGCGGGCCCCGGCCCGGCGTCCACTCCCCACTCGCCTCCCCGCGGTCTCGCTCCTTGGTCCTGTCCTCGCTCGCTCCCGCCTTCTCTCTCGTGTTCACTCTCGGCGGTCCTTCGTGGTGGAACATCCGCTGGTTACGGGCGTCGAACATAGTCCTGTGGGATGGGACGTGTCCGCGGACAGACGGGGTTCGGTGGCCGAGCGGGAAGGAGAGGAAATTACAGACCGGTGGACGCTGTCCGTCTACGGGGCGCTGGGCTCGAGGGCGCTGTACGGAGGGGGCCAGGGCCAAGACTGTGCAAGTCGGCAAAAGTCGGGTGAGGGAAACAGAAAGCTTGAACATCCTGTCTTTCTCTCCCGAGCTATCTTGTTGCCGCCTCTGGTCAGATCATGGTCGGTCTCCGACGACGAGCGGTGGCCGTCCCCGGTCCGATTGCCATCTGTACCGGCGACGGCGACGGCTGGTCATGAAGTGACATAAACACCCGCTTCCTCCAAGTGGTCTATACCTACCCCACTCTTGGCCTGTCGCGGCCCAGTGAGCGATGGGCGGCAGCGAGCGTTCCTCAATGCGGGGCTTGAACGAATCTGGTGCGCAAGTAAATCGCACACCAAATACACTACAGCTCTGACTGTGGGCTTCATGGTAACAGAGATGAGCACTTCAGCCGGGGCACGACGGCGAGCGCGCATGCGGGCGGGGCTACGCAAGTCTCCGCCCGTCGCTGTTCACGCTCTGGCCCTCGGCCTCAGGTGTTTCGTTGAGGCTTACGCGGTGCCTGGAGCAAACGGTGGTTAAACCATGGGCCCGGACGATATGGATCTATAATTGCAGGCCCTGGCGAGGCACCTATAGCCCATGCGCGCTCCGAGTGGACGTCGACGGCCCTTCGCATCCAGCAAAGATTTGGCTGAGATTTGCTTCGTTTCCCCTGCCTGTCCGGTTATTTTCAGACGAGTCGCGGGTATGCTCCTATCTCCATCCTCGCATCGTCCTGCTGCAGGACGTCCACATCATGCACCCCGAACACGAATGCGAAGGGTCGACCCGTTTGGTGTGCGTAGGGTGGCGTCGACATACAGGCCCCAAGATATTCGATCTCCGGCAGAACCACGCCGGCGTGGGGCGCTCCGGGTGTGCCACATGCTCGTCGAGCCGTTGCACGCGGGGAAGCAGCCTCGTCGCCGTCTTCGATCATTCAAGCAACCGTTTCGCAGCAGTTCGCAGCCCGGAGAAAGCGTGAGCGCCGAGCTTTTTGGCTTGCCAATTAACTGCTAACCCACGCGTGTCCATCACCTTCTCTCTCACTCTCCACGGAGGCCTTCCCTCCGACCCGGTACTGCCTTCGACGTCGCATCGCTAGCCAACAGCACCGATCTCAGCCACCCCCCACACTTGCACGCCTCTCTGCTGGCGACCGCTGGGCTGCCAACAATCTGTATGACCACACGCCATCGGGCCGACGGATGGGCTATTTTTACTGCGGGGCAGCAAGTGATGGCGGATGGCGAATCCCGTGAGGTATGTACCTCATCTCGGTCTGCAGTCTGCCGTTCACCGCCTGCTCCCCGCTCTTGAAGGTCAATGGCACCGAGATCTGCCCTCGAATCTGCCAGAACCAGCTGGTGGGTCCAAGTGAAAAAGCCAGATGCTGGGAAACAGCGATGGACGAGGAAAACCCGGCGCCGGGCCCGGGCCTCTAAATTTACTATCTTGTCTCTGAACAACCACAGATGGCGGTACTCCGACTGATGACGATAACGTCCTGCGTCCGCCTCCGCCATGTGCTCCTCCTCCACCCCGCCCCGCCCCGGTCTCTTCTATAAGATGCCCACGCCCACGCTCCCTCCCCCCAGGGCCCTCCCATCCCCCACTCTCCGCCATGGCCGACCCTGTGACCACCGCGTCCGTCCACACCCCGGTCGACGAGAAGCCCTCGCTCTCCGATGACCTCTCCCTCGACAAGTCCGCTGTCAAGGTCGACGAGGATGCCCGCATGGCCGACGAGGTCGAGGAGTTTGAGGAACGCCTTCAGCGCGACGAGGCCGCCGACGAAGAGTACCTCGTCCAGGAGGCCTACGAGGTCGCCATCAAGGTCTGTTCTCCGACTTCCCCTCCCTCCTTGCCCTTCCTCACTGTTTCACCCCCAGGTCCTCTCCACCCACGACGACCCGGAACTGAGTGCGCTCACTTTCCGCACATTCTTCCTTGGTCTCGGCTTCTCGGCGTTCGGCGCGTACGTTTTCACACCCCCGTCTCCTTTGGCCGCTGCCTGAACTCTCTTCAGTGTCTTGGCCCAGATTTATTACTTCAAGCCCCAGACGCTCAACGTCTCTACCCTCTTCCTCCTCGTTCTCTCTTACTGGTTTGGGACCGCCATGGCAGTCCTCCTGCCCTCTCACGGCATCTTCCGATGGATTAACCCCGGGCCCTTCAACAGTACGTCAGTCCTTGATGCCTCCACACCAGATCTGATCGTACCTCCCCTTAGTCAAAGAGCACGTCGCCATTATCATCATGTCCTCTAGCGCCGCTGTGTCTGCCACCGCCATCCAGGTCATCTCCGTTCAGGACTGTGAGTGTTGGATGCAGTGCCTGGGGCCCGACCTTTGCCTGACCTTGCGCATATAGTGTATTACAACAACACTCTGAACGCTGGTCTCGCCATCTTCACCCTCATTGGTTCCCAGCTACTCGGCTATGGCTACGCCGGGTTGTTGCAGGACATGCTGGTTCGCCCCACCAAATGTTTCTGGCCCTCGACGAGTACGTCGCGTTTTCTATGGATGAACTTGTCCCTGATATTCCGCAGTTTCCACGGCCAACCTGTTCCAGGCCCTCCACTTCGACAACCAAATGACCTCCAAGCGTGTCCGTCTTTTCTGGACCGTTTTCTTCGTCATGTTCGTGTGGGAAATCATTCCGCAGTGTAGGTCACAGTTTGCAGGGCCGTCTGCGTAACGCGCTCATCCGTCCACCACAGGGATCTTCCCGTTGCTCACCGGTCTTTCGATCTTCTGCCTCGCCAACAACACCAACACGGTGTTCCGCAACGTGTTTGGCGGTGCGAGCAACAACGAGGGCATGGCGCTTTTGTCGTGGTGTTTCGACTGGAACCTCATCGGCAGCTCGTGCCTGTTCAGCCCGCTCTGGCTTCAGGTCAACCAAGACATCGGCATCTTGCTCACTTACATCCTCATGGCCAGCGTCTACTACGGGAACCTCTGGCGCGCAAAGGACTTCCCCTTCATGTCCCAGGCCATATTCGCCTCCGACGGCAGCCAGTACAATCAGACTGCCCTCCTTACCAACGGCAAGTTTGATCCCGAGAAATTCGCGACTCTGGGGGTGCGTACTTTAACCGCTCACTTATCGGTACAGCTAACCGAACAACACCGTCTAGCCCGCGTTCTTCTCGGCCACCAACGCTCTCTACTTTATGACCTCCAACTTGTCCCTGGGCGCGACCTTCACCCACGTCTTCTTCTGGCACTGGCAGGACATCAAGCCCTTCTTGAAGACTTTCAACCCTTGGAACAAGGAGGAATACCTCGTCCACGACGCGCACTACGAACGCATGAAAGTTTACAAGGCTATCCCACGCTGGTGGTACTTCGCTCTCCTCGTCGCCGCTTACGCGATCGCGCAAGCGACCAACTACGGAGCCCACTCCGGGCTCCCGTGGTGGGCGCTGACGGTCATCCTCATCATCTCCTTCATCATGTCGCTGCTCTTTGCGACGCTGGCGGCAACGATCGGGTTCTCCGAGTTCAACACTTCCGCACTTGGCTTCTACCAGATGATCACCTCCTACCTCGTCCCTGGGGACCCGATCGCCAACCTCTACGGTGCGTTGTACGGTCAGCACCCGCAGGGCCAGTGCATTTCCATGCTCGGCGACCTCAAGCTCGGCCAGTACACCAAACTGCCCCCGCGCGTCACGTTCTTGATGCAGGTCCTGGGCACCGTTGTTGGGGCCATCCTGAACTGTGCGTGCCTCTTCACACCCTTCCCTTCCTCACCGTCCCACTCTGCTCACACTTGCACCCGTAGACATCATGATGGTCACGATCATCAACGCCAACCGCGCCGCGCTGCTCTCCATCTCCGGCACGCGTCTCTGGTCTGGCCAGAACGCGCAGTCCTTCAACTCCAACGGTATCTCTTGGGGCGGGCTCGGGCCTGAGATGTTTGGCTCCCACGGCGTGTACTTCATGGTGCCCATTTGCCTCGCCATCGGTGTCTTCCTCCCGCTGCCGTTCATCGCGGCGTGGTACATCTGGCCCAAGGCCGGGTTCGAGAACTTCAGCACGCCGATCATCCTCCAGTACTCGTGCTTCCTCTCCGTCGGCATCAACACCTCGGTGAACCCGAGCATGGCGATCGGCATCTTCTCGCAGTGGTGGGTGCGCACGCGCTACCCGCGCTGGTTCACGAAGTACAAGTGCGTATCCGAAAGCCACTCCTTTGATCCGCGGGCCTAAGCTGACCATCCTTCGCTCCCACAGCTACATCGTCGCCGCGGCGCTCGACGGTGGTACCCAGGTCATCTCGTTCATCCTCAACTTCGCCGTCTTCGGTGCGTCGGGTTCCGCGCACAGCTTCCCGCAGTGGTGGGGCAACGACTTCAGCCTCTCCGCCGACCGTTGTGCGCTCCCTGACAACTAGCGGCTGGGAGTGGGGGTCGTATGCGGGTGTCTTTCATCTTGGGGTTTAGGCGTCGTCTTCATCTCTGTCCCAGTACTGTAGTGGTAGCCTGCGGGCCCGCCTCCCATGGTTCCCATCCCCGCGTCTTGTAGTGTAGTAGTAATCTGTACATACGGTCGGATAGTCACGTCTTCGTATGCTTATAATCTCCTTTTCAAACGAACGCCTTGCCGGCCGTAGGTCTGTGTTGGCGGAACTGCCGGGCCTTAGGCTCGGGACCAGGACGGATCAGCCTGAAAGTCGGGTTGGTTACCGATGGACTGGTTCTCGAGCCTAGCTGGGCCTGTGAGTCCTACAGCCCGGCAAACGCCGGGGTTCACACTTCTTTTAGCGCTTCCTGTTCCACCAGGGTAAACGACCACATGTGTCAAGTCGTGTTCGCAGTGGCGTGCAGAAGATGTCTGAGCGCTGCGGGCAGGTATGACCGCGTCGTCAGGACTACACATAGAAAACGAAGTGCCGGCGCATCAGTTCGCCGCTCACTGTGGCAAGGGTCCTGGGTCCAAGTCGGTACGCCTTCAACTAGATAATTGTATACCAGCTCAAGAATAACACTGTCGCATGCGTTTCATCGTAAACCAATGACATCCCATGCACTGATGCACCAGCATTCACGCAGGTTCCCGTGGGGTCATCTCGCAGTGTGGACCCACCCGCACCTATATTTGCGCCAGACAACTTGTAGACTTGCTCCGGACGCCGTTTTCACCGAGAGCTCTCAAAGATGGCGGCTCGCCGGAGGGTTGACCCTGTCGCGACGGAGTACGGCAACACGGTGTCCTTCTGGGTCGAGTGCCCCTCGGAGCTCCTCGACCTCCGAACCAGGACCAGTCGCCTTCTGGCAGTTTCGCGCTAAACGGTCGACACGATCAAGCATGACGATGCGCTGCGCGCGCAGAATTCCCGTAGTCTGGGTGTGAGCGTTCTCGTTCCAGGTTCTTCACCTCCGGCGCGCTCAGCGCCTCCTTCGTGCGCTGCGAACAAGCGCCGGAACTCGGGCCCCGGCGCCACCTCACCTTTGGCATGCCACTCCGCCTTGGGAGTTCGAGGCTCGCCTTCAACTTGCTGAAAGTCCCCCCTTCGCTGCGCCTGTTGCCCGCCCTCGTCCAACGCTCCATCTCCACCGCGCCGCCACCTGTGGTGCCACGTCGCTCGCTCTCAGGCGCCGCAAAATATGGCTCAGACCCCTTCGAGTACACATTTGGACGATGGATATAAGCCTCGTGCATGCTGTCCTTCGGCGTCCGTTTCTGGCCCGTAGTCTAATTGACCAGAGTCAACGATGCGCTTCGCCACGCAGAGCGGAGACTCGTGTTCAATATCGACGAGCTGTGTGGGCTCGCAGCCAAGTCCGTAGGTCGAGATCCGGCTGATGTCGTCGACGTGTCGAGGGTCGGCGAGGGCGGCTGGCATACCTCCACGTTTCCGGCACTACGATGCCCCCATCTCGCGATTCACGACGCTGCCTTCGCGACCGGAGGCGGAGGGAGTCTATATCAGCCTACTGCTACATCAAGAGCACGGAGGAGTCCAACAAGATCCATCACGTTGCATTGACGGACGTCAACTATCTGCTCTGCAAGCGCCTCTTCACCCACGCCGGTAGCCTCTGGGAGGGCGAGACCGTCGACCTGAAGGTCGCTCTCATTGGAGCGGCGCAGGCGTGGAGGGCGCTTACGGGGAAAGACACGCCGTGTCTGGTCGTGTTCGACGCCGACGACGTGCGCGAGACGATGGAGCTGGATAAAGTGCAAACGGACGCGGACGAGGGCTTTGAGAGGGTGCATGACATGCTCCAGGGCGGGTCAGAGTGCTGGGTGACTTCTGGCTACTTACTTTCACGAGCGGGCGTTAGTGCTCAGCAAGCAGCTGAAGGCAGGCGATGTCGGCGGAGGAAGTGTTGGAGTTCACGGATCACTGGGTGTTTGACGATATGGACGGAGAGAAGCATATGCAACGGGTCGAGCTGGATCTCTTAGCCGTATGGTCCGGAATACTCGAGACCTGTAGAAGGTTCCGCAGTCGCCGCGGATGGCGTGGTACGGCGGAGGATGGATCTCCCACCTTATCGCTCCCCTTGCGCCCCGTCCTGCCCCGTCCCGCCCGCCTCTCCCACTCTCCCCTCGGTGAGCCCCTCATATGTGTGCCGCGGAGTCGATCTCGCGCTGACCGCTCGTTCTCCCGCACCCGACGATGGGCGGATCGACCAGCACCCAGCTCGACCCCAGCCCAGCCGCCGCTCCCGACGATACATACGCCCACCCCATCCTCGGCATGACCAAGCGCCCCCGCGTCCCCACCGCAATCGAGTTCGGGAACCCGGCCTCGTTCTGGGTCGAGTACCCGTCCGGGCTCGTCGACCTCACCCGCACCGCGCACCTGCCCGCGTCGAGCGAAGGCGACCGCGAGCCGCCCGAGCCCACGCTCGTGAAGGAGCTGCAGGTGGACGTGCCCGCCGACGGCGAGCGCACCGTGCGCGTCCAGGCGGCGCGCAGCGCGATGGTCGTCATCGACATGCAGAAGTGAGTGCGCGAGGACTCGGTCGGACCATGAGCACGCTCAGCGCGGAGTGCCTGACGCGCGCCCTGGCCAGCTTCTTCCTGCACCCGGACCTGCGCGAGCACCCGACGGGGCTCGCGTGTGTCATCCCGATCGCGAACACCGTCTCCGCCCTGCGCGCAAAGGGCGCCAAGATCCTCTGGGTGTGCGTCCTCCCGTGCCCTCCTCCTTGCCCGCATCGACACCTTCAGCTGACACCGTGGACTCGCAGGAACTGGGGCCTGACCGACCACGAGCTGACGACGATCCCGCCCTCGCTCGTCCGCGGGTTCATGAAGAACGGCCGCGTCGGCTTCGGCGGCGACCTCGGCGGCAGCTTCGGTCGCCTGCTCATGCGCGGGGAGTACAACTCGGACCTGTACGGCCCCCTCCAGATGCTCTACGAGGAGGGCCGCGAGGCGGGGACCGACGTCTGGATCCACAAGAACAGGCGAGCAGTGGGCCCCCGCGCGTCACCCCGAGATCGCGATCGCTCACCGGTTTCTGCGCAGGATGAGCGGGATCTGGGGGCCGCAGTCTGCTCTGGACCTCTACCTCCAGGAGCACGGCATCACTTCGCTCTTCTTCGCTGGGGTGAACGCCGACCAGGTCCGCCCAATCGCTTGCCTCACTTCCCAGGACTCGCTGCTGATACGGTGTTAGTGCGTCCTGGGCACCCTCGTGGACGCCTACTACCGGGGCTACGACTGCATCACCGTCGAAGACTGCATCGCAACGACTTCCCCGGAGGGAGGTCTCGAGAACGTTCTGTACAACGCGGGTGGGGTACGCGCTTCAATTTGCTCTCCTCGTGAAAGTCGAAACTGACTCCACAATCTCAGGGCTACGGCTTCCTCACCGATTCCAAGAGGATCATCGATGCCTGCTCGTAAACATAAGGGTCGCGTACTTCTTGACTGACTTGATATCTTGACTCGGTAGACATTGTAAGAACTTGGGAACGAAAGACCATGTAACATACAGATGGGTTATACATGCACGTGCGTCTGCTGACGTGCCGGTCAAGTGTTCAGTACAGGGGGTCGTCGGCGAGGCGCGTCAGTTCTGTGAGGTGCGACGAGCCCTCTAAGCGTATCGGGGTGGGGTAGTAATACAACACAACGGCGACTCGAGCGCGCGGAAGAGGCGGACCGGGTCTACTCGAAAGCCAACTCATAAGTCATACACTCTCTCATCTTCAGCATCCTCAACTCCGCCACTCGACGCTAGGACGACGCTGACAAAGAAGAGCGAAACCGTCAGCTCTCAGCAGAACAAAAAAAACATCTGAAGGGCCGCAGGGCAGACTCACCTGTTGCCCCCGTATCCTCGAGTAGAACGTGTCCTTCTTCCCCGCCTGGTGCCCGCTCAGGCTCGACCCCGCCGGGCTCGGCGGCTCGTGCCCCGAGTGCGACTGCGGCGGCGTGAGGGACGTGAACGACTCGGGCGGCGTCAGCGGCTCGTACGCCCTCATCGCCGACGGCGGGTGCGAGTCGAACTGCGTCTCGATGCTCGTCATCTGCGGGCGGGCGCCGCTCGTCCGGAGCGGGCTGCGCGGCGGCACGACGGGCGGCGTCGTCGTCGCCTCCGGCTGCCGCTGCGGCCGGGGCGCGGCGATCGGCGGGGGCGGCGGGGAGACCGAGACGGGCACCATCGGCTTCATGCGGTGCGGGGACGTCGGCGACGGTGACGACGGGAGGTCGTGCGCCGGGACGGGCTTGCGCGCGCTGAGCGTGGGCGAGGTCACGCGTGCCGTGCTGCTCGCGGGCGACGGCGGGCCAGGCGCGGGGTCGTCGAGCGCGACGTCGACGAGACTCGCGCTCGCGCTCGACCGCGTCAGCGCTGGCAGCGTCGGAGGGTACAGCGACGGCGACGAACGCGCGGAGGCGGAGGGGGGCTCGGCGCGATGCGCGTGCGCGCCCGCGAACGGGTGGAGCGCGTCAGACGTGAGCGCGAGGCCGATGCTGCCCGTCGTGCTCCTCCCGCTGCTCGACTGGCGCGAGCGGCGATCGTACGAGCGCCTCCGGGAACTCCCTGCGCTTTCTCTGCGGTCGTTCGCGCCGACGCCGGTGAGTCCGAGACCGGATGCACCGCCGCTGGCCTCCTCCATGTCGTCGTCGAAGGGGCTGCGAGTCGGGCGGGGAGCGGGGGCAGGCTTGCGGTCTCCGATGATGAGCGTTTGGTCGGTGAACCCGGAGGCGTAGCGCATCGTCGGGGTCGGGCTGAGTGCGCGCGGGTCCTCGAAAGGGTTGTCGGGCATCGGGAGCGGGCGGGAGATGGAGTTGACGAAGATGGGGTTGCGGCGGCGCTGGCGTTTGCGGAGCATGAGGCAGAGGCCGACCATTACTCCCATGATGACGACGCCAACGACGAGGAAGACTCCAGCGACGGCAGCCGTGTTTCCGAAAAAACTACCGCGAGAAAAATCGTCAGCGTAATCTAGAGATAAAATAAGGACGAGGCCTTACCCGCTCTTAGTGGATGCCGCACTCACGCCCCAAACACCTGTCGGGTTCGCGATGATGTGCGTGACACTGACGTGCGACCCGTCCGGCTTCGTTGAAACGGAGACACTTGTGAACACAGGGGGCACTGAGAGCGAGGTGTGGCTGCTTGCGTCCGTTACAGTCACGAACACGGGCGTCGAGAGCGTTGTCTCCGGCACGTCGGTGATTGTGCTGGTCGTCGTTGGCGCAACGGAGTTTAGGTTCGCCTGTATAATTCCTTTAGAACCTAGTTGCGTCGATGATGAAGAAGCGAGAGAAGAAGCGGGAAAAACGACAGGGAGAGGTATAGAAGGCGCCGCCGTGGTGGCATGCTCTTCAGTGGAAGAGGTGGGGAGACTGCGAGTGGAAGAGGGCAAATGAGTCGCTTTGACCGGAGCAATCGCGGTCGCAACAGTCTTGGCTGGAGTAGTAATGAGCGAGGAAGCGGACGAGAACATTGTGGTGGGGAGTGGATCGGGAATTGGATCCGCAGTGGGTTTGTCTAGAGGAGCGGTCGTGCTGTGCACGTGGATGATAGAACTACTGGCTTTGGTGGAGGAAAGTGGATCCGACACTGAGAAGGTGGAATGTGCAGGAGAAGAAACGGAGGCGCTAGAAATGGGAGGAGGAGAAAGAGCATGCGAAGTCGAACTGACCCCATGAGTGCTTATAGACGAGCCTCCGGCAGCCACGGTCCCTGGATCAGCAGACGTGTGAGAAGCGGAACTGGGGCTGGAGGCGGTGCTTGTAGATATTGGCACAATGGAAGTAGACGGACCAGATGTCGTGGAATTCTTGGACGGTACAGGAGTGGAGACCGAGGTCACGGCAGATGACGTGGACGAGCTCCCTGCTGGAGGTGCAGGGTCGGTCGCGTGGTCGGCGTTGGTATCTGTAGAAGTGGATGGTGCCGACGACGATGACGACGGAGAGGTGGTCGTGTCAGGAGACACTGTGGTCGAGGTGGTTTCCGATGCAGTCGACGACGTTGCATCGGGGGTCGAATTTGAAGTGGTGGTCTGAGTAGACGCGTTCTGGACAGCCATCTTTGTCGATACAGCACTACAGCGGCATTAGTACCTGTACATTGGCGAGATATGAGAATCCAAGCTCACCTTGAACCGGAAGTGTCTGACTTGATAAATGAAGAAGCGTGGAGAGCAGAAGTGGAGACAGACGAAGCCCTGGTGCTGGCTGTAGAGGGCGCGGCCTGGTCAACCGCTGCGCTAGACGATGCTACGGAGAAGGAAGAAACAGAGCCCGAGCCCGAGGCGACAGAGGACGCAGACGAGACGGCGTCGGACGACCTCGCCCCAGAAGCCTGTGAAGAGGTACTTGGCAATGGCACTGGAGCGGACGTCGAAGAGACAGTTGGCCCCCTCGTCGACGACAGAGGCAGCGAGGCGCTCGCACTAGTGCCGTCCACAGATGGCAGTGACAGCAGGCTAGTACCTGCCCATGTACATCAGCGAGGTCGAATGCGTCCCGTAGAGCACGGACGCACGGCACGCACGAGAGGACGAAGCGAACAAGGAGACAGAGCGGATGCCCCGCGCGCGGGCCCGAGGAGGTAGCGAAGGAGGCGGGGGCTGCCTCCCGCGTCGAGACGGGGTATATACCCCCCTTCCGACGTTGCGGCTGCAGTCAAATCCTAGGAGAGGCACGCGGCCCCTTCATATGTCATAGCCGGAAGCCAGGGATACGACACGGCAGGTCCGAAGACACGTCTTCGGAGAGCACTTAGAGTGGGCGCATTAATGAAGTACCGTGTCGCCGAGCGGGTGCGGTGCGTCTACGCCCCCCATAGCGGCGCGCGAACCCCGTCCTGTCACCGGCGGCACGCCTCGCCTTCTGGGATAGAGGGCCAGGCGCGCCGCGAGACGTTGTCGCAGAGATATGCATGGAGCTCGACGGGGGATACGAACTCGCTCGTGGACGTAGTGAACTGAACACCTACTCACCAGCAGACGGCATACCTCCTGGATCGTCGGCGTGTGTTTTGTAGTTCGTCGTCCGTGTCCCACGAAAGAGGCGACTCTATTCCGGAGTGCCAAGAGGGAATGCGCGGCACCGCAGGGCACTTGGGCGTGCGGGAGTGGAAGCGGCGGGCTGCAGGGGCGGCGGCGGGAGGGGGGCGTGCGCAAGTCCGTCGATCTATAAGTACGACGGATGCGAGCGTCGGGTAAGCCATGCGACGCGACCCAACTCAGCGATCCCCCGCGAGCGAGCGTGCGCGCGCCGTGGGACCGGGGAAATCTCGAGTGTAGTGCGGGACGGGTGTGCGCGCAGCACGAGCCCGCGTGCGCGTCCGGGACAAGCCCGGGGGGCCTGCTGCCCGTCGCGAACGGCTTCCCACCAGTCATGCGACTGATAGTCCTACCGTGCTTATCGCCGCGTCCACGCCGTGGATCTCCCTGGGCGAGTTCCCAGTGCGTCTGGGAAGGCGGACTGCGCCCGACGCCCGAAACGGGTGAGGACGAGGCTACTGCCACTGGTCGCGCTCGTAGGACGGCAGAGTGCTCTCGCGACCGTGTGGACCGGGCTGCGAGAAGGCGGTGAGCGTATGCGGAGTACGGACACATGTTCGACCTGCCTGCCCCCGTTACGCAAGAGAAGCGATATCTGAGCTGACGCACGCCCGGACATAGGAAAAGAGCATCATGCGCCGGCTGGGCATGCGAGTGGAGCCAAAGAGAGGACGTCGTCCATGCGGATCATCGTCGCCCCCTCCTCCCCACACAAGTCACACGCCCGCTGCCGAGGCGCGCACAGCTGCCCCGCGTGTGCGACCCGGTTTCGAGCAACGAAGCATGTCAGATGATCAACGGCCACCAAGCACCATACGGAGAGGTCTACTAAACGAATGTGGATGTGGTAAAACTACAGATGATCCGATACATGGAGGCAACAGACCGCAGAACATTAAACGTGACTACTACAAGATATCCCGGCGGGCACTAGCGTGGGCGAGGTTCACAAGAACAGTGAGAGTCTTGGAGCAACGAGGTATAGACGATGGGAAGGGGGTATGCTGCGTCGCAAACGATCATCGGCGTAGTGGGAACGAGTGACGAAGGGAGAGTACTAGTGGCACGGTGTGATTTGCATCAGCGTGTCCAAACCAAGAGAGAACTACCGCCGCTGTCAGCCTCTGTGAACGCGGTGGTGCAGACGACAAGCGAGCACTCACCAAAACCAGATCTATGAACAGGAAAGAGGCCGGGGTGGAGTGCGCTAACAACAGCGCACGCTCGTCCCAGGCACCCTCAGCTTGACCGTCGTACTCTTCCGACGCCCGCTCAGGCTCCCAAAGCTCAGTCGACTCGAGCTGTTCACCCGGCGCAGCGCACGATCTCCATAGCTCACCCCGCTTCCTGCCTTCTCAGGGTCGAGCGTGCCGGCCTCGATGGCGAGCAATATTGACCGTGCGCAGAGGAGGAACGGCGCCTCGACGTTGTCTCCAGAAAGCGACGACGTTTCGAGGAAGTGCACGTCTTCAAGAGCGCAACAGGGAGCGTCATGGCGAGATGCATGAAGACGAGCAAGCGACAAACAGAGTCAGCCTCCCGTCCCGTCCGGACGAACCGGCGTCCCGAGCGCAAGCTCAAGTGACCGAGCGAAAGAGACGCACCATGTTCGGCCGCCCACCGACTCGCCTCTGCCCACTCCACCTCCCGCTCTTCCTCCCTGTCCGACTTATTTCCAACGAGGACCGTGACCAGGTGCGGGCTGCCCAGAGCCCTCGCGTCCTCGAGCCACCGGGCGAGCTTCGCAAACGAAGCGCGGCTAGACGATAAGCGATTGCGCGAAGATGGACAGCGTCTCAGCCCGCCGGCGTGCAAGTGGAGCGGGGATGACAGAGTAGCACGCACCTGGTGATATCGTACACGAGGATCGCCCCCGCCGCCCCGCGGTAATAGCTCCTTGTCACGGACCTGCGGCACGGAGGTGAGCGGGCATTGATCTGTCGACGTCCGCGAGAAGAGACAGGGATCACGCAGGCACTCACCGGAACCTCTCCTGCCCCGCCGTGTCCCAAAGCTATTTCCGCCGTCCCGCTCCGTTCAACATGTGCACACCTCGGATGTATGAAGACTGACCTGCAGCTTGATGCGTTTCTCACCGAGCTTGACGGTCCGACTCGAGAACTCCACTCCAATCGTGTGTTGGGAGTGTTCCTTGACTGGCCATATGGTCAGATAAAGATGGAACATAGAGGCCCGTGCAAGCGCTACCCACAGGAGTTATGCGTAAAATGGTGCAGCAAACAGGTCTTTCCCGACCCCGCCTCTCCTAAAAGCCTCTTCCGGTGAGCGGCGCAGCAGCGTGAAGCATAAGTTCTACCCACCAATTATGATGAACTTCATGAGGAAGTCTGAAGGCAGAGTGAGAGAGACGATCGGCGAAAGGAGCCAGCAACACGCACCGTATGTCTCGAGCAGCTCAGTCGCGTCCGCATCGTAGTCTGTGTACGCCATGGGGGCGGGGATGGAGGGAAGGGTGGATGGTGAGCAAGGGCGCAGGGTCGGCCACGGCCGCAGCGGCACAGGTCGACCACTGTGGCTCCGACTCTCCGAGCGCCCGATGCACGTGGCCCTCCCCGGGTGCCTTCAATTGCGAACCCAGACAGCTGCCTATCTGCAATCTTTGCTTTCCACTGCTCCAGCGGCCCACTGTGTATACGCAACCGCACCCGTCAAGCACGGAAGGAAGGAGCGAGCCAGCGCGCAATGCATACGAGACTCCAATCGTACATATCACCAGATCCTGAAACTGCTTCAAACCATTCCGGTCTGACTGTCCACTCCGCGCCACCACGCCGTTACCACCCCTTCCAGGGCACCCAGACATCCACCACCACGTTCCCGTCGCTCACGTCCGAGTCCACGACGTAATACCACGGGTAGCCCGCCAAGATCAGGCACGCATGCTGCCCGACGATTTGCACCATATCGCCCAACTTCAGCCCACCATCACCCTGGAGCGGTCCAAGGTCAAATGACGACGTTGGCATCTGGCTCAGGATGCCGTGTTCCTGCGAACACCGCGCCAGTCTCCACGGCTTCCCGATTACATCACCATATCCTGGGCGCGGCCCGGTGTCCTTGCTCATAGCGATCGCTCCTGCGTCGCAGATGGCCTCGTCGGTACCGTCCTCGCCGCGGCCGGAGTAATAAGATATCACAGTGGCGAGAACCCGCTGGGAAATGTCTCGGTGAGTTATCAATCCAGTGTTGAGTTGCTGGAGATCCAGAAGCGGATAGTTTCCTGTCATATCAGGTTAGGGCGAGTCTCCAAGTAGCGGCAAACGACATACCTGCGTGCAGTTCCAAGACACCATTCAAAGATGCTTCGAGCTTGGTTCTCAGCTCCTTCGTCGCTGCATGCGCTGTCGGCGTGGCGCCTACGGAGAGCACATAGGGTTCTGCAGATTGGGACAATCCAGGGGTGCTGGCGATGATCTTCATGGCGAGCGCGGCGGCCGAATTGACCGCGTTGATCTCCTCGAGGAGATATTGCGTAGCCTGATCGAACGACGTCGAGGCATACGAGTTTCCGGCATGTGTATAGAAACCGTAGATCGAGATCGAAGGGGACGCGAGGACGGCACGGAGGAGGAGTTCGAATGTGGGCGAGTCAGGGCGAATACCAGCACGACTATGCAGCGTCGCGTGAGCAGTTAAACCTCAGCGGCGGAAGCGGACCGAAGGCGGAGATACACTCACAGGTTCCCGCAGTCGACTTTCATGAAGACCGACCATTTCCTGTGATTCGCCTTGGTGGCTTCCCAGGCCTCGATCACTCGGACCTGGTCTGGATGGTCAACGAGGATGCGCATGGAGGCACCGACGGCGGCGAGCTCGTCGGTGAGCGCAGAAAGATCGGCGATCTTGTTTGGGGCCATGGGGAGGCCGTAGAGGACCTGATGTCATGGCCCGGGCTTGAGGTTAAGGATATCAGGGGAAGGATTCTGATGCGGTACCTACGTCTTTGACGGTCCCGTCGGCCATGAGGCCGGCGCGGAAGACCTCGCAGACCTCCATGACGGTGGAAACGACGATGGAATGGGTCTCATCGGCGTTCGAGTTGAGCTGCAGCCTGGTGCCTTCAGGGGTCTAGAGGGAGGGTTGCTGGTCAACGGAACATTGTGGCACTCGGACCTCGGGGCGCGCGGACGACGGACCTTGTGGGACTTGACATGGGCGCGGAACTTGGCGCCAAGGGACTTTGCGATCTGGTGGACCTTTGTGCAGTTGCGGGCGAAGACAGCGCGGTCGATGACGAGGGCGGGGGTGCGAAGGGCGTTGAGGTTCTTACCCTTGTACTCGTCGACGAGGTCCTGCTTCTCGGGCTTGCCGCTGATGTGGTACGGGGTGCGGGACTGCTTCGGAATGAGGGGGTTGACCTGGTGGTGCTCCTCGGAGCTCATGGCGGGCGGGCGATGTGCAGACGGGGGGTGGGCGGCGTGCAGGAGGGCGGCGACGGGGGAAAGGGACTTATAAGAAGGCGGCCGGTGGCAGGCCTCTGAGGGGTCCTCTGCCGCCCCAAGCATCGACGGAGCACGTCCATCGATTGATCTCCGCCGCGCGCCTCTCCCCGCCCCAAAACCCGCCCGGCCCGCGAGGTTTATCGCCCAATCCAAGGCTAGTCGCCGTCGCGCGCGCCGACTAGCTCGCCGCCAATAGTGTACAGCAGCCTGTTTTGCCTCCTACAACAGCCTACGCGCTCCGCCCCCCGCCTCCCAGCCCTCATCACCATGTCCGAGCCCACCGTCCACCAGCCCATCCCGCCCGAGATCGCGGACAAGCTCCTCCCGAGTATGCCGCCTTCCACAACCAGCACCTCAAGCACTCCGTCCCCGTCCACCTCCTCCCTTGGTCCCCCGACATCCGCAACGCGCCCGCCGTCCTCGGCGGCTCCGACCCGCTCCCCGTCGCCGGCGTGAACGACTACCCCCTCTCCCACTGCTCCGTCCGCGTCTTCACGCCCGAGGGCACCGCGCCCGCCGGCGGCTGGCCCGTCTTCATCTTCTTCCACGGAGGTGCGTGCGCCGTGCCTGCTGCTGCCGCACGCGTGTCCGATAACCGTCGATCGCCCCGCGCGCCCCCACATCGCAGGCGGCTGGACGCTCGGCACGATCGCGACCGAGAACGCGTTCTCGAGCAACATGTGCAAGCGTGAGTACCCCGCGTACGTCACCGGAACCGTCATCGAGCCCTACTGAACGCGGACCCCGCATTGTTCTCCCGAACGGGACAGGCGCCGAATCCGTCGTCGTCTCCGTCGACTACCGCCTCGGCCCCGAGCGCCCGTACCCCGCCGCCGTCGAAGACACCGTCGAGGCCCTGCAGTGGGTGCACACCAAGGGCCCCGAGCTGCTCGGCATCAACCCCGCGCTCATCGCCGTCGGCGGCTCCTCCAGCGGCGCCAACCTCGCCGCGATCGCGACCCATCGCGCCCAGGCGCTCGCCATCCCGCTCGCCTTCCAGCTCCTCGTCGTCCCCGTCACCGACAACACCGCCGCCGTCGGCGACGGGCGCTACCCGTCTTGGACTGAGAACGCCAAGACTGTCTCGCTCGTGCCGGAGAAGATGGTCTGGTTCAAGAACAACTACTCTCCCAATCCCGAGGACTGGACGCACCCGGACAACTCCCCAATCTTCGCGACGGACGAGTCTTTCAAGGGTGCACCGCCGGCGTGGATCGCCGTTTGTGAGCTCGACATCCTGAGGGACGAGGGCATCGCCTACGGAGATAAGTTGAAGAAGGCTGGCGTGCCGGCGGAGGTCAAGGTGTACAAGGGGGCACCGCATCCAATCATGGCAATGGATGGTGAGCTCAGTCATAGTTGCCTTTGAGGACGTAATGCTCAGCATCTTTTCATGCTGTTCAACCTGCCTGTACCTAATTCAGGGTAAGCTGTTCGTCGCTGACAACACACGAACCAGTCTCATACTTCTCCGTGTAGCGCCCTCGAGATTGGCAAGGAACTTGTATCGAACGCGGCTGAGGCGCTCAAGAAAGCTCTCTACCCTTCATGAGTATTATATTAGGACAAGGCATGAAGGGAATGTAAGATTGAATAAGAATATGTTGTTACAAAGGCCAGGACAGCCAGGAAGCCAGACGTGTTAGGTTTGATTCGTTCCTTGATTGAACACGATCCCCCTAGCCAAGGTCGGTAAGAGATGGTTTGCATGTGGCCAACAGGCCAAACAGAGCACGCCTGCACAAGAGCAAATCACCTGCTTCAACATAACCGCCTGAGCCATCTTATAGAGCTCATTGATCAAGGAATGGCGGATCACCTGTCCACTCTGCTCAGCGACACGACAATGGTCAGGCATCATACCAGTGTTGATGGCCCAAATGCAGGCGCATGAGCGAGGTCGATCTAATGCAGAGATGCCATTGAGATTTGGGAAGACATGAGACGATTGAGCCATCAACAATGAACCTGCCTATAACATGCTGAGGCGGGCGTGTTCGTGGGCGGCCGAGCAAGACATCGATATGCGTATCTGGGTAACAAGTATCTCTGAGAAACGACCATATAGCTTCAGTATCAAAATAACATAGTGTCTTCTTTTTTTACCGCGGCACTTGGAAGTCCCGATAGAGCGACCGACGTCGGCTACGCTTGGGGGATCACTGGTGTGCCTGCATAATCGCATCGGAAATGAAAGCAGCAGTGATCTGGCGTCCGCCGAACCAACGGCCATTCAAACCATCGACGGCACCTTTGGCAGCATCCACAGTGTCAAACTTGACATAGATCTCGCCCTGTTGGCGATGAGCATCCATCCACGGCTGAAATTTGAGCGACATACCTCAGTTTCTTTCTCGATCTTGATGGCAAGAACGCGGCCATACTTCGACTCGCACTCTCCCTTGACGTCTTCGGCGAGTTCCTTGTCCCAGTCACGCTCGGTTTCTCTGAAGGAATCTGTAAGCACCCGATCAACCTTCCCGACTCCAAACGTACTCTTCGGGGTCAAACATATTCTTCATTAGTACCGACCGCGACTGCATGGTCTGGGGGATGTTAGGCCGCGAGCTGAAAGGGAATTTGATAAGCAAAAGCAAAAAGGGAGCTTTGAGCAGCACACGCACATCGGCTCTGGTCTGGTCGGAGGAGGGTCAATTCTGGCAAGTTTCTGCATCAGCGCTTGACGTGACGCTGCGTTCAAGTTACCGCCTAAAAGAAACTCATGAGAAACCAACAAGGCCAGAGAATAAATCACTGACCGCCGGCTTCATCCAAAGAGTCTTGTTGAGTGTAACGAGCAGAGCCCTTCTCGTGAACCGTGTTGACCCGAAGCTGTCTTAGAGTGAGCCTTTGTAAAACGTGTTGCACATTGCCGGAAGGACTCACAGTTCTGCCGGCCAAGTCGAAGCCTTCCATCTGCTCAAGAGCCATCTTCGCATCCTCAGAACGCTTATACCTAGATGTGTTGTGAGACGCGTTCAATATGAGACATGAATTGTTGGCTCACTGTACAAACGCATAGCCCTTGCTGCGCCCAGACGAGGGATCGCGATGAAGATCGACAAACTCAAGTTCACCAAATGGCTCGAACACCTGCTTGATATCGGACTCAGTGAGATTGAAGTGGAGAGATCCGACGTAAAGCCTGGGAGTTGTGTTGAGCGACAGACATTTGGGATGCGGAGATGCAAAAGTGCTCACTGCATGCCACCGTGCGGGGCGCTGACACCTGGCGGCAAGTTCAGATTGCCATCACCGGGATGAAGCCTGTTCCTCTCAGCCTCTGTGTGTTGGATCTGAATAGGAAGACCCATGACCACCGTTCCGCTCAGGCTGATAGCCCTGTCAACAAGCTCGACAGTGCGGAATTCGACGTAACCAATACTGTCGGTCTGTGTTAGTAATACGCATATAATGCCCTGACGAACAACTCACCCCTTGGACCGACGGGAGATCCTATCCGTGACAATGCGGGAGTCCATGACCGTGTTTTCCCCCAGCTTGTCCTCAAAGAAGTAGCCCAAGTCGCGGGCTGTGAGTCGTGCAGCAAGTTGAGAGACGAACACAGACCGAGCTTCAGAGTCATCCGGACTGGGCTCGTCGTTCATAGGGTCGTCCGGGGCGACTTCATACGTTGGAGAGGGACGCCTTCGGGAGAAACATAAATAAGGACCTAGGAGAGAAGGACGGCTCACCGACTTTTTGGGAGGGCTGAGAGGACGGCTACGTTCGCTGTCGCGGCGGTCGCCACGAGGAGGCTCGTCGTGGTCGTCCCGAGGATCCTTAGATCGTCTGGGAGGGCGGTCCCCATACCGAATGTCACGAGAGCGGTTCCTGCGGCGGGGACTATCAGTCGCGGAAGGCGGGGCATTGGGGAGGCCAGCGGACGGTGGCGGGGCTTCGTCGACACCGTCGTCGGAACGCTTCCTCTTCGTCCTATCGTCGGCGGAGTGACTGTCGTGGCCGTCCTCGGGCTCGTCGCCCCGCTTTCTGCGCCTGTCGCGGTGGTCACGGTCGTCCCGGTCGCGTTCGCGCTCCCTGTCCCTATCCCGCTCACGGTCTCGATGCCTACGTCGATCTTCGTCTTTATCTCGCTCACTGCGGCGGCGCTCACCGTCACGGTCCCTCCTGCGGTCCCGGTCCCGGTCCCTGTCTCTGTCGCGCTCCCTGTCACGTTCTAGGTCGTGGTTGCGGTGCGAGCGTTCTCTTCTGTCGCGGCTGCGACGCCTGTCGTCGTAGTCATCGCGGTCACGGTGACGCCTCTCCTTCTGATCCCTGTCGCGAGAACGAGAGCGATGAGAGCGCCGAGTACGGAGGGTCTCGCTCGAATGGTCGCGGGAGCTGGTCGACGGTCAGCGGGAAGAGAACTCACGGGGCAAGAGGAAACGTACGATTTAGAGCGTCGGTCTGGGGATCTGTGTCTATCGACTTCCATTTTTTCGATTTTGCCGTTCTCAGAGGACATGATGGTGCGAATGGAGGCGTAGCAGTCCTCGGGAAATTCAAGTGAAACGACGAGGACAAGGACACGCCGCCCAGACCTGGGCCTGCCCTGATTAGTCAGCTCAGAGGGAAGAGATTCTCACGGCTCTCTATTTACGGGGACGGCGTCTATGTTACAGGCGAGGGACTACTGGACTGTCTATACCACCATTTCTATCTCCGCAACGCTCAGCTCACAGGAGCCCCGCAAGCCTTGCCCGTACCCTCTTCTCTGCCTGACCCAGCTCGGATGCCTCCGATTTCTGGTACAGAACGTTGAGAGGGTTTGCATCGCCCTCCTTCTCCAAGTCTTCCTCAATCGCACTGAACTCTTTGCAGAACTTGCCGTTCAAGACCTTTCGAACGACCTCATCAGGACAGCACAAGACGCAGTCGTCAAAAGAGTACTTGCCTGGTTGTACAAGATGTTCTTGAAGTGTTCTCGCATCGCGGAACCGTCCAGATTCAGAGCGCCGTTCAGCTGGCCGTATTGCGAGACCGTGGAGTGGTGCTTGAGCTGTGCGCACGAGCGTTCAATCCAATTTCTTGTAGCAAACTCGAAGAGACGAACCTGTTGGATGAACCCATCCTCGGCCGCACGCTCAAAGATCTCAGCGGGCTCCTTCGACATCCACCTAGACAGCAATATTGAGCGGTGCTCTTGAAGTCGATCAGGAGCCACTCACATCTCGTAGCAGAGAGCCTCGTCCGAGCATCCAGCCTCCTTGAGAACGCTAAACGCTTCTCTGCAGTATCAATCACAGGTCAGTATCTTGCATCGCTATAACAGGCATCAACTTCGCTGACCTGAAGAGCATGATGACGTTCGGCCATAGCGCCTGCTCCGCGAACAGGTCCATGGCGGTCTCCTCGCGCACCGACGAAGCAATGGCCCCAGCCTTAGTGGCGCCAATCGCACGCGAAAGTGCAAGAGCGATCTCCAGCGCCTTGCCAGTGCCATCCTGTTCCGACGAGATGAAGCACGGGAAGCCCTTGCCCTTGACATACAAACTCCGGACCGAAGAACCGATCATCCTGAACAGAGTGCCTGAGTTGGCTTGTGCAGTCAGAAGACCAATACGACCTACCGAGGGGCAACCATAATCACGTCTTGCGTGGGCTTGAAGTTCAGCAGCTTGAAGAACACGTTGTATCCACTGGCAACCACAATGGCGGCCGTGTCCTTCAGGTTCGGAGCCACCTCCGTGTTGAAGACGCGGGGCTGGACCTGGTCAGGGATGAGGAGGAAGACGACTGTATGCATTGTTGAGACCGGATAATGGTACGCAGAACTGATATCTCCGGCCCAAATGGATGCTTACCATCCGCATCCTTGGCAGCTGCGCCAAAGTCGCTGACAACGTTAAAACCCTTCGACTTCGCGTCCTCGGCGTAGGAGTCGGCCCGGTTCGCAACAATGATCTTCTCGTTGGGAATGCCCGAATCGCGCAGATTCTGGGCCTGTGCTGCGCCCTGGTTTCCGAACCTGATGCCAACCTTGTGAGTATATGCAGCACCCAGGCGGAGCAGAACGTCAAACCCACCCAAGGAACATGATAGTCTTGTCCTTGAGGACATCAAGGTTCGCGTCGATGTCGTAGTAGCTATACACAATGTCAGTCAGGATGACCTGCCCGCACGGACTCGAGTCGCTTACATCTTCGCAGACATGATTGCAGAGGCCGTGCGATGTTGAGGGGGAAAGAAGTGCAGCAGTTGCAAGCGTACACCTGGCCTCCTCCCCACGACCTATATACTCCCCCAGCCCCGTTCTGGGCCCGAACGTCCCGTGTTGTCTCCACCAAGACGAGTCCCACCGCCGTCCCTATGACTTGGGATCCAGTCCCTGTGACGTCCGGGACGAGCACCCGGCGGGCCGCGCAGTACCGCCACCCCCATCCCCATCGCAGCGCGATCGGTTCATCCGTCCATCGCCCGCACCCGCGCATGCGGGGTACAAAAGCTGGGCGGGCGCGTGCACCCGCGCGCCGCGTATTCCTGCTCGCGCTCGACCCTTCGCACACATGGCGCTACTCGCGGACAAGGTGGTGTGTATCACCGGGGCCTCGCGGGGTATCGGGCGTGGCTGCGCGCTCGCCTGCGCGAAGCACGGCGCGACCGGGCTCGTCCTGCACTACTTCGGCGACGACGCGACGACGCGCGAGGTGGAGGGACTCAAGGCGGAGATCGAGGGCGCGTTCGCGCAGTGCAGAGTCGTCTATGTCCCCGGGGACATCGCGATGCGGGAGACGTCGCTGAAGGTGTGTTATCGTGCTCCTCCTGCTCGCGTATGGCCGACTGACGACAAAACACGTATTAGGTCGTCGAGGAAGGCGTTAAAGCCTTTAGCCGCATAGGTCCTCCGCATCCAAGCAGGGTGATCTGCTCACCTGACCGATCCCTAAACAGACGTCCTGGTCAGCAACGCAGGCATATGTCCATTCCATGAATTCTTGACCATGCCGCCTGAGATATGGGAGCGCACGCGAGGCGTCAATCTGGATGGGACTTTCTTTATCACACAAGGTCGGCACAAGGTCGCTCTAGAGATATAGTACCGTCCACTTACCCGAAGTAGCTGTCGCGAACCAAATGCAGAAACAGATTCCCCAGGGAGGCTCCATCATCGGCATCTCTTCGATATCAGCCCTAGTGGGTGGAGAGTATCAAGTGTGAGTTAAAGCCCTCGTCGTCTTCCTGCCCCGCTTAAACTCCATCCAGGCACTACACTCCCACCAAAGCCGGGATTTTGTCTCTCATGCAAAGCACCGCGGTCGCCCTCGGAAAGTACAACATCCGCGCGAACGCCATTCTTCCCGGAACGATCGCGACGGACATCAACAAAGAAGACCTCGCAGATATCGCCAAGCGCGAGGGCATGATCAAACGAACGGCACTAGGGCGGCTCGGAGGTAACTTTCCACTACTAACTCACCTGCGTCTCGAACTCATCAAGTGCAGAACCTGATGACATTGCGGGACCCGTGGTCTTCTTGGCCAGCGACCTTTCAAAGTACATGACGGGTTCTCAGGTGTTGGTGGATGGTGGTCTTTTTGTCAATCTCCAGTAACATTTGTAGCATAAACTCGAGTCGATAGGACATTGTTCTGGCGTTTACGCATTTGAATGTAAAACCGGCACCAGATGACAGCTACTAGCACTCGCTCACCAGATCAATGTATCACTTCGTCCACACTGGCGGGAGTGGTGAACCGTTCACGACGGCAGGTTGTGCATCGATGAGGATCGTGACCCAACGAACCCATCCAGGCCCAGGATTCTTCCAAGCATGGATTGTGCCCCTCTGGACGACCACGTCACCCGGATTCTCTACGAGAGTCTCCGAGCCGTCTTCCATCTCCAATATGAGCTTGCCAACGACTGCAACGATATCACTGAGCAAAGTAACGGTTTTCTCAGACAAGATCGATACGAACGAAGAATATTATGATCGAGTGATGACGTTCTGTGCTGCAATTTGAAGGACGGGTCAGTTGACCGTCTTCCACTCCCGCCAGTCTGGCTCACAGCAGGGGCGCGAGCACCGGGAGCGAGATCGGTGTACTGGAGGTTCGTCCCACTTTTCATGAGCATGTCCATTTCTCCGTCTGGCACACGACTGGCGCCGTCGGTTCTAGTGAGTGATCGGTGAGTCCCCTCCTGTTGCATGTAAATCGGTGTCGACGACATACTCATCATTGTTGTCAACTACGGGCACTTGACCCGTCTTCCAGATTGGCCCCACCCTGCCGCCGGGAACCTTCTCTGATATCTGTACAAAGTCAGCACTCATACTATACTGCAGCTAGGGTTGTTTACGGCAATGTCGGCGACAATGGTATCGCTCTTCACCACTGCTACACCATCCTGGCGATGTCCGGTGACAATCCGCCGTACGGGTGGAAGGGGCTCAGGGAGAGAAGACATAGTAGAGGGCGCCAATGAAAGCAAGTCTGCTGCTGGAGGAAGATGGAAGGGCAAGTAATCTCAGCCAGGGCTTGGGTCATATGTATCCAGAGCGGACCGAGGCTTCCGGGCTGGTCACCACGTGGCGTACCCGCACGATTTCAGAAGCAGTTGGGGCACACAGGCAGTCAAGGGATCTCACGGAAGACGAATCCGAGAAGAATATGATCGTACAAGTATCTGCGTACGGAGCAAAAAAAGACATCCAACAACCCATTGCGTTATGGTGCAGTATCTGGGACCCTCGTGTGAGACAAAATACAGCATGACGCGGGGCGGGATACGCACAGTAGTAGTACTCGTCGATAAGCGGGATCCAGTCTTTCACGAACGCGCTGAAGATACCAATGAACGGCATGCTTTCAGTAGTGTTCGCAAAGTTATCCAACTTGGGCCTGAAAGTATACCAACATAAGCGTTCACAAACAACGGCTGATGATGGATGAGAGCGTACCTCGTCCATGAGTCCCAGATAGAACCTCTCAGGAGGTACCAGACGATGTCCCGGTCCCTCCTAGCGTACTCGGAGCGCTCAAGCGCAGCTGACGGGCTCGGCACACGGCGGAGGTTGAGCGCAATTAGCTCCATGGCCAGAACAGTGACGAGAGGCCTAGTATCCTTGCGCCCCTTCGACAGCATGGTAGCTGGGACCAAGATGAGAATCAACGGCGCCGGGGTAGGTCGTGATAACGTACCGTATACAAGAGGGCGGAGGACGTAGATGACCTCCGAGAGCCATTCCTTGGGGTTGGCCAGAGGCTTCACCAGCGAAGTGGGTGCCTTCACGGACGTGGTTGTTAAAGCCTTGGGGAGCAGGTACGCTTCGACGGGAACAGGGGAGTGGGTGGGGGGAGGAGGGGTCAAGAGGGGGTGAGTGGGAAGAGCGATATGGTTGTTCTTGAGGTGCTCAGGAGTCGAGGGCAAGGACGGCGGGGGGGAACTGGCAACCAACGTAGGCGAGGAGGTGTCGGATCGGTCAGGGATGCTATCGGGGTCGAATTCGCGCTCCGGGACGAGTGGGGAAAGCAACGGTCGACGTGTGATCCGAAGCAAAATGAGGCGGAGCAGCGCTCTGGAGGACACGGTTGGAGAGGTCATGGCCGGAAGAGACGCGATACGCACTTGAGCAGCTCGAGCATGACAATTCCTCGCCAACGCGTCTGTCGCGAGACCTTCCTCCGGAGACCCATCTCGACGAGCAGCTCGGTGAACCGAATCAACTCCAACGCACGGCCAATCCATTTGTAACGCGAATCCTTTTCGGACCACGCGCGAGTGAAACGCGTGTGTGGGGAGGAAGGGAGCAGAGGCTTGTACTTGGGATCCGACTGGCCGACCTTGGCGAGAAGGGTATCATGGTACATGCTCATGACGTTCAGGACGGCAGAGACTGCACGTGGCGGGATCAGCAGCTGGGTGAAGAGCACTTGCAGGACATCGGGACTGACGTGCTTCTGAGGCAAGCTCGGCATCCTTGAACCTGCCGGGGAGCAGCCACGTAACGGACCTCAAGGTGGACTCGAGCGAGGATATGGTGGAGACATGGGCGACGAGAAAAGATTCATAGCGGGCCAAGGGGGAGGACATGGAAAGTAAGGACAGAAGGAGAGCGAAACCGAGCGCGGTGGGGTCGGTGGCCGACCCGCAGGAGGATGCGGGGATAGAGACGAAGCGCGGTGCCCACTCCAGCCGCGGCGGGCAGCGTCCTCGCCGGCCCTGGGAATCCGGCCTCTGCGCAACCGGCCCCGCGCCAAACGCGGACGCGCGATGCATATGCATGTGCTATTCCGCCCGCCGTCCCCGCCAGCCGCGAGCACCGTCGCCCTGGTGCGCGCGATGCCCTTCACGCGGCGGCCGACGCGCGACGCGACGGTCACGCCCGCCGCGCACCCCGCAATCGCCCAACAGAACAGCCAAACACGTGGCGGAGGCCACACTTGTTTGGTCAACAAGCCCCAGGAGCGCTCGCTGCCGCGTCCTCGTGCCGCTCCGACCGTGTTCAGCGTCGGACCCGCTGTCCGGGGCGAGTCTTCTTCTCCGCCTCCTGGTAGGCTCTAGCGTGGACCCAGCCCCCACGAGGTGGGTGGCGAAGCACAGAGCAGCGCGCGGCAAAGACGGTGCGGAACGCGTCGCCGAAGGGGAAACTTCAATGGGCTCTGCGCCCCATCTGGGCTTCTCGAGCTTCGTGGCGGACACTGGCGAAAGCGTGTGTGTCCGAGCCACACCTGCCGCGGCCGTCGACAGCCCGCCTGCAGGCTTGGGTAACGAGGCGCGACACGCCGACGTTGTCTGCCTGGGGCATGCGCGCGGGGCGCCAAGCGGCTCGATAGCGCGATCACTGCACCGTCTATATTTTCGCAGGCCCCGAGGAGCGAACCCTCCTTCTCCTTTGTCCCGCCGCCCTCTTCTCAAGCTCGATCGTCCTCACCTGCTCTTTCCTCCCCGCCGACCCTGGCTCCGCCGCCGGGCATCCCCATGGCCTCCCACCGCCCCGCTGCCTCCCAGCGACTCAACTACTACGGTCAGAGTCCGGTACGCGGCCAGCTGGAGAATCCAGATGGGACAACCAGGTCCGGATGGAGATTCATCCAATGCACCGACACTCCCAATGAACTGCGAGTGAGCCTTTCCTCTTCCGCACCGATGACGCAGCCGTGACCTGGCGTGGCTCGCCCAGGTCCTGCTCCCCCCGCGCACCGCCGCGATCTACAGCCATCTCCTCAAGGCTGAATCCTTCGAGCTCGCCAAGGACAAGACCGCCGACTGGGAGCGCATCATGGAGATTCGCCATCTCAAGGACCGCATGATCCGCAAGTGCTCACGCCTCAGTCGCGACGCGCAGCCCAAGGACAAGCCTGTTGCACGGGTCATGTTCCAAACCTTGCACGCACCCCCAGACTTCCGCCTCAAGGAGATGGAGCGCTGGTTCAAGCTCCAGGGCGGAGACGCCGCGTCCGTGACGGTCCCCACCGCAGAGCGAGCACCCCCTCCCCCCGCACCCGCGGTGCAGTACTGCCGCGACTGTCCCGAGTGCATGGCGCACCAGGCGCGCGCGCAAGCATACTCCCGTCAGGCCTCGGTACGTCGCATGCCCTCTCCGGGAAAGCCCTCGCCTGGACGGTCTCCGGAGCGAGGCATGAGGCGATCGGCACCCTCTTCCAGTGCCCACCCTCCTTCTCACCCCAAGCAAACACCGCCTGCCCGGCAAGAAGCCCGCTCGCGAGGCGGACATGTGCGGCACGCGTCCGTCCCCGTCCCCGCGGTCAATGGGCACCCTCCACGTCCAGCCGAAGGACGCAAGTCTGCTGAGTACCTCCGCGTGGACCGCGCTGAGCGTGCACAGGCGCGTTCCCCCGACCCCGTCCCCATTCCCTATCGTACTCGCCCCACGTCTCCGTCTCCGGAGCGCGAGGTTTCGACGCCTTCGACGAGCTCTCCTGACCATCAAGTGCTGGATCTCCCGGCGACTACCCGTTCACCCAACGCGTCTCCATCCCCGGATGACACTCCATCCTACACCCCTCCGAAGGGGTCATCTCCAAACGGCCTTCCGACGATCCACGAAGACCTGGAGCATGAGCCTCATCGTCCTGTCGTTCGGCGTAGAAGCAGCTTGAAAAAACGCGACAGCATGAGCAAGCTGAGCGTTGCAAGCCAGTCTAAGTCTGTGGCATGGGCGATGGACAAGGACTGGGAGGATCAGTTAACGGAGTATTTCAAGGTCACAAACGATGCCGAGGTTCTCGGTGAGTTCTTTCCGCCATTCAATTCTGCGTAATCCGTTCGAATCGCCGGCTCTTCAGCCATCCAACTGGACCAGCTCCGTGTAACGTACCGCAACGAAATGGAAACCATGCAAATGTTGAGGCAGAAGATTGAGCAGTCGCATGACATCATCATCCGAGAAACCGAGCTCCTGCACCAAAATCAGACGGCCATGAGGGAACAGGAGGACCGCATCGTTATGGCTCACAACACGCTGGAGGACAAACACGACGAACTTCAGCAGAAGGGTGGGTGGTCAACTCACATACCCCCCGCCCCTGATGCTCACCTTGCGTCTACAGTGATTGCCGTGTTGGAAGAAGTCAAGCGCGTGGTCCTGCTTTGCGACAAGAAACGCGACATGCACGGACAGACATGACGAACCTCATGACCTTCCACGACGCACTAATCTATGTGCGACATGCATCTATGCTTTCCCCCATCACTTTCATATGCTCAAGATGGACGCTGGAAATCACTATCACCCCCACAGGATGGATATCTATAGACCACACATGTCGGGCCGACGATCGGCAGCAGCGTAGTGCTTTCACCCTATTTTTGGATGTAACATTTGTAGCATCAGGTCCTCACCACGCCTACGCGACGGGACCCACAACGCTATTAGTAGAGGATGATTGCCCCGCTCCACCCCATTTGTGCTTATGGGTCCACTGAGTACCAAGTCGTCTCATACGCCAAAAAGTGCGAAATTTGACCATCGTCAATGAAACCGGACCTATATCCTCAATTGACGCATTGCATATGGGCTGCGTAGTACGCGAGTACTCGGGCGACCGGAGGTGGCTAAATTAGAATACTAAATGTCCCAGGATTAATACTACACAGGCATGACAAACACACAAGTTCCGAGTCCATGCGCGCACTCAGCGCTCAGCACTGCTTCAAGAAGCTGTTCTTGGGTATCACCTGCTTAAAGTCGTCCACCCACGTCGTCAGCAACGCGTTAGTGTACGCCTCCTCGTACCTGCACGAACGAGTAAAGTCAGCGACATGTGCACGCCCCGACCGTGACGGGAAGCTACATACTCCTTGATGTACGCAGCGGTGGGGAAGTCGTCGGGGTCGCAGCCGACGTTCTTCGCGTTCGGGTCCTGGTACACACGTATCCAGTCGATGCGCATCTTGGTCGGGAAGACGAGGTTGTCGAAGTCGACGAAGCCGAAGTTCTTTGACATGCCCAGGTTTGCAATCAGGTACTAGAGTTTGATAGAAACGTTAGCAGAGTAGCGCCCCCGCAGGCACGACACCAAGCTCACCATAGGTTCCTCGGGGACCACACGCTGGCTGATCTCCACCGCCGCGTCGGGTCCGACGGCGGCGGCTTTCACCGTCCACGCGAGTGCGCCATCGTTGATCCAGGATATGTACTGGAGTGCACTTGTGATCAGACCACTGCGGGCGAACCCGGCAAGCCAAAAGACAAACGACTTACAGCGCCATCGACGCCAGGTTTATACTGGAAGCCGTAGGTGGTGTACTGTCCACCGCTCAACTCATAAGCCTGCTGGTCTGCGCACGCTACGTGAGCAAGCTGACGAAGGCACAAGAGAGAGCAGCGTACTAGTGGCACTGACCACAGAGGTGGCTTGCTGGAACGAGCCTCCCTCATAGTGATTGGGTCTGCTTCTGGTTGTGTCGGCAATGACGTAGCTCGAGTTGTCCGCGTGGTATCCCTCATTGAACGGCTGTACAAGTACCGCGTGAGCTCGGACGGGAGGTCGTCGCCTCAAGGTGCGATCACACTCACCCCCCACTGGCCAGACTGGGAGACCGCCCCGACGTCTTCGCCCATGGGCGAGCCTCCGACCTGTCCACGCAAATACACGTCAGGCAGATCCGTTGACTCGAGGACATCACAGTCACACACCTGGGCCTCGAACATGTCGATCTCGGGGGCGGAGCGGCCAACGTACTCGCCATTCTCATGCACGGGACCAGGGTGAGACTCGCCCTTGCAGGTGCAGCGCGAGAGACGTTGGCCAGGAAGGAAGGACAGGATGCCGTCCTGTCCTTCATCTCCGTTGACCGTAGCAGCGACGGGTAGACCGTTCACGGTCTGGTTCGGAACCGTGCCGACATCACACGAGTCATACGAGTACGGCCACTGGGACGAGTGTGAATGGCCTCGCTTTCGGTAAAGAGCGAGAAACGCACCATTCCGTCAAGCGAGGCACCGTAACCAGCACGTCCGAGGTTACCCATGGCCCAGACGGCAGGCCAAAGACCTCTGATGTTGTTCGCACCCGGGAGCATTACAGAAGCCTCTACTAGACCACCGGTAAAGCAGAACTTGTTCCAGGTCGACATCATCCCTCCGGTGTAGCTGAGATCGTGGTTCGGTTTCTTAGAGAGGGTGATCTCGAGAGCACCGTTGCGGGTCGTGATCGCTTCGGGGTCGTACCACTCGAGGTTGTTCGTCTGCCAGTAGTGGAGGTCCACCGCCTCCCAGTACGGGTCGTCGCCGGGGTAGAAGTACCGTCCGTCAGTGTTAAACTCATCGCTAAAGACGAGTTCCCACTGTTGGCCGTTCACGTAATCGTTCTTGGAATACGCATCCTGGGGAGTCTCGAGGTCGATAAGACCCCAGTTTCCGGGGATGGCGGGAACCTGGCCAGTTGCGTTGATGCCCCCAAGGTTAAAGCCACCCAAAAACGAAGGCTTGTTGGTCGTCATGAATGAAATGACAGGGTACCCAGCGCTTTTGGTAGTGACTTTAGAAAAAACCACAGGGGTTCTGATTTGTGCATCACAACTCACAAGAGGGTGACGATACCGGTGACGAGAATGATAATGCATCCAAGGTTTATGAAGCCGCGACCCGTGAAGATGGTTCCGCCCTTGTCACTCCTCTGGTCGCGCCGCGGATCGGGATTATGGAGTTTATCATCGGCCTCGGGCCCATTGAAGATAGACGGGTCCATGGGAAGGGAGTACTAGAAAGAAAAATTCATTCGGGATGGGGAGGATGCACGGGATGGTTAGATGCGTACCTTCTCCGATATGGAACGAGCAGCATCGCTGCCGTTCTGTGGATCCGTTCGGCCATGGACGCGGTTGCGAAGCGGAAGGGACGTACCATAGACGCGACGCTGTTGGAGTTGCGGAGGAAGCGGCCGGGCGGGGCAGCGTACGCAGGCTGGGGACCCACTCGGGAGTGGCTCATCACGAACGGAAAAGCGGTGCAAACGGGTATAAGACAGCCGAGAGTGTTGGTAGAGACAGAAGAAAGCAAAGGAGTGGAGGCGTGGCGGAGGGGTCAGAGGGCCGGGGGTCAGCAAGGATGCATGTACGGAGGCAGCGGTGTTGGTGGGAGGAGAGAGACGTCACGCAAGGGCGTTGGATGTAGGACTCGGGGCGATCCACGCTGTAGCATGGTCCAGGGCACTCCATCAAAGAGGTGGTCCGGGGGACAAAAGCAGGATAGCGCAAGACCTGCCCTGTCCGAGCTTGATCCATCAGAAGAGTGGTTTCAAGCATGTGCCCACGACGACAGCAGCCCCGCCCGTCCTCCGATGCGACCGCACATGGTGACGGCGCGGACCAGACGGCCAGACTGTTGGATGGCCAAATGGCGGTACTGCAGCGACGCCTGTGGGTGTGCAGAGAGGCGGCAATGGACAACGAGCAGGGTAGCCGGGGTGAGCCTATGCCGTGCCTGCGCTCAGCAGCATCAGCAGATGGGGATTGAGAAAACAAAGATGCGCAGACCGACCTGAGAAGGATACCCAAGGCGGGGACAGCAGGCCGCGGGGGACTGCAGTCAGTTGGATTCTGTGTCCTCCGATCGAAGGAGATCTTTTCCTCGGTGATGGGAGCAGCGGGCGGGTGGAAGCCAAGCTTGGCAAGCTTTGCCAAGAACGCTCGCAGTCACCAGGGCCCGCTCTCACGCTCTGCCCTGATGTCGAGATGACCTATATACATAGTATGTACGGTTACAACCAGTTACAACCGCGCACGCGGGGAATGTGTACTGGACAGCGCTGCACAAGAGAGCCTCAACATCAACGTCTACACAGGTAAAAATGCGCGATTTTTCTTTCTTTTTTCTTTTCCGTTTTTTGGCGGTCCTGCTGGATGGGTAACCTGCCGTTTGACTAGTCGGTCGATGATCGAGCCTAAATATCCCCTCGTGCATTAGTCGATACACCTTCCACGCTCTGTGCCCACGTTCGGGTATGCATATACTACTCGCTCCTACGGCTACATGGGGTGCCATCTAACCCCTCCACTAGACCTATTACCATGGTACTTACGGGTATACGTGTATCCGTCGAACGCCTCGTCAGAACCAAAACGCCTATGTAGCCTGCTTTATGACATAACCAGCTGCCGTCGCCTGGCCCTGATCCACCACAAACGAACTACGAACCCGTACGTGACGATAACCACCAACGCGAGGGCAATCACCAGGCCAAACGCTGTGTAGTTGTCCCCGGCTATGTCATTGTGAGGCACTTCGCAATTCATCGACACTGCACCTGCGGGACCATTCGTGAGCACTACTTCAACCTTCCTACCGATGAACGCACCAATGACAGTCTGCACACACAGAACACCCAGGGACACGATCGTGAGCGTTACAATGGCCTTATCGCTGCCCGACTTCGCTTTGCTGACTGAAAGCCGAAGCTGAGACAGATAGGTAGGATGAGACTGGCTGAGCATCCGTTCGTAATGCGCCAGCGATTGTTGGAGTGTCAGGATGTGATCTAAGTCGAGGTAAACAACCAATACCACTTGCAATCACACGACGAAGCTCATACCTTGAACGTCCCCCATGTACACGAAAACGTCAAGATCATCGTCTGTACCTTTCCTGAGGCCCCATTCACCCTTCGCGAGCAACCTCTTCTTGACTTGTGCCACGACTTCGGATTTGACTGCCAGAAACCGTGTCAAAGACGTGACCAGCCGCCGAATGCGTGCCATCCGGTGGACAGTGGTTGTAGACCGAGTCTGCTCCGGCGAGCTCTTGTCGATGGACTTGAAGCGAGGGATAGAGGCGAGTTGCCGGGAAAGGAGCCGCTGGGCACGACGAATCATGAGTGGAATGTCGGTGGGGTGAACAAACCGAGGTTTTGTCTTAGTGGATATTCTGGCACAGTCGACCAAAGAACCCTTATCTGAAAATGCTGTTGGATCTGGCTTCTCGTTGGCATATGCCGTATCTGATGACGTAGAGGAAATGCCCTTCTCCTCTTCCAACGGTAGAAGGACCCCGTCTGCTTTCTGATCACCCTCAGCTTCCCCCGCGGAAAAGACAAGACGTTCGATGTCGAGAACTTCAGCTTCAATGACGTCTAGATAAGGGAAGAAAGAGTCGACAATCGAGTCCATGAGGCCATGGGCGATCCACTCTGCAGGGATTGTCAGTCCAAGAACGCCATTGATATGCAATCATTTCACCTGACGAGGTGCTCGCTGCATCTCCTAGAAGCATGATTCTATGGCGGACTCGGTCCACATGCTCGTCGATATCAGAAAAGTGAAACTGAGACAATGGTGAGGCTCTATAAGACGGTGTCCGACTCTGGCTGGCTCACCGATAGAATGCCCTCGCGGAAGACAACCAAGTACATATTGACTTCTGCCAGAATACTCTCGTCCATGGCAAGAAGATCGTCCTCGCTTAGCAAATTCCGCACTCGGTCTCTGGTCTTCTGGCTTTCAATTGCCCGGAACGAGACGAAGTAGTAGCCGAGCTTGGGGAACAGCTCCAACTTCTCGCGTGGATCTTGCGTGAGAATGTCCTCCAGAGTGAGGGGGTGCAAGTGAAGCATCTAAGCGAACAAGTAGAGTCGGGAAAAATGCTTGGGGAGAAAGCACAGAAGGACCTCACCTTGCCCAGAGCGCATAGATCCTCCCAAGTCGGCGACGATATATCCAGCCACCACGCCTGTGAAGCACGCTGTGGCTCGGGAAGCGTTGGAGTCGACGCCGGTGAGAGCACGGGAGGGGGCGTCACCACTTGAGCCAGTTGCGGTGAGGCCTCCTTCTGCTTCCCCTTCCGACCTGCCCGCGATTCCCTTGGTGGCAAAGTCGACGTTGCATGGGCCGCTACTCCAGAAAGCATATAGTCTTGAAACAGCGGTGACAGTGGGCGCGACGCGGGCAAACTTGCCGACACTGACGAAGGCGTTGGATCCGGTCCCGGCCGCGTGCGCCGCGCCTTCGCCCGCTCTCGCACTACCACGCTCAGCCTCGCCGTCAACTCCTCAAGAGATGCCGTCCGAAGAATGGGGTCTTGAAGAATCGCGGCTCGGGCAGCCTTGCGAGCGGAAGTGGGCTGCGCTTTGGCAGGGCGTGCGTGGGTCAAGGGGAGTGGAGGAGCGTACAAAACGAAGCCGCGCGGGATTGTACGGAGGTCTTCCCGTGCGCGGATGCGCGCTGCGACCTCGCGCTCCGAGCGTGCGTTGTGGACGGTGTTGATACTACGTGCACGTCGTTTTCTGTGGCGAGACTTGGTGACAACGGAGGCGGATGAGGAAGTGGAGGATGAGAGACTAGAACTGGAATTCCATGCGCGAGCCCAACGAGAGATCGCATTCTCAATCCCAGCAGAAATCGCGCCAAGTGGACCACCGAATGAGCTGGAGCTGGAGCTGGAGGAGGAGGAAGAAGAGGTAGAAGCGGAGGGTGCTGGTGAGGACGAGCGGGGAGAAGCCGGGGTTGGTGGCGACCCGCGATAGATATCGTGAGCTTTTCCATCCTCGTCTGAAGCCTCTGCGAGGTCTGCGGGGTTTTCGACTAAACCGTAAACCTCAGCGGGAGGGGGAGGTGAGAAGTATGCCCCCGGGGAGGAGTCGTCCGTCATGACAGCAAGAAAACAGTGGGGGAGGTCAAGCGGACAGGCCTAGAGGAGCGGATCGCCTGCACACCAAGGCCAAGACGCCTGGGGATATGCAGCAGTTGGAGAAGGCTACATGGACGTCGCGCAGATGGGGGTCGCCTCCGACGGTCCAGTGGCGCGACAGTTCTCAACAGCGAACGATCAAGCGCCCATGGCATCATAAGCGCCGCCCTTGGACACTACTGAGTGCTGCTGCAGTTTCTAACATTTCCGTCATGACCACAGAACCGCGCGCAAAGTCGAGTTCACTCAGGAGACGCAACCAAGGTATCGTCCAATTTCGACATCATCGAGCACATACAGATAAGGAAATGGCAGGAAAAACATAGTTCATGAAGGTCGCAGTCGTTTTCCTGGCCGGCTGGTGTTCTGCTCGCTGGGCCGTCGTTTTCGCGAAGGGCCCTCCTGAGACCCCCTGGACTCCGCCGTTTGCCTCTCGAGTAACGGCCGCTTCTTCTTCTCCTTTTGATTGACCTTTTTCTGCTTCTTCTCAATGGCTTTACGAACTGCGCCTCTACCACCCGATGCAGCCAGTGCATCAAACTTGGCGCGCAAGAGCAGCTCCTTCTTGGACGCTTTACGAAGGACAACTATGTGAGGAACAAGGCCACAAAAGCGAATCACCCAAAACTCACCGTCCTTCATGTACCACGGCTTCTTGCCCTCTTTCCGCCTCATCTTCTCCTCCTGAGCGGCGTTGGACAGTGCTTCCATATCGATATGTTGTCTGCGGTCTTTGTTGACGGAACTCTCGGCGCGCTTCACTGCGCGCTCCAATCGCCCGACTTCTGCTTCTCGTTCGCCGCGGAGATCGCGTGGAGAGCTCATAAGTAACTTTCTCGCGCGCTTCAAATCGTCTTTCAACGTCTTCAGCTCATCCCGATGCATCTCAGAGAGAAAGCCATATTGAGAAGAAAACCGCTTTGCGTCGAATTCCCCAGTCATGTTCAGAAACCGTGGATCCCGAGGAACCTAACATGAGAGTAAGCTCATCGCGTTGGATACGCCAGAAAGCAGGTCAAGCGCACCACAGTTTCTTTGGCTGTGAATCTGGAGCGTGATACAGGTCGTTTGGAAGACACTTCCATCGGCCTAAATCTCCATTCAGTAGTCTCTTCTAAGAGACGATGGAAAGCTTACGCATGCTTATTCTTGCGCTTCGGCACCTCCTTCTTTTCACGAACGGTGGATTCCTTCTCCGCCCCCTTCGTAGGACGTGAAGGGAGCGCGGGGAGTTCATCAGGTTCAGAATCATGTGATGATTCTGAGTCTTCATCTGAGTTGTCCGATGTAAGGGCTTTACCCAAGGCCGCTTGAGCCTTTCTTAGGGCACCGAAGGAGAGAGAGTGCAAGTCCTCTTCCTGGAATTCATGGCACATCAGAATCGTTTAGAATGAATGAAGACGAGACACGCACCAGACGAGCATCCTCTTCCTCTTCGTCCATATCGCTTACACTCTCGTAGGCCTCACTCCCGTCGTTGTCTAGATCTTCCTCGTCGATCCACTGCGCGACCCTGGCAGTATCCGGTGCAGCGTCCGCATCCTCCTCTCCAGAGAACGAGGCATCACCCTGAGATTCTTCTCCTTCAGTCACGTCTCCCTCGTTGTGCGAGGCAAGGGGCGACCCAGATTCCGAACTGGTGTCATTCGCCTGAGGGCGGCGGATCTTAGGATTTGGATTTGGATTTGGATTTGAAGAACTTGCGGCAGAAAGGGTGACTGAGGACAGCTGGGGAGGTTTTCTGGAGGCTGGACGGGGGCGTCGAGGCATGCTGCAGTGTACACAGGGCGGGGCTGACAGTGGAGTGAAACTTGTGAAAGAGGCGTACGGGCGCTACGTGTTGTCATATCTGATTAGTAGATTCAGTCCTCGCGCTCCCAACACCAGGTTGTCTGTATGCGATTCTCCCTTACCCTTTGCAGGACTCCTCACTTGCCGAAGGTTCGACTCTCTTGGCCTCGCTCCCATGCTTTCGTCCCCGAGCTTGCCCTTGCTGCGCCCGCGTCTTGGTCATCCAATGGCGACATCGACTACCAATCCCCATCACCCACTCACCGACGGCAGCATCACACCCTTTCGCTAAACTTCAGTCGACCACAATCAATCCAGCCTCCTCATCCGACGTCCCTTCATCACGCCCTTCGCACACCATGCCCAAGGTCGCCGTGCTCCTCGGCAGCCTTCGTCGCCCCGGTATGGGCTTCGGTATCGCCAGCTGGCTCACCCCCCTCGTCCGCCAGAGCTTCCAAACTGCTCGCACTTCCACCCCCGACGCGTCCTCCGTCGACGTCGTCCTCGTCGACCCCACGCAGCCCCCGCTTCCTCTGGGTCCCATCGTCGACGGTTCGCACGTCCCGGCCGACATACGCGACCCCACGAAGCATCCGAACCCGGCCGTACGCGAGTGGGCGATGTTCGTCACCTCTTGCTCCGGCTTCATCATCCTTTGCCCGGAGTATAACAAGTCGTACCCCGGAGAGCTCAAGAACACGTTCGATCATCTCTACTGGGAATGGGCGAGGAAGCCGGTGATGGTTGTGGCTTATGGCGGAGGTGGTGGGGCACGGGTTGAAGAGGCATTGCGAGGTATGCTAGGTGGACCGTTCAAGATGCAAGTGGCGGACAAGGGCGTCGGAATTAAATGGCCAAGGGGTACGGACAAAGTTCCCCCAGAGGGGCCCGCACCAAAATGGTTACAAGCCTATGAACCTGAAGTTCTCGCGGCAGTGGAGGAATTGAACGGGCTCATATTGAAGAACAAGGCTTGAACGTTTGTTAGCACGGTACCATGTCAGTGAGTTCGATCAATACGTATGCGATGCCGTTACAGATGTTCTGCTGTACATATAGCCCAAGATGTAGTCGTGAAAGTCGTAGAAATCATTAGAAGCATCATTCGTACTCCGCCGTTCCCTTCGAGCCTTCCACCATGCCCTTCGCGGAGGACAACGCGCTGACACCGGGACTCCTGCTGTCTAGTAGAACGTACTTCCCGTTCTCCAATCGAACGTCCAGAGACAGCCCATGCGACGATTCTCGGGGTAGCCAATGCGGACTGATGCCAAACCAAACGGCCAGCTTCGAAATGAAGCGACGACGCGGAGTCCTGCACTTGATCACCGGGTCGTCGAATATACCTTCCCAGCGATAGGTTGGGCGAGCGCGGATGGAAGCGTCGTCATATTCCGTGCCATCACCAGTGCCGAGTGTCGACGGGCGAGGAAGTGTTTGTTGGTCAACTTCCTCCATGTCAAGCTCAGAAGTCTCATCCCCTAGGTGGAAGATGATGGCCTAACGTGCGAGTGATCAGATATCCAGAGTTCAGAGCAACGGTTGAAGCACTCACCCTATCCGATCCTTGGTACGCGATGTCGTTCATTCGCAGGTAGATCTTGTTCAAGAAGCCTGCGTGGAAGAAGTCTCCGGACTTCGGTTTTGTGTGCAACAGGCCGCGTTGTGTCAGGAAGTTTTCAAGGGCAGCTCTAGGGAGAGGTGTGTACGCGATGGAGGTTGGGTAGTGGGGATTGAAGTCGGACGCATATAGCTTGACGCCGTTGATAGTGTTCCAGTTTCGACGCCAGAAGTCATCCTGTCCAGAGTCAGTTGTGAACACCAACGAGCAGGAAACAGAGAACTCACCCATAATATGTACCACCATGTCGCTATTTCCGAAGAGGAAGCAGCCATCCAGCGGTCGTACGTGATACTCAAGACATCCACACTGTCACTCATGAGTCGACGGACACGTGCATCGTCTTCTCGATGTATGGCGCTTTTGGCAGCTCCTACTGGCTCCCGAGGGTTGCTGTACACATGGGTAAGGAATGTGTATGATAGCGTCCGCTTCTTGAATTCAGCTTCCTTCCGGAAATGTCTGCGATAGTTGTGAATGACGGCTTCGAGGTACGAAAGACGACTTGGAATAAGGCTTTCGTTTATTGCCAAGAAATGCGCCAGGACCTTGTTCAAGTCGTAGTCATCGGTGAGGCCGATAGCCACTCCGGGAACTGTCACGTCCTTGGCATAGTCGAGTTGAACATCAAAGCCACTCCCGAGATCGACGCCTTCCCACAGGGTGTGGCCACTGTGTTTAATAGAGAACTTGGCAGACCGGTAATGGACATGTGTCTGGGCTGCGTAGCGGCGCCCACAACACCAGTATTTCTCTTGGTTGCCGACGACCTACAAGAGACTGGGTCAAAAACAGGCGTGCGGCCGGTGAGAATATCCATACCTGAATATGATCATACGGCCAGCGGACAATTTGCCCGTCCAGGGAGCGCAGAGCCATACGAAGCTGCCGCTTACGCATGATGTCTTCGCTGGAGTTCACGTGAACATATTTGTCCAGCTGCGTAACCTCGTTCAGAACGATTTGAGGACCATCATCGTACTGCAGAACCTGCACTGGACTGAGACCGACATTTAAAGCGTGATAATATACATAACGCACCAGCGTTGGCGGAAAAGGAATCCAAAAGGCATTGCCGAAGAACCTTGTGCAGCCGCGAGGAGGCGCGCCTTCAGGTTTCCAGTAACAATCCGGTCCAGTGAAATGATTCTGAATGATATCTTCGAGATATTGGAACCGGTCGCGATCTGGTCCTGAAGTGATCTTGACAGCCTTGTTGTACGCTAGAGCACCGACTTCACGAAGGATCTAACATGGCCTCAGCGTCTCTGTTGCACGGATTGAGACTTAGTATGTGTACCTTGAGATTTTCAACATGTCGTTCAGCCGGAGTGCCTTGGAAACTGAGAAGGTATGGTGGATACTCGCTGTCGCGAGCCTGTTTAAATACCATTTTCTGGTCCTTGGGGATGTGACAATGCTCGTCGGTGAGTAGCAGTGTTGTGATGGCCTCTTGCCAAATTCGGCGCTTCGTATGCGACGAGTTCGGAGAGATGTCCATTCTAGAGGAATGTTAGCCACTTGTTTGAATAAAGCGACGGATTTGATACCTAGGAGAAAATATGTCGATGCCTATAGGTGTTTAGCAACATTATTCGTCTACAAAGAGCAGTTTCACTCACTGAAATCGATGCGGCGCGAGAGAGCTAACGAAGCACTGGATGTGAATATCGACCGTATGGTATCTTTCAGTGGACATACTCTTAACCCATTCTCTGATGCGACTCATGTGAATAAAGGTGAAATCTGTAAGGACGTGTCAGTCCAGGCCATAGAAAGACGATGATATTCTCAACACACAAAAACTTAAACCGTAAGTTACGATATACACACTGGCGAAGAGGTGCTATGAGACCAATCATCAGGTGGAAATTTCGGTGAATCATGACATACGCATAGAGCACCGGTCCATCAAGGATGTCTTCTCCGGGTATATCGAAAGCGACAGCGAGTGAGATAACAGACGTGAGGACGTAGTTGAGGCGGGAAAACCATTCGTTAGCGTTGTTGACGGGATCCAAAAAGGGTGCGTAGATGCATTGTAGGATGAAGAACGAAAGCATGGAGATGCAGAGCAGGATTTGACGAGCGACAGCAACCTTGTCACGATCGGAATTTCGAAACCAGCAGTTATCGGGGTCGATGACGGCGGTCAGCAGGAGTGTCGTGACTTTAGCAAGTAAAACCATCGACTCATAGGCAGCCCACCCTCGCCGGAAGCCTGCGAAACCATTGAGTTTAAAAAACGCAGCGACCGATGTGAAACGTACCTCCATACAGAAATACAAGCGGGTTCGAGTCCCGATCAAGCAATCGTTGATACTCCAAATCCATACCGCTTTGACTCCTCGGTGTGCCGAGCTCAGTAAAAGCATCGACCTTCGGTGCAGTGCGACGGATTGTTCGGTATAGGTGAATGGGATACCAAACAGTCAACTTAAAACGCATGTCACTATAATGAGCGACGGCTGTAGAGAGGGCAAGCCGAACATACCCCAGCGAAGCATGTGAGAGCAAGAATCATTACGGCAGGAGCGTAGTTGATTTCATTGCGGAGCATCGTCGTGGTGTAGCAGAAATCCAAAGGGTCGCGGTACTCGTCTGGCGGTCCAAGAGGCGCCACGACAGGCGGGAACGTGGTGGCATTGGTGTAAGGGTTATCCACTGCCCATAGATCGTCCGACCATACGAGGACATGGACTGCCATGGTGCTCAAGGGAAGGTAAATGACGGTGAGGACGAAAGTGACTACGATCACTGCCCAGGAGTTCTTCAGGTAGGTGGTTGGCTGAAGTCCTTCTGGTGTAACGGCAGAACAGCATGCCGCCGTCATACGCATGAAGAAGTAAAGTAGTAGACCCGCGAACACCATGAATATCGCAAGTAAAACCAGGGACTGCACAAGCGAAGAGGCGAAGTTGAATGCAAGGATATTAGGGCTGTTGGAAGTCAGGGCATGTATGAACGAGCCAAGTTTTACTTTACTCACACAGTTTGAAGCATTAATGTTCGAAAATGTTCAGCGGGTCTAGCCCCGTGCGATACTGTTGTCCATTAGATTTGTTGAAATGGAAGAATAAGCAGGCTTACAGAATGTACTGAGGAGGAGGGCAAATATCTGGAGTGTGTCAACCAGCCCTTGGACGCTGTAGAACGAAGCGATGGCACTCGACCCCTACGTTCCTTCAGTTTACTGGCATATCCCAATAAATGTGGTAGGCGGAACTCACCGTGATTCCAAGTAGGGTGTTGGTGAGGGCGGAGAAGATAGTTTGTCGATCCCTCCAGGCTGGGACGGGCTTCGTGTTGTGTTCCAAGTCCGCTATATTTTGCCCTTGCAAGCGATCCATAGGTGGGAACATAGAAGCCTTGCCCTTTCCCTTCCCGCTGCTCTCGTCGATGCTGCCGCCGAAGTCTTGAAATTGCGGTATCTCCAGTGTCGAGAGGTACTGGTCTAATTGAGGCAGGGACACCGGTGCAGCATTTCGCGCCAGAATCTGGGAAAGAGGCACTGGTGTATGGTCTCCGAGAACGCGCATGGGAGGCACCAGGGTGATCGTGGACGAGGTGGCTCGAGGCTGCTTGGGCTGTGTGGAAGAGACAAAAGACGCCGTCTCTTCGGGGTAGAGGGAGTCTCCGCGCAATTTGGATCCATCAAATGAGATTGTCTGAGAAGAACCTGTGGTCTTATGGAGCAGAGTCTCGAGCTCAATGTTGGCCTCGTCGTCGCGTGGTGGTGACTTGGCCCATCCAGACCCATTAGGGCGCGAGCTCCCACGAACGAAGATGCTTTGGTGTCGTCCAGAGACGGCGACGAGCTCATCTGTAACGTCCGCATCTTCCACTTCGTTGAGAGTGAGACCATATTGACTTTGATCGTCTATATGCGGAACCAGGGTGGTCGAGGATCCCTCAGAGATAGAAGGGTCGGGAAGGATGAGGTCATCCTCCTGGTCTGCACCACTGGGTTCTCGTCGACGCAGGAGAGGGTGGGCAACAAAACGAGCGGGAGAGGGTGCAGGGATGTCGAGAGTGTTCTGTGATGGTCTCGGCCTGGGCGTGTAGGGTGAAGAAGAAGCGGGCCGAGGTGCCTCGTCGTTCCGGTCGGGGTGGAGTCGGGAAGGGGACGAGGGGGAAGTAGCCTTGGACTCGTATATGCCGACGAGATCCTTGACGGCCATGGCAGAGAGCGAAGAGCGCAACCAGCAAAGGAGGGGATATAGGCGGCGCGGGCACTCAAGCCCACATCCTCAACAGCGAGAAGGCGGTGGTGAGACGACGACGTCAGACTCGGACGGCGGAAAGCTCCCAGTGGGTGAACTCGATCGGGAATTTCCCCGCGTGACTATCCGACGCGACGCGATGGTGTCATGACCACGTGCCCCAGCTCTGTCGCTCGGACCGCTGGAAATGGCCGCCTTCCGAGCACGTTCCTCGCTTCCTCCCAAGTAAGTACTCCCAGGCAAAGTGGCCGACTGCAGTGGCCGACGCTCGTCCCTCTCCCTCCGTGTTCACTCATGCTTGCCTAGGCCTTATGAATCGATTCCAGGAGCACGCCGCACATGCATACAGACTTGTTCATGACCATCTACTGTACCATTTCACTCAATTCGACGGCCCTTGTGACGTGTGACATCCAAAATACGGATTCGACATTCGACGGACCGCCCTGTGGGCCGTGACATGGTCGAAATTTCGACAAATTGGTGGGTAAAATTCAGATTTGAAGGGCATAGAAAGCGGATTCTTACATGCATGGGCTTTAGCAGAGACTCAGAGGCGATTTCTGTTCTCCGTGAGCCATTTTCGGCCTCGAAGCGGCTGTTCATCGACTGGTTCCTCGCCGGCGCCTGGTGTGACCTCCACCTGCAAATTCGACAGACCGGCCGGGGACACGTGACAAGCGCCCAAATTTCGTGCCCCAGGAGGCCGTGTGACCGTGACAATTCGAATTGAGTGAAATGGTACAGTACTAGATGAGCTCCTGCACAACAGCACCCACTCGGCTTTCCCCCGCCGCCCGGTGCAGCCATCCTTTGACGTACGCTGAATGCGTATTCGACTCCGAGTCTTCCTCGTTCGACTCGGCATGCACTGACTCCTTGATTGCGTTGAACGCCTTGTGGAAAATGGAATGGTCGTGCTCTGGCCAGTGGACCTTTGCTGGCATCTCGGTCTTGAGAGCGGTAGTAGCGGCAACATGACCGTCCCATGCAACCCGAACATTTGCTTCCCACGGCAGGAGCTGGTGAACAAGATCGGGATTCTCCATAAGATGCTGCTTAAGCTGTAACTCAGGTGAGGGCTGCTCCAGCACAGATGGATGGATGACTTCGTGAGTAACATCGTCCGTGACGGTAGGAAGGGGTCGCTCCTTGGTCTTTGCGTACGAGTAGATACCCACGAGCGGGCTAGCAGGACAAGTGTGAGTGCGCTTGAATTGGGTAGGGAAGGCGACGTACGGGTGGAAGGGTAGCGCTCCCCAAGGTGCTGTCGGCGTTGGTAGCGAGGACAAGTACGAGAAGTCAATCGATAGAGCATCCTGGATCTCGGCCTGCGGCAACTTCTCAGTGCAATATCTTCAATGTCGGGCCAATGTCAACGTACCACCATCCAATTCAGAGTCACGTCAGACAAATCATGTTCCTCGTAACCGCCTCCAATCTGTACAAAGGATCAGCCTTATTGTAGACTGACTCATAGCATGACACTGACGTCGCAATGGGAGCCTGCCATACGACGTCCCAATTAGTACTCGTTCATGTTCGGTACCATCCCATAAAATCACCTGAGAACCAGCACTAAAGGGGGCAGAAATCAGTGGCTGACAGTCCGCTTTGTACGACTGTTCGCACCTGTTTGAGGGTTTGTCCTTTACGTCGTCCACCCTCGGTTTGCTCAAATTTGGCGACGCTCTAGAAGTAATTCATGAGTTGACAACAAATGAACGGACGAAGAATACTCACAAAGTCTTCGCGATCTTCATTGATTGCCATTGCGTGGTATGCACGAGCAATGTGCTCTCCCAGCAAACGGTCAGGGAATCCGAAAATAGTTTTTAACTTCTTGCTCCGGAAAACTAGCTCTTCAGGAAGTCCGAGGGAACCAACAGTATCGAAAACACCAACAATCCTGAAAATGGTTGGCAACATGAGGATACGAATGAATGGATGATTCGTACTTGATAGAGAACTTGTGAGGACCGCTTTGTGCTCGCATCTTCCCCGGGGCATTGGGATTCGTCCAAGGTTCAAGCTTCTCATCTAGGATCTGGATCTCTATATGACAAGTTTGATTTAGCAGCACATTTATCACAGCATGGTGGCAGACTAACGATCGAGGTCCGTTTCTTTACCTCGCTTCTGATAAGCAAGGAAGATGGACGCAAAGTGGTCCATCTGAGTGCGGTCCAAAACACCGATGGCCCCCTGTGGGTGGTTCAGTTCCTGCAAAAGATTGAATGCGGGATAGTCGCGTACAATGAACATGGCAACCATCCTAGCAGTATATGCGCCCTGTGACATGTCGGATGTCAGAGCGTGAGATCACAGTCAGAAGTAAATGAGCACATACTCTGGAGAATCCGAACAAGAAGATCTACAAGAGACGTGAGCACGAAGAAAGGTGAAAGCACTCGTCTGCGTGCATACCTCATCTCCCGGATGATAGTTACTGTGTGGAGAGCACGTTATAGGTGGCCATTGGAAAAGGAGAGAATTGAACGTACTGAGCTATGAAACCATATGCGTCCTCGACTTTCTCGGCTAGTTAAACGATGTAAACAGGGGGTCAGAACCCATCTGGATATCACGCACCAAGATTTGCGCCGGTGATTCCTGTGTGTTCAGTAGTATCAGCCTCTGGTTGCCGATGGGCGGACGTCGGACGGACCATCGACAATCTTGTCATACAGGTTGTCTGTGCCAATCCCGGATTGATAGAACACGATCTGATGTACCGGAGGTTCGCTGACAGCTCCGGTGAATTCCAAGTCTGGCTTTAGTGTTTCAACAAAAACTCACACTCGGTCGTCGACGTAGTTGAGCGCGCGCGCGAGGCGCTGTGAGTCTACGTGAGCTAGTGTCCCTGTCCCAACCACTAAGCACATACGAGTACATTAGTGTACTTCCAGTTCTGCCGAACGTCCAACGCGTCCTGCCAGGTGCTGTCGCAGCATGTCAGGTCCTACCGAGAAAGCGGGACAAGAGGCGCACGTACCCATCGCAGCACACGATGAGCCTCTTAGAGACGCGACTGAAGGTCCGCAGATCGGCGCCACCAGTCTGGAGGCCGTCGGCGTAGGTGCCCGCCATGACGGATACAGCTAAACGGGGGTGGAAGTAGTATAGGCCGGCAGGCGAGACGGGTGAGCCACTGGCGTCGGTCCAGGGAACTTTCTGGCTAGGGCCAACTTATGTATGTGGGCCCATGGCCATCTCGAGCTGCTGATGCACCGCATCCGGAGAGAGCTGGAGTGCCAATGATAGATCGCGATAAGAAGCCGCCGCCGCTAGAATAGACCCGGGGAAAGCGACGCCGACAGTCCTCGGCGCCGTCTTGGGCGGCGAATATACAGCCCCAGGCGAACGTGCGAAGCGGCCTGCTCACGTTTCTCTCCTCCACGTGGACACACTGGTCGATCCGGGCAAGACCGGGGCTTAACAGACTGTGCCATTCATCGGACCGACCGCTGAGCTTGGCTCTTCTAACTCAAGATGCATGAGGTACGACTCCTGTACAGCGCTGAGAATCCATCCAATAGTCCGCATTACACATACATATTGTATAGCGTCATTTGCCGAGACGCATCTCTGCAGATGCGAACTCGTCCAGAGCTCTGCGGAACTCGACTTCCTCTATGTGCGACACGCGAGCTTCTGCAGAGCGCAACGGAATTCTCGGCACAGCGGTTTGATACGGCTCCCAACTGTTCGCAGCGTCACGATCAGACCCGCATCAATACGTCGAATGGAGGACTCACTAAATTTCCGTCAGCCTCATCTGCCAAGGGGGCAGTCCGTGCAGCTCCACGGGGCAACACAGCTGCTCAACAGGTGGCCTTTGGTGGACAATCGTGAGCTCAGGAGAAGGGAATCCATAATCCCCTGTGCCAAAGGATTTGTTCAGCTACCAAATGGACATGACAACGGCCAAGCGCACCTTCTAACACGGCGGTGAGCTGTGCTATTGAAGATTTTGGGATAACAAGAGTGTTCCCGTTGGCCTTGAGGTCTATCAATTCCTCGAGAAGAGCAGTGGCCGCCGCCGCCATTGCTGCTTTACTCGACTTGGACCAGAGGATATGTAGAATTAATGGTGGCTCCCCCTTTTCGGTGGCTCCTGCTGTACGGTTGGCCGAAAACAAACGTCACGAAAGTGAAAAACTCACGGGAAACACGTCGACGTCTAACGGCAAGTTTGGTGATATTAGACCTCCGCTTGGGGGTAGAATTATGTGGGACTTGTATCGTGGTGACACCTAGCTTGGGTATAGGTAAGGAGCGAGGAGAGAGGGGTCTTGATTCGGCCCCGTCGGATGGTGGAGGGGTGGGAGGGTATTGGATATCACATTCCGTAGGTGAATCGCTCGTGCTCTGGTCCTGCGCTGAAGGTGACAGTCTCTCTCGAATGTCTAGAGAAGCATTTGCAAGAATCCCTACGCGTCCCCGTTTGATACAGAACATACATAAAACAATCGTACCACGTACCATTCTGATCGTACACCGTCAACCTGGGAATCCCTACTACTTGACACCATTCTGCGACCTTCTCAACCGAGTCGAGCATGTACTTTTCATTGGTTTCCTCATCGTCGAGAGGATTTGGGACCAGGGCGAGAGCAAGATGCCTGGGTACGTTTGAGCGTTGAGCAGTCAACAGCTTAGGGCTTTTGCGTGTTTTTGAAGCCAAGGACTTCAATACCAGGACCAGGTGGTACAAGCAGTGAAGTACAGCGAGCGCGAGCTTCGCCAGCCAAGCCATGACGTGATCCGCGTTTTCCACGAAAAGGACGTGTCGGCCAGCAAGAACCGCGCAACGCCGTTGGCAGTAGCGGCGCGGAGGAGGTTTGGAGGGGATAGAAGTGGATGGACGGCGAGAGCCCCGCTGCTGCGACCACCTCTGAAGTCATGTGATACACAGCTTCCCGACGTTGCCGACGTGTCCAGTCGTGTCTCGTCTGGCGGAGGTGATCGAAGCGACAGCTGCGGAGCAGGAAAAGCGGGCTTGTTTCCCCGGAGGACACAGGGACGTGATTGCCCAAAACACCCGCAGGACAAGTCCAGTATAGTGTGCATGGTCGTACAGCTGCTGGTAAGTACAGCGGATGATGGTAGTTTACATGATGATATCCCATGCCTGCCCAGGGGCGCCGACGCGATAACGGCTCTTTACAGCACACCGCCATCGGCCACCTCCAGCGTACGCTTGACCTTCAACAGTATGCTGGTCTTCCAGTTATCCAACTTCGTGACTTGGTCGAACTCGAACACCGCGCCGGTGAAGGAATCTACGTCTCCGCCTTCGACGGCGTCCGCAAGAACATTGGCGAACTTCGCTTCCCTCGTCGAAGGGAAAGTAGTGTCCAGAGACCCGTACTTCGTCAAGTTACGCTTGGCAGTAACGACGTCCTAACGACGTATGCGATTAGACACGGTCAAATCCCGAGGTACATGTAGGCTTACCTCCATGGCGAGAGCGCAGAGGCTAGAACGCAGCCAGTACTCCTTCACGCTGTACTTCGTAAGGGCCGAGGACAAGGAACCGTTCGCGACCTGTTCATAGAGGGCAATCGCTTGTGGGTACTGCTCTAATTCGGCATGCAAATCAGCGGCGTCCTTGTAGCAGGCATTCGCCGTTCTGCGACACATGAGCGAGCGGTATACACCGACTGATACCAGAACTCACGCAGTAGCATCTTCTTGCGAGTACCATTCGGCGGCGCGCTCAAAGCTCTCGCAAGCCTTTCGGAGATCGTTCAGCTCCTGGAGATAAATCTGGCCGATCTCCTTCTCTCGGTCGGCGGCTTGCCTGAAGCGGCCAGCCTTGCAGAGGAATGTGATAGTTTGAGAAAGGGCCTGAGTTGCAACTACAATTCGAGAGCATGAGACATAGAGCGGAATGCGCATACATGACATGCTTACGACCAGGGTCGACACGTTTGTACGCCTTAGCAGCGTTCCACCAGGCGTTAGCAGCCTCGTTGCCCTCGTTACTCTTCTCCCTACACTCGGCTTCCCGCGCATGAGCATCACCGGCCTCCTTGAACTGCTTGTCGATCTTGAACGCATTCGCCGCCTGTTGGTATAGATCTCCGGCCTCCTCGTACTTGGTCGAAGCGGAGGAGAACCACCCGGTGGAAGAGTTGGCCTTCTTATCCGCCTTCTCGAGGAGGGTCTGGCCTTGAGATTTGGCGGGCATAGTGAGGGTCGTCGGGTACGGAGCAACGATGCGACAGCAACTGACAGCAGTCGATGTGGTGGTGAGTGAGAATGGAGGCTGCGGTGAATTAATGGCAGTACTTGGTAGTATGCGGCACCGCGTCGCACGTGCCCTCGGCGCGGTAGCGATCGAGATTCGCCTGGAGTAACGCCTACCACACCCCATATATCCCCAACTCTGGCGGTGCGACCAGTCGTCGCCCACTTCATCCCACCCATCATGGCCACCCTTCCTGTCGACGCTATAAAGCCGCTCGCAGACAAGCATCCCAAGCCGCCCAACGTGCTCTTCCAGTACGGCACCGCCGGGTTCAGGACCTTGTATGCTTGCGGCTCCAACGGTCTAAATGCTCGCGCTAAATCAATTCTCTCCAGGGGAGATGCTTTGGACCCTGTGATGTTCCGAGTCGGAGTACTTGCTGCCCTCAGGAGCAAGCGGTTAGATGGCAAGACGATCGGAGTGATGGTCACTGCGTCCCACAATCCCGAACCGGTGCGAGATTTCGTGCTGTGATCTGCGCCCGTCTCATTAAGACCATCCTAGGACAACGGTGTGAAGCTTGTTGATCCTCGTGGAGAGATGCTTGAGGTGTTATGGGAAAACCATGCTACCACGCTCGCCAATGCTGCTTCAACAGAAGACTTCATTGCTGCTGTCCAGACGCTGGTCACCAACTCTAGGATCGACTTGTCTAAGCCTGCGCGTGTCGTTTATGCCAGAGATACCCGGCCTTCCGGGCCCGCACTTGTGGCTTCTCTTGAAGACGGTCTCAAGGCTATGGGCGCTGAAACTCGAAACGCGGGCGTAACCACCACGCCCGTCCTCCACTATCTGGTCAAGGCGATCAACACCAAGGGCACGAAGGACTCTTATGGCGATGACTCAGAAGAGGGATATTTGGAGAAGTTGAGTTCGGCTTTCAAGAAGCTTGTAGTATGTGTTGCGTTCCTATCCTCAGGGTGGAGCTCACAGTCGTCACAGGCCGGCAAATCGACAGCTTCTCCTCTTATTGTCGATTGTGCCAACGGCGTCGGCGCTATTGTCGGAAAAAAGCTTGCCGAGGCACTTGGCAGTAGCCTTCCGTTGAATCTCCAGAACACCGCCATCGATACTGTTGGAGCTCTCAATAACGCATGCGGTGCCGACTTCGTCAAGACTTCTCAGAAACTCCCTCCTTCTTTAGCGTCAGTCCTCAAACGGGGCGAAAGGGGTTGCAGTCTGGATGGTGACGCCGATCGACTCATTTACTACTACATGGACGAACGTGAACAGTTCCACATGCTGGATGGAGACAAGATTGCAGCCCTTGTGGCCGCGTTTATTGTCGATCTCACGAAATCCGCAGGACTCGAAGAGGTCGTCCAAGTAGGCATCGTTCAAACGGCGTATGCCAATGGTGGCTCGACAAAGTACCTATCTGAAGTATGCTTTTCCTCCGTCTAATGAGGAACGATACATAACTGATTCATCACCAGCGTCTCCCAGTGAAATGTGTTTCTACAGGCGTGAAGCATCTTCACCATGCCGCAGAACGGTACGATGTTGGCGTTTACTTCGAGGCCAATGGGCACGGCACCGTTATCTTCTCTCCGGAGACTCTGGAGAAGCTCGCCACCCATCAGCCCTCCACTCCCGCTCAGTCCACTGCGCTCAACCACCTCATCAACTTGACCAAGGTTATCAACCAAACGGTTGGTGATGCGCTTTCGGATATGCTTCTGGTCGAGATCGTCTTGGCGCACAAGTCGTACAGTGGCGTCGAGTGGGATGCGCTCTACATGGATCTTCCCAACCGCCTTGTCAAGGTCGTTGTCGCCGATCGCCACATTTTCAAGACTGAAGATGCGGAGCGCCGTCTCGTCAGCCCCCCGGGTCTCCAGGCTCGAATTGACGAGTTGGTTCGACGCTACGCCGGCGGGCGGTCGTTTGTCCGTCCGAGCGGCACGGAGGATGTCGTTCGCGTCTACGCCGAAGCCACCATCCGGAGCCAAGCCGACGGTAGGTGTCTAGCGTCCATAGGTCCGATTTAGAGTGCTGATCCGGACACACCGGTGATTCAGAGCTCGCGTTCCGAGTTGCAGGATTGGTTTACGACGAGACCGGCGGTGATCCTGCGAGACGTCCAGCAGAGTTCTTGTGAGCGGGCTTGTGAGACGGCCGCAGGTCGCGGACGGTTGTGAAAGAAGTACCCACCTGTATTGTATTTCTGAAATGTCAAGGAGGTCACTGGACTGGCGATCTGTTGGTGCGCGAGACGCGAAATGCACGATTGGCTATTTGTCAAGTTTGACACACCGGAACAGCCTCGGGGTTTGCCGGGCTATGCCTAGAGCCCACCTTTACGCTGCCCGCCCCCATAAATGAGCCATGATGTCGCCATGCTGCACCTCCTGCCAGTCACTCTCCGCATCCAGTCTAGGCGCACTTTTATCGCTTTACATTCTTCGAGCAACCCTTGAAAGCCTTCTGTGACTCGATTATGTGCCGTTTCGTGATCTATAAGGGCACTGAGCCCGTCCAGCTTTCTCATCTGCTCACTCGTCCATGCCACTCTATCATCAACCAATCATTTGACTCGAGATTACGTCTGGATCACCGGAGACCCATCAACGGAGACGGATTCGGTGTTGGTGAGCCATGTTTTGCATCTTGTATAGCCCAGAGAGGTGCCTACTGGTCAATAGGGTGGTACGACCCGGTGTACGATGAAGAGCTTGGTAGCCAGCCATGCATTTTCACTTCCGTGACCCCGGTGCGTCTCATCATCTTGTTATGCACTGGATAGCCTATGTATAAGGTGCTCTAGGCCTGGAACAACGTCAACCTTCTCCGCTTGGCTGAGAAGACGAAATCTCCACTGGTCTTGTGAGCACTGACTTTTAGTTCTATGATGCCAGCGGCGTTAACTTCGGGCCATACACAGTGCGCATGTACGTGCCACAACGGCGGGAACGCTGAGTCTGGACAACTGCCATCCATGGTCTTTTGGGAAGCTCATGGTAAGTGATACTGTATTCTTCTTGCGTGATGTGTTGACTGGACGCGGTGTGTTGACTGGCTACAGTTTATGCATAACGGTGGTATCGCTGAATTCCACAGGATCAAACGAAAGCTACAGAACAGTCTATCCGACGAGCTTTTCAACATGGTGACGGGTAACACTGGTAAGAGTGTTCTCGGACCGTTGAAGGTTCCTATTAATCTGTTTAGACTCCCAGTGGTCATTCGCACTACTATTGTCAAAGGTAAGTCGCTCCACTTTGCGTGGTGTATTGTTCGACCTTTTCCCGTCAGCTGCCCGATCCAAATGCCAAAGGTTTCACGCCCTCTATCCTTCAACGCGCCATGTTAGAGACGATTGCACACATCAACGCGTTGCTTGAGGAGGCGAATATCACCGAGGTACGCTGCATTCGCCACCTGCAGCGAGATACCATCAGCCTTATCCAAACCCTCGCACTCAGCCGAGCCTCATGAATTTCTGTGTGACCGATGGAGAAACTGTTGTCGCTACGCGCTATATCTCGTCTCGGACAGATGAAGCGGCTTCCTTGGTGGGTACTCCTGGTCCAACAGCGTCATCCCAGTCTAAATTCCTGTTTTCAGTGGTTCTCATCGGGCAGCACGTTTAGTGAATACGCAGAAGGAGGTCACTATAAAATGTCGAAGACGGACAAACGGGAGAATATCATTCTCGTAAGCCTGGTGTACTTGTCCCCGCATGCTGCTCCTGAACTTTCGTCAGATCGCTAGCGAACCGCTCACGTTCGAGAAAGGTTGGTCGACTAATTTCCTCCATATTGGCCGCAGCTGAACTGACGGAATACTGTCTGTAGCTGACTGGATGGAAATCCGAACGAATCACATGGTTGTGATCACTCCCAAGATGAATCTGCTCCAAATTCCCATTATCGACAAGTTTTACACGCCTCCCTCGGATCCGAAGTCGCCCACAAGAGATTCTGAGTTCGCGGCTACCAAGGGATTTTTGATTCCGAGACGGGAAAGCCACCCTCGCTCTCCCGCCTCATCCCTTCAGAATGGCTCACATTAGTATCGGTGCCTGTAGGCGGGAGGAATAGAGGGCAATACGTTATAACATGTGTGCTAGATACGTCCAGTTTGGATTGTTATACAGTCATTTTCTCATCGGAGGTGCAGTTCGACGTTGAGTGTGCGCAAGAGCGTCGAAGTGGGTGTGCGGGTGTATAGTTACTGTTTAACGCGTTGCACGTGTTTACAGCGAGGCAGCTACTGGCACTCTCCAGTGTCGGCGCTGGTCGTATTCACCACCAGCTCTCCTGTATCGCCCATCGGCGATACCGGACAGCTATGGCTCCTTGGTTCCTCTGGCACGCCCTTTCGAGCACTGCCAGGTAAGCGTAGACTGCATTCTGCTTCGCTGTTCACCCAAGCTGAAGTACGGTCCGCAAAGGCTTTCAACTGTCACTCAAATCCTCATCTTCCTCCCCCTCACGCTCTCCACACTGTCCAAATCGGCATTCCTACTCCTCTCGCTGCTGCTTTTTGTTCACGCTCTCATCCATGGAACGCTTGCACTTCTTTGGGGGTCGCCCGCTCTGAGCATCTTGCAAGTCCCGATGCACCCCTTTCTCCTTCTCGTCTGTTTCAACGCGTTCTCTGAGAGTGTCCACCCGTGGATAACAACTACAGCATCCTGGTGGGGCACAATTCTGCAATGGTCAAGCCCAGGTTTCATTGTCATGGAAGGCGTGTCAAGTCTGCTTGTGGCACAACGTCTGGGACAAGTTGGGAAGGAGCTCGTCGATGAAGGAGAGGTCTACCAATTCGGTCTACTAGTCGGCGCGGCAGCTGCATATGTTGCTTCGGCTTGGTGGATAGTTGTGGTGAGTTTTCAACTTCGGGGTCTGGTCGCGTGCGCCTGATTTACATAATGCGACAGTCTTATCCTGCCACGGCCGATTCCCCGCTCTCTTCAACCCTCCTCGGCGTCGCAATGACAACCCTATGCTTTCTCATCTTCATAGGATTTGCCCTTCGACGAACGAACGTGATCGAAACCAGTTGCATGGCTCTCATTGTCGCTTACAATGTGTGGTTGTGTGGTGTAGATGATGCGCTGGTGCTCGATCCTACGCTCTCTTAGTACGCCTTATGTCTGTTTATATATGCGGATCTGACCTGCCTTTCTTCTGCAGCTCGCCACTAATATCAAACATCCTTCCTCATCTCCAAACTCTGATGAACTTCCTGTCGAATACAGTCCCCAAACCGGTACTCTTCGCACTCGTGTACCGGCTTGTCGTTCTGCACTTCGCCTCGCGCATTCTCCCCAACATTGGCGCAGACACCTGGGAAGATGAAAGTGGTGTTGACGATGGCTGGGAGGGTCGACCGGTACGTCCTTTTTCACGACCTCCCATGCAAGTACATGCTGAGGGTAGACCTCTCCCTAGACGTCGAGGTTAACGAGGCTGTTGCTCACCTATAGACAGGCAATCTTTGTGACGGTGTACTCTCATCTTCTCAGTGAGTAGGCTGTTAAGACTGCTGCCATTTCCTGAACTCCTTGTAGTGCTCGATCATTCATCGCAAGTCTGGTGGAGATGGATGAATATCTTTTTCACCCTCGCCCTCTGGTCAGTGGAGCTTCTAGTGAGCAACGAAGATGATGGGACGAAGACATGGAAGGTGGATTGAACTCGGGTATTTCTTGCACGCGACGTTCTGCACAAGGTTGTCATACAATACGTGATTGATAGCTACTGCTAACTGTGAACCCACTTCAGACCCAAGCCTATTCGCTCCTCCCGCCCCAATCAATGACCCGAATTTGCCTTCCACTCGGCCTCCTCATCCGGTTGTCCCTCGTAGAATTCCCGCTTCCAGATCTGCGCCCTCCGCTTCACATCCTCCAAGATTTGCTCGCAAGCCATAAATGCTTCTTTGCGGTGTGGAGAGGAGACCGCGATGACTATGGATGGCTCGCCTACGGGGACGGTGCCCAGACGGTGGTAGAGGGCGGTGCGGATGACCGCGTGCATCTGCCCGTCTACGGACGGTGTCTGATGCTCCGAGCGTGTGTATGCCTGGTGGGCGTTGTGGACTATGTCAGCCATTGTCTTGATGGCAAGCCTGCTGTACGCTTGATACTCTAGTTGAGTAACTACGCTGCCTGGCTGGACATGAATACAGCGATCAAGATTCGAGCGATGTCGCCATGCCTTTGAATGAGTTGCGTGTGGTTCCGATAAAAACTGCAGTTGCTCCTGCGCCGTCATCCGCAACGGACTGGATGATGTCTTGTGTATCCAGGGCAGAGTAGGTCAACACACAGGTCCCGTCTGGTGTGTCTGACCGTGCTTCGATGGATGCCGAAGGCGTGGCTTGTGACGTAGACATACAGGCTTCCGATGGTTGGCTGAGACTCGGTAGGCACAGGCTAATGGGGTCGGCTCTTGAGGCCTGAGGAGGAGCTGGCGGAAGAGGCGTCGTGCGTGCTGAGGCCGGCGTGCTCGAGGCTGATCGAGTGCGGCCCGGGCTCGCCGACGGTGGCCTCATAGACCGGGCGCGGAGCCCAGAGGGATAGTCTCCCCTAGGCAGACCTTCCACATACAAAGGTCTGCTAGCGTTCGCGCCCGAAAACCCGTAGCTCTGCGGAGTTTGAAAATCCATCGTCCTGATGCGGAAGGCCCTTCTAAAACAGGCAGGCGTTACTGGATTTGGGAGGGTGCACATGATGTGCCTTGTCAGGTGTCTGTTCGAGTGCGCGCGCGCGCGCGAGAGAGCTGAGATCGGACGGCGCGCGTCCTGCAGGCCCTCCACTCGCTCCTCCACCACCGCGTCCGACGCGTTTCCTCTCCTCGCGATGTCTTCATGGCATGTGCGCTGGGATTCCACACCCAATGGCTCGTCATTCCGGCCCTACTCGCCTCCCAATGCCAGTCCGGTTCCACCCTCTTCTCCAACTACTCCGCTACACACAGTCTCCTCCCATATCGCTCTCGCCCCGGCTACTTCTCGGTACATTCAAGGCTCGGAGCCAGGGAGTGTGGTGCCTCAGTACGGCGTCGGATTTGTGCAACAGCAGTCACCGAGAACCCCAGGTACGTCTGTATTAGCTCTAGGCGGACTGGCCAGATTCCGACCAATCCGTTTCTCAGTTCGCAAACGCGCGCGCACGCGCAGCATCGCATCGCAATCCGGGCGAGAGCTAGGATCAAACAAGAAAACACGCAAGGAGAATTTACCCCCCACTCAATCGGCTACACACCCTACGGCTGTCCCAGCGTCTTCGATCTTGCCCGACTCTCGCTCTCATTTCCTGCCCACGTATCCACCTCCACCTCTCCCCCCTTCCACGACTTCCCCCCCGGATTTCAAGGCTCTGAAGGAGGGTTCGCATCAGGCGAAGATAAGTCATGTTCTTCACAGTATCTATGAGGATGCGGACTGGACTTTGGGCGAGTTCTTGTATCATACATTTCTGTCTGGGGACAATGTACATCGTGAGCAGAGCCATGCCCAGAGAGTGTCGAGATTTCTGAAGGGGCAGGATCGTGTCTACACCCCTGGTTCTATATTGGATCTATGGATGCGGCACCCTGATGGTGCACTGCGGCGTCCTGATGGTACACTGGACAAAGAGAGGACTGAATGGGCACGAGTGAAAGATACCCTTCCGGAGGATCGCAAAACGGCTGCCTCAGTTCGCGTCGCCCTCACACGTTTCTCTGCAGAGCTTGTCCGAAAGCACCTCATAGGAGAGGCTGAGCGGGCCGTCCAACCTGAAAATGGCTTGCACGCTACACGGAAGGTCCGAAGGAACGGTCCCACCGGCCAGAAGACTGCCGTTGAATGGGCCGATATCGGCGCAACCACACTCTCCTTGGCCTCCGACATCATCCAATATCATCAACTCTTGCTCTGGGATCTTCTGAGCTCCGTTGCGACGCGCGAGAAGGACTCCGAGAACCAAGATGGGCACGAGGTGGGCACGCCGCACCGAGCCGCACGCAAACAGCGCCCCGTTGAACAGGTGAGCAAACTTTATCTACGTCTCTCTCCCTCAGCATTTCTCAACAAGTTCGTGCAGGTTGTCACCAACGTCATCATCAACCTCGACTTCTCGCGATCGAGCCACGCCAACTTGGTGCCTATCTCCCGCACCCTCCACCTCTTCGCACTCAGCACTCCCTACGACGCATACCCCTACCTGTCCCGCATCGGCATGACCACGGCGTACTCTACCGGCTTACACGTCCTGAACACGTTGGCGGACACTGAATCCCATGCCGTGCGCGAGCTGGGAGCGCAAGTAGGCACCCCCATCTGCATCATAATGGACAACGTACAACACTATCTCAAGCAGCGTGACGCTTGCGTCGGGCGCGCGAACGGCATCGTCATCGGCATTGCCGCCACGTTCGTGGAGAACCCGCACATCTCGTTGTCTGCGCTTGACTTCGACGACAAGCAGACTCGCTTGGCGACCAACCTCCGCGCGTCTCTCACTGTCACGCAGCTCTTGAAGTTCATCGACCAGCCCCACCAGGAGACCGTTGGTGTCCTTTCCCTGTTGCGCACCCTCGTGGAATACATCCCGGAGCTGAACAAGTACAGCACCAACGTGACAACATGCTATCGCACCCAGGCCGCGAAGATTCCCCTCAACCCGGCCGGATACCGTGTCCATCCACTCGGCTCCAGTGCGAAGAACGAGAACATCACGACAGAGTTGAAAGATGCTTTGCTCGACTTCCTCGGTCAGGTGGGCCAAGATTACGCACACTCCAACCGCCGGCTCACCCTGTGCATTGGTGACGGGCTCACATACGAACGTATCTTGCAAGTGAAGGATTACCTGCGCTTCCATGACGACCCTTTTCCAGAGCCTTGCGGTGGTTGAGCCTGTTCTCGCCCCGTGGCACACCGCTTGGGCAGACCTCAGCCGCATCTTCAGCACTCACTGGGGTAGTCTCGTGACCAAGGATCCATCCAAGCTCGGGTTCAGCGCCGCGAAGCTCCATCGACGCGCACCTTCAAACCTCAAGAAACCTGATTTCAACCAGGGCTTTGAGATCCTGGAGACGACTCACGACGCACACATTCTGGACTGCTTCCGGTGAGTCATGTCCGACCCGAAAACCAGGATGATCAGGCCAGCAAGGCTGAGTCCTGACACCCGCATTTAGGGTTTACTACTGTACGGACAATATCTTCAAGTATTTCGCCGACCTGAAAGCATCCCAAGCTTCGAAGACTTGAAGCGCGATGCTGAGCAGGTGTATCATATGTTCTGCACACACCTGGCTGGAGAACGAGCCGTCGAGCCTCGTGCTGATGATGTCAGTCTCGTGGCGACACTATCCAGCTCAGCCCACTCCCCCACAACGATACCCCAATCATTGTCCACAGACTCCCATTCTTCGTCTGCTGCCACCACATCTGTTCCCATACGTGGAGAAGCCCTCGATGACGCTCCCATAGCGTCCGCGCTCATCGACTCGTCCGGCACGCAGCTATTAGCGCCCACCGTGGCGCTGCGCGCTTCAGATCAGCCCGCGGATCCATCGTCTTTCGAGCCGCCTACCTCTATTGAAACAAGCCCCCGTCATCGGCACAGTCTTCCCAAGTGGGAAAGCACTCAAAATGCGGTCCCGAAGGCTGTTTCTGTGTCCCTTTGGGTACCTCCTGGCTGCGGTGCCATCCGACAAGCCCCGCTACGACACTGCCACCTAGCACTGCGACTGGTGCTGTTGCCGATGTTCCTCAGATGACGCCAGAGTCTCCAGTGGCTGCTCAGAAGACGACCAGGGCTAGAAAGAAGGCCAAGAAGGCGTTGGTCCCCTTCCTTGGGGATCGTGTCCTCGCCGACTCCATCAACTTCCTACGCGAGGGCATAGTGCTGCGCGAGATGATATATGCCATCGCTGAAGGCGACGTGGGTCGCATATATGAGGCGATGAAGGTCTGTATCACTATCATGAATAGTTGTGAGACACACTAACCTTCAACTCGAACCAGGTTATGTTGTTCACATTCGCCGGATCTCCTGGTAGCCGATACCCCAACTATCTCCTCACCTTCATCACTGCTCTCGAGCTCGAGTCAAGCATCGATCTACGTCACAGTATCCTCGCAAGCCTCGTCGTCAACTTGAAGGGCCAGCCTGGCAAGTTCACTGCTGCCGACCTTGTTGAAGAGTACTTCAACCGCCTCCTTCAGGCAATTGCGGAGCGCAAAGGCGCTGAGTACAACACCAAGTTCATGCGTCACACTGTGTCACGAAACCTCTATCATCTCTCGCGTCTATGCAACGATATGAACGAGAGTGTCGGGCTTGCCATGCGCTCTGGTCGACACACCGCCCCACGCCGCCTTGCCGACATCCGCATTCTCACGGACGAGTTTCGGCGTCAGCAGCTTCACCTCCGGCGCCCTGGTCGCACATTCACACCTGACGACGAGAACCAGAACGTTAAGCCTAGCAACTTTCGAAGTGGTGTCATCAAACTGCGTACGAAGAAGCTGAAACAGTGGATCCACAGCTCGAACTCATCCCGAGGAGCCACCACCACCTCGACTGCACCCGTGAGCTCGGCAGTTTGCGATGATGAGTCCGACGACTCAGATGAGGATCTCCCAGCCACTGCAGAAGAGCTCATTCAGTCGCTCGACAATGGGATTCCTACGTGGGAGCTTCAAGACGGCAAGCTTGTTCATGACGAGATTAACATCGACGACGAGGCTGTGCGCATGCTGGAAGGCACCGACGACCCGACTTTGGTGGATGATGGTTTAGTTAATGTGGCAAGTAACGGGGAGGCGAGTTGTGCAGATGACATGTAAGCTACTGACGGGTACGGTAGAAAACCAGCTTGTTGCCCGGTTCTGTGATGCGCACATGCCAGCTCTGGTTAGGTTGCGACTCTCCCGACACGTTGCTTGAACCCTCGGTGGCCGTGATTGTAGCAGCCTCAGCGGCAGCCTTGGAAGCTTTGTTCTGCTCCCGAGTCTGTCGGGATTTCTCTGCTTTCTCCGCTGCCTTCTTTGCTGCAACTTGACGGAACTCCTCTTGCAGTTGTTGGACGTTAACTAGAAGCTTCTCATAGCGATTATTTGTTGGTAGCTCGTGAATTCCGGGTGCGATCTGGCGGAGAGAGTTCTCATCACAGATGTCCCAGATGTTGTCAAGGATGTTGTCAAGTGCGTCATCTGGGAAGAGCTCTTCCTCGGGAAAGAAATCTTCAAGATATTCATCTGCAGCCAATCTGAATGCTCTCCGAACAGCACGAAGCTTGGCACGACCGCTCTCCTTCATGTCTTGTGTGATGTATGGCCGTTCTGGTGTGCCCTTCTGAGTGCATGCCGCTATTGTAGCCAGGGATGTCGCTCATATTTCTGACACTGTAGCCCAGGGATACCACTCGGGTGGGCTCATATGAGCGGGCGCTCTGTAGCCCAGATTCCCACTCATATGACGGCACAGCCACACTTATAAGCCCACTCTATGCCACATTTTTGTAGCACCTTCACTACTGTTGCTGCTTTGTAGCTACTGCGTTGATATGAGTTTGTAGTTTGCCTTGCCACTCATATGAGCATTTGGCCTGCGTTGCCGCTCATATGAGCCTGTCGCCGGTGTTGTCGCTCATATGAGCCCGTCGCCAGTGTTGCCACTCATATGAGCCCGTCGCTGATGTTGTCACTCATATGGGCCCGTCGCTGATGTTGTCACTCATATGAGCCCGTCGCCGGTGGGCCATTCATATGAGCCCGTCGCCTACGTTGCCGCTCATATGAGTCTGTCGCCTGCGTTCCCTCTCATATGGGGACGGTGCTCATGCTGTATATCATCTCGATGGCTGCTCCGTTTATATAAATGTATGTACCAAGTGTTGCCGCTCATATGAGCATGTGGCCTCCGTTGCCGCTTATCTGAGTCCATCGCCGGTGTCGTCGCTCATATGAGCCCATCAAAGGCGGGGCCATTGGCATGAGCCTGTTGCCGGCATGCTCATTCATATCAGGAGGCCGCTCTTGGTGTGGAATGTCTAGATACATATAAAAGCATGTTCCCTGTGCAACCGCTCGTATATACATGCCCCTCCGCTGCCACTCGTGTTAGCAAAAATCGCCATTCTTAAAGTTTAACACCGGTCGTGCATGGGGGATTCAAGGACCAAAGAGATTTCCGGCATGATGTTTTGGGTATTGAATGATCCGTGCAGGCCACATTCCTTGGGCCATCTGTCACTAGGGCGATGGGGCAAAGACCCCGGGGAACACGTCGGCGTGCTTCTTCAGACCGCACGTGGGACGGGCGTGGCAGAAATGTATATAGGCTTTGGTCCGCCGTCTGCCCATTTCCTTATCGCATCTTTCCAACCCTCTCTGCTCCCCTTTTCGTTGCCAACAAATATGTCCGAAACTTCCGACTACATCCCATATGCTCCGATGCTCCCCGTAGCTGTCCCAAACGACGTTCCTCTTGGAGCCAATATTCTCTTCGCAAAGCAGGTACGTCACCCACAGAGCAGGGATGAAGCACCTCCTTGCTGTATTTTCTTATTGAAACCACAGTGCGACCACTGCCTCTCTCGGAGCGTAGATTGCAAATACTCACGCTCGATGGAAAGCACCAGGACCCCCACTCGCTGTGATGGCTGCTGGATCAACGGACGTACATGCACGTACAACCTGCTCAGTGCCTATGGCGGCTTGACCAGTATGTGCACACGTTCAATGGGCTCCGTCTTCCATCATAACCTGGGATTGATAGTCGAAGACGACATGCCCTTATCCGCGCTTGCATACATGGACAAGAACGGCTTCCGCATCAATCCAAGGCTGCAAGGCCGTGATCTTATCTTAGCAGAAGGCGCCGTTCGATACTTTCTGGAGAAAAGCTCTGCACGGAGCTACTCAGTGTTGACGTGGCCCTGTGAGGTTTACAAGCCTATCTTTGGGAATGACGAAGAGTGGCCCGTGCTCGAACAGTACAAGTTTCCCAAAAGAACCGCTATGAACGCCTTGTCGGTGGCAATGCTCGGCTATAATCTCGAACACAGGTGCCGTCCGCCAATCATGCCCTGGGTTGTGGAAACATGCGGCACCGGCGTGTGCCTTCCCATTGCACCCTTCCGTCATTTAGATTATCTACGCCCTCGGGTCAGCCCTCTCTGGCAACATGAGGGGCCCATTGAAATCTCATGGCTCCAGCATGACAATACCCGCTTCCAACAAGCTGGGTCACCGGGTTGGCATCCATCATCTCGTTCGCCAACTCCACCGCCGGCATACCCTCAATTTGAGAGGACGCAAGTCGAGGCTCGTGGAGAGACTGACGAAGAAAACGTTGGCAACATTTGGTCGAGAGGCTCTGCCTCCCCGTCCGCCTCCTCCTCCCAGCTCAACCTCTCCACCGCCACGGGCATCAACGTTGCAATTGACGGGAATTTCGTTCTAGGCCCTCGTCGGCTATCTTCTCGTCCGCTCTCAGAACATGTCTTCCACTATACCCCCCAGAGCAGCGCCCATATGGACGAAAACGTGCCAGCAACTGACGATGAAGGCGCCGCCCCACCAGAGGCAAATAACCATCAGTTATACATCGACATCGGCGGTGTGGAGCGGCAGCTCAACCAGGCGGAGATTCGCCAGATCTCCGTCCACCGCAGCAGGTACTTGCATGCAAGAACGGAGCTGCTGCAGGGCTCCCAGAACCCATGCTGGCAGCTGTTCGAGATGGGCAGGTGTGCCATGGATGAGGAATTGGTGACTAATCTCCCCTTTGGACTAGTGGACCTAGCAGACGGTTCCGCAAATGTAGATATTCAAAACGTAGACGGCCTACGGGACGGGATGGATGTCGAAGGCATGATGCTGGTGGGTTGGCGTTGCTGGGACCTTGCTGCACGAGCAGAAACACCGCCCAGAGGAGGCTTCAGTGAACTGTCCCCCGAATACGGTTACATATGACGTATTGCAGCAGCCAGTTCCGCTTTCCACGTATCATTCATGTAAATGTGTCCACTTGCCATGAACACTGTTCTAAACTTTCATAAAGCGATGGATTTGCAGCCATGCTATTCTTTATATGCACCCGATCGCGTTCTGTTTTATTACAGAGAAACCTGTGTATACGTTGGCGGCTTCAAAATATAACTGCCTTACTGGCTGGGGCTCTGTTTGCCCGCCTGCAGGTGGCCACTCAACTCCGAGCGCCCGTCTGCAGGTGGCCACTCAACTCCGAGCGCCCGCCTGCAGCTGGCCACCCAACGTTCCCAGTGAGGACCGCTCCCCTCTAGAGACGTTTACATATGATGCAGAACGTCGTGGGACGTCTCCAGATGATACGCTCCTCTCCGGCGCCGGAAACTACGTTAGAATCTGTTGGGCAGTATCTCCTGTCGGCGCGTGTCCACGCCAACACAGAATAACTCGCTTTGTGTCTCATTACACAATGTTTCTTTCTGTCACTGGCTCTGCAGCTGTACATATCTCTGGAGCTTTGCTCTCATAACGTGAACTACAGAATGGTCCGAGCCTCCAATGACGTCGCGACTTTCTGGCGCCTCGCGCAACGCGCGGCTTGCCACCACCTCCACCTCTCCCACTCCCACTCGTCTATTTCATCCACCGCAATCTAAGAGTACAGCTGTCTACGCCCTTCTATTTGACGTGTGCAACGCGGACTCCGTCTTGGAGACATGCAATAGAGTGCGTGGCACCCCACCCTGGTCGTCTTAGAATGAGCACTGGTATGTTTTCTGTCATTAAAAATGCAAGCTGGGTGGCCGACGGTGCGCATATACCCACTATTCGTTGACGGATGCTACCTCTCACTCCTTTCTGTTCTTTGCGATCATCCACGGTGCATAGTTTCCTCTCCTTCAAATCGCACGCAACAACAGCGGTCGCCACTGTGAAGAAGCCCGTGCCCACGCTCAAGGCGAACGGGGCAGAGGTCGTCCTCTCCACTACCTTGACCACTGGTAGGTCACGTCCCTCTGTCTGTACGGCGTATATCCCTGTCGCTAACGGATTATTTATATGTATGTGTGGATGCCATTCAACGACGCACTCCCCATGCCATCAACACCGTCCTCCTCAGTTCGTTCTTCTCACCTCCCGCACCGCCCCCTCCCCTTCCACCAAGTCCGGCCACTCATGCTAGCCACGCGACGTCCACGGCGGCCTCGACCGACCCGCAGCACTCGTGCTTTGCCTGGGTGACTTCCCCACGCAAGGAGCGCGGCCTCGGCCTGGACCATAAGCTCCCATTCATTGCGGACCACAGCATGTCCATCCCGTGCGCGGTGCGCGGCGCTACTACGGCTTTCTCATCGAGGACGAGGGCATCGCCGTCCAGCGGCGTCTGCATGCTCTTCATTGTCGACCCCAAGGGCATTCTCAGGTGCGTCCGCAGCACGGCGGCATAGGAGAGGGGATCGTAGCTCATCCTGACTCCTGATCTTGTATTCTGGCCACTCACGATCAACGACCTCCCCTCTGCAACAAAATTGCTCTTAGTGAGAGCAAGGACATTACGGGGCGTCACAGATGTATCCTCTGTGCGTTGCCTCGTTGTTTTCGCCGATCAATCTCACCCATCGGGAAAACAGCCGGGTATAAAGGCGCGGGACACATACCGCTTCGGAAGACTGCATACGCAGTGGCTAAGCGCGGGTGTGGGCAAATGACTGACACGCCCGATGGCGAAGAGCACGCGGGTGCGCAGGTAGTGAGCTCGTGGGCCATGAGCCGCGAGCGTCGCGGTGCAGGGGGGCGCAAGGCGCGAGGCGCGAGAGGGGCGCGGACGACGGGGCCCAAGGCGCGATGCAAGGCGATGGCGACAGACGGAGCGAGGGCGGGTGGAACGGGCCAATCGTCGTGTGGAGCTTCCCATATCTAGTACCAAACGTATAATCAGATATATTTGAACAGATACAGACGGATGGAGACACATTTAATACGTCCACATCTGAGACGACGTTCCTAGACGGATTTACGATACATCCTCCGACCGTCCAGGACGTCTAGATACGTCTACATATGTGAGTGGCGCGGGGACGTATCTCGACGTATCTAGACGGGAGGGACCCTCACTGGGATTCAACTCCGAGCGCCCGCCTGCAGGTGGCCACTCAACTCCGAGCGCCCGTCTGCAGGTGGCCACTCAACTCCGAGCGCCCGTCTGCAGGTGGCCACTCAACTCCGAGCGCCGGCCTACGGTCCCTCCACACATGCAGGGTGCCGGAGCCACATGTTCTTCTTGTATCCTATCTGTGTGTAGATATTTATTCGTCTCAGGCGGAGTCTACGGATGGACGTGGGTACGGGGATGAGCATACAGTAAGCAACGGAGACGTGTGGTATTGGCTCAAAACCCATGTATGTAAGTTAGCTAAGCCTGTGCCTTTTCGCGGTGGATGGTTCATCTTCGTGAATGGCTAGCTGCCGAAAGGCCGCCATCCCAGCCATCACGGAGGAAGGTTTGTTCGGGGCCGTCGTGATTCGCCGAAAAGCTGCCATGCCCGCCATGGGCGCGGTTTGGGCCGAACCAGATGCCGTCTGCGAGACACGGCGCAACGCCGCCATTCCACCATGGACGAAGGGACTTCGTGACGCCGCAGGATTGCTGGGGAACTGCCGTAATGCCGCCATTGCCTTTGCAACCGGGCGATGTGGATCAGAAGCAGCCGTAGACGGCCGGAAAACCGCCGTCCCATTGGTCGCTGCGGGAGGATCTTCGATATGAAGTTCGAGCTTAGGCTGCACCTTGCCATGGCCGTCTTTCGAATCGGACTTCGCTTTGCTGTCCGATGATGCCGGTATGTCCTCCTGCTCCGGAGGAGGCTTCACATCTTCTTGGACAGACGTTTTCACCTTCGTCGCGTCGGGCCGCTGCGAATAACGCCTTGTCAGAATGTTCAAATGGGATGAGGCGCATCCTTCGATATTAAACGCTTACAGGAACACTTCCGGGCGTGGCCGGGGCACGTTTCGGATTAAAAAAGCCGGCTTTGCCGAATGAATGTTGAGTCTTTGTCCGTGCCAGACCGCCTCGCTGAAACATGGGGATGGCATGAGTGGCGGTAACAGATGCACAAAACGAAGACTAACCATATGCCAACATTTTACGCAGCCATCCATAACCTCCATTCGGATTGACAATGCCCGCTCCGGTGTCCACATATCATGGTCGACGTACAACATACGTTGCATAGTGTTGAATGTAATCGGCCCACAGGATACGCCGTCGAATTGCCGTGGTGTTGCGATCGATGTCTTGTCATGGACCCAAGGCTGTATGCCTTCCGGTTGCGAGAGATACCTGTCGATTGCTGCCACAAGAGTATGCACCCCACGGAATACGCGCGGGTCCGGGTCGTCGGGGCTGCGGAGAGAATCTACGATGACGAACGTTCTTGCGTCAAGGTCGACGCGGACGGTTACCCAGTGGCGGATCTGTGGAATATGCCAGGGAATGATGATTTGGCCGTTTGCAGAGTTTCCAAGCTTGCGCAATGTTGTTCGTAGGACACGTTGTGAGGCGTCCTCCTGGGTGACGAATGGCACGAAGCCGGTATGGGCGACGACTACCGCCCGGCTTTCACGTTCGAGAGAAGCATTCCAGACATCGGCGCAGTCGTTCAGGGAGTCGTCATTGATCAGGGTGTCTCCTAGAATGCGCTGGCACCGGGCTAACAGATCGGAGTTCATGGCGGCGACCTCGCCCCAGTTCACCCGAGCGTATCGTCGAAGCTCCCGTCTTTGCGACTGCGGTGCGTTGCTTTCGCAAAACCTGATGCCTTTGATCCAGACGTCACGAGCATTCCACACCTCAGACATGGCCCTCCAAGCCGTCGCTGCCCATGCGGGAAACCGGACGTCTGGGGCGGCGGGGTGGATAAGCGAGGGAAGGCATTGGTCGACGAGCAACAGCTTGGATTCAACGGGTATGGTGTAGTGGCGATGGTCGAGCTCCCATATGAAAGCTGGGTAGGTGCTCGGATCAGTGGGGGGAAGATGCGAGGTCTGCACTGCACCGGTGCTGCTGGGAAGAGCAGGCGGAGGTGGATGGGTCGGATTGTACTCGAGCAGCTCGGCTACCCGGATGTCCTCGGGTGCGAGCAGCATCTCTTTGACCGCAGATGGGATCGCCGCTGCGTTGCACTTTGACCACGTCGTCGACTGGAGATCTTCCGGGACCCAACGAAACGGGTCCAAACGAGCGGAGAGCGTGTCTATAATGAACAGTTCAGCGGACAATGTATATCGCAATGAATGTAAGGTACCTATGAATTGGTGCGACATCTGTTTGAAGAGAGGAAGAGCTGGGTTGCCACCTCACAGCGGTGAGCCTCGGGCGCTGTGGAGGATGGCTGTATACCCGGGCGTGACACCGACGCGTCGCTTGTTCGGGCGCTACACGCGGGCATGTGAACGGACATGCAGGCGAATTCGCACCGCGTGCCACATCCATACCGGCCGCCCTCTGCTTCCCTCTCCTCCTTGAATGCCTGTTTCGCCTTGCATCCCTCAGATCCACCCTACCATTCGCAATGTCTGAACACGTCTCTACATCCTCTTCTACACCCTTGCCCAAAGATGTGGAGGCCGAGCTTCGCCGGCACGCGACCGCGATCCAACACGCCCTGCACCACCCCCCGCCCAAGGACACCACTCCGAAGGATATACTCCAGCGTTGGGAGCAGGGCTTCAAGCGCGCAGTCTATGCCATCAGTGAGCTCTATCCAAAGCATCATGCGCAGATCCCCGCCCTTCCAAAGCTCGTATTGGGAGCGCTTTATGAATACGACTATGCGGAATATGCTGCGGAGAACGGTATAAATTACGTTCCCTCACCTTGGAATGTGAAGCCATGCGGGAGGGAGGATCCCCGTGAGGGAGGGTTTCCTTTCAGCTATCCAATCGTTGGTGATGACGACTGGAAGGTCGGATTCGTTCCGATGAAGCAACTACAAGATAGCTGGGTATTTGAGTGTGAGTCACGTTTATCCGCCCAGCCTATCTTTACCCTAAAAGCGTCATTAGGGAGGTCGACAAAACGGACCGAAGGTACGTCGTGCACCGGGATCCATAGCATTTGATAACAAATTTGATCAGATAACGGGGGCGTTGGCTCCTCGTTGACCGGTTCTCTGGACGACGGTGACGATGTGCCGCCCCCACCCGTTCACAAAAAGTCGAAGATGGATCCGCAGGCGAAAGGCAAAGCCGCGGCAGAATCACCCGAAGGAGACGGCAAGTCCGTAGCCATATCCTATCGCGCCTCTTTCTGATGCTGTCATTGCAGCCGGTGCCCCAAAAAAGGAGGATATGAAGCGGGGACGCGCCGCTGTGCGTCATGATCAGGCGAAGGAGCCTGGGCGCTCCCAACGTTTGGATTATGTTTCGCCCCCGCCCCACAGTAAGCCATTGACGAAACAGCAAGTTCTTTGCTAACAGGTGATTCGCCGACAGACGTGAAGGGAAAACGGCGTGCTGCCAAATCCAAGCAGAGGCAATCACCTTCTGTCGAAAGCGAAGGTTCGTGAGCGTTTCTCCGAATGGGTAAGCAGCTGACAGACGTTGCGTAGATCCCTCGGAGCCTCCAAGCCCACCGCCGAATCCGCGCGGTCCTAACAAGCGATTCGTGCGCAAGCCCTCGCAGTCGCTGGGCACGGCATCTCGTGCGACGTCGCAGTCCAAATCCAGGGCAACATCTCGAGCGACCTCTCAGGCGTCGTCTCGCGCGTCGTCTCGCGCTACGTCTCGCGCTACGTCTCGCGCTACGTCTCGCGCCTCCTCTCGCACTCCCTCTCGTGCTTCCTCCCGTGCGCAGCAGTCTGGCCGTGCTGGGAAAAAGAGGGCGCCGCGCAACAGGAAGAAGCCGACGGCTCCGTTCGTGCACCACGAGAGATACTTTCCCCCGCCAGTCCCTGTCAGCCAATTCAAGACGTACTACCCACTGGCGACGCTCCCCCTTGTAAGTTTTATTTGCACCATGCTCCTTCCAGCTCCTTGCGTATCGACCACATTGCTTTGCAGAACATGCGGTGTAGCCCCTGCAAAGAGCATGGTACGCCTTGCCAATTTTGGCCTTTGAGCGGTATAGCGTGTATTTGCTGCCAGGATCGGCGCGTCGCATGTGACGTCGTTCCAGACATTGCGGCCGGCAGCGCAAAGTCTGTGCTCGCAAAACACCGTTTGCTTCGCGTCGGGATGATGGCGGCGAATCCGAACGTCTTCCCCGAAACGATGCTGTATTCGAAGATGTGGCGCCGCGCACGCAAAGACGACGTCCCGACGTGGACAAGGTATTTGTGCGAGATTTGGAGGACTGCTGGGTCCCACAGACACACGGAGGCCCAAACGCGTACCAAACCAGACACCTTAGCATTCCGGGACAACGGCTTAGTCCCGTACCCTGTGGGGCCTGTCGCGCTAGATGATGAGGACGCTACTCCCGTGAGTGAGCTCTCGTGTTGCGCTTCTTCGGCACTGACGCCATCGCAGGATGATCCCGAGTGGGAACCGAACGATAACAAGAAGCCGAGGGGTCGCCTATTCGCGGATGCCAATGATGGGCAGGGCCTTTGTGAGTTCGGATGAGGACGGCCGTCGACTACGAGTTAACAATGGCCGTTTCAGTTGAAACAGAGGAGGACTGGCTGGCAGCGGTGGTAAAAGGCATGATCCACGCTGTGCAAAACGCAGACGTTGGCGACTGACATCATGTTTTTGCAGCGTCGGTGCTTACGGGCGACGATACGCATGGCGACCACGCCGTGGAGAAGGAGCCTCCACGAAAGCGGGCGAGAATTCGTAGCCCGGCTGCAGAGACGGATGACGACGACGCAGGAAAGGGCCCGTTGCCAGGTCCTTCCGTCGCTGGCTTCAACATTCCGCCTCAGGTCCCAGGTATGTCCAAAGAATGCTGTTCCGACATGGTGTTTATCTTATGCAGGACGCGACTTCTTCCGCATTCCAGAATCGACGCTACCGACCATCGACGGGCATAAGCGGTGGCAAGGCAGGGCAGCGTCGCGGCCCGCAACGATGGCTGACATCAACGACCTTCGCACAGAGCTGGCCGCGACTAGCGCGTCACTGGAGGAAATGCGTCAGCAGAACCAGCGGCTTCGAGAAGACGTCGATGCACTACGCGTGCGTGTTCTCCAACTGGAGCAAGTCAACCAGGCTTTCTTGGCAGCGTCGCCTTTCGTGTTCGATGCGGACATTGGTGTCCATGATCTGCCCGCGTCGACCCCGCATTACATGGCAAACTTCGACGCCACTGAGTCTCCTCCGCCGACGTCCACCTCCACGTTCCTCCCTCCACCGACGCGCGCCGTCACGCCTTCTCCCCCGCCCACGTTTATCGCTACGCCGCCCCCGCCCACTACACCCACGATCACGCTTGGCGAGATGGAAAACGCTACGACGTCGTCCGCGGTCTCTGCGGGCCCAACGTCGTCCCGTCCGCGCTCTATGGAGGCCTTGACATCTGCGCCGATTGTCGAAGATATCGGCTTGGCCGGCTCGCCGTCGCCCGCATTTCCCCTTCCCAGGTTGCAAGCACATCTCCCCCAGCTTCCATCGTACGCGTCATCATCATCGGATGAGGAAATGGCGGATGCAAAGTCCAGCCCAATCGAAGAACCACCACGGCCCGTCTCGCAGCAAGAGACCGAGCGTGTCTCAGACACTCGTTCCCCGGGGTTCGTTGGAGAGCACGAAGGCACGGCGTCTACTGCGCCGGAGGAAGGCTCCGCATTGGGGCTCGCTGGGCTCAAGGTCGAACCGGCGTCGCCTACAACGTCGTCCACACCACTTCCCGAAAGTGGAGACATGTTGGAATCGCCCTGCGATCAACCTGCCGGGCCTCGCCTGCCACCATGGCGGATCTTTGATGAGCAAGGCGCGCCAGCGGCGTATCTGCTGGCACTCTCGCCTGACCATGCAGCCTTGGAGGCACTCGATGAACGGAACATGGACATCCCAATGGACGACGCATGAGGCCATTCTGTAGTGTATGAACCTTGTAATACGTCGATGACATGTGGAATAAGCATCTTTCATTGTACAGCCGCAGTACCATGGGCAACCACGACGCCTGTGCATTACCTAAATGTACATATGCCACGGGTGCCAGAGTGGCGAGCATGTCCACGTCGAGGAGGCGTCAATGCTTCGGCGGAGGATGCTGCTGTGGAGGTCGGGCTGCTTTGGTCAGGGCTTAAATGAGACAGCAACGGCGGGGCAATGGACGGGCACGGAAACACGGACGGCTGGTAAGACTCACGGGCTCTGGGAAGGCGCGGATGCCACCTGCAGGCGAACCCTCGGAGTTCAGTGTCCACCTGCAGGCGGGCGCTCGGAGTTGAGTGGCCACCTGCAGACGTGCGCTCGGAGTTGAACAGCCACCTGCAGGCGGGCGCTCGGAGTTGAGTGGCCACCTGCAGGCGGGCGCTCGGAGTTGAGTGGCCACCTGCAGACGGGCGCTCGGAGTTGAACAGCCACCTGCAGACGGGCGCTCGGAGTTGAGTGGCCACCTGCATGGTGCAACGTTGCCACAACGTGCGGCGTCAATATCAGCCATATAAACAATGACGCGTCTGGACAAATCTTCCATTGCCCCGCACGCCTTCTGAAATGGGGGATGTCTTTCTAAGACAAGCTCATCGGCTCCTGCCCATCTTTGTACGCGCCCGCCTGGACCACTGGAGCAAGTCTCTCACTCGCCCCTACATTCCCGAAATGTGCAATGAAGGCGACGATATAGATCTGCATGATGGCTGCCGTCAGGCTGCTGATGTGATCACCAACGCCATCCGGAATGCCAGTACGTGTCCACACATTTTAAGTCTTTCTGTTGCCCATATCGTAGCAGTTCGGGCACCGGTCAAATTGGAGGCGTTTGCAAAGACTGTACCCCGATCCCATGGTTGCCCAACTTGGGAAGAGATTTCAGCCCGCCAACGCGACTTCCCTGTGCCAATGGTCACTGACTCTGGCATTCCCGCGGCGCAGCAGAACCCAGCGGTGGTTGAAGACGAAGACGAACGTGTCTTGGCATGGGTCCTCCCCGGGCTTCTCACGAAGAGCCTCCAGGTACGTGTGTTTTATTTCGCGTAGGCAGTAAATTCTAACGGCGTGCAGGCGGAGCTTAATGCTGCCAATCAGAAAATAACGCACCTTTTTCAACCGCCCAGCGATGACAAATTGAATTGGCGTGTTCACACAACACATTTTCGGCAGTGCAAGAACAATGGTGCTGGAATTTGCGACATTGGGCCATGCAAGATACCACCATTTACGAAGCACGATGTACGCCCCCTGTGTTTGAAGAGCTGGTCATATGTTGACTGTCGCATAGCTGTCGAATGTACGCGCCAGCGCAAACTGGCAAAGGCCTGAGATATCCCAATGGGCGCACGATATCGGGCGCGCGGGGGCGCTGCTAGACGCAGTTCTGAGGTTGGTACATCCCGAACAGTGGAGCGTGCTCCGAGCACATCTGCACCACCATCTCAGAACGCAAGAATCTTGGCCAGTCACTGGGATTGCATTGCAAATCATCCACGATCGCATAACCCCATACCACGTTGATATCAACAGCTTCACAGCGATGTTCGATTTGCTGGTAACGTTGGGATCGTATGGTAATGATGGATATCTCAGCCTTCGTGGCCTTGGCTGTTCTTTCCGTTACTGCCCCGGCACAGTCGTCCTTCTCCTTGCAAATCTCATAGAGCATGGAGTTCCACAGGTGGCTGGATGCCGCACTGTTATGTCGTGGTACAATAGAAGAGAAATGATAAAACTCTGGGCAGAGGGCGGGCTGCCTGCTTTTGATGTAGCCATGGTGCCCAGATTAGATGATGTGCTGAATATACTAGCTATGTAGATGAATAGCTACATTCAATCCTTTTGCCCTCATGTAGAAGGGGAATACCACCCATAGTCTTAGCTCTTGGCTTCCCCACGATGACGTTTCAACGAACCAGTACCTCCTTCCATATCCACATTGCGTTTTCTCCTGTGTTGTTGTTGTTTTGAATGGCTAGCCGGCTTGGAAACTGGCGCCGTCGAAACCTCGTCAAACCCATTGTCGCCACCATCTCTCACTGTCTTCATCTTTGCGACAGGCACTGGGAGCCGGTTGCTCCTTCGGGTAGGAGCAGGGATGGGTGCAGGGGAATGTTCTGTGTGAATTTGGCCCTGTGTAGGAGGAATAGGAGGTGTGCTCTGTGGGTGGAGGGCAGGATCTGCAGATCCAGATGCAATGGGAGTTTCGAAGCTTTCGGCGATGGCTGTCCTTTCCGCTATGGGTCGAGGCTTAGGGTGATGGCTGCTGATCACAGGACGGTAGGCATTCACCAAAGCCTCCAAAACAGACATTCTGGTGACAAAGGAAGCATCATCTGGCAGGAGGTTGATTTGTCCAACTGAACAAAACTGGAAATGATCAAGTGTGAAGCTGGGCAGGAGCGTTTCCTCTTCATCTGGGAGGAACTCGTTCAACAGCTGCAGGTCCCTCATCAATAGGCCAATCGCAAGACAGAACCGCTGAACCTGGATGGGCGTTCGTGTTTCCTGAACGGATTCCTTCCTTAGCCAGTCAAGGAGGGGAGCGTATGCACTTGGATCACGGTAGAGGATCCCGCCAATGTAGCCGTTGTCGTTCTTCCATGTTGCCCACGGCACTGTTTCAATCGGCAGCACATCCACCGGCATGTCGAGCTGTTTGGGAAAGCTTGTCAATCTCCAATTTCAGCAACGCCATTCCATAGAAAACCTACCGCCTGGTTTACTCTAAGCAACATGTTTTGGTACGGCGTTGCATATTCGCTCTGCAATGACTTCAGATAGAGGGACCTTGCATTCGGAATACTGTGGTCCAGAGCATGGGAAGGCGGTACGCGACGTGGGTGCACGTCGCCACCACACACTGCAGGGGAAGGAGGAAGGTCTGGCAGGTCGCGTTGTGCAATGGAGATATGGCTGATGTTTGCAACGGCGGCCTCCACTGCATTGTTGTCATTTTCATCTTCTTCATCATCGCCCACTGTGGCTTGCTCTAGAATTTGCTCTCTGTTCTCCAATACGCCAAGGCCGGGTGCAAAGGGAGGGCCTTCGTCTTCTTCGCTGGACGATACATTATGGATGTTGATGTATTCTGTGTCGTCTTCAGACCCGTTCGCCGCATTTGTGTCGAAGTGTTTCCAAGCTCTTCCAGTGCTCCTTTCCTTTCGTTTTCCCCTTGCCTTTGCCTTTGCTTTTCTGACGTCTGCTGCGGCAGTTGTGGTCTGTCGGGGCTCAGCGGCAGTGGTTGGCTGCTGCAACGTACGATATGTGGATGGTCCCAGTGTTTCAGATCCCCTCGACCCAGACCATACCCGTCGAAGGTGAAAGCGACCGTCGGGGGGATGAAACGGCTTCCAGGATCCAAGCCCGTGGACTCCTCATCAATAGAATCCAAAGCCTTCAAAGAGTTCTTCTCTCTTTGAATTATGAGCTCCGCCCATTCGATCAAGTCTGAGTCCTTGATTTGCTGGATGGTTTTGAGGACCAGGCCAAGCGTCGGGGGATACCAGCCTGGGCCGAAGACTTCTTCCAGCTGCCCAGCCAGAATTCGCCAGGGCGGGTGGTGAACCGAACGCGTTCCATTGCCCATAGCGAGGTCTGTCGGGGATGAGACTCAGTTACGTGATGCAGTAAGCATTAAACTCACCGATGTGGTAGTTAAACCAATCTGCCATCACTGCCTTGATGTTCAGACCCGCCCGCCACTGTTCATTCGTTGGAATGAACAGAACCGGCAGGTTGGCACGCCATACGAATGGAACCTCTCTTGTCTGAGGGGGCTTTGAAGCCTTTGCCTTGATCTGCTTGCTCTGATTAGTCCAGGTTCCATTTGAAATGATTTGGGTGCACCCACTCCAGCGGTCCTAGCATACGATTCCGGCGTCCCACCCTCCAATACAGAATGGAATATGGAAGACAACACCTCGAATGGTCCTTCGTCCCACTTCGGGTGTTTGTCAGGCTCCGGCCAACGAGGGCCGTTCTCCCCTCTGACGTGGGCTTTGTTGAGGTACGTTGTTACGGAAGATCTGTGATGTTTCTCAGCTTCCATGAAAACAAGTTCTGTCGGTGGAAGACGTACACCATATGGCGGAGCTGCCCATTGTTATCTCTCCTGAGGCCATAGATGAAACATGGCATATTTCCGTTCATCATGAGGTATTCGATGACTTCCTCCATTGTTCGAGCAGCATTTTTTTCCGCCCATCTAGTGTTCCTGTTGTCGACCCAATGTCTCAAATATACTGTTGTTACTTACAGGCACTTCTCCTCATTGGTCCCTCCCCCATTCCGAAGCCTCTGCTCGAGCTCTCTCCAGGGTTGCTTCTCATCGTCTGAGAGGTCTTCCCACATCTTGCTGGCTATAGCGGATGTCGCACCAACAGAGTTGTCACTCTGCTCTCTCCCCATTGACTGAATTGTCTCCTTGACCTCTGGATCCTCCCTCCATAGCCAATATGCAGTTTTGTGGCGGCCTTTCGTGAAGTTTGGGCTTTGGGTTTGAGTTCGAACCGCATTGTTGTTACCGAACCAAGTGTGTACCCTCTGATGGAAGATAGAATGGGTGAAACCATGGACGGAGCCCTAGCATTTAGCGCACCTGAGTGACGAATGCCCCCAGGACCTTAATATTTGCACTTTGCCCGCGTCCCTCAATCAGCACTGCTGCAATGTCTTGTTCAATTTTTCGTCGAACTACGGCATTGCCTGCTCCCCATTCCGCGCATTTGGATGTCAGCGTCATTTTCTCCCCCTTTGTCCATACCCATGGGCTGAAGTTGTCCTCGGAGTCACAAAGTGCCATCGGAATAATGAAGCACAGCGAGAAGGAAGATGAGAAGATTCGGGCCAATGGGGCTTCGCAGGCTGGATCTGTGAGCTGGATGAAATGCCACGTGCCCCTCCATCATAAATTTTGCAAAGGACGC